GGTAGGGACTCTTCGTTTGCGAAGACTGGGAATTTACCGGAAAAGTTGTTGTTCATTGAAGCCATATTTTCTCCTTTATGGCAGACAACCTTGAATGTTCCCACGTCACGGTCGCATGCATAAGTTGTGTGTCGTAAGTACTGTTTGTGGTTGTAGTTGTGATTGTAGTTGTAGTAATGGTTGAGCCGATAGTTCACAAGGTGGAGGGGCAATAATTACCAGGGAGGATTGCATTTGCAAAAAAGTAAGGGCACGTAGGAAAAAGAAAAAGTAGAACCTCGAATCATCGGAAATCAAATGGAAATAAGCATTTCAGTTGAATTATATTCACCAGGTAGAAGAAATTATTACAAGTAAACTTTTGAAGATATTTATAGAATTTCTTGTGTGTGTGAATCAGTAGTAGGTTGAGGGGATGAGAGATGTTTAGAATTGTCAGATCTTATGTGGAAGGACCACTGGTGGACCTGGGAAGGCATAGGGAATGATAGATAGATGCGATAGAAAATTTCCGTAGGCTAGGTAACGAATGGTACAACAGCATCAAGGTTTCCTATTAGGTATTATATATATATTATCTAGTTATTTATTTATTATCTCTGTAAGAATTAATAATCCTATTTGGCCTCATCCCTTTATATCGAATCAATATATATAATTTATATCATTTATAACTACTCCATCCATCGTTCATAGAAAGCGTATTAGTAATCTTAGCTCCCTAGTAATCATACTTACTTTTTCTCCAACACAACACACCCCCGGACACAAATCTTTTAGGAGTTAAGGAGTTAGTTTCCCAAGTCCCATTAGGTACCTAAGGTAATAATGAACTTATTAGGAAATCGAAAGTACACGAAATGTTCATCGCACTTACACACTTACTTACACAATCACCCATTCCGTATACAACCGAGGAGAAATACGAAAGAAATGCGAGATGTTCGCCAATACACTAAGATCCATCCCATCGGGACTTTTTTAGTTTATCAGCTAGTCCAATCAGCTTACAGGCTTATCAAATAAAAGGAGGACTGATATCATCAATCAGATCTGGTGAGACTTTTGTACAATGCCTAGTACATATTTATGATCATTTCGAGAAGGCAGTCTGCTACAAGTTTTGGATATATTCATTGTAAAGTAAAGGCATGAAAGCTACGAAGCTAATTTCTGTAAAAATAAAATAAATTCGTTAACCGCTGTGTCCCAATGTGATTACCGTCCCAGAACATCTATATCTTGAGACTATGTTGACGCCCCATTTGCAAAATCATGCGCCGCTTTCCGAGTTATAATATACAAATGCATACTCATTTACCCCCGCTCCCAATAATTTCATTTTCCCATTAACACCAGGTAAAGACCGGGTTTTTGCTTTTGACTGTTTCAAGTCTTTCTACTATGACCTTTCTTTGATGCCCTTCCATTCCTTCCGCTGCTGCATATCCCAAATCGCCTTCATGATCATCACCATCGTACAATGTCTGAACTGCTCCACGACTCCTCGATCCGAATGAGAACCTTCTCGCTTCATGACGATTGCGGTTTGGAGACCTTGCAGGCCCGTCATAACTCATACGATTCCTAGAGTGTTGAAGATGTGGTCGATCCGAGAACCTGACCCCGTCCTTAGAAGTGTTCTCTCTAGGGAATCCCGAATTTGCAAATGTCGTTGCTGGTTGTGAAGACTCAAGTTCTGGGGGAGCATCTTCACTATATCGCGGACTGGCTAGTTCGAATCTATTCGGATTTGGTAATTCCACTGATGGGCTTGCAAGTCCAAGAAGATCTGTTTGTGGTGCTGCTGCATTGGCGGCACTAATATCCATCTCCTCTTCATCAAGGCTGTTGCGGATATCGTTACGCCTGCGCATCTCAGCGGAAGGCACTCTCATAGGAACTGCAACAGGTACATCAACAAGATCATCCCAAACACAAACTCTTGCCCTTCGAGTCAACTCCAAAGGACCATGATCTACCGTCTTAAGAGTTTCGACAACATTCCAAGCTTGCCCTTTCATTACAGCGATTTGCCTAGCGAACATGCGCTCCTGAAAATCTGCATCTTGACTAAAGACCTTCCTTAGCTCTAGCTGAGTCTCACTCCACCATTGTTTTGAAGTCAGCAGGGGAAGGAAATGCTCCCGGGTCTTTTGAGAGAATGGTTGCCCGATCAGGGATACAGGTAAGAATAGCCATCCGAAAGGAAAACTTCGCCAAGCGTCAGGATGCTTCCAAGGCCATGATAAACTGTTATCAATCGCACCAATGGATATGGTTGGTGCTGTCATTCTAGATGGTGTTGCCGATCTACTTGTAGCTTCCATAGGCTCTTGGCTACGGTAAGGGTATGCCGGAAGATGTGACATACTGATGTTATCAGAGGTAGAGACCACGCGTGGTGACTGTTCGGAGTCTGGATTGTTCCTCATCTGTGGAGGGTCCGAAACTATGGAAACGCCCTGATTCTCCCAATCAATTTTGATCATCCAATTGTCAAGACCTCTGTCCGTATTTCGCATTATGTAATCTAGTATAACCAATTTCTCTAACTCCTCCCGAAATGACTGTTGTAATGCATCTGTCCAAACAAACTGTCGATTTTGGCTATCATCTCCAGATCCTATAGGACTGCTAGCCCCCGCCCCTTCATTACCCTCATCCGACTTCGACGAACCTGGGCGGCAAGTCTCTTTCCACCCTCGTTTGTTCCTGTGAGGATCATTGAATTTGAATGTTCCATTTGCATGGTCGGGCCAAGGATGTTCACGAAGGAAGATATTCGCATCCTTAAAACCCTTGAGAAAGACTTGGAAACTGCCGACCTTTGGAGGTAGAGGCTTCTTACTTCTATAAAACTTCCTGCGATCCCAAAAGTCATAATGGAAAGATTTCGAAGACAAGTGGACTATGTCGGTGTAGGGTACAAGGTGGGTTCGTAATCTACAGTCGAGCGTGTAAGCCGCAGCTTCGGAGACGTAACTCAAGTTGGGAATTAGACATGCTCTGCCAAAGAAACATGGAAATAAATTGCGATGTATCCATTTGTTCCATTTTGGGTTTCCTGCGGCGTATGGTTCCTCATCCTTCGGTTTGAACACACCGACTACTTTGCCATCGCTATTTCGAGCAAAATAACTTCCAGAGCTCCCCTGTGATATCATTTTTGGATGCATCCCCTGCTCAATCGCAACTCGAACACTTTCTACGATGTCATCGAATTCATGTTTCGTCATTCGTCCATGGTCGGGCTCCGATGCCAACGTATCAGCGGTGACCGGCCGTATGCCATCCGGTGCTTGGAATACTGAATGCAGGATTTCCAATTTTTCTTCTTGACATGGTTTTCCCTTTACTTTATTAATTTTGAATTTGGACGCTATCTCGTCGGCCCATCGTTCTAGTCTAGCATTTATAGCTTTGATATCCACGCCGGAGGCATTGCTTCCCATTCGACTCCTTCTCCTCTTATGCCCAGACTTTCGATTATTCGTCGGTGAACTGTATCCATCTGTATACATTCCACCATGGGGCCGAGGTTGTGAAATAGATGCATATCGTGGTGCGGATGTTGGTTGTAAGGAGGCATGGCTGGCAGCGAGGGGGTCCTCATCTTCATCGTCGCTGAACTCCTCTGCTTGGGCAATTTGGGCATAACCCGTGGTAGCTGGTCGAAATCTCGGCATATTAAGTATGTGATTGAATTATTATCGAAGTCGCCATGAGGTAAATATAATGATGGTTCTGGTTATGATTATGGTTATGATTATGGTTTTGAGGCATTTCCCGGGGCTGGTAGGTGTGTTACAAGCTCTACATTCGCAACATGCCAGGTAAGTCCGGGTCGCGTCACTTTAACTAGGCACCAATTAAAAGGCGGAGGACAAGGCTGAACGATACACAGCACCCAAAATGCCGAATCATTAAAAAACACGATAGACGATAAGATTGTCAATTGTGTTTTCATTACCAATACAACAAACAAAGGAAGTCAATTGAATTGGAATCCTCTGTGCAAATAAGGTCAAATCGGGATTGAGTTGAATTGGGTTCTTTGATAACAAGGTTTTAAGTAATACTTAGATACCTTTTTTAATCTTTATACAATCGACATCAGATCCTTATGATTCGGCCATAATCTCCTTCACTATTTTTGCAACCTCTCCCTTCTCTACATTCTTTCCTCCCAACACTCCAGGGGCGAAGACTCTTTTCAATACATCTCCCATCTGCATCTTTACACCCTCAGTCTTCATGCTATTCACAAGTTCCTTAACCGTATTTCTGATCTCATCCTCACCAACTGTCTCCACACCACCGGCATATTCTTCCAAGACCTTCAATTGTTGTTCCTCCTTCTCCACCAAATCTTCTCTACCTGCTGCTTTAAATTCTTCACTTGCAGCCCGACTTGCGTTCGCAGATTTCCGGAGTAAAGCTAACATTTGCATATCGGTATTAATAGGTGAGGATGTTTTAGAGGCATTGAGTGTTTGGCTGAGGAGTGATCTAAGGACGGAAAGTCGATTCGTATCTTTATTTTTCATGGCAGTCTTCATATCATTCCTATTACCAGGCAAATATCAGTATCATCAGCAGGGAAAAGATCGATTGGTGATGTGCATTGAGTACTGACCTGATCTTCAAGAGCATAGGCGGAGGAGTACTGGTAGAGGTTGCATAGCAGCGGCAGTAAAGCCTTGAAGCTCTAACAACAGGTCGTGAAAACATGGTTGAATATGCAAGGGAGTGTCGAATTCGATTTTTTGATATAGATCTTGTGCGACGTTATCCCTCTTAAGATTGGAGGTATTAGGTATTAGGTATAATTTGTATTTTTACTGAAGTCCCCCTGCCTGCAAAGCAAACGAGGCTCGCCAATTTTAATTTTCCTTTTCCGCAATGCTGCCCGCCGCCTCACCTTATCACATAACACAGCATTTGGCTGACCCCATACGTCGATTGCACAACATAACATTAGTATTATGGCTGTATAAAGGTACCTACCGAGTTATGCTACTGTGAAATCCAGATATATATACATTTGCATCAGATAGATGTATCAGTCCACATACAGAACAAAAAGGCAAGTTCTTTCATTCGTCAAAATCCCCTTTGGGTAATCATCAACTTCCCCGCACTTACCTATTAGGTATAGATTCGACTATCGAGGAGGACGTAATTCTACACCATACATTTTCATTTATTTCTCAAGGTACGTACTTTCTATAATAACACAAACAAAAAGTTCTATCAAGCATAACAATTATACAGAGTATGAATCCATTTTCACTTTGTTTATATCTCATCCCTTTTCAATGCAAAGTGTTCACTAATTGATTCCTTGCGTTCAACCCTTTCCTCAAGTATTAACATCTCACTATTTTAAGATCAACGATCTCTCTCCTTGACCACTCTGATCCTCCTAATATACTTTGATATCTAATCCCTCGGCATTGTGCAAAAAATGGATCACCATTGATCAACAACATTCTGACTTCGCTGGCACCATTCACTATCAACTCATCATTCTCCCAACCCTCTCATCATTCATAGGAGTATCATTCCTCGGTGGACACTCTTTCCATGTGAATTATCTTGTCGTGTCCCTCTCAAGAAACGAACTGATAATAAATCATAGTTGATTTGACTAACAGACACCAACCACCATAAAAGACTTCATCCTTGAATCCTACAAGCTGGGACACTGGCTTTCCTGAGACAAACAGACTCCAAATACACAACCTAATACTCTATAAGCATCGTGAACAATGACATCTATTGCATCTCCCATCGCAACACACCCACCCTCCAGCGAACCTTCTCCGCAGCGCGGCCGTAAACGACGTCGATCCTCCGCTGCTTCTCCTCCACCCCCAACAACCAGCACATCCACCAATTTTCGAGGCCGAGTTCGTCATCGATCACCTCAGACTTCTCATCTACTTGCATCTTCACCGAGACCACTATCCTCACCTCTCAACCCCAAAACAAGCAACCCAACCATAACATCACTTGCAGCCACAGCTCCTAATCCCAAATACCAAAAAACTCACTCTACAGCCACAACGAGTACTTCTTCCCCCTCATCATTTATCTCAATCCATTCTCCACGTTCAAAGACTAGGAGAAGTCAATCACCCTCTCGCTCGCGTAGCAAGGGTCACTCCTCTGACATGGATGTTCCACGGCGGAGACAGAGGACGAGAAGTAGAAGCCGAGCGCACAGGGTTCCAATTGATGAGAAGGACGATAGGAAGGGGAAGTTGAAAACTTAGTCCGGAATAGAAGGGACTTAGGATTTAATAGGCTGAGAAAGTGATTGATTTAATCTGCAAACAGAGCCAAGTTGGCCGTGGACACTTGAGAAGTAACCTCACTTGAGTTTGGTGGACACTACATCTCGGAAAATTGAAAGTCTTGATTAAGATGTGTTTCTCAGATACCATGAATATAGGTGTCTCTTTCAATCATGGACAAGGGAGCATGGATGCGTGCATTGCATCATGGGTATATTAATGGATTTATGAATTCGAAGGCAAATAGCAAAACTGGACATTCAATAAAAGAACTGGCTTTTCTCCCATTCAAGATTCGATGCACAAGAAGATATTGAGGTTGACTTTGACCCTATACTCCATGATATTCATGTGCATGTATGTACTAGGTATGTATGTATGTGTATATAATTCGCAAAACGATCTGATCGTGTGCGCATGTATGTATACATGCCAAGCCTACTCACTCGCTCCTACAATCCACTCCCCACCCAAAATTACTCAATAAATACATAACATAGTCCCAAACAATCCCAACCAACCCACAATGAAATATCATAAACCCCCATCAAAAGAACATCAATCACTCACATACTGGCACTCCCTATTCTCCAAATCGCAGGTCAAAGTCAATAGCACCCCGGATATTTTCAGAAGAAAAAAGAAAAGTGAAAAAATTCGCCCTCGGTGGGTCTCGAACCCACAACCTTGGGCTTTCACATTCACAGAGCAAGGAAGAACTTGTATCTGTATATAAAAGGCCCACGCGCTAACCATTGTGCCACGAAGGCTTTAAATCGTTATTGTTGTTGTTGTTATGGTTGATGAAGTTATTTGGAAATATATTCAGAGGATATTGGGGAGGGGTTTTTTGGATGGGGTTTTAGATGGTAGTTGGTGAGGGAATTGGATAGATAGATGGATGAGCTAGGATTGTAGGTAGGGTATTTTAAAATAAATAAATAAAATTTGGATTGAAAAAATTAGATTTTTGATATATTTATAAATACATATAAGTAAATATCTTTTTATAAAATATTGAAAGTAAAAAAAGATTATGTTAAAGTGAATGGTTCCTGCGTAGCACGTGCACAGGGCACTAGTCCTATTAGGACTAGATTGAGAAGCTCTCTGTAGGAGAGCTTCGCACTTCCGTAGAACTAAGATAATGTCACACTCAAGAATACTGGGTAAAGTATCTTGTATTAGAAAATACTAAGCTAAGGAGAAAAGAAGAAGGAAAACAAGAGTAGAGAGTTTTCCTATGATTAAATACAAACGGGGCATGCCACGTGACCCGGAGGTGTGAGGCGTCACAGATAACGTGTGTGACCAAAAGGGTGTTTATAGACCAGCAATTGTATTTAACTTAGAATCTACAGGTGAAGAGCACCTGTAGATGGGGATAGCTACTCTATATATACACAAATGAATGGCCTAGCCGCAATGGCTAGGCAAAAAGAAGTCATATTTATCCCTCCAATGATCTTACTTTACCGATAACCATTGATACCTAGTACTTGTCCGGATCTGATCCTCAGGTCACCTAAATCGTATACTAATCCCGAGTAATCGTATCATGTGTGACATGTATGTACTGAGTTCTATATATACGGTGGCAGTATGCAGGATTGCGTCACAACGTGTGATTTATATATAAGACCAATATAGCCTCAGTTCTGCCCTATCAGCTTCCCACTATTCCCCTGTGTAAGGTCATTCGTTTTAACAGATTATAATATTATTTATTGAATTTAAAAAGTTTTTATACTTAGTAATATTAAATATTATCGTTATTATTATAAAGAATATTCAAGTTATTACCAAAAAAAATTACCAAAACAAATTTTTTATCATACATATATAATTATTTCCATTATTTCAATAAGGTAATAAAGTGTTACGAGGTTTGCCGTCTAGATCACGTGGAAGGGCTCTAGGCTCTCGAGGTGGTTTATAACTAGGCGTCAAGCAGGGACTTAAGTAATGACCATAATGATATACAATTCGTAACTAATAGTAGAGTATACTAAATGATTGATCTTGAGCACGAAGCTCTACAAAAGGAAATTCATATTGAATATATAGATCTTCATGTCCCTTGGATCACCTTGGATCACCAGTGATCCTGAGTGATCCAGCATACTTGTTTATATGCTCTGATGATGGTGCTGTTACGAGGTTTGCCGTCTAGATCACGTGGAAGGGCTCTAGGCTCTCGAGGTGGTTTATAACTAGGCGTCAAGCAGGGACTTAAGTAATGACAATAATGAAATGCAATTCGTAACTAATAGTAGGATATACTAAATGATTGATCTTGAGCACGAAGCTCTATACAAAGGAAATCCATCTTGATTATATAGTCCTTCATGCTTCCATGATTACTAGTGATCCTTCATGATCATTAGTGATCATCTATATCGTGATCCTTAGTGATCCTTAATGATCACCAGTGATCACCTATACCGTGATCCTTAGTGATCCTTAATGATCATCAGTGATCACCTATACCGTGATCCTTAGTGATCCTTAATGATCACTATTGATCATTTGTGATCACGTGCCTTGGTAGTTGTGTAGCCCGTCGTAACAGGTGCATACATATGAGTTCTTAGGGTGACCGAAATCTCATAGTAAATTGAGCGAATCGAAACCGATTTGCACATGGCCCAAGCTTACGAAAACAAGTCAGCTGTTACCATCGTAACAGAAGGGAGGAAGGAAGGGAGGAAGGAAGGGAGGAAGGGGATGATGATGATATTTCTGTGTGATAATCAGAATAGAGTTATAGAATGAGAATAAATTGATTGGGGTATCTGAATATTTATGTATAATGTTATAGTATACGATTTATTGACTTTGGATGGATATCAAGAGAAGTTTTGAGAGATATTTTGTTCTAAAAACTCAAAGCGTCATTGAAGCTTCCAATGAGCTGTTATGCCCATCAGGGTATGCATATTTAAGACCAATAGGAAATATTAAGCATTTCACACAATATGTTGTATAGATCATCACTTCACAAAAAAAACCATCATTAAAGGTCATAAATCATGTTTTTTAAAATCCTTCATTTCCCCATGCAGCTAAATACATGACGACTCGAAATGAAAACAGAAGCTCAAGAAATTTAGAAAAGCTCATCTGTCTATCACATGGCGTGCGGCTTGCTTTTTATACCAAATCGACTACAAAGTCGAAATGATCAACGAGCATTCGCTCAGAAAATCATGAAAGCGCCGGGAGCTGGAGATAATCTTGATGTGAAATGTGCATTGGAATATGGAAAGGACGGTATCTTTTATTTTGGAAATTCGTTCTTTATAGCTTGTCATAGTACTATTGAAATAATTAGTAAAAGTATTTTCCTAGGATAGTGTTTAAACTTACGTTCTCGTAACCTGGAACCTCAATCTTGAGACCCTTGCGTTTACGGAGCTCTTGGACGATTTGTCCAGTCTTTGAGGTGGCGTCAATTGGCGATCCACCTGGGAGAATTTGCCAATGATCGAAGATGGATTGTGGGAAAGCTTGACCAGAGGTGTGCGAACGGAGATCAGCGTTGAAACCGAAAGATTCACCGACTGGCAAGTATGCCTTGATGGTGAAAAGAGGAGTTCCTGGACGTTGCTCCTCAGCGAAGACGTGACCTCTTCTTCTGGTGAGAACACCATATACACCACCCATGGCAGATTCTGGTACTTGAATCTCGACCAAGAAGACTGGCTCGAGGAGACCTGGCTCAGCCAAGAGAGTTGAAGCGTACAAGACACGACGGGTAGTTGGCATGACTTGTCCGGAACCACGATGGATAGCATCAGCGTGGAGGGTAACATCCATGATGTTGAATCTGCAAGATCTCATTGGCTCTTCAGCAATTGGACCTTCTCTTGAAGCCCATTGGAAACCGGAGACAACGGAATCCTTGATTTCGTTCAAGTATTGACAGCCTTGGTTTGATCAACCAACAAGTTGGCACCGTTGGTATCTGGACCGAAACACCAAATCTTACGGGCATCTTGTGACATCCCATCCGTGCTCATCGGCCAAAATACGGGCACGAGCCTTGAAATCATCACGGGGACCAATCTTTCCAGCCTCAATTTCCTTGGAAACCTCCTCGTCGAGAGGCTCGGCAATCATGTAAAGACGGTTGTGCTTGTTGGGGGATTTGGAGAGGGCAGTCATGCTAGACTTACCAGTGACGGTCTCACGGTAAGGAACGACAGGGTCGGAGATACGGAGAGGTACACCAGCGTGGTCCTCCTCGAGATCCTTTAAGCAAATTTCCAAATGCAACTCACCGGCACCAGCAACAACGTGCTCACCAGATTCGGAGATGAAAGTCAACACACAAGGATCGGACTTGGAGAGACGCTTGAGACCTTCGACAAGCTTGGGGAGATCTTGAGCGTTCTTAACCTCAACTGAACGTTGGACGACAGGGGAGACGGAGAACTTCATGACCTTCAAGTTGTGGGCGGTGTCGCTGGTGGTGAGGGTGCCAGACTTCAACAAGAATTGATCGATGCCGACCAATCCGAGAATGTTACCGGCTGGGACATCATCGATAGGGTCGACCTTACCACCCATCATGAGAACGACACGTTGGATGGCCTTGATGAACAAGTCATCCTTCTTGCCAGGGGTGTAGTTAGGACCCTGGATGCGGACCTTCAAACCGGAACGGACGGTACCAGCGAAGACACGACCGAAAGCGTAGAAACGACCCTTATCAGATGTTGGTACCATCTTGGAGACGTACAACATGAGAGGTGCCTTGGGGTCACAGTCACGAATACCAATGCAGGCCTCATCATCTGGAGGACCCTCATACAAGGTCTCGGCACGGTACTTTTGAGCGGTAACTGGGGATGGGAGATGGAGAATCAACATCTCCAAAAGAGCATCGGCAGCTGGCAAGAAAGTACGCATAATAACCTTGAGAAGTGCTTTGCCCTCCTTGTCTTTGTCATCAGGAGAGAGCTTAATGTTGAGCTTCTCAAGGAGAGTTGGGATCTCGTCCTTCTTGAAGTTCATGACAGCAGCGAAGATACGGAAGATAGGGTCAAGGATGAACTGGTTGAAAGCACGCTCCAATTCCTTACCCTCGTGGGAAGACTTGGTGGTCCACTTCTTGGTATATGGGTTGAAGTAGTTGTCGCCCCAAAGACGCTCCATCATCTTGTTTCTGTCAACACCGAATTTCTTGGCGTATCTTTGAGCGAATTGTCTGATGGTGAAAGCCCAACCGTGAAGACCGGAACCGAAAGCGACCGTTCCCTTACCTGGGTAAACTTGAACATCTCCCAAAGTTTTATCGAAGTAGGTGGAGATGACGACGTTAACGGACTCGATGGTTCTCGAGAAAGATTGGTAAAGATCTTCCTTGGAGACTTGCAATTCGAGGAGAGCACGATCGACCTTGTTGATGATTACAACAGGCTTGATACGCTCACCAAGAGCTTGACGGAGGACAGTCTCGGTTTGCACACACACACCTTCAATGGTATCGACGACAACGAGAGCACCATCAGTGACACGGAGAGCAGCAGTAACTTCAGAGGAGAAATCAACGTGACCGGGTGAATCGATCAAGTTGATCAAGAAATCTCTTCCGTCGGTCTTTTGGCCAACAATGTCCTTCAAGTCATCGTCATCTGGGAGGTTACCATACAGGGAGATGGCAGTAGACTTGATAGTGATACCACGCTCTTGTTCATCGGCACGAGTATCGGTAGCTCTGGCATCACCAGCCTTTGCGGCGGAGATAATACCAGCCTTGGAGAGCAAGGAATCGGTAAGGGTGGATTTTCCGTGGTCGACGTGGGCAATGACGGACATGTTACGAACGTTCGTAGCCTTGTCCATCAATTGGCGGACCTCCTCAACGGTGAAGCTGGAGAAAGAGAAGAGTGGTTAGCAAACAATCCATTTTCGACCATGTATGAGCTTATCTCCGATTCCTCCATCTGCAGTTTTCATCTCATGATTTTGAATCCTTCACAGCAATAGACTTAACGGTGCTCTTGAGAATTTGCGATAAACGGTTGATCTTTCCATCTGCCTTGGATAGTATAATGTAAGAGAATAGATACTTACTTAACCATGTTGGCGGTGGTGCTTCAGTAAGCTGGTTAAAGAAGATGTATTGATTTGTCGTTCGACACACGCTCGAACGATTAGATACTTGAGGTGGTTTGTTGGACCACTTGAAGTATCGTGAATAAAATTGTAGATATCTGCTACAGACCCAAAAGGAAATGGGGATAGAGAGATAATACAAAGAAAGATTTGGTGATACTTTCGATGTAAAATGAGAGGAAAAAAGAAGAGGGGAAGAAAAGGAAGTTCCTAAAAGGTGGGCAAGAATTTGGTAGGAAAAGATCTCAGGGTGGGGCAGCTCTGCTTTTCAAGTGGCGGGGTTTATTAGAATTGTACTGTAATCTGGAAATTTTCACTCATTTTGCGGGTGACCAGGCAACTACACTTTATGCCTTAAAAGGGTAAGTGCCCTAGTACGTAAGCTTTAATGGGGGAATATATGATCAAGGTATAGCAGCGAGAGAGTATTTTATCTCATCTATGAAGTTTTCACAAAGTTTATAAAGTGAATCAATTTTTATCTTATTAGGGTATATTTGATTGATTTGTTAGATATTTGAATTCTCAAATATTATCACTCCTTTCCTTTCTTTCATACTGAGTACATATATGCATGCATTCATGACTTGTTATGTGTACCTACCTACTCCGATATGATAGATGATTGGAAAGCACCTTATCATTCTCTATGGTGTACTAATAATAAGCCATAAACTCCCACTCTTTGCTTCATAATAGGTGGGGTACATGAATCAATATGTCGAAGTTTGATTGGCGCATGACGTTCCCAGTCTTTAAAGTTCTCAAGTTGTTGATGTCTGTAAAAAAGGTTCTTTTCCACTGTACCACTTTAGGAGTATCTCTGCTTGGGTATCAAATCAATTCTAATAGCACAAAGGACCATGTTCAAATCTCATTTGCCCCTCGTTCTGACTCAACCCACCGGCATGACAAATCCGGATAATCACATCAATTGACAGATTGATCAAGAGTTGAAGTGAATTCAATCAAGTAAAATTCTGTATTCAATCGTTATAAAAAGATTGAGAATGAGTCATTGTATATTACAATCATTCATGTTACTCCAAACCAAGTGATATTCATATCAAGGACAACAAAGTGATCATGTCGTATTATCGAAGCTATGGGAGGGTCCTATCTATGTGTACATTCGACCACCCAGTCAAAAACCAACAAACCCCTCCATTTAAAGACTCATTTCCCCAACTCCTTCGCTATCATTCATAAACATTTCGTCCGAAACAGATACATGAAAAGGGCGTTATAATAGAGAAGAAAGAAACCCAATCAAGAGGACCCTAGAATCTTTGCATAAGCATCCTCTACCTCTCCAGCCAATTCTAACAGCGCCACAATCACTATTTGATGTGTAAGATTTGGAAGTCGTTCTCGTTGTAACCCAAAAAATTCTAATGGTGGCGTCGCTTCACCCAGACTCTGAAGGAGAGGTGTCTCTATGATTGGAGGTACTAGTGCTGAATATTCATATTTCGACAAAGGAACGTTGACTTCGGCTGTGATCTTTTGTTGCTTGCCTTCCTTACTTTTTGGATCTTCTGCATTTGGTACACCGGTGATCTTTAGGGCTGATGGTGGGAGAGGCTTCCCTAGTCGTTGCGCGAGAGCCTTGGTGTGTGTTGCGTACATGCTACGAATATAGCTGACACGAGAATAATTCCATCCAACCTCAACTTTCCCTTCAAAGGAGCTTTTGAATATGTAGTCAATATGGTTGGAGCCAGGCATTTGCCAGGTTTGCATCGTAGCCTCGACTTGGGGAACTTTTAATATAGTGCCTCCCCGAGATCCAGTGACACTTTCAACCACATCTTCCACAGAAAGATCGCTAACAGACTTTGGGGCCTCAACTTGCTTCACTCCAGCAAGCCCGACTCGGAGCTGACCAAGAGTGAGACCCAAGATACTGTGGATTTTTCCTTGATCCATGGTTACGGCAAATCTTGCCTGTGCGTTGAGTGCCTCGACCTTGAAGACTTGGTGGTCTGAGAATGTGCTGGGAAATGCCGCTACATTCAAGGCTTTCAGTGTGACGATCACATCAGTGTGTAACGAGACTGGTATTTTCGATTTTTCTATTTTCGGTTCAATCAAGGGTGTTTTGGATTGAGGTGGCATCGTCTGCGATACTGATTTACGCTTTATGTATCTTTCGATTTCCGACAGGGACGTTTCATAATTACTCTTTTTCTCTTGGGCAAGTCTCAGGAAGGCTTGATAGAGTGCAAGCGCCTGTGCTGCCGTTGTTGCGGTGCAAAATATTTGTACTGCTTCCCCATCTAAAATGGCAACCAGCCGATCACCCTTAGCTTGGGAGCCATTGCGAACATTATACATGAGGAATTCGAAAGACCTGATATCCGCGACCAAGAAAGCCTGATAATCAAAAGCAGCTTTGACTCGTAGCTGGCTGAAACCCAAAGAGCCTTGTACCAGCGGTGTTTGATTCAAGGCTTTCTCGCGTGCTGGCCATTGTATCGAGGTACGTACTTTGAAATCCTGAAGCGCCACGAATCCACTCATCCTGCCGGAGCTGTCAACCCCGACTTTATCAAAGCCAAGACATAGATTTTGCTCCCAGTCCGAGTTCTTTTTCGATGAGATCCAAAAGTTGGATATGACAAAGGCGGATTTGCCAATAGCCTGACCAAGATCCAATTGCACATCAAGCTCGGCGATAGAGACTGTAGCGTTCCAAGGGAAGGCACCAGTAGCTGCCACCTGCTGGTATCTCTGCACGAGGAACGTTGACGATTGCGAGTTATCAGGTGACGATACTGGAGCTGTAGAGCCTTCGCGCATCTCTGGGGGCACCCAGATCTCTCTAAAAAGTAGAAAGTCTTGTAATTGCTTGGCATTGAATAAGACCTTCATGGGACTGATTTTCAATATTGCAGACAATCCACTGGTGCCACTCACATGCTTACTATTCATCAGAGATAGGAAGATTGATTCGACATCAAAACTCCCAGTAGACTCCCTGGAGTAGACATGCTGTACTGAAGCTTGCAGCCTCGTAAAAGCGACAGATGCGGCGAAGAAATGGCCATGCTCGGTGGAACGGACCGTATTAATCGTCATGTAAATCTCATCAAATCGAGCACTGGCAGCGACGCGTGCTATAGGCTGGCAGCTAAGGGTGAACTCTTGCTTACAAATTCTAAGTCCTAAATTAAGTTTGGTGCGGCCGAGAACAGTACTCGGATCGGCTGCTAATATGTTGTCGTCGTCGGAGCTCATGAATTTTTGAGGTGACGGTTTCGGCACCAACTTCTTATCCTTGCCATCTTCACTTACAATGTCTTTGACAGAGGAAGATATCTCTAGAATAAGAGGGACTACGGACGGATAGAGTATATTTGTGGAAGCATCGACCTTCACCTCAGCATTCAAGGAAGGGTCATCTAGACCATTATCTGTGTACTCCACCTTCCAAGCTAGGCCAGGCGCGCGTAACACTGTGCTGCTGCCCGCATCTGTGTGAGTAAATTGCCCGTATCTCCCGGTCTGGGCCCCTTGGTTCGCGATGCCTGCTTGATTTGGCTGTGTGCTCTCTGTCAATTTCTTACCTGACAGATATACAACAGCTCCAGCAAAATCTGCATCCACCAGTAGAGATTCCATCCGTTTCTTACCAAAGAAGGGTTGTCTCTTGTTGTCTAGCGTTGGAGATGGTAGTGTTAGTGATGAGCTTGTGCTCCAGGTAGCTGATGCTACCCGTACCAATTCCACAGCAGATCCTATTGATCGCTGAAGTTCAGCGGCAGGTATGATGAATCGAGAAGTCAGTCGCAAATCAAGGGATTTTCCTGCCGCTTGAAAAGCTAACCTACGAGTATTCTGTCCAGAAATATATCCAACATTAAAGATTACCTCTGGCAACAAAGCTGAATTAAGTGACCGTTGGATTTTATCATGTGAAGAGGGCACCATTTGCAGTTGTAAGTCTTCTATCGTAAGCCGAGCAGAATTCTCCTTTCTTGTCGACAGATGAACTCGCTTCAATGACAGAACCAAGTTTTCTTTTTCAGAGTGTGAGACGCGATCATTTTCTGCCTTGGCAACTAACCAGCTAATTTGGATATTGAGCAATTCAAGAGTGTACATTGAGGCGAACATAACGGTTGAGGTTGAGGCCGCGACACTATCGTAATCTTTAGGCTCGTCGTTAACTGTAATCCTTGGTTTTGACTTGCGAAATTTTTTGAAATATTGTTTCTCGCGCGTAAAGTCAATATCTTTGATTTTATTTTGCAAATGACCCATGACCTCTACCACGGAAGATGCAGTTTCGGCGAAAAGATTAATCTCAAGGCCATTACTCGTAAGGTTGAACGATCTCACGTCATCCCCAATCTCGTTCTTCTTGCTCGTGGCAGTCAAGAAAGCAGCAAATGCGAGATTCCCGCAGGGTTCCATATTCCCGTTGTTGAGACGAGATAATTCGAACAATATGCGGTGCAGATTGATATGAATCTCCGGAAACTCATATGTTGGCCCACGTGTCTCCAGCCTGTTAGCAACTAGAAGTTGCATGCATTCAACATTGAATCCCAACTTTGCCGTTGTTTTCCCGTCTCGCGACGGTTCCGCATTTGCATAGATATCCAAGCCTGCAAAGGTCAGGTGAGCGTCGTAAATAAGGGCAGGGCCGACTTTTGAGGGTGAAGCAGGTACTGGACTGCCGCTTGTGTCGAATATTTCTTCAACATGTGCTTGTACTGCTTTTATATCGTCGCGAATATCTGAGACGACGCTGGATATCTCTGGCCGATTGAGAGCAGTCGAGAGAGTATGAAGAGCAGCTGCATCGATCTCTATGGGTTCTACGGAAGCAAATATTGAAATCCTATTCTCTTCCTCAGACATGCTGCTAACTATACGGCCGTTCGTTGGCGGCATTTGCAACAACGAAATACTTTGCTTTTTATCGTTTTGCGTTGTTTGAAAATCATGTGAGTGATCCTTAATATCGAAATCGAAAACAATTTCGGACCCAATCTGAGCAGCCAAGGAGGCCCTAGCGATAATACCTGAAATAGTATAGGTCAAAGATTGTATCAGAGGTATGCTGATTTGATACATATCGAGGAACAGTGCTAGGTGGATTTTATTGATCGGCTTTCGTTCTTGAACGCTGGGTGGCGATACAATCGATGGTGACCTAGGCCGTTTAGCTGTTGGCAGTTTCGTCACTAAACGGTGAAGCTGGGCGACTTCATCTCCAATTACTAGGTCTAGGACTTCAATGAGTGCCACGATATCTTGCTGGACTATGAATGACAACTCTTGCGAATTTGCCGCAACTTTGAAAACGTTCATAGGAATTCCGTTGAACATTGAACTTTCATATGAGGCATATACACTAGGATTTCGCAACTGGTATAGACTTAGTGGCTGTGAATGGCTCTGGAACTTTGAGGTGACAGCTTCTGCGGCGAGCATGACATTCAACATAGTCGTATTGGCGATTTCCTCTGTTAGAACGATGGAGACTTTCAAGCCTTTACTAATGGAAACAGCTTTAAGGTTGATTGTGTCTAAAGTGATAGAGCCTTTATCTGTTGCAATCACGATCTGAAGATTCTCCTTTGGTTTTACTTTCGGGCGAGCTAGCGTGATTGGCGAAGGTTTTTCTGGTACTGGTACCTTCGACTCACTTTGCTGATATAATCTTAAAATATCTTGTGCGAGCTCACACAGCTCCCAATTCAGATTGATTGATACATCTTCACAAAATACATGTAGGACGGTATTCTGTATAGTGTCTGCATTCGAATGATTCTGTGAAGCAGACAGTTCGGGCGCAATGGGAAAAGACGTAGTTGTGACTGACGCACTAGCCGTTAAAGAAGACAATGCAATCTCATTCTGCTTTGGGCCTGGATCAATCACAAGCCTTACAAGCTCTGTTCTAAATGATACGTTTATGCTTGGTGCTTCCGCGATAGCTGTGGTAGCACTCTCCTTGGCAAGACCAAAAACATTACTCATGAGAACACAGGTGGAGAGGTTAGTGAGATCCCAGCTCCTCCATTGAGCAAAGCTGGCAATGACTCGCTGTGCAGCATCTTTGGGCACACTTTCTGCATTATTTGCGCAACGGTTCATGATATCGAGCTGTGCAGATGTACCAAGAATGGAATACATATGTCGAAGCCGAGCAATCACTTTCCAGGAATCATGAGTTCTCAAATGTTTTTGTGCACTCCGGAGGACATAAGCCGGCCTTGTCAAAAACAATGGGTCTGTTGCATGTTCCCCTGCTGTTGCAACGAGATATGTAAAAAGCTGGAGGCGATTACGTTGCTGGCTTAGCCTAGATGTAAATGTCTCAGCTACACGATCAGCGAGGACATTGGTGCGATGAACCAATGAGGCAAGGTATTCGATCTTGCTGCTAGCAGTATTGACCTCAATAGTTTTGAATATCACATTTGCCGCCGTGTTATTGCCAGAAGCAACCCAAAACACGACATCCTCAAAGATGGCGTTGACGGCTGCTTGTGGATCGTTCAGATCGCCAAACCGTTCCTTGGCGGCGACAACAGCAGAGCCGAGGGATAAATGTATCGCAGAGGATTGCCGATCTGATTGGGCAGCGAGGACATTCGACGTTCCAGTCGTTTCATTTCTTGCAGTAATTGCAAGCTGCGAAAAAGAGAGGTCATACTGATCATGCATATCATTCTCACCAGTGCTTGAGTCATGCACATCTGGTGAATTTAAGAAGCGAAGACATATGCCTGGAGTCCGCAAAGCTATATCGAGAATCTCGCCATTCGTTTTGTCTTTTTTCTCCAAACCAAATATTTCACCAATAGAACTGATCTGTAGATCATCTATCATATCAATAGGATCTACAGGTTGTATTGCTGAAAGTAGGTCCGCAACAGCTCCTACAGCCTTCGGGTTGAGCACTGCCTTGATGCCACAAGGCATTTCCACGATAAAGCTGACGTGCGTCGCATCTTGACCAACTCGATCTGGCTGTATATCTCCTAGATTCATGCGAGGTGATTTCATGGCATTGTCGTTTTGGGTTTCAGGGTCCAGAACGGGGAGATCCTTAAGGTCTGGTTCTACGGCCGCGAGTGGAAAGTATGGTGCGATGTAGGAGCTTGAGAAGGTGACGCTGGAAGGTGGGAGGCCTTTGGGCTCGCCGACGGCACTATAGAATGAAGATTGACGACCGGTTGAGACAGAAAGATCTCTGAGATGAGATTGACCGGCCTGTCTACTTCTAGAACGGGAAGCCGAAATCGATGCTCCCTCATTATTGAATGAATGAGGTCGAACAATGCTCCGATCGCTTCTTAAACTTGAACTAGAAGCGGTCAAGAACGAACTCTTAAGCCCCGTCCTAGGTCGATTCCTGCGCACCGACGATACCTTGGAGGACAATTCAGAAGTAAATGACCTGTTTTGACTAAGACCATCATTGCAGGAGATTGGAGGGGGCATTGGTGGAACACACATAGCAGGCGGGTCGATATTGTCTCGGTCTATATCTGTCGTAACATAATCATGTAAGAGGAAGTCGGTTCTGTGTGTTCTTCTATCATGGCGTCTTAAGTGCTCTTGTTGCAACCGGCGATCTTCCACAAATGCAAGCTTCTTCTGGATCATTCCAAAGGAGATGGTTGTCTGGACAAGGCCGTGCGTCTCCACAGGATGTTGTGTTCTTGACCTGTGCCTTGAAGCTGATTCCGCATCAACGCAGCCAATGTTCAAGTTTGGTATTTGAAGATCCAGTTTTTTGGAATAATGAGATCCAGCCCAATCGTCAAAATTGAGAGTGATCTTAGAGGTAGAAAATAGAAAGGCTGCCTCTTCAACATGTATCCAAATGCGAATAGAATCGACTGAGGCGCGAAGAAAAGTTACGTCGTGCAACAGTAACTCAGCAGTGAGTGGTAGAGCATTTTCATCATCATCAAAGGAAAATGCAAGCGCCTTCGCCCCTCCAAGTAATCGCACAAAGAAGTCACTTGTACACTCACCAGTTATTGCACCTACTCCAAAATCCCAATTACAGACATAAGTCGGTTCAGTAGGAGGTAGACCAAAAAGTCGATTGCCTGAGATGTTAAGACCGTCCACGAAAAGTTGGGTTCCAGACGTTGCGCTCACAACGGACATTCTACCATCATTCTCCGTACCCAAGGAGAAGGCTAATGTGCTCAGCTCTACATCCAAGTCCATGTAGTAGTTAGTGAAGCGAAGATCAGCAGCTAGTGTCGCAATATCTATGCGCACATGGCTCTTTGCGGAATACAAATTTGCGGGTAAAATTACACTAGATTCGTCGGCAGATACGCTCAAGATCACGTCTAAATCATTGCTCTTCTTGTGAGGTTGAACATTTGTGGCTTCTTGACTGCTAGCGGTTTTTATACGAATGGCGTCTTGGTGTTCCTCCAAGGTTCTGAAGTGGATATCATCGCCGAAGTAATTGTCTTTCACCTTAAGGTAATATCGTAAAACGAAGCCGTAGAATTGAGCTGTAGCCCCATTACCATACACATCAAGTATAAGTGTATCAGTATTGCTGGACGAAGTAGTTGCACAATACTGATACTTCCCACCAAGTTTTAATGTGTCGAGTTGGGCTATTTCTGTGGAGTTAACAAAGGTCGCCTGCGTATTCCATGGAGGTACATGCAAGTTCAGTCCACCCTGCTTAGCCAAAACATCAAATGATATATCATTTCGATGGGGCCGAAAGGTATCAATTGGGATGCAAATGTCTGCGATAAGCGACTCTCCGAAAATGATGATAAAGGTATTGTCGTCAAAATCGGCAGGATTATTGATTATATTGGAATCATTGACGTTGAGGTAGATTTTAAACCCTTGAAGATTGAGATTCACCAAGTACCGAAATGGCGTGAATGTCAGATATTCCGGCGGCGGCCCAGTAGCCCAGTCAGCGACAAGATCTGTGAGGAGGAAGACATGTTCCCTCAAGATGAAAAGTTCCAATCCGCGACTACCAATATCGAACTTCCATGTTCGGAAGCCATTCCACTGCAAAGGGTTGGACATATCGCAGCTTATAACATTACCACTAGATCTCCATAGCAGGCCGTGGTTGACACTGGTAGTGATCTCCGTGTTAGGCAGATCCAATTGAAGCTTATTTGAAAATCCAGACTCCCCCGCCACCATATCCATAAGGTACCGAACTGTCGCATTTGCGCCAACCTTAATGTCAAGCCAACCAAACGGACGAACCTGGACCTCAGGCCCATTGGAGCCCTTATCATCTTTCCTCCTGCGACCTCTATTACTAGTCCGTTTCCGTTCAGTTTGGCGGGCACCCGTGGTGTCTGCTTGCTTTGTCCATTTCCAGTTTTTTGATTCCTCTCTAATTGGCACTCGAAGCGTTGTCTCGTGGTCAAGCTCGATGTAAAGTTTGAACTGTGTTGGGACTCTGTATTCACCAGGCTCAATCATCTCGGCAGGAGAAGCATCTTTGCACAGACTTGGAAAAAACACCCGCTGTATTTCCGCACGCTGCCTGTCTGCCCAAGGACCGTAATTAATAATTGCTCCTTCTAAGTAAAGTTCAATCCCCCATTCAGGTGGAACATCGCCATTGATATTATTATATGTTGATTTTGACACCTCACTACGTCGTTGAACCTTGCCTGGGACATCCCAATAAAAGTTCATTGTTGCCTTAGGACTATCAACTATAGTGGTGACTGTTGCATATTCGTTGGAGGACCACTGTGCCTTGTCGTCCTGCCCACTCTCATCCAGATATCTAGAAAGTCCTTGCCAGTTGCCTGGATTAGGGCATCCTTGAGTAGGTGAATTTAAGCGGCTGTCATGGATCGACGAGAGAGACTCCACTGAAGTTTTAAAATAAGGTACGAGGTATTGAATAGTATGCCATGCCCTTTTGCGCTGGTGATGGAAAAAGTTGTGAGAATGGGCGCGACGTGTACTGGGATCTGAATGATTAAGATCGCCGCGCTTAATTCGGGAGGCAGCCGAGGTCTGATCTTCCTTGTAGTCATGATTCGGTTGCATTTGTATAACAGGATGGTGGAAGCGAAAGTTTATGAGTTGCCTATATTGATCCAGTTTGGTGGACGCCGAGGCGTCCAGCTCACCCTCGGCCTTGTCCATCTTAGCAACGAGCACGCTCTTAGTGTTTTCATTTCCTAGTACCAATGCAGCTTTGGAACAATCAACGTGGACAGGGAGAAACCTAAGCAAGAAAGTGGATTCCACGGTAGCATGGGATGAGTTACTTCCAATAGCATCAACTGTTTGGGAGCGCGCTGGGGATCTACCGGGCCTCCCTTCTACATGGGGTGTTCCAATCTCAATCTTTTCTTCCATATGAGAGGGCCCGGTTGGAGAATCGCTTTTCGTCTCTTTGGAAAAATCTCGTGCATTCCCATGATCGTCTACAATGCCCTTTTTCCTTAGTCTCACGTGCTGAGAGGAATCATCTCCATGACTATGCGCGACATGATCTGATTTCTCACGCTCTCCGGCAATCCCAGAAATAATGGCATCGTATGCCGCACTTCGGTTGTATACAAACCATTCGACCCCATGCAAGACGACATTGATTCGACACGGCAGTTTCTTATTTTCTTTTGGGACCCCTTCCTGATCAATATCAGTATTAACCGTCGACTCATGCCCCTTCGTAAAATCATCATTCCTCAAATCCAATTCCCTCACGTTGCGAAGCCAATATGTCCATGTGATATATCCATTCTGTATCAATATAGTTTCATTGTTGCCATGATATCTAACACCCTTCAAGAACACGCGCCCCCCAAGGAGGGAGATTTGTAAGGCTTGAATGTCGATATAAACTCGATATTGACGCCATGCCCACACTCGAAGACCCCATGATACGACGGCAGCGAACACGCGATTGAAATAGAAAAGGAAGAACAGTGTCCTGTGCCGAAAATTAGCTATGCCATACCAAATCTCAGCATAAGACCTACACAATTCCGCAGACAATCAACTCAATAAGGAAAACCCTAAACTGTTAGTTAGTTTCTCTTATGCCAGGAATGAAAAGAGTTACCAATTGAAGGCCAAATCAGGTCGCAAAGGGGACGCCGTCAAGCCACTACTGCTCGCCATTTTTTAATGTCCTTTTGTGATGTAAAGTCCTATGCAACTCCGACTGAAATGCTCATGACTGCAAAGATTCCGGCCTCCATGCTACGCGTTGCATTTTCTCTCCAATATGGTCGAACCTTCTCTTCGATACTGATCGCGCCTTAAATCAGAGATCTGGCAGATGAGGTGGACAAAGTCGCATCAATCTCTTTCGTTGAATTGATGAAGCGCAAAACATTGAATAGTGCATCCCATGAAGTGGAAGTGATAGGGGCCGGCCGCATTTGCCGCTCTAGAAAGCTCCCACCGCCTTGGCAGAATTACGCATGCTTCGCCTCTGGTTCTGTCGACAAGCTATGCAGTCTGCCTATTTCACTATGTAAATAGCTCTAAAGCAATTAACTTGCAGAGAGTGTAACCTTCACTTGACTTATCATTCATTATTTACAGTATGAAGGAGAGTTTTGCAGATCATGCCAGTCGCACAACTTGAGACATTCAAGCTCGAATCCACTCGCCACAGATCATCTTGACCACGAGAGTGTGCCAGCGTCATTGATACCTTTCCACCCTTCAAGATGATGGCAGGAAACAATGATCTTTCTGGTGGTACCGGCGAGAAGTTGACAAATGCAACAATTGTGGTAGCTGGTTCTGCTGCATTGCTAGCGTCTATACTTTCTATCGTGTATGTTTGTCAGCAACTACCTTGTTCATCTGCTCGAAAGCTAATGTCTCTTCAACAGGTCAGTTTGGTTGCAGACGTACGTTATCTATTGAAAAACAAAGGAACAGATTATATGTCTAACCGTGCGTAGGAAAAACTATCGAAAGCCCCTTCTGCAACGCTATGTTATTCGAATCCTACTTATGTACGTGGTTGAAATTGCCAATCACATTCAAAGTTTCTGTTCTAATAAGCATGCTTAGGGTGCCGATATATTCAATCTCTTCATGGACCAGTCTTGTTTCGAGAGAAGCAGCACTATTCCTCGATCCTATTCGTGATGTATACGAGGTGAGTTACAGTCTCCAGATGATAGTGCCGCGGAACTAAGTGCTAGCAGGCTTTCACAATTTACACCTTTTTCCAACTCCTTATCAATTTCCTCGGAGGTGAACGGTCTTTGATTATCATGATGCATGGACGAGCACCGGTTCATCACCTTTGGCCATTGAATCACGTCTTCCCTAAGGTCGATATATCAGATCCCCACACATTCTTGGCCATCAAACGTGGAATTCTGCAATATGCTTGGCTGAAGCCTCTTCTTGGACTTTCAGCTATCATTATGAAAGCTACGGGTGTTTATCAAGAAGGCACTATTTCTTTAACTTCTGGCTACATGTGGAGTGGGATTATCTACAACATTAGTGTCACACTGAGTTTATATTCCCTCGGGATGTTTTGGGTTATCATGTCTAAGGATTTACAACCCTTTCGCCCCGTGCCGAAATTCTTGTGTATTAAGCTCATCATATTTGCTTCATACTGGCAAGGATTTCTTCTTTCCATCTTGGTCTTTCTTGGAGCAATTCCGGACAATGTGGAGGATTACACAGCCGACAGTCTCGCTGCAGCGATTCAGGATGCATTGATCTGTATTGAGATGCCTATTTTCGCAATCGGACATTGGTATGCCTTTTCGTGGCACGACTATGCAGATGTCACTATCTCTGCAGCTAGGATGCCTGTCCGCTACGCTATTCGGGACGCTTTTGGTATTCGTGATCTTATCGAAGATACGAAAGAAACATTTAGTGGGAAGAAATATGAATATCGGCTATTTGATTCGGGAGATAATGTTTTAGCTCATGAAGGGTCGTCATCAAGAGTAGCCCGAATGATGGAAGGTATGCGGTACGAGCGGGGCGGGAAAGGAAAATACTGGATTCCAAAACCTGGAGAAGCAAATGCGAGGACACCATTGCTTGGTAACAATGCTGGATCTCCTGGAACCCGGTCCCCTATGCAATCCCGTGATGGCGATTCTGACTATATGGGGTGGGGGGATGGTGGAATGGAGCAACAAGGCCTAGATGCCGACGAAGAAGGTCTTTACGAGAGAGCCAGACAGCTGGAATATGGGGATTGGAACGTGAGTGGTGTTACCTACTAGTTCTTCAAAGCTAACTCGTTGTCTGTAGTATCCAGTAATCACTGCTCATGAAGCGTCAAGAGAACGATGGCTCACTGCGCAGCCTGATCTTTTGACTACTTCAGCTAACCGCAACCTTCTCCAACCTACTAACGACAATCGTATTCGAAGAGCTAGTAACATTAGAGAGACGGTTGAGGATGTCACCAACCGAACTAAAAGAAATTCCTCAAGAAATAGTCACAGCAGAGATTCCAAAGGCAAAAATAAAGAAAACTCTCCTCTTAATGAAGAGGGGAGAGCGCCGATGCTTAAAGGCATGTTGCGACAACACTCGACTGCCTCTAGTTCAGCCAAATCCGAAAGGGGCCAATTGGTTGATGTCATTGTCGAAGACACTGTTGCAGAGGAAACCGAAAGAGTTCGGGCGCGAAAAGAAGGAAGTGCCGGGTGGAATGCTGCTGAGCCTCGACGTTATGTGTAAGTTATCCTCTCATTCAAATTAGAATTCTGGGCTGATTGTTAAAGACGAACATATGGAGACGGCACGGGCGAAGACATCCGAGAAGGATTCGAGCCCACTGATGATGTAGAAGCTGTCGATCCTAAACCAGGTCTCGACGAGTTTGCAGTCGATGGGGATGAGGATCATAACAGTACTCGGGATGACTCGGAGGAATCGCGTCATTGGAACGAGGCCCGGGAGGCAAGTGTGTTATTGAAGCCTAAATACGGAGTTGATGGAGAGGCGTTCGAAAACGTTTGGGGTAGTGGAGAACCGTCAACTTCTCCACGGGAGAATCCCTGATGTATAATAATATCCTTCGGTTTCTTTTGGGGTGCGTCTGACATACATGGCGGGGGCGTTGGCGCAAAGGGTCGTATAAACAAACACACATGTAATTCTCTCTTCCCAATCGTTTTTATTCATCCATAGCGTAAATCAAATGTAGGAATTATTTCTTTGCTCGTAAAATACCTTGGCAAAATACCACAGGTATTCATATTGCGGTGCGCGTTTGTTTCATTCCCGGGGCTAGAACAGCTTTAGAATTCTCATGTCCAGGTATTGGGCATTTAGGTGATATTTTCCATGCACAACATCTAAAAGCTCCGTTGACGTCTGATATTTGATTGGCTGAAATGTGCACCATTTTACTGGGATAGATTGCTTGGCTCCCACCATTCTGCGTTGTCTTGGACTCTTGGCCCTGTCTTGGCCCTGTCTAAGCCATTAATTATTTGTGTAACATGACTAAACTGGTCCTTGCCCCAGGCTCCTTGACGCATGGTTCATAGTCTACCTAGGTAGGTAGGTATCTGAAGAGAAAATACTCGAGCGACAAGTATTAGCGAACCGGTTATTATTAGTGAAGGGCAATTCCTCAGAAAACAACATAAATTCTTTAGGCTAAATACAACCGGGAAATTCCAAGGCTATCTCGGGAGCTATACATTCTGACACGCATGTGAAATACTGTAACATCCCTAAGACGCGGGCCGAAAAGCTGCGTATTGTCTAATTGATACCTCACAGCCGTCGGTTTTACCTCCCCTGTGCAACGGACCTAGACGGACCTAAACGGACCGCAGCCCCCGCGAGATTTACTATGGATATCCACACTCGTGAAGGGCCACTCAGGATTTGATGGGTGACTTCCTGGTCTGTGAAGAACGGGGCTGACATATTAACACGGATATGACATTGCATTCCCCCATCCACGGCTGTTACCTAGTAGTGCATGGTCGTAGTAGTAGTAGTAGGGGCACCGGTGGTAGTGGTAGGACTCAGCTTGCAAAGGTCAACTGCGTAGTCTTGTGTGTTGGTCGTAACCTTAGCTAGCACTTTAAAAATGGCATTGGATTTGAAATGTGTCTGCCGGGATTCTGGTGTCATTTCCTATCTGGGGAGGACAACTTAATCGATATTTCTTGCTTCCTTACCCCGGGTACTCACGCACCGAGGGTGCCATTGAAAAATCCCGATGTATTGGTAGCGACTTGTTTTGTAAAAAGCATATATGAACCTCAAGATTCATGTCAACCAAGCCTTAACCTCATTAACCTTATTATCCTTGAAGATTTTGGGAAAAGCGGTGCCCGGACAATATATTTACCTTGCAGCGGTATCCCTTCAAGATTATTGAGCTATCCACACGTTCAGCTGGTCACCCTTTTCTAAATCCATCAATCTTCAAAGCACTTGCATCTAGCCATCTCTAACCTAAATAATTTATCCAATTATTGTCTTGATTGAATTCGAAAGGCTGAAGTGACCCGGCGTCTGCTGAGTGTCTGATTCCATCTCCATCACATATAGGCCGAGATGACCTTACAATTGATAATATTTTGATGATTTGTTATTGGAAATAAGTCATAGAAGGAATGGCCAATGAAAATTCAGTCGAACTGCTTACATCTCATCCAATATGGAAAGAACGGGCGACGCGCGACACGATAAAGATATACCAAGTTCCTCGCATAACCAACCGACCTCGCCATCACAAAATTTCAATAATCCCTTACATCTTTTTCACAATGAGGCCTGCCACTTGAACTACTGCTGCTGCAAGAACCGATCAAGTACGTTCAATCTTCATAGTGCTCGAATAGGCAGTAGAGATTCTTTCCATTCAATTCTCCAGACTCTTGACCACGACCAACTTCCCCTCCCCCTTCTCCTGCTGACATCCAGTTTCTACTGTATAGTTCCTCGGCGCCACAAAATACACAAGTGCGCATTATGTATCTGTAAGCATACTTCGACGTCTACGACCTATCGATGCAAGCGCGGTTTCCTTCCGATGCACACATACAACGGAAAGTATGCCTGTAAAAGCAAGAGGTTAGCAATGACTACTACTTAGGACGTCTGGACTTCGCTTTCACCTTCAGCCGTGGGTCATCAGCCTCTACTCGAGCTTGTGCTACAAGAAGTTGGACATCTTGAATTGGCATTCTAACATTCGTCAGATTTGACAGCAGTAGTACATGGAGTAGAGATTATTACTCTAGTCTTTCCGCGAATGGATACAGCGCAATGGAACTTAAAAACTGTTGCACGTTTACTCTGTTGGCAGTGCCAATCTCATACTCCCTGGGGTCTGTTGTAATTGTTATTAGCGTACTTATCTGCCCAACTCTTTTTTACTGACCGCTTGACCACTGGAAATTACTTTTAGTTAGCCTTTCACCGTCACCATATAAGCATTAAGGAATATATATATATACATAAGAAAAGTCTTCATTCTCAAGTGGAGATGAGACAACACTACCTGGGTAACTTTCCCACATTGCCTGGATTTTTGACTAAATGGAATGGAATGCTTACGCCACAAGTGTGAAGGGGAATCATTCTATGTTCAATGTCGACAAATCCTGCCGCTCGCATCATATCTGGGAGCCGGGGCGGGACACGAAGATCCTTCACACCATTCAAGCTCTCGATGTATCTGGTGCTCCACTGTCTAAGTGCATGGGCTTGTTGTTTGGTTCGATTAGTTTCAACCTTTTCGGATCATAACTGTGGAGAAACTCACCGTCCGTGAGACTCCCATTGTCTGACTGGACATTGTGATACAGTTCCACCAGCTGAGCCCACCCTCCAGGCCGGAGCACACGAAGCATATCACGGAGGTAACCAGCCCACCTGTTCACATGTATAGCGCCAGTCATCAATCGACTATGGACGAGATCGAAGTTGTGGGCTTGAAAAGTGAATCTACTCGTCGATATCAGTCCTATTCCACCTTTTATCTTTCGAGTACGAACCGATTGTTGAGATCGTCCACTTGCAAATACAAGTTTTCCGGTACTGTTTCCGGTTGGTACGGGTAGATGTCGATCGCTATAACCTGCACAAACATCAGCACTCAACTATTTCGATAATTTTAACATCCGTAAAGATGCTCATTCATCAGCCCAGACCGATCTACTGCACGGATCTGGATCCTCCTCCGCTACAGTTTAGACACCATGCTGCCATCATCGTGCTGGAGAAGAAAGGGGTGGGTGGAAAACCTCGCATCCAGGATTTTGTATTGCAACGTCGATAGCCCAGCTGGCTGTTCCGTAGCCACAGTCCAAAATTCTTCTAGGTCTGCCCAAAGTCGGGAAGAGCAGACGATTATCAAATACTCTATTCAAGACTGCATGCCAAACACGCAGCCTTTCTAGCTCGTCCTGCGTAGATGTTTTAGTTCAATCTCTTCTGAGTACTTTGTGCCGCCTGGTCCTGTTACCTCGTCGACAGGCTGAAAATAAGATAGATTCGTTATGGCATACTGCTGGAAGTGCCTGTTGTAGTATGTGACTGTTTCGAAATAGGCGTTATCCACTTCAACTGTTTGAGATTCTGGATGGCTGGGTAGAGAGTTCCCCCTTAGCGATTTATTTTTCTGGGGCATACAGTGTATAGAGAGCCTACCTCGCCATTTTGATTCTTCTCTAACGTCTGAAAACTAGCCTCGTACTTTTGTTGCTTTGGATGAAAAAGTCTGCTCTGGATAACTGGTGGGGGTTGAAAATTGCATAATATATGTGTATGAAAGTTCGATATTTAGATTAGTTTTTGAAGCAAATTAGCCAATCAGATGATGCTTCATTTGGTCTACCAGAATGCCTCATGCTGTATATTCTTTCAGTAGAAATATCCATGCATCTCCATCTACTATTCGCTACCTCTTCCAAACCTTGTGCAGTGCAGGCATAAGCGGTTGTTTCCATGTCCGGAGGCTTCTCCAAACGGCCTCTATCCATTCCTCCATGAATAGTAGTGGATTCATGGTACGCATCATATATATCAAGAACAAAAACGGCATTTGAGAACAATAGACGAGGCCTATTGAAAGCGTCTCCCGCGGCACACTTCTTTCAGACTGATCGAGGAGCTAAAAAAATCGCAAGCCTATCGAATTTGTTCATTAATTTATGGGTCTTCAACAATAAGGTCGTCGGTTGGTTCTTTTATTCATGCAAGGTTTCCTGCAAGGTTGGAAAATAGTAAATTTCTTTCTGTCCCACGTTGATGGAACTCAAAATATGAAAAGCCAGCGCGGGTGCTCTACGACTTCCCCGAGCTCACCAATCAAGTAGGAGCGGGGCAGTGAGGGCTTCAAATTTACATTGAGTAGCACACCACCTTTGCAAGCACTGCAATATGTTTTCAGCGCTACTACTGGCTAATGATCGCGAGGTTAATTGTCCAACTCGGCACTTGGCCATTCCTACGTGATTCCGAGCAGTCTCACTATGACGACAAAAACAACCAGGTTACGATGCACCGTCAAGGAGCATTCAATCTCTCTCTGCTGTGTCCGTCTATTATTCCAGCAAATATAGGTTCCTGTTGGCAACGGCGAACATTACGCTATTTGTACCCAGGCTGTGAAGCCTTGGTGAGAGTATGGCTTGGAAACAGAATGGGGTATACAATGATCACTAGTGGATGTCACTTACAGCAATAACCTTGTTATTTCATCTATAGTTATGACCTACAGGTAATCTAATACATGTATGGAATGTTCTGCTGACTGCATGTTTAAAACTATTGCATGTTGGTATTAGACATGACATTGGTAACACCAAGGAGTAAAGTCTATACTGGCTCGGACCGCTGATTTTAGGACTACAGCAGAGATCTTCAACTAATCATTTACCCTGTGGGCAGCCGAGCTACGACATACATTAGGTATACTAGTGGGGCCAAACAGTCGAACCGGCTCATTGGAACCACACCCCTAAAATACATCAAGCAATGTTGATATCGCATCGAACCACAGAGGAAAGCAGATCATGTTTCTTGCTTTAGAAAACCTCTCGTTGGAGAAACGTATTATACGCTTACTGGATGATGGTGACTGGAAACCATAAATCTACCAATTCTGGAACGGTCGACCTGGGGAATTACCATACTTGAGGTTTTGTGGTTCATTGATGGCACAACTGAGCATCACCCGTGGAATATATCGAACAACCCAATAATTGGAATTCGACCCACTTTGAAGATACAAATTACCTTTACTTGCTCTGCCCCCACCATATCATACGACAAAGATGTGCGCTCGGATGTTCGGTACTCCTTCAATCACAAGACAGCGCATATAGAGGCCGCAACAACGAATATCAAAAAGGTCAAGATTTACAGGTTTCTGATGCTCAGCCGTGATAGCACGGCCCGTGGTATTGGGAAACAATAGAAAAAATTCCCACCACGGGCTAGCTAGCCAATGCTCCGGTTTTCTTTCATACTATCATTGGATTTTCCGGGCAGGCGCGGAAGACGGCAGGAGCCTAGGCATGCATAAAGTTGAGCCAATAGAGCTGCTTTAAATGCTAAGCTTATCCGATTTGGAAGAACTCTCGAGTTGTGGAATTACTGCATTATTAGCTGTGGAGTTTGTCATTTAATCTAAAGTCTGATGTCTGTGAGCGCACGCCGCTCCCGTTCCTGGATGGATCAGCCAAAATCCATTGCCACGAGAATGAATGTATAGCAGATTCTCTTCTGCCCAAAGGTTATGTTACAGGTTGTGGAATTATATCATGAAAGTATCAACAACCACATAAATCGCATTATACCAATAATCCGGATCTATTGGGGGCATCTTAATTATTACCGAAAAGGAATTAGAGGACCTAGGTCGAATGAAATGCAATTCTTCCAAGAAAATTATCACTCTTTAGGGTTTTTGATTACATGATCAGTTAAATGACATTGAATAGACCGGAGTCTATGTATGACAGAAAACTGTTATGATAATTCAAGTTCTCCGAGACAAAGTTTTAGCCACGCAAATTCTGCTTCAATACATACTAGACAGCACGTGGTAAAATCCGACTAGCACATTTCTATGAATCTCAGCCAACTCCTAGCAAAACAACACTTGGATATAGTACGTATCATGCTCTGAACGTTGGTACGCCATCAGCCATTCTATTTTTAACGATTTGACTTCTTTTATCCTTCCTCAGCTAAGCTGCCCATCTTCTCCGTACCACCACAAGTAAGGACCTAGGAAGAATTAATGCGGGGTTTGAGTGACTCGACTAGACTCGCTACCGATAAATTTGGAGTTTCATGTTCACTATCACCCATTGCAACACCATATTCGTTGGTCAATTATAATAATAAAATAGAGAGCTCTTTCCACCATAGCATAGCTCACATTCGCACTGAGCACTATCCTCGACGAGGAGATGAATATTTGGATACCTAGGCTACAGATACACTCCTGTATAATATCTGCATCAAGCTGTGAACTTGCATGCATATCTCAATCAAGCACAATGTTATGTCTCTCAGACGCAAGGCATCATTGACGATTCACAAGATCTACCAGACGAGTGCATTTCAAGCACCTATCTTAACACTAACATAGACATAGACACTAACATTATTGATTCCCACGGCTACCAGTGATCCGCTCCGCGCCACATATCACCAATATCGACGGCCGATCTAGCCACCCAAAGAAGCTAGGTAATTATGTCTAGCAGATTGGAATATTTAACTCACAGCTGCCATTATATTACCCATTATTCGGCTATCTACTTTCTTCAACCTTTCTTTGCTGAAACTCGGCACATGAAACAAAAGATCTCAATTCTAGATATCCCTAGTACTTACTTCATCAACGACGAGACATTCTTCGATTCTCATTTAATTTTTGCTGCGGCTGTTTGTCATGGAATTTCTTAGGGTTGTTGTAATATATATATGCCATTTTTGTGGCTGGTTTACATAATTAAGGGTATTGTTTCCTGCTTGGGTTTTATTTGGATGGTGTACTGTATTATCTTAAGTCTTGTCTTACCTCGTATGAGAAATTTCTTGTTATTATTTCATATCGTGTATATCGTATCGTATATATCTACCCCTCTCTATACGATCCCTTAATCATCATTGATCCTAGCTAGGTAATTATAAGATGTTAATACAATAGATAATACCCATATAATTCACCATAGCTATTTCCATTAGTTAGATTAACCTATGTATGTAATATATCGGCATAATTCCTTAACGGGAGTATCAAATCAAGAAATTGACATATTATATGTTTTGGGATATGATATACGAAGTCACGGCCACTAGCTAGTAGGTAGTAAATATGTTACAAATATAAAAACAAATGTAAAAATAGTAAATTAATAAATAGTACATCCCTTCTCATCTCTAACCCCCCTTTCTCACCCCTCTTACTCTCTTACTCCCCGATCGACCTCTAATTAACCAGATCCTAAACACAAATACGAAACATAAACACAAGCACAAGCACAAATATAAATATAAATATAAACCCATCCATCATAATTCTCGGCTAATAATAATAGTTAGAAATCACACATACTCACACATATAAATACACACACACACACACCCATACAATCCGAACCCACAAACGCACAACCCATGCACTCGGCACTCAAAATACAAAAAGCAGAAAACAGACGGCAGTGGAGTTCGAGGCGAGTACTCGGTACTGTACTGTACTCCGTATAGTAGTTTAAAAGTTCAAAAGTCCAAAAGTTTACCGAGATCATTCATCTCCCTTCCTCCCTTCTCCATCTCCATCCATCTCCTTCATTAATAAATCATCCACTCCCCTCCACTCGGCTCGGCTCCCAGTCTGTCAGTCAGTCAGTCTGTACGAACTCCACTGGTGGGATTTCTAGAAATCTAAAAAAAGGATATCGGAAATCATAAATCATAAATAATAAAAAATTAAAAAAGTCTTTCCTTCATGAATTGGTTATTTTGCGTATATCATACACATATATATAAATATATATATACATAAGATCTTACATATATACGAGGAGAGGAGGGGATGGGGATGTTTTTCATAAAAAGGGGGATGGGGGATGTGGGATGGGCGACTTGCAATTGGTGTTATTATATATTATATATTATATATTATATATTATATATTATATATTATATATTATATATTATATATCAAATATCATATGTCATAGCTACCTACCTAGCTAGCTATATCATGAGATGGATATAAGTAAGATTACTGTACTCTTTAAATTCGCCGTGAGGTATGATGTGGTGATTCTGCTTTATTGGTTGGTCATCATCGCTTAGTTTACGGAGTACATACGGAGCACCGTGGGATTCGCGGTGACGGGTGAAGCTCCGAATGCTCCGAGAGTGTATTTCATTAAGGGGGGATGGATCGGATCGCATCGCATGATATCGAGGCAAAATCGCTTGATACCTATAACTCATGCTTGATGTTCCCTTCATTCATACCTTGGCACCGAAACATTATTGCGACTAGAAATATTTCTTGTTTTAGGTTGCAAATTTTTCCATATTTATCTATATGCATCATTGTCTCCTTTTGCTTTTGGTACGTAATGCAACACCTGATACTGCGTCTGAATACATTATGCCGTAAATGACCAAAGAGAACCCTCCCCAAAACCTCCAAAACGCCATGCATAATTCCATTATAGTAAGCTTGAAATAGAATTGTGCCTTGAATGTCAGTGGGTATTTTAACGACTGTTTGTTTTGCCGATGCTGCGTTTTCCGGAGAACTATTCGAACATGTATTAGAAGGGTACTTAATATAGAGTTTGAGAGGGTCATTTTGAAACATCGTAAGAAATGTAAGAGTGACTAGGGGGTGAGAGGGAAATAAGCATACCAAATGCTTTGGCCTGACACCAGCAACATGCCTATCGGCTTCACCTTGTCTTGCCATACGATTCATCTTTCTCTGGCCAAGTTTCTGAGCACGTTCAGCCTTTGTCCTGGCTTCCTCATTTCCTGCAACACCATCATCTCTTCTGTTGGCCTGGCTTCTTGCTCTGCTCTTAGCGCGCATCTTGGCTTCATAATCAGGATCATCAATATCCATAGCATCTTCAGTTTGTGCGCGGCTGCGTACTTGACTGCGGCCTCTAGATTGTGAGCGTGCACGAGCGACAATGGAAGTAGTGTCGTGACCGAGAGAGTCGAGGTGGTCTTCCATCTCAGAGAGCTTCTTGCGTGTGGCAGAGCGGGGAATGAGAGCACGATTTTTGAGGGATTTCTTCATCTTGGCTTCATTCTTGATAAGTTCGCGCTTCTCGCGAATGAGATTAGCCTTCATACGGATCTCAGCGTCCTCGGCATCCTCGAGATCGTCATCAGAGTCGTAATACCCTTCTGCTTCAAGCTTCTCTTCTTCTGCCTCCAGGGCGGCTAATTTAGCCTCGATATCGGGGTCTACGAAATCGTAAACGTTCTTTCCGTCGAAGATTTCGGGAATCTTATCGTGCTTCCATTCGTCGTTCTCGAGCATATATTTGTCCTTCAAGTCGACGTTGTAAACTCCAGCTCCACCATTCTCTTCCTCGATATCACGAGCAAGCTTAATGCGCTCTGGATCATTTCTGTCGTACCTCTTCTTGGCCAAAGCAGCCTCTGGGATGAAAGATTCTCTGACAATACCATCCATAGGTCTTGCAACGTGGATTCTTGCAAGAACATCACCCAATCTACCACCGACAGCACCACTGCTGTTCGTACCAGCCTTGAGCTTTTGAGCAACACGATCCGCGATCAAACGCTCGCATGCAGCGTTTTTTACCTCCTGAACCCCCTCAGCAGTTGTGCATGAGAGTTGTAATAACTCAACGTCACCAGGTTTGAGTAGTGCCTGGAGTTGAGCTTGGGTCTCGGGATCCAAGTCTTCAGGGCGTGTAACATCAATTTTGTTGATGACAATGAAAACGAGCTTGTTGGCGAAAAGTGGTTTGATACTTTGGAAAAGTTGCATCTGTGCTTGAACCGTGTAGCCACACTGTTCAGACAAATCCATAAAGTAGAGAATGGCAGATCTCAAATGCGCAATGGCAGTGATAGATTGCATTTCAATTGTGTTCATCTCTTCCAAAGGATGATCCAATATACCGGGGGTATCGATTGCTTGAAATCGTAGGTATTTGTAGTCGAAATGTCCGACGAACAAACTCTTAGTGGTGAAGGCATATGGCTGAACATCTACATCGGCCCTGGTGACACTTTTCAAGAAACTAGACTTTCCAACATTGGGGTAACCGCAGATCAAAAGTGTTCTTGTATTTGGGTCGATGGACGGAAGACGACCGAGATGCTGACGAACTTGGTCGAGATACAAGAGAGGATCTTTGAGTCTTCTGCAGATGGTGGCCATTCGTCCCAAGGCAGCACGCTTAAGTTGTTTACATTGGAAAAGGGATTGACCATATTTGAGAAGCCGAACATAATCGCGAGAAACGATTTCAATGAGATGCTTAGCGGTTGACAATTGTCCTAGAGCAATTCGGAAGTGGTCGGCATCGTACAGAGTATTAAGGAGATCTTTGTGGAACGGATGAATATCTTGTAGTCGTGGGAATCCGTCCAAAATGAGGGAGAGCTTCTCAGAGAACGTCTCTGCTGTGAATTTTACCTTTCTGGTATAGAAACCTGACAGATGTTAGTTAAAATTATCGTTGTTGAGAAGTCAATGAATTTTATACCTCTAATTCTGGTAATGGCAAAACCTGAACGAATTTGTGTAGGCAATCGACGTTGTGTTCTGCTCAACACAATATCAAGAAATTCTTGAGAGGTTGGAACTGGTTGAATATCCTTCCATGTGGTCTTCATGATGGGCAAATGGTATCAATGAAGTGTAATGGAGGTGTTGATGGGGATAATCAAGAAGTCGATTTGAAGTTCTTTCGATAAGAATTTGATAATTTTTTTTGCTTAGTGCCTTAGAGAATAAACGCACTAGTGCAGCTTATCGCTAGCGAGAAATTTCGATTTGGAGAGTGAAGGGGGTGTGAGCTTATCCGGACTCATTCATATTAGATGCAAATCCTAGGACAATTTATTTCTTTCACCTCAACGGTTCAACCATATCAAAATGATTTGAGCTGGTAAGGATGGAAAATTAGGACCTTGGAATCTGCTGTGTCTTAGTTGTTATGAGAAAGTTCCTGCTTAGACTATTTCAAGAGGCCAAAGTTGAATTATATCAGCGAATTAATTACACCCATAACAGTATCTCCATGTAGTGTGGCTCAAAAGATCTCCCGGCGTCGACCCATCTGTATATGAGAGAAGGGTTCGAAATGGCTGATTCTGAATATTCAATAACAATCCTCTGTGATAGTAAATCTTCATATAATTAAATCTAAGTATACACTCACAAATCTACCAACCGTACTGAAAGTTCGAAGCAAAGAAAATGCTGCATTGATTTAATATTAAATTCTCCCATTTCTACCACTCTTCATTTTTCAGGGTCGTTCATTCCCCACTATAATATTTAAGGTGCATCCGATCCGATGAGGGGAGACGAAAAAATTATTTCCCCTCCATGACATAGGATAGGCATTATTGCGAACTTCCAAGATAACACAAGAATCCTCGAGTTCCACTCACACAAGCACCCTCAACCTCAACCTCACGCATCTTTTACATCCATATAAAGTCCAGCATGTCTACTCTTTCTCCCTACAAAGCGGAATTCCTCAAAGCCGCAATCGATGGCGGGGTTCTCAAATTCGGCAGCTTCGAATTAAAATCGAAACGAATCTCCCCCTACTTTTTCAACGCCGGCGATTTCTACCGTGCGGATCTTCTTCGCGCTATCTCTACCGCATATGCAAAGGCTATTATCGAGGCACAGGATGCAAAGATACTTGATTTCGATATTGTGTTTGGACCCGCATACAAGGGTATTCCTCTGGCGACAGCTACGGTGGATAAGTTGGCAGATTTGGACTCAAAGTACAATACTATGTGTTATTCATTCGATAGAAAGGAGGCAAAGGATCATGGAGAGGGAGGAAATATCGTGGGAGCTCCATTGAAGGGGAAGAGGGTCTTGATTGTGGACGACGTTGTAACTGCAGGGACTGCGAAGAGAGAGGCAATTGACAAGATCCGCAAGGAGGGTGGGATTGTAGCTGGTATCTTGGTGGCATTGGATCGTATGGAGAAACTACCTTCCCCAGCTGGAGACGATAGCGCACCAATGCCAAGTGCCATTGGAGAAATCAGAAAAGAATATGGTATTCCTGTCCTGTCTATTTTGACATTGGACGATATCATTGGAGGTCTCAACGGTATTGCGTCAGAGGAAAACATCAAGAATATGGAAGAATACAGGGCTAAATACAAGGCCAGCGATTAATATATCCGTTTCACAATTCCTAAATCAAGATACCCGTAGATATACCATTTCACTAAGATTTGAAACTCCTATGTGCCCTTTCTTCAAGTAACAATGGAAGACCTGTGTGCACCAATTTGTAAAGGGTATCTCTCTAACCGTAGGCTATTCTTGCTTCAGGTGTCTTAAGTTCATAAATCTTGTCATAGGTCAGAGTATATCCAAAGGCTTTAAAGATATTTGACTTACCATATCAATCCAGCCGCCACCACCAAATTGAGCTTCACTCTTACCTTTCTCCATGAAGCCAAGCATCTTATAAAAATTTATTTTGTGCTGAAATGAAATGTTAGCAAACAATCCATCTTCATGGACCATGCTTTGAGTAAGAGCAACTAAACTTACATCATGTGCAATGAGAGCCAACCTGTCAGCAATCCCAGCGCCGTTCATCTGCTGCATGTACGCAGCCATGAGTATCTTTCCTAGACCTCGCCCTTGAAATGCAGGTAAAATCGCAACCGAGTGAAGGACTATCGTACGACCATCCTCTTGATGGCCTAGATTTGTACGTGGAGGTTTGGTAGCCTCCCAACCCTCGGGAACCCCCATTGATGCATCCGAAGCTGTCAAGTCATGTGTCTTGGCTGCAATAACATGGCCCATCAGAACACTAATCGCTCCATTCTTTCGACTTGTCTCAACAGGACGACCTGTGGCAAGAGTCTCGATTTTGGGATCGGAGCCGGGCGTCATAGTGCAGAAGATACCCAAGCATAGCTCACCACATCTGGTAAGTCTATATCTCAACTGTATGAAGGTTAGCCACGTCAAAAATTTCAAAGAAGTGGAGTTGAGATATCGATGGCCAACCTTTTCTCTAGATGCTCTTTCGTTTGGATCTGTGAAGGCGGTATTCTCGAGGGTCAAAACCGACTCCAGATCGGAGATGGTCAGAGGACGAGTATACGGATGAATATCCCGATGAGAATTGGAATACATTTCGAAGTCTTTGATTTGTTGATGTTCAGGTATAAGTACAAAACTTCTTTGAGCTTCTTGCTGATCTTCAAATTGTCGTGGCGTGACTGGATTGGGACTCTCGGACAAGATAGGTGGTGTTTGAGGTGTACCTTCACGTTGTTCGCTTTCCGACATAATTTCAACTTCTAAGCTAGAATGGGACCCGATAATAATACCAGGTACAGGGAGAGATCTAGATTTTGATCGCTTCGATTACCTAAGTGTGATTCTTGGAATTTCGACTCGTTCCAATCACGGATTACCTTATGCTTGATAATATTAGAGATTGCATGGGCATCCGTTCATGGTATTGATTCAATGTGAGTTTGGAATGATCATGAAATCTGATGAGAGTAATAAATTGACGAGGCAGGGAAGCCTTAAGGCAGGACAGGACCAAAGCAAGAGAGAAGGCAACAGAACAAACAGCTTTTTTCGAACAAGGCTGAGTGCCTGTCTGCTGCCTGTCTGCTGCCTGCCTTTGTATTATATAACCTTATAAGTACTAGAACTAGAGCCCTGGACAATCGTCATTACTGCTGATTGAATAATCTTGATTTCTATTGATTTCTATACAATTCATTCCATGATTTATCTCATACGTACTGCTTCTATACACCAAGCACTTTTCTAGCAGGTATTGCTGGGACTTACTTAAGAAGGTATGGTGGCCCTAGAAAGCTTTCTTTTGGACAATCACATATAATATACGGGGTTGAAATATACTGATCAAATAATACTTGTTCAGATACCCTTCATTTATGTGTAGCATATAATTAAGTAGTTACTGAGGCACACTTCCTAGGTATGGAGCACTGCATCTACCTACTTTGTGTATATAAGACGAGACGCCGAGAATGCTATATTTATCTCTTATCAGATCAAGCAATAAAGCAACCAAGCACCAAAGCATCAAAGCACCCACACAGGTCCCCGCTTATTCTTAATTGTCACATCCTCATCGTCACTGTCGCATTATCATAGCTTCATGAGCCGCAGGAGGCCAGTGTACTTACTTGCAGGAGGGAATTCGTCACCAATTGACGTGGATGTTTCAATGTAGAACTATATCCTCTTTTATCAGCCATGCTTGTGGGTGGGTGCGGGTAGGGGTCGTAGCGCGTTAAAGTAACCATGTACCAGGTAAATCAGTAGATCTTTGGTAGGTTATTTCATCTATTTTGAGTATCATGGTACATGATGCCATGTGATGGTCAATATCATAGCTCCCCTCGGAATATGACAAGTTCATCAAAGCATGTTGATATGCACTGCGCTCACTGCACTCACTGCACGGCACTGCCACTGCCATTGCCACTGGAAGACACCTCAAGCCTTCCTGCTGCCGAAGACTTTGCCAGCAAATTAAAGAAGGATACCATCCGTATAGAGTACTCCGGACTCAACGCCGGAGAGGCAAACAGATGAGACTAGGCGTTCTTTGAGGAACAGATGTACAAAGTTTGCCATATACTGTTCATAATCGTCAGGCTACCGATATGCGATACAAGACTTCCCCATCTATTTTTTTTTACGGAGCAGGTAGGCCCGCCCGCTTCTATTTCGGGCCATGTCAGTAAACTGTCAGCCTCGTCAAACAGCCCCGAGCTACGAGCTAAAGCTAAATAATTAATAACCCCTCTTACCCTCTTACCCTCTTACCCTCTAACTCATCTCATCTCCAAATACCAATCTTTCCATATACCCTCCAGTCAATCACTTTTTCCAAAATCAGTTATCATAATATTTACAACATATTCTAATTTCTACCATCTTTCAATACCTTTTGAAGTACATATCTACCGCCACTTAAGCTCAACAGCAACACAATCTTCAATATGTTCGTCCAAAACACAAACCGAGTGCTCATTCTATAAGCTAAAGCTAATTTTCATGTACCTAGGCGTATCACTTTGACCATCACCACTCCTACAGATGATGATGGCGACCTTATATCTCTCGAAATTCCTCAAGAGACCACGGTGGGCACTTTGAAGGAAATGGTCGAATCCGAAGCTCGCATCCCTAAGAAAGATCAACATTTATACCACAATGGACAACTGCTCCATGACGATAATAAGACAATGGAACAATTACAGATCGGTGATGGGGAAATGCTTGCCTTACACGTTCGGGAAACTCGGGTTGCTCCTGCCGCCTCAGCTCATCGGGCTTCGCAACCTGCTCGTGCACAACCTCAAGGAAGAGGACAACAACCAGATCCAGAAACGATTCGATTGCAATTGCTTGGCAATGCAGAAATGAGACAAGAGGTCGCTCGTCAGAGCCCAGAACTGGCGGCTGCTGCTGAAGATCCCCAGCGATTTGCGGTAATACTTAACCAGATGCGAAGTCGGGAAGCAGAGGAGTTGGCCAGGCGGAGACAGCGGATTGCGGATTTAAATGCTGATCCTTTTGATATCGAGGCACAGATGAGGATTGCAGAGATGATACGTGAAGAACGAGTACAGGAGAATTTACAAAATGCTATTGAGCATAATCCCGAAGGTACGTGGTTTGCTTTAGTTTCTATCAGCACCTAGCTTCTAACCCAGTCAATCAACAGTATTCGGCCGTGTCCATATGTTATACATAGACGTCGAGGTCAACGGACATAAAGTCAAAGCATTCGTCGACTCCGGTGCCCAAGCTACCATCATGTCTCCTAAGTGTGCCGAAGATTGTGGCATAATGCGACTTGTAGATAAACGTTTTGCGGGAATAGCTCGAGGAGTTGGAACTGCCGCTATTCTGGGGCGAGTACACTCGGCGCAGATTAAGATTGGTAGCATGTTTTTACCTTGCAGTTTCACGGTCATGGAAGGGAAAGATGTCGATTTACTACTTGGTTTGGACATGTTGAAAAGACATCAAGCTTGTATAGATCTGTCGAAGGATAAACTCATCATCCAGGGTGTCGAGGTCAGCTTCTTGGGTGAGGCTGATATTCCCAAGAATATGGAGGATGAGAGAGCCGAAGAACCACAACTTGCCGGGCCGGGAGGAACGACCATTGGAGCAAAATCGGGGGCCGTTTCCGGGCCCTCTACAGGACAACAAGCACCTCAGGCCGCGGCACATACACCAGCTACTTCTGCTTCATCAGCTCCGCCACAGCAACAACAGCAGCAGCCATCATTTCCGGCCGAGAGTATAGATCAACTTATAGCATTGGGATTCTCGCGTGACGAAGCTGTTAATGCGTTGGCGGCTTGTGGGGGTGATGTTCAGTATGCGGCCGGTCTTTTATTCCAAGGTTAAAATGGGATTGGGTGGGATGGGCTAGGCTAGGCTAGGTTTGGTAGAATAATACGTTCTATGTATGGTCGGACATGGCTTAACATAGTGGAAGGGAGGCAAAACAGGCAAGATGAAGCAGAGTCAGGGAACATAGGACTTGATCTTTGAATTATGCAGCCTGTTGATGAATCTTAAATAGCAAAACTGGCGTTAGCATAGCAGATGCGTGCCTGGGTTATTATGATTTATTTCTCCTTCATTTTATATCTGCTATCTTTGTGATGTGATGTCAAGATTAAGCAAGTCGGTATGAATATGTCAAATAATATAAGATTGATTCCTTGCCATAGTAATTACGCTTGACTACCTAATACCTCCTGCTCCAACCTATCTCAATTTATAAACACACGGTTTCAAGACGGCCGCCTCATTCGAAACGTCGACATCCTCCGGCTCCTCCAAAAACTTAGCCTTAGGCTTCTTCTTCCATGTTTCTCCCGTCGGCACACCCTTGGCAATCGGTACGCACTTTCCCTTGATGGGTGTTGCGCCCTTGACAAAATGCATCTTGACAAACATCTTGTTACTTAAATCGACCGATTTTTCGGTCTGCAGGACGAAGCCTCGTTTCTTGAGGACTTCGACGAAGGCCGATACGTCGGTTTCTTGCTTGTTGTCTTCGTTGCCATCTACGTGCACCATGAGATCTGCCTCGTCTGCTTCGTCGTCGGCGGCTTTGATGGCTTTTTTGTTGATGGGTTGGTTCTTTTTGCGGTGCCCCACGCTGTGCTCGACTACTTTCTTATTGCTTCCTCCTACCCGTCCAAAGCGAGATTTGATCTCGGCAATCCAGAGTTCGCCCTTCCAGCGGAGAACGCGGAAGGCTTCTTCGATGAAATCGATCCAATTGGTGCCCATGAGTGCGAGGCAGAAAATCGCAATGTCGATACTTCCATCTTCGAGAGGGAGATTCGCGATATCGGCGCGAGTGACGAGGGGACTGGGACTTTGGAGATCGAAACTGTGGATTTTGAGGTTGAGTTTCTTGAGATCTTTTTGAAGGCCAGTGGAGAGAGCTGCGTCGCCACAACCCAGGTCGGCAATTCGACATGTGCCGTCTGTTCTTGGTAATGGCGTTAGATCAGTCTTTTCCTGGGCCGGTTGGCCTCGCATATCACGTCTGAGTTTACCGCGCTGGCGAATCTGCAGAGAGTAACCATCAACTGGGTTTTCGGGCCAAACTTCCACTTGGCGGCGGAAACCTTCATGATACTCGGTAAACATTTCTGGGTTTTGTTGAAAGGTAGCAAGAGATTCGGAGGAAGGGGTAGTGTAAAGAGATTGATTCAGGTGACGGAAGCGGGCGGATATGAGCTTCTGACGCATAGAAGCTTGAAGTGGTGTTAACTTTGCAATAGGCTTGGGAGGTTTGGTCGAGGTAGCATCGGCGGTATCGTCTTTCATGGGTTGATCATTGTCGGATGGTTTCGAGTCCTTATCCTTCTTCTTTTTCTTTTGTTTCTTCTCTTTCTTAGATTCCGAGGTTTCTGTCGAATCATTCGAAGGTCCTGCTGGTCCATTCTGAATATCATCTGTGCTGATTTCCTTGACTACTTTATCTTTTTTCTCTTTTGCTTCGCCATCCTTCTCAGCATTCTTTACTTTCTTCGTTTTTGGCTTGCCTTCAATGACTGACTCCCACAATTCTGACAAGTTCGCTGCATTCACGTCTGGATTCTTTGCGCGCTTGCGTTTCTTGCTGGATTTCGTCTCAACCGGCACTCCTTCCTCTTCAGCTTTTGGCGCAGCAGCAACAGACTCTGCGGTTTGTGTTTTTAGCAGACTCGACGAGACTGACCATCCTGGAACTGCGAACATTGCGATGGATTATCAATGTGCGATGTTGTGAGAATTGATAGATATGAGGTCGAGAATTAATATGTAATTATTCTCTACCTTTTTTTTCTGCTGCGATAAACTTGATAACAACTTATGAATTTTTACCCCACATTTTATCCCTAGCGCATTACTGCCGGGAGCTACCTACCTACGATGTACTCGATCGAGTACTGATCGACTGAACCAAGTGATGATCATAGAAGCTCAATTTTTAAAAGCCAAATTGTTTGATTTGTTATTCTTCGATTTATTGTCTATCCTTTCAATGCTTGAGAGGGATCTGATTTGTGCGCCAAGTCGACACCAATTGGTCTCGATTTTACGTTGTAGAAAATACTACTATGCGCGCTCTATGGGCAGGCCGGCAATGTGTGCTTGCCCGTCATTCACTTCCCTTAGCTCACTGGTGGTGTAACCTTTTCGTATGAGCTGGTTGATTGAGGATGTATACTTCCCTCGGGAAAGTGAGTATTAAACTAAATCAAGATAAAAGACCCCTACATCACCTCTATTGATACCTGCCCAGGTGACAATTTGGGCTTCCGCGGCGAATACTTAGCAATTAAGCATGTACTCAAGGTACTCATGTACTGTCCTACTAATCTAGAATAGATCACTGTAAGTCACAACGGTCAGCTAAGGCCCAATTAGTAGACGGGCGAACCGGTTTCTGTTAGTGATCTGAGGAACATGGATCTGAACCAATAAGGATTGGAGCCACCAGCCTGCCGTTCTTGATATGAATTGAAAGTCCTCATCCCCTGATAGACGATGCATAGATTGGAGTACTGCAGCATAAAAATGTCGGCACTAGTTACATCATAGTCTAGATGGTCAAGTCCGCGAGAAGCCCTTTTTTTGCTGTATTCTTTTTTCGTTGGAGAAAAGTATGAGCGTTCGAAGCGGTAAACAAAATATGGCAGGGTTGGCAGACATAGCACGTAAAGCTCAGTGCCTGAGGGGGATAGAAGGTTTTCAAATATGCTATTTTTGAAAGGCAAAAGGCAAAAGGCAAGCAACCCTTGGATACATACTTGAGGGCGGTGTAATCTATCTTCATAGGCCAAACTCCCAACCATCAACTAATTAACCGGTAGCTCGTCTATTCGGTATATTATTGTAAGACTTACGAGTAATAGACATTTCTCTCACAATGGAAATACAGTGATATATTGCAAACTCCCAAGTGGCAGACACTTCTCCGCCTGCTATAGTCTTTTCCTGCAATGGAACACAATATTATACTTCAACCCCTGACTAGTCGTTTGTTCTCCTTTTCGTATATCCGGATGTGCAGCAGATGAGGTCGGTATCAAGGTTGAGGATTTAAACTTTATTCGGGTGCCTAAGTTTGATGATAAGCTTACCCTCCGCCGTATATGCCATTTTCCAAGCCCATAAGCTTTTCCCATAAGCCCCAAGTTCATGGGTGTATAGTGTATGATAAGCCGGGGGCCAATCGATGTTCATCCCATTGAGCCCTGTAACTAAAAAAACATTTTTAAGTTTTGGGGGATCATTCTCGCCTGGCAAGCCACTAAAGCATCTAAAATATTCATCACTTTCACTTTAGCCACTATGCTGGTGTACTACTGGTGTAAGATTACTACTGGTGTACCACCGATGTACCTAATCTACATATATGTGCCGGCTTCCTATTTGTCTATATGGCTACCATCCTTCTTATTTGGGTCAAGCTCGGTCCCGCCAAAATATCATCAACCTGATTGCAAAACTAGATGCTTCTTTTCCATAAAGGATCTTCCAGGTTTCAACGCTCTTTTTCTTTTTACCCTTTTTGTCATCGACATTGCCATCGTACCAACTTCTCTCCACCTCACTCGCATTGCCGCCATTCTATAATATATATATAAATATACACATACCTATATTACCTATATATATATATATCACTTGGATAATTGGTAATATATCTTCTACCTTACCAAGCTGAGCAACAACCACTTTTCACCTTGGAAAAATCCATCTTATTCAGCCATTATCAATCCTGGCTCAATCCCACCTTTAATACTTGGGTGCCGAAAGGAACCATAGCAGACTTGTACCTGCAATTATATACCCTACCAAACATTGACGCATAACCCAACTTAACTTCATTTGACATGACACATTTGATTTGGATTTAAGCTCCAAATCACCAGAGCCTCTATCACTGGGAGACACAAAGTAGTTACCCATCGTTAATAATCACTCGTCGTGTCAATTCCGCAATTTGCCTCAACCTCACCGACTTGTTTCAATTACTGTAGTATATACTATGATCTTCTACCTCATAGGTGAACCTACCGAGAATTGACGTTTCGCAAAGACGGGTACTACCGAATTGGAATCATGAGATCCGAACCTTGAACTATCAATTTGAAGAGGGGAGATTAACTACCTTTGAATTCACGCCCATGAACACTTTCAACATGACTCCGGAGAAGCCGCTGGATTCTGAGAATGAGGAAGAGGAGGAAAGTCCTGCCGGTGTACGGAAACCTGGTTCTAGGGCTCAGGCTAAGAAACGAACGAAAACTGGATGTTTAAGTGAGTTTTCCAGGTAAAAAATCTCAGGTTTGTACATGGAGCGACTGACATGTTTACTTTGCTCTTAGCATGTCGAAAGCGGCGTATCAAGTGTGGTGAGGAAAAGCCAACATGCCAAAATTGTTCCAAGTCCAAAAGACTTTGCGAGGGATACAACCAGCGAGTTGTCTTCAAGGACCCTTTAAGTGCGACCCGGGGGCCATTTGCCAATTCATCCCAGGTCAAATTCTCATCATCCAGGTCCGGCCGGTCAAATCAGCGTCGAGTTGAAGCCCCGAAACCTTCGACTTCGGCGCAGGGGCAATTACCAAATCTTGCACCAAAACCAGGTGAGTTGGGTACAAATAATAGCCCTCAACACAGGCCTGTCAACGAGACAAATCCAGGCTTTGAGCAAGGCATGCACGTCTTTTCAGGTCGGTCGAATCAGGATGTGGCGATCAAGAGGAGTAATTCTCGAGACGCGTCCGAGTCAACGTCAAACTACAGAGATACCGTGGATCGCTCATACCTACCAACTCCCGAACATAAATCACCCCCAAATCCTGGGCCTACCCACTATGATTTTAATGCTCTGTTTGAGAAACAGTCACCACTTGGCGAGCTTTCCATGTCTGCTTCGCAACTCAGTCCGACGCAATGGATTTCCAGTCAAAATAGTGCATCTCATACCTATTCTCAAGGACATGCACATAATTCAAACACACAATTTCCGCATCTCACGCCACCTATGGTGACCACCCAGAGTGATCCAAACTGGCAGCAAACTGCTTTCTCTCATCCATCCAATTTAAGCTCAAGTCCGTCGCATATCCCGGTCACACCGATCACAATACAAGTAACACAGGCTATGGAACCAGCTTATACATCTCGATTTGAGACACAGCAGCGTCCTGCACCAGGGGGGGACTTTCCGCGACTCATGTCAAACAGTCCAAACCAAAGTTCTGTTGACAACAACAATCATCCTGACAACAACTATCATTCCGGAATTAAGAAACAAGATGAAAGAATATTCGACGATGATGAAATGAGCCTGGATAACGATTACGCAGCAGATGACCTCGAAAATGATACTTTCAATATCCCTAATGTAGAATCTGGCATTTTGGAACGTATCGCACGCCAAGCTCGGCAAGATGCGCAGAATCAAAGTCTCCGTTCTTTTACCTCGCTGATTGATCGATCTGATATGCTATCGGCTTATAACCCTTCATTCCGGTCGTCTCCACTCAATGACTCTATGACGGCAAGAATCTTCTGTCATTTTATCAACGTAACTGGACCGAGTATATCAATGTTTGAGAGGAATCCTGCTAATCCTTCTTTAATATTTCAGGGAAGATCTGTGCCATCTTCTCAACAACATATCTGGACCTACACATTTCCCATGCTTGCCTTGAAAAATGAAGCGCTCCTTCACGCAATGCTCGCTCTAGCCAGCCTACATATTGCGAAGTTGCAAAACACCCACGTAACTGCATCTCTAAAGCATTATGCAATCGCTTTACGAAGGATTGCAAAGAGCGTTAGCATACCTGGCCGCAGAGAGCAACCTGCTATATTGGCTGCGACCATGTTACTCTCATTCTATGAGTGTTGGTGTGCGGACCACCAAAAGTGGAGTAACCATTTGCTTGGAACGAGGACTCTTGTGAGAGACATCGATTTCACTGGCATGACTCATCATTTGAAGGCCATGAGGGCACAGATGCGTAATGAAGACTGTGCCCGCCATCGCCAGGAGCAGATACATATGGGTGCAACATTTATTGAAGAAAAACACAAATTCGCAGCCTCATTAGAAGATGTGGACGAAAATATTGTTGGAGTTTTGATGGGCCGAAGACTTCGTTACGATGAGTATGGACATATCATCGATGAGGTCTGGGAGAACACTGAAGATAGGATTTACAGCCCTAAGGACATTGAAACTTATGAGGTGCAACGCGATCTTGTGTGGTGGTACTTCAAACAAGACGTTTACCAGAGTGTATTAGGCGGAGGGAAGCTTTTTACCGAGTATGATAGGTGGAGTCTTTGCCCTCCACGTGCTCCGCTTGGCCGATTGGATGCAGTATACGGCACGTTTGATCATCTCATGCTTTTAATGGGACGGCTTGCAGATTTTGCCTCAAAAGACCTGAAGAGGAAGACACTAGCGTTAAAAGCTGCTAATAATCCCATGAGTAATAAGATGCCAAATTTCACTGGCATGGTACCAAATGTCAAAGAGCCGACGCTTCCCATGGGATTCTCACCAACATACAGTAGCTCTTCTCAAAGCTCAGAAGGCGGAGATATTGATCTTGAAGCTCAGAGGCTTGAGGCGGAAGAAGAGTGGCAAGATATTCGCAATGCATTTAGTGTGCTTGAAGATCATTTTGGTGAAGACTTTCAACCTTTAGGTGAGGAATTCTCGACGCCAGTCCAAACTCCCTTTGGGCCGGCTCTGCAATATCGAACTTATGGTATTGCCGGCATCTGGATGAATTATTACATGGGACTCATTTCTTGTCATCGAGCTCACCCTTCTATGCCACCTGCGGCTATGGTAGCTGCAGGTATGGCGGCTCGTAAGACAGCGTTCTTCGCAAATGAACTCGGTCGGATTGCTGCTGGTATTGCACCTGACCTGAGCATGACAACACAAGTCAATCCAGGAGTTGGTGCGGCACTTATGGAAAGTACCATTTGCCTCTTTCTGGCAGGCGTCCAAGTAAGTTTGAAAATTCAGAGTACTATAATCTTTTACTCACCACTTGCAGTATCAAAATGTGGACCAAAGGACATGGCTCATATGCCGGCTTAAAGACGTGGCTCGTTTGACCGGTTGGCAAACGGCACTTGCAAGTATGTAAATTCTTAAACTCTCATTTCCTTATGAGCCTCAAAAATTATTCTTGCCTTTACTGATCTCTTCAGTTGCTACCGGTTGCGAGACATCTTGGGTTAAGGCTGCAGAGATGGGAAGAGGTCCACCATATGAGAGGACGAGGGAAGAACGAGTAGCTCCACAAATGGGGAACCCTGTACGACATGCCGAAGCGACTCAACTACGTGAACAGCAAGTTGCGGATAAGAGAGTAGTGATTAGCACCCACCAGAGAGTTCATTATGCTTTTGGTATCCTGGGCGTCCAGGATGATTTTAATAACCTAGGTTTAGATACATAACCAACCAGAATAGAACGACGGTCGATTTGAGAAGACTAAGGAACAAACTTCTGAAATTCTTACTTCGACAATGTTTCTGGCACGGATTCTGACTCGGAGGCGTTCAGCCATTATTCAGCAGATGGTAGCTTCGCGGCACTGTCTTGTCAGACAGCCGCAAAAACCAATTATCTGAATCAGCGGTTCCTCTCGTACTAAGCTGAATTACCATTACGGCGACGGGAATCAGTAGGGTAAAACTAACCTTTTTCATGACGGTCCAAGTCAGCTCACGTACATTTGGAAACAGCGTTATCGATTCTTAAAAATGGCAGTTGCGATAATGTACCTAGTGTCATTGCCACTTTTATCATATGTTTGCCATAATAAGTAGGTGCCCTGTTACGTCAAGTAAACAACCATCGAATTCCATTTTTATACGCCTTCAATACATCCATCTCAAATTCCTACCAGAAATCTCAATCAGGGGCGGAAATCATGTATGGACTCATAAAAAAGAAGACCGGAATGCCTACGGCGTCCGATAAATATGATCTCCCTATTATGGCCAACTGCTTAGCTGCCAATAAAAGCAGACGAGAGAACGAACATATCAATGCAATGGTATTTAATGATGAATACTATCGTGAACGCATGCGAAACATCCAGGCTACATACAAAGTTAAACAGGATAATTCTCCCGGTCTAGGATACACTTCACGCATTCGGCTGATCTGGGACCATGATCGCCTTTTGGGTACATTCGATTTGGACGTTTTCAAGGGTTCCTTGGTCATTGATCCTGGTCCAGGTCAAGACCACTTCAAAGCTGATATTGAGTACTCAAAGTTCCATGAGGCCCGAGCGAAAGATAAAGAATCGAGTGAAGAGTCTGCGGATGATGAGGATGATGATGATGGTGGAGATGATGAGATTGCCGCGACCAAGGAGTATCGTTTTAAATGGCGTGGAACAAATGCAAAAATACCTCACAAATCATTTAATTCTACATTCACTATCGGAAAAATTCGCTTTGGCAATGGCAAGATTTGGGGTCACTTTGAAGCAATGTCGGGAGTTGGTTATCCAGGTGGTCGGTGTGAGTTTCATGGGAAGATACCTCATGGACCTTGTCTTGTAGACATGTCTGTTCAAGAATTTATTGATAAATGGAATGGATATGCCGAGACTGAGGAGGATGAAATCCCACGATCACCGACTCCAAGATCCACGATAGCAAAGTCTCCGTCTGAACATGATGGCGCTCATTCAACAGGTTCGCTAATGGATGATACATCTCAACTTAAGGAATGGACAGAGAAAGACCAACAAAATTTCATCGAAATGATTACTGGAATTTATGATATCACTAGCAGGGAGATAGAAGAGGATTGGGTGTCGAGTTCAAAGGGATTGATGGTTCGTCTGCATGTAGATCAGCAGCAAGGAAAAGTCATGGGATCCTTTGACATAGGCATCGTTGAAGGTTTCCTCTGTTTGAACCATGGTTTGGAAGCCTTAAAACACTACAGTCCCATCGAATTCGAATGGTACGGACGAGGAACCTTCTCGGGCTCAATCGAACAAGGCACGGGCACACTCGCCATTCGAACCCAAGGCGCAAGAACAGTCGAAGGTATCTTCAGCGATATGCCGGATAAAAATGACGGTCAGGTGGATTTTCACGGTATGAGACGTTTGTTGCCGGCTGGGGTTTCCGGTCGTGGCTCGGGTTATTATCGCGCTCAGTGGAAGGAACATAAACGTGTGAAGCCTGAGGTTCCGTTAGAGATGGCTATTGCTACTCCTCACAAGGGTCGGTGGGGTGTTAGGCAGGAACTTGCGAAGAGGGTTAGTTGGAAACGAAGTGGTGAGTCTGCTTAGATTGGTGGATGTTGTTTAGATGGGAGAAGACAGAGGCAGAGGGAAGAAGAAAGAAGGAAGAAGCACGTATTGTGGTATTGATAGAGTAGGCTTAGATGAGATGAAAGTAAAGTGGTAGAATTCACTAGTTGGAACTCGTAATATTTTTTTAATGTTCCAATGTTCCAATTTTGGTTTTATATATTGGATTTGACTTTGACTTTGATTATAACTCTAAATATAAATTAGATTAGATTAGATTGGATTGGATTTGTATTTTTTTGGTTTATGTGAAATTTGAATAAGTATTGGATTGTCTGATTGTTTAATTGGAGGCTGTAGCTTGGATGATATGGATGGGAGTGACGGGGATGTTTGTTGGATTTGGTTAGGATGTAAAAAGAAATAGTCTAAGGATATAGTTTAATGGTGGTGGTGTGATGTGATGTGTGATTTGTGATTTGGGATGTTATTTTTGTGGTGGTATAGTGTTACGAGGTTTGCCGTCTAGATCACGTGGAAGTGCTCTAGGCTCTCGAGGTGGTTTATAACTAGGCGTTAAGCAGGGACTTAAGTAATGACAATGATGCAATTCGTAACTAATAGTAGAGTATACTAAATGATTGATCTTGAGCATGAAGCTCTATATAAAGGAAATCCATCTTGATTATATAGTCCTTCATGCTTCTATGATCACTGGTGATCCTTCATGATCACCAGTGATCACCTATATCGTGATCACGTGCCTTGGTAGTTGTGTAGCCCGTCGTAACATATAGAGGTATAGAGATACCTTAGTGGAGGTCGCTGATTTTGAAAAATAATATTTTCATTGTACAAGATTTTTAAACTATATATACGAATTAATATTATATATATAAGATTGTATAATATATATATATATTAAATTATATGTTACGACGGCGTAACATGACCCGCATCAGGTGACCAATTAGTTAGCAGGATCATGTGACAAGTGTCACCTGATCCGAAAGCCGACTGACTTCGTGAGAATCGATCGGCTCTTCAAGAGTCGGTCGACTTTCAGAGCACGAAGGTCTATATAATCAAGATGGATTTCCTTTGTATAGAGCTTCGTGCTCAAGATCAATCATTTAGTATACTCTACTATTAGTCACGAATTGCATCATTGTCATTACTTAAGTCCCTGCTTGACGCCTAGTTATAAACCACCTCGAGAGCCTAGAGCACTTCCACGTGATCTAGACGGCAAACCTCGTAAACACTCTGTACACAGTTTTACCTTTCGTACATATATTCACTTATATATACAATCTATATTCTATATATAGTTTACCCTATTAGAAACTAGCAATCCAAAGCATTTCATACATTATTGTATTAGAGCCTATAAAGAACAAGAACACTATCATAAAATACTCGCGAGCCCCACTAAGGTACTGGTAATGATACTGGTAGTGATGCTAGTAGTGAATAGTGGTAGTGATAGTGGTAGTGGTAGTGGTAGTGTTAATAATGAATTGCTAAGGATACTAGGTTGGTTTGTAAGTGTCATATTCGGGAATTTTTTGGAAGAATTAATGGAGGTGCTTTTGGGGTTTGGGGGTTTTGTGTGTTTATATATCTATCTATCCACTATTTCTCTGTGGAATGATGAGTTTACTATCTGTCAAGAGTGTGTAAAATAGTATAAATATGCACAGGGATATATTTTTAATTTTAATTATAGTAGGTAGAAATAAACCGGAGCTAGAATAAAGTAGTAATGCTTTTTTATAGTAATCTATGAGAGTGCTGTAATCTTCACTCTTTCAACACTGTTGCTACTCAGTGATATGGATGTTTGTCCATTAACCTTATATGGGAAGCACTCTAGCGAATGATGTTCATCCCAGATATCATGCACCCGGAATAGAATTGATGATTCTTGAACTTCCACTGTCCAGGCTCTGTGTGATGAGATAGAGATATAGTCATAATAAAGTTACAAATCGCAGACTATAGCAAGTCATTTAATAAATCCTCGAGTCTTCATAAGCTCTCATTAGTATTGATATTGCCATATTTCTTGCGTGTGATTCCCATATGTATTTCCTATTAGGCTATACTGCAAATACACAGAACTAATATAGCCCACTACCATAGATATATAGTGTATGTACCTCGTGCTGTCAGCCATTCCAGTCGCTCGGATTAGTCCCATCTTGAAGAAATAGTGTAGAAAGCAATAAAGTTCTGTTCTTGAAACTTAAGATGGGATTCTGATGAAGAATAGATCACTTGATGTTTTTCGTCACGTGGTTTAGTGCTTTACATCTCAAAACCAAAAGATGCAATTGATGGTGCTGGATTATTTCTGCAGTATCCACCATCCAAGAATCGAGATAACTTGCGTCGAAAACTTGATATCGGTATACTCGTAGTACTTGAATAAAAAGTAGAGGAAGCTTCGCGTCGCGCACTCGCGATCTGACACCAAAAGCTTTCTTTACTCACAAATTAAAACATCACCTATCTCTCAGCTTATCTCTAGCATAGCACATCAAAAAGCCCCCTCCCTCATCACTCATAACAGCCATTAATCTCATAAATGCGCCTGTCCATCAAAATGATAAGAATTGTAGATCGAGTTATCAATCAAATACCATCCAACGAAAATATAATCTTACCAAATTTCCAGAACCTCACACATATGAAACATCAAAATATCAAACAGGGAATGCTGGTCGAATAATAAGTTCATGGAAAGAATATGGGGATGGCTTAGCTCTTACGCAGCCTGCAGCAAGCGTGGGATGGATGGATGCAACGACGCGATGAATGGAGCCTTGCTTGCGCATTTGGGATGGGTGGATGGTGGATGGTGGATGGTGGATTGCGCGTTTAGATGCAGAGATTTTCCTCGGGGTTTTGTGTGATTATGATTCAGGATTTTGTTATGTATGGGGTTTTACGGAGTATTTAGTAGATATCATACTCCGTTCCGTTACAAGTGGATGCTTTTTGTGTATTTGTATTGGTAAGCAGAGGTTTGCGCATGATAATACGGAGTACGCATTCATCGAATAATGTAAGATCTTATGATTGTAACATGAATGCTTTTTGCATCTAGAGCACTAACTAACCTCGTATTAAATGAATGCGCTCTGCCACGAAGAAGTTTACAAAGTTTGCGATGGGAATAATTTTATAGGATGGAATTAGAATAAGTTGCAGCAAGCGATGTTTATCGTATAGTTTAAATACATCTTGTGATTTCTTATTTGTAAGACATTTTGATATGTTGAGAAGTAGCGTGATGAAGTTATGTGAGAGGGAGTGATGTGGAAACTTTATTTTGGTTGATGATGTTCTTGGTTGCTGGGTGAGTTGATGGATTGATTAGTTGGATATGTATTATTTGTGGCTCATACGGGATTTGTTTACTATATGCAGGGAAGGGAATGTTGAATACTTGAGTAGGTAGTTTGAGTGCAGAGAGAAAGTAGAATTGACTTGATTCATCCAATCAAACTTGGTTAATATTCATGAAACCTTTGGTTGATCATGATAAAAGGGGGCAATAGTTTATAGGGATGGAGTTGATAAGATGATAATCGACAAAATCCCGAAATCAAGTGGTGATGAACCTTGAAAGCCTTTGAGCTTGGTAGGCTCGGTCAGGTAGGTATCGATAGAAATCATTTGTTGAGTGTACTGAAGTATCTCCTGACAGTATCAGCCATCAGACAGCATCAGGGTATATCAAGTATTCAATGATAATGAATGAATGACATCAGTTAGAAGTGCATAGGGCACACAGACCGGGATGCTCGGAGTGATTAATGGTGTACTTCTTTAGATCGAATTATATGCATACAACTAGATTCGATGGTTTAAAGCAGAGGAGGAGTCTCTAGTATATATATACTACCGTGCCCTTTTCTTTCACCACTCGTAGGTCTAGAGAAAAGACTTATATCTTAACATACTAACATACATCTAGAGTACTCCTTATGAGCTAATTCAGTCTTTCTCGAGTAACTATCGCCACTCCAAGATTGTTTCATGCCTGCATAACGGTACATGCAGCTTCTAGATCCATTGTAACTTCTAGCATAGCCTCCTACCCTCTTTTATTGATGATCATTGGATGATGAAGTGTCGATTTGTGCCGTGAAAAGATAAAAGAAAAACTTGCTACTGTAAGTAAGTTTTAATCCTAGCCTTCTTAGCCTTCTTACCTTGCTAGCCCAGCCCCTCGGAAACCTGCCACCTCGAATTTGGAAAAGAACAGATAGAGTAGTGTACGGTGGTACCAACAAATTAACGATAGAATGATACCCTGCTTAGTGCTGTGCATAGTTCTCTGTCGTAGTCAGAAACTAAAATGCGGTCCAGTCCACTGTCACTCTATCCAGTCCAGTACCAAACTTATTAACTTATTAACTTCTCGAACATCCTTATCCACCCACTTCCCTACTCCCACCTCCCACCTATTCCCACTTACTCCAAGTCTCCAACTACTTCTACCACTACGGAGCAGACTACCACAAGTTCACTTGCACATTGGTGTACATAGAGTATAATTGAAGGACGACATCATCAATCCACTTTCATGTTTCCTTCCTCTTCATGTTCATGCTTTCGTTATTCATTTTAATTGAACATCTGAATCATTTCAATGATTCTGAAATGATTCAAGCAAAAGGAGTTCGATAACTTAATTATTTATTATCAATTGTTCACTAGATTTCATTGTGAATACATTGTTTTTCACAACCACTAACTTTTAATCCTCAATCAAGTTCGAGTACTGTATGATACAAGCCACATTTTTTGGCTCTCCCCTACGCTTCTTCTGTTGACAATACAGATAACCAAAATACAAAATACATTACATCTTTCCGACGACTACGGTTTCAGAGATACGTTATCCCGTAAATATCTTCACGCTCTAATACCTCGCATCTTTCGCACAGCAAACCTCTCGAAGATTGTATCTCAGAGACCATCTCCCACCCAAATTCATGCAATCTCAAACAATAACCTCGCGACTATCAGAACAAAAAATTCCTCAATTATCAAGGAATATCACCTACCAATTAACTTTTCCAATACCGAATAAACTATAAAGATCTCTATTGAGCGAGATACCAAACTTCGATTACCCATATCCTTTCTAGGCGGTTTCCGTCAACTTATTCTCCATCATGGATCAAGCCGGGCATGCTCTCCTGGCTGCCAACCTCATATATGCTAGAGCAAATACTACGAATGGCACAACCTCTGCGAATGCGGATACAGAAGTTCGACCACCTATATATAAAGCAATTGGAATATCATTGGCCGTGGCTTCAGGGGTTTTCATTGGAATATCTTTTGTCGTGAAGAAGATTGGATTATTGAAAGCAAATGAGAAATATAATGAAGAAGCTGGGGAAGGATTTGCCTACCTTAAGAATGCCCTTTGGTGGGCTGGAATGACCCTGATGATTCTGGGAGAAATTTGCAATTTTGTTGCATATGCTTTTGTTGATGCAATTTTGGTTACTCCGCTTGGCGCACTGAGTGTCGTCATTACCACCATTTTATCCGCAATTTTCCTGAAAGAACGTCTTAGTATGGTTGGGAAAGTTGGATGCTTTCTATGTATCGTTGGATCGGTGGTTATCGTAATGAATGCGCCGGCAGAGGCTTCTGCGGCAACGATTCAGGAAATGCAACATTTTGTTATCGCCCCGGGTTTTCTAAGTTTCGCCGGTGTCATCATCATCGGTTGTACCTTTCTTGCTTTTTGGGCTGGACCACGATATGGAAAGAAATCCATGCTTGTGTATCTGTCAATTTGCAGTTTGATTGGTGGACTCAGCGTTGTTGCGACACAAGGTCTGGGAGCTGCAATTGTTACTCAAATTGGTGGAACGAAACAGTATGACCAATGGTTTCTTTACGTTCTCTTCGTCTTCGTCATCTGTACACTCTTGACGGAGATCATATTTTTGAACAAAGCTCTCAATATCTTCAACGCGGCCTTGGTTACTCCAACTTATTATGTCATGTTTACGAGCTCGACGATCGTCACTTCCGCCATTTTATTTAGAGGGTTCAAAGGAACTCCAACTTCTATCATTACGGTCGTCATGGGTTTCCTTGTTATTTGTTCTGGAGTTGTCCTTCTCCAGCTCTCAAAGTCAGCCAAAGATGTTCCTGATGCTGCCATTTTTGCAGGTGATCTCGACCAAATGCGTACAATTGCCGAACAGGAACAACCAGAAACTGAACCAAAGGCTGATGCTATTAGAGGAGCAGCTGCTATTGTTAGAAAATTCTCTACTACTAGACAAAAGATGGAAATGGAGGAAGCTAAGAGGCTCCATGAAGAATCGATTCTGCAGCCGCTTGGTGAAGATGATGTCATTGAGTGGGACGGTCTTCGAAGACGTAGAACAACGATTGGCTCCAACTATAGTATGAGTATGAGATCTCGTGCTGACTCAGCCGTTCCTCCTCTACCTGAACCTATGCGCCATACACCAACCACTAGAACAACTCTCCCTAGAACACCTATTGCACATCCACCTCTTGGCATGTCCCATTTTCCCGATCCAGATGAAGAACGAGATGAAGAAGATCGTCCGGGCACTGGTCTTAGTTCTTCCATCTTTGGTACTATTCGCAGCCGTGTAACTCGCGGAAAATCACTTTCATCAGCCACAAATCCTGCGGCAAATGTCGGAAGTCCTACTCATCCTGTTCCCTTGACCGACATTCGTACCTACAGAGGTGGTGATGGTGAAATTTACAAAAGCGAACATAGTGATGAAGCTTACTACATTCATGATAATCAAACTTTCGGCCTACCAACTGCTTTACGTGATCAAAAGACTGAATATACTGGTTCAGGAGGTAGACATATAACTATCGCGGAAGATGCACATCGTCCGTTGTCTAGATCTAGCAACCTCGTTCCACCTACACCCCCACCTCACTCTGCCAGAAGACAATTCTCATTCCAAAATGTCTTCAGAAAGAATGGAGGACCTCAACAAAATGACGGACCCCCTCAAGAAATCAGGTCACCCGATCGAAAGCGTATCGGTTCTCGACATGGAAGTGATGAGATCATCAAGAATGCTACTGAAGAAGAAAGACTTGGACTCGTTAAAGGTAATACGAGAACTGAAAGTCCATCCGGTACTTCTGCTACTCCTTCATTTGATGAAGAAGAAGAAGAGGAGTTGGAACCATGGAGTTCGGAAAACAAAGGATATAGGAGAAATCGTTCCCCTCCCAGAAGGGATCCTGCATTGGGAGAAAAGGGGGCTTTTCTTTAAGGATAAAGGATATGGATGGGGATATGGATAGGGATGGGGATAGGGGTATGGATACGATGGGATGAGATGATATGATTCATGTGGAGTTTTGGCGTTTGCGAATACCTAAGAAATTCTTCCTGGCATTTTTATTTGATTGATTGATTGGTTGCTTGGATGGGTGGATGCATTATCATTACACTTGTATGATTAAAAGCTTTGTATATGAAAATGGGGCCTCAAAGGCGATTTGGAATATAGGTAAATCAGGAGAGAAAGAAGAATTGAGGAAATGAATGAGAAGGAAGGAACGAAGGTGCAAGGTCAGATTGACCGGGAATCCTGAAATACCTAACCTAGAATCCTTTTTCTTTAACTATAATTATAACTATAACTATAACTATAACTATGGTCTTGATAAAGAAAGAAGACTTACTCTGTATTACCTATAATTACCTAGAAGATACCTTTATGCTGGGGTTATAATTGGATGTGTAAATGTTTTAAATGTTTTAATTGAATGAATGGGGTTGTGTTTTATGTGGCGAGGTGATGGCGGCGGTGTTTGTAAGATTTATATGTATTTCTGATAATAGGAAATAGGATTTCCCACTGTGATTAATGATTAATGTTTAATGCTTGATTTTAATCAGATGATTTGTGATGTGAAACTTAGAAGGTGGATGGATGAGTAGATGAGTAGATACTTCGGTTATTCATATAGATTGATTGATTCGATGTTTTGATAAGATTTAGGATTTTATAGATGAGAATGAGAATGAGAATGAGAATAAGAATGTTCGGATTGTGGTGTGATGTGATGTGATGTGATGTGATGTGACGTATCGAGCTTTAGATCTGAAAGAAGATATTGTAAATATTTTTGGATTAGGATTGGGGTGAGGTACTGTATGATGAGAAGACTTGTAGTTAGTTGTTGGGGAAAGGGAGGGAGGGAGGGAGGGTTTATTGAGTGATTTGTGATGGTTTGGGAAAGATGTGGAAGATATGGAAGATATGGAAAGAGTTGAAGGAGTACATGTAAGGATATGTGAGGGGAAGTGTGAGGGGAAGTGTGAGAGCAAGTGAGGGGAAGTTTGAGGAAGAATCACCAGATTAATAGAGCTGCGGTGTGGTGGGGCAGAGTGGGGTGGGATATGATGTGCGAATTGATGTTGCTGGTTCTTTATGATGGAGGCTTGGGAAAGGGGAAGGAGGAGGAGGAGGAGGAGGAGGAGGAGGAGGAGGATGAGGAGGGAGAGGGAGAGGGAGAGGGAGAAGGAGATTGATCATTTCAACTTCATCATTTCTGAAGTGGTGAAGTGGCACTTCGTCGGTTTACTGTTTCATTATTTCACCATTTCACCATTTCACCACTTCACCACTTCACCACTTCACCACTTCACCACTTCACCACTTCACCACTTCACCACTTCACCACTTCACCACTTCACCACTTCAACACTTCAACCCTTCACCCCTTCACCCCTTCACCCCTTCAACTCAGAATCCGAGATGAGTTGAAGTGCTCGTATTCTCATATATCGTACTTGTTATACATTGATAAACGTTAAGGCTAACTTCATATCTTATTTTGAATAGTAAAATTATGGTATGAGTAATTATTGTCTATCACTTTCCCTTTCAATTTCGTTTTTATCACTTTATCACTAATTATTTAGATCTTTTTATATACCTAGTACATATACACAGAGGTATCATTTCAACATTTCTTACTACTAAATGCATATCAAAATTCTCATAATTCATCCTCAAATCTCCTCCTCTAATTCGCTGAGCTTACAATAACTTCAATTTGACACATCCCCCCTTCCCTCATTTTTCTTTTCTTTCTCTTCTTCCTAGTGTATTGTATCGCAGGAAAAGATATATATTACACAGCCGTTCGTGATACAATACCAATTCTGAGAATAAGTGGAAAAATAGCAAGACCTTCTTTGACTGTGGCTAGTTAGCTTCATATCTTCATGTCTCCACATCAAGGACTTTTTATTTTTATCATTCTTGTAAATCTTAATTAATCTTGGTAAATTGGAAAAAGATGATGTTTACTATAATCTCGGAATCTCTGATATTGTATTACAGTATAGACAGTGAGTTTATGACTCATTCGTACAGAAGGCTCGCTGGTTATCCTCTCTACTATCTTACATTGCTAGTTCTATTCGCTAGTATTGACCCATGGAGATTTTGGGTTCGGGTTTGAGCTTGTTATTTCTGGATTTAAGGGTATATTTGAGGTTTAAGCGGAGTAGCCCTCAACCCCGTGGGAATTTAGAGTAATATGATCGATTACATGGAGGTTCTAGGTATATGGTTGAGCAGAGCTTGCTATTTTCAAATCTTTTACTATAGACATAGCAACAGAATTAGGGGGTCAATTAGCCCAAGTAGAGTTACTCATTTGTTCTTCTATTTTGACCACCAAAGTCTATGATACTTCATTTTCCGTTTTCGAGCCTTAAGGGGCTAGCATGAAATTTATACCTACTATCACAACTTCGTGCTCAACAAAAGTGCTTATTGCTTCTTTGACCATGTCGGAAACACCAAATAAGATTACTGTAGTAATTACCGCCCTAACTACTGTATTGGTGAGATTTGACTGAGTGAAAAATAGTGGAAAAGAACTTCATGGAACGATACCCAATAATCCATTCTTTATTATCACAACCACTACCACCAACCCATATATAACTTGATCCCTTAAAAAAGTCTATGTATGTATCTTCTAACGCAATATCCATAAGTGTATCTTTACAACACAAATAGTATCACATTCTATTATTCCATCGAGCCTAGCATTTCCATCACTTCCCAAGCGAAAATTTGTACATTAGATCCCATAATGATATCTGTAGCTTCAACTCCCTCTACCCAAACACCAAGTAAAGCCTCCCGAATTCCAGATGCGCCATTCATCTTGGGCTGTTGTAAGCTTACCACAACTCCCGCAAGAGCTCCGATAAATTCGTCAAAAATTATCCATAATACCATACTGCACTTACTTTCAATGATGACTAAAACATCGATATTGCTAGTACTACCGGGACCGAAGAATCCACATACATAACTGCGGGATCGACATAATCCCCCTTGTATTCAGCACAGCGGCTCTCACACCCACTAACATATTTATGATAACTAAAACTCCATACTCCATATAAGTAGCTCCAACTACCCACGAGATATACCAAACCAATACAAAATCCTCATGGACACATTTGATATCTGGGACCTCGAAACCGGATCTGAGTAAACTCGACAGTAGCGGTCCTCATCCTCACAAGCATAGACTTTTGGATCAACTTCCCGGATGTGCATTCGACTATCTTAGACTGAAAGTTTGAAAATCTGATATTAGATTCAAGTAATTTAGATAAACGATACGCTTTAGGATAAACAAGCGTTCAGCAAAAGAAATGTATTGAACATGTTATTTTCTCCGCCTGCTTTCCGACAAGATGCCGCTGTAGCACTAGCTGAAAGATGTAATCTTATCTTGAATGGGCCCTTCTCTTCATTCCGAAGCACTCGAGACAGGAAAATTATGATCGAGGTAGATACTAGTTTCTTCCCAGCATAGCTATCCATTGCCATTGCCATTGCGTACCAGAAACTCCAAGACCTAATCATGATTTTATCTCCCCCCTGAGTATTCTCATCCTTAGCCCTCCTTTGTTATTTCTAGTTTCAGAAACTCCGTTTATTTCTCTGCTTTTTATTTTCGGATTCGGCCATTTACTCTATCCTTTCCTCTCTCATTTCACTATTGTTTTTCTTTCGTGTTCGTAGCTTGGAAATTTTCAGGGGTATATTGTAACATATCCTGAGCTTAGTTGTTTAAGGTTTTTGGTAGCGATTTGTCGAGGATTAAAAGCGTACAAGAAAGGAGAATTGACGCTTCGAACTCGAACTGTGAAAGATATCCTGGTCTGACTTGTAACTCTGATTTATATAAACGTTGTGATGTTCCTTTCAGTGCCAGATGCTCTTATTTAAGGATAAATTGTTGGTGTTAGGGGTAAATTTATTACAATCATCATTAATTCCATGAGTGACCAATATGATATGGAATATATGGGATATTGCGTTACTATTACTTCGCCATATTATCAAAGAGTCATGTCCTAAATCCTCAATCCCAATAATATGACCATTGTGGTGAACCCATAACATCATCCACCCAGCCCTTACCCGATTCATTGCCTCCAGCACCTGCGCATACAATCAGTGGTAAGAAGTGCTCCTGACCTCTCTCGGGATGCGCCTCATCAGCTCCAGACCAATTCCTCCAGTCTTCTAGTTTTTTACCCCGTTGTTCAGCATCCGGCACTTTCATTGTTTCAGTCAAGCGGTATGACCATTCTTTATTGCGTGCTTTGAATGCAGGAGTTTCCGCGACACCATTGAACATGAATCGGAGGTTGTGAAACGTTGGCATGCCGCTACCTATGATGGCGATCCCGCGGGATCGCAAAGGTGCAAGAGCTTGGCCCATGGCATAATGTTGGGCTGGCGAATTCGATCGTAGGACTGAGACTTGAACGACGGGGATTTGTGCCGCGGGAGAAATGAGAAGTAGAGGAACGAATACGCCGTGATCCCATCCTTTCGAAGATTGTGGTCAGTTATATAAATCAAAGATTTTTTGACGAGAAATCAAACCTCTTTTCTCATCTAACACCGGTTTCAATCCTGCGCCGTCCAACAACTCGAAAACCTCTTTCGCTACTTCTGGGCTTCCGGGCGCAGGGTACTTCAATTTATATGTTTCGGGTGGAAATCCAGAATAATCATACAATAAATCGTGGTGCTCAGCACTGCTTATATGAGGACGTGTCTCAGCCCAATGTGCAGTAACTAATACAATAGCCTTTGGGGGCTTCGAATTGGCAGAATTGGGCAAGATGCCTAGTAGTTCGGGAACACGTGTGCTCATGGACTTTATGAGCTCGGCATGGCCAGGATCATTAAGAATGGGCATAGGACCTCCGCCATGGCAGACAGCTATCACAGGAGCAACAGTATTCGAAGTTGAGGCCGACATGCTCGAGATTGGGGAGGATAGTGAGGAAATGGGAGCAAGACAGGTGGGTTGGAATATATTGCTATATTGGTGGCAAACAGCGTTTAGTATGGTGGTCGCACGATGGAGGACGCGCATGAGGTATGGAGAAGGCGGGAAGAGAAAGGAAATCCCTAAAGTTAGACTAGCAGATGTTAGTAGGTAGGTATAGATGGAGGTAGAGCAAGAGATATATATGTTGAGTCCATAGCTTCATTCTTTTCGAAGTATCAAATGGGTTACCGATTGATTACGGAGAATGCGGGGTCGTAGACCGCTAGATTGGTAATAATTCTGCCGCGCTTATTAGATCATCACCCACCCTGTCTAGTACCTGCATTCACCACGTCAAACCTACCAACAACACTGGTAGATATGTCAAAGGACTTGTCACAAAAATACAAAAATAGGTAGACGATAAAAACAGGAGCACTTTTCGGACTTTTTCTGCGTCGATATTTTAATCACTTCTCCGATAAAGACAGCAAATTTTATGCAGATTTCTACCGTTCCCCCAGCACAAGAATGGTGGAATATCGTCATAGCATCCTTCGATTAGCTCTTCGCTCTTTCCCGGACTCTTGATATGCCGTATAGTCGAGATGGTACTGGAACGAACTCTAGTGCGGGCACTTGCGTATGAAGATGTGTTTTTTACTCTCCTCATGTTAATGACTCGCGAAAAATAATGTATGGTGCGAGGCTGTATATTTATAGATATCCATATTGCTTCGAAGGGGCTTCGATCGAGTCAGACCCTCCACCATTTTGTGCCTTTCTTGACTATCCTTTCTCCGGCACCTATCATCCCTTCTTTATGCCTTGGAATTCAGAACGAGTACTCCCCCATTGTACGGCCGCCAGCCTGCCTCTTAGCTTTGATCTACCATCGTCTTTAGTCGCCAGTAATTAAGGTTAAAGGAGCTGTGGATTGGTGTGGAGGTAGACAGATCTTAAAACCTTATTCAAAGCTCTAAATAAGAAAGACTAGTTATCGCGCACTAGATGCAATTTAGAACGCAGCGAGAAAACCCACAACACAGCCTTTTTACTAGGCTGCACAGAAATAATCCGCAACCTGCGAGTATCCATGGATAATCCGCCGTGTGAATAGTCTATTGAACCTCCTACCCAATTTGTTGATTATCCACTGAGGTTTTAATTAATACGTTTTTGATTATTTGCAATAATCCGCTCTACAGATATCTATTCAGATTTTCCAATGTCCGCTCCACAAGCGGGTTATTCACGGACTATCCATTAGGAAAAATATTCCGCTCCGCGGATACCCCTTGCGCAGCCTACTCTTGCTCTCGTAACATAATTGGTTATTCTTATATGCTTATGTCTCATTGGAAAAGGTCGAAGATGTGCAACGATTCAATGCAGCATCCAATACCGAGACTTTTCATTTTAGTTTATGGATATTCTACTTGCCGGATTGCTCGCAATATCCGTAGCCGTTTTCGGCTCCCGAGCTTTCCCCTTTCACATACCATCAATTACGGTCCAGCCAATGCACTCATCGTAAAAGCACCATTTGCTTTTAAATACAATGCACAATTCTTAGCAATATTGCACACGAGTCAAAACAATTCTGCTGCCGGAACTTTACCAATCCTTTTTGAGATTTTACCAATGTATGTCCAGAAGCACCTATTCATACGCTGTAAATACGTAGAGAAGTCCAAATCTACAATAAAGAACAAGCCTTGCAAAGCCCCAGATCCATTTTCTCTTCTTCTTCTGAAGGAAACTATTTGTGAAGCTTGACCTCTTGCACGCTCATGGGGAAGCTGACTCGATTTTTTTTCCCAATCCAAATTGCGTTTCGATAACTTAGCTTAACGGTAGCATTGGAGTATCCTACTCATCGTTGTATTCGAAAGTTTTCTGACTACGCTGTCTAGAGAGATGATGATTAGGCTCTGAATTGACCTCATAGTTATATATTTTAGTCATTACTTACTCTAGCCAACCCTGTAGTTACCCCATGCTCGTGGAACTTGCGAGAATCAGTTTCGGGTTTTAGACTAGCATGAACAGCACGAGATCTGAAGAAATCTGGACAGTGAGATTTTGCTTTGTTGCATCTCAATCTGGAGATTGAAGTCATATAGAGGGAGCTAGTTGATAGTAAGCGCAAACAGCAACTTGAACCAATGAAATCTTTAGCTAGAGATAATAGCACCTATACTTATGAGAAACATTTAGTGCCAATCAGAGCTGTTGTAGAACAGGAGTTTACGTAGAACTGGAGGAGTACAAATGCCCGAGAGAGGATTGAGATTCGAAGTTCAATCGCCTTCTCCCGTTACTTAGTATTGGGTTTATTGAAACCAGAAAGAGCATCCGATTGAATTGATTGATTCTCTAGCTAAGCAGTTAAGCTGCGAGTATATATTCAAAAAATGAAGGAATAGGGTTAGGTATTCGGCCTTCGGAATTAAAGTGCTTTGAAATCAAAATATTGAAAGCAAACAAACAGTATACCAAAAAGGAAAGAATGAATTAAAAGTTGAGTTTTGTTTGCTCCTTATATGCATCATGCAATATATATGCATATGCTGCCCAGATCCCAGGAGGTCAACACTTAGACAGGTTTGAGAAGACACAATGTGATGACACCGCAAATTTACTCTTCTCGAATTCTTTGTCGAAAGCTTAGAGGTAGGTTCTTGATTAATTTCTTAATGGGTGGACTTTGTACCACTTAAAATTTACTCTTTGCCAGCTACTATTTACATATGTGAATTTTGTTGCCTTCGACTATAAAGCGCCCCATAATAGTCATATTTTCTCTAACGCTAATGTGATTTTAAATCAAAAATTCTCCCGTATATGCTGACATATTTATTATAAAAACATGCACATGAAAAAGCACGATAATGTCTTCGATCAGAACTTTCTAAATTTTGACCAGTCCTTCCTGAGGCATTCGACGAAAAAAATCACTGGCTGTCGGAAGAGGTTCTACCATGGTGGCAGGTAAGGCAACCGGCTGTAAATACACTCCTGGTATCAAGCGCTTTTTCGTAACACGAGTCGATTACTGCCCAATTTAGATAAGGAAAACGGTCATGCTTGATTAAATAAACAATGGTGCGCAATGTAACATTTTAGGCGTTTAAGTTCTAGGCTAGAACTTCTGGCGTGAAAATTCGCAGAGAAAAAGTAGTCGCAACATGATGACACGAGATAGATTTGTCTCGCGAGCGTATGGCGTGTGAGTATTGATAAAGTACCCATACGATGTCGCCTTCGATAAGAATTTTTCGTTAATAGATCGTAAAATTCTCGCAAACGTCCGTTTTTTCATCTAAAATATGATTTCCTGTACCGTGACATCATTTATTAGCTCCACATCGCCCCTCTGAGATTGTAGAAATTCGTACTTCATTTTGTCCCCGTTCTTTTTTCTTCTTGAGGAGAAAAAAGACACTCAACTATTAGCTGGATAATAGTGTTAAATAAAGTCTTCCAAATTCCTCTTCCAATAGTCCATGCTTAAACATCCCTACTCAAATGTGATATTAGGTTTAATTACCCCAGTCTGAATATTTAGGCGAGAATCTCCTAAATTAGCGTGATAATTAGTGACACTCGCTAAGCAGCCTTCAATTTTCAATCACCACCACGCTATAAGTTTCTAGGTGATATTGCCGATGAACTTGATTTTTTTTAAAGAGAAATGAGGCTGAAGTTTTATTACCACTGGGTCTATGGAGTCAGTGAATGTATGTGGTAACAAAATAGATGGGGCAGTAAGATTACCATTTCAAATGACACCGTGACAACTGGAAGTGTTCCGATGTAGGAGATTCTATGAAAGGATCACATGTTTAATTGTCTCATGTAAGCTCAGTAGTGGTTAGTAAGTGTGCAAGAAAAAAGTGGAGTTGAGAAGGGGAGATGGTAATATCAAACCTTTGACTGCTGTAGATCTAGAATCCGATTGCACCATCGTTCTTGACTAAAAAAAGAGTTTAATCTCTTACGCCGATGCACAAGACACTAGACCATTCTTTCCCAACCGAGATTTCCGGATGATCCACCTGGAGATATGGACATCGTGACATCATGAATCGAAGAAATAGAATTGCGTAATACCAGAGGGAAAAGACAGATATGTGAGATCCGGAAAATTTTCTCTCCTTCACAACACCCAACAAGTAAGCAATTGCAATGAAAAGAGTGGGGCCAGAAATTTTCCAAAATTAATCCTAAAAGAGTAGGGGAGAAAACCCAGAATCCGGGGAAAATAGAGGTGAAATTTCGTAGAAAGAGTTAGAAAAAAGTCCATCGGCTATCCGGTCGAGTTGGATTCAGTATTCAGTATCTAGTGTCCAGTCTTCAGAATCCTGTGGAAAGTCCAGTAAAGAATCCAGTGTTCAGTATTGTGTCCAGTTCAATGTTGTGTCCAATCAGTCCAGTGTTGTGTCCAATCAGTCCAGTGTTGTGTCCAATCAGTCCAGTGTTGTGTCCAATCAGTCCAGTGTTGTGTCCAATCAGTCCAGTGTTGTGTCCAATCAGTCCAGTGTTGTATCCAATCAGTCCAGTGTTGTGTCCAATCAGTCCAGTGTTGTATCCAATCAGTCCAGTGTTGTATCCAATCAGTCCAGTGTCGTCCAGTCCAATGTTGTATCCAGTTCAGTGTTGTCCAGTTCAGTGTTGTCCAGTCCAGTGTTGTCCAGTCCAGTGTTGTACAATCTAGTGTCGTCCAATTTAGTGCCGTTCAGTCCGGCATCCAGCATCCAGATTCCAGTGTCGAATATAAAGATGAAGATGAAGAAAAGAAAAATGAGTGAAGAGGGAAGAGCAGCCTTTTTTATACAAATTGCATTATCTACTAGTACTAGTTTACCAGAGTGAGTCATATGAAATGATGAAAATCTCTCTAGTATGGGCGGAGTAGTGGTATTAGCTCTTAGCGAATGACATAGACCACGGACATTTGCAGTGTAATACATCGGCGTTTGGACAAGTTCTCCTCACAATGCGGAGTACAACCCAATGGTATCCTGATATTGAGTCCTAACCTCAGATTCACCGAAAGCTTTAAAGTGGTAGCGACTCAGTTTTCCTGAAACATATGGAAAAACTTCAGGTCACGAGTGATTTCAGTACTTTTAGATTGTAGATTAGCTTTCTGCTAATTTCCAAGTTGAGCCAACTTACCAACCGGCCTCCGCATTAGAATATATACGAAACAGATAGAATGACTGAATTATTTATCGCGAGACCGAATCTTGTAGTTGTGAAAGTAGATGTATGCGATGGTCAGAGTTCAATAATAACGATACACGTTATTTATTTTGAGATCACAAAAATTCCAGATTACTATGTGATAGATTGATACTCAGGCACGGATGTATACATTATACTAAACAAGGATAAATTATCACTTTCCCAAGTAGTTGGAGCTGAGAAAACCTTTTATGGAACTGATTCTCAGGTTATTCCAATCATTAAATAGATTACTTTGTAAGACTAACTTTATTAAGTAGCAAACAGACGTGCAACAAAAAGTACCAAACTTTCACTATGTGCTTCAATGGACTTAAGAAATCTTAGTACATGATAGTTAGTCTAAAAATCATGGCAAGTGTAGACTAATTGGTATGACAGACATGTCAAAGCATGAGATTACGTAAGCCAATGTCGATTAGCCTAGGGCTAAGACTAACCTCCTATTCTAGATTGACTATGGTTCACGCTTGATAAGCAAAGGGTACAGTCTAGTTCTAATTAAAAAAAAACTCAATTCAGCTAAGTATTTAGATCACATCCTACTATGCACATGATCTGAAAAAATATTTTATTAGTGGATGAACTAATGAACTAACTAGAGGGCTTCTTCCTACCCCAGGCAAGCCCAGGAGTAGGATGAAACCCACCCAGCGACAGTGCAATACTGGGCGAATTTAAGTTTCATCACCCAGTGTTAATTAAAACACTGGAATCCATAAAACTTAGCCTTGGGGTTGTCAATCCCTGGCAGGTGATGCACATTCGTGCGTTGGATCCCCGCCCCTCCTTCCCTGTCCTCCCACCCAGATCGCATTTGACCTGGATAAACAAGCCTGTTTACTGCCTGTACAATCTGAGGCCACCCCCCCCGGCCCTGGCCTTCCTCCACCAAATCGCATTTGACCCGAACAAGTAAGTCTACCTGCCGCCTGTACGATCTAGCTTCCTCCCTTCCGTCCAGTGTTGGTTCGTTCGGGTCCTTCGAGGTCGTTCGTTCGTTCGAGGTTGATCGGGTCGTTCATCGAGGTCGTTCGGGTCGTTCGAGTCGTCCTGAGTGGGGCTTAGGTGCCCACAAGTCGAGGCCTGTAAACTATACACGGTGCATTACTTGTAATATCATCAAAAGAGAAACGCTGAGTGGAGGATAATAAAGTCAAACTAACTATGGCAGTCAAAACATAACTGTTGATGTGTTTACGTGTCGATGATGCAAACGAGATCCTAAGGCGAAATCGAAAAATTAAAGGTAAAATGAGTAAAAGAAAGAATAAATTACCCAAAGGTAGTCCTGGCGTAGAAAAGGTGATTGAATGAAGGGAAGATGATTGTTTGAAGGAGGAGGGAAATTGGGATCTTTTTTATAGGCATTTAGAATATGCTAATGCTAGCTTGGTGATCCGAGACTCCCTCCCAGTCTGAATAGAAATCGGCCACTGACACTCTTCTAACCTTTCTCAATGATCAAAATGGGAATGGTATTCTCTAGAGCTTGATCTACCTCATTAATTTTCATCTCCACCTACTCCCGATTCCTCCCGTGTTTTTGCTTCTGAAGCTTTACATGATATTATTTTACGTGTATATGGCCTCATCCTGCTTAAGGTTTTAGTTCTTCAGCATGTAAAACTGTATATTTTATCTCTTAGGCCGTGTAATTCTTCACTGTCTTGCAAAATACTTTTTTCGTGTTCACAGTATTATATATAGAATTAGTTATTGTTCAAGTTTGTCTTTACAATATCAGAGGTTATTCAGAGTAGTATTGGGTATATAAATAAGAATATATAGAAAACTGTTCAAAGTCTTTCTATGTTTACAGCATTCTATATAATATAAATTGTTATTCAAGTTTATCTCACGGTTTCACATGCCATTCTAAGCGGTATCAGGTTAATAAGTATGTAGAGAAAACTCCTCAATTTCGTCCTCTATCACACTAGATAGATGCATTTGGTACAAGCTACTTATCAGACGCAGGTGCCAGTCCAGACTTTTGTCACTTCATGTCACGAATTCAACTTACATGTAAAATATTACAGTAATAATTTGAGTCGAACACCCTGCATCATTTCCGTTGAATCTGGCATCTGTGAACCATAGCTTCTTGGTATTTGCCACAGAGTATTTTTCATTTTTTTTTCCAATCCACAAATTGGATCCGGTGTGGGCAGATCACATCAGCACTTTCGAGCATTGCGCGCTCATGGACATGCTCTTTAGGTCACGTTTCTTATCATAAATTACCCATACAAAGTGTCTATCTATCCGATTTTTCCTAATTTACAAGTTTAATCCATCAGCATACATGTCCTATCGTTATCCTTGGATTCCACGAGTCAATAAATGACGCATTATTGCGGAAAACTTTTTTAAGTATTAACACATTCAAGCCAATCTTTGATGGATAACGTTGGAATCCGAATGGACTAATGGAGCTAACTTCGAATCTAATGCACTAGTATAGAGACTAGACTGAATGACTAACATTAGTTTGCGGGGAATGGAAGCCCTAAAATAAATCAAATCTAACAGTCTGCAATAATAAACTACCAGAAGAATTTTAGAAGTTTCTAGCACTTAGAAAAATACACCGTTTTAGATGCACACTTCATATCCACCCACAAGAGATGTTGTCTGACATCGCGTATCTGAGCTTATGCCCCGCACCCATTTGAAACGGAGTTCTCTCTTCATATTAGAATCATCAAAAGCAAATATAAAATAGGGAAGTGGAACTATCTATGCACTTTGCTGATGGCTACAAGAATACTTTCATTGTTGTGCGGTGGAATAATGATAAATTTGAAAAAAAAGGGGGTGGTGGCACGTGATGCATCAAAATCTATTCGGACCAGCCAGATGGTAATCGAAATAGAGATCGTAATCCGTAGCTCAAGGCTCAATCAAGAATCCTATGTATTCATTTGACCTACAATCTTTCAATGTCATCCTTGTAGCTACATTATGTCGAATATGCCAAGAATGTTCTTTTTTCCCCGAAATAGAGATTGGACCCTGATCATCGCGTGCTTACGTAAAGATCTACCAAATCCTAAAGTATGATTCGTTCCTTGCATGAAAATTCTAGCCTTAACACGCTTCCGTATTATTACCGTTGCTGTTGTCACTCACCAACGTTCACGGTCCATCTGATCCAAATTCAGGATTGAAATTCGAAACACCTTTCGTTCAAACAATATATTCTCTTTACAACATGTTTATACCGTAATTCAGTAATAATTGCTTTTACATAATGGTTCTCTTAGCTCTCCAAACAACTAGTCGAGCAGTACTGCGACGTTCACACTTTCCAACCCCTCGGAAACAAACAAACTTCACTTCGAAAAGACACACCTCCAATAATTCCACCCATTCACCTCATTCAAGCCCCTTGCCAGAAAACTCCGCTAATGGCACTGCAATTCCAATTCCTGCGACTATTGCGACTCTGCCATTATGGCAACGACTGGGTCCTTTAACTAGATCCTTCCAGGCATACGGTCGATCACAAAGGAAGCGCCCTTATACTACACAATTTTGTAGCTCACTGGTGATATATTTCCTGGGAGACCTATCGGCGCAAAGCATCTGCGGGGATGATTATGATTGGAAACGTACTTTGAGAGCATTGGTTATCAGCATGGGGAGTAGTATTCCATCTTACAAATGGTTCGGCCCCCTATTACTCCATTGTCCATGGAGACAAGATGCCGAAATAGACTAACAAAGCAAAGGTTTATGTTTCTCTCTAAAAACTTCAACTACTCTTCGAAAGCCGGTTCTCTCGCAACAAAAGTCGGTGTCAATCAAATTTTCTTCACTCCTATCTTCAACACATATTTCTTCGGCATGCAATCATTACTTTCAGGAGACAGCATACCGGACGTCGTCGAGCGTGTTAAGAGAACGGTTCCGACTAGTATGATGAACAGTATTAAACTCTGGCCGGCGGTCACAGCTATCAGTTTCGCATGGGTACCACAAGAATACAGGAGTATTTTCGCGGGAGTCATCGCAATTGGGTGGCAGACATATTTGAGTTTCTTGAATAAAAGAGTGGAGGGTGAAATGGCCGGAAGCGTCGAGAATACAGAAAAAGAAATTATGAGAGCTCCCATCGCGAAAGTTTCGAAAGAAGTTGCCGTTATGAAAGAACATGCCAGTGAGGCTCAAAAGCAGAGCGCCTAGGCTTAGTTAGAACGAGTGCACGTTGTATTTTGGGGTGTAATTTATGGGACATTAGATGGGCAAGGCATAGACATTATATTAGAAATATCAGCGGGTCTGATGGTCTGATGGTCAGCGGCGTAGTGGGCATTGGAAATAGATATAGAAGGCACGGCGTTTATAGAAGAGAGGGACCATGGTCCCCAGCGAGGCTTTTTACGCATTGGATTTACAACCATCTAGAAAATGATAGTTTCATTTCTCTGCATCCATGTTTAACGAATTAAAAAGTGATGATAGCGAATTTTTGCTCTTCTCGATGGTTGGACGCTCATCCAGAATTCAACAAGTTGTCCACCGAGATTTCCAGATCGGTCCCTCGCAAAGTCCAAATGTTGAGCTATCACTTCATATTATTTTCAAAAGACTTTGGACAGTATCTATCAAAATACGAACATATCTCTAAACACTGCATGGAATTAAGTGATATTCTGCTGAGATATTTCAGCTAAAACCTAATTAATATTCAGCATCACACAATATTCAATCATTATTATCGAATATCCTTGGACTGTCCCTCCCCTCAATACTTCTTAATGTTAATGCATAGACAGATACAGTCCTCGTCTTCTCGGGAGTCCGTTTGGACTAATGTTACTGTATGATTTGAATTAGGTATGCAGAGGATAGAAATCTGCGATTAAAAGGCAGGCAGATAGACCAGAGAGACTCGAGTGACTCCTTTTCGGCTATTGACGAGATGTCTCATAGGTTACCTTATGACTCCAATCCGTGTAGTATGCAATGTTACAAAATCAAGAATACGTCATGATAGAAGTGTTATCTTTATCATGGGGGTTAATCATATCTCGTGATTTAGCTTGAAGACTTTTGTTTTGTTTTGTTGCATGTCTGGATAAGTATGTATGTATACCTATCTTTCCACCCAAGCATTCGAATTCACTGATTCTCTCGTGGCTGGTTTCTTATTTTCGTTCTCTAGATTGGTATTTTGTGAGCGATGATCTGGTGAGGTGGATATAGTAAGACGTATATAGAGATGAATTGGCATGTTTCTTGTGGTTGGTGTTGAATGTTTATGGTTTGTTGTGTTTTGGGGAAAGGTGAATAGTAAGACTTATATATATACACATCTCTCTTCTCATCTCAGGGCTTTTGATGTTTAATTTATTATTGTAGGATTAGAATTTAGGAGACTTGTTCTTAAACTTATGTTAGAATATCTGACCCCATGAGATTAAATATGATATCCTTTTTGGAAATGAGCTTTGGTATGGACGAGTAAGATAATCTTGTTTTTAATTGCTGACTATGTCACCGTATTATCCTATCTAGACCTATGATTTATAATAAGGGTAGAAGAATCTTTCCAGAGTAAATTCGAATTGACAGGCAGAAATTGACAGGCAACTTGAAAAGACGGTCAATCCACAACCCTATGCTAGGGGCAGAGTCATGGAAATGAGGGTTTTGTTGAAGGAATTTCATATTTTTATGGATATGGTGCGGCGATATTGGAGGAATTGTATAGAGCGGTTTTGGAAACGGAGTTATTACTGCAGGGGATATTTAGGATGGAGGGAGGGGGATTTCCCGGGGAAAGAAGAGGTGGAGGAGAGGAATATGGAGACGAAGGAGGAGCAACGAAAATTCATTGAGATACAAAGATTTGCTATGATGCTCTTTGTTGAGAAATCCATGAGCAATGAGCAAATAGGTATCGAGCTCCATAATGTAGAACGAGATGAGAAGAAATGTGGACCGATTGAGGATAGTTATCTTTGGGGTTCTGAATATAGGTTGGGGATGCAGCTTGAGGAGTGTGGGTTGAGGGTTATGGGCTTTTCGGAGTTTTGTGTTAGGATGGTTATGAGGTTTGTGGGTGGGAAGCAGGATGTTGCTGTGGGATTGATGGCGCATGAGGAATAGAGAGTTGGATTTATACAGGTGACTAGGAGATAGAAAAAGAGTTTGATGTCTTTAATTCCTGCAGATTATTCTTTCTTGTAAGTCCCGGAAGACTAATTTATTGTCCTGGCTCGTCTACTGGGCAAGATTAGTGATTGTAGTGGGTGACAATGTATATATTGAGCGGTATTATGGATAATTTGTCCTGAAAGCCATTTCATAATGATGGAATATTGAGCCATTGGGTATTACTCTTGAAATTTTGAACTGACTACCCCGGAATTCTGTGACATTAGGTGAAATACACAGTCGTTTACTGAGCTTCCGTCCACCCTTCGATTTTCCCTTCCATAATCATGAGACTAAAAAACTCTCATATTGTCAATTCGTACGAAGATTCAAGTCACATAACCTATCCGGACAGAAGAAGACAGTCTGCGAACCTCGATTTCAAAAAGAGCGAACTGATTACTCTATTATTCACATGGAAACACTTCATAAAATATATATTTCATCGACTTAATCATAAACTAGACTTTACAGTATGAAAGTTTCAACTCATCTATAATTTTGGTAGTACTCTAGCTTTAGGATTCATCCACCAGGAATTTCAATGACTATCACGTCCTTCCAGTTTTGTACATTTCCACCAAGGTGAAGGTTATCCTCACACTCTTTATCTGTATCTGAAGCTGTAGACGGCATAAAAGCTTCAATCTTAACTTTATCATCGGGTAATAATTGACAAGGCCATGAAGGTCTCGGGCTCCATCTACCAATCTCCTCTTGTCTTAGTCTTTCATTCATAGACCAACGTAGATCTATCCCCCCCAAAGAAACTTTTCTCAATTTAAAATAATCCTTTGCCCCTTCGTGGCCACAAATACTGGAGTATCAACGAACTAAGAGGTTCCCTGCTCAATAATTCAATTCCAAAATAACTTCATATTTTTGACCTTCAATACTTTATCCAAATCTTCTCTTGCCTGAACTTTTGGAAGATATCGGCTCTCTCTGCATCGTTCGTTGAGAGTTCTACCGACCTCCTCGAATAAAGAATAAGTATTCTTCCAGAAGCAGTCTTGCTAGTTCGTGACGTTTTGGAAGACTTACTTCTAATCCTGCTTCGTTGCCGGTTTGCCGACCCTTACGTCCGGCAATCTAGTTCCAAAGCACCCTATCTAGTTATAATCGGACTTTGATGAGTCGTTTTCCATTCACCAAGAAATATTGAAATAGATACGAAACCGCAACGTTGGCTGGATGGCAAAAGCAAACCTTGGGACAGAAGTAACAGGGTATATTAACGATAAATCTCCCAGATGATATTTGATATACCAGGCCCATATTTGTTGCTCAAGGCTCGAACCACTCGCTCATCCATCTGAATTTCGATGATGTCGAAGCGTAGAAAGGTTTGCCTTAGCAGATGAATAACTTGCGTTGTCATGTAGTCGTCCGAAAAAGCGATAGACAGTATCATCGGGTGGTTTTAATTCGAATTCTGAGGCCACCAATAGAAAACGTTGGAACGAGTCGCTGCTCGAGAGTTCGGTCAAATTAATGAGAGTTGTGTGTTTGGGGCTGCTCCAAGTGAGGGCACCTTAACAATTTAATGTTCGGAAAAATTATGTTGGGAAAGAAACCACGGAATCTGTTACCATAATTTTGCTGTTGACTTGGAGAATGATAATCGTTCTGTAAATTGGTGTTGTTCTGAATTATCTTCAGAAATCCCCCATTCCAATATTGGTGTCTCTTCAGCGGAAGCTGTATGTGATGGATGACGACTATTTCAATCTCGTGGTTCTCATCATGAATGCCACTTCATTCTTGGATTTTAGCCGAATCTCGATTCGCAGACATGAGACTCAGGAGGTAACTATGCGAATGGACTAAACCTTTCGATGGCCCCATGAAAACAGGGCTTCCTCCAAAATATAAAGCTCTGACCAAGCAAGACGGGGGCTAGAGGGAGCTGCTTATTTAGAATTCGACAATCGAGCTTGTTGATGGGACGAATCGGAGCCATTTTGAATAGTTAGGAATTTTTTTTTATTGTGGACATCCGCTTTACATCTCAGCTGTGATCCTGTAGCTATGTGAAGTGGTTTTGGCGAACCTGAATGAATGTCAGTATAAACCCGTAATAGTAGATACATCTCCCTAGATTGATGGACGTCGTCTCAAAATTTCTCAACAGCGTACATTCATCTTGCAAGCAGCACACAGCAAATCCAGATGAGAAATTGGATGGCTGTTGAACGAATATCACTACTGCATCTCCGGTCGCCCTCTGACAATAATGAGTTAGATCCCTGGTGTCCTCAAAGGCTAGTAAGTGTCCCACGGAAGATTCCGAGAGATTCAAACTGCAGTGCGGCAATTCAAATATATCGATACATCTAAATGTCCGAGAATAGTGGCAAGGCTTTCTGTGTTTTATTTTCCACGGCCTATAGAGGACAGCCCTGTATCTTCCATGTATGTATCTCCTTATAATCTCGGAGTTTACCAGCAGTACCAATCCTGGGGTTCAATGACATTGTTCCGACTATTACCATTTTCGTCTCATATTGATCCCTCAACTTTGATGCCTTATGCTTAGGGAATGGACTTTCCATTGGCTCAAGCACCTGAACAGGGTTTTTGTTGCGTAAGGGCGGCCCTGCCAATAAGATGCTGATTGTGCCCAGGAAGAATTGATGACGTCGGAGATCGCGAGAAACATGAAATAGCTGCAAGAAGATATGGCATACTTCATTCTTGATGGCTGGGTCACAAACGGTATAGAGGGGCAGTGATATCCAGGGTTGGAATTGACCACACCAGAAACAGGAAAGAATATCATTGACCACGGCATTTCGTGACCGTTTAAATTTCATGCTTGCCGCCTCGTCCTTGTGTGGCGCTTGGATCAATTGATCCTGAGGGGCCAGTAGCTCCGGAGTAAGTCAAAATACCAGTAAAGAACAGCCGTTTCTACCGGCTGTACCTGCTCGCGGACGAGCCACATACGGGACAAAAAGATCAGTTGTCATTCTTTCTTTCCACAGTATTAACGGTGGGCCGAGAATTGCTGAGCTAGATAAGGTTGATGGATTGCAAAAATCGATGTTTTTGTGATTTGAAACTGTTCTCCGGCTTGAAAATGGGGATTTGACCTCTGGTCCAAAGACATTACATGAAGACCATATGTTTTAGGACCATCTAAAAACAAATCGAATTTCATCCAACATATTTGAGAACAACATTCCTAATCCTGAAACCTGAGTATCCTCAAAAGACTGTGTCTTTGTCAATTCTGCTAGCCCGTGGTCACAGACACAATCGATGAACGTTTTCTTGATTATGTCGAGACAATTTGAACTTTTGCATGACTGAGTTCCCGCCAAGATCGCGCCACAGAGACTAGGATAGGTCATCGCAGAGACCGAACTCAAGTATTGCATCCGAACTTGCATTATTGCAATGCAGATAAAATCCCAAAGGCAATATGGGCGTCAGATCCGTTCTTTCTGACAAGCACGCGACCAATACATTCAATACAAGATTTTTTGATTGGTCTGCCATTGTATATTACAGTGATTGACCATGGTTACAACAACTTACAAAGATGTGGGTTTGGAGATGAAAAATTTAAAGAAAACAAGCAGATGCTCGAGGGAAACATACTCGCCGGGAAGGTCCATCAACCAATTCCATTTCTATTTTTGGAGACACTCCACAAGACAAATCTGAGTAGTTTGAAGTCAACAAGCTCGCGATGGTACAATGTAAGAGCGACTTTGGAGACACTACACAAAAAAGGTATTAGAAAATTGGGGTGAAGTTTTGATTGGGGTAATTTGCACCATAGGAATTCCGAGTACCAAAATATCTCATTTGAGGTATCAGGAAAGATCGGCGACCAGAATTTCCGTTCTTGCATTCATCGGAACCGCTTCACTGTGATGACGAAGACGTTCCACTTGACAGGCTTACGTTCCCCATGCTCAGTCCATGGTCCAGCCGTTGCAGGAAGAGCAGTTCTCTTGCGTGCGTTAGTGCATAGTGCCACAATAAAAATTGACAGGATACCGAATTCGTCCTTGATCGTATTCGGATATTTATGCTGTGATGTAACTATGTATTTATCAGCTTCACGAGCTCACAGCCATACAGTAGAAGAAATCAGTCACCTTCATCATTTCAATAATTTGTATTCCATGGTTGATAATGGACTTGACGATATCGAAGAAGTGGTTGATGATAGCCAAAGGAATTGCAGCGTAGACACTGGCAATTTCGAAGGTAGATTTAACTGCGAATGTACCAAATTCGAAGGGAGGTGGATCTCCTAAAGGCTATTTACGACCTGGATATTCGATGTATCAGTCCAACGATATTCGCGTATCCGATCCCCCACATATAGATCCGGCGCCTTGAACCAAGAACACTGGAAAACCAAGCCAGTCGGATATCTCGAATTCCCATTTTTTCTCGGCCTTGGCCTGTCAATGGGAAATCTTTGCTGATTGATTGATTTTTCATGTGCAGTCTGTGGAGAGCGAAAAAGAACTGGGCAAAGAGATGCTGGAGGAGTTTGAAAAGCGAGTACAATAGAAGATAACATTTCCGAGGTCTTTCCCAAAGCACGCAGTCTCTAAAGAAAACGATGTATCAGCGATATTTTTCTTGCGACGATACCAGTAAGGCCGAGAAAGTTCGTGAAAGAGCATAATTTATCGTAGCCCAGGAAATTGGAAATGATGTAAGTTACTTACCCGGAAATGTCTGTTGTATTTGGGCTAAGGCCCCCATGCCTGATTCTTCTCCATTGAAACTGTTTTCCTCCCACAATAAAGCGCAGACGTACCTTCCCCCACGGAGGTGTTGTTGACGTCGGGCCTTGGACACCTTCCATGCAATTGCTCCTCGGAACTATTATGATATCTACACTGAGAAATAGAGAGATTTAATCAAGAACTTCTTGATGCACTCCAACCATCAGGAAGATATCCAATATTCTGGGTTGAGGAAGTTTTGTCCATTGTCTGTGTGAAAGGTAGGTGACCTTGAGGAGTGGGAAGTTCGTGATTCTTAGTTCTCGAGTTTGTTTGGTGATTAGCTACCAGCTGGGGAGGATCATCGTACCCTCTGAAATCACCATATAGAAGATCGGCGGCGAGACGAATTTGACGGCTCACTCATATTCTGCCCGCGTCTTTGACCGTAGGACAAATCCCACCCGAAGAGCCGGAAGGGCATAGACGGAGGTGATCACTTCTTTGAGAAGAGAGATATTAGATGTATGTAAAATTCTGTTTGGTCAATTGTGTTTTATAATTGCTTTCTATGAAGAATATCAATGGATCTTGTTTCCTACTATGAGATTGTGGAGATCATGGGTTGCCCCGAGGATAAGATACAAGATAGGAGAGAACCTGGAAGGGCATAGGGGGACTCGGGTCCCAGTCAAGAAGGGCCAACACAATGTGTGAACTTTTAAGTATTACCACTTCACTTTTCCCGGCACACAAGCCGATCCATCCACTTAGGACTGCCGTGTTGCGGCCACCTCTGAGCGCCCGTTCAATCTTTTGGAGAACTTGAATCCATGGAGAGGTCACGATCAAAGCTCTCCGAATTCTCCGTATTTTTGTTGTGGCATGAAAAGGCTATTGCAAATCCAATGGTTTGATCCTTCTGTCCAGGTAAATTTGGTGAATCGCATGTTCAACGAGTCCAATGAGCTGCTTCCTACAATAGCTCGAGCTTGGATATCTCTCTTTCCAAAACTGGACCCAGCCAGACTGGAGATCACCGCTTTGCCGTCAAAGCCTGGGTAAAAGTCTTAATGTCCAACAGATTGGAGTAACAGGATGTGTAATCGACCTCAGACAGATTGGGTTTGCTTTTCTGATCCTTTGGCACCAAAAAAGAAAGCCTGATATTCTTGTTTGATCACCGTGAGTGACATTGCTCGAATTATTGCAAGCCGATGGGAGGTAGTGTTGATGGCAGGGGGGCGGTTCAGATGCTGTGGTGTTAACTAGACAGTTACCCGGCGTGATATGTTTCTGAATGATTTTCTGTTCATCAATAGTCCTAATTCGGGAGGATAGAGGGGTTCTTTCAAGCATTTTCATGACCGCACGCCTGGTATTTCATCTCTCAGCTGTTTCACCCTTCTACTCTGACTGTGTCTCCATTAGCGACAGGCTAATAGGACAGATATATCAAGGGCGACTTACTGCCATAATCCTTGTTCCATACCAAAAGAACGATAGTAAGACTGCACCAGCAACGGATTCGCTCTTGCATTTTTAAGCGTTCGAGGTGTTTCGACAAATCCATAGAGTGAACAGCTGTTGGCGCACCACGTTAACGAGCCACAATTCACAACTTTTTATGAGAGCCATCTCGAAAAGAATGAGGAAGCTTGTTTTAAACATGAGATATATTAGGGGCGGGGTAATAGGGGTCTTGAGGAAATGGCAATGAGACAAACGCCGCATTGGCATACCACGACATGTAGTTTTAGTGTTTAAGAACAGCGATCAGCACCAAAATTGAGAAGATAACTTTACGACCAGCGTGAGGAAGAAAAGATTGAATATCTGGAACAGAATGATGGAGTAAATACCTTAATCTATTTGCCTCAGCATCTTTTCTGTTTGGGTTCACGTGATCCGAATATTGACGGCCGTGGGGACCTTAAGCGATGTGCTGCTTCCCGAGACAAAAGAAATTTGCATATTTTGAAGCAATTGATCAATGCTTCGCTGGAAGGAGGCTTGTGGCAGGCATCGGGTGTTTTTCATAAATTTGTGATGTGATAGTTAATATTTTAGATCATTCACAGCTATTTCCTAGCCCAAAAGCTCCAGACGCCGGTGGCATGTGCAGGCTCGCAGCCCAAATGCAGTTTCCGAAGTGGCATCATCTTGAGCACCTCCAGTTTCCAAAAAAGCGCACTAGTATGGATATGCTCTGACTTCCTCTTCCTTTTCCACATCCAGCCCCGCTTCAACTTGCTCTTCATGTTTCTTGTCTAGGTACTCCAATAGAACTTCACCATACTTCTCCTTCCCCTTGTACTTACTCACGTCGTCACCCCAGCTTCTCACGGCACTTGCCAATCTCCCAGGTACATACAGCTCCTCGCATATTTCCGTGATCGGATGAAAATACGTTCTGATCGTGAACACTACACCGCCAGATCTCGGCAGTCTCCTCAACGTCTGTCGTTCAGAACGAAACCAATGATGTTCAACCGCTCTGTTCTTCTCCGCAGTATCCCAACTCACGCTACCGGGTTCTCCATCTTCGGGGCCAATGCTTGATGACCATGCTAGTTGATCGTCTACTTGAATGAAATAGTTGTTCTGAAACATTGGTTAGTATACAGCTAGCCATAATCGCGCAAGTTAGGGACACTTACACGCTGGACGGGCGCATTAGGCTGCACCCTGCGAAAAAAATTCATCATTCCTTTCTCCAATTTCTCTTTGTAGCCCGGCACGTCGCCGGATGTGTGGATCTCACTCAGTGGCATCCCCAATTTATCCTCCAAACGCCAAAACCCGGCAAGTAAGATGGCTCCAGCAAGAAGATAGTATTGGCCATCTTCCTTCTCAAACATAATGGCTAGATCATCCTGCGTGAAGCGGGCCGCCATCTGCATTGGATCTTCTGCAAGTGGCCGTTCCACGATGTTGAAAGATTCGTTAGTGAGAAGATTATCCATACCGACTGGAGTACGTCTGTAGAGTGTAGGGTAACGTTCTGGGAGATACGCGCAAAGTTCTTCGAGCAGCTCAACGGCACCATCAAATGCCGAAGGATCGGTGTAACAAGATCTGGCGCCACGTTCGATAATACGTTTGGCTTTGTCGTCATGGTACTTCATGTAGTGGTTGTCCAATTCTTAGAGATGTTAGCAATGCAGCCTTCCGCTTGGGCCGAAAATGATTTACCTATCCATTCATTCCAATCCATGGTTCTTAATCCCATGGTGATGTGATAAGGTCCATGGCGAAATGGTCGGTATGCGTTTGGCTTCGATTGTTGCACATCCCAGTTCGGAAATGGAACTGCCGTTGGGCGTTTGAATTGCATGGGGTCCCAAACTGTCAAGAATTCAGCCACTATTCATCAATTAATGGTTAGTCCTAACCTCCTAGTGGTCTCTGCACTTTTCCATTCCTAGATGTTGGCTTCTCCAAATCCGGCGTTCTCGGTCTGGCATGTCTCGGCTTCCTGAAGATCGTCACAGCCCGTATCAGCAGCCACGCAGTGAGACAGATCAATCCCGTACTGTACAACAGCATGCTCGGATTATGGGTAATCATACGGGCGGCTTCCGAGCTTTTGAACCGCTCGCAGGTAGATCTGGTCCATACTTGGAGGTCATCCAACTTCGTCTCACCCATTCTCACGAGAACTTGATTCGAGTAAGGGAAGATATGAAAATATAGATCGTAATTTATGAATTGAACTAAATGAAAACATTGTTGATAACATCAACAAAAATATATATTTATATATGCTTTTGAATTAGTGAATGGACGACAAGATCTTGCCGCGGGGCGGAACCCCACCAAATTTGTTCTTATCGCGAGGGACTTTTTTACCGTTTCGGGTATGGATTATCACACTCAACATCATGGACGGCGTGCAAACACCTCTTCAGGCATAAAAAATACTCTTCATCTTAATTCACTTGATGTCAATTGATTGAGATGGCATGAGATTCAATCATGAGCCGGGGGGAAGTTTCGGTACAATTCACTATTATGATACGCGAGCAGGAAGAGAGCCGCTTGGCCATAATCGAGGTGGTCGTAAAGCGTGGTACATTGTTTCGATACTAAACGTGCAACAGACTTCCAAGGTAAAGGGCCTTCATTGCAATTTATGTATCTGGAGCATCATCAACGAAATGTGGCTCAATTTTATTCTTAGAAACAACAATCATACATAATCTAACATGCATCACCTGCTCCCTCCATTCCCATTTTGCTGCCCCGGATGGGTCCATTGGTTTGCCCCGTGTTGATTTGATCCATTTTGCTGGGTGAAGAATGCTGGATTTATGAACGCGCCTGCTGGTATGGTAGGAGGAGGGGGCATACCTGGCCAATTATTCTGCGCAGGCGGGAAACTTGGTTGAGGTTGTTGATAAGGTTGCTGGTAACCTTGCGGGTACATTGGCCATACTGGAGGTTGCTGTGATGGATATTGTTGTGGTTGTTGAGATTGATATTGTTGCGGCTGAATTGGATTGCTGTATATGTTTGAAGAAGGTGGCGGAGGTAGAAAGTTAGGCTTTTGCGGTAAGGAAGCTGGTTGAGAATTGTATAATCCGGGACTTGGGTTTTGCGGAGAAAATGTATTGTTCGCCTGAGATGAGGCACCACGGGGATGGCCGTTACTTCGATCATTATTTCCGCCACCTCGTCCTCGTCCTCGACCCCTATCTACTCTGCCCCTGTCCCCGCGACCCCTTCCTCTGCCTCTCCCTACATGATCACCGCGTTGATTTGCTCTATTATATTGAGAACCCTCTTGCGGGGCTTCACCACCACTTGCACCACCAGTGAATCCGCTTGGTCGAGTGAGGGTTTTATAAGGGCCATCTTCGGCTTCGTCATAGTTCAGCACGGCGCCATTATCGGCGGCGTACGACTGTTGCGACGCATGTCCACCATGTGAATGACCACCATTCTGTTGAGCCTTACCACCTCTCTTTTCTGCCTTCTTTTGTTTTATCCTTCGTTTATGTTCAGCTTCCTTTTCATCATCCGAAAATTCCATTTCCTCATCGCCGACCTCCTCGTCGTACAAGTTGGAAGCATCTGTACCTTTGTATGCCTTCAAAGCTTGTGTAAAAACATATTTTGAATGTTGCTCAGAGTAGTAAACTGTTGTCCCAACGGACAGTCCTGCTTCGATAATTGCTGCAGCATTCGTAAACCTAACACAATATAATGGCTGTTCCACCCTGCCCAATGTTTCTGACACCACACCTATAACACTGCGATCCTCTAAACATAAGACGGATTCCTCTCTCAATACTTGGTACTCTCCGGTTGTGAAAGCTTTGATGAGAACGATGTTATCCACCACTCCTTCCACATCTCCCAATTTTGTGATGGGCATCTCGGGTGTGATTGTGACGTCTGGCTTGGGAATTATTTCCTCTGGTACTTCATTCTTCGTCCGTAACTGAGCTCCAGCACCCTTAGCACCTTTGGAGGTTCCCTCGTCATCTGAACCACCATCACCTTCCATCAGAATTCTAGCTTGCTCTTCTGGGCTTAACAATTTATATGTATTCTCTCCATCCTCATCTTCGCTGTCGTCTTCAGATGAACTATCGCTTGACGAGTCGGAGGATGATTCATATGGAGACGAGTCAACCTCCCATTCTGGGTGTTCAGATTCTGTCGCCTGTGCTGCTGGCGCATCTTCCGTTGTTGAAACATCCGCAACCACGGCCGCAGGGTGCATGAGACCTCCTAGCATCGCCTCTAAAGCATGTGTCAAATTGGGTGGATCGGGGTGACTCTTGAGTATTTGGATGTCGCTCGTGCTAGGCTGAGGTCCTAGAAATTCATCTGATGGCGCCTCGACTTCTTTTTTGAGATGTGGCTCTGTGGTGGGTTTCAAATTCTCAGCGTCCATCGCATTGCTATTTGTGTCATGTGTGCTGACTTTGGCATCTTCTTGAGGAATTTGTCGCATCTCAGAATCAATTGGTTTCTCTGTTCGTTTTAAATCGATTCCCGTCACCTGCAAAGCCTCATCGTTGATTTGAGAGGGGATTTCTGAGGTCGCGTCGTGGGCTGTAGAAGTTGCGGATTCTTGAAGGAAAGATTTGGCATCTGCCATCGTAGAATCTTCTTGGGCTTGGCCATCGGTAGCTTCTGACAATTTTTCTTGGGAAGCAGCCGATTCTTTTACATGGTTTTCAGCGGTCTCACTCCCCGCGCATGGTTTTGAACTCTCAGATTTCGGCGCATTTCCAAGACGTCCTAATCCAGGTATGCCGGAAAATGTTGATGAAGAGGGGGCAGATTCGTCACTCCCCCCTTGTAATTGAGAATTCTCCCCTTCTTGGGGAATCACCGAGATCGAATCGGAATTATTCATTCTTCTTGTCGAAATCTAAACAAATTCTGAAAGGGCTGTATATCAGCTTGTTGCGTTTGAATGTCAAGTATCTCAATTCCAATGTGTAAGGAAAACAAGGAGCACCAATATAATATCATAAAATACAATATGAGTATGGGTATCAAAATAAGTTAAGAAAAATTAGATACTATCCAATACTGAGATGTCATTGACAAGAAAGTTCTGATCTCAAAATTTCCAAATTATTTCTCAAAGCTCGGGTCTCGATTAGAACTAACAGGGGTTTTCTAATCTTAGTGCCGGGAGCTAAGCCTGTGCACTTCTTATCAGCATGCATAAATCAGGATGCATAAATACAACTGTGTATTTTATGCAATTATGATAATATTGTGCTAGAACACGATGTCATTGTTGAAAGTCTGCGCCGAACATCAAGAATTTACTCGTCTAGTAAATATTATTCAATTACAATAATGGCTCCTCCGCAGCCAGTAAATTCGAGTTCAGCTCGAGGAGGCGGAGGCTCTACAGCTTCGCATTCCAAAAAGAAAAAGTTAGTACTCACAATGCTGATGTGCAAATGAATGTTCACTGACCAAGCTTTCATAGACCTGCCACTCCATTCGCTGTCAAACCAATCAGCGCATTTTACGTCTTCCTAGGAGCAAACATTCTGGCAGCTCTATATGCTCCTATACAAGATTGCGATGAGACCTTTAACTACTGGGAACCTACACATTATCTCAGTCATGGCTATGGATTACAGACATGGGAATATTCTCCAGAATATGCAATTCGAAGTTGGTTGTACATCACTCTTCATGCCTTGTTGGGGAATTTTAGAAGACTACTCCCATTTCCGACGAAGGTAGGGACGACCCAATCCCTGATTATCAGTTAGTATTCTGATCCGGAAAACAGCTTGGCGAATTCTATTTCATCCGATATGGTCTCGCATTTATCTGCGCTCTGTGCCAGACTCAAATGTTTCGAGTTATCAACGGCACTTTGAATCCGCGAGTGGCCATGTTCTTCTTGATGGCAAACATATTTACTCCGGGTTTCTTCCATGCTTCTGCCTCTTTCTTGCCTTCGAGCTTCGCCATGTACACAACTATGCTTGGAATGGCTGCTTTCATGAACTGGAGAGGCGGCCTGAAGACTGCGCAGGGCATCTTTTGGTTTGCAGTCGGAGGCATTCTCGGTTGGCCATTCTCTATGGCCTTATCTGCCCCTTTCTTGATTGAAGAGGTTGTTTTTGCTAGTTTAAGCGATAAGGACGCGATCATCGACACCGTGATGCGATTTCTTAGAGGAGTCGTTGGAGCACTTCTTGTTCTGGTGAGGTTTCTCCGGACCAGTCCGTCAATAGCTACTAACATTGAAACAGTTCTTCGAATTCCTTGTTTCTGGCTTTTTCTACAGACAACTAGTGGTTGTCCCTCTGAATATTGTTCTTTACAACATCTTCAGTGGTGAGGGAAGAGGCCCTGAGATATATGGTACCGAACCATGGCATTTTTATATCCGTAATCTACTCCTCAATTTCAATATTTGGTTTGTGCTTGCAATTTCAGCCTTCCCTCTTTTCATACTTCAAAAGCTATTTGGGTCGCGAGAAGGCGGTACCACAACAGCTCTTCGCAGCATTGTCTTTGTGGCCCCATTTTACATATGGCTTGCGATTTTTAGCTTTCAACCACACAAGGAAGAGCGTTTTATGTACCCAGCGTACCCATGCCTTGCACTTAATGCGGCCATGTCACTCCACATTCTCCTGGCTGCGTTTGGTCGTTCGGATCCTAAAACCTTGATTGGTAAGATTCCAGCCAAATTGAAGCTATTGTTTGTGAGCTTCTTTGTCATCGGATCCGTGGACGTCGGCCTAGCAAGGATTTATGGGATCTATACAGCATACTCGGCGCCCTTGAAGATATATAGTCCTCTCCAGAATGGTACCCTTGGGTCACGAGGAGACTCCGTCTGCTTTGGTAAAGAATGGTACAGATTCCCCAGCTCTTATCATTTACCAAATGATATGAAAGCAAAATTTGTAAAGAGCGAATTCGATGGACTGCTCCCCGGCGACTTCTCTGAAGCTAGTGAGGGATTTGGGATCTGGTCAACATGGCTCATCCCCTCAGGTATGAATGACCAAAACATTGAAGACATGGGCAAATATGTAAGCAAATCTCGCCTCATCGTATTTTCGGCGGTGATCTAATTTTTCAACAGGTTGACTTGAAAACTTGCAACTTTTTGGTCGACACATACTACCCTGACTCCGTAGCCTCCGAGCTTGAGCCTCACTACATTATGGATGTCGAAGATTGGGAGTCGGTGAAATGTGAACCATTTCTTGACGCATCCCAAACACACATCCTTGGTCGGACCATATGGTTGCCAGATTTGCCCTTCGTTCCAGAGAAATTTCGCAGGAAATGGGGAAGGCACTGCCTATTGAAACGAGCGGCAAAGAAGTAAGCTGGCAGCTCTGTATAATAATTTAGGTGTATCAAAAGCTTGGGTCTAGGGTTTCGATGCCGGTTTAGGCATTCATGTATTTATAAATCATAAAGGTATGTACAACCACAATATAAAATCGAATTTTCACGCATAGCTCGTTGAAATTCTGCTGTTTATGCCTCAGCCCCTCAATCTACAGTCGCTCCATTGAAATAGTGGATCGTCTCATCCACACATCCTGTTGGCGTCAAATATGCATAATTCCCCAAGTTTATCCACAACTCCTGATCGCCACAGACCAACCACGCACTTAAATTCGGCCGACTAATGCTAGCTACACTCCATGTTACGGCATCTCCACTAAACGCAAATGTACCAAATGTGTTTTGAGTTGTATTGAACGTCATGGATAATTTAACGGCAGAGGAACTTGCAGGTGGTTGGACGTTTGCATAGAGGAAAGTATTGGGCGCGACTAGCTGGACGAGTTGGCCGGATACGATTTGGTATTGACCGGCAGTTGATCTGTCAGCTAGGAGGGCTCTGCCGGGCTTGCCAGTCGGTGAGGCTTGGAGGTATGAACTACAACACAGGTGGTCAACTTCTCTGTCATCTCTATCTGATATGGATGTTACAGGTGAGGGACATGGAGGTATACGAACTGGAAGTTTGGAGATTCAACAGCACGAATCCAATAGTAGCCACTCTGGAGTGTCACTCCTGGGTATGAGGCTGCACCAGTAGTGGTTGCAGGGACGGTCGTGGTTGGTGTGCCGGAACTTGCGGTGCCAGAAGTTGCGGTGCCGGACGTGGCTATACCCGTTGAGGATGATGCGGTGCCAGGAAGACATTGGGAATAGTCTTTTGAATGAAGTGATAAGCGAAGCTAGAATATGGAATGAGAGTGTGCTGACTTACAGGAACTGTTCCCAGAATTAGCAAAGGTCAAGGAACGAGACAATACAACAAAGCTTCGGAAAATGGATATGCAACGAATTGGGATAAAAGAAAATCTTACTTAGAATAAGTACACACATAACCGGAAACGCAGGTAGTTGCACCAGCCCAACCTGTTCCTCCACCTACATTCCCGAATTTATTAGCCATGTCTAGATTATCTCTTCCTTCATAAATCTAACTTACATTGACCCCACGCGGATTGCTGTGCATACACCTCCTGCATTCCTACTGCTATGAGCAGAGTCACTCGTAATGGAGTATAGAAATGCATAATCAAAAAGAACAGGACTCTTCTTCCCTTACCGGTATCTATGGATTGAATTGACAGAAAGCAATGGAGGATTTAGGATTTCCTGTCCATCCATCGTGTACTTATATCCAGTGGTTCTATAGCAATATCTCACCCGGACCGACAAGTCCGTAGAGGCAAAATGTATTTAAATTGGTTTCTCGTCCGTGTGACCTTTGATCTCTGAAAAGAGACTTAATTTGTAAATCATATAGACCATATGAAAACAATCATTGGAAAAATTGAGCAAGTCTTAGGCTAGAAAAAAGACATTCTAATTCATGTTACACATAACCTCGAGGCTCACATCAGTAACATCAAATGGGTTTTTCCTATGCAGATTAAAGCGGCACTATATTATGTGAAAGCATCTGCACCACATCTAGACACATTACCGAACTTCATTTATTACCCTGTAATTCTACCTATCATGGCTTCTCCTTCAAACTCAAAGTACTATGTAGTAATAGGCGCCAGTCGAGGTATTGGTCTCGAATTCACTCGACAATTAATCCTAGCATCACCCACCAATATCGTCATCGCCACTCATCGATCCACTGAACCACCGCAGACTTTATATGAACTAGATAAGCAATTCCAGGCACCGCCTAGATTATGGACTATTCAATGTGATGTTACCGATGAACGGACTATTGCAAGTCTTTGTCTCGCTATGCCGGGATTGTTGTTGGGAAGTCCTGTTGAAGCTGTCATTATTAATGCCGGGGTCTTGGAATGGCCGAATAGAGTGCTTGGAGGGTGAGTTAGGCTATCTCTGGGATGGAAATCTGCTCTATGTTTGAGGGCTTGTTTGTATACATCATGGGATTGGGAAATCTTCACCCAATGTGCTTCACGACGTTTCCCTGGATATCCCGATCATTTCATACAACGATCTCACAATTCGGCAAATGAGTGTTTGACGAATGATCATGACCCTTCTCACGTTTCTGAATTAGATCGGCGAGTATACAGTACTAACATTCACTCATTTTATTTGGACAGAACCTCTCAGTCTTACAATCACCACTTCCAGACTAATACCATCGGACCACTTCTTGCCGCCAAACACCTTCTCTCCATACCTGGATCTCGAATCTCCAACATTGTATTCATATCTTCTGATTCTGGCTCCGCTGTTAATTTCCGTTCATTCGAAGATGGTTTTGCTGCATATGCTGCTTCTAAAGCTGCATTGAATATGGGATTACGTGTAAGTTACCCCTACCCCTCTAGATACCCCTCTTTTCGCAACTATACCACCAAATACCACCATTCTTCCTTCCTCACACATCCATGATTATAGCACCTGGCCGCGGAACTACACAGGGAAAAAGGTTCCGAGGCTCCAATTATTCTCGCCCTTCATCCAGGTGAAGTAAACACGGATATGGCGAAGGATGTAGAGCTACCTTGGGAAGTCAAGGGGGTTATAGAGGTTGGTGAGAGTGTAAGAGGATGTTTGAAGGTGATAGGGGAGAAGGGGAGAGGTGGAATTGATGAGGGTGGAAAATCGAGTGCTTGGGCGGCGGGGATATCAGAAGAAGTAGGGGCCGCGACATTTTGGACATGGGACGGGAGAAGGCATCCTTGGTGAGGTAAGTGTGTGTATTTAGAGACGGAATCACAGTTTTAGCTCGCAGTTATCTATTTACCGCTCGTGTGTTTACTGTATTTCAGTTTTAGCACTCCTGATACTCTTTTGAATGAAATATAACAGCTTTTAGTCTAAGTTCCAGCAAATTGTCGATGTCTACTAATTATTCTTACGCCTCATTCGCCAATTTCCCATCCAACTCTTCTATATAATAATTCAAAATTTTACCAATCCACTTATTCATCAAGACCCTATTACTGAGCACCACAACCTCCCTCTCATTCCCCAAATCATACTCAAACTTCCCCGCCAAATTATTCGACACAATATGAAGATATCCAAACCTAATCTCCAATTCCCTCGCCGCAACAGCCATATGACCAATCTCCGGTTCCACCCAAGAAAACCTCCCCCTAAACTTCTCCAGCCACAACTGATCCTCATCCAACACCGAAGCCGACGTAAAATGCACACCCCTCTGCACCTCCTTCCCCAAAATCTCCTCACTAATCGGGTTGTCCCACTTGACAAAGTCTCCTCGAACATAACTACTCGACCCCGTCGCCAACGTCAAATTCGGCATATGTTCCTCGGCTAGCGTGCCCAGTTTCCCAACATAGATCACACACTGCAGAGAAACACCACAAATTTCCTTCAAACATTTCACTAATTGTCCCGCCAAATCTCCCCAGAAACATACTCGACATTTTAAAATCGTCGCTTTGAATCCATTTGCTCGAGTACTAGTCTGCCACGCAAACAACTCATCTGTAGTTTCTCTACCGCTCCATGGCACATCCGAGCTCAAGATATCCTCCGTAAACGATCCCAGAATCACCAAATTCGTCTTCTCAGTCTCTAGACCCTTCAAGTTCGAATTAAGGAATTCCGAATACCCGTCTCCCTCCTCAGGAAGTACAGCCTTCACAATCTTGGGATCTCTACCCTCAATCGCTAAATACGTTGCTATGATATTAGCATAATGTTTCACATAATCTCTCCCCGGGAAACAATTGATGCGTAATTTATCGCCCTCTAAAATCGTTGCGGTGGGTCGTTGCGTATTGAACGGTTTATCATTCTTTTCCTTGTTGTATATGATAGCTGGAGCGCTGCGCGTGTGGTGCCCTGTGACTTCGATTTCTTTCCAGCGACGAGAAGGAATCAGGTGGTGTACTTTCATGTTGAGGTAGGGGATTAGCGAGGCGCCCATAGTATGGAGAGCTGTACTTGTGACCGTGGGTTTGTAGACTGCAGGATCAGAGGATGAAGACATGATGGATGATTTGGGAGTGGTGGTGTGAGATGGAAGTGGAGAATTAGGGATGTCTGGTTGGATTTTGACATTCATATAGTTTCTGTTCTTATGCTTTGCTTCTGGAAAAGAGGTTTGCTACTGACTGATGACAATGATAGTGATCTAGAAAAGCCTGCTGCTTTCCGCAACTGTGAAAAAAGAAATCATGTTTGCATTCATAGTTGTACATATCATGACTGATGTTGTCAGATGAGATCAGATGACTCAGAAAGTCAAAGACTTGCTAGATACACAAACATATTTGTAGCACACAGCCTAGCTGCGTAATCAAATCGAGTAGCCAGCAAGGTAGGCTCAATGACATCCCGTGGTTGAAGGAATATTGATGGTCCACCTGGATTCGCCAGGCGTCAAGTCAACAAAAGAACTATAATGTATGCACCAGAAAGAATCATATAGAATCAAGCATTATAATAGGATATACTATTGTTCATTTATAAGGTCATGACTTCTATTCAAACAAAGCCATAGAAAACGCCATGCAGATATTAAAGAAATTCATGAGCGCAACTATACAACGCTTTTCCTCCTCCTCTTTTTCAAGCGAGCCTTCTCAGTCGCTTCCTCAACCTTATGTAACCTCCATTCACAGTCTTCCGCAAAATCACAAGTCCTGCATTTAAATGCTTCTTCTACTGTGACCCCCTTCGCTTCTCTTTCTCCTTTCCACCAACGTAGTTCTTCGTCTAGGTATGAATTCAATTCTTGATTATCCATGGGTATAGTCTTGATTCCAACTATTTCTCCACTATCTCGTGATCGATATTCTGTTTTTAACACTCCTCCCAATGATCCAGCACCATCGGGAAGAGTGATTTGAAATTCAGATATCATGAGTGACCAAAGAGCTTTGAGATTATTGTGGGCAAGGAGAACACTCATAGAATCTTGACTAGAAACTGGGGTCGAATCATCTTGTTCCTCAAGAGCGTCTTCGTATATCTCCCCGTTATCATCGTTCATGCTACCCACTTGAGCAATGAATGCATCTGAGAAAGTTTTGGTGGTATCTAACCTATAGCGACCGGCCAAGGCAGGAAAATCGACCCTGTTTGTGGCAAGCTCGGATAGAAGGTGATGATAAAGCATAAGCTGCATCTGGGTAGGGCGGAAGGCTGCGTTGTTTGGCAGCGTGCGAACACCTCTGGTTTTCACATCACAAATATAAAGTTTGTTCGATCGGGCCCGTCTTCTTGTCCGTGTTGCCTCTGCAGTAGCCCCTGGTGCTTTGAAGAAGTCCGATATAGAAGCTTGATCTGAAGGTGGCAATTTCTTCTCCTTCTCAGCCTCTTTCTGTAAAGATTTCTCCAATTCAGTATCCGGACAGATGTAGCTCAGTTCATCAATAACGCCATTCACCACCAATCCATCGATAGTACCCCATATTTCTAATTCCCTCGTTTGTCCCGTTTCTCGTAATGTTCGTAACCCTTGTATCACATTCCATATCTGTAGACCCCAGGCATCTTCCCTTGTTTGAATGTCGATCTGAACAGTCCTATGTACCTGATCTTCTAAGACTTTGTGTACAGCACTACCTTGCTTCATAGCTGACGTTCGTTTCTTCCTTCCATGTTTCGTCAATGTATACCAGTATTGAAGCTCGCACCATGCCGGCGACACGAGATCCGTCACCGAGAGCGGTTTCTTCGGCGCGGTACGAAATCGTTCGAGGGGCGATCGTGTGTCGCGAGGTATAGGTTCTGCAGATTCTGCGGTCTTTGATTCAACTCCATTCGTGAGAATCGATCCGGATGCAGTTGGCACGATACCAGCTATTTGATCACTCACTGAGGGCTACCGCGTAAGTCAGAAATCTAGCAATGGCGAAGAGAATATATGCTCACAATCAGGGTAGTACTCGCGTTTCGCGACTGAAGTATTAATCTGCTCAGCAACCCTCTCCGCAGCACGAATGGCTTGAAGCAGAGGCGAAATCTGCTCTTTTCCAATAACTCGAGGGAGGCGAAGGGTGCGCTCCGACTCATGATATTCGATATCATTCACAATCGGATTGTCTTCAATCTCAGTTGCTTCGTTGAGTAGTGGGTGGAACGGCAACAACAATTTCTCTACTATCTCAACCTCTTCCGGTGAGAAATCTGAGCCATAATCACTATCCTCAGCATTTTGAGGGTGCTCCGCCTCGTCTGGGGCAGGACTAGCCATGCCGATACGTGCATTTAGTTCGATACATTAGTGTTTCTGGTAATTCTCGTACAATCCATGACGCTTACTTGCCACTCTGTTGGCACTTGGCAGACGCGAACTCACGTAATCACGTGGCGATTTTAAAGGCAATTTGAATTCATTGTCGTGCAATTGGCTGAGATGATTTCATTCAATAATACACTCGATTCTTTATAAATTTGGGGGACACTGGATATTGTTACACTCTTGATAATCGGTGTAGACAATCAATCAGATCCCATAATAGTGATCGTTTACCATTGCTACCGTAACGACTAGACGAGATTTCTTACTCCGTACCTCTGTTAGCATTCACCTGTCTCCTGAAGTGAAGTACTACGGCGGATGCCAATGTGAGTCCTGACTCTAGTGAATTAGTATTTCTCTCCTGAAAACGATCATAACACGGCAATGATTACGAAACATATACCCATCAATTCGTCACTTCGATACATTCTCATTCTTTGTCATGACTCCAGAACGAATCATAATCCTCCAAAAGCGGCAGCCTGGCCAAAAACACCACTTTTCAAAACATCGTGTTCGACACGAGAGTGTCTCTCCGATCCACTTATCAGTTAAAGTTACAACTGCTCTTGGTATAATACAGCCAGCACTAATTCTATATCAATATCATTGCCCCTTTATGGATTTATCGAATCATATACTCATATCTATGACAGATCCTGGTTACCTAGTATAACCACACGATGAAGAAAGACCATACTCTTCCCATGCCTGATGCGGAACATTGTGCTTCCAAACTCAATCTTTTAGATCTACCACAAGAAATCCATTTATTGATAACTTCTCATCTGATATATCCAGATGCGCTTTCTTTAAAGCACGCTAATCGATATTTCTACTCTTTTGTATATACCGGGTTACATTTGAAGATAGAATGGCTGATTCAGAGACGGCGGCTACATTTGGATTGTCCAAGTAATAGTAAATGTGAACTGGGAAGTGATCTTAGATTTTGTCGTGGGAGTGTTGCGTGAGACGTCTTACCTTCAACATGTCAAGATGTGAAAACTAATGATATCAATAGGTTGTTGATGAAGAGAAGGAGAGAGCATCAAGAATGTGACAGTAAGCCAGGAGGGAGGGGATGTTTAGTATTAGGAAGGAGCATTTGTTTGGATAAGAAAGACGATAGTCATTTGAAGGTGGTCTGGAGATATGTCAGATCGGGAATCCCTCTGTGGTTAGTCGTGGTGACCATTGCTTTGCTGGCGATTGTGATGGCTCCGACGAGAATATCCCCCATCACGGAGAATTTTGATATACTCAGAAAGGGATGGATTTCATTGATGCGTAACTAAGTATTTTCGGCACGAATCTGTCCTATAGCAATATCTATTCATGAAGGCGGGCGATATCAGCAATTAGAGCTCTTTATATCATCTGACTGACAACTGATAATGAAACCGTCGCAACGCGATATTTTCGTTGTGGTTCGCCCTTTTAAATCCCTCTTACTATGTCCCCATCGACCGCAAACGAAAATATGCTCCTAACTCCTGTCAAGCTTCCGGAACATTATGACCCCCTATCAACATAAGCATTTTCGTCTCTGTACAAGTCTCATAAGATTTAAAAGGTTTCCCAGACTCAAATATACATCTCCTCGCGCCGTCTAGAACACCTCTCAAACTCCCAACCAATCACTTCCGCCACGTTGTTTCGGGTCATCGCCAAGCGGTTGTACAAGCGGTTGTACAAGCGGTTGTACAAGCGGCTGTACAAGCGGCTGTGTAACCCAATGTAACTGAATTACTGAAAGAAGCATCAGGGGCACAGCCTTACGGCCCAGCACAAGCGATCTCAGTCAGTATCTATGTCAGTTGTGACCCGTCTCATCATCTTATAGATGCGATAACTTTCGGATAAGAACTGCGATCCTGTCATTTAAAATTCTCGACTCATGCTCTGGTTCCCCTATCATGAAGTAACATTCACGGTAATTTGGAACCGACAGTGTTCAAATTATTCACTGGAAATAAATATGATATGATGTTTGTTTGTTTGTCCTTGTGCTACGATACCAATTAGATTCTCCTAGGAGATTAGATATAAGAACCTTGGAATTTGGAGATGGGTTTTCGTGGGAGATTAATATAATTTTATCATGTTTCCTCCCTCCCTCAGTTTGTCTCCCTTCCTTTTTTATGTTCTTTCTCTTCCATGGAGATAAGTTAGGTCGTCGCTCTTTTATTCATTCATTCTCACTTTCTCTTCATTCACTTTCACTTGGATTGGGTTGGATACCTGATCATACGTTCCTTCACGTCAACTACACACTCTCTTTAAATATACACTCCTTAACTTCAAAGCCGATAAGCCAGGCGCGAATACAGAACTGCTACTCCATTTCTTAACTATAGCACGCACTCAACCCTAAAACGGTCACAATGTTGTTCAAATCAACCATAACACTCAGTCTCGCATTGCTAGGATCTCTCATTTCTCCAGCAGGCACCACATTCGTTATCCAATGCTACAGTCGCCTCGTTGACGAGCGCGTCGATCCAGTAGTCAGTCCTGGAATCCTCCCGGCATCTCATGTCCATGCTATTGCTGGTGGAAGTGGATTCAGCGCTAATATGACATATGCCGATGCTCGTGCTGCTAAATGTGGTACATGCAATGTAGAGGAAGATTTGTCAAATTATTGGACTCCGAAGCTTTATTACAAGGCTCAGAATGGTAGTTTCATTTCTGTGCCTATTAATGGAGATGATGGGTATGGAAATCTTGGTGGAATGGCTATTTACTATCTGTGAGTTTGGGGTCTTTAAAATCTGGAAAAAAATGCTAGATGGTTTGTTTACTAACATTTTCTCAAGTCAACGTCCAGGTCCAGATAATGATCCGCTCGTTCCGTTCCCTGAGAATTTTCGCATGATTGGGGGGGATACAAATCGACGAAGTTTTAACAGCTCTTCTTTTGCAGACCGAGCTGTTAGTTTCAGATGTACTGGAACAGATCTTCAAACAAATGGATTCCCAAATATAAACTGTCCAGATGGTCTCCGACTTCAAGTTACCATGCCTTCTTGCTGGGATGGGGTCCATGTAACTGCCGCGGACTACAAATCACATATGTCGTATCCTGTGGATGGCGACTATGACGGTGGTCGTTGTCCAGCTTCACACCCTCATCATATGGTGACTTTATTCTTTGAAGTTACATATCGCACCGACCTTTTCGCGAATGACTGGTATGGCAATTCTCAGCCGTTTGTTCTTGCTAATGGTGATACTACCGGTTATGGATTTCATGGTGATTTTGTAAGCTATCTAGCATTCCACCTTAAATAATATCTCGTCAAGCTAACGTGACCCAAGGTAAATGGCTGGGATATTCCAACACTCACTAAAGGAATCAACAACTGCCTTGATGGCCAACCAAATTGCCCTGCTGAGACATTTACCTTTTACGAACAATCCGATACCCAAGAGTGCAAACTCGCGCCTTTGATCAACGAGCCCGTAAGCGGTGTTCTTCACGCGCTTCCTGGTTGCAATGCACCTTCTTCGGGCCCAGCAGAGTATACACCACCTGCCTGTCCCCAGGATGCAGCTTTGACAAAGTCACTCCAGACTCCACCATCCCACTTTAACCCTGCTGCCTCCACCGCCGCTACACTGCCAATTGGCATTGTCGATCTAAGCACTTCCAAAGGCTGGACTTATCTCGGATGTGGAACAGATGATGCAGGAAACCGAACATTGAATGCCGATTGGGAGGGCAACAATTCCATGACCATTGAAACTTGTGTTGATTTCTGTACATCCAAGGGACATACATATGCAGGCATGGAATTTGGAAGTCAATGTTATTGCGATAACAGGCTATCCGCAGATCGAGCACCGGTTACTGGAATGCTAGGTGACTGTATTATGCCTTGCGCTGGGAACAGTTCCGAAAAATGCGGCGGTAATGCTGCCATTACACTTTACCAGAAGTGTGGTGCACATGGATGTGCTCCCTCTAGTGCATCAACCACTGCTTCTGCTCATTTACAGAGTAAGAGAAGTAGGGTTATGAGGGTTCTAAATATTTGAATTCAAGAGAAAGATATATCCATCTCGACATCATGCTTGAGAGCCGATGCGGGCATGGCCCAGGGATGGAAAAAGAAACGGCTTATATTTCATGTAAATATTGCATCTTCTCAACCAAGCCTTTGGATGGCCTTGAAACGAATATATACTCACGACTATAAGAAAAATCATGAACATACAATATGGTGCACACCACCCATGGTTCCGCACGGTACACTCTGTGACTCGATAATGTTTCTTAATAATATTTCTCTCGCAAACATAGTCAAATAGAACAAACCTCGATTCCCGACACATAAGCCTTGTAAAGAAAAAATGCTGAATCATTTTGCGCGAGCGAATTCCATTTGAGCAAGACTGCGGAGTCTGGAGATGGAGACAACTGAACAACTGAGTGATATATGATCATGGCCCTTTCTGCACTCGGGACGTCCTAATTTGTAAGATCTTAGCATTTAAGCGTTTATGGATATCACCATCATCATAGTGACAGGGTTCTGAGCTGATGAGTAATCCTGTAGGTTCTAGATAATCTGGAGATTGAGTTTGCAGGTTTGTCGTCTTTTGTATGTTCATCCTTTAATAAGTCCAAATCTCCTTCATCATTTCTCGCTTGTCCCAGTATTTTTACAGTGGGTAACTATCATATGCAAGTGTTTGGCTGCGTATCCAATCACAGCCCGGAGCCAGGATGCAAGATTTAATCCAGGTACCATCTTTTGATGGCTATCCCTGTAGTTCTTTGCGTGCCGTTTTTTAATCCTCGGCCTTTCAAAGATGGAGCTCACATCGATTAATTCCCTCTAATCCGCTTTTTTTCCAATATAGATATCTGTTCCAAAGTAATATTACAACTAACGCAATTCGTTCAAATTCGCGGCGGAAGTTTCGATTCCGGGTTGGTCGTAATCTACAGTGGTAGGCCTTGTTATAAGGTACATGTTCCTGTTTTTCGTCCGACATTACGTGGTTGACTCTTTTTAAGAGCTTGTGCCGCATCTGCGCATCTGCGCATCAATCAGGGACATCATGACCTCAAGAGAAGACTGGAGGAACGCTTTGCCCTTGATCTTCGCCACTAAACTGTGTCGCTGGGTCAACCCTCCCCAATAACATCTGGGTCAGACCGGCGTCCATTCAATGTGAATGAGCGGGTCTGAGGTTCAAAAGATTTTCCACCCCCTGCCCCAGGGTCTTTCATTTACGGGCGGCCAAGAGACAAAATCTCGGGGCATTAATCGGCTCATACTGCCGGATCTGGTAGGTTATCGAGAATCTAGAGCTAAGCTTAGGATGGGCCCGCAAGTTTATAATTTCTTACTTTACCTTAGGAAAGCGCCAGTTCGTGCTTCGATATGGTTTTTACATTTTTCTATGCGTTCTGAAGCTTCTCCGCGTGTTTGTCAGATTACTGCAGCGCTAAATAATTCATTCTGAATTGGACAGAAAAATGACGGACTCAATTGACCACTATTACCAGAACAGGGATGCGACGCCGTCGAAAACTCTCTGCAATGAAGATTCCTACAACAAAACAGCTCCTCTGCCTCCATTATCCACCCTACTAGAAAGATCCGAAAGTCCAAGTTCGAAACGGGATCCGACCAGTCCCAATTCCACCAAATCCACATCCGAAAGCCTACGTCGCGTTACAAACTCTAGAGGTGCTGAAAGTAGCACAAGGGGCTCGATGCGAACGAGTCCCAGTGACGGAGGTAGTGTAAGCAGTAGGAATGGTGTAGGTTTAAGTGGTGCAGGAAATTTTGCAGATTTCTTCAGTTCTGAAGTTTTTTATATTGTGCTTCATAATCCAACGACCGCGCATCGGTTTTTGAAATTTTGTCAGAATCGTTCCTGTTCGGAAAATCTCGAATTTTTGCAAAAGGTACGCTAAAATAGCTTGCCATTGTATATATGCTAGTGCTAAAAATACAAAATTAGATTGATGAATACAATCGACTGATAGATGAGGCAACTCGTCTTCTTTCCACCATACACTCGACTTTCATCTCATCCGAGGCACCAAGGCAAATCAATATTTCCAGTTCTCATACTCGGGAATTATCACATGATATTAAGAACGCGACATATAATGTTCTTCCTGGCCTGCAAGATATTTTCAATGAATCACAGGAGCAGATTGAAAAATTACTAGCTAGCGACTTGTATCCACGTTTTGTAAGACATCAGGTTACTGCTTCCGCCACTATGGCATTGGCAAACGATAGAGAAAGATATCCAGGTCTGGGTGACTGCTTTTGCTTGACTGATCCGAAGTATGTCCCATTCAAATCTACTATTCCTCTAGAGTCCGAGCTGACAGTGTTAAGGCGGGCGGATAATCCAATTGTATTCGCTTCAGATGGCTTCGTCTCTGTCACGGGATATTCTAGAACAGATATCATTCCTCGAAACTGTCGTTTCCTGCAGGGGGCATATACTGATCGTCAGTCAACAAAACGTTTACGAACTTCCATTCAAAATTGTGAAGAAACTGTTGAATTACTCCTTAATTATCGCAAAAACGGTGATCCATTTTGGAATCTCCTTTATGTTTCCCCCTTACTCGACGGTAATGGAGATGTCAGATTTTTTCTCGGAGGACAAATAAATTGCAGTACGACGATTCACAGTCGTACCGACGTTCTTCGGATCTTAAGTCTAAATGATGAAGATACTGAGAGTGTGAAAGAGGGAAGTAGGAAAACTCCTAGTGTTCGAAGTAAGGATTCCAATAATCAGAGTATTTATGGGAAAAGTTCCTTCTTTAAAAGCTTCAAAAAGTACAATGCTAAGGCTGTAACAATTCGAGATGAAGCTGGGATGGAGGGCGAATTGATAGATAGGATTGGCAAATTACAATTCAAGACACAAGTCGAAGAATTTTATACAGCCTATTCAAAGGTGGGTTTAACGTCTCAAAGGTTGCCTAACATTCACTAACATCAAAAACAGTACCTCGTCCTATCTTACCAACCGCAATCACAAAATCTCACCGTCAAATTTTATTCCCCAGGTATAGTCGACATGCTTGGTCTCAACCTCCCTAATGGTGAAGTGGCCCCCATAGTCGACAAAGACATTTTCAAAATCCTCACCGAACACTCCCCATCATCCGTGCCTCGGACATTCAAAACTGTAGTCAAGGAAGGTATAAAAGCAGGAAGAGCAGTATCAATCGAAACGAGTCTCTTAACTGGAATAGAAGAAATCAGGAAATCGCAAGGAATTTTCGGAGGTGCAACAATTGATCGAGAGAGGGGATGGAAAAGAGCAGAGGAAAAATATGTTTGTCATTTTACGCCTTGTAAAGACGAGGAAGGAAGAGTTGCTTGGGTGGTTTTGACTGTGGCGCCGAAGATGTAGAATTCTTTAGGGGGTATTGCGGGCGTTACGTGGGATGTTAATGATACCCGGAATTATATTTTTGTATTGTATTCGGATTGAGACTGTGAATTATTTTTGTATATTTGAGAAGGAGAGTGGGAAATGGGAAATGGGAAGATAATATGGTAGTAGCGGATGGGATGGGAAAATATTAGGCGATGAGATGAAAGTGTTTGAAGATAAACTGCGGAGAAACCATACACGCCAATTAAATGGATAGGAATTCGTCGATTTAAATATTGATCTTGATAATTTCGAAAATATTGAATCTCGCCTCGTCATACCTTGTGATCGATCGAAATATCTTTACTTTCTAAATTTATACGATAATTGTATTCCATAAAGATTGTCCGTACTCAATATTCATAGATTTATCGAAAGTCGAGCCTCTCTCCCAGGGATTTTCTTTTAAGCATTATATGCTTTATAACGCCAAAAAATATCATCCAACAAAGCAAGGCGTCGTGACGGAGTGGTTAACGTGATTGACTAGAAATCAATTCCTTTCGGGGGCGCATGTTCGAATCATGCCGACGTCGAACTCTTTTGCCCTTTTCTTTTTTTGCCTTTTTGTTATATAAAGTGAATGAGAGATAGAGTTATTTGTGTGTGGATTTTTCTTTTGAGGATTTTTTTGGGGGTTTGGGGGTTTGGGGATTTCTGTGGTTTTGAGGGTGGAGTGGAGTTGGATGGGTGGATCTAATATTTTATATCTCTCTGCATATCAGACTGTCCCAATCACATGCTGTAAGGTTAAATAATGACCATGTTGCGCGGCGGCTTGTAGCGCAACATTAACTGTGATCTCAATATCTTTTTAATTCTCACAAATTAAAAGTATTTTTCGTGCATCCTTCAAAAATACTAATTGCACTTAGCTGCAATTTACATTTACCCCGCTGTGGGCATCTATGTCGCCGGTACAGTCATCAGGTAAGGTAATATCTCCATGGACATTCCGACTTCAACATGGAAATCCCGAATGAAAGGGAGAAGAATCGTAAAGACGAAGAAGCAGGATTACATTAAATACCCTGATGAGTAGTTTCATTTTCAGATAAAACCTCATTCAACAAACATTCTTCCATCATTTTCAATATTGAAATAACTATCTATCGACATGTCTCAAGCAAATTCCAAAAAAGTCATCATCATCGGCTGTGGTATTGCAGGTCCGGTGATCGCAATTCTACTCCAGAAAAAAGGATACACTCCCATTATCGTAGAAAAAGTCAGAGTACTGGGTGATGCAGGTGGATCGCTGTTTCTACAACCAAATGGGTATGTTATGTTAATTACCACAACTACACTATGTAGGTACTTATTCGAATTGAAATGGCTGATCAAGCGATAGTTTGAAAGTGCTTAATTTGGTTGGTCTTGCTACGGCAGTGACGGATCATGCGCCATGGGGAGAACAGTTCTGGGATAAGACGCATACTGGGGAAGTTCTTGGAGGTGGAGATTCGCTAGGGTTACTGAAGGAAACTTATGGTCAGCCTGCTTGTGGAACTAAGAGAACTGCGTTTAATTTGGCTCTTGAGAAGGCTGTCTTGGATGCAGGAATTGAGTTTCATTCTGGTTGGAAATTGGCTAGTATTGAAGAAAGTGAGAATGCGGTGGTGGCAATATCAGATGCTGGTCAGAGAATCGAAGCTTCGTTTCTTATTGGTTGTGATGGTATTAAAGCTGCCTCGAGAGATATCTTGCTTAGACGTAAGGGGTACAATGAACCTGAAGCTACGTATACGGGATTAATACAGGTATTATTAACTCTCAACCATTAGTACCGATCATACTAACTTATTCAGACAGTAGGATTTTCACCCACACCGAAATCTCTTCAGAATACACTGTTGAATGTTTTCGGGCCCGCTGCTCATTTCATTCACTATCCAGTCTCTCCCAGCCATTCATCATGGGCAATCACGCAGCGACAAAGCGAAGAAGAAAAGGAAACATGGCGTCTAGCAACACCCGAAGAACTTGCAACTGAAAAAGCAAATCTCCAAGAACAATTCAAAGATTGGGCATCGCCAATACCAGAAATTATTAGTGGTGCCGGAAGATTGCTCAAGTATGGAATCTTCGATCGACCGGGCTTGAATGCCGAACAGTGGTATGACGGGAGATGTATTCTTATTGGTGATGCTGCACATCCTACTAGTCCACATTTGGGTCAAGGTGCTAATCAAGCTATGTATGTTAATACCATTCCACCCATACTTTTTTCCATGGCATGGTTAATGTATTTCTAGGGAAGATTGCTATCACCTCCAACGACTTCTTCCGGATGCCGGCGCCAACCTCTCAACAGAAGACCTGACTAAAATTTTTGCCGAATTCGCAGGTTTAAGACAACCTAAGACGGCAATGCTAGTAGCAGCTGCTCGGGCACAAGGAGAACGGAGGGTTGTGGAGCCGGAAAAAATGGAGGAGAGAAATGAGTATTTGAGAGAGGTTTGGAAGAATGTAGATGTTTCTCATAAGGCTTATGATGAGATGATGAGAGGACCGTTTGATGCAATGGCTTGACAGATGTAGGTAATCTTACGATAGTGTGTGGACGTTCAAACGGAAATGTAAAGTCGCTTGGACCAGAGCGTCTTCAAAATGTATTCAGATGCTAGTAATAATTCAATCAATAGTGCGGATATACGTATAGGATGATACGAGTACGGCTCATTGCTTTCCACCCCTTTTTACTGAGAAAAGAAATTGATATGGGAATCTCTCGTCGTTTCCAATCGAATTGCTATTAGGTCCAGGACGAGTGACTTTAGCTTGAGGTTCAGCATCCGAATCATGATTCTATTCATCTAATCTAATGTTCATATTATCGAACTTCAAAAAATCATCAAAGTCGATGTTTATCTCGTTATCGGTCTAGCATCAGATTCACTGCCGGAAACTGGCTGTGATGCCAGGTAGATACTACCAAATTTGAGTCTCGTTTGGGACTCAAGATCAGATTCGTCACTGCGTTCGGCAGGATCTTTATTTGACATATTGGATGATTCGTTGTCAGAACAATCTGTTGGCTCGTTTGTTACATGATGGACCAAATCGTAGCTCAAGCTTCTCCTCGTACTTACTTTCCGTCCCATCTGTGAGAATATTAATATAACTTCAAGCACAAGAGTATAGACAAATTCCAGTTACCCTTTAGTTCAAATTGATGCAATACAGAGAGATTTCCTCAAGATCCAATATGCGTTTCAAACAATTAGTTGAGAGCAGATGAATAGTGGACCAGGACTACAAAGAAGGCGTAAGGTGTCGTGGGTATCATCGACGCATGTGAACTCGATTATAGATTCCAATTGAACACAACACAACGGATGGAAACCCCGAAAGGGCCATCGAGGCCAAACATCTTGTGAGAAAAATCTAAATGCCTTGATTTGAATTTGTTTTCTTTAGGCTCAATGCTGGTTAATATGGGGATGTTGGATTATGTGAAGATCAATATCACGTGACTATCCTTATTCTCACTTGCGATCTTGGCTGTAATTTTATGCTTCATGGTAATGCTGCCTTAGAAGGCTCTTCATGCTCAGGTGCTTTTCTTGAAAGTGCACACGTTGCCAGTTAAATGGACTAGAGAACGAGTGATGATTGCGTGGAGATACTTCTCTTCACGCCACACCACTTTTTTGTCCTCGAAGTTTGTTTCCTGTTATCACATGGACTTTATTTGCCCCAATTCGAAAGAAATTTTTGCCAAATGCGAGATATGAAGTTCATAATTGCCAATTGCCATATTTCATAAGTCATACACATGTCTTGTGAGATACAGAGCGTTACTACAACTATGTTTTCCGGTCTCTCGCTCATCCGATTGCCAATCATTTCGAATCTCAAAAAGTATCTTAGAACTGTAAGCGCCAAACATATTCATTGATTCAAGGCAAAAGCAGTCGGGATTGAATTGTGATGCTAACATGGCTACCAAAGGTCACGGACTTCCCCACGGACATATGACAATCGGCCTGCTGTGATAACCCCGGATCTCTATTGTTATTGGCTGACTGTTTGAGTCTATTGATTGATTAATAAAAGCTAGGTCTCTTAAATCAAGCTGCATACACTGATTTCAAAACTGTTGGCAAACAACATCAAGCCCTTTAAAAACAAAGAAAGATGTCATCTCAAGTCACAGAACTTGGGAACGGGAGAACGTGGACACTAGGTGATAAGTTCGAGGCAAAGTATCCTCATCATGAGAGCGTGAAAGCATTGTGGGATACGAAATGGAAATTTCCAGTGCGTGTTTCCCTGGGCTGGTATGGATCCGACGACGATACTCATATTTAACAGTGTACGAAAAGTGTGTATCCTTTCCATGATGGAAAGTTCGAAGATTTTGAGCCCATATTTGATCATCTAATTGCTGTGAGTATCTCCAATTGCCCTCCTTCAGTTACTTACAGATACTAGAACAATATAAATGATGGATATGGTAATGCGTACACCGAAGCCTTCTTTCCAATTGCCGAAAAGCTCACCGCACAGGGAGATGACGCCATGGCTTCTGGCAATCAAACCTTAGCCTCTAAGCTATTTCTTCGAGCTGCTTGTGTTTACCGAATTGCACGATTTCCATACATTGGTAAATTCCAGAAAATAAGTTCCCAAATTAAATGGAAAGCATGGGATGCCCAAAAGGCAGTATACATGAAAGCTGCAACGAAATGGGATAGTCCATTTGAAGAAGTCACAATTGAACATATATGTGCGGAGGGGCAAGATCAACTCGAGATACCACTATACGTGAGATATCCTTTCAAAGGTCAAGACATGAGGGTTCCTGTTGTTCTTCTTTTGACTGGACTTGATGGATATCGACCGGATAATACAGCTCGCAGCGATGAGTTCATCCGCCTTGGATGGGCATGTGTGATTGCGGAGATTCCAGGGACAGCCGATTGTCCTGCTGATCCAAGTGATCCTTCAGCTCCTGATAGGTTGTGGACAAGCATTCTGGACTGGATGGAATCAAGAGATAAATTTGAAATGAGTCGTGTGATGGCCTGGGGCTTGAGTGCTGGTGGATATTATGCTGTAAGACTAGCTCATACACATAAATACCGATTGAGAGGAGTAGTTGCACAAGGAGCTGGGGTTCATTACTTCTTTGGTAAAGATTGGCTTGAGAAGGCTGAAGGACATGAGTATCCATTCCAGTGAGTGTTTTACTTGCTAAATTTCCGGAGACTGGATGCTGATATTTTCTAGACTTAGTCCCGCTATGGCATTAAAGCACGGTTATACCTCTGTAGAGGAATTCCGGGACAATGTTCAGAAGAGGTTCTCACTCCTGGAAACCGGAATAATCGATAAACCCTCGACAAGACTCTTGCTTATCAATGTATGAATATCATCGTCAAATATGTGATGTATATCGTGACTAACAGCGCATCTTATAGGGGACTTTGGACGGACTGATGCCTATTGAGGACTCCCAACTACTGTTTGAACACGGAACACCGAAAGAAGCTCGGTAAGTTAGAAATCTATTCGTATATCTGGTGGCGCTTTGTTAACAGTTTTAGTTTCTTTCCTGGGGCGTTGCATATGGGTTATCCAATGGCCAATTCGGCAGTGTATCCATGGATGGAGAGGGTGATGCTGATGGAATAGCGCAAAGAGTATACAATAATATCTAAGAGTCAAAATTCGAACGAAAAAACCACCATCATCTCAAAGTTCCTTTGTGAGATATTTTGGGCCATCATTATAATTTTTTAGAAGCCTAGTGATTTTTATTGTGTATAGCAGTGTGTAGTATATTATACCGCATATCTTGACTCGTCATCGTGACGTCCCGGGCCCAGTTCGACTAACAAGAGACGGGCATCCGGTGTCTAAAGTTTTGTAGAAAGTGCAAGTGTGTCTGGACAGAGAAGAATTGATTATAGTCATTGCTGCAAAGCCTGGAGTTTCGACTTCAATCAAATCACAACCCAGCTGCCAATTGAACGGATGAGCTTTAGGTTTCAAGTTTCAGTAGGAGAAAAGCGGTGAATTGTTCTGTGCTTATATCACGTGGGGTGTGTGTGGCTGGTTTACGCTAATGCTTTCTCCACATGTCTCGATCAGCAATCAGAACGTGTCGTAAAAATAAGCAATTTCTACCCAGTCAATATCACCTCGTATTTCCTACTATTTAAAACTTAAGCGAATAGAAGATCTCTGGATGCTGAATGTTCACTGTCTTTAAAGGAACTGTAATCTGTGCATTGGGGAAGTCTCCTGGGTCGAAATTATGGCTACCGACGTTGACACCCACTCTACGTTGTATAATAGAGTATCAAGATGTATTGCAAGTATTATACGTTTCCATCGAGCCAATGCTTCCAAAGAGGGTCTGTGCCCTCAAGTCATCATATCATGTTACCGTCTTCGGCACCGATGGTCTCCTAAAGCCCTGTCACATCCTCAATCGCAGAAAGAGGAAGTTGTAAGACGGATTTTGGAACAGATGATTGAGGTGAGCATGATTAGTTTTCATCGTTTGTGAAGCCGTTTCTAAAAACACAGGTCCATATGCTGGTGAAAGTACCTCAAAAAACCGCACCCTCTGGAAGAAATTTACCGGCAACAATCGAGCAAAGTTATATTCTAGATCCTGCCTGTGAGACGGAGAGCTGTAAAACAGGCGAGTCCTGTGATGATTTATTGAATTCAAGCATATTCAGGCCCGATCAATTAATGTATGATTCAAGCCTCGCGAGACCAAATAGCATAATAAGTCGGGAATATGTCTCCATGAGTGAGCTTGAACCAATTGCGTCACGCTTTTTCATTCCCACCAATACAAACATTCTTGGCTCTTCTACAGAAGTTCACAGTAATAAAAGACGTCGTACTTTCGGTGTTAATGGCGGTTCCAGTGTCATGGAGCAATCAAATAGTGAAAAACAAAGCCAGGTCAACCCGCAATCATTGACTATGGTGTCATCAGCTGGTAGAAATCAAGTAGGACGGGGGTCACAAAGCTCCGACGTTAGTGGTTCAAATGAGACCCAGTCAAATGCTGAAAGGCTTGCACACGAGGTAATTTATTCTAGCGTTAACGATGCCATTCCCTAACTTTATCAGGTTGCCAATCTTCCTTGGCTAACTCAAGGTCTTCAAGAATTGAGTGAAAGATATCCAGATGATCAATACAAACTTGTTTATGAAAACGATCTACTTCAGATCAAATGTCACGACTGCAAAGGACGACTGTACAAGGTTCATTATCAAAATTGTGATGTTTCAAACATGGAGTGGCATGCAAAATCGACAGTACATGCAGATAGGGTAGAAACGAGGATTGCTGAATTAGGAGGCGAGGCAAGGCTTACAGATGAGGTGAAGAAGAGACGACAGGCTCTTGAGTCTGCTAGAAAGACGGCCCCGCGAAGGTTTCGAAAATCATATTCCAGGCCAGCAGCTCCATTTCAGCCAGCAGCTCCAAGGAATTCAGCGCCGCAACATCCAGGCTCTACATGGAATGCATCGCTCCTCCGCGACATGTCCCAGCAACTTCGAACAAACAGCCACCATCAACAGTCTTCCATGCCAGAGCAAAATACACCTAAGATTCGACAAGATTATGAATTAGATAGTCCTAGTGGCACGCCACCCAGCCCCTCACACATCGCCGAAGACTTCAACCAAAATGAACGATCCTCTTCTAAGATCCAACAACTAGAGTCGCGCGTCCAGAGCTTAGAACTTGAAAACATCGCCCATGAACGCACAATTTCCGTGCTACAAAACAAACTACGCACACAACAGCAAGTCAACAATACACATCAATCTGTCATTAAAGATTTAATCCTGCGAGTCCAAGCGCTCGAGCAGAAAGGATGAATAGCGCGACCGGCTTTCCACAAGTTTCATATTTGAGATTCCCCTGCTACAAGCGAGCATTAATTGGAGACATAGACAATAGATGAAGTGGCCAAGATATTCTTTATTTTAGGAGATAGTATGCGATTTCCAAATGTTCAAGGCTCTGAGTTAAGCTAAGCTTCTGCTTCTGGAATTCGAGGTAGGATTTAAATGTACATGAAGATGTGTTAAGAACGAAACGTTTATCACTTTTAGCGCTGAAACAATAGATAAACCAGAGATGACCTAGGGATCATCTCAAAGGCAGAACGGTGAAAATATGTATTGCTAGTACTGTACATATTGCTATTTTTATGGTGAACGAAGGGGTGTTAGAGGATTGATATTTTCACCATGTTTATAATTTGGTAGTTTGCACATATAATTAGTTGATTTATCAACACCACTTTATCCATACATTGGGGAATGGGTCCATTTTCTGTTTAGTCTTCTGCTATTTCACAAAGACGTTAGATCTGAATGATTAAATCGAATCAGTGTATTAACAAAAGAAAAGTGGATTAGTAGATTAGATAATTTCAATAGAAGTCTCTTAGTGCTCTGATTCCATGATTAAATTTTTGCTTCCTCCATTTCTTGTTCGCCTACAAACGTCTAAAATAAATGGAGTCCTACCACATCGTCGGCTCCACACTTCATCTTCCCTCTCCTCCACAGCTCCTACCTCCTCCCACGTCGAGCTATAAACCGCGGATCCTCATCCACGAGAAGATATGTGCGAGCTCAACCCTGTAGTAATAATAAGCGACAAGACTAAATTAAGGTGACGCTGCGATAAAATAGTAAGATCTTACGATAATCTTCGGGGGGAGAAACGTATGCTATTGGGTTTCTTGAGACCAGAAAGAGCATCAGATTGAATTGATTGATTCTCTAGCTAAGCAGTTAAGCTGCGAGTATATATTCAAAAAAATGAAGGAATAAGGTTAGATATTCAGCCTTCGGAATTAAAGTGCTTTGAAATCAAAATATTGAAAGCAAACAAACAGTATACCAAAAAGGAAAGAATGAATTAAAAGTTGAGTTTTGTTTGCTCCTTATATGCATCATGCAATATATATGCATATGCTGCCAAGATCCCAGGAGGTCAACATATGCCGTCGGCGCTGCAAGCGAAGCGTAAAGATCTTTAACTTCAGGCTCGCCATTGATTTCGCTAAATGAAGATCAAATTCGAGAATAAATATGTTTCTCGCTACCAAGTTTATGTATGTTCTGGCTTTTTGATAGGGAACCAGGTGGAAAGATTGATAAGTAGTGGAGAAGACTGGTATAGTAAACTCATATCAAATCTCCGAGAACAGATGTGTCTCAAAAACTAAATCAGCTAATACTGCTATCATCCGGCTTGGAGGTAAGATCTCAATTAATTACTAATCAGATTGAGCTAAAATTTGTCACGGTCCGCCAGGGATCGTTCGATAGTTGGTACACGAAGAAGGCATAGACTTCTAACAGCTCAACGCCATTAGACAGGTTTCTAGTTTGCCTACCGCTAATTATTTTTCTGCCGGAAAGAGATATTGGGATCTATGCTGTCTAAATTCGTTTTGTTCCATGTTCATAAAAGAAAAATTTTGGCATTTTAGAGCACATATCGTTAGGGTGAAAGATTTCACGTTTAATAAATGATTAAGTAATTGTTACGATCACGGATCTTACAGTAACCGGTCGTGTGCCTACGAGATGCGATTCGATCAAAATAGTATGGGATTAAGGTCATGTGGGGATCTGAAGAGCACAGACTCTGTTATTATATGATTCCCACCGATCTCACCGACTTAAATCAAGTGGGAGCGATGGGATAATGGGATAGGGAGTACGAAGATCTATATAATTAGGAGGGATTCCCTCACTCTAGAGCTTCGTGCTCAAGATCAATCATTTAGTATAATATACTATTAGTTACGAATTGCATTATTGTCATTACTTTAAGTCCCTGCTTGACACCTAGTTATAAACCACCTCGAGAGCCTAGAGCACTTCCATATGATTTAGATGGCAAATCTTGTAATAATAGGCTAACATTAATATAAATATTAATTATATTAGCTAATTAATATAGCTAACACTCAAGTGTAACGATACTATACTGAAGGCAGCGGCTGTCTAAGGTTTCATCTGATTGATAATTGTGGATTAAGGCTTTATCACTGGTATTCACTTGAAAGTGAATTCGTTACTAGATCAAGTAGAATGTAGGTAAACTAATTGATAAATAAGTTGAGCACGAAGCTCCTAAACTATGAAACTATTCTAATTATATACTATGTGTTTCCTGATGTCACGATTCACCATTAGGATTGATGGTGTTACGATGGTAGCAAACTGATTAATTAGGAGAGCTTAGGCCTTGTGCAAAAGCGATCAGATTTCATCGAATTAGTATGTGATCTTGGTCACCTGAAGATCGTGTATGCACGCACCATCAGAAATCACGTGATAAGGAGCTCTAGGAGCCCTGAGGAGCCAGAAAGCTCCTGGGGGCTCCCTTTATCGATCATTATATAGTCAGAGTAGTTTCATAGTTTAGGAGCTTCGTGCTCAACTTATTTATCAATTAGTTTACCTACATTCTACTTGATCTAGTAACGAATTCACTTTCAAGTGAATACCAGTGATAAAGCCTTAATCCACAATTATCAATCAGATGAAACCTTAGACAGCCGCTGCCTTCAGTATAGTATCGTTACATTTGAGTGTTAGCTATGCTAATTAGCTAGTATAATTAGCATTTATATTAATATTAGTCTATTATTATAAGGTTTGCCGTCTAAATCATATGGAAGTGCTCTAGGCTCTCGAGGTGGTTTATAACTAGACGTCAAGCAGGGACTTAAAGTAATGACAATAATGCAATTCGTAACTAATAGTATAGTATACTAAATGATTGATCTTGAACACGAGGCTCTATACAAAGGAAATCCATCTTGATTATATAGACCTTCATGCTTTGTGGCTCGAAGGAAGCGAGGGGATCGAGCTTCGATCCTTTCGCTCTCCTCGATCGAAGGGCTCGAGAGGCCAAGCCTTCGAGCTCTTCGAGTCCTCGCATCACGTGTTATTACTAATCCTGTGACCTAATTGTTACCTGTCGTAACACACCATTAATTTTGTGCCTTCGACGAATGAAAAATAAGTAAGGTTACCACGCGGGTAAATTGCTTCGGGATAAAGTATTCGATGATTCTGTCTAATTAAACACTGGTTTTAATGCCCCTTAACTAGGTAAGTAATAGCTCTCAAATATTTCGGTGTTTCTTTCAAGTTCTAACCTTTCCAGCATTCTTTCCCAAGCAAGTTAGAGCCCAATTTTTGTCGTTTCTTGAAAATATCAACTAGCCATACCTTGATGGAGATTTGAAGCGCCGGCGAGTCACAAGAGGTAGGCATGCCCGATGTCTATCATGGATACTGATGTATCCACGTTGATATGAGCCATTGAAGTTCGTTGTCAAGTGCCTCGTTGAAAGTTTTATCAGCGCAACGGAAATAATAGCGAAATGCAGATTTGAGCAGTACTTTTGGTTGTCAGCTTCACAGGTATATGATTCAAGCAATACCAAAAATAGCATCATCAAATTGAGTTAAGTATAAAATTCAAAAGTATTTTGGTATTTCTATTACTTGTGTGTGCTTCATCTCCGCACTGCCCTGGAGATCACTGCACCCAATCTCGACTAGCAAGATCGGTCGATTCAGTGAGTGATCGGACGGACTCCGTCAAGCACATGCTGCTCCTCAGCAGCCTTCCAGACGGCTAACTAAACATTCATGTAGATATGCAAGCTCCCCAACCTTTTGAACGCTCCTCTCAGAATTAATCATGATTCCTGAGCCCGAGAGATCTTAACAACACGATTTCTATCACATTATGCTTCTATGGCCGTCGAGTTCCACCCACAGATTCTTCTAACGTACACTTACCAACGATTGTCGGCGTCGTTTCCACCTTCGGTCCCAAACGTCGACAATCTCGGTGCGAAATAAAACATCCCGTAGGCAAGATCCTCGATCGTCTCTTTGTCATAGTCATTTACATCCCGCATCTCCCTTATATTGCTATTGGAAATCAAATACAGTGAGTTTAGAGCAGGAAAAATGTATTCTGGTCTATCATTCAGAGCCTCCTGTCAATCAAAATCGCAAGGAATTGCTAAATTTTGTAGATTTCTACAATGTTGAGCGAAGGAGAGAATGGACCTCCATGTAAGCGCATCTGAAGTATCAAACATGATCCTTAAGGAAACTATTCTAGCTCCTAGCGTCCGGCCTACCTCTTCAACAAGATAATCGTTGATACCGGCGCTCGAAGGCTGGCATCTACAACCTGAGGGATAAGGTGCTTTTCTGGCATGTGATCCAAATGCAAGAATCTCTAATAAAGGACATTTCCGGCCGAGAAGTAAAAGATTATCGCCACTCACCCTACTCTGCGCACCAAAAGTGATTTTTAGATAGGTGAGATTTGGGAAATTTGATGCTGATGCAAGAATGTTGTTTGAGCGAGGAAAATTTCGTAAATCGATAACTAGCTCATCCAGGCTGGGTACGTGGCGAGCCAAGTATTCTAATTCTTGGTCAGACATGCCCGTATTAAGTTCTTTCAGGCTCGCAAATATGGGGCTGGAAGAGTCTGTGTTGCAATAGAATGAACCCAAGTATCCTGAACATCGGGAATAGTTAAGTAGGTCATTTTCGGAAGCCTGGCTATGATTTCGAATACCTCGTATGACCAACTATTGTAATCCCCGGTCCGGATGGCGAGGGAAGTGTGAGCATCAGCTTTTTGACAAAATCGAGAAAGTCCATCTTTAGTTATCTTACTTGCTCTAATTCTGTTGAGCGCGAGAGTTTTCAGCTCTGGACAAGATTTTGTGAGTTCTTCAAGAAGAGAATCAGAAATACCGCTTCCTTGGTACACTTTGAAATTCTCTATGTTTGGCTGTGCATAATGAATAATAATCCTTCCTTTGCTACGTTTGTTCGCATTAATTGATTCGTGAAAAGTAATATCTTGTAACTGAGGAAATTTCAGGGAAACAAGTTCCTTATGCCATGAAGTTTTGTCAGGATCTTCAGCATCTAAATTATCTCCGAAGGACAGAACGTGTATGAAATCGGCATAATATTGCGCCCGTTTAACATTTTGAATGACGATCCGGGCAAGGTATCTTGTTTTTGGTGTCTTATGTTCTGAATCTTCGTAAACTCCGCAAGCGTACCATAATATCCGACAAGCTTCGAATGAGAATGTTTTTGAGATGAAGAGACACTTGTGTAGAAAGTGAGGTGATGAGGCTCCACCCTGAATAAATGTCGCAGCTACCTAGGGGAGATTAAGTGCGGGATGCATGATGGGAACCGCAGCTTATGAAATTGAGAAGTCAATCTGGACGACCTTGAACGGCAGATGTTGATTGTGTCCCGCACATAAGAAGAAGATGACATATATAGCGTGGTAGATGTGAAGAAATACAACATTTTCAAACGGAAAAAGAGGAAATACTCTGTTAGGCTCAATATGGCAACTACGATGATTGTGGGTCTATATAAGGTTAATCAGGAACGTAGCTCCAATAATAAGACAACCTTCTTCACAACTACATTTTCTCAACACAACCTTAACCCAAATAAGGGGGCGCTTACCTTCAAATATGGACCCTCTATATTCGTAAGGAAGTACGGATGTAAAATAAAGATAATTACCCATTCATATAACTGTTCTTTATATAAATAAAATTATACTTCCTTATTTCAAAAATCCTAAACTGCTTGTTTCTTTTTCGTTCTTAATCAATTCGACGGAAAAATATAAAAACCCATCAATTTTATCAATTAATTGACAATTAAGCGAAATTCCTAAGCCATCCTACCTCCAGAATACCCCTCAGGTTACCCACCACGGCCACGAAAAATGAGGCGCCTACATCCGCATTCCTCCTACCTGATAATAATTATCACTAGCAATTATGATTCGATTACGAAATTGGGAACAAATCATGCGATGATAGTAGTAAAAAGAATGAAATTATTGAGTAGAGATCAAAGACGGAATATAGGACGATACTTTCAGAGGAGACAGTATGGGGTTACTCTATATATATATATATATGATGCTGCCTCTGTTTAGTCGTGCTCTTTCGGAAGTTCCCTTACTTTGTTTACGCTTTATATTATCCGAAACAAACAAATAGGTCGCCGAGGACACGCTTGAGAGTGAGCAAGAATATCAGGTCACGGTATTGAAATTTGATGACTCGGGACTGACAATGGCGAAAGAATTGGTAATGTGACATCCCATGTTCGAATACTGTTATCCTATCTTTGTGCCATTGATTTATCTGAAACCCGTTGGTTGGGTGCTATTAATCCTTTCAAATTTGCAAGTTTTATAGGTCAAATAGCAAGAAGTAACGCATCACGTGCATTGCGTCATTGAGGCTGGCTCTAATATAACTATCTCTACACCTCTAATGCGGTTCCTCACCAAAGTTCCACCTCGAGAAGTAGATGTGGCACTTTCGTCGAGTTAGTCGGCATTGTGAAGGTAACATTCCAAAACTCAAAATCATTAATGGTAGCATCCGCACCACCATAGCCTCCTGCGAATGACAGTGTATAATTCATATCAACTGTGCCAGAAACTTTCAGATTCAAGCCCTGGATATCCTCAAGGCTCGAAATAGTCCTCTTTTTCGTAAATGGCGAGAGCAAAAAGGTAAATATTGAGGTACCATTTCCTTCTGGATAAGTCAAGTTCAATGAACCCGGTCCAGCTTCGGCAATGACATGCATTTCAGTCGCGTAGAGTGTAAGCCATCCAATTCCATCACCGGTATTCCATTGCATAAGAGCGGGGTTGAAAGTGCCTTGATTCTTAGCAGGTCCACCTATAACATTTTCATTGAATGTTTCGGCGCCAATGCTAATGTTGTCTGCAAGCCAAGCTGTAATGTTGCGGGGGTAAAGGTCAAAGGGTGGAGAATAGGTTGAAGAAGTGAATGTATGCTCGCCTTTGAAGCTTTCAAGGGCCTCAATCACACTGGTGGGAATTAAACTGTTGTGAAATTCAGACAAGATTGCGAATAATGGGCCGTACGCAAAATCGGAATTATGTGACATAATGTACGGCTTGTCGATGATTGATGACTTGTTTTTTCCTACAGCATTCCATATGTGAAGTGCAAGCAAGCTGAGGTATTTCGTCATGTCAAAGCCGTATGAACGATCCCAAGGACCTCCAACATTGAGGAGTTGAGGATGCCATAGATTTGATACTGCTTCCCAAGTATACTGGATCATCGAGGCGCCCCTTTGTTTCATCACTGAATCATGTGGCAAATATTTAGCCCATAAAGTCATAGCAAATAAAGATACTCCAGTGTAAGTGCCGCTGTTAAATTCCGAAAGAGTATTGGCTCGGTCAAACAAGCCAATAATTTGTTGAGCATAATACTCTCCGGCGGTCGTCATATTGCTGTCTTTCAGCCGGCGGCCAGTCCACCCAGAAACGAAAGCGCGCATTATTGACTAATATCTCGTTAGTAGAGACTATCAAAGGCTGAATAAAGCACTTACAGGATTGGTATAAGCAGGATATAGGTTATCACCGTCCACTCCACCAACACGATAACTGTCGCCTACGGTCGAATTATATAAAGATTCCAGCATCAGGCTAGTCACTTCTGGTGAAATGAAGCTGCCAAATTCTTCAAGACCAACGATAAAAGCAGTTGCTATGAAACCACGCCAATTCGGATCCCAAGAACCATACAACACCGGTGGGTAGTACGGGCTTCCCAATTCTGGTTCTTCTGGTTCTTGCTGATAATCCCCATACCTATAGTCGTCAGCTCTTGGCTCATGCAATCAGGGAATAGCTAAACTCACCACTGGGCTTCAGGATCCTTGAACTGGCCATTGATGACGTTTACGATTATCCTCTCGGCTTCGAGTACATCGGAGCCTTGATTTCTTGCCAGAAGTCCAATGGCATACCACGCTGAACTTCTCGTATTATGTCTCAAGGCCACAGCACCACTTGTTCCATAGAGATAACCAGCTGAGTTGTCATAGGCCCTATCCAGGTAGTCCATTGACTCATTGAAGAGTCCCTGTGCATTGTAGGGTAAATTAGCAACAAAAGACTCAGCCCGAGCAGTCGCACCGGCGATGAAAAATAATGCAGCAACCTTTAGAAGACCCATTTCGAAAAGATAATTATTACTACTGATACCGGACGGGGAAAATCCTTTGCATATAAAGCTTGAAAATATCCCTGCCATCAAAGAGAAACGTAAATACTCCGTACAAGGATGGCATGAATCCCGATGACTGCGGGGTAAAATGGGCCCGCCGGAAATTCTGCATCATTAAAAATGAATGAAGTCAAGATCCCCTTCAGGTCCTAACTCCGAGATAGTGGATTGGGTCTGTCGGCTAATGATTTACACACGAGTACCGTGGTCTAAATCGCGGTTAATTGAGTAACGTTGCACTTTTCGTACCTGGGCGCAGCACAATCTCGAGATTTTAACGGAGTAAGGTGCTAAGATTCTGCACCGTTGATAAGTGAAGCTTGCCTTTGATGTGTGGATGATAAAGCGGAAAAGGAACACAGAGCGGTATGAGTTGATGGAGTAACCTTGAAGTGATAGTAAATGAAAATGGAGGGGCTGATAACAGCCCACTCTTCAAGAATTATTTGAGCATTGATCTCGTATATCGCGGACAAATTGGGGCGTATTAGTGAATCTAGCCTAGCTGCAGAGTTCATCTTCCTCTCACTCATATACATTGCTTGAAAAGATAGATAGCTGACACGATGCTATTGGCGAAACTCGATACTTCGTGTCCAAGGCTCCCAAGATGGAAAGAATTTCGCATCACAATCTCAAAGCTTCAATATGGTGTAGATCCATTTTGCCAATCTATCCTTTGGAATGATAGATTGCAGAGCAAGGTAGCTTCACATACTAGTTGAGCTAAGATTCTGAGTGCCTTAATTTATATATTTCGTTGTGGTTGTCTCCTAGTTTTACCTGCTGGGCTTATCTTTGGATGAGTAATCGGACGCACCGGCAAGTTTTGCGGCTAAGCCTTTTTAGACTACATTTTGGCAGAAATTTAAAGCCATTACATTCACAGTAGCGGTGTAACGACGTTAAGTTCGTTGATGGAATCTATATATATTTACTATACTCCTGCTCAAAGCGCACATATTTCAGCCCAGTATATGAATCATCTTAGTGAGATGTTGTTCAAGATATTTTATAGTGTTGGTGGAGTTTCTTGATGTAGTCAATCATTACGCTAAACTTTCGCAGGATAAATTTTCATAACTGCAGCCTGCTAAAAGTAGAGGTAGGTAATTAGATATTGAATAGTCGCATCCTGTTTTAGTAATATTGAAGTCCGGATGTACCTGACCGATCAAGCATTAGGCCCGACTGTGACAGCTAGTGCTGTTACCGCCCCCAAGATTAGTCAGGAGAAAGGGGAACGAGGCCTCATTAGTGATTCGTTTCAATCCATGGAGGATGAAGGTATACATAGCTGACAGGGCTCCCTTGTAGATCGTCATACTCAAGATACAATCTTTAGTATTTCATATTCTTGGTTACCATGCGATGAGATAACGATATTGTTATCCTTGGACCGACTCCTACTTAAACCTTAATAAAACCTCCCACAGCTTTCCTAATAGTCCAAGTGTCACTTTCGCATGATACTAAATTGTAGCGGCGCAATATCCAGGTGGAAAAATATGGCTCAGGATCCTTCCGAATCGAGAAAACCACAGGAGGTTAAATTCGTTGCACAGTTTTCTTTTGAGTCAGGCATAATGGCGTCCCATCTATTTTGGAACGTTCTAGCCTCGATAATGGTTCAAAAGGTTCTTGAACACGATGGCCGATTCGCAGGGCTCATCCTCAAAAAGTTAGATAAGGAGCCACAGAAATCGAAACAAACTCCAGGCAGAGTAGCAAAGTATCTTTGGGATGAAATGATTGCTAACAACTTTGCCAAAAATCTAGAACCGCGTCGAAATCTGCACAATATGCTCGACGGAGTTGAAAATATAAATTCCGAAAATGTAAACGCGCAGGAAATACTTGAGTTCTTGAGCCTCTCCACTGTGTATCCAAAATTTGATGACCTGTATCAAAGAAACGGATACTAGATCACCAACAACTCGTACTACAATGGAGTCCATACCATATCGACCTAGAGGGCACAGACGAGCAACAAAAAGAAAACCCGGAAAATGGCCTCATACATACTTATCACTGACTACCGAATTAAAGATCTCAAAACTCTTAAAGGTTTCAGTGGAAAGTTCGAGGTGAATAACAAAAATAAGCTCACCCGAGCTTTCAATTCCTTCCACCACAAGTTACTAATGTTTAGTAAGTTTGCTTTATCTATGAATTCATATGACATATTTTTTCGCTTAAGCTGATAGGGGTGATTGAAAGGCAGAAATGCAACTATATATTGCTGGAAGACGAAGTAGTCAGATTCAACATTCAAAGAAAGATTTTATGCCTTTTTCCTCTGACTAGTTATTATGACTGGCGATTCTCCGATTCCATTATCACGAATTTCTTCGCGAAAATCTAAAGATGATGTTTGATCTAATCGATGTGTAGTATTTATGAAGTTATATTATACCGGGGCTGTGATGAAGAGTTACAACAGTAGGATGTATTAGGGCTAAGTCGTATGATTGAGGAAGCTAGTTGTAAAGGCAATAAATTTTTGGAGAGTTGAATATTTTAATAGCGGTATTGGAGATGTTGAATTTATTCCTAGGCAGGGAGGAGTTTGGGATATTTTCAGGAATGTTTATGTATATATATGGCCGCTCCTTATGGTTATTTCAATTAGGAAACCAAAGTTCCAGTCGATTTCTGGGTACATAACAGCGGGAAGCCATTGAAAAAATTCCGGGATTTGATAATCTCGAATTCACATAATAAAAAATATATAGGCGGCTTGTGAAATGTATCACGATGTTTTCTTGCTGCGGCCGACACGGCCGACGCGGCCGCATAAACACATCTCCTCAAACATCACGTGCGCAAATTACAATCGCGATTCTGTAAAGAGATAACTTTGTAATTATTTATGCGAATGTGAAGTTTCGTACTTATTATAAAAGATGCTAAAATATATAACCTAGTTCAAAGTTTTCCGCGAAAATAATTATAGCATGAAGAAGAGTGAAGTGTTAAGTTTCCGGCCTCGGTAGAACTAGATCTTATTAACCTTAACCTTATCAACCTTAATCAAATCAGAACTCATGCGATATTGACATCCATGTTTCATGATACCAATTTTCGCATCAAAACATCATCAACCCCATATGCACCACCACCATCATCATTAAACAACTATATACATTCAACATTTGACGGATTTCACTATCATCGGCCTCATTTATACGGCAGGGGCATCCCAATCAAAGCCGACCTTTGCAAATTTCCATTCAGCTGATTCGTTCCCATATCCTAAGACCACTGCAATAGAGCGAGGATTTTCGGAAACCAACATGTAATATGATACCTACCACCGCAATAGATTCACGCCAGAATAAAACCGCCACTAGGAAATTCTTGACACCTCCTGTGAAGGTGGCATGTTTAGAATGGTAATGTGATTCTTATCCACATTCTTAGAGAACGTTTACCAATATAATGCAGTCGTGCTGCACGTACTCGATGCAATGGTAAAACACCATGTGCAAATGTAAGTGGCTCTTGTTACATAAGAAGCAAACGCTCATTTCCATTAGTGCTCTAGTCGAGGTTGTGATTGTGTCTATACGGCGAGTAAGAGAGGTGGTGCAAGAAGACGCAAGAAACATGCCAGTAGTGAAGGACGTATAGAGCAATCACCACCAAATGAGCTCCGTATGTTACCAAACCATTTACCAAGTATTATTCTAATGCGTCATTAGTTACTGGTCCAGCTCCAGTAGTTTCATTGGCAACCCCTGGTGCTGGTCTTCTTCAAAGAGATGAGCAACTGGACTTTGATATGGATTTTGACTTTGATCCAAATTTTCTGGGTAATTCTGAGCCTCTGACCATAGACAATGGTTCCTTACCACAGCCTATGTTCCAAGATACCTCTGAACAGGAAGTAGAAAACCCTGTAGTGAGAACTTACGCGAACGATGAGGACATGTAAGTTCATGTCAACTTAGGTGGTTTCGTCGATATATGACTAACTGAATTTTGACGCGATAGTCTGGGTGCATATTATGTTTACATTCATCCGTATTTTCCTGTTCTTCCACCTCCTTTCTTGCATCAAGCCATTGATAAATTGGAAACCGGATTGCGAGGACCAAACGACATCTTATTTCATAGCAAGAGCAATCCACAGTTCCAGACTGCTTCTCCGATGACTCTTGCCATCTCCACACTCCTTTCACTAATCCCACATCCTGATGATCCGAACCCCGCATCCCCCGAATCTATCCTACTACGTCGAAATCAAGCACAAGTCTTCGCCCAAATGGCGATTGATAGCGTTGAGCTTGAGAATGAGATGATAGAGTCTATATTGGACCCTGGAGACGCTCTAAGCTCACAACATACGCACATATATCGTACGCAAATCCACCCCCAAGTGAGGTTGGAAGCAGAAAGTACAATCGCCCTGCTATTGCTCTGTACTTATGAGTACTCTGAACGAGGAAATATTTCAAAGATGCGAAAAAGATGCGGTCAAGCTTTGATATCTGCTATGGACTTAGGTTTGCATTCAAAAAATACAGAGGTTTATGATTACGCAGAATCAGACAGACGAATATGGTGGATGACGGTATGATTCCGACTTGTGGTCTATGTTTGTCTCCAGCTCCAGCTTCTAATGCTAACTTATCGGGAAGTATGTCTGCGTCTGTCAAGGCTCCATCCTTAGTTGCATGGTACGTATTACTCTGAAAGTTTTGTTATTCCATATTTTGACCAACATAAACAGGCACCCTCCATTCTTCTTTCCGATCCAAGATTCACGACGCCACTTCCTGCTTTTGCGTCTGATCCGGATGTAAGTGCAAATACACATTCCTACTAGAATTATAGCAAACTAAGAGCATCGAATCTAGGTTTGGAGCGTTTTTCTCGAAGCACAAAGAGTCATCGCTACAGCAACGCAATTTGTGATTGATCTTGAAGCATCCTTAAAAATGGAATCTCACAATCTGACACTTTGGGCGCAAATGGCAGAATTAGAAAAGACCATTGAGCCTTTGGTTCAACATGCAGAAAAGTGGTCCTGTTCAAACGTAGATGGGATGGATGTCTCCGAAAGAGTCGTCGCGAAAAGCCTGCGAATGATGACGCGTATCAAGCTGAATAGGTGCGTCCTTAGGCTCTCTTCAGGACCATAATCATTGACAATTGTGGAAGTGCGAGGATCAAGATCCATCGATATTGCGCATTCTCTGACATGCCAGTCTTCACAAAGAAGCATTGTGACTTATCTTCCAACCCTACCGCTGGGCATAACTCGCCACCTTCTACCTGTGGTTGCAGCAACAACTTACAGCAGGCCACGGCCACTTTATCAATAAGCCATGGTATCCTTAATTCGCCCATACCAGATAACGCTTCTGTTTTTGACTCTCCAATCTTGCCATTCAGCAGTCGATTTTCCTCCAAAGTATGCATGCAGTCCGCATTCAATATTGCCCAATCATTCCACGCTTTGCCATTTCCACAACCTTTCGATCCGAGGAATTCTTCTTATCGAGCTGAGACTAAGCAACTGAACAGTCCTCCTCGCATGATGCCCATTTTTGCATGTTGTGCTATGCAGAGTAGCTATGCGATGATAATGCTTTGTCACAAGACTCTTGCAATCAAGCAAGCCAGCCCGTTTGGAGATGGACTTAGGAAGCGAACCGACAAATTGTTGCTTCAACTGCACGATGGTATCAAAATGATTCTAGATGCCTTGGAGAATTATTCAATGGCGAATGAAGCCCTGACGGGAATGCGAGGTAAATTCATAAGTTGTGAAAATTCTAAAAAAAAATGCTGACGAGAAATACCTCAAAGATCAAATACGTATGGCCGTGGAATCTGTCGCTGCTACCCAAGAACAATCCTCAACTTTGCTACCACTGGGCATTTAACAAATACTTGAAGCATAGGGATTAATACGAGTTTAAGGCTTTTGTTTGTTGAATTTTCGAACGTTGGCAATTTTTCAGTATTGTACCCGGTCTGTACATACTCTTCCTTGAGAGATTTGTGCCCACAGGTTAAAGGTTGCGGGCAATGAATGCTTTATGTTCGGCCATATATCAAATTACTATCTATACTAGGAAAATTGTCAATAATGAAGGACTTTGGCAGTTTTAACAGAAATCTGTGATCCCGATTTATGTTCTTTTTGACCATATTGGCAGTTTTATTTAGACTTCCTTAATGTATGGATTTCTATCAACTATAATTCCCGCTCTATGTGCAAAGATCACGATTTACAAGTTCCGAACGTTCCATTTATCACCGCATTAATCTAGTTACTTATACTGCATTTATTCAGATTCTACTTGGATGATCATCACTAATTTTCCGCCATGTCATAGTACACCATGGAGTTTTTGTAGACTCCCGGGACAATACGACGTCATTTAGCCTGATCTGGTGGACGTTTTGCAGTGAGAACAACTATCTTATTCCATTACTAAAACCTTATCGTGAGGAAAACTTTCTGGATGGATACAAACACCATAGATTAAGAACAAACAACCTAACACATCATCTCATACCCTTCTCGAGCTCATCATCTTTTTCACTGATCAAGAACATCACCAGTAGGCCTCTCCTCATCTGGCCACAATTTGACATAAACTCCCAACACATCCTGCCACTCATGATCCCAATCCCAATCCCCATCAGAACTATCCGAGCATTAGCATACCCCTCACCAAGATCTCTCCAGTTTAAAAAAAACCACCCTCCACGCAGATAACAAGAAACTACACAAACAAACCTCAAAGAAAAAGCACATCCAGCCAACATCTTCGCACGCATCAAAATTATCGCAAAAACAATATCATAATCTTTCCGAGCCGTCTTACAAAAATCAAACCCGCAACTCTGATGCTCAGTCAGGATAAAATCTTCATGGTAATTTTGTCCATTGATGCGGATTCCGTGTTCTGTGGTGGGGAGATGGTAATCGTCTTTTTCGTCTAGGAGGGGTGCGGTGTTCTCTAGGGTTTTGATGATGAGGTTCGCGTCGTGGATTAGTTGCGGCCAGATTGTGCTCCATTTGCTGGGTTCGTTGACGCTCCAGTAGTGTGTGTATCTGGGAGTGGGAGTGGTGGTGTTAGTTGGGGTGTATTGTGGATGGGAGGGAGGGGTAGTGAGGGAGGGGAAATTTAATAGAAATGAAGATAGCTTCTTTACTCACCCCATATTGAAAGTGCGAAATTGATGTTCTAGGATTGATATTTTAACGTTGGGAAAGTAATCGCGATGGGTGATCTTTGTCTAGGAAAAGGTCAAGCTCAAGAGATGGAGATAGAGATGAAGATTCTACGACCATCAACCTCATTATATGTCCTCAAGGAAACACCATGATGAAACTCCTTACTGCCTGGTAACGACGCGTGGGTGAAACATTAATAGGCAACAATCCCTAGGCTTACGCGATATGTATGCGAAAACACGTGATATATTTACCGGGGAAGAAAAAAGCAAATATTTTTAGGCGGTAGTATGCATGTTCTTTTTTCACCGAGTATGATGTTCAGAAAGTGTATTGAATGATTTAGATTTTGGATGAGTATAAAGCCAGATTTGACAAGGAGTTTTGACTTTATGTTTGTGTGGTGTTACGAGGTTTGCCGTCTAGATCACGTGGAAGTGCTCTAGGCTCTCGAGGTGGTTTATAACTAGGCGTCAAGCAGGGACTTAAGTAATGACAATAATGAAATGCAATTTGTAACTAATAGTAAAATATACTAAATGATTGATCTTGAGCACGAAGCTCTATACAAAGGAAATCCATCTTGATTATATAGACCTTCATGCCTATGGCTAGTCAGGACCGCGCAGCGGTCCATAACGTGACTTTAATCACGTTACCTTGGTTTAGTCATGTGACGCGGCATAGAAGATAGCCGTTGTAACACGTATTCGTCCTAGGATAAAAGTCCTAGGATAATAATCGTCCCAGGACAATTATCCTAGGAGCTATATTATCCTAGGAAACGAATCGTCCCAGGATTAGTGTCCTGAGGCTTCGATGGTATCACGTGATATACTAGCTCTGCTAGCCTGCTAGCATAGACTAATACCAATATAAATACTAGCTATACTAATTAACTAATATAATTAGCATTTAGAAAATACATAATATATAATTAAAATAATTTCATAATATAAAAGCTTTGTACTTAATTTAGTTATCAATTAGTTTATCTACATTCTAATTGATCTAGTAACGAATTCACTTCCAAGTGAATACCAATGATAAAGCCTTAACCCATAACTACCAACCAGACGAAACCTTAGGCAGCCGCTGCCTCCAGTATAGTATCGTTACAATATATTGTATTTCAAATTTTAAGAATTTCATTTTTGAATGTTTGCCTATATAAAGATATTTATATAGTATACTTTATATATATATATATATTTTTATATATTTGTGAAGAAATATAATGTTATATATATATATATATATACTTTTTGCTTTTTTAGGATAGGTAGATGAAATGCAAAGATGTTGATTCAGTGATTCTTGTGATCCATCAATTTTGGCAGATACAAACTGGATTTCTTATTCTTTAGTAATCCTTTTTCACGATTGGGAGTATAGATCATCTAAAATTGCTATATGGTGTCAGCTACTGCCGATGCGGTATAAAGGGTGAAAGTCAATGGCATTTTCCCCGGTCAACTATTTACAATACAAGATCACTTTCGTATCCCTTTAGTTAAGGAATAAGAACCTTGAGAATTCATACGGAATCCAGCTTGGGAAACTCATCGTTTGCAGCATTTTGATATTTTTCCGGTCAGCTACTCGGAGTTCTCGACCGTGCATGAGATTTATCAATAAAACTGCTTAAAATAATATGACAAGTACTATGCGTAGAAGTGCATTGCATCCGCAAAATAAGTCATTTTCTTCTAATGAAAATATGCCTCTGGAAGATAGTTTTATTTCTTGACATTGGAACTTGATGCAGTCTAGTCAGCCACTAAGAGAGGGCGATGAGATGTGTCAGTGATGAATGAACATTTGACTTCTATATGAGTAATAGTCAGCCAGGATTCGACTTCTCTTAGTTCGATCAACATCAAATTATGGTGAGAAGCTGGACACAACGGTCTTGAGACTATTATTGAGCAGTTAACACAGTTTCTCAAGTAAATTCGCAAAGATGTTAGATATTCCGTTGTTTTAGACAATTATTCAGCAATATTCAGTCCGACTTTGAACAGTTACGAGCTATGAACAGACGAGAGACACTTCTACGGACAACTTGTCCTCAAGTTCCTATATTCACCCTACAATAACGCCAAGTCGAGAATACTAAATTAACAGCGATTGGATTTCTCTAAACACTTACAAGAATCTCATGGTAGCCAATGTCTAGAGTGTAATCCAATAATGAAAAGTTTTGGATTCCTGAATTTGTTTGGAATATTGAAATCAATTAAAGTAATTAATTATATCCAAACATTGAACTTTCAGTCTGGACTACCGGACATCATAGTCTTAAACCAGACTGGACCTGAACATGCAATTCAAAACCTCATATACCAAGCACTTTGCCGAATCCGAATACCAGTTACAAATCCTCACGATTAGAGGTCCTAAACGAGACACCATTGACTTATCTTTATACAAAACGAGGTAAGTCGGTAGGATAGTCCTACGATTAAGTCCAATTTTGCAATCCTTCACCACTTCATATCATTATCGAAATTCTACATGAAAACGTTAAACATTAAAAACCTACTCTGATTATGCAATCAATCCTACACTACTCAACTCGACTCAGCCCTAACCAAAAGTAGTAATCTTTTAGCAACTCAACTTTCCCTCCAAATTTCACCCATCATATATATCCCCGTCCACTGTTTCGCCTGTCCCACTTCCCCAAAACCAGGGCGTTCCCATCCCCATTACCGTTCGTTACCGTTCCTTACCCATCACAATAATAAATCCTCCATAAAACCCCCCTCCGAAATCTTTCACACAAAACAATCACCCCTCGTATCCATCCACCCGGCTCACACATCCGATACTCCATCCGTACCACTCCACAGAAGATGATACTTGCTTACACTTATAAACATTTACACAGATTAAATCACAAAAAACCGCTTAATAACACCCCCAACATTTTAGCGAGATGAACTCAGATCCTTCATGTAACGGTGACTAATCAATCAATCAATCAATCAATCGTTTACAACCCCGTCCTAATTATCGGAAGAAATGTCAGCAAGCTTACTACTTATGATTATGATGCATAGGCTTAAATCCTCCAAGGAAGGATTTTTAAACTCGTTTTACGGGAGGAGAGTGGATTTGGATTTGGATTTAGATGTTCCTTCTCGTACTGAGAGGGGATTTTTTTGATCCCCGGTTTTCGGGATCGAATGAAGTTACATGGGATGGGATAGTCTGGATTGAGATGGGGACGGGTAGGTTTCTATAGTTGGGGACGGGAGGATTTGGGTAGGTGTTTTTGTGATGGGGTGAGGGATGTGGCGATTTTGTCGTTGTGAGGTCATTGGGTTGTGGGAAGTTGGAAGATTTTTGTGTAAGCATTTCGATTTTGAAGATTGGAGATTATATATATATGTGTGTGTTTTTGGTTTAAAATTCAATGTCATAATCATCCAATATTCTCTTTATAATTCATCGTTTCGTTCACACTCTCGTCGAATTCAATCTTCACTTTTTGATTTATTTCACCATTTCCCATATCGAAACTAAAACGAAATCCTCAACACAATGTCTTCCAAATTCACCATCCCTCAACTCCTTGTCCTCCTCCCCTTCCTCGGCCTCGCCATTGCTGCACCAGCTCAAAAGTCAACCGCCAAAGCAACACCCACCTCCGCGGCCCTCAGTAACGGCCTTATGGCGAGCAATCTAAAGCCCACCTGTGCGCCAGGCGGAAACATCGACCTCTCAAAATGGACTCTCCAACTACCGATAGGAACAACAGGTCATCCCGAATCCATCAGCGGTTCCAAGCTCGCAGGGTGCAATGGATACACCCAAAAAGATTATTTCTACACCAACACCGATGGTTCCGTTGTGATGAAAGTTCCAGGCGGAGTGTCTACCGGCTGCGTCACCACCCCCAACTCCAAGCACTGCCGCACTGAGCTCCGCGAAGCCAGTCCCAGTTCCTGGGATCCTAGCTCTTCTAGCAATAAACTCAGTGCTACTCTCCAAGTAATTACCGCTGATGATTCAACCCACGGGACTGTCATTGGACAAATCCATATCGATGATAGCGTGTCTTCCAAGCCCGTGTGCGAGCTATTTTATAACTCTAAGGGAGCGATTTCAATAGGTGTTGAACAAACTAGAGCTGGTGGTAATGAAATTGTTACCCAAGTGGGGAGTGTAGCTGTGGGATCTAAGTTCTCGTATGAGATTGCCTATCAGGGGGGAGAATTGACTGTGGCTATTAATGGGGGCGCGGCGAAGGTTTTGGATACTTATCAGTTGGATAGTCCGAAGAGTTACTTTAAGGCTGGGAATTATAATCAAGGAGATAGCAAGTCTGAGGTGCATTTCTTTGCTATTGATGTTCAGCATTGAGGGTTTGCTGGGAGATAGCGATGGTTAGGGTGGAATGGTCAAAATTGTTTGTTAGAAAGGGTTGTGAGATGACCGGTGGATGCTTTTTGCTTGATAACTTGGTTTTTGGTTTGCGTTGTTGATTTACTGTCGGTACTTTGTATCTCAAGGCTTCTTCTTTTTAATTTTGTATTATCAAACAGCTTCTGGACATTGTAGTGGAGTTAAATTCCGGAAGAATGATGAATATATTTTTCCCGATCTAGATTTGTCCCTAGGTATAGCTGACCAAACTTTTCAGTCCAATCCCGTCGATATAGGCGCAGAATAAGTTTCTCTATATCAATTTTTTGCGGCAACAGAAAGGATTTAACTACATCCTTTCAAACTCAATGACCTGGTATGGGCGTTTCATGACCACAGTCGACTGTAACGCCCTAGGACGAATACTCCGAAACAATCCGCAGTCTATCTGGCCCACTCGAGCCCAGGTGCTTACCGCAGTGTTGAGTCTGACTTGGTCTGACAACATAATCTCATTGATCGATCTTATCAAAGCATCCAGGAATAAATAACCTTTGCACAACCCCTCCTCCTCATCAAGATATTTGAAGCTGCATTATAAGATTTCATATTGAGGTTGATGAATGATGCGCCGTTTAGACCTAAAGCAGGAAATCAAAGACGGAAACAACAGTATAAGTAAAAGTTTGGGTAAATTGACCAGCCACACACAGCCACAATAACACAACCACTCAAAATCTTCCGCCCCACCTCTTCTAAAACATTCACTATTATATACTTAAACCCGCATGAAATTTCCAACAAATAGAGCAAACTGTGGCCATTCGAGTCTACTCGAATCACTCTCGGTCGTCTAGTTGGTTTATGACGTCAGACTGTAATTGAATGTTGTGATCTGGATGTCGCGTGTTCGACTCACGCCTGAGAGACTATCTTTTTTTGCTTTTTTTTTCATTTCTTTTCTTTCCTCTATCTGTCATAGAGTCTTTTGGAGTAGAGAGAAAGGAAGAAAGGATTGTTTGGGGCGGTTTCTTTTTCGATATGGTGGAGTAAAGAGGATAAAAAAGCGGGGTAGCGTAGTAGGTGATGGGTAAATGTGGAGCGCTACGAGTAGTTATGTATGGAGGGGTGGGTGTACTATGCTGTATTTTAATGTTTATAGAGCTCTTTTACCTTTGGCTGGGTGCTCGGGGTTAAAATTATAGGTTTTTCATAGCGCTACTATTCTGTAAAGCCCTATAAGCGTATCCATATGTTGAATGATATTTGTACTAGATGTGAATGTTTCCAATGTTGGTTTAAGCAATTTGATAGGATCATTTAAACATTTCTATATACGGTGTATGTAATTTCAATCGCAATCGCAATGTATTCAGTCTTGATAAAATGCGATAGGGAAGGGGCAATGGTTTGGTAATTGTATTTAAGACTTTGGTAGAAGAATTGATAATCCATAGCCGGTGGTGAAACGTAGTATTGCTAATGGGTGCAGTACCTCGCTCGAGGCAGAAGGGTGAATTTTGAAAACCTTCAAATTATCCGCGGTCCTGTAGATGAGAGGGGGCACGAGTACGTTTCTTGACACTTCTGTAGGAGGTAGCTGACCTTGCTTCATCCTTTATATCTCGTCTCTAGCTGTCAATCATGTTTGCTCTATCCTCAGGATTGCGCAGTGTTCTGGATTTCCCCTCCTATTCCTTACGTCTGCTAGTCTTTTCTCCTCCTTCCTCCTCCTATTCTCCTCGTATCCTCAACTTCGAGGCTTTGCTTTCTATCCTTTATACTAGGAAGGCTGAGAATGGGAAGGTGTTGACGAGGAGACGGACTCAAGCTGGATAGCATTGAGGATATGCAATGCTTGCGGCTGTGGATTATATGGACAAGAAACAAAATGGATTATTCCGAATATCAATAACTCTCTCATCGCCATGGCTGCCAACTAACCCGGTCAATTGAGGTGCTTTGATTAAAGTGGGTGTGGTGAGACTCCGCTATCATTTTCAAAGACTTGTATTCGCGCTGCACAACCTCACTGTGAGTCGGCTTTAACATCCTGCAGCACGTATCCTTTCTGTCGATGAAGACTCTCGCAATGTACCTATTACCCATGAGTTTGTTAGTAAATGGAATCATCTGTATAGAACACCTATGCAAATTCGATGTAACATTGATAGAATTTGATCGAGAGGGGTATTCTTGAATTATATCCAAATTATTTTGATCAATGATAACCAGAGAAAAGTAGAATTTAAGGATGTAGACAGACTTGAAGAATCTCTTTGATTTCCAGACACTAGAAGAGCAAACTTGCGCCATCCGGCTTATACCCTCCATATCATTTTCGGCCTCCTCTAGGTTCTCGTAATCGTCCTCCAGAAATTCCTCGTCGTACTGAGGTAGTAGCGGTTTTATCAAAGCGTCGGGAAAGGCAGTGACATTGGGAAATAAAGGTAGCCATTACACATGACTGTAAAGTCATGGCAGTGTCCATTTTCTCCGTCGACTCTTTGGCAAACAACCTGAGATCCTTCTCCTACCGAGCTCATTGTTCCTGACCATTTCTTCCTATGCGACAAATATCCTCTGCCGTCCCCAAGACCTCCTCACTATTGCCCGTATCTGCTACCCTCGCATTCTCTTCTTCATCCTCCAATTCCCTACTTTTCACCTCCTTGAACCTTCACCAGTCCTCGCTGATAATTGACTTCATAGCATTGAGCTCAGGATTGCATTAAAGACAAACCGAAGATATTTTCGATGCATGTTTGTGATTGTAGTGTCTATGAAAGATAATAGTTGAGGGGGAAAAGACAATCGAAATTTGAATACAACCTTATTGGTTTGTCCATGTATTTCTAAAACGGAAGGTGAGAATGGTGTCGGAAATAAATGGAACAGAATTGAATGTTGTAGATGTTAAAAATTACAACAGAGCAATAATTAAAGGATATCCTAGGTAGAATATATTAATATAGAACTTGAAAGTGAGATTAGAATGATTATTTATTATAGGAATACTTTATAATGTAAATGACACGACTTAAAGGTTTGTATAAACCGATCACTCTGATCGGACCTTGACTAATTAATACTCGAGATCATTCATATATAGTAGCTATTATTGTTGACCTCCTGGGATCTTGGCAGCATATGCATATATATTGCATGATGCATATAAGGAGCAAACAAAACTCAACTTTTAATTCATTCTTTCCTTTTTGGTATACTGTTTGTTTGCTTTCAAAATTTTGATTTCAAAGCACTTTAATTCCGAAGGCCGAATACCTAACCCTATTCCTTCATTTTTTGAATATATACTCGCAGCTTAACTGCTTAGCTAGAGAATCAATCAATTCAATCTGATGCTCTTTCTAGTCTCAATAAACCCAATAATTATATATAATCCTTTCAGGGCTATCAATCTTTTGATTCATAATGAATGACTTGATATTATAATGAATAACTTGATATTATAATATTATTCATTCTTTAATTTATATATATTAAAATTTTTGTTAAAAGGAATGACCTCACACAGGGAATAGTGGGAAGCTGATAGGGCAGAACTGAGGTAATTGTAACGATACTGTACTAAAGGCAGCGGCTGCCTAAGGTTCGTCGGTTGGTAGTTATAGGTTAAGGCTTTATCACTGGTATTCACTTGAAAGTGAATTCGTTACTAGATCAAATAGAATGTAGGTAAACTAATTGATAACTAAGTTGAGCACGAAGCTCCTAGGGCTCTTTATCACGTGATTTCTGATGGTGCGTGCATACACGATCTTCAGGTGACCAAGATCACATACTAATTCGATGAAATCTGATCATGTTTGCACAAGGCCTAAGCTCTCCTAATTAATCAGTTTGCTACCATCGTAACACCATCAATCCTAATGGTGAATCGTGACAGTAATATTGATCTAGTAGGTTAATCTCTCTTCTAAGTTCTATGGAAGTGCGAAGCTCTCTTACAGAGAGCTTCTCAATCTAGTCCTAATAGGACTAGTGGCCTGTGCACGTGCTACGCAGGAACCATTCACTTTAACAAATTTATTAATAAGTTTTTTAATAAAAAATATCAAAAACCTTGAAAGATTCAAATTAAATTTCAAACTAAGGTTCAAATTGACATATAAACCTTACCAATATCTCAATTATCTAATTGTTACGTAGTAACAGTCAACCTGTCCATATGAGCTTAGACCCCGTGGAAAAGCAAACCGATTCGCATACAATTTTGTATGGTAATCGGTTCGTAGAGTCTCCCCACCTTCAGCAAGCACAGACATATAGTCTGATCCAAGTCACGTGATGGACCCTGCATATTCAGGGATACGAATCGTAGGTCCATACGAATCGTAGGTCCACAAACTCTCAGGACCCAAGAGATCCAATGGAGGACGAAGGTCTATATAATCAGGATGGTTTCCTTTGTGTAGAGCTTCGTGCTCAAGATCAATCATTTAGTATACTCTACTATTAGTTACGAATTGCATATCATTATTGTCATTACTTAAGTCCCTGCTTGACACCTAGTTATAAACCACCTCGAGAGCCTGGAGCACTTCCACGTGATCTAGACGGCAAACCTCGTAACACTAATCTCAAAATATCAAAATCTTATTTTAAATAATATTCTTGTCACACTCAAGAATACTGGGTAAAGTATCTTGTATTAGAAAATACTAAGCTAAGGAGAAAAGAAGAAGGAAAACAAGAGTAGAGAGTTTTCCTATGATTAAATACAAACGGGGCATGCCACGTGACCCGGAGGTGTGAGGCGTCACAATTCTCTCAAATAAATCAAAGCAGGGTTCTTAGAGTTCAATTAAAGTTTTCCACCCCACTCTTTGCATCTAAGCGAGGAAAAACCAGAACTAAAAGCAACTAGATCCACTACAAGATCAAGAAATTTTCATAGTATATATATTTATTTCTTCTAGGAACGGGTAAATAAAAGGGCTTGTGGTTTAGTGGTATAATGTTCCCTTAGCATGGGAGAGGTCCGGCGTTCGATTCGCCGCTAGTCCATAATAAGAAATAGACTATTCTAATAGTCTTTTAATATGTTTTATTTATTAGATAATTTTTTCTATTTAAGATTTTGAAACAAAAATTTTAATATAAATTTTTTTGAGATTTAAAGATATAAAAAAGATTTATCAAGGCTCTCTATTCTTATCTTTTTGTGATTTTTTAAATTTGTAATTATTTTTATTATTATTTAATTGTTACGAGGTTTGCCGTCTAGATCACGTGGAAGTGCTCTAGGCTCTCGAGGTGGTTTATAACTAGGCGTCAAGCAGGGACTTAAGTAATAACAATAATGAAATACAATTCGTAACTAATAGTAGGATATACTAAATGATTGATCTTGAACACGAAGCTCTATATAAAGGAAATCCATCTTGATTATATAGACCTTCATATCTATGGCTAGTCAGGACCACTGCGCGGTCCTGGACAGCCAGCGTTCCTCAGCGGTCCATAACGTGACTTTAATCACGTTACCTTGGTTTAGTCATGTGACGCGGCATAGAAGATAGCCGTTGTAACATTAAAATATATCTTTATGTGACCAAAAGGGTGTTTATAGACCAGCAATTGTATTTAACTTAGAATCTACAGGTGAAGAGCACCTGTAGATGGGGATAGCTACTCTATATATACACAAATGAATGGCCTAGCCGCAATGGCTAGGCAAAAAGAAGTCATATTTATCCCTCCAATGATCTTACTTTACCGATAACCATTGATACCTAGTACTTGTCCGGATCTGATCCTCAGGTCACCTAAATCGCATACTAATCTCGAGTAATCGTATCATGTGTGGACATGGTTAATGTACCTGAGGTTTCTTATATAATAAGGGTGGGAGGAAAGCAGGGATTTCCGTCACACTTTAATTCTGTATAATGTTTTACAAATCGATAAGCCTAGAGCTTTCCAACTTTCTTCGCACTTTTTGATTCAAGAATATAATTCGCTATATCTTCTATACTCTTGATTTTAGATGGAAATCCTTTTCGATCTATATCAAATATGTATTCTGTGACGCCTCACACCTTCGGGACACGTGGCATGCCCCGTTTGTATTTAATCACAGGAAAACTCGCTACTCTTGTTTTCCTTCTTCTTTTCTCCTTAGCTTATTATTTTCTAATACAAGATACTTTACCCAGTATTCTTGAGTGTGACATTCCTTAAATACAAAATTAAAAAATATTCAAAGTTTGTGCTCTTAAAAGAGATAGAACGGTGTATCTTTTCAACAATCAAATATTTAAAATCTATATTCAAAATTCTTAATTATTTGTATTTATTTATTTTCTTAAATATTTATTTTTGTATAACCTAGTGGAAACTAAATTGCTAAATAAGGAGATTTGACGAGTTGGTTGTGCAGGATGAGTGCGCCAAGTGGGATGGTCTTTCCTTTTCCATTTTAACGCGACGATAGACTTCCCTATACATTTCGCTGTTCATTTTCTGTAAACGGCAGGCAGTCTTGTCAATACCTTTTCTTTCCATCATTGTCCACTCTCAATGATTTTGGGCATCGGCGTCCATTGAGTGAATTTTATATAATTATGGAATGTATGTTTTCTTCTCTTGCTCCATCATTTAATTTGTGAGAAATCTCCCTAATTACTGCAGTGTCTTTCTCTTCTCCGTATCCTTTTAAGACCTCACAACATTCCCCACACAATCCTTGTTCTCTTTTCACCTTCTGTCTTTCTTATCGCCTTTCTTTATTTCTACTCTTCTTACTTTCTTCCTTAATCTTCTCTCTTTCTTTTCTGGTATGTTCCAATTGCCTTACAATTTCCTCCCTATATCTTGTAATCTCCTCGAACTCTGTTTCAAGCCTTCCTCTTCCCCTACAATATCTTTTTCATTCACTGAAAAGCCTCATCTTCAGAGGTATTAAAGTTTTCTTACCATTTGAATGAGTATAAACAAATTGATAACTGGCTAGTGAAGCAAGGGGTCTTACAGGTCCTGGAGACCTATCGTCCGTCATTGACTCTATGTTTGGTCTTCCTTCTTTGGGTGCATTGACTTCCTTACTGCCAGATACGTATCCTGGATTCTGATCTTTTCCCATGTCTCAATTTCGGACGCTCGCCCATAATTCTCCAAAAGAAAAGTCCACCATGAGTCTCTAATCTAAAGCTCATCCTACCTCAGCTATCTGCATAGCCAAATGAAGGTATTCTGTTCCATTCACTGAAGTGGATTTTCATCTATCTTATGCACATTTTCAAAATTCAAGGACATGGCATCCCATCCCATTCCGCTCTATTTCCTTCTACGCCCTTCAATGTATAGGAATGAAAGTTCTTGTCTGTACAAATATTCACTTTAGCAACCTCACTTCAAACTCACTTCAAAACTGGCTTCCTACTTCACATCAGCCTCCCAATCACATCGCTTCCTCCAAATCCTAAAAGTCTTGTTGCATATCTACAAAAAGTCGATCTTGTGATACCTGCTTCAAAAGCCTCTTATACCAAACTGAAAAGCTTCATATTCCAACAAGGTCGGTTTTTGGACTTGTGGAGGAGAATAGAAGTTGAAATCTTTGTCTACAATTTTCAAGCACGAGGATTTTCTCTTCTGGACTTCACTACCACAACTTCACCTTCAACACACATCGCTTTATATATTATCTTGGCAAGTTCGTTCCTCCAATCAGCCACTCCTATCCCGCCCAGAAAGTTTTGTTGCATATCTAGAATTGTAGGATATCCGGATATACGGATATCTGGATATCTGGATAGCTTCAAATAGTCTTTTCCATCAAAGGAAGAAGCTTCCTCTCCGATATATGATTCTGTATTTTTTTTCTACCTATTCAATCTGATAATTAAGGAGAAATAAATTGAATTGAAGGCTCCCATTGAAAAATTACTATTTGGGTACCAAGACATTCTCCACTCAACTCTTTTCCCTCCACTTCCTCATCACCAGCCATATCACACCTTGGTAAATCTACCTCACACAACACAAGTAAATATGTAAACAAAATCTCACAGAAAATTTCCCGACCTCCCGATTCCACATCTCTGTGTCAAGTTCAATGCTACCATATTGATAAACATATCTTGTCCTATCCATCCCTGTTCTCACACTTAAGATCGACTCAGAAATGACCAAGTTCAAATATAGATCAGATATCTCCGAACCTCAGAGGAGGGCTTTGTGTCGGGAAGCAAATGTGTTTTTCTTGATTGATGAAGATGAGGGAAAAAAGTTTAAGTCAAAAGTCTTCATGTTGTTAAATATTTCTTTCGACATCATTGATAGCATGTTAAAACAGATACAACTGGAAGGAGAAGAGAGCTATGTTTACTATTTAAGAGATATTCTGCAAGATCGATGGAAATAGAGCTCTCTAATCCTCATCTATATGAAGAGATCTAAATTTATCCTTAATTTATTTTTGAATTGATATAGTGTATGGAGTATGATGATGGTATATCGTTGATAACATGGTAAGAATATAGACATCTATCAAATTTCAACATCCATCTTGTCTTAGTCTTCTAACACCGTTTTTTCAATGTTCATTATCAAGAGCTTTATACTAGGTAACCTTACTTTTCATTCAATTTTCGAGAGCTCTTGTAGAAAGCACAAACGTGAGCTATAGCGAATTCCTCAGAATGAGGGTGGGAAAGTGTCACGATTCACCATTAGGATTGATGGTGTTACGATGGTAGCAAACTGATTAATTAGGAGAGCTTAGGCCGTGTGCAAACACGATCAGATTTCATCGAATTAGTATGTGATCTTGGTCACCTGAAGATCGTACGCGCACGCACCATCAGAAATCGCGTGATAAGGAGTCTTGAGGAGCCAGAAAGCTCCTAGGGGCCCCCTTTATTGTTCAGTATATAGTCAGAGTAGTTTCATAGTTTAGGAGCTTCGTGCTCAACTTAGTTATCAATTAGTTTACCTACATTCTACTTGATCTAGTAACGACTTCACTTCCAAGTGAAGACTAGTGATAAAGCCTTAACCCACAACTACCAATCAGACGAAACCTCAGGCAGCCGCTGCCTCCGGTACAGTATCGTTACAGAAAGCTTCATAGGGACTTCTTTACGAGCAGGATGTGGGACTGGGATCGTTTGTGATGTATGGAAATGTAGTACGTGAGTATACGATAAGAAAATGATGGTGAGAGAGTTTGAAAGGAGCTTCATGTTGTCTGTGAAACTATAAGGATGTTTATGATGACGGTGTTATGATCTGCTATAGTCTCAGGAATATACGGATCTTTTTCGAATTCATGAGTTGGTGGATATAACTGAGGGCTGAGATATGAATTTGGGGGTCTATTGAGAGGAATATCATAGAGTTTGATATATATTATAGGTAGTATTTCCCGAGGGAATTCGAAATACGAGGGTTATCAAGGCTGTGGGTGCTTGCTTGCATAGAAGTAGTATGTAGATTTAATAGTATTTTTTGAGATGTGATATGTATAGTAATACAAGGCTCCATTGACTTGTAGTCATATTGAAAAGTTTCGAAAGAGGAGGTTGATTCTCTTGGGAGTAGGTATGTATAGGAGGAAAAGTAGGAAAGATTACCTTCTGATCACCTCAATACCCTAGCATCAATGAGATGTCAACTTTGTAAGAGATCAATGCCCAATAGAAAAGAAATAAACTAATGAGATAAGGAAGACTTCGACTTTATATTAATCACAAATTAATCAAAAACATCTTTTTCAATAGAATGTGAAGAGTATAATTGAATTGTTGAGAATGTTTCAAAATCCAGCCTTGCTTTTTCTTCGTAGAATGTTTCAAGGCTGATTGGCTGATTCCAATAATCTTACCTCGGAAACTAAATTGACCGATCTGTAAGGTAACTAAACCAGAAAGGCTTTACATCTAAGCCAATGGATAACAAACAACCCAATCATATTTCTGCAAGGCTGAAAATATTGAGGATATCGTAGTCAAAAGATAATTTGTGCTTTCGCAAATAAAGTCATCCGTTCCCTTTCTTTCTTCCTTCCTTCTTTTCTTTCTTTTCTTCTTCCTATGAAATTTTACCCCTCTTCTCCAAAATTATCGGTTTGTACTTGATCATGGAACTGCAACTTTCAAGAACCAGCCTGCGTACTAATGGATTTTTCAAATACTGATCGCGCAGTTCAACCAAATGATCCAAAAGTTACACGACAAAGGCGTTTGAAGCGCAAAAACCTTGCAGAATCTCCAGTACGACAGCCGAGTCCTTCTGAGAAGAGGTTAAAGCAAAAAGAGGATTCCCCGCCTTTATATAACATAAAGGGCATATTGAGTGAGCGAAAAATTGGTAAAACTACCGAATTCCTGATCGATTGGGAAGACAACCCGGAAACAGGGGAACCTTATGAACCAACTTGGGTATGAAAATCTTATCATAATATATGCCAGAGTGCTTGAGACTGATGACATGAAAATCTAGGAACCTTATTCGAATGTCACAGAAGTTGCAATTTATGAATGGGAAAGCAAACAAGCCATTAACAAATACAAGTCCCAATTACAACACACTTCCTCCCAAGATAGCGAACCTATACCACCGAGGACGCGAAGTAAATCGAATATACCCGGAGCCCCTGGCTTATTAAGGAGGAGATCGGTGCGGAATACCAATGAAATCGCTGGAGAAAGGGTCGGAACGAAGAACAAGACCAGGGAGATCAGGGATAGTTACGAGAACCAAGGCTCGAGCTCTAGCAATGATCTTTCAATTGTGATTCCTCTCAATAAGGAAATAAACCCCAACGAATATACCGTGTTCAGGTCATCTCAAGTGTCAAACTACTCGAGCACTCAAGCAGATCTACAAGCGTCTTCTCCTCTGCAAGTCCCAAATTCCCTGGATTCTCAATCATTATTGCCACGTAGAAAATCAGCACCAGCCTTTATTTGGGACGAGGATATTGAAGCAGGCTCCCAATATCTATCTGGCTCAACTTCATATAATCCATCCATTCCGAGAAGAGCGAGTGATTGTGAAGAAGACTCTCCCCTATCGGTACATGCCGAGGTTTCGGACCGAGCCCGGAAAGGTATTGCCCGTAGTCACCTTAGCCCAGAAGCCCTTATTACACAACATACCGATACCGTCGATACCGTAACCGTCGCGAATGAAGAGGAGCGAGAAGGAGGTTTTAGTAATAACATAAATCAAAGAGCACCTTTGGAGAAATCCTCCATTCCGGACAGTTTTACAATTGATCATTCACTTTCATCAATTAATGTGAATCTAGTACAGTCCGCCCCACAGGAACCCTTGACACCAAAGCCACAACAACACTTAAGATCGCAACCCTTAAGATCTAACCGTACAGACCGTACAGACAGTGAGGAACCATCTCAATTACCACCAGTCACAAATATTTCTCCGGCATCAGAAAATTCAATATCTTATTCCAAGCAAAGTTTTGATCATTCATTAGAAGAGAAAGCAGGTCCATCTGAATCTCAGAAACAACTACAGCCACAGCTATCGCTGGAGATACCCGATTCGTATCTTTTGAGCGATCCATTCACTAAAAGGTCAGTCTATCAGTATCCGATCTAATTGTATAGAAAAACATCTCACGTTATCCTCTATTGTATCTTTATTGGATTCAAGCTTACAAAACCATTCAGCTCTCCAGCTCAAGGTGTGAACACGCAAACTGCTAGTCAAGATCGTGCTTCCTCTTTGCCTAACGATAACCCTCATTCCAGAACATTGCTGTCTGATTCTCAGCGTTCCCAATCACTCCCTTCATTTACCAATCTTGACTCGAGCCCAGAAGCAACTTGCCAAGCTGCACAAATTATCAGCCAAATTCCGAGTACCTCATCTCAAGATCTTAACCGTGAAAATTCACAGTCCCAAGGCTCTCTAGACCACGTGCAGGCTGATAATTCCGAAGTCTCAGAATTTACAACCACACACCTAGACCAATATCTCGAAGGTCATCATCATCTCTCAAAGTTTGTGTCGGAAAAGCACTGCGTTATACATAGCCGCGAAACCCGTACTGAAATACCTGAAACGCAGCCTTCTGCATCCGAGCCTTCCACAGAAGCAGCTTTGCCACAAGTATTAGCGAGTATCGAGTCCGGCGCGCATCTTCAAAACGCCGAATTGCAGTCTCAAGAATCGCCATTGTCGCAAGGGCCGGCCGGATTAGCCTGGTCCAGCGGCAGAAATTCACCACTACATTCGTCTTATCTCGTTGAGAAAATGTCGGCAGTCGGATCAAGTGCTTCCCATCTTGCTGTTGGTGAGAGAACAGCGAGATCAACAAAATCTAGATCTCCATCGAGCATGCCCCCTCGTGTAGCAACTGCACCACCAACCGGCTCAACTAACCACCTGTTGCCTATGCGGGATAGCATTACTGATACATCGAGGCCACGCAACAGAGCAGTCTCGATGCCAAGATCTTCAATAGAGTCTACAGACATGAGTCCCAACGTATTGACTATACGCAAATTAGGACGGAATGAATTTATCATCCCGCTGCCAATGATGACACAAGTTCGTGATGTATATGATACTACAATCAGGAATAAGAAGAACGATATCGTGTCGTTCTTGGGAAGGTCATCAACAGCACCAGATTCAGACAGCATGGACCTAATGATTGAAGAGTTAAAACTAATCTGTGATCATCAAGACTTGATTGTGGAGGAATCTTCAACTCAGAGCCTAGATGACAGTGCGCAAGCTAGGTACGCTGTGACTATCAGCACCAAGTTTTTGTTTATTCAACAATTTTTGGATTCACTTCGAGCAGCTAAGGTCCATGTGGTGATATTAGCACGCGATGCGATTCTACCTATCCTTGAATCACTCTTCAGATGGCAGCAGTATAATTACAGTCGCCCCGACATACCTGGGAACCCGGGAAAGTCTGAAAAAGATCTGATGGAAATCACGTTACTTCCTACATGGATCGATGTTCGCGATTGCATTGTTTCTCCTGCTTCAGTGGTTGTGGCATTTGACTCATCATTCTCGGCGTCCCAAGGAGGAGATGAGTATTCTGAAATTTTACCTTTTGACCCCAGGAACCCGGATAAGCGCGCACCTTTATTGTGGCTTGTCATCACAAACTCCATTGAGCATGTGGAACTATGTATACCTGCAACATTAGAATCATCGGAGCGGAAAGATAGGTTAGTCCAATATGTCGCTCAAACTCGAAAATTCATTGGACGTTTAGATACGAGTATCTATCCCGAGCCGCAACAGGCCGCCAGAGGAGCTGCAGAGTATGTCCTTGATGATTCAATTGAAGCAGAATGGCCCATAATGCCAATGCCAAACATTGACATTTCTTTGCCCGGTCATGGAGCTTTCAACCGCCAACCAGATTCACTGACACAATCTTTATTTTCACCGGTGGAACCAATATCACAGTCCGGTTTCAAGCGACCGTCTGTAAGTTCACTCGCTTTGCTTGCGTCGCTATCATAATACTTACATATTTCAGGATTTCGATGCTTTAGATGATGATAATGCGATCAAGCGTCAGCGGATGACACCTTCGAGGCCTGATTCAAATACCGTGAACGGTAACATGGCAGATCTTAAAGAGATAAGGTCGTTACGAGCTCGATGCGAGGACTATGAAAAGAGCATTAAACGAATCCAACCAAAATATCAACGCGCTCTTGACGAGAAAGCCAGATATGAACACGAGAACGCTCAGGCTGTAAAACGTCAATCCGAATACGAAAAGAAACTAGAGATACATGATGGAGCGGCCGCCAAACTTCGTGAAGAGAATGCGTCATTAAAAAATGAGTTAGCTGTTGCGCAGAACTCTCTTTCTACATCTGCAGTTCCTTCTATTGCCGAACTTCAAAAGGCCAAAGACGATCTTCGTGCTGCTCAAGCTGAAATCGAACGTCTCAAGAAAGGTCAAGTTAGTGTAGAAAAAAGAGCTGATTATGCAACATCTCTTTATCAAGAAAGCTCCCAACAAGCCCAAGAAATGCGCAATCAACTCACGAACCTTCAGTCTGAACGTGAGGGTCTTCAAAAGCAAGCCTCTGCCGCCCGTGTCGAGATTCAGAAAATAAATAACGATGGAATCATTCAGCAACAAGTAGATACCATCAATGAACTTAAGAGAGAACTCGCGGAAAGAGAACGCATGTTAGAGAGTCTCACTAGACAACTGGAGTCATATACCAATGGACGCAGAACAACACGCGGCACCAGCGTTCCAAGAAGTCCAAGAATGAGCAACATGAGTCCAAGACCGAGAGTATTGGGTAGCATGGCACCGGGAAGCAACACGGCTAGTAGGGGAAATAGTCCCGCACCTGGAGTCTTTGGTGGTGATTTGTTTCAAGGCGGTGATGCCGGAAGGCGATTTGGTGCCCATTTGCAGTAGCGTGGATGATTTAGTCGAAGAGCTTGCATACATGCTTCTTTGCAGATATTCCTTTTTGGGTGTTGAGGATGCTTTATATCGCATATGTGAGCTGTCCAGGATTGGAAATATATTAGCTAGCTAACCAGGCGGAGATTTGTAACATCTTACATGAAGATGAGTGATGGATGTGGATGGATAAATAAATCTACAGCAACCATCTCGAAATTCCAAGCTAGGTGGAGAAACAAATATGAGGAGTCTCTGTCTGAATGAATTTACTTATGTTAGTTGGTCGCATATGGCGTCTCGTGTTTATGTTTATGTATGCATAAGTAAGAAAGGATATTTGTGTTTTGATATTTGATTTGTTTACTTGCTTGGTTACTGAATGATCGATCATTTGGGAGGGTGGACTGTTTCCATTTCATGTATGTGTATGCTTTTGTGTATATCAATCAATCAATCAATTAATTATATGGTAAATTACCTAGTAGTGGATAGTAGCAATAAATAAATAAAAACTAATCTCACAAGAATCACAAGAACTAATCTTAATCTTACAAGAAACACACATTATATAATTAAAAATACTTACTTACTTACTCGAGTACATATATACTTAGTTAATTCTACCAAAATTATATTATTACTTTGTTACTTCGTTACTTTGTTAATTACTCCTGAGGATTGACTTTGATAATTAATCTAATCTTGCAATTTATAGATACCTAGGTACAAATAGAAACAGATAAGAATTGCAATTATTATTAATAATTACCTACCTGTTTCCTACTTGCGCTGCATTTTATCGATAGATCAGGGGGTGGGGAATAGTATGCATACTGTGCTTTTAAAATTCATCTGATATATCTTATCTTGTGATTTTGGACGTCGAGGATTATGAATTGAGCTTACTATGTATGCATATATATGTACACTCAAAAGCAAAGTCCACCTAGCATGCTTAATATAAAGTTCACTGCTGTAAACATTATTTATTGTGTCTATCTACGATAGCAAATTGCTATTATTTACTTAAAATGTCTATCTAGCCACGTTCACCTCCAGCAACTTTCAGAGATATCGTCTTCCCATTTCTAATTCTGCACTAATGACCCATCTCTCTTCACCCATCCATCAAGTTAATCATGACTTCTCTTTAGCGCCTCCCCCATCGGTATCATCGCACAACTCTCCAGCAATATGCTGACTTTTCGGCACAGCTCCACTCCCCACCCCCAAAACCGCCCATCTATCGATTCAAAATGGAACAATGCTACCATAAGCAATTTTAGCTATGATGTGATTCCAGAGTTTACATGCAAGAAAGAGTTATCTGGTATGGATCAAAGTAAGTAAACGCCGAGGACTCCAGAGAAAGAAAGTTGATGCTAGTTGCTTTGCGAGTGAGGGTATATCAGTGCTTGAACTGGGAAACCATCACTGCCTCTACAGGATCTCGTCCAGACAATAGTTGACTGTTTACAAACCCCTCCATACCAGAATGACGAAAGCGTTCTGAGGCTTTGTCTCCATCTTCCCCTCTCGACGTATTACTTTTCCGACCAAATGGTGCCATGATAGATGGTTGATCGTTTGATCTATCGCGTTCTTGTGAACCAGCCATCAGCGGAGAAGATGTAATTGGTGGAACGTCTGGAAAGGGGGAACTATCCTGGTCTCGGAGCATCGGGTCTGCAACATCTTCAGTCAAATCCACCACAACTTGCTCTGGCGATTGTGAACGTAATTCCGGAACAGACTGCCTCGGTCTCATATCCTTTTCCGATCGCCGAGGTGAATTCATACCAGCACGTGACGAGCTTTTCAATGCTTGAGGTTTATTCTGTCCTGGAGACTTGAGCGCAGAAGTAGGCCCTGAAACCTCGTCTTTCGAGGCTGTTTGGCCTGCCGATCTGTTCAAGTATTTTCCCACCATACCCACCATATTGCCGAACCACTGTGTACCACTTTGAGAGTCTTGTCCAATCTCAACCTTGCCGGTATGGGACTCATCTTTATCGAGATCAATAACATCATCCTTTCCCTTCTGTTGTTGAGACTCGTGATCCTCATTTTCCTGCGTGCTTTCTTGATCTTCGAAAGAATCACGAATTTCGATGGGTACATCAGGCTTGGAAGGACTGGATCTTACCCCAGTTGAGGTGGTTTGACGAGGTTTTCTTTCACGACCCCTTGATCTAAGTTGTTTTTCAGCTGTCCTGTGGTCTGCCTCCTTGATAAAACTCGGTGCAGAATCCTCTTCAAAATTTCCTTGAAGGTTGTCCTGACTATCTTCAATATTGATGACGTCTTTTCCCCTTGAACTTGGTAATGATTTTGGGGTAGTTCTTGCAGCCTCTGTCAAAGATTCTTGATTACTACGTTCAGCGACAGTAGAGACAGTGGAAGCAAGTGGCTGTTTATCACTGCTTATCAAAGGGAGAGACGCTGTCTGGCATTCTGAGGGCTCAACTTTGTCCTTAGTCATTAATGGAATACCTATTCGCTTTTTGGCTATTTTCGCCTTTTTGACTGCATTTGCCTCTCGGGTTTGTTCTGCTTGTAGCTGGAGAAGAAGCTCTCGGATCTTCTTGCGAAATTCAGGTGTGTTATTCCGATTGCCACGAACCTCATACTTGTTCTCCATGATGTCTTCGATGAAGTCATCGGGACGTTCGAAGAATTCCTCCATATAGCTTAGGAGGTACACACCGCAATCACAAAAGTTGCCTTGTTCAGGAAGACCTTTTCCTGGATATCTTCCTGTGTCACTGTCTTTTGCTTGTGTTTTAGCTGTCATGCCAAGGACTTTAGGGGGTGTAATTGAGATGCCTTTCTTCGATTTTATCTCCGCCACAATGTAATCCTTTAGATTGGCACATGTAGAAGCGTGCCTTAGAGCAAGTGAATCAAAAGTAATGATTCTAGGCTGTTTTGTGTCATAATTGCGAGTCGGGGGAAGTCTCTTTCCCTTCGTCCCAAAATTTGGCCTTGCTATTGGCGAGCTTGACTCTGCTAGATTAATCACGTTTTTGGCAGCTTTGTTTGCAGAGACGTTGCCACGATCAACGTCCGGTGAGATGATGGGCAATCCGTCATTGCTACGAAAGAGACTTTCAGCAGGTACGATATCCAATGGGTTTTTTGTTTTCTCGCCGCTTGACAAAGACAATCCTTTAAAACTACTGTCAACACCATTATCGTCCATTTCGTTTAGAGATCTCGTTGGGATAGACTGCGGCGATCGAGATGGCGTCGGAGGTTTGCTCTCTTCAGGGGACTCTATTTCTCCATCCATTTCAGATTTCGCATCCTTCTCCGTTGAATCCAACTGCTCCTTGGTCTCTAAATCGAGAAGCTTGGGTGCATTGCATATGATCGCCACATACCAATGAGTATTTTCGTTGACGGGCACAATAATATAATCATAAGAAAGAAGATCGACTTTTGCCGTCCATCTCTCAACAGCTTCATAATTGATCCCTCTCTTTCCCTTTGCAGCTTTGGTTAAGCTTGCGTAAAAGAATGTGTTATGAACGTAAACCCGATTCGCCAACTCTGGATGCTGCTGCTCGAGCCAGAGAAGGTAGAACATGATAAGATTATCGTTCAAAAACTCTCCGTCATCAAGCCTGTAAATATCTTGCTTGTCAACAGTAGCTGTCTTTTTACTGGCCCTAGGATATACGACGGATTTTTTCCATTCCTTTAACCAAGCTTTATTTATTTCTGACCAGCGCTCTGGGCTAGGGGTCCTTGCTTTAGGGGCTGGTTTGTATTGCTTAGGCCTATCAGAACTCCGCAATGACGCACGAGTTCCACTGGCCTGGCTTGATCTTGAATAGAACTCCACAGCATCGATTGGATCAAGATTTTCATTCATATTTTGTGGTGTGTGGGGAGTCTGCATTCTCTCATGAAGCTTCTGCCTCTTTGGTTTTGGAGGATGAGTATTGTTTGGCTGCTGAATTTCATATACGGGTGGTTGTGTCAGCTGTGTTGTTCGTCTCTTTTGGTTTGATGCCAGAAGTTGAATATCTTCAGGATGGCTTTCAGCTCTATTTCGTTTATTGACTGCCTGTCCAGCTCTTTTGTCGAGAGTGTCACGAGCGTGGTGAAAGGTTTGATCAATCTCGGACCTGGATAAATTTGTTAGCTTGTAGTATCAATGATGAGAATCATGAATATGTACTCTTCCATGCAACAAATTTCAAGATCATTTTGGAAGATCCCAAGCGATTCCTGGAAATCTTGAGCAGAATCAGCTGAGTCGAATTCTATGAACATCTCGGAGTCTTGCATAGGACCATTCTCGCTTGGTTTTCGAATGATCAGCTTGCTAGATTCATGTCCAGTTTTTACATCAAGTATAGAGGCTGCTTTTATAGCAAATCCTGGGAAGGACTTCGTATCACCCATGAGTTTCACAACTCCACATTGATCCAAACCCACATACCGGCTCTCCGACAAAATATCCGGCCTGTGCCAGTGTCTATTTCTTGAGAAGACGCTTTTAACTCTGTATTGTCCGTAGCTTTCCAGTTGTCGTAATTTCCTGTCACCCGTCCCACGCTTGTCCCAATTGGTTGGAATTATATCTCCCGTTTTCACAAGGCTCGACTCGTTTTCGGAACCTTCATCACTGCCGCTATCGTTTGCCTTCCATTCTTCGTGTGCCTTGTTGAGATGACCTCCATTTGCTATCCTAGGCGGGTTTACCTGTGACAACTCATCCTCGCTATTATCACCTATGGGTAACTCATTCAAAGCTCCTCTCTCTTGTGTAAAGTTGGGCGAAGATCTCTTGGAAGTTTGCAGTTTCTGATATTGCGGTGATCTATGACGTCCATCTGCTCTTGAGTATGGGTTCTGGCGTGCAGGTTTTAGGTTTGAAGTTCCGAAGTATGGAGAAGGAATTATCACTTGAGGTGATTTTTGGGGGGCAGATATCAACATGTGCGGGTCATCGTCAACAATCGGGTCATCGGAATCCTCCAAGTATCCATTCGTATGAATTCGGCTCCTTGAGTGATCACTTTGCCTCGAAGATTTGATATGAGCTCCATCTCGGTTATTGCTGAGCCCTCCTGAGGAGCCGCTGGTTGCGCGCATAGTAGTGGCGTTGCGTTTTATGCGACGTACCTTTGGCTTTATAATGTCCTCGACTGTTTGGAATTCTTCAACAGACGCACCCGTGTCAGGCGGCTCACCTTGGAAAAGCTTATGCCCACCAGATTCCTGAATTGCTCCTTGCTCCAACTGGTTTGTTCCACCATATTTTCTATGACTTGGAGGCGCCTGCTCTGTTCTCTGCTTCTTGCTGGGTCTGTCATCATGAAGATTGAATGGCTCGATTCCGCGTGTTTGTGATGTCGCAGCGGCATTCTGCCCGTCGCCCAACCTATTCACAGGTTTTGGTCCACCGCCGAGGCTACGTCTGACCTTCTCACTGTCAGCCAGTTGAATGTTATATCTGTAGCATGTGTGAACCATACCATTTTGGTACGAGCCTCTGTGAAAATTTTGGTTGCTTGGGTTTTTCCAGGACTGCAGAGGCTTTTATTAGTACAATTGCAAATATTTAATCAAACTGTGCTGTGAATATCGTACTTTCGGGTGTTGGTATGTCTGTATCTGTCATAACGACTTTTAAAACCCCTACATAATCGATTAGCACATGCGCCATGTAAAAATGTTCAACTCTCATACCACTCGGCCTTCACTCCAGTCTTGCTTGGCTCTGTATCCTCTTCCTCTGGCGCATCATCGACACCAGTTATTGCACTTATGGAAATTAGTTTTGAACCAAACAGAAACCTATAACTTTCTCCGATGAAGATATACCTATGAGTATCCGGACCATCAAAATCGTTGATGTGTTGGACTATTGATTTTCCATGATTTGCATGGGGTTCTTCAGTCTTCTCGAGATGGGGAACTTTTTGGATGTTCTGCAGGTGCATGAAATATTAGCTAAATGCAGTGGGGCTAGCCAAGACAACTAACTCCATAGAATATCTGATAGAACGAAATATGATAGATAGCCTTGCGTTGCCTTGTGTTGCGTACAGATGCGATAAGAGAACAAGACTGGCTTGTAGAAAAGAACTTACATTTGACTCTGCTTGTTCCAGATCAGTTATATGGCAAACAGAACTATTTGACCGTGATTTGATTCCTGCAGTGCTCTGCTGGAGTTCTTGCTCTACCCTAGCTTCATGGTTTCCATCGGTTTTGGAAATATGTTGGAGATTCATTCGCGATTGATTGAAATTTGGTACCCTTAAAATTGACCCAATGGATTCAATATTATCAAAAAGACTATATTGTAATCTGGGGCATGGTATGTGTAGTTCTTCGCTGCTGAATCTCTCATATGTGCAGTGTTGGTAGCTTGTCTGTCTGAGACTGTTGCTGTTGTTGTTATTGTTTTTGTTGTTGGTGTTGTGGAAGACTTTTGAGATTGATCCAAGAGGTTCATGATTTGATGAGGTTCGGGTAATGGTCAAGGCTTTCGTCTGAGTGGTTCCGTTTGAAGTTTCTCCAGCCTCGTCTGAATCCGAAGCATCAATTATCACAAGATTCCTGTCCTTGCTAATCTTCTCGGGAGTTTCATACTTCTCCAGAATACTATCTATTTCTTCTAAGCTCGGTATTGTCCGGCTTTTTGACTCTTCGAAATTCCTCGGTCTGTTTTCATCCTTGGATCTCGTCCATGGCTCTGAATTGATAACGGGACCCATGCTGGCCAACGATCTATTGATCCTTACTTGCTGGGCTTCTTCCTGCTTATTGAGCTTCTCTCGGATGCCTTCTGCAAGTCTGCTCACTTTATTGGACTTGTTAGCTGTGTGTCCATATTTTGTGAGAGAAATGCGGCAGTCTTTCTTTCTCTTTTCATGAATTGCAGAAGCAGAACCTGGTACCGTGCAAGGTACTGACTGACTTGACAATAATGTGCTTTTCGGTAGTTTATCCTCTTTTTGGTGATCTTAAGAGACATGCCTTATTTTGTTCTTGCAGGTATTGAAGTGAAAGACTACAAGTGGTAGAAGGCGAGAGCAACAACCTTGTCCCAAAGACCGATCTCCCGTGATAGACAGGAAGTTAAATGGGAAACTCACAGCTTGTTCCTCTAAAAGCTTTCTTGAACTAGAACTCAAGTAGCTTGCAAAAATACATTGCCACTAAACTAGCAAAAAGTATTTGAGGGGTGATACCAGCAGAAAAGCATGTCTGTCTGCACTTTGGGAAGTTGTGTTGATCGGATTGGGAAGATCGTATAATTAAGAATGATAGCGAAACTTTCCAAGAATTAAGGGAATACCTAGGTACCTAGTATAAAGTGAATACTACCATCTCTGTGCCAACACCTATCTACGGCCAGTTCCCAGATTAACTACTTGTCATCCGGTCTATTCGAAATCACACTCAATCTGTTTAGCCAGATCTTACTGGGGGCCAATTTAATACAACTTCTGTGAGTACCTTTACATAGTAAGGATCCCACAAATCACACATGTTGTCAAGGAGCCTGAAAGTGCGTACTAGGTTTGAAAGAGTTTGAATGCATGACTTGTGCCCTATGCACACAAAACAGCAGACATGAATTGCATTATCGACACACCACAGACCAAAAGGACTTGGTGAAATAACATGGTAGTATCTGATTCAACAGTCTCGTGAATGAATTGGGTGTTGCCCTAACCACTACTCAACCGCATTTGATATCAGGTGAACTCTTCAATTTGAAATACTATAGTGAAGTGAACCATATAGGATAGAATAGCATAAATACTTTCAGTCTGACATCCTTTGATTTGACCCGGCCAACATTATACTTCGTCAAATCCAAGTCCCATGAACATATATTCCTGGGAGTAAGCTGCTTTGGGCGAAGGGCGTCAGTTGATGCGTGCATGCATACCTACATTTAAACCGCAAGATGTGAGTGGAACGACAAGATCTGACAGCAGAAGCCGATATGACATGACTGATATTCCACAGCCCTCACCTCAAACCTATTCTTGCCCTTTGCTTGCTGGCTCTTCCCCTGCGTCATCTACTTACATCTCCATAAGTTGGTATGCTAAGAGCAGGAATAAACATCAAGGTCCTCCTTTTATCACTGAATATGAAAGTACTTGACAAGTCTCTCCCGAACTGGTGGGGGGTGGATTGTGGATTGTGATTCTTGATACAGCTGTACAGATAAGAAAAGTCGCAATTCAGAGCCTTGAAGCACTCCGTCCATCTATCCCCAGTATCATCGTCCCTCCATCTACAGTATGCCTTCCCGTCATCACCATTATCGTCATCTATTTAGCCTCTGGGTAGAGGTCCTCCTTCAAACTCACGCCTAGTTCCTCACGGAGAGGCTTAAGCTCCTCCAAATATTGGTCATATTGGCCACGATTCTCGACCTTTGCCTTGATACCTAATGTGTGGTGATGTCAGCTCTAGACTCTTTGAGTATGCCTACTATCCACCCCACTTGCGTGATATAAGGCAATAGTACATACCCTCGAAGATCCGTACGGCCGTGGGGAAATCGTTAACTCTTCTTGCGGCTTTCAATGCGGCAATAACGACAGATGGAGAAGGCACAAGATCGTAGGCAAAGGCGTTGTTGAGGTTTCGCTATGTAGAAAAAAGATCATACGATGATCAGCAATCTGTAGGTATGCTCATAGAAGATGTGGGGGACAAGAAAAGATAGATGAGGAGAGCACATACCTGAAGCTCGAAAACATCTTGAACTTGGTCGAATTCCTTCTCATATCTATCCGGCTATTAGCCAACCTTGGAACTTTCGTATTGATCTCCATTCGGCTCCCCTTCGGTTGTGCGGGAACATGCTCAAATGCGAGCAGAATGCCCCTCCAATTGAAGACCGACATACCTAGCTGTGAATTCCTCAAAACTCTCCTCATGATGAGCAGCTTCTTGGCCGTCCTTATCAGGCTCAGCCAGACTGCGGCTTGTGGTGCTGAAACAGCTGGCAGAAGTTGCGCTCATAGTTGGGGCAGCGCGGGGAGTGAAACTTCGGAGTCCATTGGATCGGAAAATTGCCGATGGCTGCGCGCGCGTAGCAATACGCAGGATTCTAGTTGACGACATTAGGAAAAGTTGTTGTGGTGAAGTGGTTCAGTATTGCATAGACTTTCAACGGGTTTGAAGTCAAAATTGCACACTTTCGACAATTTCCAGACCAAGTCAAACAGTGCGTTGTGATTGGTCGTCCGCCTTGCTTAGTCACCCACCCAACATTCTTGGCCATAAAATGATATTGATGTCTGGTCATTTCATGTTCGAGTATCTCATCTCCACTTTTCGTCAACGGCAACACGGTATTATTTTTCCCTCTGTGTCAATCCGCTTCACATGATGCTTCCGAGATCTACCTTGAAGGTGATGATTTCGACTTCACCATGCCCAGGTGGTTACTGTCAGGCTACGTATCACTTTTTAGGAGTTAATGGCTTGATCATCCACCTTCAAGTCATCCTTTCCATTCTGACTCGATACCATGCAACTCTTTTGTTTCCTCCACCTTCTTGTCAGCGTTGGCTTCTATCTAGGTATATCCATAGCATCTGGACATGGAAAGGCATTCTCGGAGCACGTCAAGTATCAGGAGTATCAACCGGAGACAGCGGGACATCTCTCCCTTCTTTGATACTATAAATACATGATCTCTCAATCCAAAATTCCCTTGCCTTGTAAATGGACGAAACTTTGACACCTGCTCCCCACACCTCCAACTGGCTTGCCGAGGCTACAATCTACGACGACAATCTCTGCACAGCTTTTCGGTGCCAAGCAGATGAATGTCATTTACGAGCTTGAACTCCGTAGCACTCCGAGCATCCGAGCATCTCCACATCAAGGAAAGTTAAGGCTCGATCGGGATACAGAGCATTCTACGGTTGAAGTATTCTGTAGGTGGCAGCTCTCAATCGGCTGCAGTCGTGCTCTTGAACTATTTCGAAGGCAACATCACATGTTCTTGTGGATTAATAGGACCAACGGATTGAACCAAGGTGCTGGTGATTATTTTTTATTTTTAAGGTAATACCGCCGACCAGTCCTTTTTAAATTGACTTTTCCACTGAGGGGTTGTTTGCTTTCGCTTGAGGAAGAAGGGGGGCGGAGATCGAGCTCTACTTGAGCCGCATTAAATGCTATAACTTTCCCATGATGAGAGTATAAACAAGTAGTGTCGACACTGTAAATCTTCTATATGTCCTTTCTTCAAGTTCCTCTAACCTCGGCACGATCTAATTGGTCTCTTCATGTTTATGATGGCATTTTGAACAAAGTATGGGATACTGTTGTTCTAGCTGCTAGTCATCTCTATCCTCTACCCAAGCAGCTAATGCCACTTGACGGATGGAAGCTTCTGATCTAAATCTCCACCGTTATTCCTTGTACTCTTGTTTTCTGGACGCAACCTTCAACACTGTTAAATTGTTGTACGCTGTAGAAATCCATATTAAATTATCAACATGGTGTCGTTCACATGATATGCATCGAATTGAACCAATGAGCCAGCTCGGTATACATATCTATTTCCCACGTATGTAACTTTTGACACTTTATGAAGAATCATTGGTTACACCACCAATGCATGCTTGAAAAAGTCGGTGATAAGGTTCATAGTTTAGTAAACATTAACATGTATGTAGCCTGTACTCCGTAGGTAACCTTAACATGTGAAATTCTCAAAGGCCCAATTTCGGTAACCGTCGCCCGTTTAGGACCCCTTTCAGGGAAAAGCCAACTAGCTGGCCATTCTGCAACTATTTGGCAGGAACACGTCAAAAAGGAAACTTTTTTCTTCTTTCCTCAAAGTCTTTTCAAACTTTTTCAACCCTTTTTATTGCGAGCTTCTTTAGATTCTTTTAGATCGGATTTCGAGGTTTCAAGAACCCGTCTCCGTACCCAATTCCTTGTGCATCGTTATCCTTCTTCAACCTTAGTTCTCCTAAAAGAATATTAATTTATTCCACTTCTTTCCCGTTCCCTTCTTTCGTCACTCCTTCATTGAGTTCCTTATTACTTTTATGTTTTGAATTCATAAGGAAAGAACCAATCCTTCGTTATCCCCATCCTTTTCGAAGAATACCGTTGTTCATAGGTTGTTTCGTCGCGTTGTAAATAACTTCTCGTCTCGCCCTAGCGAATTCCACTTTTTCGAAAGAACACGCGACATTTAAGAAGGGTTTTGTCGCAGATTCAATCAAGGTCAACAATACATCAAATTTCAACCGCAGTTTTGTCGTGATGTCGTCAAATGGATTAGATATGAAGGCAATCCCTCTGCCAACAATTGAGAAGCCATTCGGAGTGGAATTATGGCCAATTTTCGACAAGGCCTTTACCGCGGTCAAAGGTTACCATCCGCAAGACTTCGATTTCCAACCACTGGTCACACCTATGTCAACCTTGAAGGAGAGCGGCTTGACCATTTTGGCATACTACATAATAATTTTTGGCGGAAGGGAGTTAATGCGAAACCGACCAGCCTTCAAACTCAATGGTCCATTTATGATCCACAACTTCTACCTGACTGCCATCAGTGCTATTCTTCTAGCACTCTTCGTTGAGCAATTGGTGCCGACAGTTTACAATCATGGTCTTTTCTATGCAATCTGCGATGTCAAAGGTGGTTGGACTTCACACTTGGTTATTCTCTACTACGTAAGTCTTACTAGAGATGCGGCTACACAAATTTATGGCTAACATTGAATAGCTCAATTACCTCACAAAATACCTCGAATTGATTGATACTGTTTTCCTCGTGTTGAAGAAGAAGCCATTGAGTATGTAGCCACAACCTGACGATCCATACCATACATAAATGCTGATATTTTTTGCGAAGCTTTCCTTCACTGCTATCACCACGGCGCCACTGCTCTCTTGTGTTACACACAACTCATTGGGTTGACCTCCGTATCATGGGTTCCAATTACTCTCAACCTCATGGTTCACGTCGTTATGTACTGGTACTACTTCCAAAGCGCGCGTGGAATCCGTATTTGGTGGAAGGAATGGATCACCAGACTCCAAATTATCCAGTTTGTCATTGATCTTGGTAAGGCTGCACAAATCCACAATCAGCCACAAATTCTACTTTTCAGCTTGCTAACATACTCTCACTATACAGGCTTCGTCTACTTTGCATCTTACACTTACTTTGCCTCAACCTACTTCCCCAACTTGCCAAGTGCAGGTAACTGTGCCGGAGAAGAATTTGCAGCTTTTGCGGGCATGGGTATTCTCAGCTCTTACCTCTTACTTTTCATCTCCTTCTACTTCGCAACCTACAAGAAGGATGGAAAGCGCCCCACGGGTCGCAAAGCTGCACGATCCTTGGTCGATGCCAAAGTTCCGGATGTCGCCACACTTACCCACGGGAAGATCAATGCAGGCCCCGCAAATGGTCGCGCAACAGGCGTAAGCCCAGCTCGTCCAGCTACCCGCTCCCGCAAGGCATAAATATGCACCTCGGGATACGACCCCACACAATCGGCACGACGGCAGTAGTCGACCCGATTATGCGATAAATGATAATGGATAGTAAACTCGCAGCCTCTTCCGAAGCGAGTGCACAAACTTCCATGAGAATGAGGACTTTCTCCTTGTATAATGGTTTTTTGGCGGCATAACACAGTTTTAGACGTGGTTTCGCCGCTACAACTTTTCTCTCATGTTCTAGAAAGAAAGAAAATATGTAATGAATGTCATGGCCGAGAACATGACAGCATGGGTGGTTGGGCGGACTTAGAAAAAGAGCAATTCAGATTTCACAACCTTTTTTAAAGACTTAATACTCCGTTTTAATTTCATTTCTTGTGTGTTGTAGGGCAATTGGTCATTAGTTGTCAATAAGACATTGGCGGGGGAAAATGAAGTAAATGATAGCACAATAGAAACGAAGATTTCATGAACCATTTATTTATATACGTGCACATGAGTTTAGTGATGGCGATGATGGGAACACATAGGGTGCAAGAAACCATAACATACCACGTGGTTAGTCGAGTAGTTGACTGATCTGTGTTGGAGAGGGCTTGGTTCTTTCTTGGTGTCGATATATGCTATATGCTATATAGAGACAGCATTCTTCCGATTCCTAGCTTGATTGTGGTATACAGACACATGGGAATATAGGCATATTTTCATATTAGCACATTGGCATCTGCATCTGCATCTGTATCTGGATTCTTTGTATATCTATATCCTTGTGTTTATATATACCCTACATACAGACACATATATATAAACAGATACATTGTTGTGTTGATGGATGGAATATCTAAAGTAATCTTATTATGAATATGCGATATAGAATATTCGATATACGATACAACACAATAACTAGAAATTTTAAAAAAAAGCCTTCTGAAGGAATACTATCCCGTCGTTAGCATGAAATATCTCTATATACTCGATTTGAAATCGATGTGTATGTGTGTACGGGTATCTGAGGGTTTTGAACTGAGAATGGGGATTGGAGAATGGAGAATGGAGCTTTGCTATGGGAGGGTGGGAGGTAGAGGAGGTAGAGGAGGTAGAGGAGGTAAAAATAAGGCTCCTAGACTGGGCTGATGGTTGTGCGGAAGTATTGAGAAATTGAGAATAGAGCACCACTTGGCACCTTATATTCATTCATGTGACGCCACGATGATATAGACATAGAGGTGCGCGGAGGTGAGGAGGTAGATATGTTTCTGGTTGATTCTGTGTGAGATGGGATATAATACATATTTCCCATTCATTACAAGAACAATGAATACTCGAGTAGATCGTGGACAGAATTGTTCACAACCCATTTCATGGTCTAATTATAACCAGTATCCCAATCAAGAACCCGAACCCATAAGGCAAAGCTAGTCTTGCTATCCTGTTCCAACATATACATATTGCTTGCTAAGATCTTATCTCATCTCATGCAAGTAACCACGCCGTACATAGATCCAACATCCAACATCACGCGTAGTTAATCCCAGTACCATGGTTCAGGTACATACATATATATATACATCCACATGGACACGCACTCGCAAATACTGCTTATTTTTATACCCACGGAGATCTCTCTCGTCATCTCACGCTACTCCGATGCTCCGCTTATGGCTGAGAGTCGTGGCTGTAGTATATACCGAGGCGCGCTTACGCTTACATACTCCGTGTAAGAAGAATCATGATGGCGTTCATGCTGATAATGATCCGATCGGATCATAGTATCTATCTAGTTTGTTGATAGTAAGATGAATAGAATAGATGATGTGGATGGGATATTCTTGGGAGAGGATTTTGTTCAGCTCGGGTTTGTAGCATGGAGTAAGAATACATGGTGAGAACTTCGGGAGTCCGACGGAAGAAGATTCGCGATGTTAGGTTGGTGATGGCAAAGATAGAAATATGGATGTAGAAAATAGATCATATTATGTCATGTTTGGATGACATAGTCGAGGTTCATCGGTTATGAAGAACTAATGAATGCAAACTATGATGTACAAAATATGATAATAAATGAATGAACAACTTGTTCCCCTCGCAAAATATTTCATAACTTTTGATTATTAACATTGGAGGCTATGTTAAGGATAATGGCAACCATGAGTGACAAATAAACTATTAATGTCCCCCTGTGTCTCTATTGAATTGTGATGGGCGTTAGCTCCCAAAATACTCCATATCTTCTCAGACATCTTGACGTCAGAACGGACCCCGTTAACATGATGTCTTATCTTTTACTCTAACTGTTGCAAAGTCATAGATAGGATATCTATGTATAGCTACATAGATACCATATCCCCGATCCTCAGCCCGTTGTTCGTAAATTTGTGTATCTACAACAAGATGGATTGATTACACCAAGGTATGTGAATATGCATATGATGTACGGAGTACAAGTATTATGTTCCAAAGATATCCGAAAGCCAGTGATAAGTGTTTGAGATAATAAGTTCAAGCATTCAAGCACTCGCCCGTCATCTTGCATCAAATTGATGCTTCCACATCCAGATAATGTGATTGGTGGGTGTACTGATGCAGGCCCTGAGTATGGTAACAATGCCGAAGGTAGTAATCAATAGAGTATCGTGGAGTGTCGGGATATATTAATGTTGCAACGTGGGCTCCGTGTTGTGATGCGAAAGGAGCAGAACATTTAAGGTTAGGGGAATGAAGAGGCGGTTCTGAGTAGCACATCAAATAATCAAACTGAGCAACTATTACCTTTAGTAAGGGGTCTAAATCTCTTTTGAGGTGTCTAATCATGAAACTAGTGAGGGGTAATTGATTATCGCAATCATAAATGACGATCACCATCTCCTACCGATACTCTTTCGCATCATTTGTTACACAGACGATTGGAAATTATCTCATCATCTCATGACAGTCAATCACGTCTGTTCTCCCAAACTCCGCGAGTTCGTACATTATGACTTATTCGTGAGCCTTGTAGCTTGTTAGAGGAGGAGAGGGTCGGTTATGGTTTAGCCCTGGTGGTCCCTGGTCTGTGGTTCAGGGGTCAAGCACTAGGTAGCAAACCAATTTAGTGCCACGAACTATGGAATCTGTACAGAGTAAAGCCTTGTTGCTTCTCTGGGTATGAACCTTGCTTTTCTCTTGCAAGCGCTGCAAGCTGCCAGCAGGAAATTAAGGTTGGGTTATCGTAAATATTGCGAATCTGAATGGTGGAGATGCACAGATGAAAGTTAAAGGAAATGCTTAAGGACCACAGACATTTCGTTGTAGGAGACCTCCAGAGGAATCATTGGAACGTCTCATGATGATATTCTTTGATACGGAAGGTGTATTATTGCGATGGTTCAATTGGAAAAGAGAAACAATTTTCGTAACGGGAATTCAGCAACAGAAACAATCTTTGTATGGCGCTTACTTCTCAAGAAATTAATGCCGTTGGTCTTGCTGTGTGCCAGTGTGTGGGCACCATGCAGGTAATGCGTGCTGTATGTACGTGCGTTGGAGCTTGGAAGTGCTGTGCTATGGCGAATCATGAGCAGACGAACGGTGATCGGCGTCCTCTTCTCAATATATGACGATAAGGTCGTAGTTGAAGATTCCTAAAGGAAGCAGGAGCCGATTTGTAAGATTAGCATTTTAGAAACTGGAGTGTGATGATAATCCTAATGCAACCAAAGACTGACTCGATATTTCTACATCATAAAAACGGACCTGTACAAGTATCATACGAGTAGTTTGTGAATAATCATGAAACATTGGAGGAAGAGGCAGCGTATTGCTTTGGAAATCAAGAGCCCTGATGCAGTCAGTATAAAGTATAAACTGTCGAGGGTGTATGATGATCTGTGGAAAATTACTTTAGCATGAATGAATGATGTGAAAGATTCATTAAATCTGGGATTCACCAATGAAGTTTCACCAAGAATAGTTTGAGGAAGGAGCTAAATGCTTCCTGAAGGAAGCTGGAAAGATTTGGTGTGAAGCTAGAGTATAATATATCGATACGAAAGGGGAGATCCTAGAAACACCGTAAAAATATCAAAATATCAAATTCTTTATTATATTCTTTTAAAACTTTATGAATGATCGATTCATAGATTCAACTGGTCCGAAAGAGGTTATCGAGAATTGGTCAATGTTGCACTCTCCAGTGTCCACGAATCCTCGGACCAGGGAGAGGGAAAAAAAGAAAGAAGGAAATGCTGTGGAGCGGAATGTACGTGATAGTGATATCCTGTTGTGTATTTTGTGTATTTTGCGTGTGGTGGTTGGATGGATGGAATACTCGTAGTCTATTCTAAAGCATGAATGTGGTAGGATGGATATGTTGTAGATGTCTGTATGTACAGCCCATAAGCCTATAAGCCACTCGAGTGAGAGGATCCTGAATTGATTTGACGGCATATTATATTATTCTCTTAGAATTCTGATTCAGATTGATTCCCAATTGGTTGGTGCGTATATCGAAGGGGAAACTTCCATGAGGGAGAAGGAGAAAGAGAAGGAGAAGGAGAAGAAGAAGTTCAAGATACCCCCTTGTTCCCCTTGCAAAGTACATCTACATCCCGTACATTGTAAGATCTTACAATACCGACTCCCCAGACTCCGGGGGCGTATTGGTACCTACTTTATCACCTTGCATAACCAACAACGACGTAACACGCAACCTCGATATATATTATTTTCCTTGCCTCTTCTTTTTTTGGCTGGTCCTTCATGCCAACTCGTTCACTCGGAGCATTCTCCCCTTCATCACCCTGATCTAACCGAAGTAAAAATTCGTATACTTAACTACATACATACACATATATATAGACAAACACTTTTCAGCGCCTAGCAGGAAATGAGAATATCACCTCATCATCCCTCAGCAGATCTTTCGAGATCTAAAATCTCTTGGACATCTACTAGAGCCTATTTGAACTTACTATCCATATAATAACAATTTATCCACAACATCACCATCACTATCACCTTACTTACCGGCATCATATTTATTATAAAATATTTATCCCATCTTTGGGAACAAATTTAATTTTGAAGTCTTTTTGGCTTTTTTGGCCCTTTAACTCATATTTACTCTTCCTTTCACGGTTACGACCATACGGCACTCTACTTCACAATTGCAAATCCGTACTTTTCCGCCGTCTATCTTCTCCCCTTAACCATTGTTCACAATAAACTTTTATACAATATCGGTACTCGAGTAGAAATATTTTATCGAGGTTCTACCAAAGTCATTTTTTGGACCGTCATATATTACCGCCCCATTTATTTTAAGAATCCCAACATACTTTTTCTTTTTCTTGGTATCCCCCGCGTTGGCCGCCATTTCCAAGTCGAGTTTCGTCTCCTGTGAAAAGACATAAACTTGAAACGACGTACGTTGAAAAAGTACCACCAGGACCAGGTATAACCATCATCTTCCCTCCTAGCATAATTTTAATGATGAGGGAAGGTTTCTGACTTATACATTCATAGTCTGAGATTCCCCATACATTAAATAGACCAAAAGACATACAGTACTTTACTTTATGCTCTCATATCTCGAGGAATTCCATAGCAATCGCGAAATTTCCCTGACTCTCCTGCCAATTTTATTATATAAAGCTTGCATGGGATTAAAGTGTCTTGAAGTCACGATCCATTAATAAATCAACCTTTCACAACTACTCAACACCTCAACCGAGCCATCCACTCTACCTCGCCTGCTCTAAGGACCCAGGTACTGGGACCCACAGAAGCACTTTATATCCTGGGAGAATAAGGATACTTCGTGCCGAAGAATAAAGACGATTGATTCGTTTTAATAACTTAGTCCCTTTATTTGCCCGAAGTCAATATGCCTCTTATGAAGAAGTTGTTCCCATCTAGGGAATTGGAAATCGAAAGACCAATTTCAAGAGCTTCGAAAATCTCAAATTTTGCCAATTTCGAGTACGACGACGATTCAAACCTTGACAGCAATATGGACGCTCCCGTGATGAACAGGTCAAGGACCAAGAAGAAGCCCAGCATGCCCAAAGTACCTACTATCCCTCGCAGAAGCAGCAAAAGGATTTCTACCATGTTAAATAGTGTTGTGTCGGAATTAAAGTGTATGGACGAATTCGAAGCTACGAAACAAGTGGTGGAGGAACCAGAATCCGAAATATCAGATCCTCATGAATTATACCTCTCGAGTGAAGAAGATGCTTCTCTCTCCGACACAGACACCCTCCTCGATTTCGAAGTTGCTACTGTTACTGAATACAGTGGTCCTCGAAGTTCCTCTCGCGCATCTGCTCAAGATACCGCAAGAGTAATTTCCTTTACTCTCGTCTCAAAACCTCGAGTGATAGAAATTCCCCGTCCGACAAGTTTTCACTCGAATTCTATATTTCGCAATGCTTGTCCTGTGACCGACTACCAAATCCGTCACTCGGTCGCGGACATCGCATCATTAGCACCAATTCCTGCGCCACAACCACCGCGACGAAGCTCTAGACAAAGCTCACCGCTTAGAAAATCTGCACGTCGCCTCTCCATCTCCACTCTCGGTGCTCTTTCCAAACTCAACACAAGCCACGACAACGCGTCTAGCATAACCCTTCCTCAACAACCCTCTAAACTCAACTCCAGCACAAACTTCCTGCAACCCGCTTCTGCCACCTCAAATGCATCGCCTCAGCATGCCTTTCTCTCCTCAGATCCATTCCCTTCGCCCACACCCTCTCCCCAGACCGAAAATCGTCCAATCTTTTCCGAAGCTGAACAAAATTTCCAATCACGCCGACCAAAATCCATGCACCATGAACGTCCCAAAACACCTACCAGCATCATGGAAGGTCTCCAAGGTCTCACCCGCTCTTTCACAAAATCTGCGAAGAAGCGTCCTAGTATGCCGAAATTAAACTTAGCATACACACCCGTTGTAGTACCTACCGCTCACAGCAATACCTCGAGATCATCCTTAGCTCACAGCAATACGTCTAAAACGAGCTTGCACACAGTAGATGAGCGAACACCCAAAGAGACTAAATTCGGAAATATGAGGAGATCCTCCACAGTACCTTTGTTCATGCACGAAGAGAAGGAAAAGGGAAAGAGAACACAGGAATCGCAATCGGCGATCGATGAGAACGTGCCGGTCAGATATGAAGATATCATGAGAAATGCTATCCGCGAGGCTCCGCCAAAACCACCAATTACTCAGCAGAATACGAGTAGTCCAGGCTTGAAGGGCTGGATGGGTATGGGGATGGGAAATAGAAGGAAGAGTATCAAAGGAGCCAAGCTCTTCACCTTCTAAGTCTAACTCTTGACATATATATCCATATACCATTTTGTTTATTTTGTTATTTTCTTTTATTTGTCTTTGCCACAGCACAGCACGGCTCGCTCTACTCTACGATACGATCTTCATTCGTACACTCGTTTATCCATCACCGCAAATTGGGCGATTTTTTTTTTCGGCATAGGAGTTCTAGGATGGGATTACCGGTACAACACAATGACCGCTACGGAGGCTATCTATCTTGCTATTTACTTATTTTGCTTTACCTTTTTTTTTTTTCTTTGTTTCCGCAAGGCGTTTTCGGATGGGCTATCCTATGGGGGGAGGAAATACTTTTGCTTCTTACCACTTTTACTATCTCTGCCCGCGCGCATTGCATATGTTTACCATATCTCGTTACTGTCAGATTTATCACAGTGAATCGATTGAAATTTTTTGGATGGATTATGGTGTTGGTCGGTGGGCAAAAATCCTAGATGGAAGGAAATGTGTAATTTTTACTTGCGGGGTGGTGGATTGAGTCCGGGAGACTTTAGAAGGACTTTTGAAAGGGACTTTGTTTTGGGTGGGAAGCTAAAATGCATATGCTTTCAGGCACAACATGAGATCAGTTGAGATGAGATGAAGTCGAGATGGGATGGATAGGATGGATGGAATGGGTTGAGATGATTGTGTTTAGCATAGATAGCGTAGTATAACATACCTAGCGTAGCATCGCAGAGTTTAGCATAGCATACATAGCATAGCTTAGGAGTAGTGACAATTCAGCATTGCCATTTATTCATTCATTCATTCATCGCATCATATCGCATCACGCAAGATTTGCTATGAATTGATCATATTTCCATGTTCCTTCTCCATCCTACATATCCTTCAATAGGTATCAGAATGATATTTTCAAATTCACGCCAGTCCAAGGAGACACAAACACAAACCACTGCTCCGGCAGCACACCTCCAACGTCGCGCCCTCAAATACATATCCTTACATCCCCTCTCCCCCCCCTTTCCCATAATACATATAGATATATACACACAAAAGAAAAAGTCACACAACTTACATCACAACGTTAACCTCCAACCTCCAATCCCCAATACCAATCCCCAATACCAACCCCCATCACAAACACAACACAAAATTCAAACTCCACGCTCAAAATATACACACCTACCTACCAACCGGTACGTACAAGTGTACAAGTACCACCTACATACATACAAGCAAAGCAACCTGCGCATTCAACCCATTTTCCTCTCCTTTCCTTTTCCTTCCCCTTCCCGACCCCCATTCTTCGGGGATTTTTATTATTATTTTTGTATACGTATGTGTATGTATGTGCAATTTACTTGCGATATATATATACCATACTCCGTACATACATGTGTATATATATATTGGTTTACAGGCACAACATCACATCATGTACTGCGTATATTCGACCCTATTACTGAGTAGTGCATACGGATACGAAGACCGTAGTAGGTAAGTATGTAGGTATGTATATAGAAATAAGGAATTGTTTCGTGTATGGATTCCACATTCCTTATTCCTTCATTATATTTATATATATTTAGCATGCATCAGGGAGGTTTTCGAATTCATGTTATACGGAGTATATATATATATTGGTAACCTTAGGTAGTACGAACATTAACCCCCAAATACCGAGTACCAATATCAAATTCCGTAAACGTTTTTGCATCATGTGTCTCAGAGTTTCGTGATACTACTGTGATTGATTATCTTATGTTGTGCATAGGTACTGCATTCTGTATGTATGTAAACCACGCCTTCATCTAACCCAACCAATGTCTCGGGTTATGGCTGTTCATTGTCTTTTATCTCGTTTTGATTCTTCATGTTGTACTCCGTATTCGTCGTGAAATATCCATCTACCATTATCGTGACAGGGCTTTCGAATTCTTTCCATCATACCATATCCCTGTATACTATACCAATTTCTCACCTCAACGCTCCTGAAAATTTCTCCTCATCGCCACCCCCAATATCGATATCGCAAATGCCAAGTACATTCGTGTTGCATCCACTGCTTCTCTCCTTCTTTGCAAACCCATCTTCTCGAATCTCAAATCTCAAACCCTACATGTATAATTTCCTCTATATTACCCACAGACAAAACACGGTGTAGCTGTTGAACTTTTTTCCGCACAGACTCCTACGTCTGCAGAGCTAAAATAAATTCCCCAGCTAGGAAGACAAGGTAGATACCTAGCTAGAGTTATGCATATCATAACATGGTGGATGAACGATATAAGTGGGGAAGAGTGAAATGTGATTCGGCTTCCATTCCTCCAATCATATTCGAATATCGTTTTCGTGAAGGATGTTTTCGTGTGTATTCGGAAAAACTCCCCTGTTGATATTGTGGAGAAATCTATGCTTGCTTTGTGGAGAATCAATTTCGACAAAAAAAGCTTCAGAAATCGATATCTAAAATTTCGACCCCCACAACAGGAGCTTCGCTAGGAGAATAATTTCTTTTATTCCCACTGGTAGATCTCTTTTTTGAAAATTTCGTCCAATCTTCGATCCGATCCGTATCTGCTCCTCAATTTTTCGCAAGGATTTGCTTCTTCAAGCTTGGCTTAGTGGTTTAGAATTATTAGGGTCTTCTTCACCGCTGGAGAGTAATATATATGAAGTATGATTTACTCCAGGATTCATGGATGAGCACGAAATTAGACATGAAAATAGCAGGAGGAGAAAGTCATTCTAGAAAGATTCCCTAGGTAGTCCGAGTGTATTGTCCCACTGTTCAGCAGTTCATGTGGGTGATCGTATGGTATGCAAGTGATATGATAGTTTGTGGTGTGATGGCAATCCTTGTTGTGCTGAGTCAATAGTGTGAATCTGAATCTGAACCACGGTAAAGTTAAAGTTTAACGGTATTCGTCATGTATGCGCAGGTATCATGCTCGTATGAGAGATTATGTCTTATACACCTCAAACGTCCGCCGATTGCGAGATTGAAAAGCCGCTGATCTGAGATCTGTCTAAAGCTGAATTTCGGATGAGGAATGAGAGGATTCTTATATTGGACAATACAGCGTATTCAAGAGCTCGTAACTTCTAGTCAGATGAGGACCCTTTTCAGTGTCCAAAAGGCAATGAACTTTGAAGGCGATTCATACTTCAACAGAAATTTTATTCCAGCGAACGTTATATGTAACCTCCGTGCTGCGGCTGCTTCGGATCTGAAATAGATGCAGAATTCGGGACTATCACGTCGTCGGCCTGCAGTCTAGACTATTGAGATACTGCTCTGGTACGAGTGTGATTGGGATAGATGCCGAACCTTATTAGTCATTGCGGAAGAGCACAGTGATTCTGTGCGCCTCTGTAGTGGCTCCGTGTATGAACCTCATGAAGAGGTAGTACTTGTGTTCAGAGCAAATCCTTCTATTTAGTCACCCACTCTAGAAGACTGAGACTCTGAGAGAAGTTATAGGCGGTATGTTCTATCTAGGGTTAGATATCACATACGACGTTGATATTTGGTCAAGGAACTTGCTTAACAGTTGTGCAAATCCGTAGCGTGCTAAATTGCTCCGTGAATCAAAGGATACTAGATGCTAAAAGCTTGGATTAGATGGGGCACAGATCATGTTGGTGGGTTGAAATCTGATCATGGGTGGGTACCGAAACTGGAACCAAAAAACGGAAAACTCGTAAAACTGCCTAAAAATGATGGATGGGAAAAAATAAATAAATGCATTCTACATACAGGCCTGCCTGCGCCTTATTTCATACGTTGGATGCAGTAGACCAATAAGGAGAAATGTCTTCTCAGGGCCAGGAGACGCCTCTTGACTGGCCGAAAAAAAAAACTTATCATTGAGATTCAAGGAATCCTCTCGAAAGACTCTCTGACGGGGAATCGAACCCCGGTCTCCCGCGCTTTGTCAGGTGAGTGACAAGCGGAAATCATGACCACTAGACCATCAAAGATGTTGTTATTAGAGTGACTTCCACTATCTGAAAATTTATAGCGCCAAGGTGAAGCAAATGTTCGAGAAGCTAGTGACCAACACGCTAAAAATCTTCGGAGATAATACGTCAAAGCGTAAAACAGAGGCTGAGCCTGAGGCTGTACAACTGAATGCTGGCTGCGTAAGTGACCAAAGCTTCATCATCCGCAGCTTTGCGCCGAATCGTGACAGTAAGTGCAGGTTGACGATTTGTGAGTGAATTCGAACGTTCTAATTTAATATTCGAGTGATAGGGCTCCAAAACACTGCAGACAAGATTCAGCTTGGTACCATCCATAAACTTCCGGCGATGAGAATGTAGAACAAACTCAGAAACACGTGGACAAAAGTGTAGGATTGCGAGACTGGGCTGGCTTTCTGCACGTGAAATACATCATTGGTCGGTCAAATTGATATATGTTGCGAAAGCTACTATTGTTATTAGTAATATTAAAATCAAGTATAGGGATATTCTCCAGGGGGTCAAGGTTGAGGTTCCCACCGGCATCTTCCGACAAAAATCACCATCAAAAGACTGATCAATACATCACTCGAAGTGTAGATTCGATAGGGCAAGAAGAGGCCGATCAAGTACTCCTAAATCGACGCCGACGCCGGGAAAGGCGAGTAAGCAGGGAGCATTGATTGTCAATTCACAACCATACCGCAGTGGCTTGAAAGATGCTGAGCTTCAGGAAAGTATGAGTATACTCCGTATACAGTATAGAGCAGACTGTGTCCGTTGAACTTGGGACTGCAGAGAGGCTTGTAAAAAGCTTCAGGAGGAAGTTACACAACACTTGATTGTGGCCTTGTTCAGATCAATCTTCTATTTTCTTGATAATTCTCATCGTGGTCAAAATTGCAAAGTCTTTAACATGTTGGGTTGATAGTGATACAAGTGAAACGGATGAATGAGATATGTAGAACTATTCGACTACGCGCTATTGATCCAAGGTTCCCCGCGATTACATGTGATAAATCTCGAGTGCATAATGCGCTAATGACTAATCGAGCTTCAATTGTTGCCTGCTCCTGCCTGAGGCTTTATCAACAAAAATTCGCTAAGCGAATTTCTCGCACAAGTTTTTCAAAGAAAAATTAAGTTCAAAGAACATCAACACCTTTCCGACAACCAACGACAACCCACGACGCAGGTCATCAATCCGTCGAAATGGCTTCCCGACCAACAGTTTCCGTTTTGTCTGCCGATGGTACCGCCACCGGCACGACCATCCCCCTTCCAAAGGTACGAATACCTCGATGCGAAAAATCAAAGTCGATATAATGGAATTTGGAGGCTTTTGGGACTTTGCAAGGAATTGAAACTGACGGCAATTGAATAGGTCTTCACCTCCCCAATCAGACCTGATATTGTTCAGACCGTCCACACTGGAATGGCCAAGAACAAGCGTCAACCATACGCTGTGAGCGAGAAGGCTGGTCACCAAACTTCTGCTGAGTCCTGGGGTACCGGTTAGTGCAAATATTTTATACAATATGGAAGGATTGGGCAATTGGCCGGGCGCGAAGAATCAGAGAGCAGAGCGTTTTACAATTTGAAGAAGAGTTCAAGCTAATTGTGGTATCTATACAGGTCGTGCTGTTGCCCGTATTCCTCGTGTCTCTGGTGGTGGAACTCACCGTGCTGGTCAAGCTGCTTTCGGTAACATGTGCAGATCTGGACGTATGTTCGCTCCCACAAAGGTCTGGAGAAAGTGGCACCAAAAGATTAACCTTGGACAAAAGTGAGAATTCGATTTTGTACCTTTTCTCAAATTTCAACTAATTTTATTTAGGCGATTCGCAACCGTTTCTGCCCTGGCTGCCTCCGGTGTCCCAGCTCTCCTTTTCGCCCGTGGTCACCAGATCTCCGAAGTTGCTGAGGTTCCCCTCGTCATCAACTCCGAGGTCTTTGAGGGTGCCAAGATTGCTCGTACTGCTGCTGCAGCTGGTCTCCTCAAGACTGTCGGTGCTTTGAAAGATGTTGAGAAGGTTAAGGATTCCCGAAAGCTCCGTGCCGGTAAGGGTAAGCTCAGAGGCCGTCGTCACAGACAGAGACGTGGACCTCTCGTCGTCTATGACGGAGCCACTGATGGCAAGGAACTTGTCCGTGCTTTCCGTAACCTCCCAGGTGTTGAGACCTGTGATGTTTACTCCTTGAACTTGTTGCAATTGGCACCAGGTGGACACCTCGGACGTTTCATCATCTGGTCTTCATCTGCCTTCAAGGCTCTTGACAACATCTACGGTACCACCACTGCCCCATCCGCCCTCAAGAAGGACTTCCTCCTCCCATCCAACGTTGTCTCCCAAGCCGACATTGGACGTCTCATCAACTCCTCCGAATTGCAATCCGTTATCCGTGCTGCTAAGGGATCCGCGCTTACCAAGCGTGCTGGTGTTCAGAAGAAGAACCCATTGCTAAACAAGCAAGTCCTTTTGAGATTGAACCCATACGCTGCCGGATACTCGAAAGAGAAGATCGGTACAAAGGGATTGGATGCCGGCAAGCCTGAGCGTATTAACAAGACTCAATACGCTGAGGTCTTGAAGGAAGATTAAGCGGTTGTGATTGTTTTTGTTTTCAAATATTCAATGAGGGATGGGACATTGTAGGCGCTTATGATAGCTTGATGGCTTCAAGCGGAGGTCTTCATAAGTAATGAAAAATATTACGGACGCCTAAATCAAAAAATGATACCTTTATCTCTCTTGCTTAATACTTCTCTTGTGATATATGCAATGATATATTTTAGCCCACCCGTCAACCTTTCTTGGACAAGTTCATGAAGCAGGTGCCTTCAAGCAGTTTAGTCCGTAATTTTTCAACAGTCATTGGACTCAGACTTTCTTTCTCCCATAGTCTCCACCATATCCTGAACAAAGCCCCCAGCGTCCCACATAACTTTTCATTTTCGCTTGGATTCTTCCGTCTCATCTTTCTTTACTCCTCCCCCTCTCAAAATCATCCTCCTCTTTCAATCCTCTCCTTCCCCCAAATAGATTCGCATACCGCCATATCACCCATCGGTTTTCCGTCATATATTCACAACCAAGTGTCGTGGCTAGAATAAGAGATTGGTATATAGTCTACTATTAAATTCCGGCCATCTATTTCTCTTCTCGTTTGGTTTACTGAGCTTTCTGTACTTTCAATAGCGAATGTGGAGAATCTATTGTATTATGATTGAATTATATTATTCCAGAGACAACAGAAAATAGAGGGCATAATGGGGCTTTGAGGCGGAATGGGGGTGCATCCGAGTTGGATAATGTCGGTGATGGTTGGTGCCTCGCCGGGTTCGGATGAAGGTGTGGCTTACTAGTGTATATAGTGTTCTAGATTAAGATGCGAAATACTGTTACCATTAAGACATTGAGGATTAGAACTCGTAGTTTCGAGAAGTAAACTATCCGAGAGGGAATATGGGAGTAAAAAGAAGACATTTAGAAACTGACAGCATACCAATTGTGCGATTGGGAGTGTGGAAGAAGCAAAACATCGAGGAACAGGTCGAACCTACGGCTTGTAAAATATTTCAGTGTCTGAAAAGTATTGATATTTACAGATCTATATGCAATTATACAAAAGGCGGAACTTGACTCAAGTGCATAAATTTGCACCCCGTGGAAATTGGTGCGGGAGAAATGGAGGGAACGTCGTAATCTGTGTCCGATGGAGAGGGCGCACAAAGTTTGAGTAGCTATGTATAAACCGAGTTTGCATGAAAAAGTGAAAATCGGGAGACAGGCTTTTGTGGCAGAAAGGAGCGCAGGGATAGGAACAAATTTTGTGATGGCGACGAAAGGAAAAGTGTTTTGGCACTGTGGATGGAGGGTGGTAGCAGCACATAGGCATTCAAAGGGATGTAAGTTTTAGGGGATCTTGAGCTTTCGAATGGGAATGAGGACGATGTAGAAGAGAAGGGCACGACAGAAGATTAGCCTAACAAACAGCGCAGTAAACATGTCGATGAGGATTTTGCTCTTTCACAGCGATGACGACGACTTCTGCTTCGAGGAAGAAAAGCCAGCACTTGACCTTACGCACCAGAAGCCGAGAGATTTACCTTAGATCCAGCTCAGTGTTTGTTAGCCTAGACCGTGCGAATTATTTGGTAAAAAAGAAAGTGGCTCTGCAGATATCGCACGCCTTCTATACAGGGGGCAAAAGCTGCAGGACTTTCCCAAGAACGAAAGATCTTTGCTACCAAAACCATGAATATAAATCCAATCACGATGATTAGTTAAACTCGAAAGGGCGAAATTCTAATTCCCCAAACATGACAACGTTGGAAAGTTTATGGCAACTATGGAGGGAGAATTATAGTAACTTAATTAGCTGCTTTGGATCCAGATTCATCATATCTATTCCCCTCAAAGAAGAGCTGTAAAAATAGTACTGATCCTCTAAGATTGTTGGTTATTGTGACAATGTGCTGAAATCTCGTGGGATAACTATCCCTCTACAACTGGATAATTGGGGGTCTGCTAATTTCAAAGAGAAAGTTCCAATCCAGAGCAAAGCTCAAAGCGATATCCACGGGACCAATGTCAAACCAGGTGAACCCAGATGGTAGGAAAGCATTTCTCCATGGCAGTCATTACTTTATAACATGAAACTCTAATGACATTGATGTTGGCCAACTCGTGCCAGAGTAGGGCCTCTTTCCCCATTATTCATTCTCTGTTCTATAGTTTGATTTCCTTGTCATACTCATGTATTCACATTCAAGCCCGTTCCAAGGGCTCTTTAAGTTGAATTATCTCATCCACTTCAACTAGGCATCACTCGCCCTCAGCTCCCATCATCAATCATTACATTCATCTTTTTAAAATCGCTATCTATCTTCTCCATTGTTCTTTACTAATCTTTTTTTTTTCTTTGAAGAAATGGTTCGAACTCATCTATGGGAAATAGTACGGGCGGGGTCATATGTGGTTCGAAGATCACTTGGTAAAGCTTGAAGTCATCTTTTAGAAGAAGGTTACGTCCGGGCTGGAGCACAACGGAGTGGATGAATGCACTCAGCCTAGAAAAATACCTTGCATATTTATGACAATGTTTAAGGAATCAGAACAATGCCAGAACAAACCTAAAAGAACGCAAATCTTGGGATATAAAAGGGACGAGGGGCTCATTTCTTTCTTGAATTTTGTATCTCATCATCCTTCACTGAACTTCAATCTCAACACAACAAAACTGATATTCACGAACGATATTCAACCTTACAACATCACACATAACACACTCATCGCCAAGAAGCAACAAGTCATCATGAATAACTTGATCTCGGTAGTCGTTTCAGCGCCCGCACGCCTCGCCGCTGCCACGGTCGGCCGATTCCGTAACTGGGTGCGAGACAGACCGCAGCCAGAGGTGGAAGATGAACCAGTGACAGACATCATCATTAGCATTCACTATTACACCTTTGATGATGCCCCCGAGCTAGACGACGTCAATGAGCCTCCAGCAGAGACTGACTGAGTCAAGACCAGGTTGGGTGAGAGGTCGTCACTTGGTGGTGTGATCAGCAGAACGTGCGAAATGATCATTTCATTTGTCAGCCAGCAATAAGAAAAGCCTAAGGGGAACAAAAACTGGACGAACAGTTGCGCTCTCTAGACAATATTTCCATTTGTTAAACATTTTCATTTTTTATGTAGTAGAAAAAATAGCTCCCCATCTAGGGCGAAATTAAAAATATATTGACCGAACTAATAAGATTCCTGGACTTGCCTGTGAAAAGTGACCACCATAACATTCGTGATATTCTCATTTACCAGATAAAGTGTTCATGATATTAGCATCACTAACACACCCGGCTCTAAATTCTCAGACTAATTAGTCTATGATATTAAGAGAAGGACACATAACCCAATGGGGAAGATATAAAACAACCCCAGGCATCAGACGACCGCGAGTTTCCAAACACTTAATAAGTATTATACTACCATTACATCTTCAGCGAAATCTCGAAACTTTCGAAATTTGGATTGCATTATAGACGGCTTGCAGTACCGTACCTACTATCTTACAGCATATTTACATTTCGCGACCATCGTACGACTTACTAACTTTGCTTAAATCACTCTTCGTTCTTCGAAATGCAAAGAGTAACCTACTGTTGTGGTGTTTGTATGAAGAGCTCTCATTCCTCCTATGCAACAATCCCGCATACTACTTGATAAATTTCTATGGGAAGTCGAAACGTGCTTGAGTTATTCGCGTATTATAAACGAACCCCTGTGACATTTTATGAAATTTAAAAAAGATGGATAATATGACTATTTAGACAATAATATTCAGAACAAGCTTACTAGATTATCTTTTTTTTCATTGCCGAGCGCCCCCGATTCCTTTGTTTGCGACTGAGGATTGTTACAGGAACAGAGGAATCGGGAAAGGAAGCGAACAAGGCATTGTTTCTTCATAGTTGAACAAAGAGGATAGAAAATGCAAAGAAATATACAGAACAGTCCAAAGTATTCATAAATGTAAGAACAACTCCTCACGATACCTATAAATGCAGTCTTATCATCCACAGTATGTCTCTTCATTCTCTCCAGTCCAGACTCATCAACACTACGACATCAAAGCTTCCGACGACAACGCCAACCAAAGCTCAACATCGTCTTTAGTTTCAGTTCATCTCACAGAAAAACTTCCGATCAACCACCAGCAAGATGTGCATTCACAAACGCATGATCTTCACTGAGTGCGGTCATAGCCGCTGGGGCAAGGAAGTAAAAGCCTGTGATCAAGAACTCGCCTTTAGGATATCTCCAGCCACATCCGTCTCTTGCGACACAATATATGCTCATCCAATGCACAGTATCAAGATTGGTCAGCTTTGCAAGGCATGTGAAATCAAGAGAGGTAACACGGATAAAACAGCAGAAAAGTTGAAGCAGGCATTGAAAGATATCAGGGAAAGTGTTGGAAGAATGGAGAAGATGCAAGGAGTGTTTGCGACTGAAAACAAAGCATCAATTGATGAGGATTTTGACGATGTGGCGGCCTTGGAATCATGGGATTAGATCAGATCTCTGCTAGGTCCCGCAATCTTGAAATCCTGTCAAATCTCTGATAGATCTTGTAAGATAGAGAGTCGATAGCACCGCAGGTCCACAGTGTCTCGCTGAGTAATACAAAATACATTGAAATTCAGAAATAGAAAGTCCGAGAAAACGGTATAGTGCCGAAATGAAAATAGAGTGAAGTAAACGTAAGACGGAACGTGAGACAAATGAGCAACATGAATTCGCTGAAAGACTCACTATCAGCCACGAACTAAGGGAAAGTATCTTGACATGACAATTGAAATGCCCACCTGTGTAAATTTCACATGACGCCTAGCCAATATGTATTAGGGCTCGCAACGCCCAATTTGCTGATAAAGTTGCATACTTGATTTAAAATCTGCATACTCTGGTCCAGAGTGTCTTTGATATAGTACATTAACCTCATTCCAATGATGCAGTAAGACAGACTAATTCCCTGGCGAGAACAGTTTGTCATGCATATTTGCAATGCAATTGCATAGTGATATCCAGTGGCCGTCTCTCGACTCTGGTATCAGTCCCATGCCGGTCTCGACTGAGTTAACCGGAAAGCGCACATGTTCTTGATGCCACAAGATTGAATTTAACCTTCAATTTCCTCCACAGGCTTGACCCTGAGCTCAGCAATTCTCAAAATCGTGTACTTGTGCTTGCTCTTCACAGTTTTAGTTTTTCTGTTCCTTCTTTTGGTCTTCTCCTTGATCCTCATTGGTTCCGCCTCGGTGCCCATAACTCTCGCCCTGCACTCGAATATCCTTTCATCCAGATAAGGTGTTCCCTTCAAGGTGTAATCTCTCGATCCAATGCTCGAAGCGGTATTGAGGCGTAAAACATCCCCAGGCACTACACCTGGCATGCGAAATGGCAGTCGTACTGTGTCTCCTACAGTCACAAGGTATGGCCGACTGTAAATGTGTGTAGTTATGAAGTGTGATGGTTGGGCAGTGAGAAATGGAAGCATCTCTTTGACTGAGGGAGATAATGACAGTGGCGCAACGCTGGGGATTGACGTGACTGGTTCCGAAGAGGCGATTGAGGAGTCTACTGGCTTTAAAGATGCTGTTGAGGATAATGGAGTAGCATTGCTGTTCTCGATGGGCGATTCGACATGTTGGGTTGTAGAATTAAAGAAGCGTGCTCGACTTGGCAGGAGGAAGGTGGGTGGAAGTGTTGCACTTGGTATCCTTATGTCCAATAAAGACTTCCTAATCGTCCTGCTAAACATCCTGAAGTCGACGATGCCGTATGATCGATGAAGTCTTTGATATTCAAATCTACAATTCCGATCTTGTTGAAGCTTAAATTTTGATGACTAAGAACCTTTAAGCTAGATTTCTTCCTGCGCTAAGAAATTTGTTATCGATAATCGTCGGCCTCGACCAAATAATTTTTTAAATCGTTAAAATTCCACAACCACACATCATAACAATTCATCATGGTATGTTTGGAACTAGTCATCCATCCTGATAAGTACTAATTGATTGTTAATAGCCTCAAAATGAGTATATGGAAAGATGGCGCAAGCTTCATGGTCGTCGCCTCGACCACGAAGAGAGATCGCGAAAGAAGGCAGCAAGAGAAGGACACAAAGCATCTGATGATGCCCAGAAATTGACTGGTCTCCGAGCGAAATTGTATCAGCAAAAGAGGCGCCATGAGAAGATTCAAATGAAAAAGCAGATCAAGGCTCACGAAGAACGAAATGTGAAGTCTTCTGCGCCAAACGAACCGTCAACCACACCCTTGCCTCAATACTTGCTGGATCGATCGAATCCTACCAATGCTAAGGCATTGTCGAGCGCAATTAAGAACAAGAGGGCGGAGAAGGCTGCTAAGTTTAGTGTGCCGTTACCCAAAGTCAGAGGCATTGCAGAGGAGGAGATGTTCAAGGTGGTGAAGACTGGAAAGAAGACTGCTAAGAAGAGTTGGAAGCGAATGATCACGAAAGTATGCATCTTTGATCTATCGACGGGTAGAATTTTCACTCTTTGACAAGATGCTAATTTAAACTCTTTTTAGCCAACTTTCGTCGGTCCCGACTTCACAAGAAGACCTGTCAAGTATGAGCGATTTATTAGACCTATGGGTTTGCGTTATAAGAAGGTATGTTTTTTTTTTTTTTTTCGGGCGACAAAAATTCTATGATAATTCTAACACGCACCAGGCAAACGTTACTCACCCAGAGCTTGGTGTAACTGTGCAACTACCTATCATCAGCGTCAAGAAGAACCCACAAAATCCTATGTACACACAATTGGGTGTTCTCACAAGAGGAACTATCGTTGAGGTCAATGTATCTGACTTAGGTTTGGTCACGGCTGGAGGAAAGGTCGTCTGGGGTAGATGGGCACAGATTACCAATAATCCCGAAAATGATGGATGCGTCAACGCGTAAGTTCATACCCTGTCCACACAGCTTACAGAAATTGACTTTTTTAGTGTTCTCCTTGTTTAAAAACTTAACTCTGATATCAATCTACATTTACGCATGGTGTTCAGGCGTTGGAAAAAGGGTGGATAAAGAAAAGGCTATTGCAATCATCAATAGAATTCAAATGGAGGAGGGTTGTAAGCTCCATTTGGCTATCTTGAGAAAACCTAACATTATAATAACAATTTGTATTTAAATGGATTTGACATCAATGTTAGCTCAATTCATCAAGAAATTATACGATGGCTTATGTGACTGCTGTTATGAAGACTGAACGCTAGACTGCCTACTTTAGGCAGCCGCGGTGAGATCTTTATTATCCCTCTTCTTCGTAGAGCATGCGTGTAATCCACACACTCTTCATTCCAAATTAAGACGCCATGGCATTAACAGCATCACAAATAGAAGCAATTGAGCGTCTAGCACCTATCAAGTTCCACCAAATCTTCAAAATTCCAGCGACGGAAACCCACTCAGAGCTCAAGGTATCCTATGCCATCGCAGGACCGTCAGATGAGAATGTACCGACTATCCTCTTTGTTGCGGGTATGTTAGGTATACGATGGCTGGCATTTTTGTTTGATCATGTGGCAACAGTAGAGGGCGTTAGAGTTATTTTGATAGACAGGTGGGTTGTATTGTCCCTTATTCAGTTGGGTGTTTGGGCGTCATCTTGTGCTGGATGTACACTCTATTTCATTGTCCCGAGTTGAATTTGAAATTCAAACGAAGTACTTTGAGCGTATATCTGGTTAGCCGAGCATGTCAATATTTTTAATAAGTCTATTAGCTCTCTAGATGATGAGCCGCAATATCAAATAGAGCAGACCACAAATTACCTCCACATGAAGTTACAACATCGTTCTCACTAATGTATCCCTAGGCCTGGATTTGGGGGTTCCACTGCAGTCCCACTTCGAGACCGTTTGCCCGTTTATCTTGAGACTATTCCTCTTCTCCTCAATAATCTGAACATCAAACATGTTTCACTTGCAAGCCACAGTGCTGGGACAATATACGCTCTTAACATTATCGCCCGCCTTCCTCACATTATTTGTCCGAGTCGGCCCAGGATCACTCTGCTTTCTCCATGGGTCCATCAAGATCTGTCATCGAAAACGTTCCTTCAGGTCGCTTCGATGCTTCCAAATAGTGTGATCAATCACTGGGGCTCGGTCATTAATTTCGTTTTGAACAACGCTACACCTATGATAGCAAGTTCAGGAGGAGTGTTTTCTGCTTTAAAGTCTTCCTTCTCTGCCCCAGGAGTTGCTGCAGAGACGCGGAGAGAGATGGCAGAGCAGAAGATCCGAGAGGGTTATGGCGTATCGAAAGAGACGAAAAAGGAGATGGATAGTTTACTGTTCAAGTGGGCATTTCTAGAAGATACGACGGGCCTAAATGATGAGGCAAGATTATGTTTGAAGAAGACAGATGACTGTAGTTGGGATGCTTGTGAGGATTACGAAGAGATGGTCAAATCTTTGGCAGAGATGTGGACCCAAAGGGTGGAAAGGAAACAAAGTGCGATGCTGGAAGTAAAAATCTACCTTGCTGAAGATGACATCATGACTGGCGAGAAGGGAAAAGGGTACTTCCGGAAATGTTGGACCAGTGAGGATTGGGTTTCGGGAATCAAAGTAAATTGTGAGCAATTGGAGGGTACAGATCATGACAATGTTCTAGACCCATTGACGAGTTTACGAGAGATTGCGAGAACGGCGAAGCAAACATTGGATTGGGAAACCTAATCTGAACCTCACAACGAGTAACCACTCAACGCACGGGACTTCGTGTGCACATACCAATGACTTCAAGATAGATTATTGCATGGGAGGGAATGTTTTTGTCGACTATGGCACAGGTGTATTTTATTGAAAACAGAATAGAGTAAAGAAACGCTTAATGGCCTATGACTTTTCTCTAATCTATTGCGCTTTGGATGAAACAATCTCTGTAGTTGGATTAGTATTATAAATATGAATGGTAGGAGGTCACGTACTCTCAACATCAGCAACACTTTGCTGTAAGATTTGTTGCAAAACCTTGGGGTTCTCGAGTTCCTTTTGGATCTTGGAAATGATGCTTTCTGAGAGTTCTTTTTGTTGACGAATCTTGACTTGTCCCTCGTATCGTACCCATGAGTCAAGAACAGACTTTGCCTCGGCAGCAAGAGCGGTTTGTTGCTCGAGTTGGTAAGCCTTGGCCTCAAGTTGTGCAGTTTCCTGTAAGCATTGTTAGCAATATATCTCGAAACATTCAATACTCCGTAGCTCATCATACCTTAGAGACCTCGAAAAGAGTCTTGGTGATATCAACAACGGTGCCCAATTGTTGAACGCTCTCGATTCTAGTCTTGACAGCCTCGGTGTGGTCTGCACGGGCAGCATTCAAGATGTTCTTGATCTTGTTAACTTGACCGGTCGCCCATTCTGAGTACAATGGTCCACCGAATTTAAGGACGGATCCCCAAATGCTCAAAAGACAGAACATAGCAACAGTCTCCTCGTTGACGACATAGTATTCGTTGCTAAGGGCGTATAGAGAAACACCTCCGGCTGCGGAGAGGATGGCAGTTTTGGAGATTAGAGAGTTGCCTGGAAGGGAATCGAGAAGCGATTGTGCCTTCTGCTTAGGGTCCTGTGCTGGTACATTAGAGGAAGAGGATCGCGAAGCCGAGATCGATGTGAGGGCCGGGAGGGTACGGGAAGAAAGAGCTGGTCGAAGACGAGCGGCCCCTACGTTGTGTCAGTCAATCGTGGCCAGCAGCAATTATGGCGTAATTTTCAATTCCATATGTGTCACATACCTAAGGCGCTTCTTGTCAATAGTCTTGATGCCATTTTGATATGAGGGGAGATAATGTACAGCAGCTCAAATTGCTTGAAAGGCTTGAGACGAGGTTCTTTCGGAATTCGCTTCCCACCTCACTTTGAAGTTTCTCATGTAAGAATGCCTCAGGTTGAGAATTCCATAAATTTTTGGGTTTTATCTAGATAAGAGAAATAAATTTCTAGACAATTGGTAAGTGTAAACTTTGGCACATATTTCACAATGCCTGGTACAATACTTGATTCGAAACGTCCTTCAAAAAGGAAGAGAGCTGTATCGGAAAAAGGACCTTCGAAGCGTGTACGATCTGAAAGTAGCGAAGAAGATCCCCAGGCGCAAATTCTCCTCCTAGAGAATGAAATCTTCGAGTCGAAGAAGCATTATAATAATATCGCAAGGCTAATTGGTATTGCACGAGATGATTCTGAAGGTGCCGATGCGTTAATACTTGCCGCCATATCGCTATGTCGTGTTTTTACCAAATTAATAGTACTTGGAGGCTTACAAAAAACCAAAGAGACATCGGCGAAAGATGCGACTGTGATTCAGTGGCTCAAGGAAAGATACTCGGAATATAAGATCATTCTTCTCGATATGCTAAGCCAAGAACATGCCGCGTCTACGGCATTGACTCTGTGCATGCGAATGTTAAAGATGGAAGGGCAGCATCTGCGAAACGGTCAAGATTACTGTTTCCCCACAGGGCTTCTGACGGATATGGTTCAGGTTCTCATTCGTCCTGGAAGTGATAGTGGTGTAAGAAGAGAGTTCAGTGAAAAATTCGTTGAGGAATATGATGATGTCCGATTTTACACTCTTGAAGCTATAGAGTAGGAGTGCCCCCTACCTACCTATTTCCATCTACTGATAGTTTTAGAAAACTGGCCACAGTCTCCGACGATCGACGTTTAGACAATGATCCATTTGATACTGCTTACGAGGTTCTAACATCAATATCATCCGTTCCTGAATCCAAGGGCGAACTCGAGGACTTTTACATACCTGCACCAAAGAAAAAGGCACACGCGCTTTACTCCTTGACGGAACATAAGAAGCGAGCACAAGGAGCATGGTTAGCTGTGATGAACTTAGAGATGGTGAAAGAAAGAAGGAAAATGATACTTTCAAAAATAACTGAGTCTATTGCACCATGGTTCACCAAGCCCGAACTCCTAATGGACTTTCTGACCGACTCATACAACTCTGGAGGATCAACTTCATTGCTATCACTCTCTGGTGTCTTTTATCTCATTCAGGAGAAGAATTTAGATTATCCATCCTTCTACCGAAAGTTATACTCGCTATTAGACACAGGTATTCTACATTCGAAGCATCGCTCAAGGTTTTTCCGGTTATTAGATACCTTCTTATCTTCAACACATTTGCCGGTAGTACTTGTCGCAAGCTTTATCAAGAGATTATCCCGACTTACTTTACACTCCCCTCCCTCTGGCGTCGTTGCGGTCGTGCCATGGATCTATAATTTACTGAAAAAGCACCCAACGTGTTTATTCATGATCCACAGAGAGACTAGAGGGACTGAAGCGAAGAAGATTTTAGAAGAAGAAGGCCTTTCAGATCCATTCCTAATAGATGAAGAAGATCCGATGTTGACCAATGCTATAGAAAGCAGCTTGTGGGAGATTGTTACACTGCAATCACATTATCACCCGAATGTTGCAACACTTGCCAAAATTATTTCAGAACAATTTACGAAACATTCCTACAACTTGGAGGATTTCTTGGATCACTCTTATGGAAGTGTAAGTCAACATATAACATACACGCCAATAAGCTTACTGACAACGTCATACAGATGCTTGAATCCGAGTTAGCAAAGGATGTGAAGAAGGTGCCGGTTGTTGAATATGAGATACCTAAGAAGATTTTTATGAAGCATGATGTTGATGCTGGCCTGGAAGACTCTCTACTTGTGAAGCTGTGGAACTTTAATTAGATCCTGTGAGCTTTAGTGGTTATAATTTTACACTGGCGTGTCTTTGCTTTGAGGTATCGTTGAAGATGGATCCCTCCATGCAATCACCGAGATCAAATTGAAGGTGGAGCAAGACTAATGAAGGGGTTCATACAAAATCTATACAATTTAAAGATTGTGGCTTCATTCTTGACCAACAACGACACAGAAAGCGATTTTCTTCAATCTATTGTTTAATATATGAAAACCGAAAGTGTGATGTTTCAAATAACCTTACATAGGTATAGAGTTCGATGTTTGCAAAGCTAGAAACACTATGTGACCTTGCGTAACAACCTTGCATTGAAAACAAGCCCAATGTACCGCGCCCCTTTCCACTGCACAACATACATTCAAAACTCAAAGATCTGCGGCAGCGACCATGTGCAATTCTGGGGTGAATAAGCTTTGCATACCTTATAACATGGATTAATAAATAGTAAGTTATGGCTGTCGTTCTTGGCAACGGTCGCGGCTTGAGAGCCACACTGCATATTCATATCCATTCAGTGGTAACACCAATTCACCCACCACAAGGCTACATACAGACAACACTGTTTCTACACCAAATCACAACTCCAGGTCTTTTAACTAACATGAAAAATGCCTCTCCTTGATTTACTAAAGAAAAAGGACAAAGTCGGAGGAAATGATGCGCATTCTCCACGCGCCGATCCAGAAGTTGGTCCAGTTTTCACATTTACGACAAGTGTAAGGTTGCTACATAGGACGGACCAAATCGTACCTCATTGCTACAACATGGCTAACAGGACACAAGGATACACAAACAGAAGAAGTGATATCTTCGCCAAGTTTCCCTTCCTCGGAAGCATCCTTGCAACCCTCAGTGGGAAAACCGAACAATGAATCGCGAACGAGTCGACTGTTCAGAGGACGGCCTAGGAGCATCTCGCCCGAATCGGGAAACTCAGGCACATCTGGCGCATCAGTTTCTTCAAGAATTAGTGATCGATCACCGTCAAGACCAGTACAGAATGGCAAAAAAATATCAGAAAGATTTGGTTTGCGCAAGCATGAAGTAGGATCTTCGCATGTTCCGAGCGATTTGCCGGAGATTACAGTGGAAGAAGCTGCGGCAGATGGTAAAGGTGCGGAAGTACAATGGGAGAAGAGGGCTACCATGTTGGCACAGCAGAATGAGAGATCAATAAGCAGACCAGGTTCATCCTCTGGCAGTCCACCAGGTAGCAGGAATAGGAATCCTGGGGAAATTCCCGGGGCAATAAGTCCGGGGAGAAATACTTCGGGTGTGGTCGCTAGCAGAACTGTAGATGATGATCTTCAAGAAGCTATTCGACTTCATGAAGAAGGTCACTTGGAGGAAGCAACAAAGTTATTCGCAAGATTGGCAGACCCTAATGGTGCAAACAATGCTCTTTCTCAAGTCTTATATGTAAGCTCTACTTAGCTTATTTCTATCACAAATCCCGCCTGACATGAGGTTGGTGAAGCTTTAGCTCAACAGATCTGCCAACCTATGTTTTTCAGGCATTGCCGAACTTGCCAGCAAAGATCTTCTGTTAGGTGCACACTTCAGTCCAATTGCTAATATTTCGTGCAGGGTCTTGCTCTCAGGTACGTTAATATGGCCCTTTATACGACCTGCATCACGCTGTCTGATTGAAGAACAAGTCGATCTCTTCCGGATATCGATTATTATCATTTTGGGTCTTGACTAACAGTACAGACATGGCTGGGGATGTCAAGCCAATCCAGCTGAAGCCGTCACCTACCTTTCGGCAGCAGCATCAAACGCAGCAGCAAGTATGTACCTCCCTTGAATATCCCATCACGTTTCAAACAGACTCATTTTTTGTCATGATTCCTCATTAGCATAGTACTAACTTCGTGGATAAGTTGAGGAGCTTGCGCTGCAGTCCGGAAAGATGAAAGGGGGAGCTGCTAAAGGAGAGCTCGTTATTGCGATTTACGAACTAGCAAACTGCTTCAGAAATGGTGAGGATATTTCGCTGAGTTGTCAGCTTCGTTCCTGGCAGATTTTTGCCACGATCCCAGCTCTATGTTGATGAATTCTTTGCAACTATTGATTGTCGTTGATGGGTTCAGAGGATGAATTTCCTAATCAAGTAATACTGACATTTTGGGTCTTCTTCAGGCTGGGGGGTTAAAGTCGATCCAACAGCAGCACAGAAAGTAAGTGGGCACCAATTATTGGGTCGCGGGAAAGCCCGCTTGTACATTACTGATGTTACTGTAGTACTACCAAACCGCCGCAGAACTTGGAGATACAGGTATGCATGAAGCTTTCGCCTAACATAATTATCAGGCCATTCACTGACATTACCGTAGATAGCATGAATGAGGTGAACCTATGCAATTCTTCCTACCCGGAAGGCAAAAGTCTGCCGATACTTATATCGGGCTACGATGCCGTACTACATAGATCTTGATCAAGGCAAACTAACTAGTCATCACAGGTTGCACGGTGTTACTTAGAGGGATTTGGTAAGCGTCCTTATATCTCCCCAGCAACCAAATTCGAACTCGAACTCGTAATCCTCACGTTTGCCTGGTCTAAATATGCTGACCACTCTACCCGCAGGCTGCAAAAAAGACAAAGTAAGTTCGCCCGGTCGTTCGCCATTCTCTCCCATCCATCCTTTCAAACACCAGCCTCGGATCCAACAAACCACTACTGTGGCTTGCGCTGTACGCATGGTTCTTTTACATTGCATTTGGGCAGCAATGGGGCAACCTTTTCATGCACCTTAAACCGAATGCTGAACCCCTGGCAAACCCTCAAAATATTCCTAGCCATTCACAAGATGAGGCTGATGGTTCTCTTTGGGTATGGTCCCCCTACCATCAGCAATACTAACTCAAGTTTCTTGCAGTACCGAGCAGCGTACTATCTTCGCAAGGCCGAAAATGCGGGTGTGAAAACTTTAGGCAATTCTTGGTGAGCTTTTTCTTTTCCTATTTGGAACCCGTATTTGAAGAAAACCCTTTCGGAAGATTTCTACTTCATGTGAAGCTATCTGTCTCAGCCTGGTTACTTCATGGTCTGTATTCTTTTCAGCGGCAGGCCCGCTCCAGTCATTTAGTGATGGTTCGTTCGTTCATTGTCTTGATGAGTGGGGTACAACGATATGCATCTGCTATCTTCATGCATTTCACAGGTACATTGGTACGGAAAATCAATTGGCTCACGTTGTCTCCTCGGCAATGTCGGTTAGATATACACCCTTGTAGAGAGATGTTTGCTGATTATTATTGGTCACATGAATACAGGATTTGGAAGGATAAATACAATCCTAAGAAATAAAAATTCGAAAACGGAAGTTCTAAATAATTAGGACTAGGAAAGTTGAGGGCTCGCTGGAGATAAGATACCTTTTTGGACGAATGACTAATGCGTTTTGTTCACATTTGCTTATTTTTTCGGCTTCGCTAAGCTTCGGGTCGGGTCGAGAGAACAAACGGTCTCAAGTTGCTTGGGTTGGGTTAGGGTTTTCTTTTTCGTCTTTGGCTAATGCTATTCGTTAATATTTCGCTTTCATGGAGTTGGAAACGGTCACATTGGATTGGCATCTGGTACCTGAAATACCTGGGCTTGCTTATTCATATCTCTTTTAATCCTAGTTCTATTATAAAACTTCATCAACTAAACCTGATTCTATTGATTTACTCGTTCGGTTCATAAAGTTCTTTGAGTTAGCTTGCTCTGGTTTTTTTTATAGTTTATCTAGTTCGGTTTTTTGCTGCAGTCAGCACATACCTAATTAAGTAATTAAGAATAGTCAAGAGTTAAACCCCCCAGATCAGCGCAGGTCAGGTGTGGTCACGAATGAGACATACAGGAACTGGACTCGTATGCTCACGAGGTTTACATCTTAGCATTCTCTGCCGTGCTGAAATGTTCACAGGTGGCACAGCACAGCAAATCTTTGTCCATTATGGCGGGGCATCGCGGCATTGGGGTCGAAATTTTTCGAGCTTCGTTTCAGATTCTGTCGAGATGCCTTATGTTATGCCTGGTATACTTGTATGTAGTTACAAGTGGATTGCATACATGATCTAGAATGGGTCCTGGGTCATCATTCCTACCTATGAATTTTTTCATTCGCCCATTCATGAAGTAATCGTTCGTTCGCATGTCATACCCCGGGTTGGGGATTAGCACGTTTCATCTTTCATGTATGATGTAAACATCCAATCCAAAGACTCAATTCGGAAAAGTTTTCACTGGTCTATCTACTTAGGTATGCGAGGCTGCGAGTGTTGGGAAAGGCGTGACAATACGTATGTATTTTATGTATGGAAGGACAACTCAACGCCGCGATGCAAAAGTTGGGTTGGTGGCTTGGTAGGTTGGCTGGACACTAAATACGGAAGTGGTGTATTTTTATGCTTGTTAGAGTCTTGGAAGTGGTCTGGATGGGTGAGAAATGTGATATCTTATGATGAAATATGATAATATAACGGCAAGGCGGTGCCGGGTGCAGTGAGGCTAGATGCTTGAGATAACCCAAGGAAAAGTTTTTCTCGGGAGCTTTTTATTATTTTTGGGCATTTGTATCATATTGGGAGTACTAGTTACGACTGCGTTAGAGAATACAAAATCTTGGATTGGTTCGTCAACTGCACAGTCAAATTGTGGCCCAACCACTGAAAATAACGAACGAATGGACGAACTGTGGCTGGAATACGGCGCGGATGTCCGTCTAGCTTGCACTGGGCAAGTGCCTATGTTTTACATTTTACATGTAAGCCACGTGATTTTATATTGACTGCTTGAAGAATTTTCTTGGTTGCAGGTTTATGTGATATGTGATATGGTACGGTATCGTCATTTTTGCATGGTGCTCTTACATAGTACTTGCATTTGCATTTGTGGTAAATCAAGCAATAAGGGTCTTAAATAACATACCATGTATATGTCATGTACTATCATGTAAATGAAAAACCTACAAGAGGTTAGATGTGAAAAGTGAATTTTACGATCATGTAAATGTTCAGTGGGTGCAAAAGTAATGTATGTATATGTCATGCGATGCGATGCAATGCTATGCTATGTAAATGTAATGCCATGCGATGTACATTTGGTCTCGGCCGCTCCACTCTACTCCATCTCTACTGTAGAATCTCGGGCCCTGGTTAGCAACTTGCGAAACGAAGTTTGCAGTAGTAACTGTTGGTTTCTACCTACAGCTCCATACTCCTTACGCCATCTTACCATAGATAATGATTCCATTGTTGGCGGTGAAGAGTCTCTACTGCACTCTACTGTACTCTACTGCGGACTCCGTGCAGAGATGTTCGCGATAGTGGAGTCTCGAGTCCCTCGACGAGGAAAAATAGGATCATTGGCTTGACTCGAGTCGACCAAAAATGGGAAGTAACGGGTGATTATGCAGCTACCGTTTTAGCCGATGGAGTCAATGATGTACAGGTATGTACATATGGGATGAGTGTGTATGAAAAGAGCGCAGTACATTTTACATACATACAGAAGTACTTACATTATGCAGCTACGCTCTAGTCTCCGGAGCAGAAGAGTGGGGCTGTCAACTCAAATCACGAAAATGATTTTGTACATTCTGCAAGGATCATAAGACGAAATGTGGAGAGCACTAACTAAACTAGCCTGTGCAGAAATGGAGAACAGAGAAAGGGCACTAGGGCTTCAAACTTGGTGTGCGAGTGAGAGAATTTTTTTGAAACATGAAACACCACGTATTTCACGGGGTAAACACAAAGGGGTCGTGAAGAAAAGAGTTTGTTTCAGGATGGATGGGGTGGCTATTGGATGGATCATTGGCGAAAGTTGGATGGGTGTGGAGAAGAATTCGCGGGAAGGAGTTGCTTTCATTGGTTGGTAGTGGGAAACGTATTGGATGGTTCGATTTACGGTGGAGTCGGGGTTGAAAAGATCTTAGAGGAAGAACTGGTGGTCTTGCTGGGACGGAAGGGAGGAGAAGAGGAGAAGAGTAGATTGGCTAGGGAATTGTGAGCTAGGGCGGATGGTTTGCTGTGTGTTTGGTACAAGATGAGCGATATTGGTTTGCTTCGGAGATACCGGCGGGAGGAATTATCGGTAATCGTGATGTGAATACAGGTACAGGTACATACGGGGAAGGCGAGAGCAAACATGGAAAAGTGTCTAGATTGAGAAAACTTCGTTTTGTCTGTTAAGGCATTCTAGATAGATGTGAAATCTGGAGGAAGGAAGGAATACAGGAAAAACCTCGAAGTCATTTGGGTAACACAACTTACAAGCACAGCAGCAAACAAATATTTGCATCACCATCACCATCAAGTTAAGCACAATCACAATCACAAGCACAAGCAGAAGAAATATTGTTTGAACATGAATCTCATGTATTATTATTGACTATTTTTCCGTATTTTTTTATGGCTATCTGAATTTTTCCATCTCATCTCGTCCTATGGTGTATGTATGTGGAGTACAGTAAAAATTAAATACAAAAAAAATTGAGTTCCTGAAACAAGTCACTCAATATCCTCCCAAATCCATCATAGACAACACAAGTTAAAAGAAAGCAACAGATAGAACCGAATTAGATACAAGAAAAACAGTCCCCATGAGATAGAAATCATTTCATGTCAAAGATGGAAAGAACTGCATCAAAAATGACATATCGAGATATCGTAAAAGGAGATTTTTTGGTAAGGAAAAATCCCGATGATTTGTTCGTGATCGGTCGATGTGGTGTGTTTTTTTGTATGTTTTCGAAATCTCGTCGATGTGTCTTTTCGTTCATCAGTCATGATTGCATGTCATTGCTCATCATGAGTAAGATTCTGAAAAAGAATCGCGAGTGTTCGTAAAACGTAAAACACTTTTGAATGGATATGTGGATAAAATGGATAAATATGCGAAGATGGTCATCGATTGTGTAGTTCAAAGCAAACGCTTCATTTGGAACAAACTTGGGAGAGAGGTATTGGCGTGAATAAAATAAAAAGCAGTTGTGCTCGTAATCTTGTGTAATGTGTGTGTATCTTCATGTCGTGGTAGTATTGATAAAATAATATTTAATGAAATAGTTCGTGATAACGTCGTCGTTAAAAATAAACTCTTTTGAGTTTTATAATGTAAGGAAAATTGGTTGCTAGTAATAGCTTGTGATGTTGCGTGTTGCGATGCGTTCGAATTTTTAGCCATCCCCTTTCCCTGTCCCAATGTTCCGTTCCAGAGTCCAAAAGAGAGAATCCATCCCCAAGTACCAATCCATCCTCCTTCCCCATCCAAATTTACAGAAATATGTATTCCCATTTGCTGTCCAGCTGCGAGCTGATGTCGTCTTGTGCCTGGCAAAAAAAAAAACAATAATAAATATGAAATTAAGAAAAAAGACCCCGCCAAGTTTGATGACCCGTCGCTAACTATGATCGATTGATGATGCAGTAGAAAAAGGAGAGTAAAAAGAAACGCAAATGTTTAAACCATCCATAAACCATAAAACCATAAAGCCATGAGAGAACCATTAAGCCATAAATGAAAAGAAAAGAAAATCCAATAAAAAAATCAGACGCTCGCTATTTCGCTCATTAACAATTGAGAAATTAAGAGAAGATGCGTGAGCAACAAAGTCTCTGTTCGCAATGAAGCCATAAAATCGTAAAAGCCGTAAAGTTTTAAGAGTAGTAAGAATTCGTAGTGTCGAAGTAGAGGGGAGGGTTTTTTTTTTCTTGGATGACATAAAGTTTGGTCTAAATCTCAAGATTTAACCCGATGAGGTATCGCACTCTTCCGGACCATTCCTGGAATTACATTCCGAGACTAGCTTAGCAAAATTCCTAACAACCTCACTTGGAACTTGATCCCACAGTAATGAACGAGTGTACACTTCTGCGGCCGATTTCTTGGAATTGGATCGCATGGCTGCAAGGGATTCAAGGAGGTTCTTTCGTCCTTGAGATGTTGATCTGGTGGCGGGAGAGTTGTCGAGGAAATCTTGAGACGTCAACCCATTGTATTGTGCTGCAGACAATGAAAAGAGTTGCTCGTTGTTTTGGTCTTCGGTTGGTTGCGCAAGACTGTTGGCAAGATCTCCAAGAGTGGATGATGTGACGCCGACCATTTCATTACCTCCCATGGAAGGGTTTTGAGTAGTGGACCAGGAGGTACCGGATGGAAGAGGGGCAATGGCGTTGGTAACATCAGAGACAGATACACCGGAAGCGGATTGTTGAATGCCAGCATCCTTGAACACATCCTCGAGGAGTGTTGCAGATGCAGCACGAACATCATCCGACATTCTAGGAATGCTTGGAGAAGTACCCTTGGAAGCGACGAAAGCACCAACAAGAAGCAACATCAAGAGGAGACCTTGGGCAGCAGGCTTCTCTGGTTCGCTAAGAAGGGAAGTGTCGACCTTCTTAGTGGGAACCAGTGAATTCTCAACCTTAATTTCACTTTCCATGGAAAAGTCGTTAAGGAAAGAGATGTTGTCCCAATTGCCATCCATGTTCAGACCATCAATGTCAGAGTAGTCAGCAGAGAAACCGGTCGAACTGGGAACAGTTGACATGGCGGTGCTTTCCATCTTCTGCATGTGTTCTGTGAGGACGCTCACTTTCTTGCGGAGGTCGCCGGTTTCGAGGGTGTGGGTTCGTACCATCTCTTCCTTCTCCATCTGCAAGCTCTCAATGTATTGTTGGTAGTGTTGCTCTTTACGAGCCCACTCATCCAAAGCAAGCTTTGCTTCGGCCAAGTCCTCCTCAAGATCGTTAATCAAAGCAGTGTAGTGCTTCTTTTCGTCCTCAAGGCGCTCGGTGTGTTGCTTCTTGCGCTGGCGTGAGTCAAGACTGTTGTGATGGTTAGTAACCAATTGTAACCAATTAATGGGATTGTAAACTTACGCCGCTTGTCGGTTTCTCAACAAACGTTTTTGCTGCTTGAGCTCCTTGATCTCCTGCTCATCAGTGGATTGGGAGATGAGTTGATCGATGTTGGTGAGATTTCTCTCGGCCGGAATATCAAAACGGGCATTCTTCTTTCGGATGCCATCACCCCTTCTTGACATTTCAGGATGCGATCGTAGAGTTGGGCTGTGTGGGCGCATGCGTTTGGGAATGCGGTGGTCCATCTCTGAAACCGACCAGTCCTTTTGTGGGGATGGATGACTTGAACCATTGGCGTTGGCGGAGAAGAGGGGGAGTTGATGGTTGCCGGGGTTTGTGAATGGTGTTTGCACGGGACGTTGAAAGATAGGAACATTGACCTCAAATTCGGATGGAAGCCCATCATGACCTTGCATTGGTGTGCTCATACCAGAACTATTTCCCATACCCCAACCGTGATTCGAATGTCCGTATGTTCCGTTTTGTGCAGCCTCGATACGCATGAATGGGTTGTTGCTGTTGTGCTCGACAAAGGGATTGTTGGAAGCCATTGGTTGCATCTCGACGTGTTGCCATTCATCGGATTTGGGTGAGAACAATGTCGAAGATACTGCAAAGGATTCCCGCCTGCTATTGTCCATGGGTGGAGACATTTCTAAGCCGGAATCTAATGCAGAGTGATCGAGAATGTTATCATCAAGAATGCTCCCTTCGTCCTCTTCAAAGTAGTTGTGGGGTTGAGTGTCGACAGATAATGACGACTGTCTGTAGTAACTGTGCATGGGGAAGGCGGCCATAGCAAAGAATTTCCTGCTGTGGTCTTGTTGTGAGGTGGGTTGGTGTTGTGGTTAAAAAAGAGGTGGGTAGAGTGAAGCGAAGTTATTTTCGGATGAGATGGGGTAAAATAGATAAAATAGTGGCGGTGAGAAAAGATAAAAGTTATCGATAGGATCGTCAACGATCACGAAAACTTGAATGTAAAGAGGAAGAGAAAAAGATAATTTCGTTTTGGGCGGATTAATCAATGATATGATTGAGTGAAGGGATAGATCACTGGTTGTGTTTTTCTGTCAAAGAAAAAGACAAGATTGGCAAGAGAAGTGACTGTTTATGAGGATGTTGATGTTTGATATGAATATTTAAGGTCGGATTTGGGTGGGAGATGTTCAGTTGATATGTGAGGGACAAGAGTGGTGGTGTATGAGTGGGTTGGGTCTGGGTTCCGATATAATTCGGGCGAGACAAACAGTAGGGAGGGATTGTATGGCTTGATTTGGAGTGGAGAATGGAGGTACAAAGACTGTAAGAAGTTTAAGTCTGTTGGGTCCCTTTTTGGTTCGAGTGGTCGTATGGGTCGTATGGTGGTAGGAGTAGTGCAGAATTGCAAGCAGTTGCAGTTGCAGTTGCAGGAAAGTGTGCAGCAAGTAGTAGAACTTGAGCTTAGCAGTCGGTGCAGCAGACAAGAGAAGTAAGAGAGGCACGTTAGAAAAGCAGGTTAAGTATGCAGGTAAAATAGAAGAATGTCGTTGGTAGATATGGGTAGATATGTGGATATCTTGGAAGAGGGGTCTGGGAATCCGGGAGAAGGATATGAGGTGAAAGAGTAAGATGGGTCGTCGCGGGTGTTTAAAAAATAATAATAATAAGAATAATAATAATGAATTAATGGATAATGAATTATATGTTCTTCAAGGGTTCACTCTTCTAATTCTTTTTCTAGCTCTTCTTATTTTATATTAGCACGATATTACGAGTGCTTGTTTTTGTTATTCTCTTTTACCCAATCTTGCACCCATGGCATGATACAACACTGGGTATAACTACTTGTGGAGGGGAAGAGTGAGGGGGGTGATGCGAGATGAACATGGTTACAATATGGAGCCTCCCTCATTCTTACTACACTTAATGGAGTAATGCGCGAATGGGTAAAATATAGTGAGTGGATGAAATGATGGGCGATGGTCCTAGCAGCGGATAGGGAAGATTTTATCGTACCACCCGAAAGGTTCAAGGAATCTCCACTCCATAGAGGTCAAGTTGTGGAGACTTCTAGCCTTTCGAATTATGAGAAACTTATGCTACCTTCTTTTACAGTATTGATTATTTTAATATTAAAATCAAAATTAGAATTAGCATCAACATTAGCATTAGCATTAGTGTTATTTATTCTATGCATTACTCCATCTATTAAGTAATAAAGTACAGTATATCCTCACTCATACATGATATCGTCTAATGAACTATTCGGGATCCCGATGCTCTCTTAAGATCTACAGTTCAATTGTTCTACATGTTTATTTGCGGTACATAGATTTCCAATCTGTACACCCGGAGGATATCAACCATATGGAAATTGTGTGCATGTGGTCGTACATACACACCAAAGGGAAATAAAAAGAGCAGTTTCTTTCCTATTAAGACTAAACGTTAGTTTAGCGGTATGGGAACGGGAAAGGCAAGGTAAGTGCGGATGCTAACGATTAGCACTTGCATTTCATTGCATCGCAGCATTACAGTACCTACTTTTACATTTCGAATCTGAATCTAATATGGGAAGGGAAAAATCCAAAAATCCAAATAATATTAAATATTTTGTTCTTCATTTAGCATCTGGATGATTTGACCCAAGGCAATTTAAACTTAAGATTTCCCGCTCAAAGCCTTGAAAAAGTTGCATTTGATCGGTTGAACCTCAAATAAATCATGATGTTGGATAACGATACGGGAAACGAGGAGGGGTTGAAGCTTTGATTGGATTATTCATGCTCTTTCCCGAGGTTTGGATTAAATCTGACAGGCTGACTGGTTATTATTAAGGTTATTTGACAAGACGAGATAGAAAATGATTCCACTATCAGTCGGCATTCGGTAATCTATCTATCTGTCTTTCCTTTTCTTCTCTCGAATATTCCAACAGACGAGAGAAGAATTCGGAAAAGAATGAGACTGGGAAACTCCAGATAATTGTATTTGCTACTTTCTAACTGGGCGTAGCACGAAGATTAGACTTCCCTTTTAGCTTTAACAGGTTTGTCTTAGAGCCCGGATCTAATCGTGAACTAACCCCAAGAGAATTCAGATGAGTTTTCTCCATCAACCGCTTCCAGCTCTCAAAAAATACCATTCTTAAGGTATATAAAAAAAAGGGCACTGGATCCATATCTAAATCTCTTTAAACATTGCCCATGGGAGCGCAAAGTCAACATGGATAAAAACAAAAGTGTCTTGGCTCCCTCTGTTCCCTGCTCATATCAGGTTGGGCATCTATGGAGTATGCTTGATTCTGAACGGTTGCATCAAAATTGCAAAATGAAAGCCACCGATAGGTTGTTTCCTCAGGTGTTGCATACGATTGTTTCTTTACCCTTGTTCATCCTTTCTACACATTCTCATCATTGGAATAATCTGTTTAACTCCGACTTCCCGTTGAAACCACCAGGGCTTGGCTCGTAACGAGAAAATGATGGTGCTTCAGTACCAATCAAAACTTTTGAGGCAATCGGCAATTCCCTGGAAGAAGGTCACTTTATGGATCACGCGTATTGCTCGTGTGGGAGGAAAAGCCTCTCAGGGTATCATTTGTTTACTTTCATCATCTTTCGTCGAAGGAGTCGTTGATTGATCCTCCAGAATGGTATTTTTTCTTCGCTTAACCTCTGAAAATTCCCCTTCATCTCACTCATGATCGCTGCTGATCAAACATCATCCAGATCGTAAGTAAAGCACGGGTACCGCCGCAACGGACGGTAATGAGAAAAATCTTCGCCTGGATGATAACATCAAATAAAATGTCTTCCTCGAATCTCACTTCATACCATCATGCTATAATCTCCACCCTTATCCCAATCCTCGGCCCTCTCCACTCGGCAATAAGTCCATCCGTTCATCCATCCGAAACCTAACATGACCATTCGCTCGACTCATGAATACTTGTATTGTCACTGAACTAGGCCTCCTCAAACGGCCGCAGAATGCAGTATCTTTTGTAAGAGTGTGAATGTGAAGCCTCAAATGATAGGTGATATTTTCAGGTTTCCCTCTACCTAATTTACCTAATCAAATGATCGTAATCTCTGTGCCCAATTCAGGGTATGGCAAGCAAATCATTGGTAAATGAAGTCTTCGAGCTTTCCGGTAGCTTTTCATTCTACGGATTCATAGCATCATCGCACCAAAATTCAACCTCAAGGTCTCGTCTCCCACTACCTGGTGCCTGCCGGCAGGCACCTTGCGGGAACATTTACGGGTACGAAACCGATTTTTACCTTAACTACTGCTTAGGTACTGTCAAAAGAGAAAGCCGCAGGGTTTATTCCCGTACCCTAGTATCTATCATTTCTATGGGTAAGAGCCCGAACGAGACGAAGAAGCCTGGCAGCCCAGTTCCAGCCCTTCTTAAATTGAGTTGCCGTGACTATACCTTCAATTTCTATACTACGATCGGTAGACGCATGAATGAATTGCACGTATGACGGCATTTCTAATTTATCGTTTTCCCTCTGGGACTTCTCCCTTGACCAACTCTATGAAGTGGAGATTAGCACAGGGAACTCTTCAGGAGGAAGGGGGTTTAAACGACTGCGATGATGCTAGTAAAAGCAACATCAAAATTCCTTCTAGAACATTAAGAGAAGGGTAGGAAAAAGTTTGAATGAACAATTCTATCTTATAATCCTCTTCCCGGTTGCTAACAGCACGAAAATGCTGTAGAGAGCTGAACCCTACTTACAGTACCTGGATGTACCTGTGTGGGGTGGTGTATTTAGCTTCCTCTTGGGCCTTTCAGATCTCTTCTTTTTTTTCTTACACTCCGCACAATTGGAAGTTGCCGCGATGCATGATTTTCTCTCAAAGCTTCGATTGGAAGAAATGAGGGGGCTGGGGAATTCTCAATTATGATTCATGAATGTTATACAACAACAAGTTATGATTTTCACGAAAATGTTTGTTGATTGAGATGGAGATCACGATCGATACGTAAACATTCTACGCGTCTTTATTCCTTGATTCAATAATTTCACTTCCTCTACAGGCGCGGGTATCCTCTGTAACTCTCAGCCTACCGACTGTATATTTTCCTTACTCATTAGTCTTTCCATAGTCCAAATAGTCAAACTTGTCAAATGGGACTACCCGCACAGCCGCGGAATTCCTCACATCCACGCTACAGCCTCCTCTGACTACATAGTTTTAGTTATATTTATCAGATACCAAGTTTTACGCCTACAAAAAAATTCCGAGGCAGAATTTTCATATAATTTTCACACCATTTTTGTCTTCACAATCTTCACCGCTCATCTATATTAGGATCTAATGTCGAGATCCGAATGTTCCGCCTAGGATTCGGGAAGCGAATTCCCAGACCCAATTTCGCAGGAAGATGATGAGAAGTGCAAAGCCACTGATTACGAAGACGCACCAGGTTCTATCATCCCATGAGAAGCCTGGGAAAGAGAAGCCTGATCTGAGAAGGATTGTCGGGTCTATGTTTCAAAATTTTTTACGTAGTGCGAGTGAGAGTGAGATATCTAAGTCTTGAGTGAGGGTCATTCAGATCTTGTTTCTGAAGAGGTAGGCGCGCAAGTTGCGCTTGAGGGTGTTTCGTAAACCTTTCCATTTGAGTTGAGTTGAATTGACTAGAGATTTTCGAGAAGAGCCACAGTAGATACAGGTCTATCGAATCACTAGAGCAATCCAATTTGTTTAGCATGAATCAAAATATGCAGTTTTTAGCTTCTTTGTGAGGCATTGACTTAAACTTCTTCCATCTAGCTTTTAGCTTCTCTTGAATTTTCCATCTCTAGGTTTTTCCGATATTCCAATGTGGATCTGTCTACCTACCCTTCTCCGTAGATCTATCTATCAATCCCATAATATCCGTCCTATATCATAACACAGACTCTTATATTTTACCAATGACGTGCTTGCAATATAAGTTTATCATGTGTAGATCACTGGGATCATCCATGGACAAAATGTATTTTAGTTATCAGACTAATTATTAAAGCATGAATAAGAAGTAAATTACGAATGCCAAAGTGGGTTCATCTGATCTGAAGATTCTAGGACAAAGCTTCTGAAAATCCCCGAGATTCGCCGATTAGATTGGATTGATCTGAGGATTTTCAGATTTGCTATCATTATCATATCATATGTACCGTATCGCATCGTCGGCTCTGAGTATTGTGGGCCATGTCAATTGAGAACGGATGATTTTTTTCATTTTCAGATGAAGTGATTGATAGAAGTTCCAAGCGCAATGGAACATCACGAATTACCCTAGTTCTTTTAATCTAGATCCATATTTATCAGTCCCCATTTCAAATGTAGCTAAGTGATTTTGCACAGATTTTCCAAGCATTACAGTACCGAGTACGGCAGAGAAAAACTTCTAGGTTACGGAGCCCTAAAGTGATGAATGATGGTGCGGTGAAGACATCTCGGTGCAGCTAGCCGTTCGCCACTGCTTGGTTACTGTAGTCTTGATGGGAAGCCGCATGCTCCACATCGGGTCCTTCCTCTACCTCCTACTCCGTTAGCTATCAGGCTACAAACGAGCCATACCACCGGAAACGTGATATGTGGGTTGCCGGTGTTGACCGCTTGGTGGTCTGTCTGTCGTCGCGGGGTTACTTTTTGATCTTTCCTTTTGTTTACTTGGTAGTGTAATGGTGATAGTGATAGTGGCGTGAAAAGTTTTCAGGAAACTAGAATGTATATAGGAGAAGAGAGGAGGCGTATTTAGCTAAGGAGGGTTCTAGGTTGAAGGGGACAGCTTCCGGTGTTGACCGCTTGGTGAACTGCGAACTATAGTCTACAGTACAGTCTACTTGTTACCTCATTTTTTACTATCGCGGGGCAAGTTTACTTGGTATGAAAAAAACTTTTTATGCATTCATGGTTTTTTGTGCTTGACCGCCAGATGAGCCATACTCGGTCGGCACAACCCTTCTATTGGAATCGAAGAGATCGAAAATTCCATGAATTCTAGAAGTTACTTTGTTCAAGCGTTTTTTCTATTCCCTATTCTTAAATCAAGTGGTTAAATTGATTACGGAATTACTGTCTGAGGTTATTCACTATATTGTCTGGATGCAACTCAAAATGACCATCAGTCAGCAGGTCAGAATAATTGGGGGATGCTATGCTTGCTAAGCCAACTTGAGGAAGGGATTTATCATGACCGGCAAAATATTGACAATATTCATCATCGCGGTACTTATTCTTTCTCTCGTTCGATGGATCACCAAGAAACAAACGCCCCTGCGGTATCTGATGTGCGTACATTCCGGCATCTTGACCGAGCACAAGTGAAACCTCACTAATGTGAGGAGATTCGGATCACGAAAACTGATTTAGGTGGTATCAGGGTCTGATCCAGTTATTAGTGCATGGATTATCTACAAAATATGGAACATATGGGACATTAAGATATGGAACATATGGAGAAATGTTAGACCCTAGGTATGTATAGAGGATGAAAGGAAGAGAAAGGAGGGGCAATCAGAACGCGAATTGGTGATCAAAGGAGGGAAAAGAGGATTCAATAGATGTCCAACAATGTGCAAGAGGTTCGAATCGAGCGCCGCTGATCATGAGGTATTGGTGTATAGATCTGAAGGCTCCCAGGCCTGCTATTTACGTATGATTACTGGGACGAGAGGAATATCAATGCTATAGATGGAGAATTCGTGGGCTGTGCTATTTGGAGATGAAAGGATTCTGGTAGTGGATATTCGTATATCCGGGCACTGATACTATTTCAGGAAATGGACATTATAATTTGAGACTTGATCATTCTACTTCCTGTCATCATGTTCGTATTACCTGATCATCGTCGGGTGCCTTGGCTGCGTGAAGCTGGGGATAGGGGCATGTACTATGATTCGCTTGAGGATCCCCTCTCGATGCCGGACAGGATATATGGGTTTAACGTGCTTCTCTTCTCGATGCTAATGATGAAAATCTCGATGAGCCACAAACGTGATGCGTACAGATTCTCCTCTTTCATCATCATCATTCGACAAATTCCTTCCATTCCATATAGATCTACGCAAGTCAGAGAGCGGTGAAGGAACCAGAAAAACCGCTTGACGATTGGAGCGGGGGGAGGGGAAGCTCCACTCAACTCCACGAATACCGTTTGAGGAGAGTTATCTCGGTACCAAACTATTCCAACACGCTTGCCCATAATGATGAACTATGTGCTATACGTTATGGTGTTACGAGCCTTGTTGGATACCGTAGAATATTATGGAATTTGATTTGCTATTTTTATGCTAGCAGTGGGGTACCGTGATAAAGAGATAGGAAATATTGTTAGTCAGGATACGATTGCATTGAAAAATGAGACATACATATTCTGTACAGTAAAGCATACCGCGGAACGTCAAAATCATATTGAGAAGTACTATCCGGGGGTCGTTAGGATGTGGGGAGAGAGAGCCTCAACTTAGATTTTCAATGCGAGACGATTGCGCTGAAAAGCTGCAGTGGTAAGTTTATCAGTATGCAGATATCACTAGATAGTGGCAACTTTACTCTTGAAGGAGAAGAAATCCTCCGAGAAAACCGCATCGATCCCATCGCACGGGCATCTTCGGTAGCATCAAAATGGGGTCCAGTCCAGGACTGCATGACTTTTTACGGAAGTAGGTACAAAGTACAGTACAGTAGCTTAGCTCGTCCAAGAAATCACTCCACTCATCGCCGCTTTCAACAAACTCATGTGGTTATTCAGCAGTGCTCATCCTGCAACGCACCGGAAGATTCCAAATGCACATACTAACCAGGGAGAATTGCAGTATCGGGTGGAAGTGGAAATGCAAATAAGAATGGGAATGTAAAGGAGCTTCACCGCCATCACTAGGGATGTATGTAGCATGTAAGTTTCTGCAAATGGGTCTCGGGATCTGCCAGTAATCCTCGTGATCGACCGAGGTAAGGTTCGCATTGGGATGGGGTAGTAATATATTTGTTACATTCCGTATGTACTGTAGCTGTATGGGAGTGGAGTGTATTTTGACTTTCATCTATGGTGGTATACTTGAACCAAACAAGAACATTGGCGGAAAACTGAATATCAGAAACAATTCCAAACAATTTCCAACTCAAATCTTATCTGTAATCAGTTGAGACACAACCAACTGGATGGCGACTGGCAAGGTATGTCAAGGTAAGTTACCCTACAACGCTTACTAGACATCTTATCGTATCCGTTTCATGTCCCTTCAGGTGATCTTTGTCTACATGTGAGTGGTAAGTCTATTTGTATCGTATGTGCCACAGGCAGTAACGGATTCGTAGGAAATATGCAAGTCAAAGAATTGTTCTCTCTTGGCATGATTCTGATGACCTTATCCGACTAGTTGGGACGTACAGTCGGCCCATCGAAGAATACGCATCTTGCAAATAAGTACATGCATCAACAATAAAATATTCGCAACACCTTCAATGTCTGAGACTTCTCCACTGCGAATTTCTCTCGTATACTAGAATATAGTACGGAGTAGGGTATGCTTAGGTGCAGTGCTGCGCCCATTCCTTCCTCCACTTTTGCAGCATCTGCAGCGGGTAAAAGGCTATCTCGCCGAAAAGAGCACGCAAGCAAGTAGATCATAGCAAATACTCATGTGAGATTTTTGAGGCACACTATTTTTCCACTCTGCAAAACTAGACAGAATTTGAATCGAACGACTCGCTAAGTTTTGTTCTCCTATTTAGAAATCACTTTGCAGATGGATTATTATTCGTGAGACATATCAGAGAAACATGAGCCTGTAAGAATTGAGATACAAAAAGACAGAGTATTCATGCAATCTTGTATGTATTTTTCATCGCCATTTTTTTCCTTTAATACTATTTTGATGTCCCGGTGCAAACGGGTTGGGATGTGAAACCTTAAAGCTAGAAACTAAAGGACATTTAAGTCCGGGTATCCCGAAAATATGACGCCCTCAATAACCTCAATAGCAAAAGACTATGTAACTCTGACGCTTGCTAGCAACTGGAGACAAAACAACGATAGGAAAAGAAAACATAGAACTATTTAGGGAATCTTCATGATGAAAAGACCACGAGGATCACTGTATCTTTGAAGGGTGCCCCAGGATGGAGTCTTATGTTTGTTAGTATTAGGAAAATTGCACATAATCCTGCTGCGCAAGAACCCCAGGTTCCATTTCTCCATCTTCATCGCCGAAGAATTCCTCATCGATGACATCTGAATCCACGTCATCGCTGCCTATCTCATCTTCTTCATCGCTTGAAACATCACTCGATTGGTCTCCTGGAGAGGAATCGCCAGCAGCCGCATTCCTACGAATAACACTAGCTTTGATGCGGTGGGGAAGTTTGCAACCTTTCGTAGTGCAGGTACCTGTGTTACTGAAATCCGGGCACTCGTGGATATGTCGCTCTGTGCAAGTAATTCCCTTATCGCAGTATCCATATATTCCAAAGGAATGGCAAACCAATGCTGTCGGCGAAACACGAACGTGGGTATAACGACAATCCGGGTTCGAACAATTGCCCTTGGCAAAATGCAAGCAATTCGGTGTCCTTTCGGGGGTAAGGTCGTGGGATAGGTCGCAAGAATCCCCATTAGGACATTCACCCTTGAGGAGGAAAGTTTTACATACTCCAACTTTTGAAGGGTCATGAATATATTGGCACTTAGGACCCTTGTTACAAGTACCTAGACAAGATGTGGTTAGCTGACACCCAGATCGCTCCCCCTCCAACGCCTCAAGATTGATGAAAGATTCGAAATATGGAAAATAAAGCGGTACCCGTGGTGGTAAATGATTTGCACGGCTCGTTGATCTTGACGACACCGTGTTTCCTTCGATCAGGTCAGCAATTGACACAAGAAATACAATCCGGGAACCCCATGGTATTGAGCCATACCTAGTGGCTTTGATTATCCCTTCTCGATACATGTTTCCGTTTTTGCTTCTATAAAATTTGACACCACCGATTAAAGCAGTCTTGGGCGTAGCATTGGCGGAAGTGAGGTCACCTGAACTAAGTGAGCATGGAACAAAAAGCGGCACCACCTTGTAGCTCGCTGTGGATGTTGGATTCTCACCGGAGGCTTTGACGAGTTTGCTACCATTCTTTGTGACCATAAACCGAATTCCATTGACAGTAACTTCATAATTGCTTGTTCCTGTAGGCTGCATTTTGGAAGAGTCAAAGTTCGCACCCAGACGCTGCAAGTGTCTACTAAGCTTCAACTTCTCCCTTTCATCCCTTTGCTTCAGTTTTTGTCTCCTGGTTTCCTCGATCGCTTTGACTCGAATTTGACTATCCTTCTCAAAGTATGATTTGTTGATCAACTGGAGATGGCGGTCGGTTTTTGTGATGTAACAAGCAGAGGAAGATCGCTCGTTCTCATCCGTAGATGGAGTTACGTTCGATGAATCAGGTTGTGATGGTGAAGCGGGAGTACCGCCATTTAACACAAGGGTACGATGCCGCACAATGCCGACGCCGCCTCCTCGCGCACCTCGGTATCCTCTGGCAGAGTATGCGCCTCTGTGGCTACCTCGACTACCTCTCCAGCTGTTGTTTGCGTAAGGGTGATACGCATAAGCTCCATGGCCTCCTCGTTTGCTTGGTTGTGGATGGAGGCTGTTTGTTGATGCAGGGGAATGTGCTTGATTATACTGATCTGTTGACTGGTGATTTTTATGTTGATTTATTTGACCTAAATGTTGGTATATTAGGCAAGTCAACAAAGAACATGAATGGGTATCCTACCAGCTATGCGACTAATTCGTTCAAGAATAGCCTGGTCTTCTGATGCCATAGTTATAAAGTCCTAGTGGTTAGTATATGAATGCTGTCTTGTATATCGCCTTAGACCGGGAATGTATGTTATACCGCAAGGATTGGACTATCGAAAACGAGTGCTTGTTTGTTCATGAAGAAATCTTTACAATGGAGTTGTAATGGAATAGATCAAATGAGGGAGTTGTGCAGTACAGTATTTGTCAGCAGACATTAGTGCCATCACTAGTGGCAGTCGGCCTTAATCATCCGACAAGGCTGTGACTTTAGATTACCTTTTATCATTGTTCATTGAGAAGGCAACCAACAAAGAACTGGATTGCGCCAGTGTTTGTTCTTTCCAGCAACCACAAGCCACTCACTTAAGACTTATAAGGCATCCTAGGGCTTCTCTAGAAGATACACTTCCCATTCCCATTTGGATAATTGACACATACACACAAAATGGCAGACACAATCATCAAGCCAGATCCGGAGGCAGCTGTCGCATCGCCTAGATTCATGGAAGATGATGATATATATGAAGATGCTGGAGATATGGCGATCAACGAAGATCCGGCATTTCAAAAGTTATGGTTAGGTCGTGTACCTAAATACGTCTGGGATGCATGGGAGGGATTGGGTGGAGATTTGGATGAGGAAATACAAATTGGTACCATTCGCAATTGCCGAGAAAGGATGCCAGATGGCACTGTTAAGGTGCGGGTGAATGCTTTTAACATTTAGGAAATTAGCTGACTTGAGAGCTGTAGGACTCCTATTCCATGTTACTGAGTTCTAATCTTGCACAGCACCAGACTGTCCCCAAGGAATACAATCTTGATATTACCAATGAGAATGTCAAGAATACTTTCATTTTTTCAGAACAGGATCTGCCAGGATTCAAATCGAAATCAAGACAGAAGTTCGCCTTGGAGACTGCGAATATGCCAGCAAGGCTTACCCGTGGAAAGATTGAGAAGCCTGCAAATAAACAGCCATGGGACCCTAACAGGAAATTTCAACCTCAATTTCGGAAGGCAATTCCAAGTACGTTGACATAATACTTTTGCTTCTGCGTCACTAACCTGACTAAATTAGAGAGAACAACTCTTGCCGGTAGGGTTGTCCATGAATTGAGTTGTATCGCCGTGCAAAATGAAGAATCAGACCGCCTTCTAGCTATTAGGACTTTGGAAGCTATGAAGCCCAAAGTGGGCACGAAATTTCTCAATGAGGATCTCGATGTGGGCCAAGGTTTCATTCAGCCTGGTACTATCAAGGCCTCAGACGCTTATAAAAGCTTTATTGTAAGACTTCTGATTCGTACTTACATTTCCTTGCAATACTTACACTGAACCCGAACAGAAAACCAAGAATCCGACTGCTGGTACTAAGACACAACTTACCAAGGCCGCTCGTATGCCAGAAAACGAGCTTCTCGATAGGATCTTCGACTGTTTCCGTAGGTATAACTATTGGTCCATGAAAGCACTACGTGCCGAGCTCCAACAACCGGAAGCATATCTTCGTGAAACTCTCGAGAAAATAGCGTTCTTGGCGAAGACTGGTCGATTCGCAACACAGTGGTCACTGAAGCCCGAGAACAAACTTAACAACTATGAGGGTGCTGGCGATGCGATTGCACCTGGTGAAGACACAGATCTTGGCGATGATGATGAAGATGACGACGAAGATGTCAAATTTGAAGACGTCTGATCTTGTGACTGGCTTTATGGTATGTATTCTACGGCGTTTTTAGGGGGTGAGGATGCATAATGGCGGTTTTTTCTCATGATTAGGTTGATATATGGGAAAGCATAATGGCATGGCGTTACACTCACATATTACTTGTCCAGCGAGGATCTACGTTGGTTAACTGGGGAACTCACTTATGAGAAAAAATCTCAAAATGAGATGTAACATATCATTATAATAAAGCAAATTTTACCAATATCTTTGTTCCAAGTACAAATGACGGGAGAGGTGATGTCGGAGGTATTGCTTCGGATATCCGATGTGGCGCTGGCGCTCAATGACGAACATTGAAGTTTCTAACCCAATAATAAATTTGTAACAATTTCCATCTGCGTGCCTTACATATCCTTTCATTTAAACAGTTACATTTAGACATACCAAACTTTTTTACCAGTCAATTGAGAAAGTATGCTCGTAGAGGCTAGTACTTTTCTTTGATCTGCCAGATTGCAAGCCATTGGCTTTTGCATTTCGTCTTTTTGCCTGGCATCCATCTCCACTCTACAACCAAGAACTTAAAAAATGGCAAGTCTCGCCGGTGGGATTTCGATTAGAGCAAACGCTAGCAGGGCTTTCTCGAGGTTAGGCAGAGAGCTCGGAGTGTCGAGCATCGTCGCTACTCACCTGCGACGATATAAATCCTCATTATCAACAACGTCCCCTCCTCCAAAGCTGTCCCTCCCCAGGCCGTCGCATAACTACCGAATACCCATACGACTTTTCTCGACAAGTCCCCGCGCCTCCTCATCCCCCAAATTTACATACGGTATCTCAGCATCTTACTGCGCCAAAGAAAACCGTTACTCTCCCACCAAAAACCTTACCCCTTTCAACCCCTACAATGCCATTCCTGTACCCCTCAAACCAGCCGACCGCAGGCCCGCTTCTGGCCAAGATGCATTCTTCGTGGCGCCCATATCAAACACCTCGGACATTGCTATTGGAATCGCAGATGGGGTAGGGGGCTGGATTGACTCCGGTGTCGATCCTAGTGATTTTTCACACGGTTTCTGCGAGTATATGGCGCATACGGCTTCGCTTTCGAATGAAATAGACGAAGTTCCTATATCTGCGAGAAGACTTATGCAGAAGGGTTATGATTTGATTTGTGCTTCGGGCAAAGTGCGTGCTGGGGGGAGTACGGCTGTTGTGGGAATCTTCAACTCTGGGGGAAATATGGAGGTTGCAAATTTGGGGGACAGTGGATATATACAATTGAGATCAGGAGCTGTACATTCGGCCTCAGAATTCCAGACACATGCGTTTAATACACCGTACCAATTAAGTCTGGTACCGGAGGCGGTTATGAGACAGGCGGCGAAATTTGGGGGGGAGCAATTGATGGATTTGCCACGGGACGCGGAAGTTGTGAGTAAGGAATTGAAGCATGGGGATGTTGTTGTTTTCGCAACGGATGGGGTTTGGGATAATTTGAGTGGAGGGGATGTTCTTAGGATTGTGAGTAAGAGAATGAGGTATGAGAAGGCCTGGGTCAACGGCGTCGAGGATAAGGGAACGGAGGTGGGAGAGAAGCTTGGAGAATTAATAGAAGAAGGCGGTGTGGAGGGGAAAGATAAGGGTATGCTAAGTTTGCAGAGCTCTCTGGCGGTGGATATCGCCGGAGAAGCTAAGGCCGCAAGTCTTAGCTTGCGGAGGGATGGCCCGTTTGCAAGGGAGGTCCAGAGGAGATATCCGGATGAGAAATGGAGTGGTGGAAAGTCAGATGATATCTGCGTGGTTGTTGTGGTGGCGGTAGAGGAGGGGAAGTAAGTGCAAGACCGGGGTGAGAAGAGACGGAGGACTGCCTTTTAGAACAAAATGTGGTATCATATGATGGGTGGCACAATCATAAGAATCAATAGAGGGCGGACGGCGAGCATTGTGTTTAGTGTATACCTTTGGCATGGAAGCGGGCGGGCAATAGACATCATGAATCGGTCATTTAGATTGTAGAATGCTACGCGGCGTGTAATTATTCATTCAAGCTATCGTGTATATACAAAATTTGTTTGAAACCATCTCAACTTGAAGTGTGAGCAATAGGCATGAATGGAGTAAAGAATTACTTTTATCTAAATCTATCAGTCTATGAGAATTCCGTCGAGACCAATTGTATCGCACATATGTCCATCTATTGCGCATAAAAGCTTTATAAATCTTTTCGGACCTAGTTGAAATTTCAAGTTAAGATGCCTTAACGTCATCATCAGGGATATAATCCACAAACCCACCATCTTTACCCTCCCTTCTCAATAAATATCTAAACCTCTCACTATTACTGACCACCCATTCCGGGATATCATTATTATCCATCAACATTTCATACTCCTCGCCTTTCCTATCCCACAAATCCAGCCCCTTTCTCACTCTATCCACGATCCTTGATTCATTCCTATATACCGCAAGATTTAGACTTGTATGCGAAAAGCTGGCCATCTTGTTCAATGTCTCTGATATCATCGAAAAGCAAGATGAGCAATGCCACGAAGCATTCGCCAAATCTCGCTTTTGGAAATAGGTAACCGGTGCGAAACCTCCTTCGCCGTTTCTTAAATCGGCTGGAAGAATGGTTTTGCTGGGTCCGGCATAGATGGTTGCTTGAGGGTGAGGCCACTCGGGTCCTTTATGGAGGAATTGGAAACCGTAGTAATAGAAACGACTGCGAAGTGTGAGCCGCTTGTTAAAATCACAAGTTCGTAAGAGATCAATGGTCTCCGGGCGTGGAATCTCGTCGATATCTGAGACAATGAGCGCATCTCCTAGGTTGGCCGTTTGGTCTCCGTTGAGCCGGGGAATGACTTGTGTGAACATGGCATTTCGTTGATGATCTTCATAGTCCCATGTCCGATGAGAAGTAAGAGGCCGGTTCTCAAGGAGGTGATATATTATCTTGTGAGAAAATTGAGAAAAACGTGACTGGTTGTCGAAAAAATGGAGAGGTTTAGGACGCCCGGTAAAGGTGATATTAGATTCGACTATGACAAAATAGTCGACATGATCCGCGAGCGTGTTGAGACGAATCTCGAGCCAGTCCAGCTCCGAACTTAACATGAAAAGATCGTAAACCTTCCGCGGCCTTTCGGGTGGATGTTGATATGGACGCCAGCCTTGCGCCTCACATACACTGTGGCGAGAACTGGGTGTTTGGGAAAATAGACGAAGCTGCGATATATTCAAACGACTGTAAGAGACAAAATTCAAGACTAACAAAATCAAAACATAAGGTAGCGATCGTTGGAGCAAGACCCCGGGATTTCCTCCAGTGAGAGCTACCATAATCACTTTGGTCGCCAAATGATGCTAATCATTCGCCCCGTGGTGCTCTCGTATTCAACGACTGCAAATGAGATGTCGAAGTCAAACTCCAGCGAGCGAAAGAACTGAATGAAATCCCGTACATATGCTCATAACAGTCTACGACAGAAACCAACAATCTGACTTAGCGTTGCGCCGGAAACGTTTTGCGCAACAGTACGAAACCGTCAACAATTAGAAAAAGATGCGAGTAGTGCCTCCCGGCTGTAGAAGTCTTTGCTTGCACTTACCATTCACTGTCCATTTAATAGTAACCTTAGATTTATGAGGAAAGTTAGAAGGAACATGTCAGACTTCTTCACAGCCCCCTTTAACAAATGAACGAGAGACAGGGGAAATAGGAAACTCTAACCAAATATTTGCAAAATCGTAAACTCGGTAAAATGCTTATGTGCAGTAGATGGGTGAAATATGGGTTACTAATCCAAATTAGGTTAGTAGAATCATGGAGGTTGCATTCGGAAATTTATCATCGCCATCTTGTGCATGTGTCTCTTTCTGAAATTTCTATTTTTGGAGACTTCATTGAATGACAATGATGATCTTTGCGGATAAGTAGTCTGTTAAGTGGATGGTTTAGTCTACTACCATGGTAGCGGCTGTATCATTGGCGTATATATTGATATGGTCTTGAACCATAGCCGCCAACACGACCTTCGCTACCATTGTTGAAAACTTTTCAAACAATGAAATTATGATTCGCCCATGATTGACGCCCTTATCATTTCTATACCCAGATATATGAGAGCCTCATGGCTTAGGGTGCTGGAGGGTTCCCTTTCACCTTTTCAAGGTTTCTTGTGTTATTATTTGATGCTCGAGTGAGTGTCCGAGCATGGTTCAAAACCACATAAAGGATATTCAGTATGTTGCGGTTCAAGATCTTATTCCAAACTCTCACTGGGTGCTGATCACTTCACCAATCGACGCCACTCAATGCGTACTCTGGTTTTGGCGTTTCTTTCTTGAGGCTCGTTTTCACTACCTTGTGATTGACATTGCTGCACTCCAGTATTGTTCATACTGCTAAGATCTTACAAGGCTGTATTTTTTATTAGTTCAACGGAGTGGTTGCCTTCGATAGCTGAAATATAAGATTAAATCCCAACTGGAACCTCTTTGGACCAGTTTTGGAGAATTTTACAACTACTTTTGGAGGATATTGCTCGTTATATATCGTATAAAGTCAAGATTCACAAATGTATATAAGAGTTTTTCTGTAGTTGATATAATTTGCTCTAGCAGTTATGTTTTTATGAAGCTTTCAACATGCAAATTCTGTCTGCATCCTATCTGCTGCCTGGTTCTTCTTAATGTTCTTCATTCCTTGGTATAATCGCTGAAACACTCAAGTCTTCATGAGAACCCCATTCAACCTCAATAACATCAATGGATCATCAGAACCTTTGTCTCAGGCGAATGCTCGCCAACCAGGCAAGCTGTAGAAAAATTCTGGAAGTTCCAGAGACGAGCCATCGTTCCCAAGATCGGAACTATCGCACGCCCTTCGCCTTCAGGTAGTTTTCTTTAGAATTGTTCGATGAGCCAAATGGCCAGCAGGTGCAAGCTAATACCCAACTGATGAACCTTACTAAGGTCAACATGGGTGATGATGTTGCCAACAAATTGAGTTCTATTAAGCTTTTACTCCCTGAAGCCTCGACTTTGGATAATAAACAGATTGGCTTATATGTAGCTTTTAGGGTATGTCAGTTTATATGTTTGTATCAGGGATTGATGAGGTAATCTTCTTAGGCCTTGCCCATGGATCTGGAAGAGGGTCTTTGTATCTGTTTTCGAAAAGCACCTTTCTGTTACCACGGTATATCGATGGGCAGATGAAAAATATATGTAATAATGTTGATATTGAGAATGTCACAGAGTACAAATCATCAGATATCATCGCTGAATTCTTCTTTCGGTCATCCTTTGGCAGAGAAAGCTTGTGCGCGCTTAGGTCTGGCGATAATTATTTAAAATGGTAACTGAAACCCTAGGAGACAAATATCTTGATATAATGGCTCTAGATCTTTGGTTGAAGATTACTCTCTTGCTCTTCACAATCATATTCTACAGACCGCTCCAAATTCGGCTACATGTCAAGTCTGGATTTGGTATTGGCATTGTCGTGTCCCAAAAGCCCGTCGGCACTATATATTTTATACTCTGTATCCCTGTGTTTCCCTACTCCGTTCTCGCTTACTTTTCCTCCTTGAATCTCTGGTAAACTTCAAGATACCAACATCTGCTTTTGCCATGGATGATGCGAGACACAAATCGTCAAGAATACTTTAGACATTGAAATACTACATGGGCTGAATCATCCTAATTTGTATTACCCGCCCCCGCACTGCTTAAAAGATCCCTCTTCCCAGAATCACTTTTCAATTGTCAAGAATAGTCGAGGCATTGAATTTTCTATAAGACAAACAACACCTTTCAGAAAGGACCAAATTGCTCATGCTCTGTTAAATGAGCAGACACAGCGCATTCTGGATCCTTCAATGTCAATTCTTCGCCGTGGTAGCTATGATAATCTATCTTTACCGTACTCTGCATTCCGTCATCAAATTGATTTCAAACTTCCATATCTAATGCCCATAAGTAAGTTCCCACACTTACAGATTCTTCAGTCCAGCCATAAGGACCAAACCCCCTCAACTTTTAAAGTATTAATTGCCGTCTTAAGAAGTGCTACGATATTTTTTTTGCAGCCGCCTGGTTACTTGTAGTAGGTATCCGATTAAAACTAACAATTCCCACGCCCTTCTCCTGATATTCCTCCCTCCAATAAACTATATAGCACTTCAACCCAACTCATATGCATACCCCAGAAAAAACCTCCCGCAGCCATAGATCTTGGCCTAGACTATGCCTCTTTCAATTTTTCCGGAGTTCGCACAATGCATGTTTCAGATGATGCAGGACATAGGGAGTTCGGATGATGATATATTTAGATACTATGTATTATGGGGAGAGGCTTTTTGCTTCTCCGGTTTGTTTCATTTAGATTTAAGGTTAATGGTAATAATAATTATTTATGCTTTTGCCGTTTTTCAATGAAGAATGATTAGAGCGTGATTTTGAGGAATTTGAGTGCTGAGATGCAGTTCATACAGGAAAATTAATTTTATATTTTTGGTTGATTTGGCGAAATCGCTGGTTTGATTGGGAGGGGGAGGATGGGTATGAGGAGCGCCGTAAACAGATGGTAGTCTAGTAGGAAGATCTCTTCTAACATCGTGTACGTAGCTAAATACTTCTATAGCTCTATGATTCAGTAGTAGCACTATTAGAACATGCAAATAAGGTTACTGTAAGATAAGACGAACGATTTAGATTAAAAAAAATAAAGGTAAGCAATCGCATACAACATCGGATGATGAAAGTAAAATAAACGAGCGAGCAATATGGGATGATGACTTAGGATGGAAAAAGGTGGAGGGGGAATATTGACTTTTTACCGATTTCTGATTTGGGATTGTAGACTTATAGCTGCTTCCTAAATGGGAGTGTTGTAGGGGAAGGAAGCGAGATATTGTTTGATGTTGACGTTGTTGGATGGGTAACCTTAATGGTGGTGTTTATGTACTGTGCTGAGCGGACTTTTTTATTATGCATTGTTAATTATATGTGATTGTGATCTAATTATTTGAAGATATTGAGACAAGCTGTGCCGTAGCAGAATATGCTGAATTATATTTCTTACCTATCTATTTGAAGGATTGTTGGTCGTACACATATATCTATGAATTGTGACATTATGGTGGTGATCATGAGAGGCACATCAAGCGGAGAAACACCTTTGTTGAATCATCCGCCGAGAAGGATGAGTATGATGGCAAACGCACCGAAATGAGGATGAAAAATTCAGTCTTAATAAAGAATTTACGATAAACAAACAGTATGCAATAAATATTGCATGACATTAAAGGATCAATTAATCACACAAAACCCCAGATCGATACATCTCAGTTGGGTGGCTTAAAGGAGGCGAGATGTGCTATGAAGTGTGATTCCTACAGTACTACGTATTTTTATGATGTATAGTGATGATGTGACGATGTAACGATGTTGATGACGTCGAGGCTTTGGATGTGTACTGATTTTATGATTTGGAAATTGGAGGGGTGCATGGAGAGGAAGAGAGGAATGTAAAGCTTGGGGGTTGGCACATATGGTATGGAGGTATGGGCCGTATTTTGGTTAAGTTTCTATTTTGGCCTGCATTGTGTGCGTGGTATTGAATGTCTAAGGAGCCAAGAAAATACGAAGAAATCGTATAGGTAGATGGGATTGAGATTTGGGAATACTTGCTCAGTTAAAGAATTGAGAAGGATGATAAATGTGAGTGAGTGCCAATGTAAGACTTAAATGTAGGAGCTCAGACGGCGAAGATGTTTGATGTTTGATGTTTGATGTTTTATGTGTAAAGCTGGGCAAAGGCGGAAACGGGAATATAGGATTGGTGAATGATGGTAGAAATTCACGGACATCCTAGGGATAAGGCGATAGCACGCACGATGTTTTGTTTGTGTGATGGTTGGTGAGATCTTGTAAGTCTCATCGGAGGATATCGAGTTTCATATATATATATGTATATCTATAGTGCTAGTGATATCCATCTAGATTGCAAACGACAAATGAGCAAACAAAAATACGGATCACTAATCCGTTTGTTCTGATTAAGCATGCGTATATGAAAAACATCAGATGGGAGAATTGGGGAAATCCGAAATGCTTAATGTTTCCCTTTCCTCCATATTTCGGTGTTTCAGGGGGTAGATATTTTCCTTGGATGCGTAAAGGGTTAGATCCTTTGGAATCTGATTGGAGCATGTCAATGAGACGAAAGCTAGGGATTCATATCCTTAGAAGATAGCTTTTCTCGGCAATCTTTTTTGCTTTTCCATTTCTAATTGTACAATTGCTTTAACTTCTGATTTTACGTAGAAGTTGCGGGATCGATTAGTGATACGAAAGGCCGAATCTATTGGATAATTTAAAATAGAGTTCGCTGGACGAAGATACATAATCCGAAATTCCGATACGGATAGAGAGGTAACTATTTGATCCTTTCAATATACGATATTACAATGGGATTTTGAAGATACCGATAAATACAACTTTAAATTAAGATTATAATTTTACTAGATTATTAAATTAAAACTTATCTGAATTTTACTAATCATTTATCAATTAGTTATTTTAATATGATATCGAATATTTAGTTTTTGTTAAAAGGAATGACCTTACACAGGGAATAGTGGGAAGCTGATAGGGCAGAACTGAGGTAATATTGGTCTAGTGTATGTTCGCACTACATCTAAGTTCTACGGAAGTGCGAAGCTCTCCGTAGGAGAGCTTCTCAATCTAGTCCTAATAGGACTAGTGCCCTGTGCACGTGCTACGCAGGAACCATTCACTTTAACAGTTTTTATATTTTTACTTAATGAAAAATTATATACAAATTGTATATTTAATCAGATCTAACAGAGGAGATTTATCTTGGTAATAAAATACATGAAGATACCGGTAGCTGGGTAGAAATAGATTACTCTCTCGAAATCTTTATCTATTGGTTGATAATCATCCCACACTTAGCCTAGTATACATTTGATTCAGAAATTTCGCTTATTGCCATGCAAAAAATATCTTGATAGTTTACGAAGTTTAACTGGTCCACTCCTTCAACAGCCATCACAAGCTCAAACACTCTTGTTCAAGCATCCGATTTTTGACATGAACAAAGAGTCCTGACTGGCTGCGGTCATTCATCTCCCAATCCCTGTCGCAATAATGTTTCTGAAGTTTCGGCATAATCTCATGGTTCAGATCAAATCATCCCAGTGGATCTAGGCTGCCCGCGGGTCGGGAAAGGGGCAATGTGGCTCACCACGAGGGTGGTCAGTCTAGCTTGTTACATGTCAATGCTTCATTGTCCACTGAATCCTCCACAGGTTTCCCATATGCATATTCGCATACATGGTGATTTCACTCATACTTTTACAATCTACCCCTCTCTGCCACAATAATGCTTCTCGGAGCTTACTCCCTTGCTGTGAAGTCTGCAGGCGCAGGCAGGGCATTGACTATCTATCCCTAGCTGGACGGTTTAGGAAGGAAGAATTCCTTCGCTGCGTTATTTTCCTATAATATCTCTTATTCTCTCTCTTCAAGTCGAAGAGCTTCTAATCACTTTGTCAATCTCTAAGTACCTAGTATTCAATATCACCGTCACTCCTTACGCGGTGCAATCCCCTTCTACCTCGGTCATTTATTCTTGCTATTTTATATCTCACTTTCAGCAGCTTGTTTGACCTTCTTTATCTATTCACTAAGCATCAATTTTCCGACAATCTCCTTTGCTGAATCACAATAAGATTGTCTTTGCTGTTCACCGTAACTCACAGCAAGAACAATAGCACTAAAACTCGACAGATTTCCATATATTTCCCCGATGTTAGTTTGACTTCAAGACACTCACTAAAATCACACTCTACAAACAACCTCAACACTTTCGTTTAAATTTCCGCAAGTTAATCCTTCGAAGCTATCGTCAGGAACAAAACACGAAAACCATTCGATCTTTACAACTACAAATATGCCTTCAAATCAAATGTTCAGTCGCATCGGTGCTGCGTTGATTCTCGCTGCTGGCAGCGCGAACGCCGCATATGTTATCAACCACACGTATGACCATACAAACTTCTTCTCCCAATTCAGCTTCTTCTCTGGTGATGATCCAACTCATGGTACGGTGGCATATCAAACCGCTTCTGCTGCCAACAAAACAGCACTCGCTGGATATACCAACAACGCTGGTGTCGATGCCGTTTACCTCGGAGTAGACCATACTACTGTACTCTCAGGAACTGCTGGAAGACCCTCAACTCGTGTAACCTCAAACAAAGCTTACACTCACGGCTTGTTCATCGCTGATGTCGCCCACATGCCTGAAGGATGTGGAACTTGGCCTGCATTGTGGAGTTTCGGTGAAGACTGGCCAACGCGTGGCGAGATGGACATTATCGAGGGAGTGAACGCTGGAACCACAAATCAAATGACCCTTCATACTTCTGCAAATTGTGTCATGAAAAACACTGGATCTGCTTCTGGCACTACTCTTGTTAACGGAGACTGCAATGCTGGCAACGCAAATACAGGATGTGGTCAGACAGTCAAAGACACAGCTACATACGGTCCAGGATTCAACGCAGCTGGAGGTGGTGTCTATGCATGGGAATGGACCTCAGACCACATTGCCATCTACTTCTTTCCCCGTTCAGCCATTCCAGAAAACGTCCAATCTGGCAACCCAGACCCAACAACATGGGGAAAGCCAATGGGCATGTTCACGGGTAGCGGTTGCGACATAGACACTCATTTCAAGCAGCACAACATTGTCCTTGACACCACTTTCTGTGGGGACTGGGCTGGTTCAGTATGGTCAAGCGGTGGTTGCGCAGCTAGCACCAAAACTGCCACTTGCGAAGCATACGTTACTGCCAATCCAAGTGCATTCAAGAACGCTTACTGGATCATCAACTCAATCAAGGTGTTCTCCTCAAAATAGTGAGGCAGTAAGAAGGAAGTCATGGATGAGCCGACATCTTGGGGGCGCTGAAGACGCTCTTCAAATTCAATCTTTTCATATTTACCACATTCACATTTTCTTTTTTTACCTCTTACACTTCACACTATGTATTCATGAATATATTTTTGTACTTTAGCTTGCGGCAATAGATTGATTCTTTGGCGTTGAGCAAGGGAAATACCACAATTTCAATCGCAGCATCGGCATCATATTTTAAAGCGTAGGGCGTTTTGGTCGAAAAGTACTGATAGGATTGACAGTTGAAGCTGATTTACTTAAAGATACCTATGGAGGGGGAGGATTTTTTGTGGTGGACATGCATATGCATGAATTCGATGTACTCTTAAGATTACCATTTATTTTCTGTACTACCAATTTTTGTTCAATGATGGCTCCCGTGTGACATTCTGTGACATATTGTGACATATTAACAGGTGATTGTGAAAACTTAGATACCTATCTATATTGAGATGAATTGATAATACTAACGAAATCAAGCAGAAATAAGAAGCACCTGAATGAAGATCAACTTATTTGTAGCTATGCGCCAAATCTCCAGTTTTCTCTCTAGAAGCGCCAAGCCTATTAATAGAGCTTGATCCAAGCTCCAGGGTCTTCAAGCATTAAGAGTTTAGCGAAGATCATCACTAAACATCACTAAATCTTTGACTGTAAAGCTTAAACTTCACTCCACTGCAAAATAAATTATTTCCTACGCGTAAACTTAGTTACACTCTAGTAAACACCAACACTTACCTCATATCACTATCGCCTACATCAAAACTATACATCCGCAGCCGTCTGCAGCTTGTGAAACTCCCCCGGTATTATCAAAATGCATCCTTCAAGACAGGCGTATGTGGAGGAGGCCAAAGAAGTAAGTAACCTTAATACCCCTCCAAGCTATTATCTTTCCAATCATGCATACGAATGAATACTAGGCAGATGGATAACTACACATTCACCAGCAACTGCTAATCTACTCTCTCGCGCGCAGGATACAGGTATAGATCTCGCAGATGTCCGTAAGTAGCAATTCCCGCGCAAATCTTCCGCTGTCCACTAAACTCCACTATAGCCCTCGACCGCGACTATGACATGCCCTCTGCAACGGCAGGTATTGCCCCCGAGCGCGCCAGCGCAATTCTTTCTCAATTCGATCGCAAACGTCGTGCAGCTGCTATAGCGGTGCCTACTGATGATGGACGCGTGCGCGCACGACTTCGAGAAATGGGGGAACCTGTTACGTTGTTTGGGGAAGGACCGGGTGATAGGAGAGATCGGTTGCGACAGCTTTTGACGATTGAGAGTGAGATGAAGGCGGAAGAGAATGGGGAGGTTGACGATGGTGATGTGGAGATGGGAGAGGGGAATAAGGATGAGGAAGCGGAGGAGGAATTTTATACGAGGGGTACGAAGGAATTACTAGATGCGAGGATAGATATTGCGAAGTTTTCGTTGCCGAGGGCGAAGAAGAGGATTGAGATTCAGAGAATTGAGAAGGACATTCCGTTGAGGACTCATATTAAATTTAGACAAGGTATCAAGGAGAGACTAAAGGATTTCGAGCTTCAGGGAAGTCAAACGGCTGGAGAGAGACCAGTTAGTGTTGTGAGGATTTCGCCCAATGGAGAATTGGTCGCTGCAGGCAATTGGGGAGGTGGGATTAAAGTGCTTGGGATACCAGATTTGGAAGTTAAGAAGTCGCTTAGAGGGCATACAGATAGGGTGGGTGGAATTTCATGGGCACCAGGTGCTACTATAGAGGGATCCAATGTCTCGCCTGGTAGTGTCAATTTAGCATCAGGAGGAGCAGAAGGAAAGGTTCACCTATGGAACCTGGAGCAAGATACACCTGTTTCGACATTGGCGGGACACAACCAGAGAGTTTGCCGAGTGGAATTTCATCCATCAGGTAAATACGTCGCATCTGCATCCGAGGATACAACATGGAGATTATGGGACGTTGAAAGCACGACCGAACTTTTACTTCAAGAAGGCCATTCAAGAGGAGTATTCTGTCTTAATTTCAACGGCGATGGATCACTTCTAGCAAGTGCAGGTATGGATAGTATAGGACGTATCTGGGATCTGCGAACCGGTCGTACAGTTATGATACTAGATGGACACATTCGACCCATCTACGCACTCGACTGGTCCACCGATGGCCATCGCGTTTTATCCGGATCTGGGGATGGATGGATCAAATGCTGGGATGTGAGGAAAGTCGCCAGTACGGGCGGAGTAGGTGCACATCGTAGCGTAGTATCTGATTTGAGATGGTTCAAAGGCACAGATGCGATGTCTCCCCCGGAAAAAGATGAGAAAGGTATAGTGCAACCGAGGAAGACAGGAACATTCTTCGTCTCATGTGGCTTCGATAAGGATGTTAATATCTTTTCTGCGGATGATTGGGCTTTGGTGCAGAGTTTGAGTGGTCATACGGGTAATGTGCATAGTTGTGATGTAGGGGCAGATGGAAAATGGATCGTTAGTGGTGGGTATGATAGAACGGTTAAACTATGGGGAAGAAATAATGGAGAGGGGATTTAAGCATTTTTCTTTTTTTCATCTTCATCATTATGTGTGGCGGGTGCTTGGTGACAAAAGTTTTTTTATAAGATCTTAGATCTGATTATAGCAGAAACGCTGTGTACGCATGGATCAGCTTTCTTGTATTGGAGATGGCGTATGGGGGATTATGTATACATACATTTAACGGAAATGGCATAGGGAGTTTTGAATTGGGATACCCGAGTTATATATACATGTATGTATGGATAGAAAATGTCATTGCAGATTGAATCCTATTTCTTTCTTTTATTCATTAATCGAGTTAGTAACTAATTATAATTGCCTAGAATTCCTTTTAAGAAATAAAATGAAAGTTTATATTATATTATCTGTATTGCATTGTATTGTATTGTATAATAATTGCAAGATAGCCAACCAAAAGACTCCAGATTAAAATGGGTATCAATCGCACGCATCGCTCGTAGATGTCTTTATTTCTTCATCCATCGACCCGTTCATCTCGAGATGCACCTAGCAATTAGGACAGAATGTCCACCCCAAGTTTCCTTGAATCTCATGATGCGCCCTAATTCGTCCTGTCCTGTCCCAAGTTCCATTACAGGCTTCCTTGTCCTTCCTCTCCCATTCAGATGAAAAAAAATCAACTCTCCTCCACTCTTAAACATCCCAAACAAAGCACCTCGCCCTCCGTCCCTCTCTCCACACAACATCGACTACACACCATCCCCCTATGTTGCATACCATTCTCACCCCATCCCTCCCCACCATCCTCCTGCTTTCCTACCTCTCCACCCATCCGCAACTTAACCCCGCATTCCCCAAGACATTCCCTAATACAAACCCAACAAGTCCTCTTCGCACAACCCTCACAATTCGCAAACGCATCCAATTCCTTCTTAACAGTTGGTTTACGTCGACATATATGACAAGCTCTTAAATCCATTGCTCCTGTATTTTTTTCTTTCTCCTTCATTTGTTCGATTCGCGGTTCTGTTTCGATGGGGAGATATTCCACTCGAACTCTTTTGTTCAGACTTATTTTTGATCGGGGGGTTAGGTGGCGACGTTCGGGTTCGTGGTGCATGGTGTGTGGGTATAGGTTATGTGGATGTGGATGTGCATGAGGATGGATATGGGTATGTCTAGGACTGTTTGGGTGATTAGCCAACTTTTATTTAATTTCTCTTCCTCTTACTCTCCATTCTCAGATTCGAGAAACTACCCAAAATACAATCTGCAAAAACAAATAACCACATACCTATGAATCTTCATCTGTACCTCCTCTTCCCTCTCCCTCTCCCTTTCCCTCTCAATCACACCCCCCAAACCCGCCACATCCCTCCGCCTCTTCAACAAATTAACCGTCGAACCATTCGAAGCCGCATGAAAATCCATTGAAGGAATATCCCAATCTTCTTGAGCTATTGATGGCATATCCTTTTCTTCCTTTCTACTTCTTCCCCTTCCTCTCTTCCTCTTCTCCTCAAAAAAGCACTAACTTATCCACTCAATCCTCTAGACCTCACTCGAAGATTCTAGAACCACAATCTCTCACTCTCAAAACCTTTCAATCGCAATTCGTTATCACCCGATCAATAACTATTATAATGACGAAACCCGTTCAAAAAACAAAAACGAAAGGAACGCAGATAGATAAATAAATAAATCTAAAGATTCGAAGAAAGATCGGTGTTTAATATGAAGATATTGTAAGGCCACCTCGACAGATCGAAATCGAGATCGAGATCGAGATCAAGGAGCGAAAAGTGGTTGTGTAAGGAAAGGATTGAGATCTGGATGTCCTGTCGTTTGTTTACTTTACTTTTGTAGTAATCTTACAATCAATCACAAGAGAGTGAGCATTGTCGGGATTACTTCGCTGTAACTGCGTTTGCATATTTATACTTGTTTTATGTTTTATGCATGTTCATTTCATAAATGTCGGGAATGCATTGGATTGATTTGGGGTTTACTGTTCATGTACTCCAAATATACCTATGTTCAATTCATTGAAATATAAAATATATGTTAATCATATGGGTATTCCTGTATAATTCCTAGGTTATTCTCATCTATCATCCATCTACTCTGCGTCTACTCCATTTCTAATGTAGTAGGTATTCGATATTCATAATCCATACACATTATATCGTGTCTTTCCTTTCCCTCCTTTTCCTTTCCTTTCCATCCATATACACATGTCCATCCTGTCATGAAAGTCTTCATCTTCATCTTCATTTTCCCCCAGCACTAAGGACTTCCTGAAAATTACTCCAAGAACATGAACAACCTCCCGTTCCTCCATCAAAGCCTCCCAGTGATGAATCACTAACATTCGAGAATATGCTCGGAGCCGGATTAACAATCTGGCCTCCAAATGCTCTATTTTCTCCATTGACAACTCCACTACTGGCTATAATCCCCTCTCTGTCATTCATACTATAACAGTACAGCAACTTCCTCGCAGGATCTCCTCCATGTCGATCCGTTGTGATAGTAATCGGATAGGGAAACGATCCCGGCTGTGAGAAATCTTGCCTTGCTATAACAGTAGAGGCACCAGTAGAACTAGTAGCATTGTTAAGTCTAGCAGTGCCATTCATCCTAGTCCACATTTGTACCAAGAAACGAGTTTCGCCCCATGTACAACGGAAGTTGGCTTCTCCTTCAAGAGCCCCGCCATTTTGATCATCAGGAACTTCACCACTGGAAGTATTGGTATCGTTGAGTAATGAAAGGGATTTAAGGAAAATACTACGATTGAAGTACGTATAGAATCCATAATGCTCGGTAATGAGTCCTCGATCGTAAAGACGGATAGGTTGTTGAACTGGATATGGAAGAAGATTGGCTGGAGCGGCAGTGCCATCGGCGTTTAGACTCGGGGCCGGGATACCAGATGTGATGTTTGGAAATAGATTAGGATCGGTAGCATTTGAATTTGCACGCTTTACGCGGCTGTTACTTGTTAAAGTGGTGCTTGTAGTCGGTAGAAAGGATATATAAAAGGGTGTTGGTTCTCCGACCTTGTTGGTAGAAACAATACCATCTGTAGTATCGCCCAAAAAGGCTTCTTCAGCATAGGATGGTGGAGGTGGTGATGGATTGAAGGTTATGCTTTGTCGTGCTTTTAATATCAGATCCCTGATAAATTTCCCAGCAGAGACTGGGTTTCCAACAATGTTTCGTGTAGGGAGGTTTTTGTTCCCTGTGACATTCGCAAAAGTTGCATTTGCCGCACTGCTGTTATCCCACTGAATTTCCAAAAGGAAATTGGGTTGGTTCGGTAGGTTTGGCGCGACAGAAGACTGTTGCTCCTTCGGTAAAGCACAACTCCACTGTGTAGCAGGAAATACACAACCGGTGTTTGCCACAATGTTGACTGGAGCTGCTACCGTCGACAGGCCGGCATAGATAGGAGGGAAGCCAGTGAGGTTCAACCATTGAGATTGCATCACAACATGTTTTGGCTTGCGTGTCAAGGTCATAGCAAGGACTAAAATCAAGACGATCAATAAAACTAATGAAATGAATATGCAGCAATACCATCTTCTCCTCTTTCGACCTTCTGGACCTTGACGGCCATGACATCCATTTTTGGGAATGCATCCTCTACCGGCCCATAACCCACCTGCTTTGCGAGCCATTCTATCTTCCTTTTCGTTCTTTTGACGTTTTGATTCTGCTTTTTTGGCAGCTTTGACGGCAGCTTTGTCTGCAATTTGTTGGAGATGTTCTTGAGTCATAATTAAGAGAGTTGGAGTTGTCTGTCTAGTAGGTCCAGGGTATGCTGTGTTCTGATTCGTTCTACCATGCGCCGGGCTTAGTGGAACCTCCGACAACTGAATACTACCTTTTGAGGCCATCGCTTGTTGCATGCCTGGAGATATTGGACCAGGAGAAGCAGGGTATTGCGTAGCTGAAACTGTAACTGGAACTGAAACTGGGCCTGAAGCTGGGCCTGAAGCTGGAGCTGGTTCGTGTGAGGGAGGTAAAACGGCTCGATATTTTCGGACTTTCTTTGGTGATTCAGTAAAGTAAGGCGGTGGAGGCGGGGGTGAAGTAGAGTGATTCACAAGTATTCTGGATTTTATTTCTGAATCATGCGAGTCCGTACTTGTAACCATACTCGAGTTGTTATAAAGATTAATGTTACTATTTTGGGTCTGAACAAAGGGATTATTGCTTCCAAGTTCTTTTGTTCTATCGGCTGTGGATGACAACGAAGTTTCTTTGTTGACTGAAATAGAACTTTTTTGCAATGAATTCGAGATACCCGAATAGTCATGAGTCGATATGAAATTAATAGAGTGTACAGCATTGACAGTGATATTTAAATCAGCAAATCTAGTCAATCTCGCGTCTCCCACATCACCTGAAGTTGAACGGACAAAGGGTAAAGCAGCTGTCGACGGTTTCACCGCGTGTCTCGTCTCTTTATAGACTAACCCAGGGGAAACCTGTTTCTCTGATCTAAAACCTAAAGGAGTCACATCCCACCAATCATCAGACGCATTGGAAGCTGTTCTTCTGATCGAAAGAGGAGAAAACAATTGTTCCCAAGACTTTCGCTCTACCTTCGATTCCTGAGCTTTGGCTGCTGCAATGGCCAAGATAGGATCTTCAGGAACATCCGGTGACTTCTTTTCTGGATATGCCAGTGTGTTTGACCGAGTCAGGAATGGCGTCGTAATATAATTCCACCAACCCGAACGAGCTCGTACAGCAATGGTGTCCATACTTCCATGATTGTCTACTTTCGGCGCATCTGCAAGGGTGGGTGGGCGGGCGCTTCGGACGATGATTGGATGTTCATCCTCCTCGTAAATAATACAAGAAGACAAGACTCGGGTTGAAGATGGTTCCTCATCCCATTCAGTAGTGGCATCTGAATCGGGAGAAAAGTAACTATGCTGGGCTGCCACCCTTCTCTTCTCCTCCTCAGCCAAAGCTGCTGGCATCGTCGGCAATGGTGGTGCTCCATCTCTGAATGGGTCATTGGGGCTGGCTACCGAATAAGATGTTGATAAAGTTCGTGTTCGCGATACATTCGAAGCTGTACTATACGGTGACCACACAGATATCTCTTGCGCAGGCGTGATGACGATAGATGGTGTAGACAATCCTTTTCCTGTAGGTGTCTCGTGCCCATAATTTCCCATCATATTTGAAGCGATTGAAGTTGATGTCTGAGGGGTGGTTGTGTGATGAGCTAAACGTGCAGAGGGGATGGATATGCCAATAACAATTGGACGGTCGTCCGGAGATAGGTCATCACCTAATTTTAAATTTGTTGGTCTTGAAGACCCGCGTCGCTCTGCTAGTGGAGAGACAGTCAATGTTTTGCTCTGTACTGAATCCAGAGTATTGACCTTGCTCTTCTCCGGCGAGTATTCGATAGCTTTGCTTTTCTTATTCTTCAGAGATGTCCATAATGTCCCGTTGGGATGAGCCGAGACATTCTCTAGTTTTCTGAGAGTTGTCAAATCAACGAAAAATCCATTGGGTCGTGATTGTTGTGAAGAAAGTACTTGTGGTCGAGGTCCATGATGTGTTGAGAAGTTTGTTTGGATTTGAAGGCGGAGTTTCGTATGAAGCTTGCGCTGCCTTCCTTTTGACTTCTCTCGTGTCACTTTTGATATCGAAGATTTCCTCTCCCTCCTACTGACTGTGCGGATCACGTTCCCAATGCGGCTTGTAGTGATATTTTCTAACGATTTCGATTGCGATGGTTCCCCCGAGGGAATAATAGAGGATGTATGTTCGTCTTTCCAAGAATCTTCATCTTCGTCTTTGCCGTCAAATATGGTTTCAAAAGGATTGTCTGTAGGTACAGTGGAAGGACTGTTTGTAGATAGAGCTGGTGGTCTTCCAACCGGGGTTTTAGATATGATTTGGTTTTTTGTATTCATGGCGAAATGGTGTCAAAAATTGTCAAAATTGTGGTATGTGAATTGGCTAAAAGCGTGAATGGTGCGAAATGTTCTATTTTATTGGTGGTAATGGTCGTCCTTGCTCTCCTTGGAACAAGTTGCAATTGATCGCTCCGGTTCAAGGAAGGTCGAAACATCAATTAATTATAAAAAGAAAGGTTTAGAACTTAGGCTCCAGCCATTTCATGGTCATGAATAACGAAAGATTGAAAATTACAGTGCCGACAATAACGATCGGACAATAGGAGAATTCAAACAATAGCTATTGAGGACTCAACAATAACCAAGAATGATAAACGAAAGTGAATGAATGTCCCACACCCCAACAAAAACAAAAAGCACAATAAGAAGTGAGGATGGATGAATCTGTAACAATACACGATAAAACTACACGCAGAAATGAATGTATGAGTAGATAGGAAATAGAAGATAGGGATAAAAAAGTAATGAAACGGGAGCGGAAGTGAAGATGTTTCCCATGAAATAGACCTACAGAATTGGCCATGAAGCACGACCTGGTAGACCTGCGATGCAAAGAATCCAGACCTTGAAGTACCGAAAATAGCAAACTTTTCTAATTCGCCCACAGTCGCAATGAGTGATAAAGCAGTCAGGATGGTAAATCATTTATTGACCAGTCGATTGAAGATTTTCATCGATTGCTGTAACCTTACGCGCCGACAAGAAAAGTTTGATTTGAATTGATTGGTCAATGCTGCCCTTGGGGAATTATTGCATATTGCATATACATATTGGATAACCTACGGTAAAGAGCTGATCATTGTTACGCAACATAATGATGTCTTGGATGACTCTAAAATCATTATCGAGATTTGTCGTATGTATGAAGATGGAGATGGAGAACGGTCATGATGATGTTTGAAGTGAAAAGTCTGAAGAATTCGCATGAGGATTGATAGGAGTGAGAAGTAATTGATTAGGTAAGAAAACACTCCACTATGTTACGTAGTAACAGTCAACCTGTCCATATGAGCTCAGACCCCGTGGAAAAGCAAACCGATTCGCATACAAAATTGTATAGTAATTGGTTCGTAGAGTCTCCCCACCTTCAGCAAGCACAGACATATAGTCTGATCCAAGTCACGTGATGGACCCTGCATATTCAGGGATACGAATCGTAGGTCCACAAACTCTCAGGATCCAAGAGATCCAATGGAGGACGAAGGTCTATATAAGCAGGATGGTTTCCTTTGTGTAGAGCTTCGTGCTCAAGATCAATCATTTAGTATACTTTACTATTAGTTACGAATTGCATATCATTATTGTCATTACTTTAAGTCCCTGCTTGACGCCTAGTTATAAACCACCTCGAGAGCCTAGAGCACTTCCACGTGATCTAGACGGCAAACCTCGTAATAGTATATATTCAAAAATGAAGGAATAAGGTTAGATATTCAGCCTTCGGAATTAAAGTGCTTTGAAATCAAAATATTGAAAGCAAACAAACAGTATACCAAAAAGGAAAGAATGAATTAAAAGTTGAGTTTTGTTTGCTCCTTATATGCATCATGCAATATATATGCATATGCTGCCAAGATCCCAGGAGGTCAACAAGAGTTGAGCAAGCAGATGCTCTACACCTTTTGCTTTGTTCTCTCAACTATTTGCTAGATCAACAACCTCCTCTATGTAATGTAAAATATCTTCGGATACCTCAGCTCCAGCAATATCTACTTACTCGGGTATTAGGAAAACTTCGCACACTATACAGGCTATGATGTTACGTGTTGTCTAGTAATGAAATGAAGTATATTCATCGAAGAATCTCTAAATAATTTCCTCATTATACACCATACCCATCTCCAATCATAGAATAGTTGGTAGAAAATACATTTTTTTACGTTGAGGATTGTGACTACGTTGCTTGCGGCGCTTACTTAGTCATTTAGACTGCATATCATCACATGACAGTACATGAGCCCTACTCCTTCTAATTCATGAAGCACATAATAGAGCTCGGCAATAAAACTTCGCTTCTGTCGAACAAAAGCTTTTATAACCTCGCTTGAGGCATTAAAGACCAAAGAACTATAATCGAGAGGGAAAATGGGAAGAGCATTATCTGAGATTAGAACTACACACAGCTTCTCATCGTCCGAGTATCGAAAATATCTCGAGGCCAAGAACTCGATATTATTTTAAGCGCTCGGCTTGGAACAATTCATTTTGCCCAAACGATCTACAGCAGGATCTTCAAGATTTGAAGAGTATTAACCACAATAGATTTGCCCAATTATTTGATTGACTGCTTGATCTAGCATTATAAAGTTTCACTCCAATCCACGATCCTCGAGCTCCCTCTACTTCCACAAAAAACATAATCATAACAAAGGGAATTATTGTTTGTGAACTAGCTGTTCTACTCCGATCACACTGTCCTCTGCAACCGACGCGATGCTTCAGCACAGGTTTCCAACAAGCTGAGCTTAATAAGCACGTTTGGGTATGGCAACCATGGAGATGATCTGCGGTCCATTGTAAGGTGGAGGAGGGACATCATAACGACTCCCCACCTTGAAGAAATTTCCGGGTGGCGTATCAACAACACTGCACAAGCTCTGAGCAGGCCAGAAGTTTGCTCCGTTTGACTTTCCGTTAGCAGCTAGGAAATTGAGGCAGGTTTCAAAATCATTTGTCCTCAATTCAGGGCCTTGTATGGCCCGGTATATGCCGTAGGATGTGGTGGTTAACCAAGGATATGTGTACACCATTACCGAACGCTGACAGTAAACTCTGAAGTTCTGCCCGTTGCGATTGACCACTTTCATGTTTGAAGCTGGGCAGGAGATGGCAGGAGGAGGAGGTGGTGGAGTAACGCAGGAAGGATTAGTGCCTGATAGAAGAGGGTGTGTTAGAAAACAAGAGGTTGTGTTAGAAAACAAGAGGTTGTGTTAGAAAACAAGAGGTTGTGTTAGAAAACAAGAGGTTGTGTGCAAGTAAATGGATCTAGAGAAGATAGCGAACGTACCGTCCCATTTAAAATTTTGCCCGGGAGGGCAGCAGCCTTGCTTTCCAGATGCTGATTGAACGTTATTGGGAGGCAGGCAGCACTCTGTAGCTCCAGTTTGAGCTTGCGTATACCTTTATTGCTCGGATTAGTTTTTAATCATTTTACTTGAAGACTACCTTGTAGCTCGCAAAACCAAGAAGGGATGAGAAACTTACTCGGTACCAAGACAAACTGTTTTGAAGTGTTAGAAAACTGTAAGTAGGAAGAACTTCGGTGAGGGGACGTACTGGATACAGCTGCAACTGTACACTCCCCTTGAAATACGCCTGAAGCATCGTTCTTAGGAACGTAATTTGGTCCTGCGGTTCTCTTGCAAAAGTCCTGAATTGGAGTAAGGTCAGATTATGCCATCTATAATACAAGTCTACAGGTCGATAGTTTAGAATGTGAAGAGAAGGGCTAACATACCGCGGGTGTCTCCTGCTGGCTAGTTTGAGCAAGTACGAAGCTTGCAATAGTGAAAACACCAAGTATGGAGAGTTTGAATGTCTTCATAGTGTGGCAGTAAAATGCGAGGTCGAATAGGATAGAATCAAAAGTAGAATTGAGAAGTCAATCAATGACCAAGGGAAGAACAATGTAAAAGTGTTTTCCTCAGAATATTTGGCTGATATGATATATGGACAGGGTGATTCCTTTAGCATTATAAAAATGTATCACGACCCCCATTCTCTGTGTCCTGCATCAACAAGCTGGAACGAGAACACTAACGCCGTGACGCCGTAATGAAGTGTCACTCTCTCCTCACTTGAAGTGGCTAGCTTGACACATTGGCTTGAATCTCTCAGGAAGCATAATTCAAAACCCCTGCTTTCGATAAACAACTCGACATTCCTATCATATTGACTCTCGACCTCGCCGACCGTGAAACGCCATCCGCAAGTCCAGCCTAAACGTACCTGCTCTGGCGTAACAGTTGTATCGTATACGTAGCTGCTGGCACAGCTCCACCATGTTATGTTCTACTTGCACTCAATCCCTATGTCTTAGATGAAGCTAATCTAATACTTCGGCGCATGTTATGCCAGTCGCTCGTAGCTGAAGATCCTCTTTTGGAATGATCGACATGGTATATTAGTACAGATCTAAACGGGTTCGACCGATCACAAGCACGTAACATCCAGCGCCACGTAAACAGGGGTTCCGCTGAACTACGCACAAGTCTGGGACCCCAGTATCGTACTAGCACACGCACACAAAATGCCATGCATGATCTGTTGTACAAAGATCGTCGTGTCCTCGGGAATTCCTTGGTGCACCAGTGCACAGCCTGAGACATAAAATTTATCACATATCTACTGCTGCATGTAATACCCGAAAGCGGGAGAAACAGAATAAATGTGTAGCTGAAACTTCAACAAAATGAAATTTTTACGCTGGAATCGGAAGCGAGGCGCTATGTAAGGGGTAATTTAGCGTTGTCTTCTGTTGGGATTCGGAGCGTTTAGGTCTTGAATAATGACATAGTTGATTTCGAATCGTGGTTGAAATGATAGAAATATGCATGAAATGGTCAGCGGATGGATAGCTTGAGCTCGGCGTTTCTACGAAAATCCCTACGTGCGGAAGGTTGGAATGAGGCGTTTGTTGTCTTGGGAGCGAGGCTTTTTTTTCTTTCGAAGCGAGATCTCGTGATATTCTAATTTTCACCTCACCTCTTTACCCCCAAATCCTAGATTTACAAAGATTTAGCTTCGGATTCTTTAGTTCATAATGACACACTGTAATAGTAATTTCGTGGGAATGGTATATCGTTCTATTCGGGTTCAAAAGTGTTGTCATTGAAAATTGAGCCTGAAGTAACACTTGATCTCCCGCCCCCATAACATGATTGCAACCCCCTATTCCCGTCAACCCCGTCAACCCCATCATCCCCACTTTGGAAAAAGGTTTCCATGAGCTAGGAAGTATCTGCTAATGCCCTTTTTACTAAGTCCTCTTTGTAGTAGGGATAGCACACAAGAAATCTCCTCCAGCAGGTGCTGCACCCTTTGGAGGACTGTCCCAGACGCTCGCCCATACGCAATTATCAGTGGGATTTCCATCATCATAGTAATTAATTCCCTGGCACGTGGGACTAGCTTTTGCAGCTACATTGCACGAATTAGTATTTCCTCGCTCTAGAGTGTTCCAGATCTCATCATGTCAATAATACTAGGGAAGGAGTAGAACTCACAACACTGCTCCATACACTCCTTAAAATCCTTTGCACTTGATACCCCCAAGTTCGGATTAGCTGCTGAGTGCCCTAATGTGCAGTACACCTTATACTCTATACCCCCAACAGTGGTAGTCTTGCCATCTGCACCAGGGCACTTATCGGGGAAAGGATCAGCTGGTTTGGGGCTAACGCTAGGACATGCCGGACATTGAGTAGTCGTCGGTTCTTCAACGAGATGAGCACTATCATAGCCATCAGCTGTAACTGGTACATCCTTGTTACCGTGGGTTCGTAAATAGCAGATTTTAGAAGATGGAGCGTAGATTGCGCGCACGCAATTGGCGATCCCAGAGCAGCGGGTCATGCAGTCGCCCATAGTATCTGCGGGAGCTTGGCCTAAATCATTTGTTCCATGGTTGACTAGGGATTTTGTCAGCACTGCACTGAATGTCTGCATAGATAAAGGACTACTAACTCAGATTACAGTAGAGAATATACTTTTTGCCCCCAGCTGTGAAGGTCTTTCTATCGCCCTTGGGGCAAGTAGGATTTGGATTTGGCCTGTGTTTGATTTTAGTACGAACACCGTACATCCTACACCCGGTATTCTCTGGAATGAAAACTTACTTGCAAGAACAATCACAAGTATAAACGTCGTCCGCATTGTTGCAGCAGCTTCCGGTCATGGTCTTCAAATCCACATGATAGGATTTACCAGCATCACAACAGTTTCCTTTGTTTGCCATAGCGTCGAACGAATACACAGCTGGGGCAACGCAACATGCTCCCTCGGCTTTGTTCACAGGATCAACGCTGAAAGTTCCCTAGAAATTCTATATTAAACTCATGACATAGGAACTCAGCCGAAATTACCCACTTTATCTTTGCCGCAACAGCCGTCCTTACCTGACTTAGGGTCTCGGTATGGACCCCAATAACAGCTCGTAATAGGAGGAGCAACACATTGTCCAGTGGGTTCTAAAAACCAAATAAGTACCGAGCTATCAAACAGTCTAGAAAGAGCATACTGCCAGCTGCGTCGAACTGCATAGCTACAAATTTCGTCAGAGAGAGCAAAGAATTTGGGCTATGTCATTAACTCACAAAATTGCGGTCCGGCCTCTGCTGAGAATTAGCAAATTAATTCATCAAAAGCTTCAGAAGACAATCTTACTTTGCTTGCACACTGCGTCCCATTTAGCTTTGTCTGCCTGCGCAAAGACCTGGACTGTTAGGATAGTAAGAGGAAGCAAGAGCTTCCCAAATTTTTGAATCAACATGTTGAGATGGAATATTCAGTCTGTGATGCCAAATTGCTAATAAAATTGACTGTAGTTTTGGAAAGGAAAGAGAATATGTCAAAGGTAACTCTCAAGAGACGGTCATGGAAGTCTATACATTGATAGGAAGAGAGGTTCCCCGGTCAAAGCTCTAAAAACGGCTACTACCAATGCAAGTCTCGAAATTTAGAACGGGAAGTTGTGTAACTCAATTGTCGGGATTCCTGTGAATCATTGATTAAGATTGCAATTTGGAAAGTTCCGGAGAGACCCCAATTGTGGATAGCTGAAGACACAAGTGGTAGTGAGTATGTTTTACTATACGACAGGCATGTAGCTTCTCCTAAAGTTGTTCAGATCAACATTCCGTGAAAGTGAGGTAAATTTGACGTGTTGACTGAAATCAAAAAAACGGTGTGACTGATCAACGTATGCTGTGCTACTCCTTACTCTAATTATGTTGTCAAATATTGACTCTGATGTGCGTATGTATCGGTGGTACTATTCTACTATGTATTGCATACCATTCATTCACACAATGAGGCGTACCTGAAATAACCTTGTTGTGTCACTCAGCTGTGTATTTTGTGCTAGTGTTTGGCTGGCTGAATCTGTCTCAGAATGATGCAGAAGTACAATGCGGGGTGGTGATACCCGAAAAATGACAAGTTTCATCGGAGAATACATTTGTGTCTAGCGAAAATAGGAAGATAATACAGACATATATTGGATCAGTGCTTGCTAGGGGTCCGAAAAACGAATGTATCTATTCTCAGAAGAGCTGAGACCCACGTCCCATTCTCGTTGTCATATGAACAAGTCGAGGACTCTTCCTCTTTGAACTTCCATCAAGTCTATCTTTAAAGGAGTGATATATTCGCCGTTCTGCTCTTACCACTTGCTTTAATTCATACCTTAAAACAATCATGATGGGCCTCACCCGAAGCACCCTCGTTGCTCTCTTTTCCCTTTCCCTCCTCCTCCAACCAATTGCAAACGCTCAAGAACAGGCTCAAGGTCGACCTGGTGCTTCCGCTCAAGCTCCAGCGGCAGGTAGACCCGGCGCTTCTTCTTCCGATCAAGTACCAGTCCAGGCGTCAGCTTCAAGTCAGGCTCCTGCTGCTGGTCGACCTGGTGCATCAAGTGCTCCCACGACTGATCCCGCTCAAACCCGCCCAAAGGTCTATTCCTGCCCTGCCGACAATGGAGCATTATATACAACGGCAAATGGAGTCACCTTTCAGCTTAAGTGCGACCACGGAACTTTAGCTAAACATCTTGATAATACCATTACGAACTCGCAAAAAGATTGCGCGGACTACTGCAGCACCCTGCCCAACTGTCAGAGTGCGGATTTTAATGCCCAAAATAAAGTTTGTGCGACAAAGCAGGAGGTTTGTATCCTACCTCTTATTCGAGTCTGACCCGATTCGCTAACTTCAGCAGTATATACCAGTAAGTATTGCTAAGCGAGAACGAGAACTTTTCTTTCGCCTGCTTTCCACTGACAAGTGAAGACTTTTCCTCTTCCAGGAACTCACACGTGGTTTCCTCTCGAAGAGCGAAGCCAGCGCCCCGAAACAGAGTACCGCACTCCTCCGGATTGTCCCGCATCTAAAGTACCCATTTCTGAAAGTGTGACAGCCAGCACACTTATGACAACTGATGGCGAATGTCCAACCAGTAAGATCATCTTCAACTTTATAGACAATATACCTCTTATTGACAACTTCAGATGACGGAAAGATTTTCTTGACTCCTCAGGGAACGTACTTCCAAGTCAAGTGTGCTTCGCAAAATACAGCTCAAGTTACGCTTCCCGACAGCAGACCACTTCATGATTTTGCAGAATGCATGACTGCTTGTGCAGATAATCCCGAATGCAAGAGGTAAGAATAGGTAAATGGATCTACAAGGAAATTACTGACCCGAATAGTGTAACTTTCGCTGGCGGAAAACCCAACTGGGAATGTAAAATGTTTGAAAGTGGTGTGGAAACATTGGCCGCAGACGCTACAAGTTGTTACCATCTATACCTTCATTTGATTAAGTAGTATCTAATTATGCTTTACAGAAAACAAAGCCTCAGCAGTCGTTATTGACCCACCAACCTCCGCAAAGAAGGACGACTTGACATATCTCTGCTCAACTGAATGTCCAAATGCTGACGGACAAACGTGGGATTCTCCAACGGGACAAGTGAGCATCCAAGGATGAAAGCATAAGTTCAAAGCTGTGACTAATTGTTGACTAGAAATTCCGCATGTCCTGCTGCACGCGTCATGGTATTACCCCTATAGGGGATACCCAAGCAGGCTCTTTGCAAGAATGTATGAAGATGTGTAGTTTTATATTGGCGTGTACTTCAATCGACTTTCAAAAAGATACGGGAAAATGCTATTTTGGAAAACATTCCGGCGCGCCAACTATTGCAGCATCTGGATGGGCGTCTGCTTATGCAGTTGGGTGTTCTGGAGCTTGCAAGAAGGAGGGATGCTGTTCTGGTGCTTGAAGTTGGAATTGGGTCTGATCACCATAGAACGTGATATCTATCACGTGCTTCACCAAACCTTTCTCTTAGCACGTGATTTTCACCTATTTAGCATGTGGGCCTAAGGAACATCTCTTTCCATCGGTTTTTTCTATATTTTATTGACTTCCATCTCGTTCAATCTGAATTGGTTTGTACGTGATTGTGAAATTACTGTAGAATAACCAAGATCCAAAGTCATAGAGGCCGCTGAGATAGATTCTGCCTATCATACATTTAAGAAGGCCACATTCATTTCGATTTTGTAGACTCTGATATCTGGATATGAAAGGTCGGCCCACCACTACTTTGTACTACTAAAATTAAACGAATGTGAGAATATATGTTACTTTGAAGCAGTTCTAACCAGAACTCGACTGTTTTTATTTGGAGTGTTACACCGCATCATTACCCAAAATGAAGACAGTTTCATGCAGACTGGCATCTACTCGAGTATAATGTTCGTGTTTTTCTGGGTACACAAAGGGGTGGCTGCTGTTGTTTTATTCGGCTCAAGATCTATTATCACATCATTTCTTTCCTCATCATCATCGATCGTATACTCTGTATATGTGTTCCTCTGTATATTTCCATAATTTAAGGTTTAACCTTTTAAGGAGAGGAATAAGGTTAAGTAGGAGGCACAATGATAATGATAAGAAATTAGAAATCGCTATCGGATCCCTACTTAGTTCAACTACTCCGTATGTACTATCAAGCTATTAATGCGCAATATGTTTACCCCTATCACGGAAGCGTAATTACACAAGTTGAATTAATTTCAGATTTTGATAGTTTCATTAATATAAATGGAGAAAAGATCCAGGAACAGAGAAAAGATTAATAACCTTAAAATACCTTTGCTGTCTTCTCCTTCTTCTCCTCTCCTCATCTAGACCGGTACTACTCTGAAAGTCTTATTACTCTTACTCGTACCCATCCATACATATACATTTACCAACATATACCTATACACATATTTACCTACATATACATATACATACACATATTATACTCAATTTCAATCATTAGATGACACTATCAACAAATTAATCTTCCATTCAACAAAACGCTCAAACCAATAGTTCTTGAGAAAAAAATAGAATTAACAAAAGTTACACCTCCTCTTCTTATCTATACACGAGAACACGAAAACACGAGAAAGGGAACGCCAAGAACCTCAGGACACTTTGCATTCAACCAAACGAACTCAATTCTTGGGGCCGCCATTCAAAAATCGGAAAGTTCAAGTAGGTAGACGGTAAATACGAGTTCCCGGTGGTAGAAGCCTCTTTAAATTTTATTTATTTACTTTACGACTTTTTTGTCCTCTTCGTCAAGCTGGCGTCCTCCGGTCTTTCTTCTTTGAAATCCTCCCACCAACATCATCGAAAACGGTCATCAATACACATAAAGACAGGAATTGAGTCTGAAGAACGAATTTCATCCCATTCATCCACCCGGGTGTTATCACCTATACCTGGTACTCCAATTGGTTCAATGTCATTGTCGCGAAGTCCATCTCCAAAACCTGGAGGAGGATGGGCGAGTCCAGGTCTTTCAAGCCCTTATGCAAACGTCAGTGGAAGATCTAGTCCGAGTAAAATGCAAAGAGGAGGTGGCAATGGAAGTTCGGTGACTTGGGAATCTGCGAGAGCAAAGAGTGAGGAAGTCAATGGTTATCCTTCATTTTCGACCAAAAACAATGGTTTCTTTAATCGACACATGAGAAATATTTCCAACAGTCTGCCCCATTTTCACATGGGAGAAAACACGAGTTATGCAGAAAAAGAGAAACTTGGGCGCGGACGATGGCTAGGATCCTCGAAATTGGCACGAATAAGAAATAATCTCGCGAGAGTCAGTCGAAAAATGAGGATGCGATTTATGATTGTTTTAGGTTTTGTAATGATGATAGTTCTCTTCTACTCTACACGTAAGTCAAATTTTGGGCAGGAAGACAACAAGCAATTCTAACTTCAAGATAGCTTTACATTACTGGTGGCGCCGAGCAGCACATCTTGGAGGAGGTAAAAAGTTCGTTATAATACTGGCAGCAAATCAAGGAGGTGGAGTTATGGAGTGGAAAGGACCCAGGGAATGGGCAATCGAGCGAGATAGTGTACGCAACAAACGAAAGTACGCAAACAAATGGGGTTATGAATTGGAGATTGTCGACATGAGCACCAAGAAAAGATATGCGCACGAATGGAGAGAGAGTTGGGAAAAGGTTGACACTATCCGAAATGCTCTGAGAAAATACCCGCAAGCTGAATGGTAATTTGAATTCCCATCTGCAACGACTGATGCTTGCAAGCTAACATCACACAGGTTCTGGTGGCTCGACCTCAATACTTTTATAATGGAACCATCCTACTCTCTACAATCCCACATCTTTAACGGCTTAGCGAAAAATACCTACCGCGATATCAACGAATATAACCCACTCAACATAACGCACCCTCTCCAATCTCCCTACCTCGATGCCAAATCTCGCAGCATAGTCGGAGACGGCAAAGCGAGCTCCATAAATCTCATAGTCCCCCAAGACTGTTCCGGTTTCAATCTTGGTTCTTTCTTCGTTAAACGCAGCGCATGGACCGATCGTCTTCTGGATGTATGGTGGGATCCTGTCGGTTATGAACAAAAACACATGGAATGGGAACACAAGGAACAAGACGCGCTTGAATTCTTGTATATCAATCAACCTTGGATTCGTCCACATACTGCATTTATCCCTCAGCGCAAGATCAACAGTTTCCCACCTGGAGCATGCTCGGATAATGGAAATGATACGCGCATTCATTATGATGAACATGATCGGGATTTCCTAGTAAACATGGCGGGATGTGAATGGGGCCGAGACTGTTGGGGCGAGATGTACAACTATAGAGAGTTGAGTAATTTCTTGAACAGGACTTGGTGGGAAAGGTTCAAGGAGGATTTGGTGATCAAGGCATGGCAAAAGATTGCTCCAAAGAAAAAGTCAAAGGACTCGAAGGAATCAAACGAATCGAAGCAGTCATGATTGAACTTATTAGACGGCAGTATAATTGGCGAATGAATGAATATAAGTGGGGATGAAAGAGATCTCCCTATCACGGTTACGAAAACGAAAGGACAAGTCACCATTTTCTCTGGATATACTATATTGTCTTTACTTCATGAGGAGATGCAAATCACAACGTTAATGAGAGTGTTTGTAACTCAACTACCGCTATCCACCTTTCTGTGGCTAGGAAATTGGCGTCTGGTTATCATTTCTCTTTTATAGATTTTGCTGGGTTATGTTTTTAGTTGTTTTTCTTTTTCAACCGGACTTCATCGTTGTTTATAAAACGATGCAAAGTTCGAACAGCGAGGAGCGATGCGAGAGTGAGGGTGAGTATGAATTCGAGAGAGGAAAAGGGGTTTCTGTTTATATGTCTAGTAGAAACGAGCGAATAGTATACCTGGTACATATATATGGTCTTGTCTCTGTTGATGGTGATGGTGATGGTGAAGATGAGAGATGATTGATAGAATAGCAACTTGAAGAAGTATAGACATCTTAGAGTAGGTATACTAAGATTAGATATCTAGATTTATTGTTACGACGGGCTACACAACTACCAAGACACGTGATCATGAAGGATCACCAGTAATCATAGAAGCATGAAGGACTATATAATCAAGATGGATTTCCTTTGTATAGAGCTTCGTGCTCAAGACCAATCATTTAGTATACTCTACTATTAGTTACGAATTGCATATCATCATTGTCATTACTTTAAGTCCCTGCTTGACGCCTAGTTATAAACCACCTCGAGAGCCTAGAGCACTTCCACGTGATCTAGACGGCAAACCTCGTAACAATAATATAGATGAATAGATAATAATTTAAAAACAAATCAAAGGAAACTTGAGGCGAGCTCGATTCATTACGTCATCACCAAATTTCTATCTGGTGAAATTCGCGCTCCATATTCTCACAAACACAAGCCTCACGAAAGATAAACAAGTTCGTTAGCCCCGACCCCAATATCAGAATTGCTATGCGATCATCAATATTACCACGGAGCCTTATGCGCTCATGCAGAACGGCCTCCAGACAACCTATCAGCGTTCGCCACACAGCCATAGTTTGTCAAATCTGCCATCAGCAAACCAAACCTCTTTTCCAATTACCTACAATCTCCTCCCGCAGAAACGCATCCTCATCTACGAATACCCCATCACCTACCTCTCCAGACAAAACAACCACCCCCGCCACCTCCCCTCCACAAACCCACTACGATCTTTTCCCCCTCACTCTTCCCCGCGGTCCGCCACCCTCGGGCCCATTCCACATCGACATTCGCGCGCTTCGCAACGAATTTCTCCGTCTACAAGCAGGCGCCCATCCAGACGTACATTCCTCATCTAACAAATCACGCGCTGAAGCCACGAGCGCCCTCATCAATGAAGCATACAAAACTTTACAATCGCCTTTACAACGGGCGCAATATTTGTTGGGACTACAGGGTATAGATGTTCATGATGAGAGTGGGAAGACGGGGGCAGAAGAGGGGGATAAGGAGTTATTAATGGAGGTTTTGGAGACGAGGGAGGAGATGGAGGAGGTACAGGAGGAGGGGGATTTAGATGCTTTGAAGGTTAGGAATGAGGAGAGGATTGCTAATTGTGAGGATATGGTGGGGAAGGCTTTGGAGAGTGGGGATTTGGATACTGCGAGGAGGGAAACGGTTAGGTTGAGGTATTGGGTTAATGTTAGGGATAGCTTGCATGCGTGGGAGAAGGGGAAGCCGGTTGTTATGGTGCATTGAGGGGTTTGAGGAAATGGATGGTGTGAATAGAGGTCGGGAGTTTTTAGGGAAAACGGAGATTATTTTTGGTTACGACTTTGGCACGAAAATGAGCAGTAATACCTCCATTGATTTCACCCAAACTCGCACAATACACGGAGCATCCAGAATGGTCTTGGATCTACTCTGAGACCACCATTCCAGTGGCGATCGAGGCTATCGAAGTCGAGCACATTCAGCATAGTGCAGTGAAACCAAATACGTTTTTACACTCCTCTCAAGTACATGTTATTATATGGTTGCAGTATTCAGAAAGGGAATGGCTGCGTGAAGCTGGCAACAGGTCTGGATGATAATATTACACGACCACACCAAAAAACTAGAAACGGATATTAAAGGTAGAAGGAATATTGGAAGGCCGCGACCAAAATTTTAGATATACCCGGCCTGAGCATTCAATACGACCAGTTTTGCATTTCCATATTGTATAATATGAATCTCTTCTACACAGATATAACCGCGATCCGGTGTCGTCTATTTGTTTCTTTTGCGCGTGGATGAATTGGCGGCTTTGAAATAAGTAATCTCTGCAGTGATGCAATCATCTCCAAGCTATCTTCAACTGAATGAAGAGCCAGGACTAATTATGGAAGTTCGGCATCAAGCCGTTCTCTAGCCATCATATAGCGTATTGAAGTAAATATCGAGGCGATTTGTGGATCTAACCGATCGATAGACTTTCGTCCTATCTAGCCATGTAATGGTGCTTATTAGTGTGGTTTTTTATATCCCCCTTTTTCATGAATTCATCTGGTATTGCCAAGTCGGTTGACTCGCTTGATATGTCGTTTGATAGGGACGCTGATGTTGAGTTTGTGGCAAAAGTTCGACAGCTTGATTAATAGCGTCAAGCGATTGATTGAGTCTTTCCACCATCGTATTAGGCTCCAACGACGGCGCCAGCTCATATTGATTTGGTGCTGGAGCCGCATGTGAATTTCCATTGCCGTTAGTCATAATCATATCTTTCTGCTCCTGCTCCTGTTCCTGCATTGCGGCTATTCCTAGAGATTGCAATCCTTGTAACCTCTCAGATCCTTGCGACCTGTCTTCTGAATTCGTATTCCTGTTTCCATCCTCCACTGTTTGACCAGTTTCATCCTCACCCAAAGCTCTCTCCCTCACCGCCGCAATACCTAACCTATCCACCAACTCTCCCCTTCCCGTCCCCTGCAAATCCACCATCCCCACACTTTCCTTCTCAACATATAGTCTCGAACCCGCATACATCCTATTACTAACCCTATGCGGAATTTTCCACACACGAATCAACCTACAAACCGTACTCTGACCATACTTAATTCCCCATTTCTCCTCCATCAACCTAGTAATCTCCGCCTGTTTCATCTCCGGATGAAGCACACATAATTGCGTCAACCATTCCTTAATCTCTTCTTCCCTACCCCCATAACGAAATTTCGGACCTTGCTTTTTCCCCCGTTCATCAATCCCCGTATCGCGAATCTTTTCCTGGCGTTTCCGGATGCGGATTATGGTTGTGGGTGTGGTGTTGAAGATGTGCGCGATGGATTTTAGGTCGACCGGTCGGGATACTTCCCATGCACATTCGATGGCTACTTCTATGGCTTGAACGACGTGTTTTGGGAGAGGTGGTGCCATGGTTGTAACTTTTATGGGTGATTATTTGTGCGTGGGCTGGAATATCGCACATTTATGGTGGATATCGTTGAGAAAGGAAGCTGGTAATGCATATGATGGGGCCCCGGACGCGCCGGTAGTTCTAACTAGCGCATTGTGGGGAAATTCTGGTCTAGCCAAATAAAGTCTTATTCTCGATGACTAATAACATCTAGAACTCTCACCACAAAACATCAAGCCCCTGAATATTACTGCTTGTATAGGAGATATATCAAATTGTCAATATATGAATCAACCTGTGTGAAACCTTACTGCTTTTCTCACACCCAGAAAAAGTCTAGTCCAATACCGGTAGACATAAGGTAATTGGCTACCACTAGCTTTAGCTTGATCATGAAGTGCAGGACATAATGAGCCAATGAATCACAAGGAGGAACTGCTTCTAAATTTGTTGCATATCTAGGCGTTTTCTTTTTGAGCCATGTTCCCTACAAGTATGCTGGCTAGTTGCGATAGCTTGGAGTCTAGTATCTTCACTAAAGTAGAAGTCTACTATGTGATGATCATTTAGTCATGCAGAGTCTAAAGTTAGAGTGACAAGTTAGAATTTGCCGTTGGATATAGTAGTAGCGAATGTACTCGCTAGTTTTTTCAGTTACAGATGTTCTCAGAAATGACCTTTTTTCGGTTACACGTCACGGAAAAAGCGATCAGTAAAGTCGAAATTCGCCCATTAGCGATGATTGTTTTGATCTTTGGTACAGCTGCGCAGCGCGTTACTGGATTCTGTAATAGAACTCGCCGCTACCTCCAACTAGCGCTTCTGAGTAATTTAAGCTTCATGATTTTCATTTGTTTTCAGATGCAGCGAAGGAGAAGGTCCTGCCTAGATATTTCGTCCTAGGAATAGAACATTTGTAAGATTACAACAGGCTGCAGACTATTGTTCTTTGAATACTCTGTTTTATAAGTGCAATTTGCGCGACAAGCAAAAAGCCCATTTTTAACATTCAAAAACAGACCTCAATGTGTGATCCTTTAAATTTGACTTGAAAGGAAATGAAAGTTCCGGTGTTTGCTGAACAAGGCTTGATAATCAGTATCGTTCATACCGTTTCTCTGTTCAGAACACCCCATTCATTTTAACTCAATTTACTAAACTTTCCAGCTTCCTTTCAATCACTTTCATCTAACTCTTTCCGCCTCCCCCTTTCTCGCTCTTGAACTCGCCCCAAAAAGAACATCCATACCAAAAACCGCCCAAGCAACAGTCCCTCTCCCCAAGATATTTTTTTTATTTTTTATTTTTTTTCTCAAAAAGACCACCTGCCTACGATCTGTGAAAGGCTTATCGCTGTCCTTGATTGTTATTAAAACTACGTGGAAGCAACTGGTGCGAGTCTTAAGCCACTACTAGTGGAGCTTCGACGTAAGTTAGAAAAGTGTTTATTGATTTAGTTGTGTTTCTTATGCTTAACCCCAGAAATCCAAGCCGCAAACTTGGCAGTCTCTCTGGAATAATGCAAGGAACTTGTCATCCTAATGCACTTCAATTATTCCGTGTAAACGATCAGATTCACACGAAGTATAGCCCTTGAGCCTCGCTATATAGATAAAAAATTTAGATAGGGCACTTTTCTAATGCAACTTTCTAAGCAGGATGAAAGACTCTTTAACCAAGAAGACCGAGATTTTAGAAGCATGTGTCTCTCCCCTCCGCAGTGACTGCCGTCATCTAACATCTACATTTTCCTATTCTGACCTGCGCACCGCCTCTTTAATTCATATTGGCCGCTGAACATTTCAAATTCATGCCCAACTTCGTCAATTAGGAATCAATATTTAAGAAACTCATCCCAGTAATGTTCTTGTTTGTGTCACAGGATTCCACACCATCAACATTCCTCCGATCTCTATCATCAAGCATAGGAAATGTTCCAAAAGTAAGCTGAGTCCAAAACCAAAGAGTTATCTTTCTGTCTCAGCTGAGGACTTCTCAAACATTTCCATAATGCTAGATTATATCAACTTCTGTGTCAGGCCCCGAGCCATACTGAGGATTCTTGCAAGAAAAATCATCTATCACGGATAGCCACAAATTTCAAAAAGAAGATTGTGTACCCACGAAAATTGAAAGAGAGAGTGAAAAATTGTTTCAAGAAGCCCAGTTAAATGAACACAGAGGCTGGGGAAATCGCTGAAGGTTGATAACATTACCGGTCTACGGAAAGGAATTTGCATACTCAGAAGGCATTATCCAAGTATTTTAGATCATTATGGAATATTGTAAATAATTGGGAATTTGTTGTTTCTTGTTAGATTTTTTTGAGTGGTACATGGAATGTTTTTCTAAAGGATGCTAGAACCGAGACCAGATATATGGAGCTTAATGCAGGAGAAAAGAGTAATCCCAAAGGATATCATGGAAGTAGATCCAGTATGATATACCAAGCAAGTTATTCAAGTTCCAGCATCCCTACTCTCTATTTTGTAGATTTCAAACACTGGGATAGATTAACGCTATAACTAGCGAGTTTATGCCATCCATATGGAAATAAAAGGAGATTCTATTCTTCTTCGGGATGGGCATACTGATATGAACTCCAATTAACACTAACGACGGGTCTATCTACCTGGAGAACCGAGATTCATATAAGATTACATCCTTGGACTCACATCCACATTTTCACTTACCCATAAATGCCATTATCAACCCTCTCATTTTTTTTAAAAAAAATCGGACGTCATCTCATTTCAATACAAAAACCCACTTCAGACTGTAAAAATGAATGTCCAATAATCAACACTAGGCTGAATTTGAATAATCCGATCAGTTAATGAAATTGATAGATGAGCTGGTGAGATTAAGTATCGACTAAAAGATTAGAAATTAGAAATTAGACTAGACGGAGTAAATTCAGGACTTTATCTATTGTATGGATGATTAAGAGGGGAAAGGGGGGTTTAGCGAGAGAAGAGAAAGAAAAGAATAGAGGAATGGGGGAAGAAGAGACAACAAGAAGAAAGATTCCAATTAGAATAATTAAATAATACAGTTAAGTACATAGATGATTATCTCTTTACTGTACACTATCATCGTGTATAATCCTCTAGGAAATTATATATCAAATTAATATACTTCATTCATCCCGAACTTAAATCAATCACCATATAAACAAGAATGGAAATAAGGAAGAATAATAAAAAAGAAAGAGAAAAACAACCTCAGTCATTTAAACGAAAACTAATCTCACATCAATACACATCTCACGACAATACATACACACAATTAAAATAAAACTTCTCAATGATCTTCCAATTTTCTCTAAAAGTAAATAAATCGAACCGAAGCTAAAGCTAAACGAAGTTGGTATATCCTACAAACTCCAAGAAACGTAACGATGAGAAAAGAGAAGAAAACCCAAGACGCCATTCGCCATTATTTTCCTATCCGGGTGCAATTATACAATCCTTTAAACACATTAATTACCACTTGATCTCCTTTTCTATGACAAAATCTGTCTTTGAGTCTTTGAGTATGGTAATTGGCATGACAGTGAACGCCTGAAACCTTCCATCCAACCAATCGTCCATCCAACCCACTAATCCCTTCAGCTTACATTAATCATCGTGATCCATTCCAGTCGTATTTCCAACATTTTCACTAAACATTATGCTCCACCCCTTTGCTCCGCCTTTCGCAAACTTGCAAAATAGCCCTTGGGCCACGAAGTCAAAAGTTCTCCCTCACTAGGTACCCTCCCAAGAGTCTCGCATTTTTGTATCACATTTTGCAAAATTCTGCCTAGCAACTCTTCAGTCATGGGAAAGTGCTTGTCCATATCAATCTCCAACGGATACAGAAATGTATCATCATCCCCTAGTAATTCTTCCACAGATGGTCTCTTATGCTGATCTCTGTTCAAGCAGTTCTTAAGTGTTCGGATAAGAGAGCTGGGGACCAGAACACCGCCTACCCCATATGTTGGATATTCGATTTCATAGCTGAAGTTTATGATTGCTTGGCAGCGCTGTAGCTGGTTTTGGATATGACCAAATGGGGCACGACCGTAGGTCATTTGATACAGTATACAACCCAAACTCCAAATATCGGATGGTTTTCCCAGTTTCATGAGTTTTGGTTCATTGCGATTTTTCCCATCAGAAGCATTGGAGTCCATGAGTGATTCGGGAGACATGTAGTTTGGAGTGCCGATTTGTGTTTCACGGTGAACGTTCACAGTTTCTTCAGTTTGGATTGCGTTGGCGATACCAAAATCTATGAGCTTCAGACGACCTTGAACAAGAACAAAATTGTGAGGTTTGAGATCAGAGTGGACTATGTCATAAGCGTGAACGGCTTGAAGACACTCGAGCATTTCTTTCCAGTAATAGCGCACGAAATTGATATCCAGCTTGGCTTGTTCAGATTTCATGCGTAGGTTAAGGATAGTGTTCATATCCAATTCACCCATCTCCATAAGCTAAGTAAAAAGTTAGCTGATTTTTTGCATGACGGAATGTAAAGAATATATAACCTACCACACTAAGTGTCCCTCTCTCGTCATTTAGCTCGTAGTCATATAAATGAATCACTCTTTCAACCGAGCCCAATTTCTTCAATAAATCAATTTCACCCTTGAAACCACGTATAGCCGATTCATCAGCATCTTCCAAGGAGACGCGCTTCAATGCAAATATCTTCGAGTTCTCTGCCATAACTCGGTAAACTTTTGAGCTACCTCCACGTCCAATAACATCGAGGCGTGTGAATATTTTGCCATTGACCTTCAGCCTGTTTCTCCGGTTATTGGCGTGCGATGTAGTGGCAGCGCCAGCAGTACTAGTAGCTGCTTCTAATACGGACATCTTAGGTGGTGGTGGAGCAGGTCTTTGAGGAGTATTCTGACTCCGGACAGCCAGAGGTCGTCTTTCAGGAGACCCACTAGCACGTACAGAGTTCTTGTCGAAGCTTTCTGGTCGGCGATATTTATCTGCGCTATTCGTCTGTATCAAAGGTTGCTTGCTTCGCTTGAAAGTTGGTGGCGCTTCATTCTCTTGATCGTGAGTCACAGGAAGACCTGAACGTGGAGCTGGTATCTTGAATACAGGATGTTGTTGTTGCGACGCGGAGGGAATTGAGCGAGGGTCAGATGTCCGAGAGCTTGATAAAGTTGGTGGTGGAGACGTAGAACGCAAGACGGAATTCAGAAAGCCATTCGAGCTAGGAGGACTTCCTGAAGCAGCAAAATCTCTAAACGACGAGACTGGAGCTCTTCTAGCTACTTCTATTTCCGGAGTGGGGCTTTTATTCTGGCTTTCCCGCTGCTCGTATTGCGATTCCTGGCTTTGAGGCTCCTGATTAGATCCAATATCGTTGCTGTTTGCGTTTTCCTCCATTGGGCTGTGTTCTTCATCTGACTGAGATATCCGCGGTCGTCCTCTCCGAGCTGGGCCTCTCATAAATGTACCAAATACTTTAGGGACTGCACTTCTTTTGACTCTCATTGAACTCTGCAATCCTATCTCTTCACCATACCTCGAACGACTAACAGTAGAGGGGTTATACCTCGATACACTTCCCTGGTTCGCAGCTAAATGTGATCTTGTAACCGTCGAAGGATATTCTTGTGGTCCATCATTCTCATACACATCCTCCTGCTGTGGCGACTCTGGTCTGCCAGACCTTCTCCCAGAAGATCCAATTGAAGATCTCCCGATAGATACCCGTACGGTCCTTGGTACTGGTGCCGGTGTGCTAAGATCTAATGCGCCCTCCCCCGCTTTTGGTGCCGCTTGCTGTTCATTGTGTTTTTGGACCGCACTGGACAATGAAGCCCCTCTTCGTAAAGTTGAGGAGCCAGGCGTACCACTCAATCGCACAACTCGTCGCGGATAGGTGGGACTATGTTCATTGCTTCCTATCGGCGATTGGTTCTGTCTAGTAGATGTTCCTAATATACCCGCACTTTCCGCTCTTGTGTGTGATGTATGAGACGGCTCGGGTGTCGTACGAGTAGAAGGTTCCATAATTGAAGCCTCATCGTTAAGTAAAGCTTTCGTTAAGGCACTCAACTTCATTGGCATGGGGATTTCGTCATCGGAGCTGTCGTTGAGTGAATAATGTCGAGCTGTTTCTACATCAGGTCTTGTAGAAGATGGTCGACTGAGAGGTTGTTTATATGCATTTCGTGAGGCAGGTCTTCGAATGGCTGCGAATTGACTCGAGCTTGTGGGGGTTGGTGAAGCTGTCGCCATTGAGACGATGTGGTGGAGGATAGACAGTGAATTGATTGTTGATATTTGATCGGGATATTTTGTCGAATTATGTAAGCTGGTTCCTATTAATTACATCCTCTTTTCAAGCAAAAATAGTTGCAAATCTGGGTGATAATGCGCGTGGTATAAAGATTGGCGCGTAAAGTCGAGGAAGGTTATGAAATGAAGTTGTCGAGACTTTCCAATTTCGTGGGTTGAAATTTGATTGTTTACATGGCAACCACAACTGGGGCCAGGTAACGGGAGAACCCGCGGAACATCAAAGCACTTCCTCTACAACCCTTGAATCATGCTTTAGCCGTTGAGTTACATTCATGATGTACAAAGTAGAATCATTAGAAGTCATTCAATCCACAGATTAATAGATTTTCTTCCCTTTTCAAGAACCTTAAACTAAAATTATTTCCTTGTTCATATTCGCACTTTTACATGCAAATAAATCATCGCAAGTACGCCCCTGGTAGACGGTGGACTCCACTACTCGGATACATTGGGTGTGGAGCACACAACCTCTCCCTATCACCATCATGCTTATTCCAAATCCTATTCACATTCTATGCTTTGGCAATTCATTAACGCAGGGATGGCCATCCAATCATCCATACGCAATTGCATTAGAAGATACCTTCCAGACATCTACACCCTACATCTCTATAAGCACAGATGTGCAAGGATTGCCCGGAGATCAAGTCGTCAGTCCTCCTGGACACTACTTACCGAGACTTGATATCTTGTGTAAGTGATGTCCTAATGCTTCGTTCAGCATGATGGTTCTGGTGGTGGCTCTGGCTGTAGATGTTGGCATAGTTGATGCTATGAATCTGGGCTATATACTATATACTAATCTATTACAGACAATGAGATCAAAGCTCCTTACAGCTGGATGGTAGTTTTGGGAGGGACGAACGATCTAACTCAAAATCAAGATGTCGACACCGTCTTTGAGTACTTGATGAAAGTTTGGAATTATGCTCTTTCTCGAGGCACTCAAGTCTTAGCCTTGACTGTCCCAGAATGTGGTACCTGTAGTCCAGAGCTTGACCAACGGAGAGACTATCTAAACGACATGATTCGTGCTCATCAAGCCGAGAATTTGTAAGTGTCCCTCGCAAAAGACCAGGGGTAATACTGAGCTGCCATCTAGTCATGTGTTTGACCTTCATGATGCTATACCATATTGGAGTATGCCGGAAGAAGAACGCAGCCGAATCTGGACCGATGGTTTACATTTCACAGATGAGGGATATGATCGCATGGGAGCTTTGGTAGGTGGTGAGCTTCACAGGTTGATCTCTGGTAGGGAATTAAAGAATGAGCGAGAACAAAAGACTTTGATGTTCCAAAGGAGTTGAGAGCCGGCGCATGGCAAGGTATCGTGACAAGGCTTAGATGCTTGACCTAATTAATGGCTTGAGCTTAAAAACCTCAAAAGGTATGCAATACGCAATTATACGACTGATAGAGATAGGAAATGCTATGCTTTTGCTCGTGATGATTATATTCATTTACTGTTCATTAATATCATAAATGTCATGGTAGACCTCGTCACGCTGAACTCCTCTTTTGGTATGCAGTTACCACACCTAACGCCAATGTTGTATCGTATAATTCATCTCGCCTCGTCCCTACTTTTATGCCACCATATTTGCAGCGACGAAATCCTTATATATATTAGCAAAGCTAGTGAAGAAGACTTGTCATATGCTTACCGGATAAACAAGCTGCAACTCAGAAGTGACTTTCTCAACTTCCTCGGCCACCCCCTGAACATTAGCGTCCCATCTTCTTAGTTCTATCCCAACAATTCCTTCAGCTCTACCGCTGCCTATCTCTCCAGTAGCTTCTCCACCCACGAACCAAATAACCCTCTCTACTTGGTCAATTCTGCCAAGTAATCGACCTTGCTCAATCATGCTCGCGGTAGTCTCCTCGGCCTTATCCGCATCGAGATTCAATATATCCCCCAGAGCTTCGAAGCTAATGTTGTTATACAATCTCGAAGCGGCTCTCAAGTTGTGCTCCACAACAGCCCTTTGCAATACCGTGGTACCGTCTTGCGTCTTTGCCAGTTGATGTTGGGCTAGACCTTCTGCAAACTTAGAAACTTCGTCGGGGGACAATAGGCGATCCAGGAACATCTTTTCTAAGATACTAAACTCTTCTAAGCCAGCAGCTCGTTCATCCTTGTATAATCTTCCCAAAGCACGACTTCGAAGAGGGCCTGCAGGTGCTAAAACAGCACATTTTATGGCCATACTGAGAGTGTGCAAACGCTCCTCTTCGGCGATAACTGGCAAGAAACTGATATCCTGGTAGCCCTGAGCAGCAGCTAAGAAATTCCTCCTGGCATCATGAATGCGGGCTTGACTGAGTTGAAAGTGGAGGTTCAGATCGCGATCGGAGACTGTATATATGACGTTTTTGGCTTTGTTTAGATATTGCTCTGCCAGCGTTGTGTCATCCACCTCGAGATAGTTCCGCGTAATACGAATCCAACATCGGACCTTCTCCTCATTCGTGACTTTCCGCTGCGATGATTCGAGAACGATACCAGCTAATATCTTCGCGGCTGCAAGGTTGTCCTCATCGTCCTCGTAAGCTGTGGCCATCAATTCGCGGATTTGGGCATTTTGTTCTTCGAATGAGGATGCTTGCTCAGCCAGAGTCGGTAAAGCATGTTCGCCAACTTTGATTTTGGCCTCATTGCTCTTAATGGCTTTAAGCGCATCGACAAATGATATGATAACGGATCGTGTCGCAACTATTCCTATAGCATCAACGAATATGGCATCGAAAATTGCGATTAAGTCATCAGGTAACTCTGCTGGTGTAGATGTAAATTGGGCATTTGTCAGAAAGTCAATATAGCCTTGTTGTTTTTCTTCCGAGCCTGCAATCTGCTGCAAAGCTTCCGCTGTCTTTTGGGACACCATAATAATTTCACCTTGGTTGTCTCAAAAGTGTGGAGTTTGAAGTTGTGTACAAAGGTTTTAAAGTTTATATTATTGATCGAGGCTGAAGTTGTGATGGAGATGGAGCTTGAGGCGGGGAGCTTCTGGAAGGCTACTGACAAGCTTGGGCATTTTGTAGATCAATCAAAGCCATCACCGAAATAATAAAATACTGTATCTTTAAGACGTTTAATTCAAATTATAAAAATGTATAAGTATTGAAATATATTGGACTATTAGAATATTAAATGAATTGTTAAAAATATAATAAAATATTTAAAATAATTTTTTTTTTAAAGTTTTCATTTCAATCATGGAATTTTTTAAAAATTAATTAAGTAAAAAACTTTTGTGTTGAAATTAAGGTCATTATGGGCCTAGAATTGAGGTCATATGACCATTATGGTGCACGGACCATAATTGGGAATATCTTCAATTCTACCATTACTGTAACTTAGATCCTTAGTTTAACCTACATCTAATAATACTACTACTTCCAAACAACTCAGTTTCAACATTTTGTACAAAAAATCAATATATTTAAATCAACATTTGAAAACACTCTAGCAGAAAGCTTTTATACAATATAAGAAAGTAAATTAGTTCTTTTTTATTTTCATTAAGGAGAAAGATAGCTTTGATATGAAACTGATCCTATCATGAAATGAAGTATTGGAACGGGCTCTAAGCTATAATTGAGACTTTGTTAATGTTAATCTTAACAGCACCCTACTATATGTCGTATTACCTTGATATCAGACAATAAGGTACTGATGCGTTATTACTGTTGGTAGTGTCAATTGCATATACTGTTTTCATCACTTGAGAGGTAAAGGGTAAGTATATATAAATCCAAGCATGCAGACATGTTGAAGAGCTCTCTGGACTATTCCATAGTATTGCAAGTATTGTTGCCAGGGTAGCGAGCACGACTAAACCAAAACAAGTAAAGATCAATCTCGGAGTAAACAAAACATCCAACCTGATTAATTGAGACATTGAAGCCCCTCTATAGCCTTGTTAAGACCCCTGAATCTTGACGGAGCCTATGATAATTCAAGACAAACAGCTCAAAGTGAATCTCTTCTAAGGAGTATAGGTCCCTAATGATACAAAAGTAAAGACAATCAACCAGGCAAGATTATATAAAAGCGTCTGTTACCACACTAATAATATTCACCGAACAGAGTTACGCGTAATTAAGTTACCTCTCACAATAGAAGTTGCGAGCTGATAAATAACCTTAACATCATCCTCCTTGTTTGCTTTTCCTCTCCCACAAGACCTCCCCTCCTCACACTCACAACACCAACGATCCTTTACCGTCGTGCACTTTTGAGACATTCTCATTCATCATAATTGTCCACGACTTCTTCGCATCAATCTGCATCTGCTGTGCATTCCGTCATAAGTCGTTGGAATTTCAAAGATGTCACTTCAGTCTGCTTATAAGCAGTTTTTAGCTGCCCCAAACCCCTCTTTACTCGCAAGTGATGCTTCTCTTCACTACATTACAACTCTCGTTTCTGTTAATGGATCATCCAATATCGTCAAGCATTTAAATGGAGAAGAACATCGACTTAAGAAGAAGGAAGAGACCTTTTTAAACATTGTCGAAGGCACCAGCTCCATTGCTGCTGAAGTCCACACCACCGTTGAGTTCAAAACATCAGGAGGATCCTACCTACCTGGGTTGGATGATAACTTTCTTGCTGATCGTACAGTCACCTTTCCAATAGTAAGTTTGGTATCAAAGGTTTTACGGGCATTCGTATACTAATAATGGCAGATTCACATCGTCAGTTTCGATGCCAACGGCAAGATCCAACAAATCCGACAAAATTGGGACCAAGGTTCACTCCTCAAATTGATCGAAGTCATCGGAAAGAGTGGGCGAAATTGGCCAATCCGGGATGGAAAGGATCAGATAAAGCTCATCACCTCAAGTGTTAGAAGTTCTGGCACATCAGATGCTGCTTCAAACGCAGACTCTATCGCCCGTGCCAGAGCCAACTCTAATAATGCGACGCGCGATCCGCATTCAAGTCTTGCCTTGTTTGCTCCCCGAGAAGACGTTGTGCAGGAGTCCCGTCCGGCTGCTGAACCAATCAGCAAATCAGCAAAGCCAGAACCTAGGGATTATCACGATCTTTTCGTTGGTAAAGATTCCACATCTCCTGAGGATGACACCTCTCTACCCAAGGCCGGTGCCAAAGCAGGCGCTTCAAGGCAATTTGCTCCATCTAGACTTTTCGATGCCTACGAGGAACAAGCTACACAAGATAGCCATGTTCAAGAGAAGTCCAAGGATCCTATGTACCGCCCTAACCCAGCTAGATATGAACATTTCGACTTCACAGATGCCCCCGAGGAAGAGGAGCCCATTCGACCGACAAGTGGCAAAGGTAGCATGGGTCAACATCAAAGTCAGTGGGGATTTGATGACTTTCAAACACCACAAAAAGTTGTTCCAACCAAAGTTCTTCGCGCGGCTGACGTTCGTCATTGGGGCAATAGTGATGATGAAGTTCTGGATAGTCCAGTCAGATTCAAGAAGACCGAAAAGCCTCGCAAGGATGCTCAAGCCCATTTCGAGTTCCGAGATGAAGGCACTCCACAACAAGAACGTCGCATTGTCGGAAGACCCCAAGGACAAGGACACAATAATGGACTTGGACTTTACAAAAGTACATTGTTCGATGAGGATGAAAGTGAGACACCGGCTTCTAAGAAGCAAGGCCCATCTTTTGCAAATGTGACGGACAGACAAAAGAACTTAGATTCGCATTTCACCATGACTGATGACTCGCCAGTCACCGGAAAAGGTCCAGCTCATATAGCAGGAGATAGAGCCAAGGCTGTGAAGAATATGGGTGCTAACTGGGACACATACGATCAATCTCCTATTGAGAAGAATTCCCGAAAAGAGAACGATCCTTCTTCACCAATTCGATCTAATTCTACAAAGGAACCTTTGTCAGAAACACACGCGGCTTCACAACGTAACCAGAAAAATACCGGTATCAAGACAATGGGCGACGGTATGGGTGGTAGCAAGGGTGCAGGCAGAAGCTGGGGATTTGGAGACGGTTCTGATGGAGAGGAAGCTGGTGGTATCAATGGTGTAGGAAGTACATTCCGCAATGGCCGACCCGGTAAAGCACAAAATCAAAAAGCTACTGGTGGTGATTTCTGGGATTTCTAGTCCATGGATGTCGAAACAGGATTGCCTGGTTAAATATGTGTTACGATAGACGACATTATGATCATACAACATTGTTTCCTATTTTAGTGTGGTTTAATTGGTGTTGATAGCATATTTCGATGGATGGTGAGGAGTAACTACGCGCTTAAGTTAATTTTTACCAGTCTGTTTATTTGCATTTCTTCAATGTGTTTTCTTTTTTAATTTGAGATCAAGATAGTTCGGTTTGTCTATCTGCTGTGGTGTTTCTTGCAACTGCACATAACAAAATAGCCAAGAAGTAGAGAGGAGATGCAAGAGCATATCAGCTAGTAACAATACCTAACCAAACGGAGTAATAAGTACATGGCGGCGTGTATTTGTTACTTACTACCTAGTATTTATTATGTAAGATTATTATTTCGACTCGTTAGGTAGGGAAATATCAAATATGCAATGAATAGACTTCTTTCTTTTTTATTGATTTCGATAGTACACTTTGAATTGTTTGTGTGAGACTGCTCTGCTTGTTTTTTTGTTTGTTTATTTATTTGTCTTCGCAGTGTTTCTTTTTATTCTTTCTGTTCTGTTATTATATATATGTATATGTATATCTATCTAGATTCTTATGTGATTGCTAGATAGATATTATTTACTTAATATTGTAGGTTGATTGGTTGGATGGATGGTTGGTTAGATGACATCGTATCGTATCTCTTTTATCTTTCTACCCTGGCTATCTGCGCTAGCTGGTTCTACGTTCGTAGCGTATCGTATAGAAATCGAAAGGATCCGCTAGATATTATTTTATCTTGTTTCTTCTTGTTTCTTCTCTCCCTCCTCTCGTTTAAGTTTTAAGTTTAAGTCTAGGATCTTTATACTAGCCAAAATACGGCAGCATTTAAGCACCCATAACAACCTATCTAGTCACTTCCCATGCAATCCACACCTCCACTCACACACCACCTCACTCCACCGCGCGCGCACTCACCATCCCAGACCTCGGATCTATTCTCCCCCTCGCTCCCACTCCATGTCCATGCCCAGACCCAGGACTAGCATTCGCCGTCGTACTCGTACTCCCCGACGCCTCGGGTATATCCCTCAACTCACTACTATGAACATCTCTCGTATGCGAATGCAAATGAAGACCCGCTTCTAACTCATCGAGATTCGTCCCTTCTTCATCTAGGCTATTACTATTTCGATAATTATAATTACCCGCTGTGGATTTTCCTCTCCGGGAGAAAAATCGATTTAGATGTGTTTGTGCGCGACCGGAATTAGAAGAGGGGACTTGATTTAGTGGGTCCCCTCGAGCTGAGGAATCTCGAGTTGATTGACGTGCCAGACTTTCTGCGCGCTCGCGGGATTGTGTTTCCCGGCTTGGACGGGATGGGGCTCCAGGAGAGGCGGATGTGAAAGTGACGTCGGGGATGGGAATGCGTGGTTTGGGACGATCGTCGAAGACGTCGCCGAGATCCATTCCGGAGGACATTCCCTGCATGCCGAGGGAGAAGTCGACGCGCTTGTTCATTGCGGAGAGGGATTCTCCGCGGCGACGGGCGTTGGATTGGGAATTGGATGTTCGGCGGCGGAGGATGGAGGGGTGGGGATTTATGCCGGGGGCATTTTGAGGTCCGGTTTGCGGTTCGTATTCTCCTATAGGCCCTTGATCACGAGCGAGAGATCCGGAGCGTGGTCCGGGTCCAAATTCGGATTGTTCTGGGTTGGGTTGGTAGGGAGGTGGATAAGCTCCATTGAAGTAGACTGGATTTTCTTGGGCGAAACCGGCGAGTCGTTGACGTGGACCTTGGATTCCTAGATCTTCCATTGCGCAGATCATGGCGATGATGAATTTGTTGCGGCGTTGGAGACGTAATAATTCATTTTGCCAACTGGATTTGTAGAAGAAGACGACGTTGAATGTGATGGAGTAGTTTTCATAGATGGTTGTTACTTCGGTGATGATTTTACCTTGGTATTCGCGTTTTTCGGTCTGTACGAATTTGACGAGTTCTTCGCGGAGTTGTTCGAGTTGTTCGATAGATGTGCCGAATTTAACAGTGATAGGTACAGCTTCGGCGAGACCACCTGAGCGACGCTGATTCAGGATGAAAAGCGTATTGAGGTAACTATTCGGAGCTTGTACAACATGCCCTTCCATCTTTTTGAATTCGGTAAAGAGGAGAGAAATTTCTTTTACGAAATAATCGTCACCTTGTAATTTGGATCCCGTGTTTCCGTAAATCGTAACTCGGTCACCGACATCGAAAGGATGCTTGACGAAAACGAAGATGATGGATTGTAAGAACTCTTGAGCAGTAGCAGTAAACAACCAGGAAAGAGCCAAGACCGATGATCCAGCGGATGTCAAGACACCAGATGCAGAAGTGGAGATTAGAGAGATGAATACCAATATGGTAATGACTACGACGATAAACAATAGTATATCGTCGAGTTTACTGACGACGGAATCCAAATCTTTGAGCGAGGCAGTAATGGCTTTTCGTTCTCGTCCAATTTCAACACAAACTGTTTCGAGTTCTTCCATTGAAATATCCCCGTTCAAATCTTTATCGAACATGGTAAATGCTGCTTCGGCTTCTTCTTCGTTGTCGAAAGCGAGTGTTAAGTCCTCTGCAAGAATAGTATCCGAATCATCATGTACAAAAGTTCGGTAAAGTCTTCTAGCGAGGACTTGAGATCCGGTTGTAGTATTCAAAAGCTGCAGAATTCTAAAATGTATTATTAGTATCGCTGGGATTCGTAGCTTGAAAAGTACTTACACTTGATGTGGATGAGTACTTGATGTTACGGCTCTTCCGGTAAAATCTCCAGCTACTTTACCCGCGACATCTCCAACTTTGGTAAAGACATTTCTCGCGTTTTTCTGCGCTTTATTGACATAAACCATTGGAGTACGAGCCCCAGATCTAACACCCGCCTGCGCACTATGATCTTCAAAATCCGCATCTAGCTCTTCAATCTTTTCCTTTGAATATTTGTACAATTTGACCAAACTCTGAATTTGAAATTTGTTGAGTTCGATTCGGTCCGAGTATGTTCGCAAGTGAAAACTGATGGCAATGAGTTGAATGATGATTTTTTCAATGAAGTTCAAGGTTGCTCCGACGAAAACCGACACGATGATCTTGTTGCAAGTGAGTTCCCAGTCACGAGTTGTTTTGTCTCCATCAAGATGATGGTTCTTCATCGTTGGGAGGAAAGAAATTTCAACGGCCAGCCACCAGAAGAACAAGGTTGCTGGAACCTCTAGTGATTTCCCTAAATCTCTCCATTTCTTGTCGTTATTTGTGAATAAGCTGGATATCAGGCCCATGGGATACGGGATGCATTTGGCGATGATCTGTAGGGGGTAATTAGCGAAGTTTTGCTGCAAATGTATCAACCGATTACTCACTCTCGCAAGCCATAAAGTCAACCAAACAATTTCCAACCAAATTCCAAACCAGAAAAGCTTCACACCTCCAACTGTAGAGTTTTCAAAAAGAAGAAGTCCAAACAAGAGGGGAATTAAAAGTAGTAACATCACTGGCGTGATGTAGACGAAATATCGAACTAGAATGCTAGAGCCGTGAACCTTCTTAAAAAACTTTGCAAGTGTCGTGGCAGGATGTGCTGGTGGCCTATATATCTTGGTCTTCTCGTGGATGGGCGTGGTATTGACGTCGAAATCATCAATGGGTTCTGCACCTCCTCCCCTCGATCTCGACATCAGTGATTTACCCATACTGTGGCCATCTTCCTTTTCTTCGTTCGATATTACGCGCTCTACCCGAAGCATCTCAAGGTCATCGTCAAGTCGCCGCGATTGCTCTCTCCGTGCTGCAGCAGATAATGGCGACTGACTTCTTTTGCTGAGGTGTTCCGGATCATTGGTGAAACTTGTGGCAACTCCCAGGTGGTTGTTATCCATTTCTTGCTCATGATGGTGGTTATGGTGGTCATGATGGTCATGACTATCATCGTAAGGGTGTTCACCTCTTAAAGTTCCATCTTCATCAGACGAGCGATGTTCCTGTCGAGATGATTCTTGGTGATCATTATGTTGAGGGTCTGTTGGAAATGCCGGAAACGAGTGTTGTTCCTTCTCTAGAATTGGTGTTGACATAATGTATTTTTATTTTATATTGAATGACTTTTGATCCAATTCCCAAATCGAGTAATATGGGGAAGGGGAAGATCTTGTTGCAAAACTGGGCCTAGGATCAACCCCACGATCTCATGGACGATAATGGATGGGTGTGCAGCAACAGATCTGTGACAGAATTTTGATTCTGAAAAATGGACTGTGATCCAGGAATTTGGAAACTTCGTAAATGGAATAATGGGTATCTAGAAATTCGAAAACAAAACGGAAGGATATTCCCCAAGGTCGATCAAATTAGTTGAAGATCGTAAGTTCTCGACGAGGCGATGGGGATTGTTTGATATATGAGTATTTGAAAATAGAAAAAGAATGGTGCCTCAGAGGAGAAACAAGAAAATGGGGCAAGCGAGAGTGACGACGTGATGATAAAGCGACAGTGGAGAAGATGAGTTGATGGTGGAGAGTGAAGAGTGAAGCAGGAGAGAGTGAGGATTAGAAGAAGTGGAGAGGCGGGAGACTTTGAATAGAGTTGTGTGAATTGAAATGAAATTCTTATCATTTGCTATGGAAATATGAAATACTGGATATCGGTAACATCTCTTTAACTAAGGATCTTGGTAGTGTCTCGATGCTCCACTTGAACGATTGAGAATCTGTATGGAGTAGGGTTTAGGGATTCATTGATTTATGGATTTATGGGTTTGTATCTTTAGTTCTTTTAGTTTCTTATAGTTTTCTCAATAAGTTTTGCTTTCTCCCGGTACGTGTCATACGGAATTTGAGGAAGTTTGCAAGGAGATCGAATTATATAATCACAGAGAATAACTTTCAGTTTCCATAAATATAAATTTATATTCTTCTCTGATTGGGTTAAAAAAAGACATCCAGCAAAATGTTTTTGGCCCGTCCCTTCTTGGCATGCTAGGGAGACCAAACTGACGTCATAGGTTGTCAGGGTGGATTGTTCTAAGTTTCTTAAAAATCCATGGGAAACAGAGTGATGAGTATTTGTTGTTGTTATCACGCACGCACGGAAGGGGAAAAGAGTCCAAGTTATTCGGAAAAGTCTTCCGATTCTGAATGGGATTTGTGTTTAGTATTATAAAGCATCTAGAGAAGAAAAGTAAAGAAAGAAGTTAGATTTGAATGCATTTCGACCAAAACAAACAAATCATTTCATCTCAAAATTTTATCTTTATCAAAGATAGACTAGCCTTGGCAATAACTCAACGTCCACTTAAACATTTCCCTGCTATCTATTGGACGGCTCGGTTCACTATTGAGCCAGTTAGCCTTTAAATCGAAAGCGTACAGTGTAGATTCCCGGATGCCCTCTTCCAGTAACCCCGTAAATACCCTTAATAAATCGTACTTCCCAGCCTTGTAATTCACGTCTCTTTGAGTCTCAGGTCCTTTTCAACCCCTGAAATCCCCGAATTTCAAAAAGCAAAAGGCGCCATAAGAATGAGAGATAAGCACTAACACCACTAGAAATCGGATGCTTTTGAAGCCGCTATGCATGGCTTAAGCCAAGCGAGCATAGAGCGTGTATCGGGTCGGGTACAGAGCCGACCGTTCCCTCCCTCCCGCCAGATCTAATGTGTTGAGTTTCCTATTCCCTTCCTTCTTCTACTCTTTCTCTCTGCATCGTTCACTGTCTTTTGCTTCTCAAATTTTAACCATATCCCAGAGCTCAACAGCTAGATCTCTTCACCGACCCAATTTTCCTCTCCTCGCTTCCGTTATCACTCACAAAGTTGGGGGATCGATCAAAAAGGGTTGCATTTTTGGTTCGTATTACATGTCGATCACTGCATCGGCTTGCGTACTCACAAATCGAGGGTCATGGAACCACTTTTTTTCATTTCTTGTTTATTGAATTTCGGTTTCTCTTCTAGGTTCATTGCATTTGGCATCTGTTAAGCGATACATCGAGACCATGGTGGAGTTGAGAGATCGAGGGAATGGTGGAACCCTTCAGAGATGGATTCATGGATGTTGATATCTAAAGCTGCGATGCTTATTTACGGTGAAGCAATTGTCATGATGTTTCTTGGCCAACAGTAATAGGACTGGGAGATGCATTCCTTTTCCCTTGGACTGTAAGTCTGTAAAATCTTACAACCTCGGTTCCGAATAGAGGTGCGTTGCTGCCCCTCTTGTTGATTCCTCTCATCTCTGCTGTAAAGAATTGATAATGATATTGATAGATATCAAGATTCACGATTCCTTTTTTCGCCTTCTCTCACCGGAGTGATAAAATTGTTAACATGATGGCATGCTTTGTATCTTTCGATTTGTTGCATGTGGTAAGACTTTGATAGGATAACATTCAATTCCAATTCCATACGAGTCCAAATCGTCGAACCTTTGTCTTCGAATTCCTAGTCCTACATTCTCACATGCATTTCTTTTCATTCCAAAATCTCAAACCCCAGAAGAGCAAACTTTGATCCTGCGTATTTTAGCGGTTTAATTTATACCATCCCAACTATCAAAGGTTGTGTATCCCGACTAATCATATAACCATCATTTGTTGCATATCTGAGTCTCTGATGTTTGCTTTCATGTTTTTCACAAAGCCCAAGTGGTCACAAAATTGAGTTTACTATGGTTTCAATGTTCAGAGGCTGCGCTGGGCTCACCTTGCCATTTCGCATCCTGACCCCTGATATAATCACGTGAAGATAAGTGCTTATCTTGCGATAACGTTTTACTTTCCTTATCAAGAAACAACTTCCTTTTTGAGAGTATGTAGAGTTTGTAAAATAAACCATAAGTGAATTGAAGACGTACCTGAAAGGAACTAGGTACCCCGCGCTCAATCAAACAATGCTATCATCCCGGCGTATATTAAGGTCTCTTTGTACCTCAAGACCATCAAATTGTTATTCAATAAGCAAGTTTGAAAATTCATTTTGGAATAATATCATTGCTAAGATCTATCAAAGATAACACTCGACCCCTCCTAAATCCCTTTCTTTACCCCGCGTCAATCCGTAGCATTCGGTCCAGCTTCGCATTTTCCATCATGGCACCTAATGGAAAGGAATTGGGAACAGATGATTTAAAAGGTCTTGGTGGAACAACTGATCTATCCCCAACTCCTGGACCTCATCATGAAATTAATGCTTGGTCCGGTCCAGGACAAGCAGCATTTGACTTTCGCAGTATGAGTCTCATTCATTCCTCCATCAAGTCATAACTGACATTTTTACCAGGCGATGTAGTGACTACTCCCACCAAATCTATGCTAACGGCCATTCAAAACACTACCCTTCTCGATGACGTCTTCGCCGAGGATCCAACAACCAATTCACTCGAATCATACCTTGCGCAAATTACCGAGCATGAGTCCGCCATTTTTGTCCTCTCCGGTACAATGGGTAATCAAATTGCTCTCCGCTCTCATCTTACTCAACCTCCCCACTCCGTCCTCTGCGATCATCGTGCACATATTCTTGAATGGGAAGCTGGCGGTACTGCATCCCTGTGCGGGGCTCTCGTCAAGGGGGTTGTGCCGAGTAATGGTGTGTACTTGACTCTGAAGGACGTAGAGAAATATGTTACGATTAGTGATGATATACATTCATGTCCAACGAGAGTTATAAGTTTGGAAAATACATTGGCGGGTACTATTATGCCACTTGAGGAAGTCAAGGCCATAGCAGGGTTCGCAAGGAAACATGGTATAAAAGTCCATATGGACGGAGCTAGGATCTGGGAAGCAGTTGTTGCGGGAGCTGGATCATTGTCGGATTTCACGAGGGAATGTGATAGTGTGAGTTTATGTTTTAGCAAGGGACTAGGAGCTCCAGTAGGTAGTATACTAGTTGGCAAGAAAGATTTCATTAAACATGCTCGATGGGTACGAAAGAGTATTGGAGGTGGACTCCGTCAAGCTGGCGTATTGACAGCGGCTGCGAGAGTTGCGGTTGATGAAACATTTGGAAAGGGTCCGAATGGAGAAGGAGGTCTCTTGCGTGAAAGTCATAAGACAGCAAAAAAGATCGCAACGTTATGGGAAGGATTAGGGGGGAAATTGCAGCAGCCGACGGAAACTAATATGGTATGGTTAGATTTAGAAGATGCGGGGATTTCAGCGGGAGAATTTAGGGAGATGGGGAAGGAACAGGGTTTGAAGCTTTTGGCTGGGAGATTAGTGGTACATTATCAAATTGGAGAAGAGGCAGTGAAGAAACTGGAGGGGATTATGAAGGTTATTTTAGAAAGGAAGGGAAAGGGTATTGAGGTCGCGAGTAAAGAGAAAAAAGTTGGTGAGAAGGATTATGGTACTTGAGGGGATAGATTTGTATGCATGTGATATTGAGATCTTGGGGAAGTAAGCGGGTAATTCCCTTATTTGTTTATGTGATGTTTAGCAGTCAAAATTTATGCATGGAAAGCAGATAGCCTAGACTACTCGGGTTAGAAAATCGAGATGTAGATGACAGGATCATTTGGATATAATTGCTTTTGAAGAAAGTCTAGAACACTGTGATTTTGTTTGGATGTAGTGTATATATTAGGTGTGGCCTAAACATGAAACAATCTCATGTAATCAGTTACATCGTATCGTGTTTCTATCTCATCTCATTGCAGAGACTTAGGAATTCAGATCATGGAAACAACCCACTGGGAAAATTGTAAGATTATGAGGATGAAGCAGATAAGAAGTGAAGAAAGGCTAGAATGGACAGGAATAATAACAGGGGCATCATATTATATAGAATATTGGAATAGGAGAAATATCATTTGTAGAATATAATCATGGTGACTGGAGCAGACAGATATCTCTGGTGTGAATATGTAGGTGGAGATACGGGAAAGTGAATGCGGGAATGAAAATATTAATTCTAAACACAAATTTATCAGCGGACTTGTGAATTCGGGACCAGAGCAAGAGTTGCACATAGTAGAATGTGTATCTATCTATAATCCCGCGATATATTTTCATGAAATTATGAAGCCTATTAGCTCCCTCACTCGAAACCATGACATAGGTTCAAATGATTGTTCTGTAATGGTTATCTTTGTGGACTCTGGATGTAAGTCAAGACCGCACTGTGCACCGTACTCAGATACAAGTTATGGCTAATAGCCATACCTTGTTTTCTCGAGATGTGTTGATTTTGACCGACTTTTGTTCATATGTCAAGTTGGTGGCATAAATAACCTAGAAGTAGGTAATCTTATCAAATCAACAAGTCCTGTTTAGTGATAACAATTGTGTTTAGTTCGATCTGTTTCATTGTATAACGGTAGGTAGTTACTAATTGAAGATTTGAAAGGCGCTAGGGAATATCGCTTTCGTATATGATCCCATTATATTCATTAGATATAACGTGTTTCATCACCCCGTGCACCATATCACCTCGTGCACCACTTTCACCTCAATTCACATCAATCACTTCAATACGCGATTTATCAATAAATAATTATGGTATCGACATTAAATGAACGCGATATCGTTATGGCGATGGAGGCAATGGCTAAAGATAAAAATTTAAGCCTCCGGAAAGCTGCCAAGATTTACAATATTACTCATACGACACTCATGCGTAGAATGAAAGGGATCACTCCTGCCTCCGAATATCGTCAAAAACAGCATAAAATTACTAAAATTGAAGAGGAGGTTATTATTCAGCATATAATCGATATGGATGAGCGAGGATTTAATCCTAAATTCATAAGTGTTGAAAGTATGGCGAATCACATTCTTGAATCGAGGGGTGGAAAGCGTATTGGTAAACAATGGGCATATCGATTCGTGAATCGATACAATATTCTAAAAACGCATTTTAATCATGCCTGCGATTTCCAAAGAGCTCTCTGCGAGGATCCTAAGCTTATTAATAAGTGGTTTCAATTATTCAAAAATATAAAGGCAAAATATGGAATACAGGAGTGTGATATATGGAATTTTGATGAAACAAGCTTTATGATGGGAGTGATATCCTCTAGTATGGTTATTACTAATGCAGATAGACGTGACAAAAGTAAAGGAATACAGCTAGGCAATAGAGAATAGTCGACAGCGATTGTATGTGGTAATGCGACAAGGGAGAACATACCTCCATATCTCGTTCAAGGACAAATGCACCTAGCCAATTGGTACAGCGAGACGGATATGCCTCCCGAATGGGTGGTTAAAACTACTATAAATGGATGGACGAATAATGAGACGGGTTTAGAATGGCTAAAGCATTTTGATAAGCATACGAAACTCTGTACGAAGGGTGCATATCGAATACTAGTCTTAGATGGACATGAAAGCTATGAATCAGGCCCTTTTCAGAACTATTGTATAGAACATAAGATTAAAACCGTTGGATTACCACCTTATTCAAATCATCTCACCCAACCTCTTGATGTTAATTGTTTTAGTGTACTAAAATGCACATATAGCAAGCAAATTGAGGGGTATATATGGATGTATATCAATCATATCTCCAAAGTCGAATTCTTTATAGCATTCAATACTGCATACAAACAAGCAATTACAATGGAGAATATGAAAGCAGGCTTTAGAGGAGCAAGATTAATCCTTTTTAATCTCGATGCTGTACTCTCTAGAATGGATATTCGAATCTGTACACCTACTCCTCCTTCGCTTCCTCCGAGTCATATACCCGATTGGGTCTCACAAACACCTCACAATGCCATCGAAGCTCTTTCACAAGCATTTTTAGTACGATCTATTATTGCTCAATATCATTCTAGCTCTTTTACACCTATATTTAAGGCTACAGATCCTTTAATTAAAGATGTAGAATACCTAGCTAGTATTGTCACGATTTTAGCTTTTGAGAATCACGATCTTCGATTGGCAAATACAGGATTAAGTAAACGTTGACGCGCTAAAAAGACTCAATTATGTTTAGGAGGAGCTCTCATTATTCAAGAGGCTAATGATATTATATCACAAAAAGAGGTGGATGTTCAGATTAAACGCGATAGGCAACAAAATGGGCGGAATTCTAATAGAGAGGCATCGACTAATCGATGCTGTAGTAAATATGGAATAACAGGTCATAATGCAAGAATATGTTCTAATGATAATATAGATCCTAAATTATTAGATAGTGCTTAATTTAAATCAATTGATCAAGTAATTGCTGAATTATATATGATTATAAATAGGAATTGAGGTGAAAGTGGTGCACGAGGTGATATGGTGCACGGGGTGATGAAACACGTTACTAGAGTACTGACCATGATTCAGAACAAAGTAGGATATCGGTTCGGGGTGTGATCATAATGCGGTCGGAAGTGTCGGCTAATATATTTTCCATTCCGCAACGGCTAGCTGTGTTTGGGGGGATCCCAAAAGCCTCGGTCCATATCCCAGACACCGACCGGCTGCTTAAATCACTTCTTTTATGAAGGAGAGCCCTGAGGAATACTGTAAGTCTTTCATTTCGGGAATGCGACTGATTTATTTCAAGTATCTTCTCAAGTTTAACCAAAAATAACTGAAATAAGACAGCTGTCAAGTACGACAAGGAGTCCTTGCCGACACATAGGGTAGCTCTAGCTCCTAGGTAGCTTCACCATACCGCATCCACGAGCTTGTGAAACGATCAATCAAGAATGTCAATAACCTCCAACAACACTATGGCATCCTTTGCACAAAGCAAGAAACGAAAAAGAAGACGTCAAGATAAGGCATCCATTTCAGCAAGATTGATTCTGGATGAGCATATGAAAGGGGATGTGGGAATCATATCTGAGGATTTGACAAAAGACCTATTTTTGAGCGGTGTGTCTGGGGAAACGGTGCAGTACATTGCGATATCCCCCTGGGGTCCTTCTAAAGCAGTCGAAGACTCAACATGGACTGTTCTTCCTGTCAGGTCCTCAAGTACTTTGGCACATTCCACCGTACAATTCTCACCGGACTCACCGACTCTACAAGCATTCGCCGAAACCCTTCAGAGGGCTGCTTCCTCAAAATTATCGACGAATAACAGAAGCGGGATTGAAATACGTGTCCTAGATATCGTACCATTACCTTTAGAGACAATTTTTGTTACAATTGAGGGGGAGTCTGCGAAGAGATTAGAAAATGGAGAAGGGACATTTCACGGAGAACATCCGCAGACGAACGGACACTCAAAGTCATTTACAAATGGGGTAAGCCCAGAGGATAAACTGACCAAGGCGATTCGAGAAGCTTTAAGATCGTTGAAAGTCGTTCATACAGGAGATTTTGTTCAATTACCTTTGCAACCCCATCCTATCACCCATGTTCCCCCCCCTCCAGCAAAAGTAACTCTTAGCGAGCCTGTGGGACAAGGACTACTGTCGCCAAAAACCAAGATAATTGTCACACAAACTGGCCATCATGCAAAAAGTCAATCAAAACAATCGCCTATCCCAATGAGCCGAGGGCTGAATCAAGTGACGGAAGAGGACGAAGATACAAGTAATGACCAATTCTATTCCGCTGCCGAGGACAGATATAAAACCGATACTGCTTTTGAGGAGGAATCTGATTATGTTACAGAAACAGAAACAGACACGGAGCTAGACAGTAGTGCCGATAATGATAGTCTTTCGGATGATTCCATGGACGACATGATCTCCTTACAAGCACCCATGCTACCAGCTCACAACGCCAGCGGAATTTCCACGATACAACCGGGATCTCCCCAAACAGTTGTACCCGGCGGACGAAGAACGAATGGTGCCGCTACGCCAGGATCGGTATTCTCTTCTTTCACGACAACTACTCGTGCTGGTGGACAAAGCGGAAGGTTGTTCAAAACGCAAGGACTAGCTATACCACTCTCCGACGAGATGCTACACCCCAAGCCGAATGCCGACGATGATGAGGAGGCGAGGATATTTGTGGATATCAACTCTCTAACCAAGATTGGGTGCTTTTCAGGAGATTGGGTAAGGTTAGAGGCAGCCGCAGAACCTCCTGCTAATGGAGTTGGTCTATTAGGCCTGGGGAGCTTTGGAGAAGCAGATGAAGACAAACCCTGGCGGCCTGCGAAGGTTTTTGGCCTCCCAGAAAACTATTCACACCGTCCCATGACCAAAATACCACGTGGTAAGCAAGAGGGTCGAAGACTGTCTTTTTTTGAGTCACAAGTTCAGAAACCCGCCACCCCGTCGGCTTACATGTCACCTATCCTCCTTGCAAATTTGGAGAACACTTCCTACTGTCGCATTGCTCCCCTGAAACTACCATCACAGGCAGTAACATTGAAAGCGCCGTCGGCTAAGATTACTGGCTCTTCTTCCCCCCCGGTGGCCAAGGAGTTAACTCTCATGAAGATCTCCACCCCTGCCTCTAACGAGCGCACCTTGCAAAACGCTTTGTTTGCTGGACTGAAAAAGCATTTTGCTGGAAAAACGAGAATCGTTAGAAAAGGTGACCTCATTGCTGTTCCAATCGATGAAGCCCTTGGTCGAACTCTAAGTCAGTCATCTACAAGCGAGGACCTTGAAATTGATGATATGTTATCAAACGCGAAACTCAATGACTCCGAACCTAGTAAATCAAGCAAGACGAGTGGAGTTGCTTGGTATAGAGTAAGCTACGTTGGTTTGACGAAGGAAAATACAGAAGGTAGCGAGGATGATGACGTATGGGGAGGTGTAGCCTCGATTGACGCCTCGAACACACGTATGATGCAGTCTGGGAGCGAAAATAGTCGCTTACCTGCAACTATGGAGAATTCCTGGGAACATTACTTGGGACTCAAGTCGATATCTAAGAATGATTTGGAATCCACCGCAATACCGGAAATAAAAAGACCACATGTCACGACTTTGCAACGACGATTGAGGGAATTAATAGCCACAGCCACAAGCCCTAGAGCTATACATCTGAAGCTACCGCCACTCGCAATATTGCTTGTGTCTACGCAACGTGGCATTGGAAAAGCAACATTAGCAACCAAGGCTTGTGCAGATATTGGTTTACATACCTTTAAGCTTGATGCTGTCGATATCGTCGGCGAAGGTGGAGCTGGAAGCGACGTCAAAACTGCCGGATTTCTAGAGGCGCGCGCTGAAAGAGCTATGAATTGTGGCCCTGAGTTTTGCGCACTCCTTATACGTCACATCGAATCACTCACTGCCGACAGAATGGTCACTACATTAAAAGAAATTCAAAGTGGAACGAGAGTGATTATTGCGACCACAACTGAGGTCGACAAGATTCCAGACGGAATCCGAGGCTTGTTCACTCACGAACTCGAAATGACTGCTCCTGATGAGTGGGAACGAGAGGGAATACTTCGTGCTATAATTGATGACCAAGCTATCGATCTCGCACTAGACGTAGACCTTAGTTCAGTCGCTGTAAAGACTGCTGCTCTCGTGGCCGGAGATTTAGTTGATGTTGTAGATCGAGCTCTTGTGGCACGGAACGCTAGGATAGAAATACTCGCAGCTGCATGTACCAATGCTGAAAATGTTGTTACAGTGCGCGATATTCTTGTTTCTGGTGGGGCGGCAGGTCGTTGCCTCACCAAAGCAGATTTTGATTTTGCAGTAGACGCCGCACGGAAGAATTTTGCTGATTCCATCGGTGCACCCAAGATTCCAAATGTTGGTTGGGATGATGTAGGTGGACTTTCGAATGTCAAGGATGCAGTAATGGAAACCATTCAATTACCTCTGGAGAGACCAGAATTATTCGCAAAAGGCATGAAGAAAAGGTCTGGCATTTTGTTTTATGGCCCTCCTGGTACTGGAAAGACTTTACTTGCGAAGGCTATTGCGACGGAATTCAGTCTCAATTTCTTCAGTGTCAAAGGTCCGGAGTTACTGAACATGTACATTGGTGAATCTGAGGCCAATGTTCGACGGGTCTTTCAACGTGCGCGTGACGCACGACCTTGTGTTGTTTTCTTCGACGAGCTTGACTCTGTCGCACCTAAGAGAGGCAATCAAGGAGACAGTGGTGGGGTCATGGACCGTATTGTGTCGCAATTGTTGGCGGAGTTAGATGGCATGTCTGATGGGGATGACGGTGGTGGAGGTGTCTTTGTTATAGGTGCAACTAATCGACCGGATCTTTTGGATGCAGCCTTATTGAGACCAGGAAGATTTGACAAGATGTTGTACTTGGGAGTAAGTGATACGCACGAAAAGCAAGAGACGATTTTGGAAGCTTTAACAAGGAAGTAAGTCATCTATCATATTGAATCAATATTGAATCACGCTGACTCCAATAGATTTACACTCTCCCCTACACTATCCCTTTCACGTGTCGCTGCCACACTTCCATTTACATACACCGGAGCAGATTTTTATGCTCTCTGTTCTGATGCTATGCTGAAGGCTGTAACTCGTCAAGCATCACTCGTGGACTCACATGTCGCCGAACTCAACTCCCAACGAGTAAGCGAGGGCAAAGGAAAGGTCTCAACAGCATATTGGTTTGATCATTATGCGAAAGAAGATGATTTACGTGTGGTAGTACAAGAGGAGGACTTTGAAGCTGCAGGAAGAGAGTTAGTTCCTAGTGTTAGTGCAGGAGAATTGGAGCATTATGCAAGAGTTAGAAGTCAATTCGAGAGCGTAAAAGATAAGGATAAAGGTGCGCAAAGACCTACCTCATCAGGAAGTTCGAGGAGTTCGAGAAAAGGGAAAGGAAAAGGAAGAGTAGATGTTAAAGGCAAAGGAAAGGCGAGAGACGTGGATGGGTGGGGTGAGAACGCCGAGGATGGTTATTATAATGGCAGCGATGAGGAACAACTTAATGGTACGGTCAGAGTGAAGGGGAAAGGAAGGGAGTCTGTACAAGGGCTATTTCAGGAGGGAAGTATGGAGGATGAAGAGAATTTATATTGATGATGTGTAAGGAAGGATATGTGAGGATGTATCTACAAAGGAGGAAGATAATATATAATTGATAAAGAACATAACCATATATACACCACCCGGAATCTATATAAAGGTAGACCATAATTCTTAGTTACTCTATCCTACTTGTTGTGGAAATATGAACCATCTCGTTGTGATTTTTAAAACATTATATATATCATTACTCCCCGACGTCATCAGATGATCCCCTATTACTTTCATGTCAGCATGCAATACGGAGTAAATAAGCTTTCTTTCACATGTAAGAATTCCACATATTCAGTCAAATTTTAGCCAATCAAATAATAATCCGATGACAATTATCCAACGGCGCAGCACAATGTGCACGGCCAGTGGAATTGACACAGAAACATGAATCTAACTCTCACATTGTTTGTTTGGTAAAAGTATCGCATTTCCTACTTGTTTTTGTGCGTGTTTCATTTTTCTTGTTTGGGAGATCATTTATCTCTATAATCGCTTGTAAAACTTTGTGTTTCATTTCGCTGGCTCGTAAAGGAATTGCTCGTGTTTTTTTTGGGTTTGTTTGGAAGCTTTGCCAGTTTGAGTTGGATTTTGTAGATTGTGACAGACGGAAGGCAGGGACAGGGGATAAAGGATCGTCACAGTTTCCATGATTTTGAGAGCTCCACTCGAACTCGAGCAAATTTAAATGACTTCGAGGTTCAACTCGAAGCAATTCAAGTATGTACAATATACCGCCATGAACAACGAACCTGAACTCGAATCCGCCTATGCGGGTCAAGCTGCGAAGCTCTCCCACGTTAAGCCGCAGGACGATGATACTGGGTCTGGAACGGCGAAAAGAGCGGATTATGTTACGCCAAGGGATACGGTCGTTGTTATGGAGGATGGAGGGCGATTGCCAGGGCCACCGTTACAGGAGGCGGAGAGATTGAATGGGCTTAGAAGGCAAGCAAGGGGAGTGGGTGGTAATATGAATAGCGAGGCTGAAGGGACAGGTGAACTTATGGACGAGGAGAACAGGCTCGCAGCGGGTGAGAAAGTGCAAAATTCACATGAAGATAGAGGAGATGATGGGCAAACCTCAGGCCAAGGTTCCCTTCGACGAGCTATGCCACCCTCGAGAACGCATCCTTTATTCCCACCTTTACCACTATACGGCCCCTCGTCGATTACGAGAAATTTACAATGTTGGACATTCAGAACTACTAGTTTTTTCTTGAGCTGCGCATTTTTGGGGCTTATTGTAATGGGAGCAGGAGTTATGAGTGTGCCAGCCATTTGCAGGTATATTTGGTATAAAGCTACATTTAGAGATCCAGACCGAGGAAGGGTATTCTACGATGAAGAGAAGACACGAAAAAGAAGGAGGAAAGAAGATGAGATGAGGTGGAAGAGATTAAATCGCCGAAAGTTCTCTCACGGAAAAATGGATGATAATGAAGATGAAGCGGGACAAGGGGAATTTGTACCGACAGAGGGAGGAAAAGATCCACTGGTTTGTGACGTGGGATATTATGCACGCAGGGTAGGCCTTGATGTTGAAGAGGTAAAGGTTCAGACGGAGGATGGATTTATTATTGTTTTATGGCATGTATACAACCCGAACGAATATACGCCTATGACAGCCGAACAGCGAGCCGCTCGTGGTCCAGAACTATTTACTGGTCAGGGGCCAAGTCGTCCACTTCCTTCGGCCTCTGATCGCAAACCAAAGTATCCCGTTCTAATGATTCATGGGCTATTGCAATCTTCCGGTGCCTATTGCACCAATGATGACCACTCCCTGGCATTCTACTTATGCAAACAAGGCTATGATATCTGGCTTGGTAATAATCGATGCGGTTTCACGCCAGAACATACCCTTCTTGAATACTCGGATCCTCGTATGTGGGCTTGGAACATTCGGCAGATGGGTGTGCTAGATTTACCAGCACTCACCTCTCGCGTTTTATCCGAAACATCTTTCCCCAAACTAGCCCTCATCGCTCACTCCCAAGGCACAACTCAAACGCTTGTTGCGCTCGCAAAAGAACAGCGTCCAGAATTAGGCGAAAAGCTATCTGTGTTCTGTGCATTGGCCCCTGCTGCATATGCAGGTCCTTTAATCGGGAAGGCTTATTTCAAATTTATGCGCATGATCTCTCCTTCATTCTTTCGCCTCATCTTCGGTATTCACGCTTTCATTCCATATATGATGACTATGCACAAAATTGTACCAGGGAAAATTTTTGGGGCTATGGGGTATCACGTTTTCCACTTTTTATTCAATTGGAGTGATGCTAGGTGGGACAAAGGAACCAGAGATCGATGTTTTCAATTCGCTCCTGTGTACGTTAGTGCAGAAAGTATGAGATGGTGGCTAGGGAGAGAGTGTTTCGCAAAGCAAAAGTGTATATTAGCAACAAAAGAGGAGGGTTTACAGGAAGAGGAAGAAGACAGATGGGTATCTGGTGAAACGTTAGATAATTCAGGTAGTAATGATGAGAAAAGGAAAGAGAAGTTAAAGGCTAAAGGAAAGAAAGTGATGGGCGCGTCAAGGCTGGTCGAGACTGAGATGCAATCCGGAACAGAAATAACGCACAAAAAGAGGAGGAGAGGACTCAAGGGAAGTACAGCTTGGTACAATGAACAAGCTCCACCTTTTGCGTTCTGGGTGGCCGGAACGGATGATTTGGTCGATGGTAGAAAATTACTTCGGAGATTCGAGAGGGGGAGAGAACCGTGTGTTAAGGTCGTGCATCAAAAAGTGATAGAGGAGTATGAGCATTTAGATGTAATTGTAAGTTTTCTCCATGGTTTATTCCCCTTTCCTCTTCTTGGCTCTTCAAATTCCAGCATACGTTGTGTATATCGTTTACTAACATAAATCGATCCGATAGTGGGCAGTGGATGTCATCGAGCAAGTAGGTCGAGAATTAAAAGAAGTGATTTGGAACACGTGTTCAGAGACAGATCGAAGCAAATGTCGCGTTCCTGTAGGATGCGAAGAGGTTGAAGTTTGGGATGGCGGAGAGACGTCTGCTGTCTCTGAAGGAATAGACAGCCCAGAAAGTAGTCAAAGTCAAAGTGACAGTGATCAAATCATCTGGACGTGAAAAATATGGATAAATGAGAGGAAGGTGTACGATAAGTGCAAGCTAAAGGTCGTCGATAGAAAACCAATAGAAGGTTATAGATAGAAAAGGTAAGGAGTTAGAATACCTTAAGTGGAAAGTAATCTCGGCGTTTGGATACTAGTTTATGAGTACACGGATATAGATTCGATGGTTTGTCTTGGGAAGGATTGGACTGGAAGGAGTGAATGTACTTGGAATTATTTCAACGGCGCAAATTACTGGGTCGTTTGATGGCTGTTGTATAATATATTGAATAATTAATAAATAAATATGATAAATTTAGGTGTTTCATGCAGATCTGAACAGGAAATATAAAATCATATCTTTGACTTGAACAGCTTTATAAAAATTTCGAAAAGAGAGGAAATTTTCTGAGCAAAATGAGAGATTATTATGTTTTTATAATCTTAGAGTTCAACGCCAAAAGGTAAGATCATACCCGAAGAAAAAAAAAGTTACTTGAGTCCAGGCTCAACAATTTCAGGATGTTGTAATTATAATCGCAATTACATTTTATAATGAAGAAAATTTTTTAAACTCTCATGTAGCTAGGTATAGAGTGGTAAGTTTGAGGCTTGATGATGACTTGGAGTTTGTTAGTTGTGGTGATTTATAAGTTAGAGGATGAGAAAAAACCGAGACAATGGAGGGAGGGGGTTTAGCCGCTAAGGTAGTTGGCTCAAAGTTTCGGCAGTCAGAAGGATGCTGCATTTAGCTTCGGCGGTTAGGAAGCTACATTTAGCTTCATCCCTAGCCAAGAATCACTCGCTTCATCCCTAGCCAAGAATCACTCGTATTATCCCCGCTAATCTAACTTAATTAGCCCTAAGCCAACAACTTTTACATCTCTATTTTCTCATTTCGTTATGGTTTTAATAGCTAAAAGGATGTATGGTTGGATAAATGATGTCATCTATTTATCCTTCTTATTCTCAATTCACTTACTGGGGAAAGGAATAATGGACTGAAAGTTCATCTTGTAAGATCTAAAGATATGAATTCTTTTCAATCTTTTACTGGGAGACTCATGGGCCCTTGAGATGTAAGAATACTTGTGTTACGTGCTAATTTGTGGGGTTATAGTTAACCCCCTATTTTCTTCGCCAATTGTTAGCGATAAGAAACTTACACCTAGACAAGTTGATACCAAAATGATGTAATTAAACATAAATCTCCTTGGGAAACTGGAGTTTTAACTTTAGCTTCTGGTTGTGATTGGTACCGGTGAAGATTCGAATCGTGTTAGTACTGGAATATGCAACTACATGGAGTATCGCCACCTGCTCAAGTATTGCACCACTATATGCCGAACTACGAATGCACTTGAATTATGAAATACTGGATAAAGACAGAATGTCCTTTGAACTAGTGTGATACAGATTTAGTGAACTGACCCATATATACATCTTCTCATCCCAAAGATGTCTTCAAAGAATTACAAGAATATTTTGTTGCAGATCTGATACCCCTAATACTCATTCTTGTATCATTCTATATCTAACAATGTCATTAGGAAGCAATTATGTTCGTGACATGGAAATTGGAAATGATACCGTGGTTCCATCACTTAAGCTTCTGCTCGATCTTATAGTCCCAAGCAAAACCAGCGACAGAGTAAGGCGTGTAACAGATATTCTGTCATAATCAGTAGCTGCGAAACTACAATCAGTGATAACTTTGCTGAGTTAGTCGACTTGCCGGACAGGAAATGTTAGGAGAAAGGGGATAATACCTATTGATATTCGATGTGTTCTGTAGATTATTAAGTTTCCTCTCTCGATCTTCAATATTTATGTGACATCCGGTGACGAATCGAAAAGTGTACGATATATTGGAGCAATTGTTAGATGTCTGGTACACATAATATATGTTTCAGTGTCTTGGTCTTACCATTAATTTGGCTGCGTATCTGAAGATGATGGGTAGTTAGTGATGTCTTTTCTGTGCAGTGTGGTGCCGAAGGGCCTGTAATTATTAGAGCAAAAATGCTGCGAGAATGGAAAAATAAACTGATATTTAAAGCAAATAAATGAATGTATGAGATTTTTCGGGTTGCATCGATGGTGATATTCCAATCTTGGTAAGTTTTCATTGAATTCCTTGGGAGCCGGCAAACAGCGGTTCAAATCTCCCATCCTCATCCTCTCCCATCCTATCCTAGAACCAGGATGGAGGCCCTATATCCTGTAAACTTCGTAAATATCCTCATCCTGCCTATCCTTTAAAAAAGCCGAATTTATCCTATCCTGAATAAAAGGATATAAATGATATCACATGATATATACTGGAGAAATAATAAATTAGCCTTAATACTTAAAAATATAATGAATTATAAATCGAAAATAAATTAATTTATAAAAAGAAAGATTTAATAAATAATTTGTTAAAGTGAATGGTTCCTGCGTAGCACGTGCACAGGGCACTAGTCCTGTTAGGACTAGATTGAGAAGCTCTCTGTAACGATACTGTACTAAAGGCAGCGGCTGCCTAAGGTTCGTCGGTTGGTAGTTATAGGTTAAGGCTTTATCACTGGTATTCACTTGAAAGTGAATTCGTTACTAGATCAAATAGAATGTAGGTAAACTAATTGATAACTAAGTTGAGCACGAAGCTCCTAAACTATGAAACTACTCTGACTATATAATGAACGAAGAAGGGAGCCCCTAGGAGCTTTGAGGGCTCCTTATCACGTGATTTCTGATGGTGCGTGCATACACGATCTTCAGGTGACCAAGATCACATACTAATTCGATGAAATCTGATCATGTTTGCACAAGGCCTAAGCTCTCCTAATTAATCAGTTTGCTACCATCGTAACACCATCAATCCTAATGGTGAATCGTGACACTCTCTTACAGAGAGCTTCGCACTTCCGTAGAACTTAGAAGTGAGATTAACCTACTAGACCAATATTACCTCAGTGTTACGAGGTTTGCCGTCTAGATCACGTGGAAGTGCTCTAGGCTCTCGAGGTGGTTTATAACTAGGCGTCAAGCAGGGACTTAAGTAATGACAATAATGAAATGCAATTCGTAACTAATAGTAGGATATACTAAATGATTGATCTTGAGCACGAAGCTCTATACAAAGGAAATCCATCTTGATTATATAGTCCTTCATGCTTCCATGATTACTAGTGATCCTTCATGATCATTAGTGATCATCTATATCGTGATCCTTAGTGATCCTTAATGATCACCAGTGATCACCTATACCGTGATCCTTAGTGATCCTTAATGATCATCAGTGATCACCTATACCGTGATCCTTAGTGATCCTTAATGATCACTATTGATCATTTGTGATCACGTGCCTTGGTAGTTGTGTAGCCCGTCGTAACACTCAGTTCTGCCCTATCAGCTTCCCACTATTCCCTGTGTGAGGTCATTCCTTTTAACATAATTCTTATTTTTATAATTAAAACAACAATAAGATTGCAATTATAATAAAAATAACTTGAGATTCTAATTATATAATAATAAATTAAGTCTAGTACCCCCTTTTTGGACCACCTGTGACGGAAATCCCTGCTTTCCTCCCACCCTTATTATATAAGAAACCTCAGGTACATTAACCATGTCCACACATGATACGATTACTCGAGATTAGTATGCGATTTAGGTGACCTGAGGATCAGATCCGGACAAGTACTAGGTATCAATGGTTATCGGTAAAGTAAGATCATTGGAGGAATAAATATGACTTCTTTTTGCCTAGCCATTGCGGCTAGGCCATTCATTTGTGTATATATAGAGTAGCTATCCCCATCTACAGGTGCTCTTCACCTGTAGATTCTAAGTTAAATACAATTGCTGGTCTATAAACACCCTTTTGGTCACACCACCCCTCTTTTGAACCATCTTTTTACATCAAAAATCGTGATTTTACCTATTAATAACTTTACAATTAATCGATAGAATTTAATAAAATTTGGATTATTATTTTATTATATAATTATTAGTGATTTTATTGATTGAAATATAAATGATTGAAATTTCAATTTTCAGTTTGTATAGGATTTCTATTGTTACGAGGTTTGCTGTCTAGATCATATGGAAGTGCTCTAGGCTCTCGAAGTGGTTTATAACTAAACGTCAAACAAGGACTTAAGTAATGATAATGATGCAATTTGTAACTAATAGTAGAGTATACTAAATGATTAATCTTGAGCATGAAGCTCTATACAAAGGAAATCCGTCCTGACTATATAGATCTTCATGCTATAGATCTTCAGGACCCCGAAAGGTCCTGGACCTAAGAATATGTTGGACCTTTATTTTTCGTGCATATTATGTAGAGTCAATCACGTGATTGAATCATGTGGTAATGGGCTTGTGGAGTCCGACTGTGACGGAAAAGTCGTAAACGGAGTCAATTCAATTACTTAGAATCTAAAACTAAAGAACTAAGAAGATTCTAAGTAAGAAGGTCTTTATATACAGGGCTAGTGCACGTGAGCCACTAGTGGGGTAACAACCGTCACGTAACACCGACGTAACAAATTGTATATACAAAAATATTTAATCAATAATAAAACAATAACTGTAAATTATTTTTTTCAAATAATTTGATTTATTCAATCAATTATAGTGTAAATATTTGGAAAAGATTTATAGTTTATTTTTAATAATTTTTGTTGAAAAGTTATTTAAGATTTTCGAATTCTTCAAATTTGAATATAAATGTTACGCCGGGTAACAAGAAGACGCTCACGTGTTACCAATATCATGTGACTGACTCGGTGAGGATCAGCAAGCTCAGTACTGAGCCATACTGATCCTACTGATCAGCTAGAACACGAAGGTCTATATAATCAAGATGGATTTCCTTTGTATAGAGCTTCGTGCTCAAGATCAATCATTTAGTATATCCTACTATTAGTTACGAATTGCATTTCATTATTGTCATTACTTAAGTCCCTGCTTGACGCCTAGTTATAAACCACCTCGAGAGCCTAGAGCACTTCCACGTGATCTAGACGGCAAAACTCGTAACAATAAATCCTACACAAATTAAAAATCGTGATTTCAATCATTTTGTCACGATTCATTAATTCATGTGACCTCGAGGACCTTTTGGACCTTAGGGTCCCAAAGGTCCTCAAAAGATGATATAGGGTATATAAACATTCATTTAGTCTCGTAGTTAAGGAGCTTTGTGCTCAACTTAGTTATCAATTAGTTTACCTACATTCTACTTGATCTAGTAACGACTTCACTTCCAAGTGAAGACCAGTGATAAAGCCTTAACCCACAACTACCAACCAGACGAAACCTTAGGCAGCCGCTGCCTCCAGTATAGTATCGTTACACATTTATATCTCAACCAATAAAATTGTGAAAAATATAAAATTTACAGAATCAATACTTTTGAATTATTAATAGCTGAAAATGGTAATTTTTGGTGTAAAAGGGTGGTCCAAAAGAGGGGTGGTCCAAAAGTAGGGTACTAGACTTACAGGGATTTTTCAACCATCCTCTCCTCTTTTATCCTATCCTGAACCCTATAAATCCTACTATATCCTCAAGGAAAACTTTATATCCTTATCCTGCCTATCATTCAAATTGAAGCTATTTTGCCTATCCTTAGTTCAAGGATAGGATAGGATGGGAGATATGAAACGCTGCCGGCAAACTTCCAGCTTTGCCGGGAAGCACTTAACAATCTATAGAATTAACAGGAGAAATCAGAAGCAAGTCAAGCGCAAAGGCGGAGGGGGAAATCATCTTCATCCCAAAACTAAGTGAATGGTAACATAGTAACTAAGATCCGGAGCATGAACCCCTTTTATCCCCCGCTGTCATTCTCATTCACAATCCTTATATCCACCCCCCTCCTTCTTCTTCCATCCTAAATACTTAGATTACTGCAGACATATGAAATAGAAGTGAAGAGCTATAGAACGAAACATGCAATTGATATTCATTCCAACGCCCAATTATCCAAAGTATGATAAAAGAATAAACAAAATCTGCCCACCTTCAATAATTCTCACTGTATTCCTTTCATAATATTCTAAACTTCTGCCCTCGGGAACCTAGTAATTTCCCATCCAGAACAGCTACAAGCTGGTTATACATACCTCTCTCATCTACCGTGACAGGAGACGACGATCGTGAACATTCCTGCTCTGAATATGATTAAAATGAGAAGAAGTAGAGGAAGACATTTAGTAGAGCTGCAGCGGACAGAATGCATTTCTACCTTGGTTGGAAATTGAATGGTTTGCATAGTTCAATGGTGCCTCCCGAGTGGTGTATACCATTTGCAGTGCTTAGCGGTATTATGCAAGCCTGGTTCAGTTGTAATCTGAGGACCGTAAGGTAAAGACTCGAGGGATAAAAAATGGTGAATGGAAGTGTTGGTGGAAGCACTCGATGAAAACAGATGAGGAAAGAAGTCGATGAGAGACAGTGGAGAAGAGGCAGCCGAGGAGAGAATTCGAGAAACGATTGACAGACAGTCAAACAGAAATGGTGGGACAATTCGCAGCAAGAAAAGAGCTAGCGACCGAGGAATCAGCTGAGGAAAGAAGATCAAAAGGGCGCATTTCAGAAATAAAGCCCACAACTGACACAGAAAACGAAACTAAGGAAAAGGTTCTATGGTTTTATTCGCGTTCAGACCTAGATAGCATTCTGCTCGGTTCCGCGGAGAACCATCTTTGACAAAACTGTAAAGCCGGTCATTCAAAAAGTCAATTGTGCCATACAGGCAAAGGCACATTCTTTAGATAAATTAGGTGCCGCACGAGACGATAAAAGCCAAAACCCGTTTCCTAGATCATCCAAAAGGCACCTTAAGTAGAGAACCCACTCACTCACTCCAAGCTCAACGGCCTTTTGCTACATAGTCATGCCGCATACTCCTTTCTCATAATCGAAAAGTGAACGACGACATCTAAAGCTGCGAGGCCAACATTAAATTTTCTAGGGCAGGTGCTGGAACATACCTGTTAGATAGACGTATTAAGACCTACATTTAGCACGACGAGCTTATCTTAGGGCGCAGGTGTTTTATTGCTGGTAGACATGGATTTAGGTGACAGAGTTTTTCCTTTCAACGCAATCTGTCAGCTCTGTCAATGACAAAGAGTCTATACCTCAAGTCAATCTAAGGGGAATACCGTCGGCTAGTTGGGGGTTTGTCATGTCTTTCTCCCGTTTCGATATAATTCGGACAGGATCGCAAGATCTTCATAGGTATGCGTAGATGGATTTATAGTTGAGGATGCGTTCTCAAGAGCAACTACGCATCTCGAAAGACTTGAAATTGCTTAAATACACAAAAGTTGAGTGTTAGGCGTATTCTATCAGGTACCGTGGTTAATAAAATCAAAGAGAAGAGTATCACTTCAGTCATTCACCTCTTCGTTGTACGGGTCAATTTCAGTTCATGGTCATAATCAGTTACAATGCCTCGTATAAAGTCCATAATGATGAGGGAAACTCGAATATCGACCACTTCAAAATTTCCTGTATCATTCCGGAAAATACTGCATGGAAATGAGAGATGAGAATCAAGTTTGAAAAGAGATCAGTAAAGTTTGACTGAAAATTTATTGTAAAGGCTATGTTCTTATTTTATGGACAGATAAGTCGAGCAAAGAACTATCTAAATACAGAAAAAAAGTAAAGAAGCTTTTCAGCTTAACTATCATTGAAGCGAACCTCTCGATCGTGAGAATCATTTATGTAACGATGAACCTCAAAACAATCACTTCCTTCCTCACGAAGTTACATATTACCAGAAACCTTGGCATATTCTGGAAATTGAAATCGAAAAATAAATGCAATGTGTATGTGTTTGTGCGAAAAAGCACTTAAGAAAGATATTGCTTTTTTGTGGAACAAGATAGGAAATGAAATGGGTGAATGTGACCCCATCATTCTGGTCATTTTTTCTGCCGCTCTGTGTGTACTTTGAAGATATGAAGTCTAGTGACAATTTTATGACCCGTAATTGTCTTGTTTTGGATTAAGAAATCCGCGATGAGTATCTGTCTAATTTTTGTCATGTCCGCGAGTACCTGACTTTCATTGTATAAGAATGGTTTTCTTCTTGTATATCTCACTTCCTTGGCCTATGTGTGAGGTGTGTATTTGCTGGAGGAGAGGTGGGAAGAGGAGGGTCAAGACGTGGCTCTAATAGTTGGTCACTATGTTGTTCAGAGGTAAAAGATGGGGGTGGAAACGAAGGGAATGAGGTTTTGGATATACCATTGCTCATCTGGATGATGTTAGCTGCTGCACAATTATTAATCTCAACTTTTGCGGGTGTGCCTACATTTGTGTGTTGCTGAGTTCCAAACTGTGGTTCTTGAACAGCGGGTGTCTGCCATTGATTGCGAGCCTGACCATGTAAATTGGCGTTTGCTAGTGGCGTCCAAGAATTTCTCTCTGGGAATAATGGTAAATGCCGCTCATCTAGGACGGACGGATATTTAATATGGGAGAAGCTTGAATTATTTAGCGTGTGGCCCACTTGCTGGAAAGAGTGATTTTGTTCCTGTGGATTTATGAACAGGGGTGACTGCAGTGGTTGATTGTGAGAAATGGCTAATTGGTTAGTGTGCACTGTGGCCTCTCTTTCTCTCTTCAAATTCTGGTTGTGAACCCTCTCTATGTATGGGTTCATAATTTGTTGGCCCAGTTGCTGGAAAGATTTTGTACTCATGGGAGTTTTCTGATGCTCAAACTGGCCGTGATGACTAGCCTGAAATTGTCTGTTAAATGGTGTCTGTTGTTCTGTATTTGAGGTGGCATAGTTTTGTGGATCAGAATACATCTTGCCATGGCTGAATTGCTCAAAATTGTCTAGGTTTGGAGGAATTGCTTGAATTTGGTCCATCTGTTGAGAAGAGTTTAGATTCGGAGGCCCTCGTTGCATTTGTTGCATTTGGTGCATTTGCTGAACACGTCCTCTGTCTTGGAATTCATGAGCTTGCCATCCATCAACATTGACCTGGTATTCATTTTGGGGACTCAAAGAACCTGGAAAATGATGGCGATTGTATGAACGTTCGATTTGACATCTCCCTAGAGATTCATCGAGACTTCCAGAATATCTATGTCCTTTCTTTGACGGTGTATTTTTCTGGATACCGCTGTATCCCAGTAAAGTCGAACTAGCCTTTTTGGCTGCAGCCTTCTCCGCAACCCTCTTGTCGTGCTCCTCGATGATTCTATCGATGCCGTTCTTTTTTCTTCGTCTAGTAGAACGTGTCGGTGTGGATGACGAGGTCCCTCTATTATCTCCGTTGTATCTATGATTTTTGGCCGAGAGGAAAGGTACTGGTGAAGAGGAAGAAGGTTCAAGTAACGGTGTCATGATATTTGAAGTTTCACTGAAGGAAGAAGCCTTTGCCGAAGACCTAGAATGCTGTTTTATTTCTGATGGAGACATGACTGGAGACATGGTAGTCAGAGATTGTAATAAGGAATTCGGTACCTGCTTGGTATCATCAGTTCACTGTAGATTCATTTAAAAGCAGAGTATTATTACCTTGCAGTATTGGTTACCTCTCATCACCTCCTCGAGATGCGTATCAACTGGCATAATCAAATGACTTCCAACTTCAGACTCAATTGATTCGGCCTCCCCTCTAGAGATTGTGTTGGATTTCACTGAATTCCCCCCAAGCTTATCTACAGTCCCTTGTAGAATTATTCCCTTTATGTCTTCCTCAAGTGAAGAATACTTGTTGCTGGAAGACTTATCTTCACTGTTGGTGATCGAGAGCTCATCAACTTTGCCCGTGCTATCTTCAAACAAATTGAAAAATTCTCCCTCTGGGAGATTTAAGAATCCATCATTTTCTGACAGATCGAAGGATTCTTCTCCCCAATTGCCTTCAGAGAACGACATTTTTGACAATGAAAGTAAACAAAGTATTTGCAGAAGGAGAAGTATTGAGTGTGGAAAGGTTCCCACAAACCACTAACCTTTTTTTTTTTTATCCCAATGAATGTTTGGGAAGTTTCAAAAATGATTACAAGGAAAATCTTAACTTGTGAAATTGAAGTTGATGGATAAATATAAATAAATGCAAGCGCCGAGCTTAAGCGAATCTAGTACGATCAAGCATTGATCTATTCCAAAACATAGAATTCATCTCAAGGAAGTAAACAATGGAATGAAATCGAAAAGCAGTAAGCAATTTCCTAGTGTAAGGTTTTCCTATATGTCGAAATTATATGAGATGATTGACTTATTTGCATGAAAAGTTAAATTCATTTTCTTCATTGAATTTCCAAAGCTGGAACATAGACGCTACTCACATTATACTCAGAAGATATCACAGCATTTATGTCCCAAAATATTGGAACCATCAAACTTGGTTTTTAATCACTGAATTATAAGACGAGTTTTTTAAAACATTCACATGGCTGTTCGTTTAATTATACTTATAAAAAGCTCCACTCAAAACTCCTGACGCACAACCTATATAAGAAAAGAATGTCCCTACAGCTAAGACCTGGCTTCCTGTTTATTAACTTACAAAAGCATCTTTGCAATACCCTCGCCCGTCATGTTGCCTAGCAACTCTTGTTGTAACAGGATATTGATCAGGTGACTTCCGTCCTACATGCCGTGGTTGTAGTTGCACAAGTGGGTATTGAGTATGGGGCTACTCAGACTGTGGGATGTAAACTCCAATCTTCTTTTTATCTTGCCGACGTGGCAAGTCGTCTGGCACATAGAAAAGTTCAATTTGCATATTTGAGCCCTGATCTTGTCGAGTCTGGTACAAACTTTCTGTCCTTTGGTAACTCGTGGAAGAAAACCGTCTATGAAGAAAGTTCTAGTGTTTTGTCTGGGGAATTGTGCTCACTGTTGCATGAAACTCAGGAGAATATCCCTGAAAAAGTAAACGATTAAGGAATTTGAAGCACCGACACAGTGGTGAATAGTCTGATGAACTTAATGAACTTAAAGAACTTTTGGTACCTACTCTTTACAAAGACCGTAAATATGCCCTTTCTTTTTCTCATGTCTCTCGTTGTTCCTTATGCCTTTTGGCCATCTCTTTGATGTTCATTTAATCCTCTGTTATTTTCTCGACCCCGTACTTTTTTCTCTGAGAGTCGTCCGGCAGGTACTTTTGGGGTTTCTGTGTTTAGAAATTTAAGTTAAGGTCTACCGAAAATGATGGTGGGATGCAGTCTAACGTTACCTAAACGACATAATTAGCGATGGTAACACTTATCATTTATGTTTGTAATCATGATCGGTGATATTCAATTCTTAGTTGAATCTTTGATCCTAAGTTCTGAAAATGAACTCACACGAAGGAGAAAAACACACATTACCATTTCAATAAACCCACCGCATGATTGATTTACTAGCTCGAGTGGCATACCTTCAACCGGGATCACCGTCATAGATCCACCAAGAACCCTTCATCCTTACCACTTGGCTATGCTAGTAGAATCTAAATCTAATACTTTGATCAAACGAGTATCTGACGGCACTAGAATTTAGCTTTAACTTTTAGCTTTGATGGAAGTCTAGGATTGGATTTATCAGAATGTTTATCAATAGGGCTTTGAATATATATTGCAGCCTGTTATCGAATATTGAAATAACGACGCGGTGAGAATAACCATATTAAAGAACTCAAAATACATCTGGATGTAGTAATACATAAAGATTTGTTCAAGATTCCCCAATTAACTTCTACATTTACGAAAGTGTCTTAATAGAGACGCATGCATAAGTCACGGAATCAGCAGTATTAGGTTTCAAACCCTCATTGGCGTGATTTAGGTCTGCGGATACGAAGAAGTGAAAAATGATGTTACCTATTTACCACATCATTATCTTCTTTTTTTTTGCAGTTTGGCTGCTAAGATTGTATCCAAAATGGCTAAAAATCTTCTAGGATACAAATTGCCATCCCAAGAATTCAGAATTTGGCCGGCCAAAAAGGAAAGATCGTATGTAGTAGGAACAGCAGAAAATGGTCGATTGATTCGACCAACAACCTTAATATATGAGTTACACATCCATCATTCATCCCCTAAAACAAAAGGAGGTAGCACTCTAACCTATATTATCTAGAGTCCCTACAAAGGGAAAAGAAAATATAATTTTCTGTCCCTGTATAAATCATTAATTGGATTAACATTAAACTTATAGTCCTCATAATCCTCAAAGTCTCGTAAAACACCGCACCCTTAAACCCACCGATTCCGATTCCGATTTCGATTCCATTAAAACAACACAATCATCTCTGCCATATCTTCACCTCTCACCTCTCATACCGTAAATAAAACCCCAATCCCCCAAAATCTCACAGCAAACAACTCTCCTCCACTCTCACCATCCCCTCTTCGCTTTCCTCCTCCCATCCCCCAACATCCGCGCATACAGAATATTCCCCCTTCCTCATCAGACCAAAATCCAGATTCATCTCCATATTTTCCCCCAGATGATTTTTCATAAAAACATTCTTGTTGCTCGATTCATGATTTGCGTTTTTCGTTTCGAAATGTGTTGGAGTATTATTAAGTGGGAAAATTGTTTTGCTTGGTTTGGTGATTGATGGGTTTGTGGGTGGTTTGTTTACTTTCTTTGAGAGACGAGATAAGTTAGCTCAAGGATATGTAGATCTAGGATTTAGATCTAGATAGCAGATTTGAACGAACGGAAAGTCGGGTGACTTACTTTGTGTTGGGTATCTGGATGGATAGATGGGGTTCTTGTTTTTAACATGGTTAGTTAACTAGTATTATCAAGTGGGTTTTGGAAATTTGGTCGTGAGTTGTTTGCAGGAGCGGATTTGTGGGTGGTTTATGATATCCTGATAGATTTAAAAGAGGAAGATGAACATTATCTCCAGGGCTGTATATGTATGATGATTTAATGACATCAGAATAGTGAATAGCAGTTGAAGATAGGCTGTGTTTGTATTCCATTGGTCCTCTATCTTGGGGAAACTACAACTTTCATCTTATAATACACACAAACCTTATTGTAGGAAGCCTCGGTTATGTTATGATTCAGCCCAAAGTCTATCTTGTTGACATCCGATTCGATATATTCAATGCTCGAGCTCTCCTTGAATAATGCAGAAGGATTATTTAGATAGATTCCTGAAGAATATATATTATTCGGATATTCGAGGGAACTCCATAGATTGTTTCACATCTATCCTATTTTATTTCACTTTGAAGTTCGAGAGGAGACCAAAAAAGACGAGGAAAGATTTACCAAACTCACTTGAAAGTGATACGGTGTTTTTAACATATCTACATATCAATGCACATGACCATACATATTTTTTTCTTTTATAGAATCCTTCAAGTTTTGCAGAAATAGCTTACAAGTGGTTCAGAAGAGATAATTATGATATTCGCAAGTAAGATATCAAGATCGAACGTCACTCATGAATGAAATTATGGAATTAGAAAATACAAATCAGCTTTCTATCACAAAGATTTGATAAATTCCTGAATATATGAAGGAAATGAGGATGTCCCAACGAGAAAGAAGCAATCTCAGCATCTAAAAAACATCAACATACACATCAACTACAAACATTCCCCTATCCCATATACTCCAAGCACAAAAACCCATAACCCAATCCCCCAACCTTCCTTCCACACTCTTACTCTCACCCTCAAACCCCATCACCCCCTCTATATCTCCACACCTCACTCCCTCCCTCTCATCCCTCTCATCCCCACCACAATAATTCCAACAATATCTCAACGGACTCGAGAACGAACCATACCATCTCTAACTCCATCACTCTCTCCAAACCTCTATTTCTCCCCTCATAGACAATACCACTATCATAATAATTCCACTTCCCACAAGAAACAGTATTTCCTCACCCTCAGGGTAGATAAATCTCTCTGCTCTATTAGCTACCGCTCTGCGACATATACAATTTAGTTTTTTTAGCGAGGAAATGTTGGATTGGTGTTTTAGATATGGGGGATGTTTTGTATTGTGCTTCGACTGGTTTCAATAGATATAGATACAGATAACCCCCAGAATTATTTTCCTGATCTTCAACTGCTTGAAATGGATTATTGAATAGATTGCTTCCGAAGAATTGTTCGTTGTTTTTGGTGGTGTATACCTGGTTATTGTTATGATTTAGTATCTCTGCTTGATGTGAGGTATCATTATCATAGGAGAAGTAATTATCATTACTCATCGACTCGAAATTTTCATGATATTCCGAATCCTCATCTTTATCTTCTTCATTTGAGTTGTCTGAAAATGCGGCGGTTAGCTCAGATTCTGGATTATTTTCATCCCATTTTTCAATTCTCTCTGGTTGAGTAGCGGATTTTCCATCATAACTCCCATCAAAACCATACTTAAAACAATCCCGCAAAGCAAAAAAACCCAAATCTCCCTCTCCAGAACCTACTCCCCCTCCAGAACCTACTCCCCGCCCAATTCCTCAAAACCCCCAGCAAACGAGAATCCCGCACCTCAGCCAAATCCATCGATCCTAACATTTCAACCCCCAGTAGGTAAAAATAATTGAGCTTCCCTTGGAAATGAAGCGTAACTCCAGAAATCTCCCGGCAATCGCAGCATAATTATCTATTAACTAATTACCATACCACTATCACCATTCTCATCATTCAATCATGACAATAGGTAGGTACCTAAGGACACTGATAAATTATCTACTCACCGAATTAGAACAACGACAACTGTTCTCTTATTTTCCCACTATTTTCCATCTCTATCATTTGCTTTAACCTTCCGCTTTCTTTCTTTCTTTCCTTCTCCCAGTTTTCCATGTTCCCAGTAATGGAAGATATACTTCTTAAACTCACTATCTGAACTTTGATAGCTTCTAGAATATTACATAGAATCACAAAAGAGAATCAAAGATAGCGCTGCAAATCCAACAATATCTGTAAGATCTTATACCACACGAACGTAAATAAATGTTCGAATTGTGGAGTTAGATGAAATCCAAATTCTTGTTGTGATATTGCGAATAGATAATGGTAAGATTACATAGGAGATATTTGACAGGGAGAGTTTAAATATAATACCCACAATATGTTTGTTTGTCCGTTGTACGGTTTCCATACAGCTAGGAATCTATTGTATCAGTTGTTGATACTGTGCGCCAGTTCTACAATCAAGTAAGTGTAGTTGTAAAATTTTAAAGCCTGCGGTATATAGAATACCTAGTATAATTATCCCTCAACCGAATATATCAGGACTGAAAACAAGAAACATCACTTAATGATCAAAACACAACAAGGTTAGATTATCACAATATATAAACCCAGACGGTTTCTTTAAATCGCTGGTGAATTGATATAATCTTGCCATAGGTAGTATTTACCTAACCACCAAATAAACCAAAGACGACCAACCCCCCCCCCCCCCCCCCCCCCCCCCACAAAAAAAAACGCAAACCTAAAGACCCATACAAGAAGCCGCCGCACGCGCCGTTCTCCTAAGAGAAAACCACTGTCGATATTTATTCCAGGGTATATTTCCCACAGCAGAAACCGTATCAATCGCCTGCATAGAATAAGACAAGCAATAACGGAGATTCGATCTACCCGGTTTGGGTTTCCTAAGATTCCCATTTCCGATTGTAAGACTTTGAAGTTTCCATTGGAATTCGGCTCGTGTCATGTCTGTGTATGAAAACTCGATGCCGAGATTACGGTATTCTCTCTTGTGTAAGGCGAATCGGAGCCCGTTTAGTGAGGTGGAACTTTGCGTGCGGTTCCGTCTTCGTCGGGATTTGTTGGATTTTTGAGTATTCTTGAATCGGCTGACCCAGGTTTTGGAAGGTGCTTCGGAGTCTAGGGTACTGGGAGATGAATCTTGGTGTGCTCCACTACAGCTGATGTTTCTAGAGATATCGGCTCCTCCGCCTCGAATTTTAGTCGCTGCTTGCTCTGATGATTTCTCAGGTTTGTTCTTTATCAATTAACTTTGTTAGTGTTTTTCATAAGAGTGAATGACGAATAATTTCTTACCGAATTATGCTGCATGCCTTTTCCAACGTCTGACTTTGAGTCATTATTCGACTTCGAGGTAGTGTTTGACGCGGAAGTGGTGTCCCTAATGGGAACATTGTTCGGACTCAGAGTATTATCATCGCGAGAATCCGAACCAAAAGCTCTGTTACTACTAAGTGTCAATTGCAACGCAGCATCATCCACAGCATTATCCTCATTCTCCCCGTGCTCTTCAGAAACATTAGGTTCGCGCCTCCCACCAAGTTTCTCATCCTCGACAGAAATAGAACTTCTTCGGCTAGGATTTCTTCTATATCGTAAACGTTGGCGTAACCATCCTTCATTTCTCCGTCTCCACTGCGCCAGAGGAGACCACCACGGTGAGTATAATTCATGTGTAGTTCTTAGACGCTGATATTGTATAGACTGATGACAGGACATTTTATCGCTGGATTGGAGAATGCTGTTGTCGGACCAATCGGTTATTGGATTAATCAGGAATAGAAATATATCTCGAATATTATGCTGCTTCCAAAATTGAAGTGAGATGATATCTATGAGATGATGTTGTTGTTTGGAGGAATATCATTTTTGGGAGGTTGGTGTTTTGTATATATGTTATACATAATTTTTTACGGTTACAGGGGTAATTTAGACCTTCTGGTTTTACCAATACGGTAGGTAGTGACCGTAGTATTGGAAGATTTGTGCTTTCCATATTTCATATTACTCGGGCAAGGTTGTTTCATTGATCAGATTTCTTCATATTCATAGGGATAAGTAAACATATTGATAATAGTCAACATATTCAAGAATAATATTGGACCGCAGACGTGGTTACATGAGGTTAAGATACTTGCGACACAACACTAGATGTATGTGTCTACCTAATACATATATCAATGAACAAAAAAGACACATTACATACAACACAAATATACCCATCTACCCGCAACCTCGTATCAATCTATCTCGTGAAAACATAACCACAAATCCTCTCACCCAGAAAATGTAATCCAAAACTAATAATCCCATAACCCATACTTTACCATCCAGAACCCGCCTATAACAGCTGTCTATCAAATACTAATAATACTACCTCACAACATCCACCATCCACCACAGTCCAATCCAAATACAAGTCCTACCCAAGTAATCACTCACAACTTCCATAATATCCCTTCAATATCTACCCTGACTAATCAAACTCCATTACATTATAGATAAAGAGTATATACCGAACTAACTCACTCTAACTTCAAACAAATTGGCATGTAAGTTGTAATTACGTAGCTAATCAGGATCAAATCCTAATTAATAGCTACTCGTCATCATCAATGGTAGTACATGTATACACTCTTTGGCCAGATATTTTCGACAAAGGTACATACTAGGTACCTAGTAGCTAGGTAGAAGAAGACTTTTCCCATATTCACGAACGCTACTAGGCGGCTTTTGGAATTAGTGGTAGCTTGATGAGACGCTGCGTCATGCAATAAGCTTAAGAGTAGAGAAGAGAAGAGGTCAACCTGGTGGTCAAATAAGCGAGATAAAGTGGGTCTACTAGATTGATTGATATCCGACTAGTAAGTCTTACAAAAGATGACCTCGAGATACGTATGAACACCATAGAAAACAATCAAAACAGTCCTCCATACAACCTATAGTATGAACCAATGAAAGATTTTGTAAGATGGCCAAGATCCTAATCACCCATGTTCTCTGCATATTCCTCTCCATCCGCTTCCTCCCCATCCTCCGCTCCGTATTCATTCACAGCTACTAATGTGTTCTCCAAATACTCATCGAACGTATCATAAGGCGTCCAGCATTTCCTGAGAGAACTAGGTACTTTCGAAGATCTTCTCCACATTCCTGGCATTTTTCTCAATCGATGTTCTGCCATTGTAACCTGCGTGTCATGCACGCGAACTTTTCTCGCGTTAATTCTAGTAGCGAAGCGGATCGTACTATCGAAGTATGCTGTGGTTGCGGCTGATGACATACTAGCGTTAGATGGAAAAAGTGACGCGAGCCTCAAGACTGGGGTTGGAGGTGGTGAGTACGAGGGAGGTGATGAAGGTGATTGTAATGGAGGTGATGGTTGGGTTTCTCTCATTGAGTCTTCCATGTTCATCTCATTGTCGTCGCTATATTCTGAAGACGATATTTCTCCATCTTCGGAAAGATGCTCAGAATACTCCTGCTCCGAATATTCTCCATCGCGGTTTGATTCAGAAATTTCGTTGTTGCTGCCAGTTTTATTGTTGCCCAATAATTCAATACCCAAGCCACCTTCATGATGGACATCGATCATACTACGGTCGTGAGATTCTGAACTGTAATCCTCCCCCTGTTTCACCTGCCCTAAAATTCTATGGTCCTCACTTTTGTCCAAAACTTGTTCTTCTTTATTGCCAGTATCTGATTTTGTTCCAGATTCTCCATCACTGAGTGGTGCATTGTTGAATAATGAAGGGTCGAGAAGAGGATTTGCCTTTGACATGGTCAAAGGCTAAATTATTGTATTTCTTACAAGTGTGTCGGTTTAGTATCTCGGACTGACACACTCGAGGGTCTGTTGGAACAATCCAATCAGTATCATCACAACATCAAATTTTCACTGAATTTGCTCATACCTTTTGATTTCTTTCTTTGTGATAGATTTTGGAATTTTTCAACTCTGGAAGCTGGTAGATGTCAGATAGTCATAAAGTAATGTGTGAATAATTCCGCGACACGTCTTCGACGGCTTTCGCTTGTTATTGAAGTGAATATTTGTAAGTACACTCTCCAACCTGATATCCTGTCTGTATTTAATACATGTGAAATATTCTCCATTATAAGTAAAATTGTTGCTCTAATCTTGTCCTGTCGAAAAGTTCTATGAAAGAGACAAGATAAAAAATAAAATATGGTTTCCTGGATAGAAAGATTGGTTCTGGAATTTCTGTAGTCTTTGAATAACCTGCATGAGCTGCTCTTGAAAAGAATTAGATAAATTGAAAGATGGAAGATGAGAATTTGAAGTCGATGATTACTTTAAAAACAGGGAAAGAACGGTGAGGTGAAGTGAAATGGAGTGAAGTGAAGTGAAGTGAGATTGTAATTTGCTATTGCCTATTCCACCACCCCAATCTTCAATCCACCATATCCTAACACAAAACCTCCAACTCGAATTCAAATTTATACTCTCTACTGCCACCATGAACTACTTTTCTCCCCCATCAAATTTCCAACAATAACTTTTCCAAAAGATAATCATCTCTTACCACATCACGCCAAATAATCCCAACACCACAACCCCATAAACTCCTTTCCTCAAGCCTTCCGTATCGTTAGGACAAAATCTTCTACCTCTCAGAATAAGTTTGCGACCACCGAAGCCCACTCAATTCCCTACATCGATATTTCAACCCCCTCTGAGCAATACTCGGTTCACGAATCTCGATTTCGATACCCCAACGTTGGAGTCTTCTCTTGCGAGCTCGCCACGAACTATATGCACGACTTGCATATGCGAAACGAGTGGGAGCAAGAGGTGCTGATGGGAGAGGTGTTCTACTAGTTTTCTTGGGAGTCGAAGCCTGATTTGTATCGACGTGCTTGTCATTTGATGCGGATGGGGTAGGGTGTGAGGTCTCCTCTGCAGCTTGGGTGGCGGGACAGACGCTATCTTCTTTTTCGGGGAGAATGGCTTTCATTTTGATGGCATTGATTTGGTCCATTTTTGGTTGTGAGTTCGAAATTTGTTTCGTATTATTTTTTCGTGCCTTCATGGATAGTAAAACTCTGCGATGGGGACCTGTTACTTTATATTCTCAGGAACTCATGGTGTCACAGAGTTAGCCACTCACTTCTTCTACGCAGCTGGTAACTAGCTTTAGACTATTATCCCTTAGAATGCCACTATCCCACAAGTCCATGACTTTATGTTCAAAACCAGATCTCCAGTCTAAACTAGTTTTTTCCATACTACCAACCATCGGCTTTGGCTAGAACAACATGGAAGCTTTTTTTTTTGAGTTCCTGAAGTTAAATTTTCGTTCTCTCTTTTCTGATATTGCGAAAGGTCTTCTACCAAACCTGAAAATTAAAAGGATATTGGAACAAAAAGATGTGCATGATTATCGATAATTCGCTCTTTTCTCCTTCAAGTGTCAAGATTACTATTTCTTGGGAGCAGAAGATATTCATTATTGCAAATTTTTAAGTTTCAAAGTCGACTTATGAGATGGGATGGTAACTTACCAAAAATGAGGATATACTAATGAGGCTAACACATCAAGCTAATCTAGCTAATTTTAATAACATATTTCGAATTTAAAATTTTCATTTGGTTCTAAGCTTATATTCAAAACTAACAAATCGCTGGTTCTCCTTATCCTTGATGGATAAAGAGGTGGTGGACTTGGGTCCTCCAATGATTATTTACATGTCTAAACTCCAAACTGAGATCGATCCCAAGTTACATAACATGCTACTTCAAAGTCCAAAGCCTTTCAAAATATATCCGCACTACCAATTCCATTGGCGGAACTAGTTTGACCACCTTCGAAGATGTCTGGATTTCTCATCTTCGCATTTCCTAACAACTCCAAACTAGTAATCGGTGCGGTCTCAACGCTATCTTCTATCGCCACCGCTTCTCCTCCCAAAGATCTCAACTTTGGAAGCGGTGCTCATATTCCACTATAGCGATGTCCAATTTTCCTTCGCTTTTCCACATTTACCCCTCGCCCCGCCTCGGAACGTGACATCTCCGTCCACGTTCTTCTGCGGAACGATTTTCCCAATTTTCCTGAACCGATCGGATCTCTCAGTGGCTCACGATGTTTCATCTTTTTCCTCTTCTCCAAGATACTTGGTCTCTCAGCCTCTAATTCCGACATTGGTGACCAACTACGAACACGTTGATGGACCATTGTTGCCTCTTTCTCCTTCTACCCAAAACATCCTTCGGAAGGTCATCATCATCAGTAAATTCAGTTGCAAGGTAAGGTAAACCCCGGAATTTAATCATATCCATCGTTACTTTCCTCTTCGGCATTTCATATTCCCACACAGTATCAGCAACTAATGTTCGCAGGAGCTCTCTGCGGGTGATTCTGTCCATCACTTCATTTATTCTTTTTTCTTGCGTGGCAAGTTTCTCAGGAACTTTTAATTCGTATATTTATCCGAATGCTTTAGTTGTAGGATTTGAGGTTGTGTCTTGGTTGGTGGTTGTGTTCTTGCTGGGAGAAGTCATGGTTGTAATTTGTTCGGCTTCCATTGTTGCTGGGAATTTAGATGTTTAAGGTTATCGATGTTTTATAGATAGATAATATTGGTACGTATGTATGTATATATATTTGAGGATTGAAAATATAACAGATAAGATTATTTTTAAAGTCTCCAAGAAGATATAATATGTAAAGTGTGATGAATATCGAAATATGTCGAAGTGAAAAGATGTTGAGGGAAAGAAATTTTTGAAATAATTACTAAATGACAATTTTTGTAGGTAAGCTAAAGAGTTCTAGTTTTCTAGTTCCAGTTGTACCTATTTTAGCCTAAGATAGTTATACAATTGAATATCTAATATCGTCTTTTATCATGCTATTAACAAGATAAGGAGTTTTAGTTTTAGTTTAGTTGTAGTTCTAGTTCTGGTAGTAGCTAGATTATTCTACGAAATATCTTGAATATCATGATTTTTCACCATCAACTAACTGATATCCATTATTCTTTCTAAAATTTCTTGAGCATCAAGAAGAATAAGTAAGATTTTAATAAACCAGCACTTTAAGGTTACTAATGCTGGCTGATTTTTATATTAGTGCTGGTATAGAATGAGTGAGGTTAGGTTAGATTATGATATTATGTGATGTGATTGTGTTTACTTGTTTTCGGGGAGGTACTCCAGAAATGTATGTAATCTAATTGTAATACTTACATACCTACTAATAAATAATCTAATCTAATCTTTAACCCTGGAAAATACTCGAATTGAGGAGTATATACTAGAAATTAGTCAAAAGCTGAGCGCGATTTCATGGCAGCCATCAAATCGTTAGTGCTACACTTGAATCTAGTGAAAGTAATGATAACTTTATTAGTGGAATATTTTTATAGCACAAAGATAGGGTAGAAATACCAAGGTAAGAGTACAAGAGCATTTCGAGAATGTAGTCAAGTCATTCTACACTACCTTTGTATTCTATATCTCAGCTCCAGCCAGCTTGCCAAGATTAGAAATTCACGAAAATATCAGGTAATCATTATGATAGCACAATCATGATCTCTAGGGTATAAACATTTTTTTAATTAATTATTACTTTTTCCTCCAACACCAAAACCTTGTTTCTAAATTCAAAATGGCACAGAAGTTAATAGATATCTCCTCTCAATGAAGCCCACAGACTAGATATTTAGTAGAAGTAGATAAAAAATTGCAGACCCACGATCAGTCCAGAAAAGAATATATTAGCGTATGATAACTCATCTTGTCCTCAAATTTTTGTCATCCAATCTAAACCAACTAGATGCTCGCACAACCTCATCCACCCATTTCTATACTGACTGCCAACTCCCTGGTCTTATAATTAGCGGACGCCAAGCTCGTTCAAATGGCTTGCAGGCAGTCATTGCTCGCCAGAGCCCCGGCTGAGCTGCGATAACTGCCCGAGCTGGACAGGGTGTCTTTTCAACTCCATTCGTGCCATTAATGGTATTTGTTTTATTGATCTCGATGAAGGTAAAGTCGGATGCACAGGAGCAAGGGCTTTTAGATGGTTCAATCGGCGTGATTATGTCCTTAACTTCCTCGGCATCGCTTATTGTATCGAAGTCCTCATCAAACATCAAGACGAAGCCTTCTCCATGATCCAAATTGCTCTTCTCATCTTCATGGTATGTGCGGATGTCCGAGTCTTTGTTTGTAATCATCACCATTTCGTTGTCATTTTGTGCGCAGTTTTGAGTCTCTTCACTATCGTTAGCGATTTTTTCCTTAGACAGTCCAGCACACCTCGGACAACCTTTAAATTCCACTTCGAGTTCGGTGTTTTCTTCTGGTAGATCTACTCCAAACCAATCATCATGAAACTCAAGTGGATCCCCATCTCCCTCGACTGTGCAGCCGTCTTTCTCCGATTCATCTTCTTCATCATCGTTCCCATAAAAAGCCTCGTCACCATTCACATCGCTCATATTGTTTTCGTATTTCGAGATCCCTAAGGCTGAAGCGCGAGCTGCCTTTAACTTTCTTTGCTTTTCCTTTTTCTTCTCTGCTGCAATAGCTCTTGCGCCTTCATGGGTATACTGTTTAATGCGATTCTGATTAGCATGTGACGGTGCAAAGGAGCTGTTAAAATATTTCTGAATAGTTTACTTACCGGACAAGGTTTAATTGGTGGACGATCACCCCAGAAATCATGCTCTTCATCAGGATCCCCGAAATGTCGAAGTTCGTTCTCCAAACCACCGACAAGAACAGCGCCGTCATAGTCGGTATTTTTTACTGATCGCCATCCAATAGCACGCCATACTTGATGTGACAACATCATGAGGATATGTTTTTGTGTTATTCTAATAAGGTATTAATTTTTTGTGCCCTGGTTAACTTTTTATAGATGTTAGTGAGATGGAGGGAGTGGTTGTATTTGAATGATTAGAGAGCTGGGAAGTTTAAAGAAACACCTTGTACGTATGAGATCGTATTGAAAAAAAACCGTAAACATGTTTTTTATTGATGCGCAGGTTCAGAATTGTGTGATATTGAATAGTGAATACGGTGAGGTTACTGCCGTAGGACATTTGACGTATTTCTTGGAAAGAATATACTCGGTTAGGGGGAATCACAAATGGTAGCAATCACTCTCAATACAGAAGGAGCGGATGAGAATATGGGGTTTTTGATTACGTAGCTATCTCAATATCAATAACTTCAAAATTCATCGGATTTTATCTGCTCTATCTACTTTCACTAATTTTAACCATTACCTATCCTATCCTTCTGTCTCTACGTCGCTATTTCCTAGTTCAAGAAAACAAGCAAATTCAACCTTTGACTGACCAGAAATCTCTGATCAAAGTCTTTCCCTAAATACTACGAAAAATTATTGCACCAAAAAAAAACACTCAGATCATCCACCATCTATTTTTCATATCCTGATTCTTCTATTCGATTTCCTCCGCCCGAACAACCGTTTGGCAGCATCTCAGACTTGAAGGTGCCCACTTCCAAGTCTTTGGTTCCTGCAGGACCAAAATAGTTAGTAGGTGGTAATTTACGAAGAAATAACTGCAGAAGGAATAAGATGACAAAAGTGTATTATGAAGCCAGATGCTACAGAATATGAAATGAGGAGAAGGAATTTGGGATCAGGAGTATGGAATCAAAGAACATGTCATGCTTACCCAACCACGATAGAATTTCTTTGAAGGATGAGCATCATATTCGCAGATTTTAACTTTCGCAAATGTCTCTCGAATGCAAATCACGTCTTTCCCCATCAATGGATGATCGATATAGAGTTCTTCGTCGTCTTCTGTCTGCGAGCTGTGATTTGACCCATGATTCCAGAACTCTGAGTTGCCAAGTTCGGGACTGTTTTCTACTGATTCCATATTTGACCCTTGGCTATCCAAATACCCTGGTGGATGATTATTGTAATTCTGGCTAGTTTCGACGCTGCTTGTGGTGTCATTGTGATCTTCGTCCCGTGATGTCGCGTTTTGCTCCTCGTTATCTAACTCAATATTGAAAGAAGTACCAGCATCGGAACCTAGAAGAGAAGGAAGGAATGACCTAGGGATATTCATTGCAATGTATTTCCCCAATGCGTTGGCGTTGAATGCGAGAATTTCTTCGGAAGAAATAACCACATCAGCTCCTTCGTTATTCGACATCATCTCGACTTCCGAATTGTAGTAATATGAGTCAAGTATGTATTCTTCGTCCGAGAAGTCCAGAGCCTATCAACAAATAATTAGATATGCACCAAAAGAATATTGAGGAAAAGACCTTACCTCGTAATCTGTAAAATCAGGCGGAAGTGTCTCTACATCTTCCATCTCTATATCATGATCTAATCGAGAAGTATCAACAGCGTAACTAGTAGAAATAATATCTCTGAAAAACTGCTCTTCGAAATCGTCGTTGACTTCGTCTGCCCATGATTTGGTCATAGGTGGTAATAGGTTCGCTAAAGACATAGTGGGATGATTTTCCGTTGCGAATTAGGGGTATCGCCAGATATGTAGCTAGGTAGCTGGGTATGTATAATGCTACCTATTTAGATATAAATCTTTGATTATTATGTGTTGATATTGGAGTGGTTTACGGAACTTTGTGTGTTCTTGTAGGGAGCCGTATGAGGAGGCAAAAATTTGACTAGACAGTATTTGGGAGTGTGGGTGAGTTTGGAAAATTGGCTGTTTGGAAGAAATTAATTGTGTGGTGGTGAACTGCTTGAGGCGGTTGTATATGATGATTCACTGTGTTAGATACGTTAAGTATGTTTACATCGTATACATCCACGCGAGGTTGGCGCGACAATTTTCGACCGTACAAATCGTACCATACTCGTTGAATACGCTATTTTTCTATATGGTGTGGTCCTGTGAATGAGCAGGAGGTATACGGGTTTTTAATTGTCACTCCATACACAAAATTTAATAAGCAGATTAAACCGTAACTGCGCGGTGGTAGGGGAGACGAAGAGGCAGGATGAATTCTTTTATGATTCAGAAAATGAATTTCAAGAACTAATGACCCATAAAAAGAATATGATATAACCCTAAGAGCTTTCTATGGAATAAAAGACCGTGCTCTTTTCGAATACAGTAGGAACCCATGAACACTCTAAGGTCCAAAAGAACTCATACTCTCTATACAAGCAAATCCTACAGCCGTGACCTACAAGATGACAGAATCCTTCCAATACCATTTATCACCCCCATATATCCAGCTTTTCGACACAATCTCCTCCCGGTATCCATGCCAGTGATTGTATTCGTCTTCTTGTCTCTAGGCCAACATGACCATTCTCAAAGGACTCTGTCTCTTTACTCTCCACTTTCCTCGGCCAGGCCACAACTTCGCTTCCTTCTTCTCCTTTACCTCATCATCGGTGATCTAGTATTCTATTAGCATTTCGGTATCTGACCGGTATCTATCATAATAAACTTACACCCTCTCTTCCTGGTACCTCCGCGCCCGGGTTCTGCATTCCCAATTTTTTACAGATCATTTCGCCGACGTTGGCTCGGAGTTCTGCAATTTCATTGAGGATGCTGAAAGGGATTTTGTAACTACCCGCGAATTCTGGGAGTTCGCCGGCAGCAATCTGTAGTAGCTCTTGTTAGTGTTGTATTTCGGATATGTTGAGGAAGTACTCGCAAGATGCCGAGGCTATGAAGGGAAGATATGTGATAGGACCGTGAAATAAATGGAAGGTTAATAACTTACTGCCTCGTCGGTATCATCTGCCCAATTAAACGACATGCCTACTGTCCGCCCTCTGATCTTGATAAATGAATGTCGATATTCGCTGAGTTAAGATAGCTACACTGTGATAATATAGCAGTATTGGTCGAGCAGCGAAAGTGATATATCATGAAGGCAAAGGGAAATAGAAAAAAAAGTTGAGATCACATTTTAGTTCTGTATTGCCTGGCCCTAACTACTAAAATAGTACGATGGGATGGATCTACTTGATGTCACTGGCCATTCGATAATTTGGATTTAGAATACTAAGGGGTTAGGCAATATCTAGTACATCTGTAGTGCCATTTGGGGCTCCTCGCTTGTGGGTCTTGGCGATACATTAACGAATGGGGGTATCGTGGTTATGAACATGATAGTTTTGGTGGATAATATCACATTTGGACCCTCGATTGCCTCGACAGCCTTGTATTTCACTGGAATTTACTATAGTGTCATTAGTGTAAGAATAAACTAAGCCTTGAAAGGGGAAATCACATAAATAAACGCATTTTACGTGTTTCCGCCAAGAGCACCATCACCTCGATAATAGTATTTTGGGATGCTCTTCAGGTGTTCTAGCAGCACTTAGAAGTGTTTATGCTTTGAGAGAAACCTGAATCTATACCATGTTGAAATACCTCTCGAAATTTTTGTCATTCTAATTTCGGCAACCGCCACTGTCGTTTTCTTTGCATACCTTGATTTTCTTCTGGCTTTCGGACACATATCTATTTTCGCTCTGGTTTGAGCATCTATATATCTAGAACTACATATGACATTACAATTTTATATTTGCTGCATTCCAGGAACTTCTTGTGAGTTTAGGTGCTATGGAGAGGAAGAGCCTATGATTAGCCATCTTATTCAGATCGTCCAAACCTTTAGATATCATCATATTCTTTCGTGATTCTTGGATGCGTTAGTATTGAGTCATTGTCGAAATGCTTGTAGGTAGATGTATCATCAAAGAATGGAATTCAACAGCTTGGAGTAACGAGGTAATTAGTGGTCGAACTGCGGAAGCAAGACTAATTTACTCATCCTCTCCCATTAAGCTTTTTCTTCCGGCGACCGGAATCATAAGCTTCACTCCATTAATTCCGCTAAGTTTCTGAACCTTTGCCACGAAAAACTGAGTCGAGGAACTAAGATTTGACAATAACTCGTACTCGGTAGCTTTGTTCATGATTCCAAGCAGTTAATGGAAAAAGTCCTCATTTTCTATCGTAGATTTATCAACTTCATAATTCCGCTTGCTAAATCGTATAGGTCAGGTTTTCTTGAATATATATGCATAATGTTTAAGGGCGGCAAATTTTTTGAGGTAATTTTGGGTGAGGGACTTGACTATGGAGGGCTGGGGTGGGAGGATGATTCAAGATATGCTGAGCTTTTAGAATTGCTATTGGATTTTAACTTTATTTGTATTGCTGTCACTGAATGATTGTCTTGTAGGTTAATTGCTGTGTAAATTTCCGGTTTGAGATGGCAGTTTAAATCGTATCAATATGTGCAGTATGCTATATTTCTACAGAAAGGCTTCACATCTATCAGACTGTCAACCAGAGCACACAAATAAGACCGAGGATCGTAGATTCCCACTAAATAAAATTGGGAGCAATAAAAAGCCGTTAAAACAATTGTAGCTTTTACAAAGAAAACCACCTTAAAATTGTTTTGTCATATTACCTTGTTTCAAAATCGGTATCTCAAGGCCATCGGAAAGCTTCTAGGATTTCATTTCAATTTACCGGTAAGTTCCAGATAAATATTGTATTTAGCGGAAGGGCAGCAAAATCAAGAGCGGAATGTGAGATGTTATTGGTAAACTAAAAGCTAAAGAACAAAAGAAATTCAAGTCGAAATGTTTCTCGAAAACTACATCCATAGCGGCTCGAACAAACAAAGAATTCCGCAGGCATATTAACATATAAAGTGACATTACCAGCTTTATTCATTTTTCTTCATACTAAATGTTGAAAGAATCATGTAGAAAAAAAGCCTAATCTGGTGTTAAATAGAGTTTTAGCTTTTTGGTGAAGCCTCCTTGAATACAATTGGCTGTGTACTCCGCCTACTTTCACACATTGAGCTTAGTCATTCGACTTAGTAGATAGAATATTCTTCCATACTCTGCCAATCCAATCTTGGAGTAACCTTCTTTGGGATGGCTGTTCTACTCTTTTTCTTAATTTTTATCATTATTGGCTGGTGTAGCGATTTTGTGTTTCTTTACAGAATTTTGGAAAGGGGTTTCTGTTTAGTGCCTTGACTGACTTTACTTCTCCAAAAAAATCTTTGAAGCAAAATGGCATCTCCCGGATCCCAAATAGAAAGATTTGTGGCATGACGAGTCTGGCTTGTGATCAGTAACATCGACTCTTATTCTTTATTCTTTCGCTATGATTTTAACTTGCAAGAAGATTCAAAAACTACTGATCTTTGCCGCAGCCTAGGGGTATATCTCATATCTTCAAAGAGAAGTCGACTGAAAAATATTTGCTGTTTTCTTCCTTTCCGCAACGGAAAGATCATCCAATTTAATTTGACAAAACTTCAGCAGTGTCTGTTATCTCAACAACTAGCCATTATGGCGCCGATCACTTTCAACTTCAAGCTACTATTTGGACGTCAAGATGATGTTTCAAATCCTACCCCCTCTGTTGCGGACCTTCCGCCATCAGTTCTTGAACAAATTGGAGCACAACAGCCTCCACCAGGTATCAAGGCTAATTTCGTTGATCCTGAAAGCATAGGAGGGGTACTTCTAGCTTTCGCAGTTATCGGCATTGTCATCATGTCAATATGTGTTTTTATTAGAGGATGGGTGATATTCAAACTCAGACGGCCTATAAAGTGGGTTTGGAGCGATACTGTTTTCACAGTCGCTGTACTCGCTGCGTTGGCAATGTTTATCGACTTGATAGTAAGCAGGCAATCTTTTCGTTCCCAGCTCCGTACATCTCAAAATTCTCTCATATACACTCCCCTGCTCTTTCGAGACAAATTTCCCTGAAAGTACTTATTGATTATGACTGGTATTTTAGTTGACCGTTACCGGTAAAGGGCAGACCGGTATTCATCAGTGGGACGTCCAATTATCTAATATCGTCTTATCGAGCAGATATTTCAAAACCGCCGCAGTCATTGGCCTTCTTACTCCTATTTGTTTTGGTCTAATTAAAATCACAATTTTTTTAACCTACATCGAAATATTCTCTCGACTAAGGTGGGTCGAAATATCATGCTGGATTGGTATCGTAATCACCTCGATATTCTATTTGATAGTTATGTCTTGCACCATCTTTTGGTCGTTCCCACATATAGGAGAAACATTTGTCGAGCATTACTTGAAAGCCGTGGGAGTCATTAAATCCCAAGAACTCAGCATGCCGACGGCCGCGGTGGGACTAGCAATTGACGTGTATCTCTGCCTTGTCCCTGCGCTTGCGGTTAGTGGACTTAGAATGCAACGGAAAAAGAAAATTGCTGTCATGCTCATCTTCATGACTGGATTCCTGTAAGCTTCTCTTTCTCCATATCTGATTCAGCTTCTTCGTCCCGAATGAGTTACCGAGAAGCCCCGCGAAGCAATTTATTGACAATATGCAGTGCCATTATAGCCTCAATTCTAAGCATCATCTACCGTGTCATTCTGAACAGAAATAGCGATCACACATGGAATGCCGTCGCTGTATGGGCACTCACTGCCGGAGAATTATGGATCGGCTTGATCATCGCCTGTACACCACACTTCACAAAGTTCTTCCGCGTTTATCAAAAATTATTTGCGAGATTTGGATCGGTAATAGGGTATTGGCTTTGCTGTTGCTGCATGTCTTGGAAAGAACTGAATTTGAGGAGATCAGCGGCGAGGTCTAGTAAGAAATTTGACAAGGCCAGCGGGAAGAGTAGTGATAAGAGTGAGGGTTCACATATTTCAGAGGCGGAAAAGCCGAAAAAACATGCAAAGTTGTATCCGGATCTCGATGTTACCACGGTAAACAGGACTCTTGTGGAACAGCAGGACTGATGAGAAGGAAAGGTTCTTGAAGGGGCTGGCGAGATGCGGAAATGGCATGAATTATGACTGTGGAAGGCACAGCTACGTTGACTAGCGCGTCATATGGCGTGCATAAGGTTTTACGACCAATTGAGATAATCATGAGGGGGGTCAGTTATTTTGCATCGTTTACTCAATATTTCTTTGCTCAATAAAGATTACATCTTTACCAATAATTGACCATCCATCCATTGTGATCGTGGAGTTTTGCATGGAGAGTTAACTCTATAATTAATAGAATTTGTCATATCTGTAGATGAGTTATACCTCCCGGATACTTCTGTAATATGTTGCTCCAGGCTGTTCAATCCTTGATCTGTAAGATAGTAAGTTGAGGAGTCCGTAAGGTTGGGAGATGACGGACATACCAAGTTGTACTACGGTCATACGGTATCATGCCAACCGTAAATCCGATGGTAATGGCCATACAAGTCACCTGATTCACTTCTCTAAATCAATTGTTTTGAAGAATAAAATCGATTTTTAAAAAATGAAAAATCACTATTTTCAAAAAGACTATCTTTAAAAAAGCTTCGGTATAATTAATCTTTAGTTACCTAAGGAAATGACAGTTAGTTTCCACGTGACACTTAAGACCGGATGCTCGTTGTTTTCGCTTATTAGCCTCGGGTTATAGAAATCCCCGAATACACGATAAGGTTAAGCGGAACATCCGAAGACTAATCTAGCCACCACAACTTGTGGTAAGGACAAAGATAAGAGCGCCTCATCTCATGCGTCGCAAGGTATTTACGTGAAAAAGAATTTCGGAGGGTACATAGAAGAAATTCTATGACTCTATGGCAATGATGACGGAGAGGCGAATGCGAATTAGGACACATCAGCATGTCAGAACCACTGCTGACACTCCGCCTGCGTCTGTCTACATCATGTCCGCTTAAGCCGAGATGAGCACTTTTATCTCCGCTGTTTGGAACTATATATAATAGTTCTGTAAGATCAACCAATTTCCAAATGAATAGTTCATAACGCGACCTTGAACGATGTTGACTACACCAACACCCAAACTGAAAGTCCTAATCTCAGGAGCCGGTATAGCAGGACCATGTTTTGCGTATTGGATTTCTAGAACCCGGCTCAATACATCAATCAAAATCATCGAGCGGTCACCCACTCCAAGATCTACGGGGCAAGCAATTGAAATTCATGGTGCAGCTATTGAAATTGCGAAAAAGATGAAGTTAGAAGAAGCTATTCGTGCGCGATTTACGACTGAAAAGGGTACAATGATGTTGAACTCGGCGGGAAAGCCATTTGCAACATTTCCAGCGGGTGATACTTTCACATCCGATTACGAAATTCTGAGGGCTGATCTGTCTGAGCTCTTCCTGGAAGCGTCAAGAACTTTTGATGGTGTTCAATATGTTTACGGTGATTTTGTCAAAACTCTTCGACAAACAGAGACAGGTGTCGATGTAACTTTCAATGGCGGCTCGAAAGACACTTTTGACTTAGTTGTCGGTGCAGATGGGTCCACATCCAAGATTCGATCCATGATTTTGGAGGTAGAAGTTCTGAAAAATAGTTACAATTTTATTGGCCAGTACATCGCCTTCTTTAGCATCCCGAGCCAACCAAATGATTCAAAATTTTGGGAGATTTTCAGTGCACCAAAGGGTCTATGTATGATGACACGACCACATCGAAATCCTTCTACCAAGGGCGTCTATCTATGTATCACAACGCCGAAACACGGAGTTGAAGATCCATTGGTGGAGCAGGCAATGAAGGAAGGACCTGAAGCCACGAAACTTATGCTGCATTCATATTTTGAGAATTGTGGTTGGGAGGCCAAGCAGATATTGGAGGGACTGGATAAGTCAGAGGACTTCTACATGGCCAAGGCGGCGCAAATTAAGCTACCAAAGTGGACCACAGGACGTGCTGCCGTAATTGGAGATGCCGCAATGGCAACTTTCGGAGTTGGAACTACTTTAGCAGTTGACAGTGCTTATATACTAGCGGGAGAGTTATCGAAGATCCAGAATAGCGATGACATTCCAAAAGCCTTGCAGCGGTACGAAGAGGTATTTCGACCGATCTATAAGAGAATGGAGGATCTTCCCCCTGGATTTCCACAAATTGCCATGCCTCAAACTAGATGGGGTATGAGGATAAGAGATTCCATAATCTGGTTTGTAAGCAAGACGAAAGCTCATAAGCTTCTTCCAAATGATCAAGGGGAATCTGATCATGGATTGCCGGAGTATGATTGGGTGGAGAATTAAGATGGCATAATGGGTGGTATTTGGCTAAAAGGGCATGGTTTTGTGCGTACTCTTGTAACTTCTAGCGAGGTGGAGAATTTTACTCTGGCTGAACAATAGATTGAGATTAGAATAACTACGGACCTCGAAACAAAGAATGACTGACTAGCGAGTCAACCAATGGCTCTCTACTTGATACTTTATTGTATGTTCCATTTTCAGGTCTTGATTCTTTCCTTTGAAGTCATTCTAGGGCAGAGCAGTGTGTGTACGTCCCTAGATACTCAAGACTTCAAAATAAAAGACAAGTTGAGATAGATAAAGTCCATAAAGCCTTAAACCAAAGATTGGCAAGTCGTGTCTAACATAATTGACGAGAAGCATCTCCATTCGATAATAAGTCCATCAACAGATATCTTGACCTAGGATATTTCCGCAAGCAGGTTACTACCAGGACAAGTCCGTTCCCGTAGTCATGGCGGCGCGTAGTATTTCTTCTAGCATTTCCTATTTCTTCCCCGAGATGGCATTCGCCAACTTCCGAATTCGTATTCTCAATTACAAAATTCAAAGACCTGACTAGGCTATTCTCGTAGAAACAGCAATTTGCAGATTCGATGATAAAATTAAATTTAATCATAATAATAATGAATTCATTGGGCGTAAAGCAAAGAGAAGGCCAGCTCCAGTCGTATCGATTACATCAAGCAGTTTTTCGTATTTCTCAGCATGACCCAGTGCTCAGCATTTCGTGGAAACAATATCACGTCCTAAAGCTCTTCTTTTCGGTGCTCTTCTCGAGGACTCAAGTTTGAATCAACATGGCTGCAATTCCTTTATATACCTTCCTCATAGCTTCTTATGTCTTTTGTTGCGCCGGATCTCGGATTGAGTATTTCTTGCTTTTGCCGGAGAAATTTTCTGTGTATAATAAAGAGAGTTCAACGCATGTTAGAATTTCACGTCTTTAAAAGGAAAAGTAGGGCTTTAAAAACGCAGTAGACCTAAACTCTTCAGAATAAAAAATCCCAGACTAGGAAAAAGAGGTTCTTGTTAGGTTGTACAAGGTGCATGGTAGGATTAGCTCAGCTATTACTTCTCAATGCAGAAATCAGATGAGTATGCTGTGGGCAAGGAAAAGACGATAGATGGTTAGACTACTACTTTGGATCATAGAGATATATATTCAACTATGACAGCAAAGGGTTTGGAAGACGAGCGCTTCCAGAAGTGACAACACGAGATGTTAGTATGCAACGGGTAAAAACGAGATAGATCCTGAGCATACAACCGCCTCAGGAAATCAGCCTTTCCGTGGATATGAAAAGTGACAATTTGGTTCCAATCTATGGAGATTAACAGAAACTCGGCATCATGTGATAAATGCAGTATCTACAAGTCTTTTCGCATCTCAACTTCGAAAGTTCGGTTCATGTTGGCTCACAGTACATACATTCATTGTATGGAACAAGCTCTTTCTTGTATCAAATATTCATCAGCACTTTACAATTAATGGAGCGTGTATAGCTTTCCCACGAAGTAATTAGAGACCTTTACAGGCTATGGGGAATATTAAAATTTCAATGTAGAGCTTGGATAGATTCGTGGAGAGTTGCGCATACATATGCAGTGTTGGAACATACCAGTATGCAGATACTTGGGTGAAGAAGATGTTTGAGCAGAACATCTGCCGAGAGTATCAAAAGCATAGATATGAGACAATAACAATTTAGAAGAAAAGATACCTCTGAGCGACAGTAAAAACTTCGATAACAGATATCTAATAAGCAACGGCGTAAAATAAAATGGCAAATTAGATCAACCGAAGTCAATAAATAAATAAATACTTATCTTCTCTGTGAACATTTCTTCAAGGCAAGAGATGAGATGTACTCATATACGTGTGGCCACTTGTTCTTCCAACCCCTTGAAATGCTGTTCCATGATGGTTCTACATGCCATTAATTGATCCAACTACTCAACGCCTCCATAAACCTTTTATACCTCAAAATTCACCCGCAAAGCTTTCATCTGCACTTTTTCGTCCACCTCTAATTTTCCCTTGAATCCTGAGCTTGTCTCTTTATGACTAATCCACGCCTTGAGCTAGCTAACAATCTGGTGTAGGAATCCTCCTAAGCGAAAAAGGTTTCTATATAAATCCAATGAAATTCATCAAGTGGTCCTCAAGGGCCGCGTATGCAATAGAAAGGTATCACAGGAGGGACAGTATTTAGCAGTGCCTGGGGTAAAAGTCAGATGGTCACATGTACAAAAATAAATATAAGCAGAACATCAGGACAAGGCATATGGCTCAAGATTACAAAGGAAAATCAGAGATAACAAAAACTAAAATATAAATCAACAATGGAAAGTTGAAAAGCTGAAAAGAATGATATTTGATAACAACAAAAGGATTTCGGATGATACAAGTTCACTAGCTACATCTAATAACTATCTCTTTAGAATCAGAGAGGACTTAGCTTTTATATGCTCATTGCAACCAACCATTCCAAGCTTACAGAGTCTCAACTCGAGTTGGGTTTGGACCTGCTGTAGTTGCGCTGTAAATGCGCAACAGTGGTTCATTATATATTTTCGTTTCTATTTAAGCCTCGTGTATTCACATTATTCCCATCACTTCTTCTTTCCTGTTCAAATAGTCAGCTGTGCTGTTACTTCCAATTTATTCACCATATCCTTATCTTAATACATCTCTGAGCCCAGCTTCAGTCTTAATCTCGTGAAAAGGAAAGTGATATCTATTCAAGATATTGCAGAAGCCATGGTGGAACTATACAATTGATTCTGGAATGGTTAAAAGTCGCGTTGATATGGAATAGATGGAAATTTCGGGATGTTGGATGGTACGAGAAGCCTTAAATTTAGCGGTCAATCTGAGTTGGGAATTAGAGGGGAATATGGATTGGGGTTATAAACAGATTAAATGACAGCGATAGTGGTATTGAGATGGCGAAAGTGGAGAAAATTATCTTTAAGATCCATGGATGTGATAGTAAAATAAACAGCCAAACATGTTTGAATCAGACTAGAAAATCAGACGGCATACCAAATTCCCGGGGGATCCACATGAATAGGATGGAATGAATACGCCCATGAAAGGCTTTTCAAGCACTCGCAAGTTCACAGCTCTTTCAAAAGCTTTCGGTTGCATCAGAAAGGAATATGGATGAGAATTCAAACACAGCGTAATCATTGAATGATGACAACAATACACATAGGAGATATAATAATAACAACAAAAAGAGCCAACTAAGACTACCTACAGCCTTGCAATAACTCAAAATTAAAATTAAAGAAACTTTCACTAACATCTTATCTAGCTCCTGAGTATCAGATACAAAAATCTAACTACAAGTCAAACTCCACGCTCTGAGGTTTGATTAGAGCTATCCTGTTGATATTTGTTGTTCAGTAAAGTAATTCTAGCGAGCTTTATACCGTTAATTAAGATTTTTCCTTTGCTTTCCATTCTCAGAATTGTGGCGGAGCTGGCACTGGGAATTGGATAATCTCCATCTGCATACACGTATCATTCATTCTAGAGTGAATATTGCTGACAACACGCTCGTATAAAATTCTTCTTTCACTAGGTGAATGTAGACTATACAAAGAACCATGTATATATATAGCCATACTTGCAAATTCGTCGACTGGTACTCAAAGGATCAATGCAAAGGTTTGGCTATTCTATGCTCCTAGCTAGAAGTTCGAGGTAGTGTGTAGCAGGTGCTTGGGAATTGATGGGAACTAGAATAAGTCAAAAGCGGAAAAAGGTATTGGGTGAGAGTGTTGTGTATAATCCTGGGATGGTGGTGGTAATAATGACAACAAAATAGAAATATTGATATGATAACATAAGGGTCGTTACGAGAACAATAGTGAATAAAACCAACAATGATTACATATAATTTTCAAAGTCTACAAAATCGGAATAAACTTAGGCAAGCGACATGATGAGACCTTTTATGATATTAACAATTTTCTCATGCTCCGCTAGTAAGAATCACAACCACCAGTGGTGAACTAAGGACTCGGGTGGACAGACATCCTCCGCTTCCATCTTCCACCCAAAAAGTATCTATTTCCACATTATCTACTTTTCGCGTGAATTGCTTCAAGACCTTCAGCTCCAACCACGCTGCACCAAGTGCGCATATACCGAAAACAAATAGTGAATATCTCAACCTCAGGTGTTCGCAAAGTATATATGTTTCAAATAGGGCAAGACAAACCACAAAAAACACACCGTGAAGCGTCACAGAGAATGGCCATAAAGCTTCAGCGTAGGATTTTGGAACTTTAGGCACTCGGAAATCTGCAGCCATTCCCCATAATCTTGATTGTGAATACCGGAAAAGAAGGGGAATATTTAGAAGAGAGCTGGTCACGCGTTCATCACTTATCATTTATTGACAACAATCCTCAATCAAAAGTCACGATAAACAGCAGCAAAGACAATTAATAGGAAAGGGATATCAGAACCGCAATAAATACGATACCAAAAAGATGAATAGGTACCAATAGGAGGAGATAGGCCAAAAGCACACTTCATGATAATTTTAAAAGTGCTGAAAGTAGCAATGTTTCACGAGCATACGATTGTAAATAAATATATACCCCACACTCTATTTCAGCTCTTCTTCCCCTCTTTCTAGAGTTTCCACTTTCATATCGTACCATTTAGGGGCAAAGGAGCAATAGAAGGCTTCTAGATCAAATTGGAGCCCAGCTGTGGCGACGGAGATCCAGATAATGTCAGAGGATGGTTTAGATATGACCCACTAGTCCTCCCCCAACTGCTATCAAGTAATTTCCACGACTCGGTTGACTTCAACAGTTTCCCGGCCTATATATTCCCCCGATGCACGGCGATCCAACTACAATCAGAAAGCGTTATAAGTACTATCCAGGGACTTTCGGTAGCAACAGCAACATCTACACGGACATTGCATGCATCGGAAAACCAGCGTTGTCTTCTCAAGGTAAAGTATACAAGATCGCTGTCGGCCGTGGCGACGCTAAGGGGTCTCTCTTGGTGGAAGGCTCTCCAAGCTCATCACTGTCGAAGTTGATCTCCTCGTACTCAACCGGTCGGCTATATTCCGCAGACAAGAATATGAATATAATACTCATACGAACAAAAATTCATCCCCAGCACCTCTCCTCAAATCACATTTAAACTACATAAACCACCCCCCTCCCCCAGCCCCCACCCCATCTATAGTCAAAGACTGCCCAAAATCCCGTAGAGACTTGGTTATGCAAGATAAATGGGAGTATGTATCAAGCGACCATATTCACGAATATATTCTTGAAGAGCTGTGCATGTGAGACTCTTACAATTACACAGGTAGGTCCTAGAAGTGCTTCAACAAAAAGAGCGGGCGTGATTTGATACCTAATGGTGTAAGAACGACAACAGGGAGACAATCATGAGAAAATAACAGTGACAAAATAAGAAAAGGTAATGGGATTTGAGATTGGGCATTCTTTACTTCGGCACCTGTTAAGTGCTAATTCACACTTCGTTTCATAAACCGGATGTAACTATCCCGGATGAATGGACATATCCCGTACTATCCCAAAGATGTAGTCGTCCTCAATGTCCTTATTTTGCATGTCTGCGTTGTTCATAAGCCATCGAAATGATTTATTTATAGCAGCATTGTGGATTGATTCTCTTCGCTTGTTGGAATTGAGGAAAGTGAGGGCAGGTGAGTATTGAGAAAAATATGCTGATGTCAGGAGAGTGGTATATGAATTGGAGAGAGCAAAGGAATGATGAATGCAGAACTATCTGCGAGTTTAGTATATGACATATATTGTTGCTATTCTGGAAGGATAGTCAAATATAGATCCAGACATTGAAACTTTATTTTTCGTTGGATGCTAATCCACCAAAGATCCCCAAACCCCACTAAAAAGCACGTTTTGTTCTCACATTTCAAATTATACATTCGACATTCCCCCATCCCTATCCCTTCCCTTCATCAAATCTCACTCATACCCTCTGGTGTCCCCATCCTCAACCTCCTCCCCCAAAACCTCATCAACGGCAATACCTCCTCCCTCCCCCTCATCATCCCATCCCCTTCCCTCTCCCACTTCACATATTCCACATCCGCAAACGTGCTCTTAATCTTATCCAAAGCCGTCCTCGTAATTTCCGTATTTCTATTCCCTCCCACCACTAGTACCGGTGTTTTAGCTTTTCCCTTCCCTTTCTCCTTTCCCTCCGACTTTGAATTTGATGGCGGAGAAAAAGATGCAGGAAGTCGACCACCAATTGATATCACACCTCCCAACTCCTTATTCCCATCCAAATTACCATCCAAGAATGAAGCATTCACAAGTGTAGAAAGTGCAAGCATGCCTCCTTGTCCAAACCCGAAAAGAAATATATTTCGTGGTGGATAATTACATGTTTTTATTAACACTTCGATGATAGAGGTCAAGAGTGTAATAGAAGGTGTCAAATCAGCATCAAGATCAAGAGAACCAGTCGTAGAATCGAATTCGAGATCGCGAGCCCAGTGGAAAGAAGGAGTATCGGATCCAGTTATGAGGGCCGGAATTGGGGTTGGGGCTTGGGGGATTAGGGAAGCAGTTTGGGGAAGGGAGAGATTCTTTGCTGTGGGTGTGTTAGTATGATGTTTTATAGAAGCTGCACAGTCTGCCAAATGTATGGTCATGCTGGCAGATGGAGAAATATTGAAATATTGCCATGGAAGAGGAAGAGAAAATGAAATGAAATGAATGAGGACTCACCAAGTTGAGTAAACCCATCTTTCGTATCTCCCAATCCATGAAGTAAGATCAATATATTAGTATTCTTCCCATCTTTCGAAGGTAAAATATCACATAACGTATTTTTGGATAGATCATCTACCGTCGGCAGACGTGGTGTTGTCATTATGAATTTGTTTGTTTTCTTCATACAATGTGAAAGTTCTCAGCCTTGCTTGCTTTTCGACAAGGCTGATGAATTTCTCATTAGTTTAATTTTATGCATGTTTCTGCACAAATCTGCATAATATTTAACAGATTATGCAAATGACGAAAAGCCAAGCCTCTTCGTATGGAACAAGCATCTGCCGCGATGCCAAGAGATGTTCGTCAAGAAGCCAATGAAGCTTGTTCAGCTGAACCCTTGCAGAGAGTGATCCATTTTATCCATTTATTATTATTAGTATATGGAGAAAAGGGTAGAAGCTTGTTGAAGCTTCGATCTTGTTTTTTTGTGTTGGTTGTTGGCTTATGCTATGTTATGTTATGCTGTGCTATCCTGTGCTATGCTACCTATCCTACCTATGCTATGCTATGCGGATTTGATTGATGGACACATTTTTGCATTATCGTGCAGAATCACCAGGGTTAGATATTTATGTATGCATGCACTCTCTCGATGGCTACTTATCATTGGTAGCTTGCTTACACGGGAAACAGCTATCATGGTTTCTGTGCTATTCCAAATTATTTCCCGCGGTAACGGGGCCTAGCTATACAGGGGTTAAAGAGTATTGAACCCCTCATCCCTCATCCACCCATCCACCTATCCACCCATCCGACACATGCATAGAGGGGTGAAGGCTGTAACCTTGATGGGAACGATGAATGAAAGGCCACCGTGGTCTAAGACTCTTTTACCAACTCCAACCAACCGAGCATCATCTGGAAAGAGTGGTTGTGGTGATGTATATTTTATGGTTCTTGGTGGATTTCGGGCATTCCGTGTCATGAACTGATTGATCGGCCCTGAAGATCTGGTCTCTTGTTTTGGATTATCTGTGGAAGTTTAAGGGAGATATAAGTGACGGGGAGCTGGTTTTGAGATATGTAACTGACAACTACCACAGAAAGGGTGCTCCTGGATCTTGAAGATATCGTATGGCGTAATGAATACGATTTGATGCCATGACAGTTTCAAAATAAGTGACGATCTGATGATGATACGTCTGAGAGCTTGGGTCGTACATTCATGCTTGTGTCCCTACATACCTGGTCTTGCCCTGCCCCTCAGTAGCTGTGTTGTACAATGTAACAGGGGAGCTTTACCCTTGTTTTTGAATTCTATATCCTATCTTGATACTCTAAATCTCATGAAATGGGTAGGCAGACAGACAGACAGGTAGGTAGATACTGTTTGATATGAGTTATGATTAATCGTTCATAGTAACATAGTAACATCACGTAGAGGCATGCTGTTTTCCATCTCATCCTACTGACCATCTTCGTACCTGCCAACACCTGCCGTCTTGCCTCATGACCCCGAAGGTTCAGAACTGAGTAGCAAGTAAACGAGCTTGTCGTCTAAAGGTTCCATTACATTCTCTCTAAGCCACGCAAGCCATGTAACTATTGAAAAGAACTTGACACTTGTCTATGAATGGTAGCTGTTAGTGGTTACGCAATGTGGGGTTTGACATGAATACCCTGAACATTTGGCTGCCATCAAACGAGACCAGAGCAAGATATGTTTCGATGACTAGGGGAGGACCATAGAAAAACAAGGGGAAATGTACATGGCTTCATCCGGAATTCTCGCCTTAAAAGCTGTTCAATGCGGTTAGAGTCTATGCATCGTATATACTGTACGTATCCATCCATGGATAGGCGGGACAGAGTGCTTCAATTGAATGGACGGTGAATCATATACTACTCTATCTGGTTTAGAAATTTTGAGGATATAAAAGATTGTGTCTGAATCAATATCAATCATTGGACAATTTGTAAATGTGGCTGGCAGTGAATGTATGAAATCCTCATGGCACAGCAAAAAGAGGGGTTTGTCGATGGTAGGTAGCTCTATTTAAACCCCCTCGTATCTCCCATCCTCAAACCTTTCTCTTCTCATCAACAACTACAACTCTACAACTGCAACCTTACAATACAATACTATACCCCTTTACACTTTTTTAACTTTCACCAAATAAATCTATCAAAATGGTTTTCGGCTGGGGTATGTCATGTTCTTTTCCTCTTCCTTCTATTATCTCCTGAAGTTTATACCCCACCTTGACGTTGAACTGTACTCAACAATTGAATGAAGCTTGACTAACATGTATATATCACTATAGGCGAATCTCAAGACCACTACGAGCAAACTCAAAACGAGAACACTGCCAGTCTCGGCCATGAGGTTCTCGCTGGTGGTGCAGGTTTTGCCGCCATGAAGATGTTCGAGGACAGACAACGCAGAGAAGGTATGTCAAAGTCCAAGCTCTCAACTTCACTCGATTCAAATATACTCATACCAACCGTTCGTAGGAAAGCCAGTCTCTCACGCATTCGCCAAGGAGCTCCTCGCTGGTTTTGCCGCTGGTGAGGTTGACAAGTTGGTTGAGACCAAGGGTGAGGACTGGGTCCGTGAGCACCGCATGAGAGAGAGATCTCAAGAGCAAGCTGAGCATCTCTATGATCAACACTACGGTCAAGATGACCAATATGACCCGTATGTTACCATTCACTCTTCTTCTACCTTGTCCCTTCGACATTCGGATCTGGCTAACATGTCTCTTTACAGAAACCAACGTGATGCCCCAGAACACTTCAACAGATACGACAACAACTGGTAAATTCACAACTGAGTTGGCATGGAATCAATCGATCGATATCTTGGAATTCATAGGACAATGAGTTGATGGATTCTTTTGCCATCTGGTTGGGCATTTCCGATGATGATTATGATGAAACTTATATAGCAAGCAAGCAAGCATGGCTTTTTACGATGGATGATACCGCCTGGAAATCCCAGGTTCTCCACGGAACTGAGTCTCAATCGAAATGAAAAAGATTATTGACCACAACAACATTGTTTCTTGGTATCTGGATGATTTGGTTATTTATGTGAAAAATATTTTGACTGCTACAGTGAATCTCATGATGTGACGTTGATAAAGACTGATGTTCAAAGAAGTCGACTCCTGTCTCATTATACATTGCCAAGAATGAGGAATGCAGAATGCAGAATGCATGAAGCCTGTAATTTAGGTAGGGAGTATCTCATCTCATACCAAGAAAGATAAGAGATAAGAGCTTAAGCCTCCGATCACGGTGAAGCTGATCGCCAAGAGTATCGGTGTGTGCGTAACGCCATAGTTATAATAATGAAGAGGCTGTAAGACCTACTTCGCATGGAGGTATGTAGAGACAATCCTACCCAACTCAATTTATAGTAATCACAACATCCCATCTTTGATTCAATTCCAATCCTCTCATTCGAATCTCTCTCAATTGGTTTCATAACTTTACTCCTGACAAACGTCTATTATCAATCAAAGTATGTAGGTATTAATCAACCATTCATGCATCATCATCATCATCCATCTATCCATCCACCGGTAAACCTCCTTCTCTGCTAGGTCCTCACACTAACAGTCCATCCATCAATAGCTTCGCCCCAACATCGCACTATACATCCGCAATCGCCATCTAAATCGTCATTTCGATCTGCTACTTATTAGCCCCTGCCCCCTCAAATACCACGAAACCTCGATTCTCCTTGGATAAACCACTATGGTCAGAAATAAACCATCAATCGCTCTTCTTCACAAGGCAACAATTCCGAAGGAGACAACGACCACGAGCATGTCTTCTAACATGTCGAATGAGACAATTGCGCAAGAAGAGAATGCAAATGTATCCTATGACATGCCTAATCTTCACAAGATAGCAGTTGCTCAAGAGACAGCCGCTCGAGAGGCGACTTTCCAGGAGATAGCTTGGGGAAACACGAATCATCCGAGAACATCTTATGCCCTGGCTCCTATACCCACCTCCCGTCACAAAAGGAGAGAGATGCAAGAGATGGGTTCGGAAGGTGCAGCTCTTGCAAGCATGTCCTCTGACAAACCTCAAAGACTACCGATTCGTAGCCTCAAAGCAATCGCCCCGGGAGAGCTCGAAAATCAAGGAGTACAGAATCCAGAGACCCAGAGTATGGAAGTTGACAAGGAAGCCGAAAAGTCATGGCAGCAAACCGAGGACATATTGGTTAAGAACACAATGTCTTGGATTGCCGACGACAATGCTCCTGATGAGACATTATATGAGACGATGAAGAAATCTAATGGACTATCATCAATCAGAACCGCATACGGTGCTACGAGTACTGAGCAAACTTTGTTTAGACAATACTGTGATTATCTAGAAAGGAACACGTCCAGTGCAAGCGCCATGGGAACTAAGGAAGCTAAAACCGCAAAAGAAGAGATCAGGCTCAAGGAACCTGAGGATTATGCAGAACCATTCATAAACTTTATGACAGAAAATCCAACGGTATGGCATGCTATCCAATACTGGGAGAACAAGTTGGAGAAAGCTGGGTTTTCCAAGGTAAGTCCAACCTACTATTCCGTCTTGACAAGTCAGGGCACTTGGGCCTAAAAAGCACAAATGCTAAAAGTATCCTGTTTACAGCTCTCCCCACGGGAATCGTGGAACGATAGACTTGAGCCCAATGGAAAATACTACTTGAATCGTAATGGTACATCCTTAATTGCATTCTCCGTTGGTGGCGCCTACCAATCTGGAAATGGAATCGCAATGGTCGCAGCACACTCCGATTCACTTACAGCTCGCCTCAAGCCCATCAGTACGAAAAACAACAAGGCTGGATGCGTACAACTTGGAGTTGCTCCTTATGCCGGTGCTTTGAATGAAACATGGTGGGACAGAGATCTTGGTATTGGTGGTAGAGTTTTGGTCCGGGATGAATCTGGATCCATTTCCCAAAAGTTGGTAAAATTGGGTTGGCCAATTGCACGTATCCCAACTCTTGCTCCTCATTTCGGTGTTGGAATGTTTGGTCAAAATAACAAAGAAACACAACTCGTACCAATTATTGGACTCGATAATTCAGATTTGTCCTCATCGTCACCTGAGACATTTCAAACATCAGCCATATCGGGTGCCAAATCGAGCTTCATCTCTACTCAACCACCAAAACTGGTAAATCTCATTGCCAAAGAATTGGGCATTGAAAACAAGGAAGCCATCATCAACTGGGAACTCGAACTCTTCGACACTCAACCAGCTCAGCTCGGTGGTCTCGAGAAGGATTTGATCTTCTCAGGACGTATTGATGATAAAGTTTGTTCATGGTCATCCATCGAAGCACTAATTTCCAGCTCTACCTTGGAAAAATCCAAAACATCGGGTATTATCTCCATGGTTGGTCTCTTCGACGATGAAGAAATTGGCTCTCTTCTACGCCAAGGTGCGAATAGCAATTTCCTTCCAGGAACAGTGGAACGTATTGTGGAAAGTTTCAATGATTCCACATATAGCCCTAATTTTCTAATGGAAACATATGCTAAATCTTTCCTCGTCTCGTTTGACGTTACACATGCTACGAACCCTAATTTCCTTGAAAAATACCTCGAGAATCATGCTCCTAGACTCAATGTGGGACTTACCCTTGAGGTTGATAGTAATGGGCATACAACTACGGATTCTGTCTCAACGGCTATTTTCCAGAGGTTGGCAGAGAAGTGTGGACAGAAACTTCAGACGTTCATGATTAGAAACGATTCTAGATCTGGAGGTACTGTAGGACCCATGTTGAGTTCTAAAATGGGAGTTAGAGCTATCGATGTGGGAATTCCACAATTGAGTATGCATAGTATTAGGGCGACAACTGGAAGCAAGGATCCAGGATTGGGAGTTAAGATGATTGAGGGTGTCTTTGATGGGTGGGAAGATGTGGATGCTCAGTTTGCTGCTGGTAATGGATGGTAAAGGTGTTGAGATGGATGTTTAGTGTTGGAAATCTATCTATCTACTTGATAAAGGTAATGGCGTTGAATTTGATGGATATGAGTAAAGAGGTGATGATATAATAGATATATATTGAATGATGTGAGCAAGAGGGGATTATTTCGTTGTTTTTTTTATATGGATGGTATCGGATAATGGAAGAAGATTGCTTGGAAGGGTAGAATATTTTTCGTTAAATAATTCGTAGATTAGATAGAACTTTTTTATTAGAATCTCTCTATCTATATACACAACGGCTTTATATATTCCGCGTCTTTTCCTTACTGCTGTATTTGGTAGGTCTTTCTCGTAATCTTACGATGGATAGTGATAGGTTTGGTTGTTTTTTGGGATAGTGTGATGAAATAAATTGTTGAGATGGGTTAATACTCATCATACTTATTTAGCGGCTTTCACTACAGAGTCTATGTAGGTGATTGTTGGGTATGGGTGGATGTATGGTTATGGTGAGGAGGGGGTGAGTTGGTGGTGGCGGGTATGGGTGCGTGGAATTTTTGGGATGGGGAAGAAGGAAGGGAAGGGTATTGTGAGGAGTGTAGGGAGTTTTGAGATATGGTGTTGGGATGGGGTGGGGTGGATGAGATAATGGGGGATGGAGGATGGAGGATGTGATAGGGGAAGGATGAACGGACATGATAGGGATAGGAGGATGGGATAGGAGGATGGGATAGGAGGATGGGGTTGGAGGACGGGAGTAGGAGCTTGAGGGAAAGAAGTGAAAAGTAAGAGGTAACAGCAAGAGAAAGATTTTAAAGATTTTAAAGATTATTTATTGATTTTTTGAGAGTGATTTGAATATATTATTTCTAATTATAACTCTTTTCGGCAAATCCAATATGAACTCGAGCTTTTTTGGGGTTGAGGGTCTTAGCTTTAAAATTCTGAATGTTGTGTTGTATTTCTTGAGAGTTTGATTAGAAATTGATAATAATTGAGTGTTGATATTATTAATGAGGTGTATGTATATCGAGTATCTTTTTTGATCATATAAGTCTTTAAAACAATCCTTTATACCCATACAAAAGACTTAGTCCGTAAATACCTTCCTGGCCTGTATCTATGGGTTACCCACTTGCCCTGTCATACTTGAGGATCATTTTTGAAAAGATGATACATATCTTTATATAACAGAAAAACAAAATGTGTAGACCTACAGACCTATTCACTTAGGTACTTAGAGAGAGGAGTTTAAGATCTATAAAAGGATTTCGATATCTAGTAGTTCAAGTTTTTCTCTTTATTAGAAGAGTTTCTACATTATTTTAACTCGCATAATAGAAAGTATTTCGGTTATATTCTAGCTCGTTAGATTTTTTAGACAGACTTGAAGAGGTTAGATACTTGAATTAATTAAAACTCCTTCAATCGGGTTTCAGAAATTTTTGTTGCCACTTTTGTTTTACTTCCATCAAACGTAGTCTGTGATAAAAGTTAAGGTAGAGTGACTATATGAGGAAAGTAGTTTTTATTGTCACAAAAAACTACATTTTCAACTTAACACGTCATTGCTTCCTGATTATTCTGCCTTAAGGATCGTTCTCGGATTTTCTTTTCTTTAGAAACTATACAGATGAAAGGCAAGATGCGACTATCTATATATCTCTAAATCGTTGCATTTCTGGTCCTTATAATTAGGTTTAATGTGGAGTGCATCAAGGGCAAGTGTTTCTGTATACAAGAAGTGGACAAGGATGTAAACGATAAAGGGAATGTATGTGTATATAATTCAGTGATAATGAGGAGCTGCTTTGTTGGATTCTGTATTCACTCTACAGATAAGAAATAATATCATAATCCAAAATGCAGATGGATGAAAGAAGTCAATTTTTCTATCTGCATCCCGTGTTTATCAAACATACACTAAATGCCAAGATTAGGCGAAATTTTCTAGTAGATTCAGGAATTGTCTTGAAGAAGTTTATAGAAGAATTATTCTTTTACATTTGTCTATATCTTCGAGACCCAGGATTCGATTTCAGAGGCGTACCTTCATTGTCAATTGGATTTTCAATATTTTATCGTCTAACTTAAAGAAATGCTACCTTTGTCTCTGTCACTGGTGAGAATAACGTCATTTATTAGTTACCATATCTTTTCTCAAGGAAGCGGCATAATAAGACAGATTAATCGACTAGATGAGCCAAAATTTTATTGGGTATCCCTAGTGAGAAAGTAGCTAGGCAATTCTAGCAGAGTAACATTGAGTATATTCGGATTGTAAATATCTTTTTTCGTTTGGGATGGAAGCTGTTGATGGAGTAGATGTTTATATAGATAAGGGAATCATAATTTTTGTAGTACAGACGCTAGACGACTGAGTATCAAGGATGTAATATTTAGGGCAGTGTTTTGATCATGAAAGTGATCCGTAAACTGATTATTACCAACAAGATGTTAAACAATCCTCATATATCGTCATCAGAAGTTGATCTGAAATTAATATCTGCTAAACATGTAGGCTCAGCGCAATGTGTGAACTCACCGTAAGATAGATCATAACCAGTACTTGCTTGGTTGTTCATTACTGACATGTTGATATAACTCTTTGGCATATTTAAAAGATTTAAATATTGGCTCGCCTCAGATCTTGCAGGTAATTAGTGGGTACGATCAATGAAGTTGGTCATTGGTATGCAAATCATGCACAAACACTTCGAGATTCACTATAATATAGGGTCATTCAATATGATATTTCTTATAGATTCTGATTACTTACTCTATATAATATAAGCTTTTATAAGTATAAATGATCACCAATTTTTTTTTAATCTCGCATATATAAGTAGCGAATACTCGCTAGACTTACTATAACACCTTCGCATTTCCATCACAAATAATAAAGATACAATGCAGAATATCTACTACTAGGCATGCAGTCTACTTGTCCGTGCATAAAAGCTACAGATACTTCTCGTGAATGAGAAATAGGATCGATATCATGGACATAATGAGAAGAGTCGACTTGACATTGCGCGCTGAATGCTCAAACTCGTGTGTAAAAATAGGATTAAGAATAAAGCTGTACATTGATACATGAACAAAACCCAAATATTGCTATACGAATTTTGTAAGGCATGCTGTGTTTTCCTGCCTTCTAAACCCCTAGCTGTGGTGGTAAGGCCCCTCACTTTCAGATTTTGATATAGCCACAACTATCAACAAAGCATGATTTCGCTTTTGAGGAGAGTATAAAAGTACCGATTTAGTGAGTTGCGACTGGCTGAAATGAATGACTGAGCTTTTGAGAACGGGGGTAAAAGGTTTATCCCTACAAGCTTGTCCAAAAAAAACCTTTTAATCATTTCTCATTAATTTACCAACAGATTCCCGATGGCAATGATGCCTAGTTCCGAGTTTCTCTTTAGCGTCCATTACTGAAGGACTTTTGATGCCATAATGCGAGCTGATGTATTGAATAGTTGACAGAGGCATTTGGATAAATTACGACCATGTTATTACTATGGAACCAGAATAGAGACTTTGACAATCTGGGCCGAGCTACCACTTATTAACTCTAATACAGATTAATAACCAAGTGTAAACATGCTCTTAGAAGTTCCAAAGTGTTGCATCCGAAGAATGCATATTTTTTGTCACTATGATTCACCGCTATGAATTAATGAATGAAGTTAACCTGAAGCTTCGGAAGTAAGTTCACGAACACACTCAAGCTTTTTCATAAAGCTCAACAATTCGAAGATAAAGGAGGAACAGATTATTGTAACATTTCAGACTTGCTTAGAGATCATAGATCTTAACGAGACGGACTTCATAGCATAGCCGCTGGAGGTATTCAGTCATGTTAGCCCAAGTACCGGGGTACTATTGTTACGAACCATTGCTGCCATGTTGATATCTCGCTTTGAGCGTTTGTAAGAAGTACCTTGAAAGTACTCGAGATCCTTTGACCGGCCTAAGAGCCTAGATGAATCCGATTGAGACTGACGAAGTGAGTAGGAACTCTATGAGTCGCCAAACAACGGGTGATATACGCATGTAACGTTTATATTCTGAGGCTTCATGTAAAATAATTAACCTTGCGTTTGTGAAGCTGGTAAGTCTTTTGCGTATTTCCTGACGACCGAATGTGAAAAACAAGCCAGGGGCCACTGAGATTGAAGAAACACGGGAATGCAGGTTGTGACTACCTCCTAGGTGTGACTTTTCTCATGATCATCAGCAGCGTTATCCTCTGATCTTGGGGATCGAAGAGCAACCAAAACCAAATTCTTAAGGCTTTATGATTCGCATTAAATCATCATACTTTTTGGAATCCCTAGGACCTGGTCGGAAATGCAGAGGAATTCCCACTCCTCCACAAACGACAAGGATTATCTAGGTAATTGAGTGGATCATAGAGTTGCCATGGGTTTTAAGACATGCAACAAAAACCATGAAGGATACCGAAAGGATTCATGATATGAGAAGGTTAGTCTTGTACGTTACAATGAAGGGGGTAATGATTGGATAACTCGGTTAGTTCGACCATTGACCATGATGTCCTTGGCGTAAGAATATGGCGATATCCATGCGACTGGTGCGCGAAGTCAGGGCCGCCACCAAATATTGCCAAACACTTCGGAACTTGACGACTGCAATGGTTGGTTGTCCTATGTGTGCTACGTTTTGGCAAAAAATGTTGATGATGTTGATATCGGGATACCTTTACATCCTGATATTTAATGGTGCATACTCGTATAACTGTAAGTATTTTGTACCAATGACAACTAGCCACTTTATCCAGATTCCAACTCCATCATCAAGCAATGCAATTGGAAAACCTTAAATTCTTGGGTAACACTGCGACTTGCAACAAAATGAACACTTCTCAAACATTACCAATTATTTGGGTCGTGCACATGATCGTCGACGTGTTAACGGAGTACACGGGCTATGATGTGGCATGGCTGACAGCACAACGTCGAAACCTAAAAATGCAGTGACCACTTGCACTGGGAAAAGGGAAAAGAAAGAGAATTAATTAAGAGAAATGAATGGAAAATTCCGTTATTTCCATAGCAATTGAGATGTGCAACAAACATGGGAAGTTTGTACTTAGGGCTTAGCAGGTAATAATTTATCATTTCCGATTTGTGGGAACAAAATAGATTGAGGCGTTCCTGATGGAAAGAAATGTGCAGCCGAAATGTACTCCAGTATCCATTCAGGTACGATCGCTCGGATCAAGGGAATCGAATTATGAGGAGCCAAGTGAGTAGATTTTAAGTCGAAAGGGATAAAGTTGAAGCCTTAGAGTGTCCCGAGAGTTCTGCCTTTCACGGTGCTTGTGAAGGAGCTCGACGAATGTTTCAGTAGACGGAGAACATGCATAAATCCGGAAACATCTCCGCGGTTTTCCAACTGACCTTGGACCAAGTGGTTGGGAAATGTGAAGACAATTTTGGAGAATTTGACATGTGATATGTGATACCGTCTCAACGAAAAGGAGCAGTTATCCTGAGCACACGAATTTAAATCACTGGGCAGTTTGAGGTTAATATGACGTACGGGAGTAACCTTTTAGCCCACTCCTAGCTGTGAGTTACCCTTGGCAAATAATCCGATATGCAACAAAAGATTTCTCCCGTGATCGAAAATGTCCATTCCAGATTATGTATGTTCAACAGGAGTACCGAAAGGCATATAAATTTAGCTTGTTTTCATGTGTGGCGCGATCCCTTCATGAACTAAAATGGTGTGGTTGTTGGATCGCAGCTCGGAGTGTTGTCTCCTTGGATCTCAACCAAAGTTAGGAATAAAGTCAAGCTGACTCTCATGGCCTTTATCCAATTGGGCTCGAAACTTTCGTTGGGAATTCAGACGTGCAACATTGATGTCGCTCTTGGATCTCATCCCGGAGATACTGTCCATGGCTGACTGTGCTTGCGTTCCAAGATTCTATCTAAGTCGCGAATGAACCTTGGGTGGCTTTCGTTGCTGGTACCTCTCGAAGGATTCCTGGCTTTGTTATAGTCTAGAATTCCATGACCCAGTTAAAATGTTGAGGATTGCGACGTGCAACATTTACCTTCCATACTCCTCACTCGTGGTTGTGATTGTGATTGTGAATTTTATTGTTGTGTTGAATATTTTCCATTTTTTTGGAACAATCCAATTTATTTTCGATAGCATGATTGGCGCGCTTACTAATACTCAGATGACTAATGCAGGGGGAACATTTCACCCATCTCAACTAAAGAACGTGGAACATAAAACAAACGTACCGAATGTACTGCACACACAATGCACATCGTCAAACCATCATTATTTCTGACTATGTAGAACGATTTTTATGTGATGGGCGAAGGGAAAAGCCCATTCTTCTTTAGATTGCGTTATCACACAAATCTAGGATATACTGCTCAGGAACCCTGCGAGCCGAAGCCTGACGAATGCGGCTGGTCAAAGGACATGCGCGAGTCATTTACCACAGCTCAAAAAGGAGAATTGCAGCCATCTCCCCGAAGGTCACGGAGTTATTCACGTCCGCCTTCGTTCTTGTCAAAAGAAGGATGGAAACGTCTCGGTTGGGATAAATGAGACGTGTAACAGTGTATACCAGCAGTGTCAGCCTTGCATTCCGAGCACGAAATCCAGGAGGTGGTGAAATTTAAAATCGAATCTGTGTCTGAGTCTGGATACCCGCTTCATTGACAATAACATGACTCGTTGTCATGCCATGATTACTCGGGGTTTTTGCCAAGCTAACGCTCAAAACGGTCTTGCCTCGCACCGCTTTGAAATGAACCACTTACAAGAGAAGGATACGAGTCAGCTTCCCTTGTATATGTCCCATGAACATAGTCTCTCCACTCGCAATCTCGGCAATTTTCGACGATCATTGAACATGGCTGGAAACTGCTCGTTGATGTCGAAGACTCGAGGCCATTCGGAACCATCGGGACATGGGCTGACTTCAGGAATTTGACAGCACACCGAGAGTTTTTCCTCGAGCAAGCACATACTAGAACAAAAGAATGTGTCGTCGCAAAGATCCCGTTGTTCAGCCTTATCTCCACACAGGGCATAGGCCGCCTACGGTAGCTTTCCGCAAGCTCCCCCCGGTTTCAAACGAGGTTTCCAAACCAGCAGCTGAAATGTGATCTTTCATGAGTCCTTTGCGCTGCAACACTGAACTTCCGCACTGCTGGAAATACTGACAAGATTGGGAGGTTTTGACCGTCGCCTTTATAGATATGCAGCAAGTCAAGATGCAGCATGGCAATAATGAAGCCTTCGCTTTCTCCAGCTTTACAATTATCCCAGTCGTCAGGTCGGATGCGATTCCATTCCTAGAGTTACTCCTTAGATGCCATGGAAAGTTTCAAATTTCCATCTGGTGGAGAGGTATCTAGGCATAGAATTGAGATAGCCGAATTTACGGGCTTTCAAGATGCCCATTGTAGTGCGACGAGTCATGAGATTGTCGTCTTTTTTTGTCATTTGCGTCGTGGCTACCCTAAGAACAAACGCGACATGCTTCTCGCTCATTTTCGCCGCATCGGGCTCACTCCTTCGCGGACACCATTCTTTTTATGGAATGATAAGAGCACAAATGGGGATAGAGCCGTGACAGCATTAACACATGCAGGTTTTGTTGCGTGTCTATCGCTCATTATTTCCCCTTAGCAGGATGTTTTGAAGAGACCAGTTTACACATATGCACAATTGTTGCACATCTTGCCTTCACGTCATGCCTGTCAGATACGCGGTTCATCCGCTCCCGCTGACATGCTGATCTAAAGTGCCATGAAAAATCACTGTGGCGGGTGCCGCCTAAAGGACAAGATGACTGACTCGAGGTCACCAAATTGTCGAATGATTTACACTCCACTTTCATTCCATCACAGGGGAGATCTTTCCGCAGTATTTAAGATTTACGGCTTAGAAGGCCTAGGATCCGTCCAACCGATCTTTGAAAACTCTCTGTTGCATATCTGAACCTGAGTCGCACTGACATGGTGGGGACATAAATCCATCGCCGAACTCCATAGCCTTGTGGAGATGTAGCTCGTGTAATCTCTTGCCGAGCAGAATTTCTATCTCGCAGGAACATTGTGGAGATTTCCAAGATTCGTACACATTCCTAGCATCAAAGGAACTCTTGTTGCACACCTACACATCCGAGCACTTACTCGCACCTTCTATCGTGTGGATATTATTTTCTTCTATCGTGGCCGTCTTTGCATTATTTATGGTTTGGGTTGCATGTCCGCAATCCTGAATGTTGACTCACACCTGTTTATGGTGGAACCTTCAATCTTTCCTGTATGTTTGTTGCATATCTAAATTTTAACGTTGACTCGCACCCCTATTTGTACTGGGGCTGCGAAACCAAATTGGTAATTTCAAAGAATTTGTTGCACATCTAATTTTTCGATCTTGAGTCGTGGTTTTCACTGTGTAATCAGGGTGGAGATTCTTGTCACAAGGACAGAGGATATCCACTTTCTATAGATTACAATCTCGAGAGACAGGTCCTCTGGAATAGATATTCTTACACTTGGTCGGCGTGCGATGTTTTACCCACCGCCGATAATTGGACTTGCACACTTACAAGCCACTCTCGAAATCACTCAAATTCTCACCAGCTTTTGAACTCCATGTCTATGCGAGTTACACCTTTCTACAACTCGTAATGCTATCACTGTGGCTCTGGTGGTAAATCTAATGTTCCGTCAGACAAGAAAACATTCCGCCACCCTCACATCGTCTCTGCGAGCCATCTTCGTACTTCTAGAGGCAGTGGGGGGTGTACGGTATAATGACCATTATAGAATAGTCCCGGCCTTGAATTTTATACCGCCCATCGAATGACCGTCCCTTCCAGCCAATATCTCTACCTACGTTCCGGCAATACTTCTTCGTTACATGGACACCTTACAATACCATTGAGCATTGGACAAGTCCAGTCACGGATTTACACCTGCAGACCTACGCCTCAGCTCATCGGGCTCGGATGTTATGACACTATATGGATATAAAAGGCATTCAATGAAGGCCAATAACGATAGCCAAGCGACGAGAATGGACTTGTTGGTGGCTGTAAAGACGCCGGGTAAATAACATTTTCGTTCCAATAATATGATTAATGCTAGACTCAACGTACACCATATCAAATACATCAATTCAAGCGCCAGTCTAATGAGTATGCTATACTCTTGAGTTGGAAATCTGAACTCGGTGTTCTATGCTATATCCACTTGATGGTTGGAGTCTTGAGGGGGTATCGCACTGTTCCCAATCCCCGTCATAAATAGCCTCTGTTGTAGACCGAATGTTTTGATTTAATCATCTCATCTTTAAAATCTCGGTCGGCAGAGACCTGAATTTCATGACTGGCATTATGCGCAGCATGCTGCTCATCTGACTTGCGTCTTAGTGTTTCTAGTGGTACCTCAATCGCATCTCAACATCCATCCGATCGAAGGCGAGATAGTTCGGAAGATGAGATATTTTTCAAACGCATTTTGGAATCTCATTAACAAAGAAAGTTTCATTTGAGAGTGAGTCATGAACTCTGGAGAAAAACCGTCATTGCTCTTCTGGACCAGGATTTCAATAACAAACATACCAACTTCCTCCTTTTCATACAACGGTGGCTCCTGGCCGTCCACATCATTCCTTGCGACTATGCTGCCTGGGTTGCCGTCATACGAATAGTGGATTTCCAGGAACGATCGTGATTGCGAGTGCCATGGACAAACTATGAGTTCATGGTGAATCTTAGCATTCACCGAAACTCTCAACACGGACTTGCCTATTTTTTGGCACTCATTCAAATAATTCACGGCAGGAGACATGAATCATACCTGCCGCGCCATCAAGGGTGATCAACTAAATTTCAGAAGGTCAAGGCGAGAAACGTGGAGATAATTATCAATAATTCTAGAAGAAAGTCACTCGTACAAAGGTAAGTAGCTTTTGCATACTAGCCCAGACGATCTCGTTGGCTGCCACGTTCTGGGTTTTTTGGATTGCTCAGCTTGGACGGACCCCACACATTGAATGATTAAAAGTTTGTTGATCGATGTTGATCACAGATTACCATTATTTTTACACTTTTTGGTGTGTTGCTAGATATCTGTATACTTATCTTAACACGAATAGATGGAAGTATCTCGCCAGGCCATAGTCTTTGTGACCAGTCTGTTGACTATCAAGACTTACAAGCATCCCGAGGCTTGATGAGCGACAGAGGGAATAATCTGCCATATCCTTCAATACCTAGTTTCATATCAGTGAACACAACACAAAGCTTTTATGCTTGATTTCAGCCCATGGAGCTCTCAGACGTCCCTCACTTGGAGTGTATATGACTGAATCCTTCTACTAACAAGTCGAAACGCAGATTGATCATGGTGAATCGAAGCACTCTCGAGGTTCGCCGATTCATTTGCGCTTGTGGTTAAAGCCTCGATAAAATTTCATCTGGAAGACATACATGACAAGGAAAGGTCGAGTCATACTGCAGTTGCATGGTTCTACATTCCACTGTGGATGCTTTATGGAATATAGCAACCTCAGAATTCACCTTCAGCATATTGCTTTGGTATCAACCTTATAGTCTTCTATGGGCCGTAAGTTGTTACCGTAGTATTATCTTTGAACTGGACGTATTAATGTCATCAAGCATCTTGGGTGCTGTTCCTAGTGCTGCATTCCCTCAAAATTTATTTCTTTCCTTAATGAATATGGGCTTATTACGAAAGAGTTTTTCATGAACAAAAGCGATTTATGATTGTATAGTGAAAGTGGAAAGTTTGGAACAGAAGTCGAGGTGATTTCTTTCTACTTTACATGCAGCTCCACAGGCTGGTTGATTATGTAGCTTTGAAGCCGGCGTAGTTCCGAAGTCATGCTGGAGCTCGTTGTTGATTCACTACTTGTCGAATTGCTCCTCAAGTATTAACCTCCCTTACAATTCAATTCATCTAGGACTAATCAAGAACCCCGCTTTTTTGACATCGAAAGTTCGATTCGTGAGAAATATAAACTATACACTGGTCAAAGAAGAGACCATAAAGTTGAAGTCGCAATTTAGACTGCAGCGATGTAGAAGATCCAAAGACCCGTCCGAAAGTGTTCGTTTCCTCTGTTCCCATGCACCTCTGGTAATGCTTACAAAGGTTTTGAAAATAATCTGCTCATACCCAGACTCGATTGAGGAGTGTAACTCAGCTGGTGATATTTATTGTTGTTGAAAGTTGAGGTTTGCTGGCATCATCTATTGTCATTATCAAAATTCGCTTCATCATAATCAGAGCATATCATGTCCCTGAAATATTTCAAGGCTCACATCACATATTTCCATGAGAGGCTCACAATTAAGCACTCCAGTCAAGATTCCTGGCATCTGCTTCCACCTAATGTTATCCATGAGGTTGATTATCTGTCCCATACAGAAAAGCATTCTTTCAGTTTGCGACTTAAAATATAGCAATCGCTCGGCTCAGAAAGCACTAGTTCGGGCTCATACACTGAATACATTGGTTTATTCACTAACTCAGCATTCTGCATTGGTTATCATTGGAATATGCATGATCGACTTTATTTGAGGGGTCTTTCATACACGATTGGCTTGTGATACTCAATCCCCGGGTTCTAGTGAATCCGTGAGCCTCATCATTCAGGGATACATGGAGTTATAAGAGATTCAAGTTTGTGATCTGGCTCCTATCTCTAGATATCTTTTTTTACCATAGCAAAAATGACCCTCCTAAAGTGAGGTTTTACCATCAGTCTCCATTTTCAGTAGAAATCGTCATGAGCGCATGATTGTGACTCTACAACCGTCTCTAAACGGGGTTTCTACCGCTGACGCTTGGCATATTCTCCAATAGATATGGCAGTGATCATGTGACCACTTACCCGCCTATGGTTCCACGAGCTATTATAAATGAGTCCATAGCTACCTTGGTAGTCTTTGATCTTTATACCCTTTTTTACTACTTTAAAAGGCTAGTTGTCCCGACCATGGCAATAGGTTAGAAGTAAAGATGAATTAGAAAACTTGGGATCAAAAAGATCAGAGAATTCCATGTTCTCAATTTCGACCAGTGTTGTTCAGACATCAGTCCACTTTTACTGTCAACACACTTCCCATTATCCCTATCGTTGAAAGCCACTGTTACTATGCGTTTGTGGAACCTGAATGGAGGAGAATTTGTCCCCCCTCGAAATGCGTTGCTTGAATTCTAAGCAGGGGCTTTGCGAGATGAAAAATAGTCGTATGATTAGAAATTTTGGATAGCTGCAGACTTTGTTCTTGAATTATTCTCCAAAGAAGTAAAACAATCGATTACCAAATAGTGAACCCATAATCTAATTGTGCAAGTTCATCGAACACCATCATAATTAAATTTAGCCGGATGGGCTCATCCATTATCTATACGCTTAACCTTGAACTAATAAGTAGTGATCGACCTAATCACTAGCGCCAATTGTGGAATATGGCGCACTTGTCCCTCGGTTAGTAATCCACGTTTCAGAAGGCTGAACTACAACTTGAAAATATCTGGGGGAGTCTTGGCATAAGCTCGTCTAAAAATAAACTGCCTAATTTATCAATCTGACATCTTCAATAGGCTGATCAATCGCACATCATGTAATGCTATTATCAGAGCCACTAAATATTGTGGAGCGAATGATTGATATGAAATTAGAGACCATCTTATAAATCTGTGGACCTCGCGTATTTAAAATAGTTGATTATTAAAAACAAAATCTTTATATGATAAAAATAGTCCAGTAGCCTATCACAAATCAATAACCTCTCATATTTTGATCTTCTAATCTTCTAGTAGTCTTAGCAAGAGGCTAGTTGAACGTTCTACAATCGTTGTATTTTCAGAATTGACTATCTGGGATGAAAGGCAAACGGCTAGAAAAGTAATCTAAGATTACATCATGTATCAGATGTATTTTGAGCATAACAAGAGTAATCAGCTCCTTTGCTACCACGGCGGCAGAAGATTTCAAATCCTTCCCATGATTCGGGACTTGGCATAATGAATTCTAGCAACCGAATTTGAAGGAAACAAGAAGTTTTGAGGATATAAAAGAGTATGAATCTCCATGGATTCTAATCTTCATTCATACATCATTGCACATCTTTTCACAACATTTCATTATCAATTCACTTTTCTTCTGCTTATACGATATCTTTATTTCCTTGACTGAAGACATATCCATTCAGTTTTTCTCTCTATTCTCTCCAAAATTCACACCCTTTCCTTCCTAGTATATCAAAATGCACTCCCAACAGTCCAAAACACTCCTCGCTCTCCTCCTTTCTCATGTCCTCACAATCTCCGCATCTCCCGCTTTAATTCCCATCAAAGTTCGCCAGGAGCTTGCTCCTGTCCCTTCAAACTTCAATCCCGGAACTTTGGCCGTCCAACCTAACAATGGCGGTGGCACCTCCGACGACTGCGGTAGCGGTCCTATCACCCTCGATCGCGATACATGGAATAGCCGTAACGTAGACCAAATAATCAACGATATGTTTTCATCCCGAATGTCTGATCCCAGTTTCGATTTCCATCAAGAATTTGGTAATAAGTATAACGTGGATTTCTACTGTCCAAATAGTTTCGATAATTGCGAAACTACACCACCCAGTTGTAGCTCATTGAATGGAACAGTGACGGAAAAAGAACAGGGATGGTTGGGTATTAAGGCCATGATGAATGTGCAGCAAATGTATTTGCAGTGGGAGAAAGTGATGAGTAACTCGGTTGATACACTTACACAGACGAGTGTGGATTTTCAATCTGTAAGTCCTATGCTTCAATCCCCCGAAATCTATGGAGTTAACTAACTTATTTCCCCGTCAGAACTTCGCTCCCACCACCCCAGGTGCAAAAGTCAGCGCCAAAAACACCGTAACCGTCATATCCGGCGGCCTCGCCATAGCCGCCGTAATCGGTACCTTGTGGATACCTGGCGCTGCTGCATTCACACTCCCCGTCCTCGGTACACAAATCACAGCCGGGATGCTAACAGTCGGTGCTGGAGTTGGTGCCGGAGTTACTACTTTGGCAGGCACTATTACCAATGATGTGCAAGATGGTCAAGAATCGGATGAGCTTAGCGTGTTGCAAATCTCGGATCTCTTACCGGCGATGAAACAGTTGGCGTTGAGTGGTTTGGAGTTTTCACATAATGGGACGTTTAGTAATGGGATGGTGAGTGGGAATAGTGTCGGGAATGTAAGTTCATCTAATTATATCAACATTTAATCTTTATTAAAGATACGAAAGAGAACTAACATAAATAATCAACAGATGAAAGATCTTCTCCTCGGTGGTGCATTTTCCGGTTCCGATATCCTCCAAGCATATGTTGGTGGTGAAAATGGACTCGATGGATTATTTTCCCGCTACGCAGCTATCCAACTTCTTCAAGCATATTGGGAAGCACAAAATGCTTTTTTCATCTATATTCCCGATGTTACGAGTAATTGTCAAGGTTGGCATGGAAATACAGGTGGAAAAGATGCTGGTGATCCAAGAAGATATTGTGGTGAAAAGGGCATGATGATTTTAGCAGGCGTGGATAATAATTCGAAGTTTTCCGCGCCACAGGGAATTGATAATGGGAAGGTGGCTTCAATTGGAGGATTTAATATTCGTGAGTTATTTCTTTTCTTCATCAGCTTCATTCATTCATTCATTCCTCTCCTATTTTTTGTGTTGGATGTATGAACCTTAGACTAACGATATCCAAAGCCCTTCAATCCCTTTATGAAAGTACATATAATATGTACACTGGCCATGGTCTTGATTCCTACAAAGATCTCCCTTACCATCTTAACAATATAGCACAGGAATACGTCGGTAATAATGATGCGAATAAAGCATATACAACTGCCGGATTCTTTACACTTCCAGTTTGTGAATTGAAGGCAGAAGATTGGAAACAGAGTGATAATATGCATAAGAGTCCTCCATGCGATTGTTGTAAGTATTCCTTTTTCTATTTTTTTTTCTATTTTCCTTTTCTTCTTGAATTGAGGAATTGGAAGCACAGAAGAATGAGCGGATTCTGGGTATGGGATTCCTGCTAATTTTTGCATAGTTTGTGCACAAGATGCTTGGGGTCATAAATTCATAGATTATGCTTCTCAGCCGATTAAGACTTGGCTTCAAGGTTGTCCAGCTTGTTCTTAGGGGGTTTTTCTCAGTCATCATTATGATTGTTGGACACTGACGGATTGAGGTTCTGGAGTAGTTTGGTTGTTGATAATTTGTTCTGAGTATGGGGTAAGATACGGAAATGAGAGGATTCTAGGAGCCTGTTGGTGATGGTGCATTTTAGCTTAGCTAGATTTTGGTTTTTATCTTTATGTCTGTCGTTATTATATTCTTATGATTTTATCTATACAATATCTCGATAGTCTCGCTTGGAATATGTTTTTTTTTTTTTTTTTTTTAACTGGAGGTAGGGTTTTTTGATGTGCAATACCTTCGAATTTCAATCAATGCTTTTACTGCTTTTACTACTTGCAAAGTAGTAAACTTATACTTTCCTATTTTCTCATTATACACAAATAGGAAAAGGACAATATACAGGATTATTCATGATTCTCTATTTTATCATTATTTCTAAGTATCTTTTTAGATATAGATTACCTCAAACGTTTTGTACCTTTTATATAGAATATCCTTCCAAGTATATCCTCCAATCCCTTTATTCAAATTGCTGTTCTATAATTATAACCTCTTTAAATTTTTACTACTTTCCTTGAGAAAAGTAATGAGTTGTTCATTAATAACTCTTTTTGTATCCCAGTATTCAATAGATATATACATCCCATGTCAGTCTATTATCCATACATTCATATATTCACACCCTCAACAACAAATCCGCCATCCATAGTATAATAGTACACAAACTCATCCCAATAACCTCCACCCAAACCAAATCCCCTGATCTCTACGTTGTGCAAAAGATACCCATAGAAAGGGTAGATTATGAATCTAAATAATAGATAAGTTAGATTTCTTTTTTGATATATTTTAAAGATGTGAGAAATTAATTAATTAATTGATCGAAGTAACATGGAATTATTTTAAAGGATGAAATAAATAAGATAAGATAAGGTATAAAAAAAAGTAATTTTTTGTTTTATTTTAGTTTAAGGGGGGGAAGAAAAGAGTAAGAGTGAGGATTGAATTGAATTGAATTGAATTGAATTGAATTGAATTGAATTGAATTGAATTGAATTGAATTGAATTGAATTGAATTGAATTGAATTGAATTGAATTGAGTTGAGTTATTTTGATTCTTATTTTACATAATTAAGGGTTTTGGGAGGTGGTTTGGAGAGGTGGTTTGGAGAGGTGATTGAAAAGAGAAGAATAGACGAGCAGGGAGAGAAAATAGAAGATATTAAAATAATATCTCAAATAATCAATTGATCCATCGGTATAAAGGAGTATTGTTTCATTAATTATATATAATAATCTTACATCAAATCATATCATATCACATCATATCCCATCCCATCACATCCCATCCTACCAGATATCTCATAACCCCTCATTCCCCTCTCTCCTCCTCCACGCCCACTACCACTACCACCCCAACTTCCTACACCCTACTTCCCATAAACATCCAAACTATGCTCCATAAGAAACCTAATCCCCTCCTTCCTAAAAGTATCCTCCTCCACAAAACTCCCATTCCCCATAAAAACCAAATTCCTCTCCCCTCTCGCATAATCCGGCCACCTAACCCCCATCCCCTCCACATCCGGCACCAAGCGCGTCACAAACCCCACCCACCTCCTACTCATCTCCTGCGCCAGGGTAAAATACCCCTCCGTCACATTCCCAAAAGGATTAGTATCATACCCAGCCCCCTTCGTATTATTAAACACAAACGCGACCTCTTGAAAATGGGTCGCGCCCATATTTTTAGGAAGTCCATTTACAAGGACATCGAAACGGTAGGTGTAGATGGGGATCTTGAATTTTTTCCACGAGAGAGAAGTTAGACGGCGCGGGGCATGCATGATTAAATCACCCATGTAAGCGCATACGCGACGGGATTGTAAGCCCCAGGTTGCGGTGAGCGGATTGCTGGGGGTGAAGAGGTCGGGGTACATTTCTAAGCTGGGGATGCCGACGCTTTGGTTGTTGGGGTAGAGGGTTTGGATGGAGAGGGATGCGTTGGAGGAGGGGGGGAGACCGGTAGAGTTCAGCATGGAGATGAATTCAGCGTCTGTGTTTACACCGTTGCCGTCTGGTCCGTAGCCGGATCCGAATGCGGTTCCTTCGTCTGTGTTGGTGCCGATGAGATAGGGGACTTTGACGAATTTTCCCGCGGCGAGTTGTTTACTGGGATAATCGGCTATGAAGTCGTGGTCGATGTATGGGAAAAAGGGACCGAATCCGCTGGTTGATATGTTGAGAGCGGAATTTAAATCGGAGAAGGTGAGAGTGCGGAGACATTGGAGAGATGTGGTTGATGTGGTGTTTGAACCGAGTGTATTTGCGCAAGTGGTATTTGCGACGAGGGTTTGGAAGAGAGTTTGCGGAGTGGTGGAATTATAAGCATTGTAGTAGGCCTCAGGGAAGAAAAGGACAGCAGGGCCACCGGATTCGGAGATTGCAGCGCGGAAAAGGTGGTCATTTCGTCCTATTTAATGTTAATTAATTACTCAATTCATGATAATGATAGCAATCACGCTGGAATGAGAGGAAACAAACCATTATAGGCCAACAGCTGTGCACCCACACTAGCAGCTCCAGCACTTTCTCCCCAAATAGTAACCTTCTTTTTATCACCTCCAAAATGTTCAATATTTTCATGAACCCACTGCATCGCCAATCTCTGATCTCTAAATCCTAAATTCGTATCACCACTTTCGAGCACCTCATTCCCACCAAGGAATCCCCAAGCAGATAATCGATATTGAACTGAGACACCTATCATAGGTGTGCCCATCTCCACACTATTTTGAACAATGTACGATAAGTTGTAACGAGCATCATTGGAACCGCCTTCGTAGAATCCACCACCATGTATCCAAAATGCAACTGGCAGAGATGCATTTTTGGGTATGGATGCGGGTCGAACGATGTTTAAATAAAGACAATCTTCATCAACTTCATGTCCAAAATCATCTGATCCATATCCTACACAGAAAGGAGGATATTCGGTTGCCAATTTGGGGGTTGTCCATGATTCGTTTAGGCTTTGAGGAACTCGGAAGCGAAGATCTTTTACTGGTGGCTGTGAGTGTAATAGTTAGTAAGTAACTCGTAGAGAGGAAGAAGATTCTGGAGGTCCTGAAGGAGATTCTGAAGGAGATTCTGAAGGAGATTCTGAAGGAGATTCTGAGAGTAGATGACGAAGAATATATAAAATCAAGTATAATCCACAACAAACCCCTCCACCACCCGGCCCTAAAAAAATAAAATAAAAAACATCAAAACATACCAACGCATACGGAATCCCCAAAAAGAAATCCTGGTTATAGCGTGTATTATGCAGTCCTCTATAACTACCATTCCTAACCGTAACCTCCGGCACAACAGCACGAGAAGTCGGGATCGCAGCTACCAAACTCGGAGCGCAGAGGGAAAGAAATGGTAGAAGTGTAAGCTCACGAGGGAGAAACATCGTGATGGGGAGGTGAGGAGAGAATAGGACGGGAAAGAAAAGAAAAGCCAAGCCGAGAGAAATATAAAGATGAGCTATTGCTTACTTACTAAGATCCCGGGGCTTCATTATATATATACATACCTATGTATTTGTAGGTAGGTAGGTAGGTAGGTGGCTGGATGAATAGATGGAGTACCCTCCCCCTCCATCTCCGCATCCACCTCCATTCTTGATCCTTAGAGACCTCGGGACTTTATTAATATAAAATGACCTTCTTATTTTTATCTATTTTTCAATCGTGTTAGTCAACCTAACCTAACCTGCATTGCCAATGCCAATGTTCATGAGGACTAAATGTGGAGAAAAACAAAACTCGGTGATATTCGTAACGTTTAGCAGGATTAAGAAGATATCATTGGATAAAGCGGGGGAAGATCTCTTGGCTGAACAACGGGATTTAGATTTTCGAATTTATCATATCAATTCAAGCAGCGTTGCGTTGCCGGAGATGTACCTTTTAGTTTAGTTGTTGGCGTTTGCTGTTGCCGTTGTTGTTGCCGTTACTAGGCTCGCGGATGAATGGGATGAATCGACTCAATCGACTCAATCGAGTAAGTATGTATATTAGATAATTTATTTATTTATATATATCAGACTGATATGTACTCGTAGATTTTAAAAGAATGGGTGTGTAAAAATTCTAGAAGGATGGTGGTGGTACAGCGGGGTAAAAGTGTGGAGATGCGGAGATGAGGGGATGGATGAATACGTAAGAACCAGGATGTATACCCAGTCAGTAGCATGGAATGAGAGATCGACAAGTCGTTGGAGGGGACAATTCAGGGACGACGGTAAAGAACTAACCACCATTCGCAATTGTTTAGCCATGCTTTGTTCAAAACCCGAGTGTCAAAATTTGAATGGCGGGATTTGATTTTGCGAATTGCATTGACATTAGGTTTGACCTCGGGACAGATATGTGTAGGGATTCATTGCTTGCTCGGCAAGTTGAGAAATATTCTGTAGATGGAGCGGTGCGTTTCTATTAGAGGTATTGAGAGAACAACAGACTAGTTATCTCTTGACAGCCTTTCCTAATACGATTTTAAGGTAGCCTTTGAATGGTCGGAGTAGCTTCGCTTGAATCTAGTGGCACCTATTGAACTTGTCGAAGTGGAAGCGAGTTTTAGAGTTATGCTAAAAATTGCTTGTAGTGGACGTGAAAAATGGGATTGCTCCGCGAGAATTTCCATTTCTTGGATTTGAAGCTAGTAGAGCAAGAAATGCCAATTCTTTTCCTCTCTGGATCACTCTTTTTGGTAGTTGACACGGGCCTTAGTTTAGGCTAGATTCAGTTCGGTGGCCGGTGGGTGCTCAACTATTCACGTGCGCATGTAAACATCAATTCTCTCAATTAATCCATCAATCCACCATATCCGACATATCCGTCATATCCATTCTCTTCTAGACCGTCTCTCAATTCGTTCCCAAACCTACCTGTTCGTTGTGATATATATATATAATATATACAGTGTCGACAACTGAGTGTGGGGTAGATATGGAGACCCCGGGAGGCCGAGAACAGAGGATTTTCTTCGGACAATAGACCAAAGATCTAAGATTGTTCACCGCTTGATGGTGGGAGAAATCGATCGTCCATAAGGCAGTCCATTGAAATATTGGTGAAAAAAAGGACCGAAGTAAAAGTCAAGTTGAAATTTTCATCCATCAATCGATACAGTCTTGAAAAAATTCCCACAGAATGAAAGCACTCACGACTTAAAAGCCAGCGCATTGCTGTTTGATTCATGTAGATGAACATGAAAAGTTACTCGATTTCTTTCATCCATCCAATTCTTCTTCTTCTTCATCTTTTTCGCTATCTTCAATAACTGTAATAAGTCTTGATTGGCTGACTGGAACGCTCCGCATCTGTGGTTTAGTACTTGCGATACTGACAACAGACATGGTATCGGAATCATCAGAACCGAAATAATTTTTGAACCCATTCCCTTCCTCGGGATTTTGTGGATCGAATTCGCCCATGTTGATATAACCTTCTTCCTCTTCTTCTTCCTCCTCCTCTTCCTCCTCCTCCTGGTCATCATCAAATTCGACAACTGCCTGAGATACCGTGGCACCTTTGGCAGTCTTTTTCACTCTCTTCGGCTTCAATAATTTCTCCACCACTTGTTGACCTCTCATTCTAAGAGATAATTCTTTTATCACATCATTCCATCGAACTTCCATCTTACAACCTGGACAGACTCCTTTGATAGGAACTAAGAGCTCGTCAAGTTGCTTATTCTTCTCGCTTTGAAGGAAATGCTTGCTCAAGCATGTCATGTGAGTGATAGTACCGCAATCCATATTGGGACAAATGGTGTGAAGGCTTGAGTTGTGTTGAAGGTCTTGGTTACAGATCTCGCAAGCTTCGTTCATATCAGGATGGAATAATTTCTTTCCCTTCTCCAAGTGCGGTTTCATGTCCTCATAGGCAACTTGTAGAGCTTCAATTCCATGACGGCCACTTGTAGTCTCACCATCCTTGTTGTCATTAATTACCTGTTCTGCTTGCGGAAAATCTGTAATGATGGGTAAAGAATCTCTCAATGGTTCTATGGCCCCTTGCGACAACTTGATCCAAGCTTTATGAACATCCGGTGAAAAGAATCTTACTTCTAGTGGCCATCGTGAAAATGATGGAACACTAAGCAGAAGGTGTAAATTTGACAAAACAGATTGAATAGAGTGTCGAGGACGTTTAGGATGGCCCGATCGTTTCTTTTGAGTTGCGTGTGAAATTCTTGATGATGGTGGGATGTGATGAGTTATGTGTGGATTTTGCCAGGCCCATCTGATGAAGGTTAGTTGAAAGTGTTAGGTGGAGATGGTATAATAATCGTAAGTATCATCAGACATGGCTGTCGATGAATTCGATGAAGATGAGTCAAGAGCATCTGAATAACCAACTTAAAGGTAACTGGGGATTTAATGGATAGCTCAAGTGTAAAACATGTATATCTATCTCTCGAAAATGATCACGTGAACAACCTTACGGTGTGAAACTTACTCAAACTGTAAAGCTGCAATGGAACTCGGAAAACCTGTAACAATGCAAGCCATTTCCCATGGTCTCAGAGAAACTCGGCTCGTTCTCACGGCACCACCTTTTGCCAATCCATTATGTTGCCGAAGTCGTCTGACTAGATTTTCATGGGGTTGGTTGTCAGAAAAGTACGGAGGATACATACATTCATACTCGGTATGTTACATGTCATGGCATTAGACTTACCTGGGTTTGGAGTGGATCCAATATATAAGCCATTATGTCGGACGGTTGATCGGAGAAGATAACAACAATAGAATGAGGGAATTGGACGATCGATGGCCATTTGGTGGTGAAGAGATGGAAGGTATAATTTGGGTAGATTTTTCCCTTTTTTTTTTTTTGGCTTTCTTCAGTTGGATAGATAGATATCATGCAGTGATTCTCATTTGATGATGTGATTGATTTGATGGTTACGGAGTAATGTGATGGTTCTTTCTTAAAGGGAATGTTGCCCGCGCCACTTTATTATTTCATAGGTGATGGGATGGTTGCATTGTGAAAGTGTGAAAGTGTGATTTGATTGACTGATTGTTGACTGACTGACTGGTTGATTGATTGATTCATTGATCGATCGAATCACATCCTCGGTAGACGTTCAATTATAGTCTGAGTGGTGAAGGGGTACACAACAAATACTGTAGGGATTGTCTTTGTTTACTCATTCAATCAATAAAATAATCAAGCCACCGAGTCAGCCTCGACCCTTGAACATTTGAAGCGCCGGAACCGCAGATTTGGGAATATCAAGATCAGGAAGACGACCACGACCTTCCTAATTGAACTAATTAATATATGTATGTGTTGATGGCGAGTAAGATATAGTAAGCAATAAAGATGTTTGTTCTTTCTCTTATTCATATTCTTCTCAATGTCAGTCAGGTAAATAGTAGATACTTTATTCTCATGACCCTCGTGTCCAATACTATATGTGTAAAGAAGATGAGTACTAAAAAACATCAGAAAGACTCGGGGTAGTGGTACTTTAAGCTCGCATGAACGATACCTATACGTACCTAGTATCCATAAGGTACCTGCTGGCAGATCAAGATGCAGAGGGTTTAGTAAAAGTAGTCCATACAGCAATCATCAATCATCCATCATCCATCATCCCCATCCAAGTACATACGGAGTACATATATATCTACATACCTTCCTACATAGGTACCTACCTACACACCTACCTACCCATACCCTAAAATGCTTTAAATGCTTTACTCCAAAATCGGTTATCCCGAATTCTACTCTAGATTTATCCACTATGAGCCACCGATCCACTTATCTTTACACAAATCACACAAATCACACACCTCTTTGTGAAATTATCAATGATAATCATCATGCGCTAATCCGCTTTTGTGATTTATCAACGTCAAATGATTTTGATTGGTGGGTGAAACGACGTCTTGCCTGAGGTTTGACAATCGGCCCCATGCAATATAAATCGCAAAAGGAAACCATCGAATTAAATTAATACGGGGAATGTCAATGGAGGAAGGAAGAATGAGATGATGATGGAGAAAATGATATCGAGTGAAAGAATTAATTCTTTACATCTTGATTACATAATAATTATAAATTTGAAATACTCCAGATGTTCTTTCTTTTTTATCATCATTTATTTCATTTGAATATACCAATGAGGAGGTATTTTCCGTTCTCATCCATCCATCAATCAATCAATTAATCAATCAATCAATCAATCATCCTAACCCACCGATGCAAGGATACTTGATAAATGTAAGGGAAATGTAGGCCGATGCATCTTTCTACCATACTAGTTTCCCTACCGCTTGGATCAAATCTGATGATAGAAACGTGAGTCGATTTTCCAGTCTGCCGTAACCACCAAACCACAATACTCCACTCTTCAAAAATTATACCGGTACCTGCTGTTTTGTACTGTGCCGTCCCCATCCACCAGATCCAACCCAGGAAAATCAAGATCCCTTTTCCTTTCCCTTTCCCTTTTTGTTCCCTTTTCCTGCTCCACATTTAACATACTAGATATTTCGTACGAAAGTGTTTAAGGCTTCCTTGTTAGCCGGCTATCTCTCGTGAGGTACCTACCTGAATCTCCCCATCCGCCCTCCACTATTCAACCCTCCGTACTCCATACCTATCCACCATAATACAATCCTTCTTAGTACACACTACCACCACAACAACCACCATCACCATCACAACCACAACCACAACCGAACCAAAACCATAACCATAACCATAACCATAACCACCAACCTCACTCATTCATTCATATCAACTTCACTACAGAATCACTAACCGCCTCCATCGCCGTCACCAACAACAATTCACCTTTCGACAACCGCATGAGGGGTATCAAGCAGTACCTAATAAACCTTGTTACCTGCTATCGTAGTGAATCCTTTTAGTTTATTCTTGATATGGGGTTAGCTAATTTAGTTTGATATCGGCACCGGCACCACAACCTTTTGTCACTTATTACTTACCTTTCTTTCTTTCCATCCACCTTACATGTGCGAGGGGAAATCTACCAACATCCCACATTCCCATCGGCACACCGATATCTCTCTACACGTTTATAATTCGATGTTGATAATTTAAGTTTCCTCTTCAATTCGCGATTAATCTACCTACAACTTTGATACCTGCCCCCTTTGGTGGATTGAATCGCCAATATGGTTCAAGTACCTATGAATACCACGGCTTCGACCTCAAACATGCGAGCCTCACCCTCTGTCGGTACACCAAACGGTCACTCGGCTTCCAATCGAGGAAAATCAAATGGAAACGGAAATGCTTCCAATCCAGCCGCAGCTCCCACAGCTTTGAGTGCCATGGTATCCGCACCTCTGGATTTGACCAGTGTAGAGAGGAGGGGACAGCCAACGGCTAGCCGAGAGAATCCCAAAAAGATGCGTCCTCATGGTCTACAAGAAGCGCCAACATACAGACCTACGGCAGAAGAATTCAAGGATCCATATGCATATGTTAGAAGTATTGCGCCGGAAGCTTCACAATTTGGCATATGCAAGATTATTCCTCCTGATACCTGGAAACCAGACTTTGCGATTGACACCGAGGTACGTTCACCACCACTTATTAATTTGCAACCGCGACATCACAATTACTTAGAAGGACTGGGGATTTCAATAGTCTCCGTCGCTGCATAGAATATTTTTAGTCTTCATTCTAACAACTTATAGCGTTTCCACTTCCGCACGCGCAAACAAGAATTAAACTCAGTCGAAGGCAGTAAGTTCGATGGCAACCCCATTCCTGACTCAGCCCTACAAATTCCATCATCGCAATTACTAACAACCTCAAGGCACACGAGCAAATCTTACGTACCTTGATCAACTTGCAAAATTCCATAAACAACATGGAACGAATCTCAACCGATTTCCTAGCGTCGATAAACGACCTCTCGACTTGTACAAACTTAAGAAGGCGGTGGAAACCAGAGGCGGATTTGAGAAAGTCTGCAAGCTCAAGAAATGGGCAGAGATCGGTAGAGATTTGGGATACAGCGGAAAGATCATGTCTTCATTATCGACGTCATTAAAGAACTCATATCAAAGATGGTTGCATCCATATGAAGAATATCTTCGATTGGCCAAACCAGGAGTACATCAACAATTAGAGTACGAATACGGAGGACCCCTTACACCATCTCCTGCGAATTCACCGATGAAAAGATCTGTACAACATACGCCATCCAGTTTGAGGGGTGAATCTCCAGCGATGCGCGCATCGGATGCTCTGAACACAAGTGTAATGAAGGAGGAATTCGAAAAGAGCATGAAGAATATTCCGATGTTAGATGCTCCGGTCGTACCAAAACCACAACCTACATCTGGTTTTACTCCAGTAAATGCTGGTGGTTTTACAGCTGTCAACTCTACACCTGCATCCTTTACACCTGTCAACAACAATAACCATCGCCGCGAACGAGAATCAAGTGCCGGTTTTACACCAACACCACGAAGACCATTCGATAGTCCCATGTCATCAGCTAAAAATACTCCCGAGTACAAACCTTCTGCACTCAGCTCGGCACCGGTATTAAATGGTTTTACTTCTAATCCCTTGCTCAAGAGACAATTAAGTCATGAGAGTTTAGACTCGGGTAAAGGAAGTCAACCTCCAGAAGATTCCGAAAATGGTGGAAGACGTAGCAAGCGACTTAAGAAAGGTATAGTTACAATTTCCACATTCATCATGCATTGAATAAATGCATGCACCATTGAGGTTTAAAGTAAAAACCTTGATGTATTATTGGTGCTCAAGATCCTGGGCTAATGATACCCCTGCAGATGCTGTACCAACTGTGGCTGGTTCACATATGACCCAGTTTCGACCAACACCACCTAGAAATCCAGGTGAACGTGGGTCCTCAACGCCTGGGGAGGTTAGTGATGATTCTTTTTTATCTTCTATCTCTTCTTCCATTTATTCAAACATATGCTCAGACTTTAATCAGAAATGTGAGACTTGTGGAAAGGGTGATGATGCTGATAAAATCCTGATTTGCGAATCGTGCGATTATGGTCATCATATGCAATGTCTTGACCCTCCTGTGACTCACAAGCCAGACTTCGATTGGCATTGTCCTAGATGCTTAGTTGGAGATGGTCAATTCGGATTCGAAGAAGGTGGAATCTACTCACTTAAGCAGTTTCAAGAAAAGGCGGCAGACTTCAAGGAAGGATACTTCCAAAATAAGATGCCATTCGATCCGGTGCTCAATTGTCCACGACCTGTTACCGAAGATGATATCGAAAGAGAGTTCTGGCGATTGGTTGCAAGCCTAGAGGAGACTGTCGAGGTTGAATACGGTGCCGATATTCATTCAACTACGCACGGAAGTGGATTCCCGACCATTGAGAGACAACCACAAAATCCTTATTCCACCGATCCGTGGAATTTGACCATCATGCCTCTGCATGGAGAGTCTCTATTCCGACACATAAAATCGGATATCTCCGGTATGACTGTGCCTTGGCTTTATGTTGGCATGATCTTCTCGACTTTCTGTTGGCACAATGAGGATCATTACGCATATTCCGCAAACTATCAGCACTTTGGATCTACAAAGACCTGGTACGGAATTCCAGGGGAAGATGCCGAGAAGTTTGAAGACGCCATGCGAGAAGCTGTTCCCGAACTATTTGAAACACAACCTGATTTACTCTTTCAATTGGTTACACTTTTGACACCAGAACAATTAAAAAAAGCTGGTGTTAGGGTATATGCTCTGGATCAGAGAGCTGGTCAATTCGTCATCACATTCCCTCAAGCATACCATGCCGGTTTCAATCATGGATTTAATTTCAATGAAGCTGTCAATTTTGCACCCACTGATTGGGAACCATTTGGAGATTCTGGAGTCGAAAGGCTTCAGCAATTTAGAAGGCAGCCATGCTTTTCCCACGATGAACTCTTATGGACTGCGGCTGAGGGTGCGGCAACTGGTGGTGTTACCATCCAGACAGCCAAATGGCTTGCTCCCGCTCTTGAACGACTTCGCGATCGAGAGGTTTCACAAAGAAAGAATTTCATTGATAAACACAAGGTAGATGGTCACACTTGTGTGATTACTGATGTCATTGAAGGTGCTGGTTCCAGGTGTCATATTGGATTCCAGCTCGACGAAGAAGATGTGCCAGAAGAAGAGTATCAATGCACACACTGCAAAGCATATGCATATATGTCAAGGTTTAAGTGTAGTAAGAGTGGCAAGGTCATGTGTCTACTCCACGCAGGGGCTTATGAATGTTGCGATGTTCCTGAGGCAGAAAGATTTGTGGGTACTAACCACACACTCCACTATCGTCGTACAGAAGAAGCTATTTCGACCATGCACCAAAAAGTCGCTGACAAAGCAGCCTTACCTGAAATTTGGGAGGAGAAAGTGGAAAAGTTTCTTGAAGAAGATGCGACTCCATCACTGAAAACTTTGCGTACCCTTCTAAACGAAGGAGAGCGCATCCCGTATGATTTACCATCCCTCCCTTCGCTGAAGAAATTTGTTGATCGATGTAACGAATGGGTGGAAGAAGCGACAAATTACACCGTTCGAAAACAGCAGAACCGAAGAAAGAACGAGAAAGCTTGGCGTAAAGGGAGTAGGGCAGCGGAAATGGAAGAGAGAGATCGTGAACTACGAAAGTTCGAAAACATCACCAAGTTACTGAAAGATGCCGATAGAATTGGATTCCATTGTCCCGAAATCGATCAACTACGAGAGCGAGCCGATGCTATTACGAAGTTTCAGACCGATGCTAGAGCTGCTTTAGCCCACCCAAGTTCACGACGTACCAATGAATTTGAAGAACTTCTTGAAGTAGGGCGTGGATTCAATGTGGATATGCCTGAAATTGATAAGCTTGAGAAGGAAGTTCAACAAATGAAGTGGAATGATCGTGCCCGTGATAATCGTGGAATTTTCCTCTCATTGAAGGAAGTCGGTGATATTATTGACGAAGCTGCCAAACTTCAGGTACCGGATTATAACGATTACTTGATCTACTATAAAGAACAGAAAATTGCTGGTATGAATTGGGAAGTGAAAGCCAAAGAAGTCATTGGTGCGGAGACTGTTCACTACCCACAATTGGAGGCTCTATCTCAACAAGCTCAAGTTGCTTCATTGCCCGTATCACAAGAGACACTAGCTCAGGTTGATCAAATCTTGAACAAGCATCGAGAAGTACACAAACAGATCGTTTCCCTGTACGACAGATGTAGGGATCCTGACTACATGAAACGACCAGCCTATGCAGAAGTTGCCGTACTTCAAAAAGAACTCCAAGGTTTGGGTAGCAAGCCAAGTGGCACTCTCGATTTGGAAAAGGAGATAAAGAGGCATGAAGATTGGATGCGTAAAGGCAAGAAGTTATTCGGCAAGGCAAATGCTCCCTTGCATATTCTCAAGCAACATATGGAATATGTCATGGAACGAAATGTTGATTGTTTCGATATCAGTCAAGATAAGCCGCGACTTCCTGCCGAACCACTATCCCGTGAACCTTCCCCTTCAACCGACAAACTCCACAGTTGGGAAGATCCAAGATTTCGAGAAGTGTTCTGTATTTGTCGAAGAGTTGAAGCTGGTATGATGATTGAGTGTGAGCTTTGTCATGAGTGGTATGATCTTCCGTCTCTTATCTTGCAGGGTTTCACTAATTGATAATAGGTACCATGGTAAATGTTTAAAGATTGCTCGTGGTAAAGTTAAGGATGACGAGAAGTATACTTGTCCAATTTGTGATTGGCGCGTACGTATACCTCGTGATGCAGCTAGGCCCAAGCTCGAGGATCTGCAAGCATGGCAAGATGAGATTCCGTCTTTACCATTTCAACCTGATGAAGAAGCTATTCTTGAATCCATTATCAATAATGCTCAAGAATTTCGAAGTCACATTGCACCATTTTGCAATCCAGTCATGGCAACAGCAGACGAATCCGAAACTCAACGCTTTTATCTACGAAAGATTGAAGGTTCAGAAATACTTCTTGCATATGAAACCAATTTCTTCAGACAAGAACTTCATAAATGGTCACCAGTAGCACCAGAACCTCCGCCAGTCCTTGAATCCTCGAAATCAACACGAAAGCCTAGACCAACCAAACTTCAAAAGTTGATGGCGCAACATGGGGTTGATGATCCAGAAGCTTTACCACAAAATTTAAGGACCAAACCTCATAATTTTAAAAGAAAGAGTAGTGAACCTAGTGGAAGTCGACCGATGCCTTTGCAACCTGCCCCAGGAAGATCACAGCCTGGGACTCCCACGGCTCATAGTTTTGCATCTAGTTCTGGTCCAAGTATGGGTCCTCATGGACCGGTTTTGAGTGGGATTCCAAGTGCTCATGATCATGCGCACCCTTATTCTAATTACTCGCAAGATTCATATAGTAGTATAACTGCTTCAACAAATCCATCTCCAGCTTTCGCTCCACATGCTTATTTGCATGGTGGTGTGGTTGGAACACCTACATTTGGTCATACATCCCCACATCGTCCGAACATTTTTAGTGAGGCTGGATTATCAAGGATGGATCCTTCTGCTTCGCTCCATAGTCCGATGAGAGAAAATTTCTCGTTGGGAGTTAGTGGTGTTGGTCAAACTCCTTTAGGTGTCACTGTTGGTGAAGATAAGATGTTGGGGGACAAGTTGTTTGGAGAACTTACGAATGGTGATGAAGAGCCTACAGGGAATAAAGATGTGTCATCGGTTGATAGAAAACCAATTGATGACAAGGATGCAACTGAAGCTACGAAATGGGATGAAGGAGGTGATAATATGGAGTTATTCTTCGATGGGCCTTGATTAATGATTGGTGGTCGTTGCAACATCTTTCGAAAAGTGGACCTAGGCGCATAGAGGAAGTCATAAAGAAGTTTTAATGGCGAAAGAGGGTATAGAGCACATTTGGCGCTGGCAGGTAGCATTCACGCGGTGTTTCCTTTCATATATGGCTCCTTCATGGATTGAAGGCGTTTCTGGTAACGGGTTCAACAATCCAAACATCCGAGTGATGTTTTGTAATGGTGTACGGATTCCGATTTCCCATGAGATGTATTATTTTGCGATTTTAATTTTCTTCTTTTCATCATGCATGGATTGATGGATGGGATCGGAATGGCTTCGGGGTGGAATTGCTAATGTGTTTTGATTTCGGTCTGGTTGCGAGATTTACATTTAAGAGATTAGAGGTGTGTGGGGAGTGAGGTGATCGCATACATATATGTGGGTTTTATATTTATGAGGCAATGGATGGATAGGTTCGTGGCGGAGTTTGCTGCTTGCTTTGCTTTTTGGTGGTAGGAGGTGCTGTACGGAAAATGGGGAGAATTTGGTGGATTGGTGGGGTTTGTAAGGGGGTCTGGAATGGTGTAGGGAGATAAGGGCAGGTTTCATACAGGGGAGGTATTTTGTCTCCATAACTATAGCATGGCAATAGGCTTGCTGTGTGTATTGCTAGAAGAAGAGATGTGTTGTGTTGTGGTGTGGTGTAGCAGAAGAAAAGATAGAGAGAGGTATGATTTTTAACCTTCTGAGTAAAAATCATATAATATCAACTGATCTGATAAAATATCCCGGTTCTTGTTCATCTGGATGTAGTAGATGTGGATGTAATTATATAATTCATTTTAAAAATCTTTAATACTCAAATTGAAATAATCCTCAAATGAATTCTTTTTTAAAAAAATTTATTTATAATACATTCACTTGATCTAAAAAAAGAATATTCTAGTGATTTTGAATCTTTTAGATGAATAAAATGCTCTGAATGATTCAATTATTATAAATATATAAAATATATTTAAACATTCGAAATGATTCAGAGAAATGATCAGGCTGGAGTTTAAACTGCAGATAATTTTGCTCAAAGTGAATTGTATCCTACTATAGGGGTAATAAAATCAAAATCACACTAGCTCATGCTGAAATATTGTTCTATATTATGCTTTGCTTCCACTTCCCTCAATATCGGGTTCACAACGTTCTCCATTCTCACCACCATTTAAATTTAAATCTCTACTTATCAAGCAAGCAATCGAAGCAAATCCCGGTAAACACCGCAACAGCCACTCACAAACTTCTAATAGTATATGCCGTTCATCCCTCAATAAATATCTTGCACAGTTGCGGAAAATACATAAACAAACTTTTCAATACTCTTAGCCATCTTTCCTCCCACCACTAACTCCACCCGTACTAGCTAATCTTTTCTTGTCATTTCTTTTCAACTACATCTCCGATCTGTTTTGAAACAGCGAATAATAGCAACTCCAAAGGTCTGTTCGAAAGTTGTGAAGATAGCTACTCATGTCATGGCAATACTTATATCTACCAATTGATGCGGCGCTTATACTGCGTATAACCTTCCTGGAGATAAGATGCCTTCACCAATAGCCGAGATGATTTGGAAACAAATTTGAGATGTATGAGTGCGAACCCCGTGGTCTTTAAATGTGGCTGGGAAGGCGTTTGTCCACTTGAAGCGTTTGTTGACAGGCATTGCTCTACGTCCTGCTGCTGCCGCTGATGGAAACTGAACCATGCCCATTAACTTCGCACGCTGGTCTAGAGATACAGAACCAGCGTGATAAAATCAATCATCAAATTGAACCCCGCAGGTCCGAGCCCTTGAGACTAGAGCCCCTATCAGCTTTCCCTAAACTTCCTTCAACAACCTTTTATCTGGAAGACGTACCACTCTCCTTCTTTTGAGTCACTCCAACATTAACATTCTGCACCAGCACGCACACAAAACTAGCCACAGTAAAAAATGCTCATTGCCAGTAACAAAAAGACCTTATACTAGAGTTTCTTGAAAACATTTGTGGAGGTTAAAATAACCATTTTTCTGAAACGACATGTCATTTTCACGAAAATAAGTTAAAAACATTGTGGTTATTTTTCCGCATTTTTTACATGAAGATGTCATCAATACATTTCTCGCTTTTAGAGATAGAACTCTCCTCGAGAAGCATCTTGAGTTGGAGAATTGATAATATACTGTTGTGTCACCTTATTTAGCCATATTAAGCTTTCCCATCCCGCTCGTCAATAGCCTCCATGACAAGATAGGGACTTGGTCCTACTTTAAAACTTTAAAGTAAGCTGAAAGCCAGTAGGTAATTCCGAATCAAGTCAAGTGCTTACTCGGCAAAAGCATGATCATCAGCATGGTTGATCTCGGCCCCTGCAACAGATGAGAATGTTATTGAAATATTGATTATTTAAATAATTTTGCAGGTACTGTGTCACACATGGTTGTCTTAAATCCCGTTTATGCAAGATGCCTATCTGAGAATGTTTTCTGATGAGGGGTTACAAGAAGTAACACGCACTCGAAATATCTTTTCTGACCCTATTTCCCTCTTGATCGTACGTTGACATCGTGGTTCTCTGGCATTAATCATCTAATTGAATATCAAAAATAATGGGAAACTTACTTCCTTCCTATCTTTCATCGTTCACTCGTTCCTCTATTCTCAAGGTACTCTCAAAGATCGAATATGGACGATTGAATATGACGATGAAAGATCGTGGTGAGACGGAACCACAAGTCTTTGGTAACACATCTTTGAAAGACTCATCTGAACCTGTTTGTTCGATTACTGTTAATAGTCCAAATGTTTGGACCCGAATGTCAATTAATGTCGATCTGGTGAGCTTTAGAGATCATATTGACCTTGTCGACAACACTGACTAAATGATGTAGGGTTTTTCCGAAGCTTACATGCTGGGAGAACTGGATTGCGATGATCTGGTAGCTCTCGTCTCCGTAAGTTCTCCGCACATTCATCCTGATGAGTCTTGACTTTTCAGATGCTGATGACGTCGAACGATCAGATTTACATTCGAAATTACGCTCTCTTTGGAACCGGTAACATTTTCCTGCAAATAATTCCCCGTATTCAAAAAATTCTCTTCAATCCCTCGAATGACAGTAAACGCGCTCTCGAAAATGCTTCATCCCACTACGATACCTCAAACGCACTCTTCTCTTCTTTTCTATCAAGAGATATGAGCTACTCATCCGCCATATGGGATACCACGGGCAAAGAAGAAACTCTCGAAGAAGCACAGAGAAGAAAAGTGCATCATATTATTGACCAAGCATGCATTAAGCCAGAACATCACGTCCTCGATATTGGAGGTGGATGGGCATATCTGGCTATTGAAGCTGTGAAGAAAACCGGTTGTAGAGTTACGGTCACAACACTTTCAGTCGAGCAAAAGACTCTAGGTGAGAAGATGATTGAGGATGCTGGGTTGAAAGATCGAATCGAGATATTGCTCTGTGATTATAGGAAAACCCCAAAGCCCAGTCCAGCAGGATTTGATAGAGTCATCAGTGTCGAGATGATAGCGCATGTTGGGAAGGAGTATCTGGACATTTATTTCAGGGAAATTAGCGAGTTATTGAATCCAGAGCATGGAATAATGGTGATTCAAGGGATAACCACCAACAACCAGGTCAGTTCTCTAACCTGTTTCCCTGAGATCAAAGCAGTCTGACAAATATGTCATAATCTTGCAATGCTCAAAGGATTTTATTTCACCACTATGCAAACCACTGACAATTTCGTAGCGTTTTCACGAAACTCGATCTAAGGTCGATACATTTATTGAGCGCTATATCTTTCCAGGAGGATATCTGTCATCTGCAACAGAGCTGATTGAACGTCTCGATACAGGGTCTGCAGGATCTCTAGAGCTTGAAAGTGTACAGAGTATAGGCCCTCATTATGCGCGGACCTTGCGTCTCTGGAGAGAGAACTTTCTCGCCAATTGGGAAACGACGAAGTCGCTGTATGTAAAAGAAAGAGGAGATATGACGGCCCCGGATCTCGAAGCTTTTCGAAGAAGATGGATTGTAAGTAGTTGACAACATACTCCGTTCGATTTTCGTTATTGATCTCTCGTTAGTATTACTTCAGTGCCTGTGAGGCGGGGTTCCGAGCCGGTATTCTAGGGGTCTACATAGTAACAGCAAGAAGAACACAAGTCTTGTCTCCGAGTGGAATGGTGCCCCTTTGATAAATATCATGAGCCTGGAGGGGGAGCCTAGAGGATGCACAGGTCGATTGCGGAATACAGGGTTACAAACTAATGCGGGGTCATATCTCGGAGATTTATTTTGATCACTATGGATCAACTCTGCATTTTGAGTCTGAAACTCATCGTAATTAGGGAATAATTTCATTTTCCATAATGATCAGTCATGCAAACTGTGGCTTTGCCCCTCGCGCCCGACGAATCCGTCATTGATGAAGTCAACGTGAAAATCATGTGCCGCCCGATAATTGGCACTGACAAACGACATGATATTTCAGAAACTTTGACAGGCTAAACGAATCTCGTATGCCTCACTTGGTCCATTTAGCCTCAATTCCCCTTCCATTGCTGGCATAAAATCAGACAAACAATATGCATGGCACTAAATTGGGTTGCTGTTATAGATGTATTTCGATAAATGTTATAAAGATTACAATGAGCATCGAACGTACTAACATCCATGCCGTATTAGATTTGACATAACGATACATCATTACCAAAAGAAATACTCGCTGCTCTTACAATAAGACCCTGGAAAAGCACTACGCATTTTCCCATTTACACCTCCACGAAATCATACCCATTACCCTTTTCCAACGCCCTCTTCCAAGCATCTCTGTTTTGTATCCTTTCCCTCCACTGTAGAATCTTCGGGTATTTCTGGAAGTCCACATACTTCTTTGCGGCCAAAAAGTCCACAGGCCAACTCAACATCACATCTGCCCTTCCTAGATTCTTCCCATTGAACCATTCATCTGTCAATTCTTTCTCCAGGTATTCAAACTGTGTTGCATATTCTGGCCCCGTGAAACTCTTATGTATGTTTGATTTGACACCACCCATTAATATTGATAATGGCCACGGGGATTTCTCCGCCACAATATCAAATATCAATTCAATCATTGAAATGGTCCCAATAGTCGATCCGGCAAACGAACTCAAACTCTCATCGCGGACTTTATCTTGCGCCGCAAATCTTCCCTCTGTATCGTATGTATCAATCAGGTATCCGAGGATTGCACTACTTTCCGCAATGGGCCTGTTGTCGGATGTGACAAGGACGGGGGCTTTCCCCATAGGATGTACATTTTTTAGCTCGGGTGGCGCGCGACCTTCAATGCGTTTATGGCATACGAGATTGTATTCGATTCCTAGCTCTTCGAGGAACCAGAGAACTCGTTGAGATTGGGAATTCTATATGAGGGGTGCTGTCAGTATGTGTGGGTGCGGCGGGGTGCTGTTGGGTCTAGGAGTTGGAACCGATGGCATGGTCGCCCCACTTACATCAAGGTGGTGGAAGGTTGTAAGTCCAGGTTTAATGGTAGATGCCATAGTTGATGTGGTAGGAATCTTTAAACGTAGCAATCGGGCAGGTGATTTAGTAGGAGACAGATGAGATACTACGATACCGTGTATGTAAGATCTTATATGAATTTCGTAGTCTTCCAAGACTTGCCCGAAAGGTTCCGGAGCCGAAGCTCTGATTATGCTGAATAAGCAAGCACTATATCGATCCAGATCAAAGATCTTATACACTCCCGTATAATTTATATAGAGTAAATACCTATATATAAATAACCTTATTATCCACTTGATTAATAAATAAGCAGATAAGGTTCCACTGCATCTATTAGTTCTCTAACCTTGATATTGAGGCATGTCTTTCTTTCGCTCTGTTGACGACGTTGTGCTCCCATCTAACCAATGTTACCAATACCTTTGCATCAAGATATGTATCTCAACAATAAAATACGAGGATTAATTGATTGCTTCGAGAGCTCCGCCATAACATTGATTGGCTTTGATAAAGAAGAGGGTGGGTGACAGTCTACACATAGCCGGGCAGGTGTGTGTTATAGCATGGATGGTCGCATATGCAGTGAATATGCAGTGACAAGGTTCGATTATCAACGTCCATAGCTATAGGCCTCATTTTAAGCCACCATGGGCCCTCTCAAGTGGTTGGGAACCTTGGTTATTCACTTCTCTGTTTTGTGCGATCATTTGATTATCCTTCTTCATCAAGCTCACCCCAAGTTTCTTTGAATTCAACATCAGTTTGTGTTTTTATCACGGAATCATGGCTACAGTCAAAGAAAAGCCAATTGTTTTGCACATTGGAGATCCTGTAAAATGGAACCTCGATTTATATGCTCAATTTGCGAAGGACTTCACAATCATAAGACCTTCGACAGAAGAGCGTCAACGAGATGAATTTATTAAAGCCCTGAAAGAGAACAGATGGGGTAACTTTTCTGCTATTTTCAGACCATTTTGGAATACTGGTGGTGAAATGGGAAGATGGGACGCGGAGCTTATCCCTTTAATACCGGAATCGTGCCAGATATTTGCATCTGCTGGGGCAGGGTTCGATTGGGCTGATGTTGATCTTCTAGCAGAGCGAGGTATGAAGGCCTATATAAGAAATGGTAGTATCTTGTTGCTGATTTGTGTTCTGGATAGGCATCGTGTATTGTAACAGGTATGGACTAACTTTTGGACTTCCCTGCGCATATGACTGATGTAATTATAGTGCTATAGCTTCTGCCGAATCCGTCGCAGATTTTGCAATCTTCCTTATTCTAGCTACATTTAGAAACCTCACATGGTAGGATCCTCACGTCCCTCTTTGTTCACAAGTTAAGGACACTAATATCAGCCAGGTGCACGCAAGCTGCTCGTTCTGGAGCTGCATCATTCCAAGACTGCCACACCAATGCCGCAATTATGTCCCATAATCCTCGTGGTCATACGCTTGGTATTGTTGGCCTTGGAAACATTGGTTACAACATCGCCCGCAAAGCTCACCTGGCATTCGGGATGAAAATCCTTTACTATGATATTGTACGAAAGCCTTCCTTCCAAGAAGCAGACATTGGAGCACAATTCTTTACCAATATAGATGAAATGTTGGCACTTAGCGATTGTGTAGTTCTCGCTACGCCTGCTTCTCCCGATGGGAAAAAATTTCTAGATCGTCAAAGATTGAGTAAATTCAAGGAGAAGAGTCGATTTGTGAATATTGCGAGAGGCGTCTTGGTGGATGAAGAGGCACTGGCCGATGCTGTCCAGTCCGGGAAGTTGGTGGGTGTAGGGTTGGATGTTCATGAGCATGAACCTAGGGTAAATGAGAGGTTAAAGGCTTCGAGGAATGTTACACTCACTAGTCATAATGCTGGTGGAACACTTGAAACGTATGTTCTTTTTACTAAAAACAGTTCAGACCTGCTGACAATTTCTCAGGCATATCGGTTTCGAGGAGTTATCGATGAAGAATATTGATGCGGTTCTAAAGGGGAAGGCACCATTGACACCAGTTAACAAGCATTTATTGAGGAGGGCGAAGCACAATTTGTGAGATTGCATCAGTGGGCAATATTCGAGCATGATTTTTCTAGACGTTGAATCATCATCGTAGCTTTCAATTTTTGAGACCATGTCAAATAACCAAATAATCTTTTAGCTTTGATGAGTGTTTACAATCCTGAATCTCAAACTTAGTTCAATGGGCTAGTTTCGAAGCTCAACTGTTACATATAAAGAACTTCATTCGTGGCGAAGGAACAGAGATTATTGATACATTACATGTGACAGTCCGAGAATATTAGTTGTGAACAATATCTGTGCTTGTGAAGGTATGTGGTCCATTTCATTTCATTCTAATGTCCGTTTCAATTTGTAGAGCTAATTCTTCAAAAACCTGATCCTGCCGCCCATGCATATCTATTTTGCAACCACCATGGTGACTGGTCGGCATGGAATTAGAATGATGAACCATCTTTGTGTCTCTTAGTCTTCTCTTTCAAGAATAGTCGTTTGGTATTCGTCCATTTCCATACAAAAACAATCATAGAGAAAAAGTCACCCTCTTGCGCCTTGACTGCTTCGACTTTGTATCGACCTTCGCTGCAAGTGGTGCTTAGCGCCTGGCTCGCTTCTCAACGCGGTTCATCCATTGTAAGGATGATTTCCATTCATCGCCGGGTTGAGTGACTGCGTTGAAACGACGACTGCCACGAACTCCAACGTCATAGCCACAATTTTTTTTTGGCACAAAGCGATAGTCGCCAAGCTGAAGCTCCCGCATCATCGGCAGGCCCTCGACTAACTTTTGCACCGCGCCGTCGATTATCTCACTGCCATCAATTGCTCTTTTCTTCTCAATCGACCATTTTTCATTAAAATAAGGATGGCGATCGTGGCCATAGTCATCATCATGTAATGTGACCTTATTCAGCTTCTTACACACATCACCAAGAATAACCATTTGAATTGGCAAAATCTGTTCGAAACTCAAAATTTCCCGATATTTGTCCCTACGAGAATGAAAGTGGCCGTAAAGCACTACGTTGGTAATATCGCTAGCGTCAGATCTGCCTATTTCGAGAAAAAACCTCGTCAGCGGATTGGTCATTATGAACTCAGTATGAGAACGGTAGCGATCGAAAATATTATCTATGGCAGTCCGCGTTTGAGCTGTTGTTTGCGGCATTCCATCTTCATCTGCAACCCCAGGGATATCGAGAAAGTTGCTGCGAAGATGGTGTGCAGGATGGAGGCCCGGTGAGTCGCGACCGCCTCGAGTGTCGAACACAAAAGTATTCTCACCATATAAAACTGCCGAGCCAAGTGTTAAAATACTCTTACAGGATCGCAAGAGAGAAATTCCTTCGATACAAGTCAGAATCACGGCCTTCTTGTGAATAATCTGAGCCCCGAAATCTTTGCGCATGCGAATCGATCTTTGCTCTATTTTATTTCCTAGACGGACAATATCGCGTAGTTTAGTTGCGCCTCTGGCTATTTTTTTTACTTTCAGCATCGGTAGGATTAGATGTCCAAGCCAAATTTAAAATCTGGACGTGATCGACTTGTGGTAGTTTCCCTTCCTCATACAAATGATGACGGGTGTTGGCCCATTGATAACCATAATGGGTCGTTGGCTCTTCGTTGGCCGTCTTCTTGGTCTGAAATTTTGAAGGCATGAGAGGTGCAGGCCGGAGGAAAAGCATTTGGAGGATCATTTTAAGAACATCTAAACAGGAGATAATTGTTAGTACAATGTTGGTCATCAAACACAGGATGAGTTAAGAGATCTACTGTCTGGTAGATTGAGTAAATGGGGACGATCCAAAATTTCTGGAATTTTAGCATCGTTTTCAATGACAATGCTCTCACCCATGTCTCTGGTCTTTTCAAAGAGCAAGAGTGATTTTCCTTCACAGCTTATCCTGGAATTTAACCTTGGAAAATAAATATACAGTTGTGATTTCCGAGTAAATAAACAAAGAGAATATTTTAATGTGTATATTTCTGCTATCGCTATTGGGTGACGAATGTTACCCTATCTGATATCTTCTGAAGGGTTCTCAGAGCTGTAGTTCGGAGAAATTCACCTGTGAGATGTCTCGAAATAAAAAGTTGATATAGAACTGGAAAGGTTCACCAAACTCGAAATAATAATGTCAACTACAGTCCCTTATTTAGCAATAAATGTATGGAATCAAGGAATAAAACTGTACGCACCGGCGAGGCGTTAGGCCTCGATACCTTATGTATGATTCAATCCACTCAAATTACTTAGCATTAATGAATAATCAATACTTACAACCGTGTGCTCAGGACTTTAGCATTTAGTACAGCAGACTCGAACTCGCGGAATTTAAAGAACACGTTTCCTCGAGTATGCCGTACCCAAATAAATTAACTATTGGCCTCAATATCACCGTCAATGCTTGTATCTTGACTGCTGCCTAGTCTGTAGTGTACGTCATCTCCCTGATGTCTTGGTTCTCTCTACCGTTCAACAGAGAGTTAGTTCATAGTAATTATACTTTGAGGTTCGACGACGGGAGAAGAATCACGTGCATAAACCAAGAAAGAACTTCTTCTCAAATCACAGTGCTTGCCAATGTAAGACTACTAAGCTGTTTGTACAACGAATTATCCCGGCCCCTGATATGGCAGAAATTGAGATGGCCGTTCGATGAATAATTCGAAGGCCATAGCCCAAGCAATTATGGATAAATCCTTGAATGCCTGACGGCTTTCGTTAATGGCTACAAGCTGATTGCAGCCAGTTCCAATGTGCCCAGCATCTTCCCGACTGGAAGTGGTTGTCCAGGAAATTTTTAGATGCCTATCCCCAATTGTGGTGGGGACTCGATCCATTTTCTACTCTTCTTGGCGTGCCTCGCTCCAATGATATCTGTAGTCCGAAATCCGGGGCTCAAAAAATCCCTCCTTCCAAATTATAACCAGCATATTATGAGTAGGATTAATCAACAGTTCTCGTTAAAGCTTTCCAAACCATCTAAATTCATAAAAGAAAATAATAGGATAAAGATGAACGTAGCAACGTAATATTTGGTGATACGGAATTGGGTTGTCTTTCCGCTGCAAAACAATAAGCCCTGATTCTTCTTTCTACTTATTGTAATATCGCAACTAATTCAACTAAATTTTCTGATTAGCCGAAAATTTTACAAGCCTACAGTTCCGCATGAAAGAGTGTACCTTCTACCTCACCATTACGAGAGTCTGTACATAGTGAGTATCGAACTGGGGTTCTTTGCTTCTGCATTGAGTCATCATACTCTATTGAAATAAATGATTGAATGTGGTGGGAAATTCTGCCTTTGATATTATACATGGAAATGAATTGATAACTAAAACACATCAGTCGAATGATGGCTTGTAACAAAACACACAAACGCGTTCACGATTATTGTTTTTGTCAACAGTTCGATTCGACTCAGTTATTTTTGAAAGAATATCACGGAAAGTCTGAAAACAACAATTTTCAGTCAAGCTTGAGATAAACAGGGTGAAATGTAAAGAGAGTTGTATGACGAGGAAATCCACACTCCCACTCCTAGTAAAACGCGATGGTGATCTGACTTTCAATATGTAAGACTAACTAATTGTCATATTCCACGCAAAGTAAAAATAATTCATCAATAGATAGGAAAATAGCTGCTATGATTGGAATCTCAAAAAGGCTCATAATTCGTGGCCGTCCATACTCAAGGCTCAAACCAAATGAAGGAGCATATCAAAAAATATCGGTAATATCAAAACCATCAGAAATACCTTCAACTACACTTCCACCTCCATCCCCACCATCCCCACTACCGTCACCAGTCCCTTCATCGATAACTTTTGAAGATCCCTCGAGACTCCCTTCCATGGCAGAACCAGCAGCAGCTCCACCAATAGCGCCAGTCGGGATTGGAATTGGGATAGGTAGCCCCCACGCAAAGGGATTTGAATCGTCAAGAATGCTTCTCTTGGCACCAACATAAAAGCTGCTTTTTTGTCTCTTTCCATCATGGTCCTTGTATATGTTCAACATTTTCACAGCACCAAAGTTTATGCCGCGAGGAAATTGTCGCTCGAGTCTCGTACTGAATTCAACTTTATCATGTTCCGCAATATTGCATAGAAACTCAATATCGGGCCCGCGTGGTAAATGGTTACTTGGGACTAGTAGAGATCGTTTAAATTGCTCGTACAGATTGTCATAGTACCTATTCCAATCCGTTCTTCTGGTGACGCGAATCAGGAAATTGGGGCATTCTAGTCTTGAATTAACCTCGCTAATGTCGAATTTTACCATATTCTTGGCAATATTTTGTACCCTCTGGGCTTGTATTTCCGGTGAGTTATGGTCTAGTATGATGTCAAAGAGTTTAACTTCGTGGGATGGCATTCGGAGCCATGGGGGTAATGCTTCGTGAAGTTCCTCCAAAGTACTATTCGTGGCATCATCAAATGATAATGTGACTACTGCATTTTGTAATACTGGTAGTTTGCTGTAGAGCCTAAGCTGCGATCGGCAAGTCATGATTGATTGAGACCGCACGCAACGTGCCGCTAGCGAAAAGGGACGAAGCAGCATCATGAACGTGAAGGAATACAGATGGATTTTAAATTACGGTAAAATCATGACACTGTTATATTTTTCAAATGTTTGTACTTTGAGATAGTGGCGTCAAAAAAAGCAAAGTGCATGACTCGGTGAGAGGTAATTGCATACGAAGTCACGTTTGTTAACATGTTCTAACCTTATCGGGACATATTTGCGATTTGCAGAATAGAAACCTATGCAAGCCAGAAACACTATCATTTCTTCGAAATATATACTTGATAATCTTGGTTCCCCGACTCAAATTTAGATCTATCACATCTTAAATGTTGCTCCTCTTCCTCTTTGGCGAACAGCTTCGGGAAGAGCAATGCGGGGTTGATTATGCAGATGACAGGGTGTAAAAGAGAAATAAACGAATTAGATGATAGGAAGGCTGGGAGATACATATCGCTAACACCACATATTCACCAACCAGTGAGGGAAAAATCTTATTGGGCAACGAACATTTCGACACAGGCAGTGGTTTATTTCTTAGGAAATTGCAAGGAAAGAACTGCTTCGGCAAAATAGATACAAAATAATCGATTTCTGCGAGCACGCATCAACAAATTCATGATTAATAAATTTCGTCTTGGGGTTGTCTCGGAAGTTAAACGAAGCCCGTGTACAAAAGGAGGAAGAGAAATATTCTGACAAGAGTTAACTTTATCCACATATGTGGACAATACGACCTCTCCTTACTATCCACATGCGCCTTTGAACATTCCCACTGCCAAATTCTCTGCGTACTGAAAAATCCATTGACTCTAAGAATTTATTTAATGCTCTTTCAAGTTCAAGAGTCAACTCAAGAAACGAAGACGCATCAGCAGCCAGGAGTTTCGGTCTAGGAACGAAAAGTCGAGTCTCGGAGTTCTCATTCCTTTTTAGTTCGCCCGACGCAACTACAGTGATATATGGATAATCTCTCATGTTGTCGTTACTTATTTTTGCGGTTTTTGTTTAAATCTGAATTTTGAAGTTGTCGGCCTTGAAAAAGCCCCTAATCTCTATACGTATTACGACGGACTGCTCTACTGGGCAACAGGCGAATGCGCTTTCACTTTGGTTAGGATTTTTGATTTGGTTGGACATAATCTTGAAGTCTCTGAAATAGTTATTACTACAATGCTTGTCAGTAAATGGCAACTAAATTAAAAAATACAAAAATCGTCCCGAAACACCTTTGTGGGATGAGAGATACCGAACCATATATACCTGATACTAATTTTGATGCCATGGTTCCTCACGGGATTATACATGCTCTGCTGTCTACTGATAATCCTGATTCTTAGTTTGAGCAAACTTTTGGTTCACGTCTCATAATCTTTGTGGCGCGCTTGACTTTCATATTCTTGCTCATCACTTCACAAATGATGAAAATCAGCTGTTAAATGTTCTCCAGGCAATGGTTTCTAGCAAGCAACAAGAGGATGGGCCATTTAGAGAGTTCCCTATCTTTATTAGAACAATTAATCATGGTCAGATTTTACTCCACAATCGGCAGTATAAGCTCTCTGAATGCACCAAATTCTTTGAACCATCCATTTCTCAATAGATTTTATACACCATGAATCCTTTACAAAGTAACCTTCCTAACCTTCCGTGCATCAGTAGAACCGCAAGCACCGCTTGACAAATCTTACATTCCCAGAGCTAACCCAATTCTTAAGTGAAGAAATCATGATTCCATGGAAACTCCACGATATACATACTTAAATGATCACAATATCCCCGCTATACTTTAGGAATTCGAGTCACAATGTGCAAGGAAGACCTAATAGTCCATCACGTTTTTTCTTTTAGAGAGAAGGTAACTTCGTTTCTGGTTATGTACAATTTGTCCATATTACTTCGTGGAAGAGTAATGATGTCGAAGGATTCTGGTTATTTGTTAACGAAAAAGTTCTTTTGGGATTGTGGGGGTCTTGTGGAAGAGTGCTGCGTGGGTAAACTGTGTTTTGAGACTTGCGTTTAGGAGCGTTAATCTGGTTTTTGGGAGGGAATAGTTTGATGGATGATATTTGAGAGGGTAGTTGAGTACTAGAATGTGTAGGAAATTGGAAGAATTTCATAACTCCATGCCAGTTAGCTCTACTTGTTATAATAAAGATCCAACTCCAAAAATAAGATTTGATTATTTTCATCATAATATCGTAAATTCAAACTCATCTGCGATTCTTAGGAGTGGAGATTCCACTTGACATAAAAACTGTGAGATTCCGCATATTGTGACAGGCATTGTATACGGAAGTTTCTGTCTTATCATATCACTATTGATTGTCACAAACTAGAACTTGTATACTAGTTTGTTTCGTGCAACTGCTAAACTTTCCTTACACCCATTGTGAAGACAGATGATAGATAGAGCAGCATGACCTGGAATAATGTGGCATGATGTGACGAGCAGCTACTAAAAAAGAACATGTAAAGAATAAAATGGTAGTAATATGATAACATGGTATTCTGTCACTCTTCTAGAACTAGTAAGCGTAGTGATGATTCGACTAAAGGGGCTAAAGCTGCTATTCCTGTATTTTCAATACGGCCTCGTGCCGTATCAGTGACCTGGATCTGCTCAACAGAAAAAGTATTTAGACTTTCTAGCCACATCATTAAATCTCCATGTTAAAGTTTTAAAAACTTCTGAGATAATGACACCTACTGAAGATGATGTCGAGGCAGTCACCAGCCGCAATACCTTCGCAGCTTGTTGCACCTCTCTTAGACTCAAACAATTCTGCTTAAACCTACCTTCGGAACTTGCAGATTTTTTTGAAGCCATCAACACAGATACTTTTGCAGTCATGAACTCTCTAACTCTTGCAACTTTCTATACCGATATTCCTTACATAATACAAATAACTGCCGTGGACGAACAAGGAAACAGGAAACAAGCTCAATTTTTCACACGGAGGAAACTGCAACCCCACGAAAGAGCTGATACGAACTGTTATTTGCATATCATTCCTCTTTTCGGTATAAATTGCGACATCCGTGTCGGGAACGTGGAAGAGGCAATCTATCAGCGGAGAAACTATATCAAGGGTGAGACCTTCCGCTGGGAGTGCGGAGGGATACATAGGCCAAATCAAGAAGGTCGCTCTGGTATTGTAGAGTACGAGGTGGCTCTCTGGACACCTGGACCAAGAATAGCAGCTTTGCAAGAGGCTTTGCAGGTGAAGAGGGATACTGGTGTTATGCCACCTCTTCCAGAATGGCTGAGGCGAGAAATAGAAGCGGCCATGCCTTCCGGAAATGATGAAGGAAATGAGGGAGAATAACTTTAAACCCGAATTCAAATTACATGTCAATCCACGTATTATCGTGCGATATGCGTGATGGTAATATAATTTCCTCATGTGAAATACTTGAGAAGACGACAAGTGTAAGATCTTACAATACTCGGGATATTCCACAGACAGTACTTGCTGTATTCACCAGGCTTTGGCTATAGCTACTTGCTTCATAAATCTTAAGGGAATAACAATAACCAAATTTCCTCCAAGTAGACAATTTAAGACTACAATTATGATGCGTTGTCATAATAAAGTTATCCTCCACTCCAGAATCAAGCCTAAAATCCACCACCCTGGGTGATCCCTATAAATGTGGAGTTTGATCTACTCCCCTCCAATTTAGCGCTTACAGGGGCCCAACTGCGCCTCAGCCAGCTTGCTCACAGTCCCCTTCCAGGCTTTACCTATCGCGTAATAGCCGCTCGTTTCAATTTCCATCTCAGCTTTTACACCAAACAACTTCCCAATAAAAAAAACAAACGTGCAGAAACACCAAGACGTGAAAATGTGCGACGATGCACGAACTAGATTTGAATACGAGAAAAGATGGGGGGGTTTGAAGTTTTATATCTTCATCTCTTGGTGTTTTTCGATATTTATTTGTATTAATTGATTCTATTCTTTTGGTAGGTTATTTACTCGCTCGGTCAACCTCTTCTTTTCGTTGTTATATCTTATTTTGATTATGCATATGAGTTGGTGAATTTGTCACTCATTGTGTTGTGAAATCTTCCCTTCAATTCAATCTACTTTCGATACACCACATTTGCATCAGTTCTACGGCATCATACCTTTAACGATACGACCATCAATACATATATCGGGCCTCGGCCAGGAAATCCTCTAGAATGAAGATCTTCTCATTACCGCCCATTCCTTTGGCCCTATTATTCACGACCCTCAAAGTCCTCGCACAAAAGAACAATGGCGAAGAATGTTCATGTTTTCGAACCGATAGTGCCTCTTCTGGATATTTCACATATCACAGATTTCACGATTTTCGAACCGTGGCCGCAGCTGCGCAGACGGTTCCGGATTTGATTGCAAATGAGAGTGATACATCTAATGCACTTGCAACATCCGATTTCTTTACGGGACAAGCATGGAATAATGATTGGTCGACACAGAGTTGGAATAATAGTGATACTATGGTGGAAAGTGGAAGTAGTGTGTTGATGATTAATTCGCCGAATAATGTATATATTGGTACGTTCACAAATTCTGTCCACCCTATCTGTCAGTGGAGATACTAACATTATACCTCCAGAAACCTCAACCGACAATGACGCATCCTATGACACATACCTCACCCTTCGGACAGCGCGCCTGCCAAATTTCCAGTCCGTTGCGGAATTTGACTCGAACGAAAAGAATTTCAAATATCTGTCCGCACGATTCTTGGCCCGGGTTGTTGGCTCAGATGGAGCATGTGCGGGAATGTTCACCTATCTAGACTCCAACCCCATCCAAGAAGCCGACATTGAAATCCTCACCTCGGGCCCTCGGAATGTAGTCCAATACACGAATCAACCTTCCCTCAACAAAGCAGGCGATGCAGATCCCCGAGCTACATCTAATGCCAGTACTGCGGACAGAACTATGGATTGGAGTGTCTGGAATACATATCGAATGGATTGGATGCCCAAACAGACATCCTGGTATGTAAACGGCGAAAGTGTTGCAAGCATTTCATACCAAGTCCCGAAGAGCCCTAGCGGATTGATATTAAATATGTGGAGCGACGGAGGAGAATGGACGGGAAATATGAGTCTTTATGATGAGGCGTTCTTACAGGTTCAATGGATTGAATTGGTGTATAATACTAGTGGCGACTATGCTGGGAGTAAGAGGGAGCTGGAAAATAGGAAGTCTAAGGGGTGTAAGGTTGTTTGTGGAGTGGATGAGGGTGTTAATATTACGGGGACTCCGGCCGTATTGATAAATAATACGAATGCGGGGACGATGGGTTGGAAGGAGGGAACGGGGAGTATGGGCTGGGTACCAGTGGTGGTGGTTGGATTGGCTGTTTTTGGATGGTTGTGATCTTTTGGTGCACCGGATGCTCTAAATTGCGTGGAGTTTTCGATACCATGACGAAAGTTGGGAAATAGACATCTTGGTAGGATTAGACGGGGCGATGTTATTCTATATATACGCATGAAGCAACGATCAATAGGTTGGATTTAGTGTTATAGATTTTGGAAATTTATGATACGATGAGCAACTATTCATGTCGATACCTCCAATGATCTTTTCTCTACTCGATATTTACTTTGATTCTTTTCAAATGTATAAGGTTCCCATCACTCTGCTAAAATTAATCACGCAGCCACAAATACACCCCTCTTTTGATGTCATACGAATATTATTTCTATCTACCTCTCCTATCCCTCTCCCCCTCATCTCGCTTACGCTTATGCTTATGCTTATGCTTACCTCTCAGCCGAAAAATTTTTCAGTGATTATGCATATGGATATAATCAGGCGACCAGTGAGAAAGAAATGTATGTATGTATGATAAGTGATGATAATGATAGTCATTTGATGGTTTGGCTACAGTTGGCTGGGTTTCTGTAATTAGTTGTGTTATGAAGGAGAGTTATTGATGGCTGTAAAAGTTTTGGGAGTACAGAGAGGAGGAGACGGGAAGGGGCTCTTATTGTAATTATAAGATAGTTATTTTGAGGCTGAGCTGAAATTGGAGGGATGGGGCGAGAGTCAGGATACTTGATGAGCTGGGTTCGATCAGATGGTTTCATAGGGATCCTATGATGAATTCGTGGTATATGTCCTTGTTTGTAAGATTTTATAATCTATTGGATCTAGACTTTAAGTGCAAGTAAAAGCTCAGAACCAGAACCAGAACCAGAAATCAGAAATCTGGAATATTATGCTGGACGATCCCCTGCTCTTCTATTCTTTTTGCAATAGCGATAGGTATCGTATAACGATTTAACTTTAGATAAATTCTCATACTGAGGATGAGGATTAGAGGGAAATGGTGAATCTTTGGGATTTAAGTCCCCAAATTTATTTATTTTCATAATCAGCTGGGTGTGTTTTGTTCGGTGGATTGTAATTTGGTAATAGAAATTAGAGAATTTTAGTTCTGGGATGGTTTTGTGTCTAGTGTTTTTCGGGTCTACTCGCTTGCCGATTGTAAATATTTTAGATTGAATTTGGCTATTGATACGTCTGCTAAATGTAAGAGATACGCCAGTGGTGGTGGATTTTGAAGTGGGTGATTTTAGATATTCTTATATTTAGGTTTGGGGAACTAGCAGGGTTTTTGGGATTTTTGTGTGGACTCGGGGCTCCGGATAGATAAAGTAGCTTGCTTATAGGTTCTGTGCGATGCAATGAGAGTCTACTAGCTCGGGGGAAGATTAATGATGGGGTTTTTTGTTGCTGTGTAATTTTTATGGTTGCTGGGTTGTAGAGTACGAAGATTAGATGAGAGTTCACAAGATGGAGTTAATAATCTCACTAAATAACGTGAACAATTATCGATTAGCATCTTTGTATCATGCTATATGAGCATCTGATACAGATTCGCTGCATTTTCCATCCATTTTTATTGGGGGAGTTCTGAGCTAAACTATTGCCTTGATCAGTACTACTATGGGCTTCCAGATGTTACTATATATAATAAAGAGACGTCAAAGACTAGAAAGATATTCAACGAAAGAAGAGTGAATTTTCAGGATTTAAATTCCATCACAACAAGCTCAGCTGCATTAATCTCGGTCCATCATCAATACATTCACCTAAATTCTCTCAGCTAATCGTTGTTGAAGCTGCCATCTAGTTGCACGTATATATAGAAAAACCTCCATGTGGACGAGAGACTTAGCCGGGTGTATGGAACCCACTGAGAACCTCGCTAATTGCGGTTAAATACCATTATAGTTGGAAGCTTTGAGATATAAGCTTTTCCATTGGGTACAATAATGATCCGTTAATTGCCGAGGAATTATCAAGTAATTACCTAGTAGGCAGGTACACACATGAATTCATTGCCAGAATTGTTGAAGGACTGTAAAGGGCAGGCTGGACTGGACGAGAGGGTGATTTGGGAATTTAAAAACGATGGTGAATGTCTTTCTCTGGTGAATAGTCTAATCGATTCGGTTAACTGTTTTCTGTTTGGATAATTTTAGTGATTAGACAACCGAGGCTTATTTTCACATGAAGAAGATGTTGAAGAAGCGTAACTGTAAATGGTATTAGCATGTGGCTGTCCCTTTCTTGGTGGATTATTCATTTGTTAGGGCTGAGATCTGGCATTCACTTGCCCTTTTCCATTTCTTATCTCTCTCTTTAAACTTTTTGGAGAAAGAAGAAGCCGGAATTATAAATACTTGTATCACTTCCAACGAGGGAAAAGTAGTTTAGAAGACCCTGTTGCTTGGAATGCTCCATGATCGACTCGGCATTTTAGACACTCTTTGATAGCTTCGATGGGAACCTACTACAAACTGACAGAATATAGGATATTAGTCCTCAACATAGTCTCGGGGCCTAGCTTGAAGGTATAAATTACCTTCTATTGTTTCCATTGTTGAATGTTATGCGTTATTGGATGATAGCCCCCAGATGATAGAGTAAATATACTACGTCTTGCTAGTATCTAAGCATATTATTAATATTATCAAGACTCTTTAAAATATGTCGTGCTTTTTCTATCTATCTTGAAGATATCTTAAATTGCGTTAAACTTCCACACAAGATATAAATACTCTATCGGTGAAAAAAAGATCTAATAATCTAGCCTTGCAGGAGAGATAGCTGTCTTTATAAGGCAAGCTCAGGGGAAACAGCGACCTAACTATTATTAAGCGATGGTGAATCATGGCTTCTAAATCACTTCTGTCTGAATAACTCGGCTCATAGAGAAGTTTAATTTGGTTGTTAGATCATTATTCACGGCAGCAGACCTGAAGCAATTTTGCCGTCTAAACCAGCTAGTTCGCTCTTTGCTCGACGCTGCGCCCATTAAACAGTAAGTGTTGCCAAAACCAGCTGATCTCTTTTTCTCGGTCTTTCCCTTTGAAAAAGTCTATTGAAGCATCAATTAGACTTTGATTTTCATCTTAAAACTTTCATGGTAGAAGGAAGCTGGAGATTTGATCTCTCTTTTGGGTCTGAAAATGCTACAGTGATGGAATGAAAGGTATGCTTAGTTTGAATTTTCCAATGTTCATGTCCAATTTCTTAATGATTCAATGAGTAGATAGATATATTTGTTATCGTTCGATAGCTGAATCTAAATCATGAACAAGATTTTCTATGTGTGATGTAATAGTAAGATCTTAGAAAGAATAGAATTAAACATTCTCATCTAAATATCTTTCTGATACTTCTTGTTCTTTAATTATTAATCGGCAACAAAACTGTCTTATATTTAAAGCTTTCCGTTCCTTATACACCCTTCCAAAGCCATACAGGATATTCTATCCTCCAATAGAGAAAGGGTATTTATCGAGCTCATAGCTAGTAAATTTGAGTCAGACTCTTCGTGGACTATTGCATATAGGTATGCTCACCTTCAAGCCTTGTTAACAACCTCACTGGGAAGAGTGACTGACTAGTCATCTCCATAAGCCAGAAAATCGTGGTGGGAAGTTTTACTCCTCTGAAATGATACGCCAAGCCTCAATAAAAAGTAATTTAGACAATTAAACATGGATTTTAGCTACCGCTCTTCTTGTTTATGAATCTACAATTAAACAAATGACAGATCTAACTACCTCCCAATGACTCCACAAGGATTCAACGAAAGATACCTATCTTTTCGTAGGTATGAAAAGTGAATAAAATTTGGTCCTTCTACTTTATTGAATTTATTATCAAATAGAGAAAGGGGATATGGTGTCTTTTATGCCGATTTCATAGACCGAGTGGGGGAATTTCAGGTACTGTTCATCTAATAACAGATGAAGCGCATGTGGACTTCAGCCTCGGTAGTAAGATCAAATTCCTTTTTTTTTGGTGAATTTCTACCTCCGCTTGATCGGATTCTATTGGCGAGGCAAATTCAATAATCCTTCTGCATTTCAGATCCTGTTTCTGACTTTTCTTTCTATTTAATACCTTCGTCCTGCATGGAAACCCAAGTAGTCAGGTCCAAACTGGTCGAAATCTACCCATGATTCCGGCTTTGAATGCATAAATTAGCTTACACCAATTTTGATTCCTTAATTAACCTGTATCTTGAGGCACGTCGCTAGATGAAAGTTGTTCCGTTTCAACCATTTGAGAGAGAAGATAATTTTGACAACAAAATACGATTAGAAATAGAAATTTTTATCGTCGGAAATAATATTTAACATGCAGAGCAATGTCATCTCACTGATCCTGTTATAGGACGACATATCTGAGTATTCTCGAATGCCCTGGAACATCTTGGATGGTTGTTGTTTTTCTGTTGACAGCTAGATATCAAGAGAAATAACCTTCCTGTATGTCTCCTTAAGTATCACTATGATACTTTTATTTGGCATTTTCGGGATATTAATGACGTGAATTCACTAAGTGCTGACACTTATGCCTCGGCAACGAGGGACTGAATTATTATATATTTCGGTCACTTGGTAGTTCTAGTTCTTTAGGCAAATAAATATGAGTACCTATTAAAAGAATATGTTCATGATTCACTTACTATACGTTTCTACCGAGAGATATTGTGTTTATTCTAGGAACTGTGCCAGGCCTTTTCGGTATTTTTCACGCTTAGCCCACCACTGTCTAGGTCTCTATCGACTACCTATATCAAAATCGAGGGCTCTGCTCATAAATTGCAATAGTGTCAAACGATTTTAGATCGTTGAGAATAGGATGGAAAAGGGGAGGAAAGCATTTAATGCTTTTCGTAGCTAGTGCTTCAGCACTTCCCGGATTCAGTCTGCAACGTTCTATTTACTCTTTTCGTCTTATTCACAACTACCGCTATTTCCTGAAACAGAGATTTGCATTTAAGGTTGACTTGAGAATCCTTATTAAGACGCTATATATGCCACGACTAACCTGAAATTGGGATCCGAATATGATAGTTATCCAAATTTATTACTTTTGATTTTGACGAGTTAATATCGCCGATCCATTCTATTCAGAAGTCCAGGCAACTTGATGTATCCCATTTTATTGCAGGAATTTGTTCTAAAGTTTCTGGTACGAAGCTTTCCACTCTAGTTTGGTGCTCTTCTGCTACTAAAGAGCACTTTAAACTGCAGCTTCTTCAGAACTGAATAAATTTTCTAAAGGACTTCTGGTTGTGGAGATTTCAATCTGACGTTCTCGAAAAAACTTGATTGTTGTAGCAGTTCATTGGTTAAATTCACTTAATATCACGTCTTTCAAACTTCAAATACGTTAAAAACTACACATTTGTGTATAGCATCTAATCATAAGCGATAATTCACCCTTTTATTGAAGCCCAAGAACTCTAGCACGAATCAAACTTAATTCTCAATCTAAAATATTGCACATAATGTCTCAATAGCTGACTGTAAATGTGATGCAGTATTCCTTTGCATGTAAAGCGTCCATTTCACATCAAAGCTTGCTATTTCTTAGTTGCTAATATTCGGCTATGTTAATATCAGACTCTACTATTTAAGATGAGCAGATCGATTAGGTTGCACGGTCGCATGTTGTTTGGCGAAGGATTGAGGTTAATCTTTGAGCCTTTTCGTCTGCTGGCTTCGAACAGTAGCAATCTTAGTCTAACTTCTACTTCAGTTCCAACCAATATTTCATGACTAAAGTTCTAGCAGTGACAATAGTCTGCGGAGATGATAGTGTAGCTAACCATCCCCCTATTGTAGGGACTGATAGGCCTGTACTTCATATATCACATTATTTGTTTAAAGCTCCAGTAATACGAAAAAGAATGGCTTCAAGGTCCGAAATCATCAATGCTCTTCATAATTGCTGAATAATCACATGTCTTTTTAACCACGGAGTTACTCCAGGCGACTATATATATTTATTTGCTACGAGAGTCGACCTTCAAGCTAGATCCAAATTTGACCTCGGTAGCCTCGGCATGTCACTGTCGAGGAAAGAATAACTCTTAAAGCTAAACTTTATTATTATGCAGGTCATTCAACAGGGCTGGTAGGTCACCAGGAAAGCCTTTACCGAATGAGAAGACTAAACGGTGAATTGTGTCACGGTACACTTCAAAATGCCGCACACCAAATAGTTTAATAAGCGATTTTCTTTCTTAGTATACCTAGGTAGACCTGGACAATTTCATAATATTATTTGAAGTGTTGTTGAAATTAAGGTCATTATGGGCCTAGAATTGAGGTCATATGACCATTATGGTGCACGGACCATAATTGGGAATATCTTCAATTCTACCATTACTGTAACTTAGATCCTTAGTTTAACCTACATCTAATAATACTACTACTTCCAAACAACTCAGTTTCAACAAGTGTTACAATAAAATGCTTAAAATAGCTTTGATTGAGACATATACAGTTACAAAATTCACCACAAAACTACGATCTTAGAAAGGTACCAGTTGTCAATTTTGGTATTCTGAACATTAGCAAAGCTAAGAAACGCCGCCGCACGACATAAAAAGTCTCTCTATGTTAAAATTCTGTTACATACCCCGGACTATTCAGGTACTTCGGTCCTGAGTTTACATGAATATCCTCGAACTACTAGCTCTTCATAAGAACTAAATAACATAGTTATTCTTCAAGGGAATCCTCATAATTGTTCTAAATCTTGCGAGTTCTTCTTTTTGAATACCCATGAACTAGACAAACTGGAGATCTATCAGATCTAGATCTACTCCCATTCTTAGCCCTGCAGTTAGGACCATATTTCTTCTTTGCAACCACATTATCCACTCTAGTTGCCGTTTTCTCAAAAAGTATTATCAAGGTTATACTTCACAGGACTAATTGCTTCTCAAGTTAGCTTCGCGTAGGGGGGTCGAACTAATTTTACTCCCGAGAATGAATCTTTAGGTCACGCATATTTAACCGCTCAGAAGCTTGCTAGGACGGTCGAAGCATCTCTCGGCATGAGCTAAACTCATGTAGTCTTCTATAGATGGAAGTCAATATTGTTACAGATGATCATCGCAAGCCACCAACATTCAAAAGAATTAATTTTGATCCTCTATAGTCCGCACCTATCAGATCTGCTTAATGTGTTTACTTTTATTTAAACATGAAACTCCAAGATTTTAAATGAAAGATGGATTTTTTACACATGAATCAACGGCACAATAACGTGCAAAGATTGCTAATACTTTAAATATTTCGTAGATATATTGTCCCCTGATATATGACAAAAGTCCGCACCCGTCAACTATTACTATCTAATAACTCTTGAATGATTGATAAGTGTAAGGAATTAACTTGCTATCAAACCTCAATCTTAAGTGCCGTTCGAATTCTATATAGTATTGTCTCATCCTTTATTACATTTAGCACAGCAGAAAATAATGCTCAGATTTCCATATTCCATGCTTTTTTACACTCCCCTCGAACTGCCATTTAACTAAAAAATGCTCCTAGGTAAATTAAAATGCAACCCTCCCTTGTTCTCGTTGAGATCGTTAGGTTACTGCTAATAAGCGCCTTTCCAATACTCTCACCATGCAAAGTGGCATGATTTCCTTCATTTCTTGATTCTAAAAGAGCTTGGGACATCGTGCATATAAATAACAAGTTGTTATTAATTAATTAGTCTTTGGCTCGGATTTTTTGCCGAAATACTAGACTAGCGAATGATTAGCTTCCGATTGATGACTTCTTCATGTGAACAATGAGGTCATTCGGGAGGGGTAGGGAAGTGGAGGAGGGCCAATTAGCTGGTACTTTTGTGAATAATCCACTGGACCTCGTTACCACTAGCCAAAGGATTGTCCACGCCACTGCCTCAATTGATAGCCTAATCCCCTAGAACAATGAATTAAATCAATCAATTGCCGTATATTCACAACTAATAATGTGAATCTAGCGGTTGCTGTATAATTCTAGCTAGAGACTAGTGGTAAGTAATCACTATATATATAATAGTCCCCTTGGATATTTCAGGAAGATAAAATTCTCTGCTACCGAATTGGAAACTTCTGAGAAAGGAGTTGAAGAGTCCAGTATTTTGTAGCGAGGTAAAGGCAGCTGATATGTGAAGTAATCTTACAACACAATATTCGTTTCAAAATTAGAAAATGATATTGGAACTGTATTAGTTTCGGGCCCAGGGAAAGGATCTCGTCTAAACTATTTATATCACTATTATAAAAATTCCGTCCTGCTGATTATTGTCGAGAATCTGGGAGAGTCTCACTTATACCGGAAGACATAATAAAACATTAAACGAGAGTGTTTAAGCGTCTAGACATAATATCTTGTATTGAACTTTCTGTTTTCACCTAAAATCATACTTTTCACACTCGAAAGACATTCCAATAGTGTTTTCTTTCCATGGTTGGGAGCTCCTGCAAAAATAAGAGTCATTTGTTCTTACTAACAATATGTAGCCACCATCTAGCTAAAAAGTAAAGTCAATAGACACCATGGAACTCAATTGGCTCAATTAACTCAGTCTCTGGTTCCAAGAGAGTTAATTTCATATTACCCTCCTTCATTTATTCGTCGATGTGTCCACTATTCTTTGCCACTCTGGTTTCTTTTCCAATCCTTCATGATTTAGGACTTGAGCTACCTTGAAGTTCCTGAGACAAGCATAATTGTTCCAGCCAATTACACACATGTCGTGTCAGATATCCACTCAACACGATTTTAAAGCGCGGTAAATGCTAGTAAACATTAGAATTAGCGTGATGGGGGAACCTGTTTTGTTTCCCGATGCTACTAATGTCTTTTACGGGATTTTTTCTGATGTGATCTCAGGTGGTATGTGGGGTTATATATACGTAGGTGGTAGTGATAAATCTGATATTTTGAGAAGATTTGGTCTTCAGAAAATAACAAGAGACAAGAGCGAACAGTTTTACGATCTGGGAAAAGTTTTCACTCCTTAATAATCGATAAAATAGCCAATTCCATTTTCTACAGCTCAATCTGTTTGGATTTCATGCCCTTTGTTTATCAATTTTGGCGGGTTTGAGCTTAACAGGAAGTAAGTAACCTTATAGGAGATGGAAGATAAAATCTATCTTTGTGTTTTTCTACGATCAGCGAAGAATTATCACTATACAAGCGCAACACCTATTGTCTACCCATCATTTTAGCAGGAGGAAGCTGTGACCTCTCAAACAACCCTGATTTACTTTGCAACCTGGAATCCTAGTACTCAAAAGCCTTTTACCATACTAGTCACCTTCTAAATTCTATTCCAAGGTTCCGTGGCATCATACGGCAAATGGAGTTACACCACTGCAACCCTAAATGCGGGGCAAACGAGGTAAGATTACTATGCGGGGTAGCTATCACATACAATCGGACTTCTAACATAACTTGTCTTACTGCTATGCTATTTATGTTACAGAATGTAGTACTTGGGGTATACCAGATGCTGTGGTGTAGTACTGTGCACATAAGAAATGAGCTGACAATTGACTAATCTACTTCAAATTTATCCAAAACATACACAAAGGGAAGGCAAATCCCTCATTCCGTCATCCAATTTCTCGTCGAAATTATTTTTATCACCACCTCGCTGAACTATCATTCACAAAAATGGGGAAAAAGATAATCGCAGCCGCAATTCACGCCGCGCCGGTGTTTATGGATAAGAAGCGCACCATTGAAAAAGCTATCCGACTCATCAAAGAAGGCAAAGATCAAGGAATAGACTTCTTGGTATTCCCAGAAACTTTCGTGCCTGGATATCCGGTATTTATCCATCCAAACTCGTCTAAGGCTTAAATACAGTGCTAATACAGGATGCATGGAATAGTATTTTATCCAAACCTACGCACCACTCAAATACGCCGGTGCACAAGCCCAATATGCAGAAGAAAGCGTTGTAGTTGGAGAAACGGGAGGGGATCTCCTACCTATCATGTGTATTTGCGCTGAACTTAAGATCGCGGTTTGCATTGGAATTTCGGAGCGGGTTGAAGGAGGTTATACAATATTCAACTCGCAAGCCTTCATTGATACCAATGGAACATTACTAGGCGTACACCGAAAAATCCAACCCACGCACGCCGAACGCACGATTTGGGCCCAAGGAAGCGGACACACATTACGTGTATGGCCGAGCAGTGTAGGTAGAGTAGGAGGACTAGCATGTTGGGAAAACACGATGAATAATGCACGTCAAGAATTAATTGAACAGCGTCAGGAAATTCACGCGGCGGCGTGGCCTGCACTTAGCACTATATCTGGATTTGAACTGGTGGCTGATGCGCAAATAGAGGCATTGATGAAGAATCATGCGTTGACAGCACAAGTATGGGTTATTTGCGCGAGTGACTATGTAGATGATGGGACATTGAAGTGGATGGAGAAGAATCTGGGACCGCAGGATTTGGTCAAGAAGGGAGGAGGTTGGAGTGCTGTTATTCATCCATTTTGTACCGTGTTAGCTGGTCCGCATACAGGGGCTGAGGAAAAATTCTTGAAAGCAGAGATTGATTTTGAGGAATTAGCAGGTGTGAAGGTGTGGATTGATGCTAGTGGGCATTATAAACGTCCTGGGATCTTCAAGTTGGAGGTTGATAAAACTCCAGAGTGGCCTGATGATGAGATTGTGGCGGCTGGGGCTTCTGCGCCTTACGTTTCACATACATGATGAGGATGTGTTGAGTGTATGTGACTACTATTTGAAAGACTAGGCACTTCCAAATTTGCTTTTCTATCTAGGACAGCCAAAGGGGACCCGGTGCTCATTTATTCAAAAACTTTGCGCAGCTTTAAGCACAACCTTATAGAACGTTGCCTCTTCATCTCTTGCACTAACTGTGGCTCTAAAAGTTCAGTGAAGTTCCAACAACTAGCAAAAACAAAACTTAGCCTCGTGTATGATAATTGCATCTGAGCATTATCAAAATCCTGGAACAATGCTACAATGATATAGTTAAACCTATACTTCCACTGCGTCATGTGACAGCTTCGAAATGGAGACGCTTGAAGTCTTGATTCATTCATTCATTTGGTCAAGCTCATAGATCTCCCTATCCTTCCTGACAATTACTCCCTTAGACTCTCTCTGCAGCATGTAGAATTCTCGCCCAACTCGCACACCCAAGCATAGTCTTGCACAAATTTCCTTGCTCATCCCTTTCCTGTCCATTGATCTCCAGAGTCTTGCTCAAACCAAACCTATCATTGAATTTCCTCACATGATCTTCAGAGATTGCATACGGACGACTACCGCGGTAATACAATTGATCCTCTAGATCTAACATGAATTCCCTTCCCCAATTCGCAATACGATGGATTTCATGTCGGAGTTGTTGAGTGTGGGTATGCTTGGAAAGAGCGACATAACCGTCGACTAGATGATGTAGGAAGAACGATCCATCCGAGAGCATTCTTTGAGAGGTATCGGGAATGCAGTGATCAAATAGGGGTGACTCAGGATTTAGTGCCGCTTCTGCAATTTCTATTGCCGATCTTAAATGCTCTTCGTTACCAGTAGCTTCATACGCAAGGGTGAAACCGTGAATAGCGAATCCGGTGTTGTATGTCCATTTCATTTTGTTTATTTCCGTCGATCCGTCATCCTTGTATGCCAATTGATCCCATATGAGCTTGTCCTCGGGATCTTGCAAGTTTTGCTTAAGCCAATTCAATGCTCGTAAACTGAAGTCTACCAAATCGTTATTGCGAGTAATTCTCGCTAGTCTAAAGGCTGATATAGCGGCTGGCCCAGTGGAACAAGCTGCTCGAGCCTTATCGTTAGAGATATGCCATGGAATACCTCCATCATGTCGTCCAGATGGAATTATAAAATTGCATAAAATATCCCTCGCTTGGTCCAAATATCTGGTCTCCCCTGTCGCTTCAAATGAAGATATGAAAGCTTGAACCGCATGAGCATTATCATCATAATAAATGTCATTATTTCCGGGAAACATCTTCCAGGCGCAAAATGCATAGCGTTCAGGGTTCCAGTATTCTTGATGCACTGAGACGGCTTGGGATATTCGCTGAGGAGTAAGACAATCGGCTGTTGCATGAAGCATTATTGAGACGGGCCATACTACATATCCGAAATCATTCTCTGCACCAAGAGTACTTTCGGACTTTACTTTGCCCTGAAATTGATTGTTTTTTTCCGAATAAAAGTATTGAAATGTTCTTTCAGTCAAGGCAGATGATTCGGTATTGGGAATGTGTGTATTGAATGACGCGGGAGGGTGCTGCTGATGCGAAGTCTGATGGCGAATTACCTCTTGAAGTTTTTTAAGATGGTGCATTATGGTCTTTGGTATTATTTGACAGTATTGGAGGAAGGTGTAGACGAGATGGAAGATGGTAAAGTTTGATAATGAAAGAGAAAGAGATTTGTAGTTTAATTTGTAAGACTTACACGAGATGGCACGTGAATGACGACGTTGCGTTTGCCATGCGAGGTTCAGTGCTTGAAACACCAATGCTGGAAAATACCCTGCAAAGCCTGAATCACGAGACCACGCGACATAGATATTTAACGTGTTTGCGCCCACATCAGAGCCCTGAAAGTGGTTTGCATCGCACCGACAAGAACAAATTAGGTTCATTATGGACAGATTCTAACAAGTAAGATTATAATTTCTGACTTTTATATCGATTACAAAATGATAGAGGTAGCAGATTCATAATTTATCCATCAAGCTGCTCTCATTAGAAAATCATCTTAGTCCTGAATGATGTTACTAGCTGAACTAGTTACCTAGTAACTTAAATGCTTCTCAATTAAATAAACAAACAAACCATTGACTAAAAGGACACTCACACCAAGTCGGGGATTAGCTGGTAAACGAATTCGAAGGAATGAATGAACATAAATCCCACGCGATATTCTGTATAGAATGGAATATTAGGAATAATAGTTCAAGAGATGTTGGGACAATGAAGTTTATGTATATTGTGTAATGACTCTTCGTCATTACCAATGAGTAAAGTGTATACAATACTCGTCGTTATGCTATACAGATAACAAAGACAATTTGTGACTTTCCGGCCTCTCCCCCCTCTTCATACTCACATCTCCATCCCTTAAACATTCCCCTCCAATCCCACAACCGTAGTTTCCCCATGTTTAAACGTCCTCAAACCCGTCCTGGTAATTTTCAACTGGCTCCCACAATTAGGATCTGGACATGCAATTAAACCATCTGTCGTCATCCAATCATTTGCATGTGTAAAACGTTGTTTTGCTGCTAGGAGAGGAAGTACAGATGCTGTCAATGTGTTAATTTCGGTTGAGTTTATATATAGGGGGTTAGGAAGATTTATGAGAGAAGAGAGGACGAACATAAACTATAGATACTGATCCCCTGTCCAGCAGGCAGATGAAGCATCTCTCCCTCAAGGGTAAAATGATCGCCTTCCTTGGCGCCACAGAGAATTTTAGACGAGGGTGGACAAATAACTTCGATGCGGAGATCATAAAGTTGGAAGGAGTCATCGGCTGGTGTAGACGACGTTGCCATTTTTGTGGCTTGTGTTGGAGTTAAAAGTTTGGCGAGGATAGATTAATATGTACGCAGTGGTTGTAATAGATTTCGGGATTTGAAAATTGGTTCTGAGATCGTAAATTGGCGCAGGTTTAGAGGTTGCAAATTAGAATCCATCTTCGGACGTTTACCTTAATATCTACCAGGTAATCTCAATCACGCCAGATTCTAAGCTCCCAGGATTCCATCCGCACGACAATTTCGTAAGACACCGGAGAACATCGGTGTTCTGAACGATCATCGATATCCAGGTTCCAGGTTCCAGGTTCCCCGCACAGCATGCAGCATCCCCCACTTTTGAACCCCGATAATGGAGATAGTGACACCCCGAAACCAGATTATAGACTCAATGAAGGACAGTGTTATCCAATAAGAAATTCCCCTCGCTCAACCAAAATCCAACATCGGTCAATAAACCCTCCCAGATTTCCTTATCGGCCGATAGATCCGTCTTGAAATCGGTTGTGCTGTCTGTTAATGAGTTTGTTTCTGCAAAATCTTCGGTGTCTTGATAAGGTTCAATGGTTTCAGGAACCCAGTGAGTTGTATTGATTGTGGAATTCATATGATCATGGAGGTAAGTCTGTACTGGGTGTATATCACAGCGATATGAATGGTTGCTACGATCTCTGGTTTTGTTGCTGGCTTGAGATTTCAAGATTTGATATTTCTCCACGAGACTCTTGAGAAATCGTGCTTGCATAGCACAACCAGTCATCTGAGTGGCGCATTGCTGAGAGAATGTATCGGACGAGAGAAGAATCGCTTGTAGTGATTGTGTCTCGAGATCTGCGCGCAGATTCTTGGGAAGAGATACGAGTAACTATAGTTATTAGTAGAGAGATCATTGCCTCAACTAAAGACTTTAAAAATATAAAATACATACCTTTATAAGGAAAATTGCAGCATAAGCAGTCATCACATGTACTGAGTCTTGTACAAAGTAAAGCTGCTTGAGAGGCCCTATAACTTTAGAAATGTTATCTAGCATGCCAATTGCACTTGATGAACATTGCCATAATGCGGACTTCGACACTGCACTTCCCTTCCTCGCAGAATGAAGAGATTGTTGTAAAATATACGAATTGAGAAGAAGCCGGAGATGTAAACCATAGAAGTTGACAAGAAACTGCTGTGGGGCGGCAACAGTCTCTGGTGGAATGAGTTAGCTATGGACAATATATTGGAGGTTGAAATTGGCAAACCATCTTCAAACTTGTGCAACCAACCCTTTTCCCAGGTGCTAATTTCAGAATTAAGGAGTCGAGATAACATTTCTGACCGAGAACTTTGAGCTTTTAGCTTTATGGATGATGCAAGCTCGAGCATCTCAGCACTTATTACTCGTAGACAGACGAATGCTGAGAGGAGCATATCCCCGCCAGGTGCAGCGTATGCTTCTTGATACCATTCGCTCGCTTTAGAAATTAAATTGTTCCGGTCTATCATCCATGGTTTGTCGAGTTGTAAGCTCAAACTGCGCAGGATTAGAGTTCAGGTCGTAATTTGATGCCGGATTGAGGACTAACCTTCGATCATACACAAACAAAACTAACCATGTCCTCTCAATGTTTCTAGCTTCCCTAATACTCATTTCATCCCCCGAAGTCCGCGGCTTTTGTGATATCGGCTCTATTTCGTGCCATCCAAGTTCAATACACATACGGATAGCATAACCAACAAGTGACCAAGTACGTGTCTCCTCCGGCTCTTTCCAGTAAGTGAAGACCAGGATGGCTTGTACAGTCTCTGTGGACTTTATTCCCCGCGCAAATACCTTCCCAAGTAAATTCTCGGTATGAGACCTAAGTGTGGGATGAAGTGCAGGGTGAAAAGCCTTAGAGGATGCTGACAGAATTGCTGTGAGGAGGAATGATGAACGTTGGCGAACATAGTCAAAGGTATGGAGCTTGGTATCTAGTTGACAAACGTATGGATTTAAACAACGCATGAAACTACTCTTTGTCAGAGTTGCAACGAAACCGCCTAATAATTCTTCCTCCGTGAGAGGGCCATGAAGAATGTACTTACCTATCGAATAACCCCAATGCTACAGGAAAACTGAGCATGTTACATGTGATCGGATCATCAAAGCTATCCGCACTGTGAGTTGGTGGCCTCGTTGGATGGTGAGGTCTCAGAACATCTGGTACAGAGAGTATATTTTCCAAAGAAAACTTTCCGAATTGAGCTTCTCTACTTAGTATCCCAACCTGTTGCAGTCCTCCATTGCCCCAAGACTGTGCGGTTTGAGGTGGAGAAACATCCACTGTATCACCCGGTTTGGGACTTGGAGTGTCATCACGCAAATTTCTTGTACTTGAAGATGGAGTTTCTTGATCAGAGATCGGTGTCTTTTCAATTTGTACATTTGCTCGGTAAGTATTTCGCTTTATCCTAATCAAGTAAGTGCCAGACACACAGCGTATTGCAATATATTAAGATCGATGATACCTTGTGCCTGGTTTTCTTCCCCTGCGATGCTGCTCAAACACGCATTCAAGTGACTTTCGTTTGCATCGTTCACATTTCTCACCGGTGGAAGTAGTTCTGCATTTCAATTTTACACTTCTGCATGTTAAGCAGGCTATCTGGCTGGGGTAATCTTGTCAGGATCTAATTCTTAAACTGTGTACGAGTATGACTTGCCTGGGTAATTTCGAGCCAGAATGGACTGTATTCATAGGCTGTGGTGAAGGCATTATTTTCAGAAGATTTCTCTGGTGACATTTCATTCCAGCCACAAATGTGATGCCAACCTTATCAAATACATATCGATCAGATTTCGATAATCAGGACGAAATGTCCTAATCTAGATGAATCTCCGGGGAAGATAGATAGATAGCCTATCAGGCACCTGGGTTGGCCGTATCCCACTTTCGGACGCTGGTTCATGCTTGCCTGCACCTAAGTGCCGGTCTTGGTATAAGCAACATGGCCACACACATGTGTGCGTTCAAGAATTCTGATGAATCCGTGTCTCTTAGATTGATACCGATTAGGCAAAAGAAATCAACTATTTCGATGCTGGGAGGCCCGGAAATGGAATGAAGGAGGGTGCTCCGATTTAGGAAGTTTAGCGTTCGCATTGGCGAAGACAATAATAAGGTTCAACACGTGACATCACATTATTACACGTTACTAAAGTGTGCCCATTTATATACTTTGTAATGTTATCCTTTGAAGGTTTTATCTGCAAATAATTATCGTTCTCAGATTATTGTCTATATTCTGCCCCACAATCACCCATGGCCTCGAAAACATCCTTTGCTCTTGATTTATTCAACACACTTTGTATAGCTTCTCTATCCTCCACGCCGAGCGTGAAAGAAAAGGCTTTTAGATTCTCATCAATATGCTCGCTGATTCCCATTCTTGCGCCGATTATCACAGCTCCAACATAATCGTGATCTAGGACCCACCTAATCGCCACACTTGAAACAGAGACGTTGTGCTTGGAGCCAATTAATGCGAGAACATCAAGTAGTTCTTGAAAAAGTATCCACCCTCCCCATATGGTGATCATTTCGAAGTATTTGCGATGGCTTGGGGTCATGTTCTCGTCGAATAGGTTAGGAGCAGGTTTTTCGACCCATTTATCTGCTAAAAATCCTCCGCACAATGAACCATAAGTGAGGAGTTTGACGTTGTGTTTTCTACAACTTTCTGCCATCTTGAAAGCGGGTCGCAAGTCTATTAGAGAGAACTGGACTTGGTTTGAAACTGCCTTTATGCCGGCCTCCAGAATTTCGCACATGCGATCTGTGTCGAAATTGCAGAGGCCCAAATTTTGGACGTTGGGATGCTCGTCTATTAACCTTGCTGCTTCCACGTATTGAGGGTCGTTATACTACACTGCTTGTTAATATCCCTTTACGCTGTGAAAGCTAGATGTCACGTACGTCTTGCCAGTGAAATTGGAGTAATTCCACGGTCGTAGAATTGATCGCGGCGAGACGCTCAGATATGTTCGCGTCCACTGTTTCTTTCGTTACTCTGATAGGTTCAAAGACTGCCCATTTCGTAGCACAGTATATTTTTTCAGAATCCTCTTGTACAGAGCGAAATTCTCCCTAAAGCTCTATTAGCAAGCTAACTTACACTGATAGCATGTTCACTCACGAATGTGACTTCAGCATCACCATAATGATCAGCCATATCATATGCGATTAATCCAGAATCGACGTGCTTCCTAAAATGATGATCAATTTTCGATCTAGAAGCACTTCCCCAAGCAGGACTGGAGAACTGCCATAGCCCCATGAACATTCTGGGTACTTCAGCTGATCCCAGTTGGAATGATTCTAGTGTGCTTTTGGAGGAACGAAATCCGTCTGTTAGAGGGACTTTGTTCTTTTTCCGAGATTGACCTTCGTTTCCTGTTCCTTCAACCAATTTTTCAAGACAGCATAAGCCACGCTCAAAAGGAAAATCTTGCCCGCGACTAACTCCGATCCCTTTGCAGGTGTAAAGTGCTCCTCGCAGTGCTGCAATGGTTTGAGAATCCTTGGTGGTCATTTGACGTGTTCCAGAACTGGTAAGAAGTGATTTATGTACCGCCGTCGTCGATTGCACAATATCCCCATCAATTTTTGCGAGAAAATCTAGAAAAACTTCCCCTTCATCGGTTTTTTCATCCCACTCCAACCTTTGTATTTGTTGTATGACGCTCGTGAGAAGGTCCACACTTTCAAATCCAAATCCACAACCCATCAGACACCTGTATCTGCTTTGTATCCGCTGAAAATCTATGGTTGGCTTTGGTGATCCTTCAGATGTGGTAAATAATTCCGGTATAGACGATGACCGTGTGTTTGCGAGATATTTCGATGCCAGTTTCGTGAGAGCAGCTGTATTAGAAGGGTTTTCTCCTAAGAGGCCCCGAAGTATCGACCTTAGACCTTCAGCTGGCATGTTTGCGATTATACAATCTGTCATCATATTGACATGAGCAGCCTTCGCCGGAGACTTCACACTATAGCTTTCGGTTCCCATATTGCCGAAATGTGGTGCAATGAAGGAGGAATTGATTGATTGATCGTTAAGAGTCTTCATTTGGATTGAAAGTAAAAGTTCTCATTTTGCACCAACCGAAGCGTCTGATTTTTCAGTATTTAGACTTCCCATTCATCTATTCTCTTTCCGCATCTTGCCGCTCGTCTTTACATAACTCATGATGAAGACAGGCACGTTTGAAGGTTATCGATAAATCTTGGCGGGGAAATAGCTTATCATTTTGAACACCGAAGGCGCTAAAACACCCCTGAATTATTAGTGCCATCGCCCCATCAGGGTCTTAATAATCCCCGATATTTTGCTTATCACTTTTGAACGCCGATCCTTACATCCTGCTTATCTTCGCGATGCATCAACTGCAAGATACTTGTAGATTATTAACGTACTATGACCATACCGGTTTCAATGTGCGCTATCTGAGCTCAATGAACGTTCTTAAACCCTTGAAACATATATCATGTCGAAGAAAGCCCCCTTGACATCAGAATATTTGTCCTTAATATTGCAACGATTTATTAAGGGTAGCTCATCAATTAGCTTCTACTCATGAGTTCGAGTTCAACTGGATCAGTAGATCCAAAATCATCGATCATGAAGTCTGAAGTATTCTCTAGTCCTACGACTGATGTTGATACCGAGATGGGCTCAACTGAGGATATACCTGCTGGGCAGAAACTCAAACGGGATATGAAGGGACGTCATATAAATATGATAGCGATTGCTGGTATGATTGTAAGGGATCCCGAGCAGAAATGAAGAAATGAAGAACTGAAAGTGTAAACAAGGGGACGGGTCTTTTTTTGAGTTCGGGAACCACAATCGCGCGAGCGGGTCCTGCTGGTGCATGGCTTGCATACATCTTAATGGGATTCGTGACTGCAGGAGTTAGCGTCAGTTTTAAAAATCTCTTCAGTCATGAGAAATCGGTTGACTGATCGCACAACATAGTACACAACCGGCGAGATCACTGCATTCATGCCAGTCACTGGTGGATTCGTGCGTCATGCTACGGCTTTTGTGGAGCCTGCTCTAGGAGCAGCAACGGGGTGGAACTTCTGTACGTTGAAACAACATCATCTATGATTCATTTGTCTCACAAGAGCTAGGGTATACAATGGCTATCTCAGTGCCGGCTGAGCTGAGTGCAGCTGCGACAATTATCCAATTTTGGGATTCGAACACAAATCCAGCGGTCTGGATAACTGTATTTCTGGCAGTCATAGTATGCCTCAATTTTTGCGGTGTTCGAATGTATGGTGAAGTAAGTTTTAGACTACCTCTATCCATCGTACTGAACTAATCATACGATCTTAGTCCGAGGTAATTTTTGCTTCCATGAAGATTGCTCTCATCATCGGTCTCATTGTTGCAGGACTGGTTGTGGATCTTGGCGGTGGACCACAAGGAGAACGACTTGGGTTCACTTATTGGAAATCTCCAGGTGCTTTCAACGAATATCTAGTTAGTGGTAATACTGGAAGGTTCCTCGCTTTCTGGTCCTCTCTGATCAGTGCCGCCTTCAGTTATGGTAATGTTCAAGTGGTAGCACTTTCAGGTACAGAAACTGCGAATCCCCGAAAGATAATTCCAGATGCCACAAAGAAGACATTTTTCCGTGTCTTTTTCTTCTATGTATTGAGTATCTTGATAGTGGGAATGATAGTGTAAGTCATAATCTTTGATGTCGTCCCATTCCGCTAAAAATTTCTAGTCCGTATGACAGTGAAGCTCTGTCTGTTTCCACCGGAACAGCTGCCTCGTCTCCTTTTGTTATCGCTTTCAAAGCGGCTGGAATTAAGGTCCTTCCTTCCCTCATCAACGCTGTTGTCTGCACATCTGCTATCAGTAGTGGATCCGCTTGTATATTTCTTGCATCTCGCACACTTTATGGTTTAAGTGCCGATGGCCATGCTCCAAAGATTTTCATGAAGTGTAATCGATTTGGAACCCCGTGGTATGCTGTAGGTTTGAGTGTTCTCCCATCACCTCTTGTGTACATGGTTGTTAGTAACCAAGCATCGGTTGTCTTTGGGTGGTTTGTAAACATTACCACAGTAGCTGGGTTAATTGGATGGGCTGTCATCGAAGTTACCTATCTCAGATTCTTCTATGCTCTGAAGAAACGGGGTATCTCTCGTGATGGTATGAGAATTTTCGGCGGTCCTAATTCTCCAATCACTAACGATATCGTAGAATTACCCTACAAAAGTCCATTCCAGCCTTACGTAGCATGGATCACAGGATTCATGGTATTTCTAATCGTCTTCTTCTCCGGTACGATTAACTATCTGAAGAAAGATTGTCTCGTGCTAACGGACCCTTTAGGATTTGCTGTGTTCTTTCCTGGAAACTTCACAGCTTCTGAATTCTTAACATATTATATCAACGTTGCAATTTTCATTGGTAAGCTTGATCCAGATCTTGCAAAGAAAAGCATAATAACCAATTGGCTCCCAGGACTATACGCCTTCTTCAAGTTAGTCCTTAAATCTAAAGTCATTCCATTGGAGAGCATAGACTTCGATTTTGAGCTAGACTCCATATATCGATGGAAAGAGACATCGGATCTCATGAAAGAAGAGAAGAATCTTGTAAAATTGGTGTGGGATAAGATCTTCTGAAAATAATCTTTGTTGCGTGGGCTGCTGAACAAATCCTGGGAAATATTTTACCATGTTCAGATAATGCGAAACGTTTGAAATCTTTTTTTTCTCAGTGCTGCCCAACCATTGACTTCATGACCTATTCGATCAAGACTACAGAGACTTCCTTATTCTTTTGCTAATGCTGGAGCTTTCAGTTGCTCAAACTGATTCTTTTGCAGCGCATATCCGGCGGCCGCCGGCAAAATATGTTCATTGCCGATCGTAGGTAATATCCCCACGTACGAGATTCATTTCCGCGTCTTCCGACTCAAGATGCCGAATTGATCATCATAATGCAGATTCCTCCCCGCACCTCGTATGCAACACCTCATTTTCTGAAGCAAATTATAAAGAATGAGAGCAAAAATAGTACTTGCACCAATGCAACACGATATGCAGCGGTAGTTGACTTCAGCCTAAAAGCGTTGTTCTCCTCACTCTCCGCTGTCGATCAATGGAAGTTTCAAAACATGTCATACTAAGTTAAGTAGATTATGAGAATCAAGATTATCTTCGAATCATGTCATTCTGATTTGAGTGGATTGTGAGTATATATACTTTTCTTGTCTCGATAGACATCGTGAAAGTGTCATACCTCTAAAAATTGATTAACTTACTTCCTTTTACTCCATATGATATTATTGCTTTTATAATGAAGAGTTTAAATATACTCGGTACCATTGGTATCACTGGCGCTATTGCGGCAAAGTTTCCCGATTGTGTAAATGGTCCTGTGAGTATCTCGGTTCCATCGGACTACGCCCTTGAATGTGCTTTTACTAATGAATGATTAACAGCTGGCCAACAATACAGTCTGTGATACGACTGCTGATCCTTATACAAGAGCGACAGCTGTAAGTTGGTCTTTTTAACTTGTTACCACGCTTGTTATTGATATCTTGTAGCTAGTATCATTATTTACTCTAGCCGAGAAAATCAACAATACAGGAAACACAAGCCCTGGCGTTCCAAGGATAGGTCTTCCAGCATACCAATGGTAAGCCTACTAGTAAACTGCAAATTATGTTGCTAAAAGAAGTTATCAGGTGGAATGAAGCTCTCCATGGCATAGCTTATGGAACTCATTTTGCCGCAGCTGGCTCGAATTACTCTTATGCAACATCCTTTCCTCAACCGATTCTAATGGGCGCTGCGTTTGACGACGCATTGATCCACGATGTAGCCTCTCAAATTTCGACGGAAGCGAGAGCTTTTAGCAATGCCAATCGTTATGGTCTCAATTTCTGGACACCCAACATCAATCCCTACAAAGATCCCCGCTGGGGTCGTGGGCAAGAAACTCCTGGTGAAGACCCATTCCACGTCTCCAGTTACGTCAATGCTTTAGTGACTGGACTTCAAGGTGGATTAGATGATTTACCGTATAAGAAAGGAGTAGCAACTTGCAAACATTACGCAGGATATGATCTCGAGAATGGCGGTGGCATCCAGCGATACGCTTTTGATGCTATTATTAATTCTCAAGATCTGAGAGATTATTATCTTCCATCTTTTCAGCAGTGCGCTAGAGATTCAAATGTTCAGAGCATTATGTGCAGTTATAACGCAGTCAATGGAGTTCCGACTTGCGCGGATGATTGGTTATTGCAATCGCTTTTGAGAGAGCATTGGGGCTGGGTGGAAGAAGATCAGTGGGTAACTAGTAAGCAACGCTCTTTTTCCCCATACAAATTTATAGGCGCTAATACATTTAGGCGACTGCGATGCCGTACAAAACATCTGGGACTCCCACAACTATACTTCAACTCCAGAGCAAGCAGCAGCAGACGCCTTAAACGCGGGAACAGATCTTGACTGTGGTGGTTTCTGGCCAACCTACTTAGGCTCAGCATACAATCAAAGTCTATATAACATATCTACCCTTGACCGATCACTCACTCGAAGATACGCATCGCTTGTCCGGCTCGGATATTTTGATCCCGCATCTATTCAACCTTATCGCCAACTTGGGTGGTCTGATGTTTCTACACCTAGTGCTGAACAACTTGCACTCCAGGCGGCAGAAGATGGTATTGTCCTACTCAAGAATGATGGAATACTTCCATTACCCTCGAACATCACAAATGTGGCATTGATTGGACCATGGGCAAATGCTACAACACAGATGCAGGGAAATTATTATGGTCAAGCTCCTTATTTGCACTCTCCATTGATCGCAGCACAAAATGCAGGTTTCCATGTTACATATGTTCAAGGTGCAGATATAGATTCCACAAACACCACGGAGTTCACGGCAGCTATAGCTGCGGCAAAGAAAGCTGATGTCATCATATATATTGGAGGAATTGATAACTCTATCGAAGCTGAAGCAAAGGTAAGATTACATTGAGCAAAAAGTGTAGACGAGATGAGTTTGACTAACTTTGTTGATGATAGGACCGAAAAACAATTGCATGGCCCTCCAGTCAAATTTCTCTCGTTAATCAACTCGCTAATCTCTCTATTCCACTCATTATTTCCCAAATGGGCACCATGATAGATTCCTCCTCCCTCCTAACAAACCGAGGCGTCAATGGCATTATCTGGGCCGGCTACCCTGGTCAAGACGGGGGAACCGCTATTTTCAACATCCTAACAGGGAAAACCGCACCAGCAGGTCGTCTACCTATCACCCAATATCCCAGCGATTACGTGAACGAGGTGTCTATGAACAATATGAATTTACACCCTGGTGCAAACAATCCCGGAAGAACTTATAAATGGTTCAACGGAACCTCTATCTTCGATTTCGGTTTCGGATTACATTACACCACATTCAACGCTAAAATTACACCTCCCTCATCCAACACCTTCGAAATCTCTCATCTCACTTCCAACACATCAACACACAAAGATCTAACTCCCTTCCTCACCCTCCCTATAAGTATCTCAAACACCGGCACCACAACATCCGATTACGTAGCTCTCCTCTTCCTCACCGGTTCCTTTGGTCCAACTCCATATCCTAAGAAATCTCTAGTGGCATACACGAGACTTCATGATATTAAAGGCGGCGCGAGTTCCACCGCACAATTAAAATTGAATCTTGCAAGTTTGGCGAGGGGCAATGAGAAAGGGGATTTGGTTTTGTATCCAGGGGATTATAAGGTGGTAGTTGATGTTGATGGGAAGGATGAATGGAGTTTTACCTTGAAGGGAGAGGAAGCGGTTTTGGATCGGTGGCCCGAGAACAAGAGTGGAAAGTGATTGGAGCTTTGGTTTAATAGTGTTCAGGGATGTCATATGAGGGGGAAATGTACTAGGCATTAACTTCTGGGGTTCTCTGTAGGAATGGAAGGGGAGTATGTTACGAGGTTTGCCGTCTAGATCACGTGGAAGTGCTCTAGGCTCTCGAGGTGGTTTATAACTAGGCGTCAAGCAGGGACTTAAAGTAATGACAATAATGCAATTCGTAACTAATAGTAGAGTATACTAAATGATTGATCTTGAGCACGAAGCTCTATACAAAGGAAATCCATCTTGATTATATAGACCTTCGTGTTCTAGCTGATCAGTAGGATCAGTATGGCTCAGTACTGAGCTTGCTGATCCTCACTGAGCCAGTCACATGATATTGGTAGCACGTGAGCGTTTTCTTGTTACCCGGCGTAACATGGGGATAGCTACTCTCTATGTATACAAATGAATGGTCTAGCCGCAATGGCTAGGCAAAAAGAAATCATATTTATCCCTCTAATGATCTTACTTTACCGATAACCATTGATACCTAGTACTTGTCCGGATCTGATCCTCAGGTCACCTAAATCGTATACTAATCCCGAGTAATCGTATCATGCGTGGATATGGTTAATGTACCTGAGGCTTCTTATATAATAAGAGTGGGAGGAAAGCAGGGGTTTCCGTCACACAAATACTACTCTTTAAATATTACATATATCAGAAATTTTTCGGCTACCAAACAGGCCCTAAATAGTGACAAAATATTTCTCACCACCTTAATTAAAACAACTAAAACAAGAGAAAAAAAGCCTTTATTGTCATACTTATCTCTATCCAAGAGAACTTTCATTTCTTTCTCCAGATCATAAATCGATATAAGGTCACAATGACCCATACTGCAAGTTATTCCCATTTCTCATTATCTTCTTGCACATTGGTAATATTTTGTATACTCCAATATCAAATTCCCTGTGGAAAATACATCGCTAGTGTTAATTGCCCTCGTTACACTGCACATGCTCTAGTGGAATAAAAATTGCACGGATCAATACTTAAAGACGTTGGAAAATCTAAGATTCTACTGAATTTTGATATACCTCAAGTGCCGATTTACCCACACACCAGCCTCCTTTAACATACATAAAGTAACAAAGACTAGCAGTAAACGGCTTAAATGAATTCAATTACTCAGTATCTCTATCTCATTACACCCTACTTCCAACGGAACTATCACCATTACAAATGATATCAAATCAAGGAAATCCCCCTCATTCCCATCAATCGACTAATTAGTAAACCACACTCCATCACTTAAAAACGCTACCATAAAATCCCACAAGTAACACCCAAACCATCCCCATCCCTCTATCTAACCCATAGCACAAGCAGTCCCAGGACAATACCCATGACTACAAGCAAAAGCACAAAGTCCCAAATAGCTATCATCCTCACCTTGTAATGGTTTTCCAGAAGGACTACTAGCTGGCGGTGCGGGAATAGATGTATTTGCATAAGTGGTACATGTACAGGGACCAGGAGGACAATAATTGTATTTGCAGGAGAAATTGCAGAGGCCGATGTAATTTCCTGGTCCGGTGCCTGCGACGCAGTATGTGGTTCCGGATGGAAAAGGTGAGCTTGTGGTTGTGCTGATTGTGGTTGTGGAAATGATGGTGGGTTTACTTGTTGTTGTGGAAGGAGGTGTGGAAGTTGGGGATGAAGATGGAAGTGAGGATGAAGATGAAGATGAAGATGAAATAGGAGAGCCGTTAGGATTATATGTGCAGGCGGTTGGAGGACAATAGCCGTGGTTACATGTGAAATCGCAAAGACCTGAGTAAGTAGCGGGATCCTCGCCTGCGAGGGGATAGCCAGGCGTGTTTGTTACCGGAGGAGCGACGTTTCCGGTAGCCGCATAGCTAGAGCATGTGCATGGGGCGGGACAGTAACCTAAATTACAAGAGAATGAACATAGGCCGACATAGTTTCCAGGTCCAGTTCCTGCTACACATGTACCGGATGGCACAGATGATGTCGTAGAAGTTGTCCTGGTATTACTATGTTAGATTTTGCGTGGCCATAGAAGGGAAAGACCTACTTGGTTGTAGTAGTTGTGGTCGGCTTCGTAGTCGTAGGTGGAGTGGTTACTGGCGGGGTGGTAGTTGGAGGTTTGGTAGTAGTTGACGGAACCACGGTTCCTCCTCCTGGTGGGGTGGTAGTGGGTTTGATGGGAGCAGTTGGCAATGATGGAGTTGCGCTACAAGTGCTAACATGGAGTCCAGCGGTAAGGGAAGCTAAACCATCGTGAAGAAGTGGATCAGAACGTCCATCTGGTACTGTCCCAACATATGCGTTAAAGTTGTAAATGCCGCAGATGCACACATCTGTGACGTCATGGAGACTAACAGCTTCAAGTAAAATTTGAGTGCCACGTTGAAGGAAGAATTGCTGTTTGCCAACTCGCATATCAACTTGGTATGCTGAAGCTCCGGCTGGTGCATTGAATTGTTGAACGTTGTCGCCGGACATTACTGTGACTATTCCAGGAGCTGTGAGCATAGCGACAACAAATACCGAGTCCTGCATATCTTCCCATCCATTTGGTCGACCTTGAAAGTAATTACCACTGCTATTACTAGCTGGTACCATTGTAGTATCTGTAGCATCGCAGTCAAGAGTGCGGAGATTTGGTCGATACCAATATATGAGCTGATCTGAATCAATGTAGCTGTTCGGAGATGAAGCGCCAGCATGATAAGCAGCGATGAATGGTTTCGCCATGTCTAACCAACCATCGTGAGGCCTTTTCATGTCAGCTCCTAGCCTCTTATATTTAGTGTAGAGTACTTACATATCGTTGACCCATTTTGAATTTCCATCATCGAAATGTAAAGAATCCAGGGGACCAATATAGTGAGATTCGCCATAGTCATTCCAGGTAACAATCTCAATATATTGGGGTCCAAGGGTCAATATTTCATTCCAACGCTCAAACCATAAAAGATCAGATGGAAAGATCCAGTTTTTGCTGTATGGAACTTCCTTTGAGATTGTTAAGTCAATTCATCATAAGAATAGAAGGGATAGGACTTACAGGCCCGAAATGAGTGCTGAACCAAGGAGAAACAGCTAAAATATATCGTTAGTTTCTATGTTTAATTTGAACTCCGAATACATACGTGCGATATATGGCTTGCCGGCCAGTGCCTTAATGTAGGCGGTATCACCTTCTTCGACAGTGACATTGTGGCCTGGAGTAGGTGCTTTGTTGTTTCCATCGTTGGGCCATCCCTAAAAAGACTTTTAGTTTTGGTCTGGTTGAAAAAGAAGAACTACTAACCAGCCAATTCAAAGCACCATCAATTGTGCTGAAGTTTGTTCCCATCTCCGGGTGAAAGTTAGGCGCAAAGAAAATTGGAATGCCCGCACCAGCTCTTAGAGCCGTGATATCAAGTTGGTCACCAGCGAATGATGATGCAAATGCTTTGCCATCAACAAATAGTTGAGCAGGTAAAGCTGCATATTTTGCAATCATTTGTCCAATCTGCGTTGCTTGACTAGATGGGTTCCACCAGTTAAAGTCGAATGATATAAAAACCTTCATCCCATTATTTGCGGCAGATTGATATGCAAAGCCAAGTTGTGTGTCGGTGTATGGGTCAACTCCAATGTTCAAAGCAAAGGCATCGATTCCGAGAGATTTCGCACGCTGCATATCGCCATCGTAATCCTGGGGACCAACGCGTTCACCTACAATACCAATCTTGATAGAATGTTAGTAGATGAATGAGATGAAAGACGGCGTCGGACTGGCAAAGAAATATTGCATTGAAATTTCAAACTTTACTTGCCATGAAATGACAAAAGACGAGTCTATCATAAGACTGTCTTTCTTCAATAGAAACTACATCATAAGATGTTGGAGCTGCAACAGCAAAAGTTGCAGAGAATATTAACAAAACAGCCTTCCAGAAGGCTTTAGTAGATAACATCATAGTTATCAGTATCGCGAACTACTGGAAGTGAAGAGGTGGGAAGAGTAAGTTGTTTGTGAGGTCTAATTGTTAGAAAAGTGTGGTTTCTGTAGAAATGGAAGTAAAATAGAAGGATGGGAAGGACAGAAGTCGTTACTTTTATAATTCAGACTTCCTTTGCAGATAGTGTTGATAATCTACTGGAACAGATATTCCTACTTTCCTAGGTGATTGTTGAAATTGACCACGGGAACAGTGCGAGTTATTCACTTTCACCTCAAGACGTTGCACAGAAAGCAATGATCTTTGCACGCTCTGCTGCTATTGGATGTGATATTATATTGACTTTTGAGAAACATACGCGGCGGCGTGAATATCTAATTGAATAACTAATAGCAGACGACCTACTTCCCCAGCAAATATGCTAATTTACTAATTAGCGAGATGAAAGATCATATGTACTATAATCTATACTACCTACTAGCTACTAGATGATATGTTGAAGAAAAGTACAATCTTTGAACAAAGCAACGTATCAATTAAGAAGTTCCATCATACTGTATATTTGTACTTGGCATTCTCGCTAAGATGAACAAACGCGGGGAATCTCAAATATGGCAAGATTCAATATTAGGAAGAAAGGATGGAAGTAATTTCCCATATGAAATTTTTTGGGAATATTCATATGATTAGATGGAATTGGGTACAACCACTGACCTTCAAGGAGACCAGATATTTCACCTAATCATGAGAAAGGGGAAGATGCGAACCAGAAGCAACAGGTGTATCATGTGTATCTTCAGCACTTAACAATACATCCCGAGGGGTACTCGCTGTTGCTATAAATTACATTTGTGAGCTAAGCGGTCGGAGAGATTTCACCATGTGGTCCTAGCCTGATGGAAAGAAAAACTTCTATTGGCTACATAGTCAAATTTGACGATTTCGACACTTAAGAGAACGTCAACAAAACAAACGTTACACGCAACATATGCATCATGCATCCCTAAATCTGAAACTATGCGGTCCATGTTTATGGTCATAGATTGCCCCGTCTAGATTCCCACTCAGGAACACCTTCCAAGACTGTGGGGTATGAAACAAGCATTTAACCGGGGAAATCATTCACAAAATGATGTGGCGCTTAGTGTAGTTTGTATTTCTCTAGAGTATAATTTGGAGAGGTCATCAGATTTGAATAAAATGGCAGATATTGTGTTTCGAGAAGAGAATGATATGTTTGCTGATCACAAGGTTAATTTTGGCGGGCCGACTCGCGTTTGTGTTGAGCTTCGGCAACATTTGAAAGAAGTAGGAGATCTAACAGAGTCTGGAATCGAAATTCTTTCTAATGACGGTGTCAAAAGATGATCTAGTTCCCGATGTCTTATTGACGGGATGCCGCTGATGAACAAAAGCTCGCCGTAAGGAAAGGAAGGAAGTGTTGTGTGTGGTGTGGGTTAGAAGAATGTGATGTCGGGATCGGAGAATCAAAGTTCCGAGACAACAAAAATCATTTGAAGCTGTTGTATATATCAGCTCGTCCTCCTCTTCATGTCTGACTCGCTTTACCATCCGATGCATATAATAACTTATATCAGCCTCCTTCATCTGCCTATCATATCTATCTATCGCTGCCTAGTCAAGAAAAACCACGTTTTAAAACGTGATTGCATTCCCTGTGCCACATCACTGCTTCTCCACATCCGCGAGCCGCTCCCGCAACACAGTATGATTTGTTTTCGGGTCAAAGATAAGCTCGGCCAAGTCCGTTGTAGTACTAACCGAGATACGAGTGTGGATCATTGTACTGCTGAATCCTTTGAACCCATACTGATGTCGATCAAGACCGTTTTACGGACTAGTATTTTGAGCCTTGCTTATTATCGACCTGCCACGAGGGAGGAAGGAAGAAGCTTCGGATAACATTACCGACTGCATGCCAAAAGAGGTTTGAATGACATCATTTGCAAGGAAAGTAAGCATGTATTACTGTTTATGCTTGTGTACAAGGGTGAAGATAACTGTCTAGATATAAAGAACCTACAATTCCCAAAATCACGATGTAGTTCCATCAACAACATTCAAAATGTATTTACACCTGCCGTTCATAACTGCGTTTCTTGTATCTTTTGCCTCTGCTCAATCTGATGTACTAGCAACTATTGGAGATGGACCAGGGCCTTGGCAAAATGCCTCCTACTTTAAAAAATATAATCAATCCCCTAACGCTACCGGAAGCGGCCATTTATATGGCGTCAATACGTCTTTGGCTCCCTCTACAGATCAGATAGTGAGCTGGGATACAAGAATCAATGTCACCGAAGTTCCATGGACTGGCAACCAAACTGTGACGAATACAGTAATCTCATTCGATACAAAAAATAATATTTTTCCCCCCAATTCCTCATGGGAAACATGCATGATTCTATTCTCAGACCTACCAAGACATGTGACGGTCAAAGGCCAAAATGACCCAGGAGATTGCACGAAGTTGTATAGCAAAGAATGCATATCGGATTTCAATAGGGCGATCTTATTTGCGAGGCAATCAGCTACAAATAATAATAGCACTGGTCCCTGTGGAGGTATCTCTCTGCTTGACATCGTACCAAAGAATTGTGAAGGATCAATAGGTGGTGAATTCATTACTGCAAGTATGTATTTCCCAATGGCTCATCGAATTTTAGTAGGTCACTAATCCAAAACAGACGTCATATCAAATAAAACTGATGGGTCAGCCTGGATGTACAAGTCCAGCAATCCCCACGATTCCACCGATTTAACCTTTTACGAAAAGGCAGTCACCCAAATATGGCCAATGCTGATAATGCAAAGTCCGAACCCGGATTTTCAAGGAACTGGAGTAAGCTTTTCCAACTTGAGTTGTTTGAGAGCGAAAAACATATCTAGTGGGAGTGAAGACGTCAAGAATGTTCCTGCAGCGGGTAGTAGAATGGTTCTTGGTGGATGGACATTATTCGTCGTAATGAGTGCTATGAGTCTGTTGTTGTAAAAAACCAGAAAGAGGGCAAGAGTCACTAGATCTAATTAGATGAGAAGTAGGAAAGAGTAATCAATATCCGAGTCGTCTCCAAGGGAGTAAGATTCCTCCGATTTTAGCTGTTTTTATTAGGAAATAATCCAGCTGCTACCTTTCCTATGTCTTTGTTTACATTCACAATTTTTCATCAATTTTTCGGGAAGAGGTTCGTATTCACATATTTTGAATACGTGGCTTTTTTATTCACCTATAGAATATTAACTGCCAATTTTTGCTAGACCGATTCACTTTCACTTTTGTGTGGAAGATTCACCAGCCTTGATTCCATCCAAAAGTTTATACCTATTATTTGAAACCTATTCCGTGGTAAGCTATTCACACTTCTGAATTTATATATGCTCACCCGCATAACACTGAAATCAAGTGTTGCTAATCACTAAGATAAAAATTCAAAAGAGAAATAATATTTTATCTACATGTAGCTACCATAAAATTGTATTGATATATCAATCACAACGACTCTTGCTCAAATCCTCATCAACACCCCTCTCACCACTCATCCACACATAATCTACAGCTCAAGCTCAAGCTGCTCCTTAAATTGATCCACATTCGAAAGCGAACTATCACCCCAAAAAGTTCGAATATTTTCCAGAAGCAAATCTGGAACTTCATGTGCTGCAAAATGACCACCTCTCGAATGATTAACTTCATAAGTGACATTTGCCCATCGTTGGAGCCAGGAAGTCGGCTAGCGATAGGTTAGTGATGTGGAAAAATTAAGGATATTTTGAGTGATGCATAGGTACCGTTTTATATCCCAAATCTTGGGGAAACCCAATAACGCCGACTGGGTTGCCAATTCGCAGGAATCCTTCATTCAACCATGTACCAGCCTATATTATAGCTATTAGTCCTTATATCCACCGAGAACCTATTCAATATGCATTTTCTTACCTTCGCAAGTTCCTTATACATCCTCATTCCTGCATAAGGACCTGGAATATAATACATCATAGTCCAGGTAATAATTTCCTCCAGCGTCCATACATACCCATCCACATGCATAAACATAAAATCATAAATCCACGCAGCAAATCCCACCGGACTATCCGTCATTGCAATAGCAAGTTGTTCCGGTCTTGTTTGTTGAATATCTCTATACCCCGCATAATAATTATTATACATATCAAGTCTTCCAATATTCAAGTTCTCCTCCTCGCTCGTCGTCCCCTTTGCATAGCGTTCCAGATCCGTAGAATTCGGAGGCACGATAAAGAAATTCGAAAGTGAGGATACTACGCTAGAAGGAAACTGGCCGGCCATATAGCGGAGTGTGAAAGCGCCAAAATCACCTCCTTGAATTACATATTTTGAGTAACCAAGTTGTTGGTTCATGAGGTTATTGAATGCTTGTCCTGTTTCTCGTAGTCCTAGACCGGGATACTGTGGAGCGGGAGAGAATCCATAGCCTGGAAGACTGGGTGCCACGACGTGGAAAGCGGGGATTGATGTATTTGAAGGGTTTGTGAGATGATTTATCATTTTGCTGACTTCGAGGAATGAGCCCGGCCAGCCGTGGATAAAAAGTAGTGGGATTGCATCTGGTCGGGGAGATTTGTGGTGCACGAAATGAAGAGGGATAGGGTAGGTGTAGTTACCGTCTGCATAGACGGTTGTGGTGTATTGGCTAAAGTTTTTGTTGATCTGGTCTTGGATAGAGAGCCAAGAGTAGTTATTCACCCAATAATCGCGGATTGTGGTAATATTGTGGCGAGGAGGACCATCGGTGAAATCAGGTTGGTTGATATCAGTTGTGTATCGTGTCAAAGACGCTTTTAATGTGGTTTGTTCGATGAATTCTGGATCGACTGATATCTTGAATGGCTGAGGTGACGGCCCAAAAGTTGCCTTGAAATTTTCATTGTATTCAATTATGGAGGACTGGTTTTCCGGCTGTGTTATTGGAGATATTGGGAGAGTGTTAAGTCCTGCGAAAAGAAAGTTCGAACACGTGAAAAGAAGAGAGGAAATCATTCTTAAGATGTCAATGAAATCATGGCATTCTGAGAACTGAGACAGTACATCGCCATTCTCTTTTATACCTGTGTCTCTCCATTAAACACCTCGCACCATTACTTGTCTAGAGCATGATAAGGTTGTCCATATTCTCCGAATATTTATGGGTAATCTGTACACTATTTCAAGAAATCGATTACTCATCTTCATTTGCCCTTCTCGATGCAAAACCTTAAGTTACTTAGTGGATATGTGCGGAGGTGATTACTGATTCCGAAGCGAGGTGTATTTGCACTCGCTACCTATCTATAGTAAATCTCCGCTATACCGGTCTAAAATGTTTAGTTAATAAAATCTAATATGAAACAAAATCCTCATATTAATATTCGACGATAAGATTGAATAGAATCTACATGCTGAGTTTCAATTTTCAATCTCGATTTGTTATTTTTTTAAGAAAAATTACTAGTAATTACATAATAGACTCGTGGAAACAGTTAAACGAGATTTTTCCCGCAGTTTTCGTATTGGAAATGTGAAATTTGACCGGCATTCTTCAAAATACCGGAATCCCACTCCTAATATGCAAAACCCGAAGTCCTATAGAAAATAATCATAATGAACGGGATTATGATGAAAAAATGGGCGGAATAGTGGGGCTCCACTACAGTGATTACTCAACAACGAGCCGTGTACTTGTAGTCGGATGAATACAACACCAGCGACTTGCAACAAAAGTAAGATCTTAGTTCGAAAAGAAATTACTATGCGAGTGTGAAAGGATGCATTTTAAAGCACGTATCGTTATGAAGTCTGAGCTAGTTTCGAATCGTGAATGACAGGGGGTATGGTATATACACCTGCTTTGCTGCTCCATAATTCAACGCCGGTTTCAACGGTTGATTTAATGAGGATTTTAGTCACTCGATATTCTAACGGTATTGATGGCTTTTAACTCAGGTGGTTTAATAATCATGATCCTTAGTAAACTGTGTACGAGCGGAGGTTAGATCTAAGGAAAGAAGAGTGAGGTTGAATCAGACTTGATAACCAACATTAAAACTTTCAGCTCACAGAAAGAAACATCTGCCAATACTCATGTGTTTTTAGAGATAATACTTACTCTACTATATTCCAGAGTTTACAATGATTGAATGCTATACAAAAAGCCCAGTGAAATCCCATATCTCCAGGAAAGAACATCGAATCCTTAATAGCCGAAAACTCAGTAGGTTAGTTTACAAACCTGTCATATCAAACATCGAAAATAAATTCCCAAAAGATCCCTACAACAACATAAGCATTACCAGCTCATCCCGTAGCTTTTGCAAATGCCCTAGAAGGTGCGATCGACGAGCTGGATAGCAAACCACTACTACTTATTTGGCTGTGCTAAAAAGGTACCAGCTATCTAAATCTAATTAAACTTATCCAAAACATATCAATTTTCAATTATCAACAAAATCAAACTAAAACTACATCAAGCCTACAAAAACAATAATCCCCTTAAAACATATCCTGTCTCAGCCCACTGGCAACCTATCGCCACTACCAAAAATACCTTTCTCCATAAGTACAAACCAAACTCCAACTTACTATAAGTCTAGTACCTTATTTTCCGGTCACCCCTAATTCTGGTCATCTTTTTACACCAAAAATCGTTATTTTCAGCTATTAATAATTCCACAATCAATTATTAGAATTTCATAAAATTTGAATTATAGATTTGAGTTATATAAATTAGTAAATCTTGAAAATTTCTGATTTTTCGCAATTTTATTGGTCGAGATATTAATTATTGAAATTTCAATTTTCGTTTCGTGTACAATTTATATATAAGTTTAAAACTGTTAAAGTGAATGGTTCCTGCGTAGCACGTGCACAGGGCACTAGTCCTATTAGGACTAGATTGAGAAGCTCTCTGTAGGAGAGCTTCGCACTTCGATTGATTGATTGATTGATTAAATTAACGTCTACACTGAGTCTATGACTATCTAAGACGGCTAGGAGCTTTGTAGGCTTCTAACAATAGTAAATGGAGGGTGGCTGGCCTTATTCGACCGTAGCTAATACAGGTTGGGGAGATTGAAAGCCTCAATCTTCTAAAGTTTGAATGGGGGAAGTGAAAACTAATACTAGGGAACCAAGCCCGCCTTACAGATACTCTCGTATTCAAGTAAGAGGAATAACAAATGAAATGTAATGAAATTTGACATTGGGGTGATTGCTCAAATTGACCAAATTGACCAAGTTGACCAAGTTGACCAAATTGACCAAATTGACCAAATTGACCAAATTGACCAAGTTGACCAAATTGACCAAATTGACCAAAATGACCAAATTGACCAAATTGACCAAATTGACTAAATTGACCAGATTGGCCATAATTGATCAATTCAATCACAATCTTCCGGTCCACCCCCTTCTTCTCCGCCTTCTTCCTCTTCTTCTTCATGCATTCTATTGAGATGCCATGATCTGGTGGCTATTCTCGTCGCCTCGATAAATTCGAGGGTCTTGATGATTCCTGCTTTAGTGTGAAGCAGATATTTCATGGTAGGTCGGACTGTGGGGTTATCCTTATTGAGGGTTTTCCTTGCCATTTTATATAAAGGACAACTGAGCAGAAGATGATCAGGAGATTCCTTTCCCCCACATCTACAATTGTCATTAGAGGAGATACCGAATCGTTTCAAATAAGATTTGAAGTATCCGTGTCCAATTTTGAGTTGGAACAGAGCACAGATTGTGCTTCTTTTGATGTTTCCTGGAATTCTGATTTTTGAGCTGATCTTCCAGGGGTAGTTTCTTGAATATGTTGACGATGGTTGATGAAAGTTGTTAGTGTTAAGGATGGTTATCCAGTTCTCTGATTTCATTCTTTTTATATCCATTCCAATGGAGGCATAACTGGTTTCGTGAGATGAGGATGGTATTTTGGTCGCCTCTTTTGCAAGAGAATCAGCTAGCTCATTTCCTTGTACAGATGTATGTCCAGGGACCCAATTGAGAGAGATTTCGGCTCCTTTATTTTGAATAGCTTCCGCAGCTTTTATAGCTTTGATTTGACATGATTGACCAGGTAAATCGGAGGGGGTTTTCAACCGGAATAATCCTGCTTGATTATCTGAGTATATCTTGAACTTGTTTCCTGGTTGGGCTATTGAATTTGCGTATTCGATCGCTTTAGTAACTCCTAGGAGCTCCCCATTATAGACAAGCTGATTCACGCCTATATTGATAGTCTCTTGATGAGAAATTCGGCCATTTGGTAAGATAACCGCTATCCCGATTCCAATCCCTATTCCCTCTAAAGTGGATGAGGCATCGGTGTATATTGTAATGGTATTTTTGCACCTATATTTGAAAGCCAGATTGTGAATCATCGCAGCTTCTTCTTTTCCTAATTTGCTGATATTGACTTTATATGGAACTTCTTTCTTCCAAGGAGGAAAGTAGAAATGATGGATTCCTTCCAAAGTGAGAGGATCGAAGTCTTTCTGAATTGAATTTTTGATCTTTTCGAGTTGAGTAGGTTTTAATTGCTTTCTTTGAGGGGTTGCAACTACATCTTGATTCTCCTTTTCTGTAGCCAGCTTTGTAGCTACTAAATTGACAGGATGAGAAGGCGAGATTTTCAATAATCTAAATGCGTATTGTTTGATTCCAGCATTTAGCCGTACTTCTGGAGGGCACAATGCGGCTTCTATTTCCATTGGTTTTATTGGTGAGGTTTTGAATACTCCTAGGATTTTTCGAAGGGCGAGGTTTTGCAAGGATTGAAGGATTTTCTTGAATTGGTTTTGCCCTTTCCACCATAAAATTGAACCGTAGTCAGCTATGCTGGTGACGCATGCCATATAGAGCTGTCTCATTGCCTTGGGACTAAGGCCTTTTTCAGAATTAGCAAGTCTAGCCATTCGGTAGAATGAGGTTTTAGCCTGGGTAGCTCGGATTGTGACATGTTGTTTGAAACTGAGGCCAGGGTCGAACCATATGCCTAGCCATCTGACTAGTGTTGAGGGTTGAATTATCTCCTCGTTCGGAAGCTTGATTGAGGCTGTCTTCGTATCTTTGGATGTAGAGAAGTGTATTAGCTCCGTCTTCGCTAGATCAAATTGAATAGCATTTTCTTTGCCCAGAGCATATATCTGTTTAGTTGCTCTTTCGAGGGAGATGATGTTCTTTTTCCAGGATGTTGAAAATGTTGTTAAAGCTATATCATCTATATATGAGAGATATTTGATCGAATTTGCTGAGAATAGATCTCGAATATAAATTAAGAAGAGGATTGGCGAAATAGGGCTACCTTGGGGGATCCCGGTATTGATCGGTTTGAAGGTTTCAATTTGGCCATCGAATGAGAGCTTGAGTAGCCTTTCCTTCAAAAAAGATGAGATCCAGGCGATTAGGCTGGTTGGGAGGTTTAGATTCTTGCAGATATCTAATAATTTGTTCATAGATACATGATCAAAGGCGCCTTTAACATCCAGGAAGAGAGTTGAGGTTTTCTTCTTGGATCTTGAATTTCTTTCGATTTCGGTAGTGAGTAAGATTGCTGTATCGATGGCTGATTTCTTTTGTCTTCCACCCATTTGAGAGTAATGAAGTAATTGCGTAGTCTCCGCTAAGTAGCTAAGCCTTTGAGCTAGAATTCTTTCACTTATTTTGCCAAGGCAATTTAGTAGGGCGATAACTCTATAAGCTTTTGGGGCCGAGTAGTCTGGTTTTGAAGGTTTCTTGAGTATCGCTCCAGTGGCTTGTTTCCAGCAAGAAGGATGGTAACCAAGGTTGATAAGATGACTGAAGAGGGTGAAGAATGCTTTTGGTATTGCTTTGTACGCTTGAATAATGATATCTTGAGTGATCCCATCGGGGCCAGGGGTCTTTCCTTTGATTTTTGCAGAGCACGCGTTTAGGAGTTCGCTCTCTGTGAGATCAGGCCATTCCCATTTCTTAGATTGTTTATAGCTTTCCCAATTGGGCGGTGGGGTGAATGGAGGAGGAGGAAATAGGGTCGATCTAAATGCAGAGCATTTTCCCTCGAAAGAATTTTCTAGTTTAGAGGGATTGGATCGAATATTCGGGATTCGTTCGGTTTGTATATCTTTTGTGTATGACATTGCCTTGAATATGGATTGGGTATCCTCTTTTTCAAGGAACTCATTCCAATGGTTTTTCTTTGCTGTTTTAATAGCTTGGAAGTAATGATTCCTGGCTGACTGGTAGATTTTCTTGAACATATCGTCTTCCGGGTAAATCTTGGCGTTCTCAAATGCATTAGAGAGTCGTTTTCGAAGGGCTTTCAGCTCTGGGGACCACCAGGGTTTAGCTCTTTTTGTGGACTTGATTCTCGGTATACTGGTTTCAGCCGAATAAGTGATTATTCGGGTGAATTCTTTTGCAGCTTCATCCAATACTTGTATGTATTGGCTCTTGTCGAGAAGGGAATCAAGAGAGTTGGATTCTGAGGTAGCGATATTAAGGTATTCACTCGAATTTAAGGTGGTTGATATCGATATTTTCGATTTGAGGGTATTCGCGAATTTTTCCCAATCCGCAAGTTTTGTATTGAATCTTGCTGGCTGAGCTATATTCGTTGTACGGGATAAAGTGCCCTTTACTTCAAAGAGAATGCTTAAGTGATCTGATCCAAGATCCGGGAGGACTTGCCAATCAGTGATATAGGGAGATACTGAATCTGTGGCTAAAGTAAGGTCTAAGACACTTGGATTTGTCATATTTGTTCGATAAAAGGTGCTCGTGCCTGGTTCGTTAAATAGAATGAGATTGTGATCCTCAAACCATTCGGCGAGTAGGTCGGCATTTGAGCTTTTGTTAGAGAAGGGGTCCCACCAAGGGTGATGGGAGTTGAAATCTCCTACGAGGATGGTGTGATGAGTAAGAGGGGTATTGTAAAGGCATCTTTCGATGGTGTGGCCTTTTTCTTTGGCTTGGTCCGCTTCATTGTAGATATTGATGAGTTGTATTGTATGTTTTCCTTGAGTGATATCAATGATTTGAATATCTGGATCATTAGGGGAGTTGGGAGCTAGGGCTACTAGCGGTTTGAATCCTTTTGAAATGTAGATCATAGTTCGGGGACGCAGGTTCGAAGGATTATTTGGGAGGAGTTGAGAGAAGCTAGAGTGGGCAATAGATCTGGTTGAGGAGAAGTCTTTCTCAGGATTCGAGAGGATCCAGGGTTCTTGAATGACTATGAGATCAATTTTGAGTTCTAAAGCAAGTTGGAGAGCACTTTCGGTTGCTTGAGGGCTCTTGTTTAGATTGATTTGAAGAATGCGAGTATTGTTGTACAGCATTAGTTGGATTTCTTGATGGTTGATAGATATACTTCGCATACTTTCGAGTTGGCTTTGTGTTCTCCTTTACAATTAACACATTTGACACTTAGATGTTGACATGGTTTGCCTTTTGCTTGGCAGATTATACAGAAATGACCGACTGTAGCATGATTATTACTGCAAAGTCCGCAAGCTGGAGGTTTTTTGCAGTATGATTCGTTATGGCCGAATCCCTGGCATCTGTTGCATTGGGATGAAGGAGTAGATGGATAGAATCTTTCTACTCTAACACTAATGCCTGCAATATATAGCCTTTTCTGGATAGCTATATCTGCTTCTTTTTGTGTAGCAAATGCAATGACTATTGCTCCATCTTGTTGTTTGGCTCTCTTGGAGGCATTGGTAAGCCAGTAAGGAGTACCCATAATACTGAGCCCTGGATTGAAGGTATTGACTTCCTCTTTGATTAGGTCCATACCTTTCAGACCTGAGAATTCCTGAATTGGGATTTTGTGAATGATGACTTTATGCCAGGGTTTATCGATTTGTATTCTTTCGGCATCAAGGATTTTGTCCCAGATTTCCTTCTTTTCCATCAGGAATTGTGCATTGAAAGGGCTGTTAGTGGTTAGTATAAAATTGCCGCTCCTTGTAGTGGTGATGGCTGCAGTGATAATATTATATTTGCAAATCTATGAGTCTTTTATAATATATCCAGTGAGACTACAAATATAAGTAAGAGTAACCAATTCTTACCATGCTTTCCCAGATACAAGATGTCAGTCTCAATATCCTTTGAGAAGGTTGCCCCCAGGCAAAAACAACCTTTCTACACCTATTATCCTGTTTGCTCCCTAAGCCTACCCGGTATCTCCATTGCCAGCTGCCTTGTACCCTATTGTAGACCGATACGCGCATCCGTCCTCTCGAGCCGTATAGACAGTGTCACTGTCGCTGCCATTATACGCTACGCCCCGCGGCTTGTGCACCGTTTCGCGTTACCTTGCCGGATCTCTCCTGCACAACAAGGCCGACCGTATCTTGCAAGCTTTGCTGTGTCTTAACCCCTAGCCAGGCAACTAAAAATACAACGTTTCCAGCTCACTAACCAAAGCACAGCCTGCAAAGTCCATTCCCCCAATGTATAGTTTGTAATCGATAATGCGGAGGGTTGAGAACGTATCGGATATGTGTCTCATAAGGTAGCTTCTGCCAGAGCTCATCCGCTGCCGTGATGTCTGCCGAATGCTTCGCAGAAGAGTGAATCTTGCTAAAAGCATCCCCCTCGTTCGAGAGTTCCTCTGCCGCCATAATACCGCTCTTGTACATTCGTAGAGCAAAGTGCCAAAAGCGTCCCTCCATCCCTAATCCACCCATACCTCCGTTGGCCTCAATAAGACTCTACCACAACCTTTATACATTCTCGATTACTCCCCTTAACCACCTGTAAACTTCCAATCCGGTATACCCGCAGATTGTACGCATTGTTGAGTCGTGAAAATTCTGCACGCTAGCGCCCCAGAGGTGCCCTGTCAATCACCGGCACAACGCTTTCCTTCTCAGGCTCTGCTCCCACACAGATTCGTAAAGGCAGTCCGCTTTGAAATGCTCCTTAAAGCAATTCTCAGGCTCTGCATCCCACTGCAGATTCGTAAAGGTGGTTCCGCTTCGAAATCCGTCGTTGTTTCGTTGATTGTCGGGTAGTTTTCATCTCCGTTCGACTGATAGTCCTCTGTTCCGGGCCAAATTCACGATACCTTCACTCCCAGTACCGCTCCTTTTTAAAGCACGACCTTTGCCCAGCTTCAGCCTGATTCAATCTTGGCTCTGTAAGAAAAATTACAGGTTCGTAGGATGCACCACGTACAGGTGTTGAATCATCGCATCCCGAGCTTCGCACTTCCGTAGAACTTAGAAGAGTGATTAACATACAAGACCAATATTACCTCAGTTCTGCCCTATCAGCTTCCCACTATTCCCTGTGTAAGGTCATTCTTTTTAACAAAATATTCAATTGGAAATAAAATAATAACTATGTTACGAAGTTTGCCGTCTAGATCACGTGGAAGTGCTCTAGGCTCTCGAGGTGGTTTATAACTAGGCGTCAAGCAGGGACTTAAAGTAATGACAATAATGCAATTCGTAACTAATAGTAGAGTATGCTAAATGACTGATCTTGAGCACGAAGCTCTATACAAAGGAAATCCATCTTGGTTATATAGACCTTCATGCTAATCGTCCCTGTAACGATACTGTACTGGAGGCAGCGGCTGCCTAAGGTTTCGTCTGGTTGGTAGTTGTGGGTTAAGGCTTTATCACTGGTCTTCACTTGGAAGTGAAGTCGTTACTAGATCAAGTAGAATGTAGGTAAACTAATTGATAACTAAGTTGAGCACGAAGCTCCTAAACTATGAAACTACTCTGACTATATACTGAACAATAAAGGGGGCCCCTAGGAGCTTTCTGGCTCCTCAAGACTCCTTATCACGCGATTTCTGATGGTGCGTGCGCATACGATCTTCAGGTGACCAAGATCACATACTAATTCGATGAAATCTGATCGTGTTTGCACACGGCCTAAGCTCTCCTAATTAATCAGTTTGCTACCATCGTAACACCATCAATCCTAATGGTGAATCGTGACACTTACCTCTAGAATGAATGGAATTCTGCCTTTTACTGAACATCGATCAGCAATCATAAAATGACAGAATTGAAGGAGAAATCGCTTCTTCAATATATATTGGATATGGATGAAAGAAGGTTTAGTCCTCGAATAAGTGATATAGAAGATATAGCGAATTATATACTCGAAACACAGGGTGCGAAGAAGATTGGAAAGCTCTGGGCTTATCGTTTTGTGAAACAATATATAGAATTAAAAAAGTGTTTTAATTGCGTTTATGATTTTCAAAGAGCTCTCTGCGAAGATTCAGAGCTTATTGAAAGATGATTTCGATTAATATCGAATATGCAGGCTAAATATGGTATTCTGGACTGTAATTTCTACAACTTCGATGAGACAGGCTTTATAATAGGACAAATATCACTACATATAATAGTTACTAAAATTGATTGATATGGAAAAAGCAAAGCTATACAATCAGGCAATTGAGAATAAACTACAGCGATTATTTGTATTGATAAAGAAGATCACAATATACCTTCGTTTTTGATAGTAAAAAACAAATACCATCTTTCAAATTGATATATCGAAGATGATTTACTATACAATTGGCTTATTAAATCTATTATCAATAAATGAACAAATAATGAGATAGATCTTGAATGGATTAAACACTTCAACAAATATATTGAAAATAGGAAAGTGGGTAGATATCGAATGTTAGTGCTTGATGGGTATAAAAGTCATAAATCGCCAATATTTCAGGAATATTGTAAGGGATACAATATTATATTATTTAGTTTACTATTTCGTTCTTTGTATTTAATTCAATCATTTGATATTGGTTGTTTTGGTTCTTTAAAGTATTCATATAATCGACAAATCGAGAACTTTATCAAGGCGTATATTACTCATATTACCAAAACCAAGTTCTTTCAAGCTTTCAAAGCTATATATATCAAAGCAATATCTATATCAAATGGTAAAGCTGGGTTCTGTGGAACTGGGCTAATCCCATTTAATCCGGAAATTGTACTTTCAAAACTAGATATTCAAATAAGAACTCTATCAAATAGATCAATATCAACCGATCCTGATATATAGCAATCTCAAACACCTCACAATCCAATTGAAGCTCTTTCTCAATCCACTTTAGTGAAAAATCATATTGCTCAACATCAAGGGAACTCACTTACTCTAATATTTAAAACAATTGTAGCTTTAGCTAAGGGTACAAAGCTTTTAGCTTATACGAATACATTTTTAGCTGCTGAGGTTCATAATCTCTGCAAAGCAAATGAAGCATTTAGTAAACGTTGGAGAACTAGAAAAGCTTTAATACGAAAAGAAGGAGTACTTTCAATAGAAGATAGATATAATATATTAGAACAAGAGAATATAGAAGATCAGATACAATACAATGGATTTACAAATGATGATTCTTCAGCAAAGAGGCAAGCTACTATACAACGATGTAGCAAATGTAGTAATGCTTCACATAATACACAAACTTATCAATTAGATCCAGCATTAATTGGTCTTTGAATTATATATAATTTAATTCTAATTTATAGTATTGTTGTAATTTTATTTCAATGGAATGTGGGCAATTGAGGTAAAAGTGTACAGGGTCCTGATATGTACAGGGTCCTGATAAACCACGTTATAAATTGTAACGTGGTTTATCAGTGGGTCGGACATATCAGTGGGTCGGACACTTTTTCCCCGATTTATCACTTTAAAACTATATTATTCAATAACAATTGGATGAATCGATTGAAACTATTAAGAATCTAATAAACTAGCATCTATTGCATTATTTTGACAGGTTCTTGAATTATGACCAGTCTTTCCACACTTACTACAGCATCGACTAGTAGATGATTCCCTATTAGAATTTCCCCCATTTTGACGCTCGTCGCGTTGAATCTGATTATCAACCTCTTGTTGTGATAATATATCTTCAGCTTCTTGTCCAGTAAGTACTCCTCCATTACGTAGTTGAATTTTTTTAGCGCGTCGACGTTTACTTAATGCTTCATTTGCTCTTCGAAGCATACGATTCTCAGCACTCAAAAGTGTAACTTCATGTGCCAATCTCTCTGTACCTTTAGCTAAAGCTTGCACAGTCTCAAATATAGGTGTAGGAGAGCTTGATTGATGACGAGCTATTCGAGCTTTTACTAGAGTTGATTGTAAAAGAGCCTCAGTTGGATTGTGAGGGGTTTGAGAGATCCAGAAATTGGTAAGTTCCAAGGAGGTAGATGGAGGGGTAGAAGTACGAATCCTAACATCTAGTTTTGAGAGTATAGATTGAGGATCAAATGGTATTAGACCTGCTCCTCGAAAACCAGCTTTTATATTCTGAATAGTAATCGATTGTTGATATGCAGCTTTGAAAGCTATAAAGAATTCAACCTTAGAAATATGATTGATATGAGCCTTGATAAATCCTTCAATTTGACAACTATATGAACGTTTGAGTACGCTAAAACATCCAATATCAAGTGGTTGAGTTAAGTGACTTGAATGCGATGGTAACTTTATGCATATAATATCGTTTGACTTGCAATATGACTGGAAAGGTATCGATTCGTGACTTTCATGCCCATCCAATACTAGCATTCGATATTTGCCCTTTCTCCGTTGACTAGTATGCTTATCGAAATGCTTTAACCATTCTAAACCTGTCTCATTATTCGTCCATCCATTAGAAGTAGGTTTAATAGCCCAATCTGCAGGAAAATCACTCTCTGTATACCAATTAGAAAGGTGATATTGTCCTTGCACCACTAAAAATGGTGGTATAGTTTCACCCTCTCCATTACCACATATAATCGCTGTAGCCCACTCTCGATTGCCTGGTTGTATTGCCTTGCTTCTGCCACTTCGTTCAGCACTAGTTACAACCATTCCGGGGCATATTATACCCATCATAAAGCCTGTTTCGTCGAAGTTGTAGAAATCGCAATCCTGAATCCCATATTTCGCCCGCATATTCGATACTAATCGAAACCACTCTTCAATAAGCTCTGGATCTTCGCAAAGAGCTCTTTGAAAGTCATAGACACGATTAAAACGCGTCTTTAATTCTGAATATCGTTTTACAAAGCGATGAGCCCAGAGCTTTCCAACCTTCTTCGCACCCCGTGTTTCGAGCATATAATTCGCCATATCTTCCACACTATTTAATTTAGGGGCAAATCCTCTATCATCCATATCAATAATGTATTGAATAAGCACCTCCTCTTCTAATTCAGTCAAATTATGACTTTTTGGTCGACTTTCAGCTATATTACTACGACCTTGAATTCTGTCGAATAATGTAGATCGAGGCACACTATAGTAATTAGCAGCCTTTCGAATCGTCAATCTTTTGTTCAATTCGATAGCCTCAATGGCCAGGACTATTCGTGCTTCTTTTGAATGAATTTCCATTAATAACTATTGAATAAACGCATATTGAAGTGAGAGAGTAAAGGATATTGAAAAAGTGTCCGACCCACTGATATGTCCGACCCACTGATATGTCCGACCCACTGATAAACCACGTTATACGAATGTTACGACGGGTAACAACTAGGTCACAGGATTAGTAATAACACGTGATGCGAGAACTCGAAGAGCTCGAAGGCTTGGCCTCTCGAGCCCTTCGAGCCACGAAGCATGAAGGTCTATATAATCAAGACGGATTTCCTTTGTATAGAGCTTCGTGCTCAAGATCAATCATTTAGTATACTCTACTATTAGTTACGAATTGCATATCATTATTTGTCATTACTTAAGTCCCTACTTGACGCCTAGTTATAAACCACCTCGAGAGCCTAGAGCACTTCCACGTGATCTAGACGGCTACCCTCGTAACACTATGTGAAGGTTTTTTGCGAGTTTTAAATATCTTCTATTTGAGGTTAGACAGAAGGAATAGATAAGTAGATAGGTAGTTCTTGTATATATAGAGAACTACTGAATACGCCATACACTAGATCAATGGAATAATCACTACAAACCCTCATATTTCACGAAAGATAACAGGGGAGTTAAACATGCGCTTGGAAAATTGCTTAAAACTCATTGAACTAGTAGGACATACATACATCCGAACAAAAGCTCATACTCAAATACCACAATATCGCCATAAAATGCCCTAGTAAGTTGCCCTCAACTCCTAGTTCCCCCCCAATCCCTCCCTTCCCCGCCCCCAAAATAATGTCTTTTCCACACACCACTCCACCCAACAACCTTACATAGCCCTCGCCCTAAACTCCACATAAGGACCATCCTTCATACTCGTAAAACTATCCCTCAACTGAAACTCATCCCTCCTCCGTCTCCCCACCTCCAAATTCTCATTTCCTTCTCCAACTGTATATCCCTTTGCCATCCTAATCTCATACATAAAAACGACTCTAGCCAAACTCGTCATTAACTCTACATACGCGACTCCCTTTCCGATGCATCCTCGAGGACCTATACTAAAAGGACAAAAGGCACTTTGAGCAAGTGCTACGGAATCTGCTGTGATACCAGGAGCCGAAGAAGGAATCCAGCGTTCGGGGAGGAAGATGAAAGGTGAGGGGTAATAGGTTGGATTGTGATGGATGGCGTAGTGGGGAGTGCCGACTACGTAGCCCGCTGGAATGTGGAGGCCGTCGATGTCGATTCCGCCGGGAAGAACTTCCCGGGGAAGAATGCCGCCGACGGGTGGTGAAAGGCGCATGGATTCATCAATAACTGCTCTTAAGTATGTACAGCCATTAAGTGTAGGACTTGAATGAATCTCTTCGAGATCAGAAAAGGTGGAAAGGATTTCCTTTGTGAGAATGTCTAATTTATCAGGGTTATGAACCAAGTAGAAGAAAGCTGCGGAAAGAGCTGCTGAAGTGGTATCAGAACCAGCAATAATGAGTAAATTACTCTCGCCCCAAAGTTCTGGAGTAGTAAATCCCTGACCGGTTTCTGAATCACGAGCATTGAGGAGATAGTAAAAGAAATCCTTGCGGTCAGTATCAAGTCCAATCTTTGTTCTTTCGGTAGCTTGAGCTCTGCTGTATGCCATGTACTTCATTCTTTGAGCATAGATCTTGCGAAAGAGAATTTTACTCAAACCAATGGTCTTAATGATAGGGTATGTACCAGTCTAAATGATTAGTATATATTCTGATTAACCATGGATTAGGTACTTACAATCAAGTGAGTGTGAGCAGCATTTCCAATCAAATCAATCACATGACGGTTAGATGAATTTTCCAACATCTCAAATGCTTTCCCAAAACAAAGATCACCCATGACATCAAATGTCAAGTAGTTACACCAATCAGACATGTTCTGAGCGACACTCCATCCACCGGATGATTTTTCTGTTGAAGCTTTTGGTTGACCGAGATTAGTACAGAAAGTTCTAACATTTGCTAAAATGTACTTCTCCATGGTCTTGATAGCATTGTCTGAAAACGCATGGGAGAGAACTCTTCTTTTTCTTGCATGACTAGCTTTGTCGATACTGCTGTGAGTGTTGAATGTATCCTTTGTTGGAGGAAACACGGTGTAGAATTGAGACTTCTTGACATTTGACTTATGACCATAGATAGTTTTTAAAGCTGTGTTAGAATTAATTGAGAGACTATCGGGACCAAATCGAAAAACCGGACCTTAGAAATTAGCATCATTGATTCTTCCTGGGAACGCAATTATTTACCATATTTCTCATGACATCTATAAAACTCTAGATGTCTATCGCCTTTCCATGCATGATATACAGAGTACCAATCTGTGATCTTCGCAAGGAATGGACCAGGATATTTTGCGAGAGGATGAAATGTCAGACGATAAATCGTGAGACTTGTCAGCTATGATGCGGTCAGCTTAGATTACTTGCATCATGCAAGAACACTCACATATACCGCTGAGATAGTTGTTGCAATTATCACAGCCCAAAAGAATCCATTTAGAGTAAGAGCCACGGTGAGTGAAATATCCATCATGACTAGTTTCTCTGTGATGATGTACAGAAAGATTTTCCCGGGAGTTCAAGAGTTGTTGTAAATCGTAACTTAAGTATTAACACGCGTGAAGCTTACGGCAATACTTTCTTTAAAGTCATACGATACTGAATTGATTTAGATAATGCCTTCAAAGCATTGATCTCATTAATTCACCAACTTTGGCCCTCTGAACAATTGAAGCTCAGTGAGTAAAAAAGGAAGAAATAAATCAAGATTGAAAGAAGTTGAGTTGAGGGGGTTTAGAAAATGAAAAGGTGACACAAATACGGTAATCGATCTCAAATTATCACTGCCTACCTAGCTAGGTACTGCCGGGAAGTTCCAAGTTGAGAAAACCTTAGATGCAAGTAAAGATTCACGATACTCTAGTCTCTGACCGACGATAACCGAAAAACCCCATCAAACAAAGGGAAGAAAAGGTCTTAAAGTTGAAGTCTTGCACCAATCGATGAATCTCGTAGCTGCCATCAAAACACGGATTCCTCCCGCATCAATGGAGTCCTACCGCACATTGATATCGTAATGATAGTAAAGTTGTCGTACAAAGCCGAAGCAAACCTTGTACAGCCATATTGCGGGGATTCTGGGGTTACTAACTAGGTTTAGTTTAGACCTCGGCAGATAAAAATACATACTAGGTAGGTAGGTTAGTAATCCTATGCTTGAGAATGAAGAAGAATTTATTAAACTTATTGTGATGGATATACGAGTAAATGATATAAATAAGCCCATCCCATCCATTCTTAATTACTCTGTATTCCCAGGGACAATCCTTCAATTCTCACAAATTATACAAAGTATGCATGAATGTTAAAGTAAGCATCTAGCCAAATAAAGTTATCGATATCAAACATTTTATCGTTGTGGAGAAATTCTATTCTTCTCTTCTCCTCAATGGGGAATCCCATTAGTCATCAACATACAACATCCACAAAACGCGCAACCATTCCACCCCAAGCTCCCTAAATACTAAAAAATCACTAATTAAAACTCACCATTCCGCCATCCACCCACCAAAGTCAAAGCCAAAGTCAAAGCCAAAGTCCAAACTCCAAAATCCCAACCAAAACAAATTCCACAACTCACGAGTCAATCAATCAATCAATCAACCAATCAATCAATCCAATCCAATCCAATCCAATCCAATCCAATCCAATCCAATCCAATCCAATCCAATCCAATCCAATCCAATCCAATCCAATCCAATCCAATCCAATCCAATCCAATCCAACATCAAACACCCATCTACCTATCTATTTCCATTTAAACTTTAAACTTCCACCAAAAAATTCCATCCCTCCATTTCATCCCTCCATTCTATATCAAACAAATCAAGAAAATTTTCCCCAAAAAATTTTCAATTCACAAGATACCTACCTAATATACTAACTAATATTACTCAGAACACAGTAAGACATAAGGCCAATAATTATTACCAAAAAGTTTTGTTGCATATCTGGACAGCTGTCAAATGTTTAGAAAGTGGGTTTTTAGTGGGTGTTGTGGTTGTGGTGGTTTTGTTGCATGTCTTGACAGCTGTCAAGTGTGTAGAGTGGGGTTTGGTTGTTTTTGGTGAGTAAGTAAGTGAGTAAGTAAGTGTATGTATGATTTGAAGGTTTTGAGCTCTTGAGAGGATGATTTGTTATTTTGTAGGTACCAAGAGTCTTTAATTTTTACATGTAAGTTCATTCAGTGACGTTCGCATGCTATGCCATCACACCAAACAGATTTTCATTGTGTTCTTGATATATTCATTTCATGCCGAAATAATAATGTTTAGTTTATTTATCCCAAGATTCCAAAACCCTAAACACCTCATCAATCATCTCTCGTCTATATACTTTTATGGTAGGCAGTAACCTCCATCACAAATAATGTCGGTTCCAGTACAGTAACTTGAGGCATCACTGGCAAGAAAAAGGAATACCCCCTTCAACTCATGAGCTTCTCCTTCTCTACCCATTGGAATCTTATCCTTCCAAGTAGCCTTTGTCTCAGGGGGACAGAATTCCGAAATCTCAGTCGCGATATAACCAGGAGAGACGGTATTGGAGCGTGCAAATCCAACCCATTCTACTGCTAGAGATTTACCTGTATGTAATTAGTATCTCATGAAGAGAAGGGGAGAAAATGTACGAACATAAATGAATAACTGCAGCCTTTGCAGCATTATATGGAGCTTGCAATTGGGGAATGTTGACAATATGCCCACTCATACTCGCAGTTGCCACAAAACTTCCATAATTGAATCCTTCCAATTTCTTTCCATCAATAGTGGTACCTTCTTTCTTCTGTCTTCTCCAATGTTGCCCCGCTGCCCGAGCACAATAAAATGTCCCATCCAAATCTGTTGTTACCACTTTCTTGTAGTGTTCAAGCTCTCCGTCGAGAGCAGGACCTTGAATCCATGGGATACCAGAGTTTGCGATGAAGATATCGAGACGACCATTGAGATCAGTTACGGCGGTATTGACAGCTTCCTCGACAGCTTCAAATGAGGTAACATTGACCTGGTATGCCTTGCCTATTGATTCGCAGACGATTAGTCTTGTGGTACATCACCTCGAGTGAATCTAGTAAGTAGGAATACGAACAAGTAACACCATATTCCTTCTCAATCTTCTCTGCCTCCTGAATAGCCTTCTTGTTGCTGTTATACCAAATAGCCACATTAGCACCGGCTTCAGCTAGCGCATGAGCAACGGCAAGACCAATACCAGCACCGGCGCCTGATACAATAGCAGTTCGTCCTTTAAGTGAAAACATAGGTAACACCTTGGATGTGTAGGTAGGAGCCTCAGTGAGGTTGTGTTTAAACTTTCCGTCGTTCATTGCTTCACCTGCCATTATTGCGATTCGATATCTTCGTGTGGGGGAATATAGAGGGACAGTTTGTATTGAGGGAGAGTAGCGCAGCTGAGATGAACTTGTGCTTGAGAAAGATGGAAGGAGGGGATATAGAGGTAAATATGAAGGAGGCAGTTTGTATGCGTAATAAGTGGTGGGGTCGCATGATGGGCATGTCACACAATCTCAGTAGGGAGATTGTCAGGGCAATGTACAGGATGTGTGGATTATTTTGAGGGTTTTGGACCAATAATGCGGTAGCTGAAGGTGGGGTGGAGGGGTAATGAATACCGTGTTTGTGCATCAGGGCCCACTTGTCAAGCGTCTTTCCATCTTGAAAGGTGTCTTCATGAAAAGAGTTTATGTCGGATAACCTCAATGTAGGCATTCCGATGATGGTGATGGAGAAAAAGAGATGTTGATGTCATATCTATTAAAAACAGATGATGGGGATGGATGTTTTTCGGTATTATTACCCCTGAATTATACCCCACGTTGACTGTTCAATGCGCTGAATACTGCGTCCCGTGTGACGCTAACAACTACCTGTTCAACACCAGACCCAACAACGAACTAACTACAAACTCAGCGTATAACATCAGTGATAATGATTTTATATCCAACTTTTTAATTTTTGAGGATTGAATTTTGTAGATTAATCCAGAAAAATCGCAATCCACCTGTAAAATTCCATACCGGTAGTTAATATCTTGTAATACTCACTAGGTATTGCATTCCCCCATCCTAATATCTGACCTGCACAAGCCTCGAATTTCCAACAAAGTAGGTAATCCCAAGTTGATAGACACCAGTAGTACAGTAAGTAGCATAGATTCAATCCCATCTCAATGCAGATACTGCCACCAGTGAAAACAAATACTAGCAAAACCTAACAAAAGAAGTCACGCTCAAAATATAAGGAGTGTATACGAGAATCCTCATCTTTTCCATCTTCATCGCACAAAATCGGGCATGCGCTTAAGTATAGGCAATCGCTCCAGATCATGAAACAATGCAGGCGAGTCCTATCTAGTGACTTGGGCACTTCGTGTTGAACGTGTAGATGAATTATTCGATGTGAGTTACCGATATTGAGTCAATAGACAAGAGGCGTTGGTATGATAATATTGAGTGTACTTGATCAGTCATCATATATGGGATATATGGGATGTCATCGCTGGTGATAGAAGATACACGAGATTCTTCATCATTGATCACATTTCCTTCATTACCTATCGTATCGATGGAAAGTTATCGATGGTTTTTGAAGAGAATTGTTCTATCTGCTGCTACACAGTGTCCAGCCACTTTTCTCACTGCTCAATTCGCGACTTTTGATCTATGGAAAGCTGTGTAATGGAGCCCGGTCAGGATGCCGCTGGCTTTCTGTCAAATTAAATGGAGAGTGTGTATCTGATTGTCAAGCTTCGATCCATGGGAAGCCATCGGCAGTTACAAGATTATCCATCTTCACATATTATACGAAAATTCTATCTTTAATGTTTCTACCTGCAAATCTGATATATTATCATATAACACCATGTAGTTCCACACTTTCCCAAACCCTTCCAACGCAAGTACTTCGACTTTCAACGCTTCTATTTTATCTGGTATATTTTTGAGCTCTTCCCAAGAAATTTTTGTCGTGTTGTTATTTGCTTCATATTCTGTATCAGTTTGGAACACCATGGACTATCTTCCCTCTCTGTCAGCCGTATTTTAATTACTCTAATAGATTCAATCACTTTCGGCTCTCATGGTGAGTAGCTAGCTCTAAGCAATCATTCCTTTTACAAGTACAAACCTAGATCTTGTAATCTTATCCACGAAGAGATCAAACAGTATCAGACCCGATCATTTGCAGCGGGAGTAGTAACATCGGACAAACTCCAACTTTATCCCAGGCGGGAACAATGAGCGAGTTGCATCCTCTAGTAAGCTTATTAGGCTCGTTGTGAAGAATTTTGTCAAAGACATCCTCCTTTCAATCAATATTAAATTCACTTGCACTCCTTGATAATTACGACGCAAAAACTTGTGGCATACTCTCCAGTCTCCTAGAAAATCCTCGCTGACCACATTTCACCTTTGCGCAATCAAGATTCAAAATTGACGCTTGTATGTATACGAGAATAGCATCAAAATCTAGACTTATAAAACTTAACTTTACGACCAACTATGAAGTAGTGTAGTAGTCATCTTGACATCTTACAAATTCAAATGAGTAAATTTTATAGTGTCGTGAATATGGAATTATTCCTAAAGAATAGAAAAGTACTAGGAATACCACCTCTCATCGAAAATTTACAAGATCATCGAATATTTTACAAAATTGTCGACTATGCCATACTATTCACTACGAAACCTCCCTGTATGAAGCACAGAACAGCTGTTGATATTGATCTATTGCAATTGCTAAAACTTCCTTTCGACTCGCTTAAAAGACACCCTAACCCCATACTCTCGTATCACTAGGAGATTTCTAGAACATATCTATGGCGGTTCTAGAGATATTCCCGTGTTCATTTATCATGCATTAATTTCCTTATTTTATTATCATTTTTTGAGCACCTAAAATGATTATCAAAGGATAGATGGACTCACAACTAAGGATACGAAGTTGCTAGAATACAGTGCTTGAAATTATTGTACTGACATTGAGGTAAGATTTTATAAATAAGTAAAAAACGTAAAAGAAACTAAGATGGGTTTCAAACACTAGCCCTACAATCGAAAGAAATCATATCAAACTCTTTGTATTATGTAGATCTGAAAAAAAAAAGCATCTATTTACCAGCAAATCCTTAGCTATATAAAGTAAATCATTTCTATTCAAACTTAGCACCGCAAAGCAGTTTCCCCTCCATCTCTACAGAGCGCTTGCTATACAATGTCACAGATATTCAGCATTCGCGAATTTTACGTAGTAAGCTTACAGTAGAAATATCCCTGTACCTTGTAAAACAGAGTACCAAACACAGGAGTCCGATATCCACCCCGCGCGACCCGCTCGGTGCCGCTCCGACGATAACGCGGCATACTTACCCAGTAAGGGAATCCGACGCCGCTCCGCCCTGCCATGGACATGCAAGGATATTCCTCTTTCCACTCCGAATGCACATATTATACTCTGTACAGAGTTACTATACACCGCTCTTCAAGATAATTTTACCATCGCGGCTCGAATATGTTGATTCCGTATTCGTGTCCCCTCTGTCCTCTGCATTCTTTCCTGATGTGTGTTGTTTCCGGTACTGTGCATCCTCTTGACACGCTGCCTACCTGAGTTTTACTCTTCGACGGATTGCATTTCCCTCTTGGAATAACCTTTCAGCACTCTTTCAACATTCGCTTTGCTCCTTGGAAATTTTCTCAAAATGTCCAACTGTGCCAACTTCTCTTCTGGTACCCAGCTATCCCATGCTGAACTGGTGGTCTTCCAGTACCAAGTATTCCTCTTTTTGTGCTCAATCCTGGTATCCAATACCTATCCCACATCTCACCACTCCGTAACATCAAAGTCGACTTGGTTAGACTTTGCTTCTGGTACTTCCCGCCCGTTCATTGCTTTAGCATCCTAATTTTGCTTTGCGCAGGTAGGTTCTATCCCTTTCATCTCCCACCAAAATCTTATCTGCACTTGGCATTAAATGCTTGTCCCATAGTATTTTGATAACATCTCTGTTGTTTGAACATGGTCGATTATAATTGAGGAATAGACGAGCCGCTACAGAAATCAGCCTTTCGTTTCCAATGTCCATTCCGTTGTAGATCGAGTGGTGAGAATAATCAGAAAACTCAACACTCTCATCCGAGTCAATCGTACTCTCTGGTTAAGACACTTTCAAGACGAAATCAATCCAACGACAGAGCTGCAGTGTTCTGAGTAATGCTCTTTTCCCCCTTGACCATCCAATATTCGAACGATGAAAGCAGTGAAAAGCTGCCCCGAAGACGGTGAGGGATCACATTAAAGCGGTACGGGAGCAATTATATAATATGTGCTACTGAGCACTATCCCAACCATACTGGCTGTGAAAATACCTCAATTGTGTCAAGTGTGAGATTCCTTTAACGGCCAAAGCATCCTTGTACCACATGCTCCACATGTTGTGATAAGTATAAGCCTTCATTTCTTTTACGATTTATGAGAACATACAGCAGGAACAGGGCATAATATTCCGAAAAATTCAACCGTAGGAGTATTCGCTGTCCTCAAGTAACCATGCGACAACATGAAAATTGATTAATTGGTAGTTATTACTGTCGTGACTTCATTTCCAGACTGAAACTACACCCTCAAAGGTCCTGTACGATTCATTTGGCGATCATCTGTTCTGGTGACATACCATCGTCTCCCAGCACCTTAGCTTTCTGCAGAGTAGTTACAGTTTTCTGGATAACTGCCACATCCACTTTCTTCGTGCTCCTTGCAAACTTGACTGTCTTTAACCATTCCTTTGCATCCTCTTCGCTATAATCTAACGAAGTACTGATGTATCTCACTGCCTCATCCTGGTTCTGTTCGAAATACTTGACACCTTTGTCAATTTTCTCAAACATGTCATTCAACCTCTGGTCTTCTGAACTTTGTAAGACATTTGTGCTGGCAACAATCTTCCAACTGCTCCATGGTGTATATATTTCCCCAATTCGCTTGATCTCTCCATTATCGTAATATCGTTTCGAAGTAAAGTGCTCCCACATGAAGAAATCCACTGTACTGTCGTTCACACCATTGCGCAACTTCTCAAATGTCTGCAAAGGGATGACTTCGAAAGGTCCTTCAGACGATTGACTTTCGTTGAGCCATCCTTGCTCATCCGCGAGAACGAATCCCATCACATAGCTTCCGCTTCCTATCCTCGAGACACCGATTTTGCCGTTCTTAAGATCTGCGATGCCATTCAGAGGTCTGTTTGCGCCCGTAGAGATTGCCCAGCCTATTTTCATTCAATTAGTCTGCCGCCTTCGCAATAATAATATATTTGCATCAGTAAGAGAAGGACATACACAATGGTGTTTCAACATAAGTCCCAACGATTTTATATCCTCCATCGCCTTCCAGATCAGATTTGCCCAACCCAGCTACCCATCCTTCAGTAAGACCAATCCCTACATCAGTTTCCCCTGATCGTATCGATGTAATCATATGCCCGGTGCCAGATGGAAATGGGATCAATGTAGCATTGAGACCGAAATGCTTTTGCGCGAAGTGAAGAGGGGTAGAGAAATGTTCAGGGACATATCCGATCCTGAGGGGTGTTTGGGTAGTAGCCATGACGAAGAATCGATGCCGCTTATAGGATTCTGGATAGGTATATGGAATATCTCCAGAAACTTTGACTATAGACGTCGTTGAGATATGAAGAGAGTGATTGAGAATTGTAAGTCTTACATTGATGAGCTTCAGGCGGGTTCTGACGGGTATTCATCGGCAGGCGGGGTAAATGTAGTGCTGGTACGCTAGAATTTTAGCGTTCGTACGTTTCCGCCACACATCGATTTAACGAGATCTCCGTCGTTCCGTCATCCTGGTGTCCTCAACTTCCACCTCGCTATAAATCTCAACCAGCGACTCAGTATCACAACACAATCAAGATGGCCTCAGCTACAGCACAACGACGCTTACTTCAAGAGTACCGCTCTCTCACAAATAATCCACCCGAGGGCATTACCGCAGGGCCAGTCTCCGAAGATGACTTGTTATACTGGGAGGCTTTAATACAAGGACCAGAGGGTACACCATTCGAAGGAGGAGTCTTTGCTGCTGAATTGAAATTCCCAAAGGACTACCCACTTGCGCCACCTAGTATGAGGTTTCTCGGAGAAGTTTGGCATCCCAATGGTTCGTCTTGCCCATTCGTTCTTTGTTCTTTTTTTCTGGTCAAAAATATGCCATATGAGTACATTATGATTCGAAGAAGATAGTGCTAATATAATTCATTACCAGTCTACCCAAGCGGCCTCGTTTGTATATCTATTCTCCACCCACCCGGAGACGACCCAAACCACTATGAACATGCATCCGAACGCTGGTCTCCTATTCAAAGTGTCGAGAAAATCCTAATAAGCGTCATGAGTATGTTAGCGGAACCAAATGATGAGAGCCCGGCGAATGTGGAGGCTGCAAAGCAGTGGAGAGAACACAGATCGGCATATGAACAAAAAGTACGGGATGGATGTAGAAGGATGCTTGGATTGTGAAAGGGAATATGCATGTTACGGATGCGGTTTTTGGTCCCGAACTCAAATAAGACGACGAGGTCAGATTATACTGGTGCGCGCGGATCCATCTGAGTGGTAGGATTCGCTATCCGGATATCGCTTTCATCACGCGCAACTTGGGACATCGCATTACGGCCAACAACTGGATGTACACAGAATATGAACGGATCGAGGGAGTTTCAGGCATTGAAGGTATGGTGTTCGGTGCTAGGGATTAGGTTATTAGTGCATGATATACGAGATAGACATATGGGCGATATATAATAAATTAGCTTCACTGTTTTCGATCCGAGAACTTCCCGGGTTAACATCATTCCGAGGCTAGTAAAATTTTGTTTCAGGCATCTACTCAAGCATAGGAAATTACACTAGTCATTACCACTATCCTCGTGATGACTCCGAGATGCCATTAGGCCTTTTAAACTGCACAATTGTGATTAGATACAAGCGAGAGGTTAAACGGTAGCTAAACGAGCCTAAGATGACATGAAAAATTCGACATCTAAAAACAATCAAAAGAGAATCTGGAGTTGAGTTAAGTGTAGTGAATAGGCACTAGGCCTTTTTGAAGATGTGTAACAACGAGAATCCAGGACTAATTAGACAACGTTTGTGAAGAGATCAGATGGGACTCAATTAGACCTTTTTTGCCATACCATGGGGATATTCAATATATTAGACTAGGTACTAAGCCACAGTGTTATCGTTTGCGCGTAATAACGCGGCGGGCCTCTTACTAGTAGCCAATCGAAAGTCATGTGTTTACTTCGATGAGGCTTATCTATGCAAGTCAGATTCATATATATCTCAGAAACGATACACGAATTTTCAGTCAAAAGATTCCATATTGGTACGTTCAAACATAGCCGACTCCTTGATTGTTCTTTGCTTCTTCATTGAGATTTTGACCAACATGAGCTTCGGTTTCGGAATAGGGGACATCCTCGCTGTGATTGAGCTTGCCAAAAATTTACGAAAGGACTTTATCAATGCACCCAGACAATTCCAGGATATTTCTACCGAGTATGTAGTTCTAAGCTCAAGTCAAATGATAATGCCTTATCAAATTTTGTAGGGTTAGAAGTCTTTCCATTGTGCTTCAGGATATCGAGGACGGGCTATCAGTGCCAGACCTCAACACCAAACAAACAAATGAACTAAAAGAAATTGTTTATGGTTGTCGAGATGTTCTTGAAAAGCTACAACGGGTATTGAGCACATATGGCGAAATAATGTCGGATTCTAGAGGCGTGGGAAACAAGGTGAAGAGAATTTGGAAAAGACTTCAATAGGAACCGGAGGATATCAAGGAGCTTCAAAGTCGTATTGCATCAAATGTTACCCTGTTGAATACGTTTCAAGGGAAAATTTCAAGGTAAGTTTATCTCTCCATGTAGACTTTTCGACTAAGACTCTTTTTTAGCAAGATATTGAACGACATAAAAACGAACGCAGGTCAATTTTATGAGCGACAGGATATTAGAGAACTTAATATCGAATCTTCAAAAATTATTGATTGGCTCACTCCAATCAATTATGCTCCTCAACAGCAGGACTATATTAATCAGAGACAACCAGGAACAGGAGAGTGGCTTCTAGACTCGCCCGAATTCAGACAATGGGTAGAGTCGGACGTGCAGAGATTATTTTGCCCAGGCATTCCTGGCGCTGGAAAGACAATGCTTACATCAATTGTAGTTGAGGAACTTACGAATCGCTTTGGAAACGATAAAAGTGTTGGTATTGCATATTTGTATTGCAACTTTAGACGTCATCACGAGCAGAAGGTTGATGATTTAATGTCAAGTCTTCTCAAGCAATTAGCTGCAAGCCAATCTTCTCTACCAGACGAAATTATAAATCTATACAATGAACACAGAAACGCGCGGACACACCCGTCACCAAGAGAGGTTTCTAAAACTTTCCAGTCTGTCGCTGCTCGCTATTCCAAAATTCTCATCATTGTGGATGCGCTTGATGAATATTCAATGGCCGATGGCAGCCGAGAGAGGTTTCTATCGGAACTTTTCAATCATCGAAAAACACACCAAATTAGCCCTTTCGTGGCTTCAAGATATGTTCCTGAAATTAGAAACAAGTTTAATGACTCTCATGTTGGAAATTCGAGCAAGCGATCAAGATGTGAAGAGATATTTAGATGGTCATATTTCGCAACTACCTGGATATGTGCTTCGGAACTCGGAGCTACAAGATGGGATCAAGAGTCATATTATTAAAGCGGTGGATGGAATGTGTGTAGTTCCTACAAACCAGTGAACAATGCTTATTTCTATTACTTTTAGGTTTTTGCTTGCACGACTACACCTTCAATCCTTAAGAGGCAAAAAATCTCCAAAGGCCATCCAGCAGGCTTTGAAAAGTCTCCCAACTGGATCCAATGCGTACGACTATGCATACAAAGACGCTATGGAGAGAATTGGAGGTCAACTTGAAGATGAAAGGGAGCTTGCCAAGCAGGTCCTTTCGTGGATTACCTGTGCAAGAAGGCCTCTCACAACGACAGAACTTCAAGAAGCTCTTGCAGTGGAGATATATGAGCCAGAGCTTGATAAAGAAAACTTTTCGGAAATCAATGCAATGATTTCGGTGTGTGCTGGGCTGGTGATTGTGGATGATGAAAGTGATGTTGTCCGCCTAGTTCATTATACGACACAGGAATACTTTGAGAGGACACAAGGCGATTGGTTTCCGGATGCAGAGGACTATATCACGACAACCTGCATCACCTATCTTTCATTTGACAGTCTTGAAAACTGCTTTTGTGAAATGGACAGAGGGATTATGGGTCGAATAAACTGGAGGTTTATGGATCAAGTACAATCATATGAATTGTTTAGTTACGCCGCGGATAATTGGAGGCACCATGCTCGTAAGGCCTCACTTTCGGATCAAACGTCAACATTATACCAGTCAATTGTAAGATTTCTGGAAAGCGAAGCCAAGGTCAATGCGTCATGGCAAGGATTGTCAGCAGTGCTGGATCATTGGGTAGAATGGGATCCTCCTGTGGAAATCACAGCAATGCATTTAGTAGCATACTTTGGGATCGACACTACTGTAAAATTCCTGCTTGATATGGGGGAGGTAGACCCGGATGCAAATCATGAGCCAGAAAATGACAATTCAAATGCAGATGAACATGAAGACGATATTTGGCACACGGATCGAAAAGGCGCCCTTGCTCGTACTCCACTTTCGTATGCTGCTGAGAATGGGCATACCATGGTGGTTAAGCTCTTGCTTGACACAGACAAAGTCGATATCAATTCGGGGATTCATGAGCGTCGTCCGACGCCACTCTCGTATGCTATCATTGAACGGCATGAGGCAGTAGTAAAGCTCCTGCTTGACACAGGCAAGGTCGAAATCGATCAGTACAATAGCGTCGATGGTCAAACTCCATTATCATACGCTGCAAAGCATGGATATGAATCAATAGTCAAACTATTGCTCGATACAGGCAAGCTTACAGTCGATTGTCATGATATTCTTGACAAAACGCCATTCTCATATGCTGCTGAGAATGGACATGAATCAATAGTCAGGCTCTTGTTCAACACGGGAAAAGTCAGTGTTGATCTACAGGATTTTTTCAACCTTCAAGCACCACTTTTATATGCTGCTGAGTATGGGCACGAAGCAATAGTTAAGTTTTTGCTCGAAACAGTTAAGGCTCAAATCGATTTGCCTGATCGCGATGGCCAAACACTACTCTGATGGGCTGTTAGAAATGGGCATGAAGCAGTTGCCAAGCTGTTAGTCAAGCATGACGCTAGCGTAAATGTTGTTTCTATAGATGGCCAAACACCACTTTGGTGGGCTGTTAAAGATGGGCACGAAGGGATAGCCAACCTGCTAGTTAAGCAGGGCGCCAGTGAAGATACTGTTTCTAAAGGTGATTCGTCAGATGATTCGACAGATGATTCAGCAGATGAATCAACAGATGAATCAATAGGTGGACTCAATACAGTCGATGGGTTGTTAACTGTACCCTTTTGGGAAAAATTAATCTAAACTAAAAATAACAAATTAATAAAATTACAATTTAGAAATTAAATATTAAATATTAATAATTAAGAGAAGAAAATTTATAATGATTAGTAATTAATTACAAAACTTATAAACATGTCTTTAATTATTTTTGTTTAATTTGAATTCCTTTAATACTTTAAAATTACAAAAGTGAAATTCTGGTGTTTATAAATTATTTAAATATTATAAACGCTTCGACATTATAGAATCCTATATATGTTGATTTATTACTTTTTAAAGTGGTCTTTTTATCTTGCAACTTATCTTGAGTGCCTTGCTTGCCCAAGGCGGAACCGCTTACAACCACCACGGTACAACCGCCGCGATAAGTGAGTTCAGTACGGTCATTCCAGCACTACCGTATCGCAGCATTACAGCAATACGGAACTACAGCACTACAGTACCACGGTACAACTGCCGCGGTCAGTAAATTCAGTACGGTCACCCCAGCACTACCGTATTACGGCATTACAGCACTACGGCTTCATGATATTCGGCTATATATATAAAGTGCACACCCTCCATGTTTACTTTCTTTCTACAAATAAGTTTTTACAAACTCTTTGGAAAACATATCGAAACTTCCTTACATACCATACAAGAAAGTCGCACATATCAACACAAGCAATTCAGTTAAGCTCACTTGACTATTCCTGCCTTTTCAAACCTCTAGACTAGCCAATATGTCTAGCAAACCCCAGACGAACGTTGGTGTTCTGCCTAGCCAGAACTTTCAGAAACCTCTTACTCCACGTGCTCGCGCAGAAGCATCTCGTAGACTTTGCACACAGGGACAAGAGGGCAAAACATCCCAGAATGTCAATCTCGTTCTCAAGGAGATGTCAATCGGTGTCAAGGCACCTACCTTGACCCCAAAAGTTAGGTACGTCCGAAACCTATATTCAAACTCTGCCTCGCTATTTCTCTTGATTTACATTGACACAGATACTAAAACCATATTAGAGAGTCACTTAAGGAATTTACTCTCTTTCCAGATCTTCCCACCGAGCTGAGGATTAAGGTTTGGGCATTAGCAGATCGATCCGAATCACGCATCTTTGAGCTAGTATTCCACCCTCTCACGAAAGAGAGCCACCACATCTTCAAAGTTTCAAAGCAAACCAACCGTGTTCCAGCAATTATGGAAGTAAATAGAGAGTCACGTGCAGAGGGAGAACGAATTTTTGAAAAGAGAATTTTCTGCAACTGAGCGATGTTTGTGGCCTTTCCACTTTAGATGATAGGAAGAAGATTCTGTGCACGTGGTTCAATGCCGACCTCGATACCATCTATTTTGGGGAGAGCACATGCATCAGAACGGTTGTCGACTTTTTCCATATGTTTGGAAAAACTAGACTCCCTAGGATAGCCATGCTATGCACTGAGAATATTCACGCAAAATGCGACTGGGACAATGTCAACCCCCTTGTCCTTGCGGCACGTCAGGGTGCCAAGTTTATTCGTGGTGGCTGCACAAATATTCAGGCTCTTCATGGGATACCGGAAGGAATTGCATCGAATGATATGGTACCAGGCTCATCTAGCACCAGAGAAGTCTTCATTGTGGTTAAGTCAGAATGTGCCCAATATGCTGCAGGAGCAATGCCGAATACACTCAGCTTTCGACCTGCTCTCCACGAAGGTCTAAGGTGGGATGATAGGAGAGTGAGATACAATTGGACAATGAACATCGATTGCATCAATCGTGGCTTCGATATCGGATGTGGGCCAAATCGATGGACGAAGAGAAAATGCCCTGACTTTTAATTTGTTTCTCTAGCTCCTGAAATTAAAACTGGTAAAGGTCATAACCTCAAACATGACGGAATGATGGTTTCCATTCACGATATTCAAAAGCTGGTTGCAGATGGTGGAAAATTCATTGATGATCTGAAAACTCGTACTGGCGTTGACATTCATTTCCCGAAAGACCTATGGGAATACCAATACTCAGCCGTAGGCATGGGCTCGCAATCCACAAGTATGATTGAATTTGAAATCGGCTTGTACAATGGTACTCATGAAGCAATTAAAAAATGCAAGGAAGAGATCCAGGCAAGATGTGTAAGTATACCAACTGAAGCATCCATCTTAATTTCTGCTGACTTTTCTTTAGCTTGTTCCATGGCACGAGATCCCCAAGGATAATTGATCATGAATAAGGACGAGACGCTATTCATTAGATATTTTGGGATAGTATCGTTTCTTTTGGGGGTTAAGGAATCTTCATCAATGCCGTTTTTTGCTATAAGCTCGGGTAAGAATGTGCCCAAGAGAAAGTTGCAAGTTTCCATACAATAGGTTGCGAATTGAGACCTATGTAAACAGAAATAATATAAATTACGTTAATTTAATCAATGAACTAACAAAATCTTGATCAAAAACATAATAAAAATGTGAAATATATTTGGTTTTCTAGCACTAAGAAATCTCTGTACATGCGTTGACAAGAAATCATCAATTGAGGGGACCAGAAATATGGATTCGTCATAATTAGACAGCATTCTATCCATTTTTTCAATCACCTGAACACCTCAACACACCATCAAGCATTGCTGAACAAGATTTGTTGATATCCTATCCCCTACAAAACTATTCTCAATCACACTGATTGATGCTTGAGAGGAACGCGAGGAGGGTCCTCTAGTCTTACCATAGAAATGCTATCAAACATACTTCTTACTCTGATATACCTGAACAACAGGGGCTAGTGCAAAAAAAAAGACTTTCATACTTAGAATTATATTTCGCTATGATCGAGGCACCAAGTTCTAATGCTTCAGTTTCTTCATTCGCTGATCCAAAGAAGATCATTGCCGTTCCCATCTTTAACTATCTCCCCTGAAATAGCGCGTCTTACTATCAAACCATTTCCTCCACTTAGACCAGTCAAATTGTCAGCGAATTCCTATAAATGACTTCCTGATTGTACTACTTCTTTATTGTGTATAAATCTTTCAAAAACAATCAACTAATGAAAACTTGTGAAATATGCCATTGCATCATGATCAGCTATCAGTTACACAATTTTCATTTACAGACCATACAGTGACATGATCAATCATAGAGCATATCACAATGTCATGTTAATCTTGCACACTTATGTTTGACTATGAGTAAGAAACCAGAATATTAATGATAGAAATTCCGTCGGAGTAATGTACTCAGGGCTAACATAGGATTTTCATTCTTTTTTTTTTAAATTAAAAAAGATTGAACCACCCTTCCCCATTTCTCATTTCTTATATCCATACCTATAAATCTCACCAAAACACATACATTCCATCATTCAACAGTAAATATCATCTCTATCTCAACAAATCCAAAAATCTAAAACATCACACCCCTCTCCCTCTTTCCTCCCCCTACCCCATCAACCACCCATATACCAACACAGCCCTTACATATTAATCTCACATTCCAACCTCCAATCCCAAACCATAGTATACTAGAATATACCCCCCCAACTCCCACCCACTCCACAAAAAACAAGAAAACACCATAAAAAAATACAAAAAATAAAAAAACAAGAGTAAGTTATACAAAACCTCGCTAAACGACTTGCTAAATATCAAGTACCAAGTTCGCATCGCAAGGTTATTAGTATTACATATAGGGCCAGAAAAATAGAGAAATTAATTTATTTACATAACGGTACCGAAGAGGGTATTGAGCAATGAGAAGACTAGGGAAGAAATTAAGGAGGAATTGGTTGTCGATGAATTGTTTTAAATATGGAAGATTGTTGCTAGCTAGGCATATAGCTTGTAGATTTTGAGTCCTATAGTCGTGGCACTAATCGCCAGGGGGTTGGCAAAGCTCGTGGTGGATGTAAGAATGACGGCTATCGTGGTCGTGGCGATCATGGCGGACGTGGCGGACGCGGTTGATAGACTTATCGAGTGTAGAACGGGTTGATATGTCGTGAAGGTTTCAGGGTTAAGGGTATCCCAATAATTCTGTAGTGTTGTTAGCTTGTTACGAAAATAAGTTGTTTGAAGGGCTCAGTGATTAATGCGAACAATGTCGTAGAATATTTTTAGAAATGTATAATCGATTCATTTTTTAATGCTAGTTTGAGGAGTGTGAAGTGAACTCACCTAAATTGTCATTTATCCCACCGTTCACTGACTATAGATAGACACATCGCATCAAACCAAATTGGGTGCCGAGCATGTAACAATGAAGTGTATTCCTATCCATCCATCTATACCTAAATTATACAAGGCTTATTGAACGCCGAATTCTTTCTATATCCAACATCTATACATATCTGATAAATATTACCACGTTCTTTTATAATCCATCCAATCCGCAAATTGCCTACAACAATCAAATCAGTCATCAACACACCAGAAGTACAACAGCAAGCCAACCCAAAAAGAACAAACTTACTATTCTCCTCTCCCTAAAATCTTTATACAACCCATCCCAAATATCCCTAGCTCTACAATCATCTCCCTCCTCCACAGGAACACATTTTGGAGCCCAAACCGTCCATTCCAAATTATTCAATTTCCACGGTTTCCTCATGGGCCAATCACTAAAATGCACGAATTTCGACTTTTTAAATACACTCTCTGGATCCCATATATCCATCTCATGACCTTTTCCCCAAAACCCACTATGCTTCGTGATAGGTCTGCGGAATTCTCCTGTGAGGAGTGCATATATTTGATGATCTAGTAATCCGCAAGAATCTTTCTGTTCGGTGAAGGCGGAGTTGATAATATCCATGTCGTAGGTACCTAAACCCGCTTTTTTGAATTCTACTTGCAGTCGTTCAAATGCGCTTGTTGAGGGTTTGATGAGCATTATGTGGGATGCGAGTTGTGGGATACCTTGGGCATCTAACCAATATGCTCTCGGAGCGAGGATTTGTGTTGAGTTTGACATTGGAGCTACAAATAATTCGTCCATGGGATGACGTATAGTAGAATCAGAATCCAGGACGAGAAGTTTCTCGTATGAGGTTTGGTTGAATGCTATGAGTTTAGTATAACTCTCCGCCCATTCATCTATCATCCATTAGTATTTTCATGATCGTCATTTCTCGAAGCAGGGTAAGAGTAAATTTCATTACCAGCTGTAGCATGCCTATGCTGCAAAATTTCCACGTTTTCCAATTTTACTTTATATTTATCTCTCGCTTGAATCAACATCTTAGAAATAATTTCCATATCCGTTCCATGGACATCTTCAACCCATGCATCCTTCCATAATTGCGGATACAACAGTACCCTTTCAGCTTTACTCTGTAATCTTTGCAACGACTCGAATAACATTAATGCATTACATAAATGATCCTTCGACGTTGCATACGTAATATATGCGTATTTATCCCACTGGATACCCGTCTCCTCGCCAGTTAAGGGTTCTACAACAACAGGAGCTTGCTTTAGACATGCAGGAGTTTTATACTGAACGTTCAGTTCCTTCGCTTTTCGTGTTCCACGTGGAAGAAGAAAAAGTATGAAGAGTCCACAAATGAAAATAGGTATCGCTGTTCGTACAGGTCTCGACCGAAGAATTTGTGCAATACTTGGTTTGGCTACTTTAGATGGTGGTGGTTCATCGATATCGAAATTGATGATTGGTAAATATGGTGAATTCTGAAGAAAATCTGGTAGATCAAGCGGTGCTCGATGTGACATATTGATTCACACTTCGAGTGTCCAAATATGAAGAAATACAGTATTCAAAATGGAGAAAACGTTTATCACGTGATTTTCAACAAAATCTGATGACTTGCGAGTCTGAACCAAAAAGACGTGTTGTATCTAAGACTATTAGCATAATGTTCCTCCATGAGAGTGAAAGTAATACATACACACAAAGAATAAAATCAAAACGCCGATTTAAATGCCCATAGTATTAATGCTTAGAAGATGGCCAACTATCATGAAGTATGGAAGCCCGGTATCTATCACAATGGTGATAACCAGCAAAAACGTAATGCCGCAATGAAGAACAATCCCTTCAATAAAAAATGTACCCCACTAAACACATCAACATCGAAGCGTACACCAGTAAAATCCCAATAGGTCTAGAAGGTTGACAGAATATCTATCGGAGAAATGAAAGGGATGCGTCAAATGCTTGTTGGCTGTGGGGTGGTAATTTTCGGACATTGATGATTACTAAGCTTGACGCTTGGTCTTCTTGAGGATAGGGGTATCACGGGACTACGACGGCATTATTGGATTCAAGATGGCGCCGAATTTCCGTCAAAGTGATTAGAATTAAAGGATGCGGGTGCTTGGACAGAGGGTTTAGGGGTGCTCTAAGACTTTACAGGAGAGTTTACTGTTGCACTGCTATGGGATCGTCGAGGCGGTGGCGAATGCGTCAGTTTGCGCTGATTTTTTTTGTTTCTGTTTCGCATCGCAATGGTGCTTCGTGAGGAATAAAACTTGAAGTTATTCACTACGGAGTTGTGTATATCACCACTCATCAACGTCCTAGTCTACAGAGTATATTTAAAGCTCTAATCCCATTCCACCCCAACGTAAATTCGAAGCACGTTTGCACTTCCCGCATTCAACCTGATCTCCCCTACCCTATACACCACCCGATCTTTGTATTCAATACTAAACCCCCTTAACTCCTGCACCAACCTCGTAAATATATATCACAACTCATCAATACCAAGTTCCTCCCGCACACATCCTAGTGTCACTACAAGATATAGATTTTCCGCCACGCCAACATAGTTCATCATTTATAGAGAGATTCTCGATCGGGACCTGGAATCTGGTTGATGAAACACTGTTAAACATCGTCAAGTGATACCACAATAGTATCTACCTGTATCAAGAAGAGCCATGCGAGCTCTAGTTTCTGCCAACTTCCCCGTCTCCTGAATTCAGCACCACGAAGGGGTTTTCTCTTTAGTCCACATTTATCGCACCCGGACTGCCCACCCCAATCCCTTAATATCATCATCAGAACTGAGATTGCTGATTTGCTTGTGTATTCATAAAAAACATTCTCCGCTGCATCTTGTATAATGAACTCTCATGCACTTACATGAACAGCTCATGTATCATAGTACAGAAACTGCATCCTTCTCAGTAGGTGCCATCTATTGCAAACCATGAAGAGAAAATCGGTTTTATCAGCAAAAAATAGGGTGCAAATACCTTTTATTTGACGATTTTCCGGGCAAGTCGTGGAATAATGGTGAAAATTGTTTGAAATAACCACCAGTGACACTAGACTGGCGGACTAGTCGTGTATTTATACTCCGTGTTAACTTATAGGCAGCGGAGAATATCTGGGACATTAGTAAATTTGGATGTCTCGTCTGAGGTAGGTGTCGTTCGTTATGATAGATAGAAGTTGGCACTATCCCAATAAGCGACCACCGAATGAGATGGAATTTTAGTCAATATCCCCAGAGTGATAGACCTGGTATTGGAGAGAACACATCTTGGTCAAGAAGGCCTTGAATCGGATGTATCTGAATACACTGGTATTCGGATTCTGAATGTATGCCGAGAGTATAACCCCCTTTAACAAAGGACCACACACATCGGAAATGACCGTAAGATATCACAAGTCATAGCAAAAACACCAAATCCCATACACCGGATCCTCAAAGCCTAATCTCGCCAAATCAAACAAAAAAAGAGGCAGAATGCTCGAACCAATATCAAAAAGAACAAATGTTGCACATCTAAAATTTCCGGATTCCGACAAAATACCATAATCGGCATCTTTGAACAAAATCCCATTGTCCAGGACCGACAAAGATAAAATTCGATGTCACCAATTCGAAACATTGTCTTGAAACCGACCTAGCGCCTACTCCGAAAAGTATAAAGAAAAATGCTTTTTTTTGTTGCTTATCGTAAAATCGAACTGTATTTTCGCCGATGTTCTAGCTGTGGTGTGTATGTAAACTGGACTTGTGAGTTTCAAATCGAGGCGAGAGCCAAGAAGTGGATAGAATTGGATGATGCTGTCGCTTTCAGGGAAGAAAGGATTGGGTATTTTGGATATAGTTACAGGAATGAAAACATAATCTATTCCGCATGGAAATCTTTGTATTCCGGAGAAAATTCACGAAAAACTGTTGAATGAAGAAATACCATATCATGCCAACAGTGGCGTTGTGGTGGAAATTCCGTGACAGCGGAATATGGCCCCAAAAAATACCTTTCGTTCTCCAATCTCGGAAAAAGTGTAAGGTTATATTTTTTAGTTAGGAAACAAATCCACCTATAAACAACATTCAAAAAATCCAATATGATATTTGTTGCGTATCTACAATTTTCTCGATTCCGTGAATATCTGCCGAAAAAGGGTTTGCGGAAAATCTATGAAGAGTTTGTTGTCAAAAATCAGGTGAAATATCAGCAGATAAAATTTAGCTGGTGCTGATGTTGGTGGCGGAACAACGCAAAACTTGCTCTTGGACAAAACATCGTGGCAAGCCCAGCCTCGAATCCAACATATACCCACACTTACTATATGGCGTGAAACTCCTTCCGATCATAACCCTTTTGTTGCACATCTTAAAACCGCCACATTCCGCAGCATCCATCAAGATGTGTCGGGATAAATCCTAGATGAGGAGGATGGATGTGTGTTGACGGAGTACCGTGTTGGTGGAGTTGTTGGATGACAGTGGAACGGGATTTCGGAATTTTAGGAAAGAGGGAATCTAGGCCTCTCGATGCAAAGCGCACCTATAAGATTATGTCTATTGGAAGTTTTGTTGCATATCATAAAAATAAGAATTCCGAGTCCGACTACGAAATTTCCGCAATGCGCGCGATTTCATGGTAGAGGAAGTGGTGTTGTGTGTGTTTACTCCGTGGATTTTGGTATTGAAGACCAAATGATTCCGGAATTTGATAATCAATATCCGCCCGCACAGGCTGCTTGGAGTGTAGGATCCATTCTTTGCTCACTTGGTCCCATCTTTTCAAATATTCCACATTTTGTCCTCCACTGATTATTAAACTGAGAGTCGTCGGATAGAATGTAAAACTAACAAACATTATACGGAAAGTATCGAGTCACTCGATACGAGTGAAACTAGTAAATTTTGTAACGGAAGAATATTTCCGTAGACGGACAACATGTAATACATTTTCCATATCATTAATGATCATTAAAATCTAAACACGCTCTAATTCTTTTGTTGCTTATCTTCAACAAATCCGAAATCCGAAGACGAGGTGGTTTAATTGTCAAGAATCTTTGCGCGTTGTTGAAGCGGCGAATACAGATAGAATTAACTCCGAAAATTCATCGGCCCCTTCATCTCGCCAATCCATCCTCACCAACACAACCACATTACTCCGTATGAACGGCGATAGTCTACTCTAAGCACCGAAATCTTTCAAATGTTGCACATCTAATATCGCCGAATTTCAAAGCGACGCCGATGAATACATTCTTTTCGATGAACTATTCCTTGGCACCTGACCAATTCCATGAAAACCTACATCTTTACCTCCGAAATCCATAATCTACAAATCCATACTCCATACAAGTAAAACAAATCGGTATATCGGAAGAATCGGCGCTCGCTCTAATCCCGTCGGTCTTGAAAACATGGTGGTGACATTACTCCGACTGACATATACCATGAACATGATTGGAGAAACTAGAAATTACAAAGACTTTTGTTGCAAATCTATTATATCCGAGTTGAACCAATCTTGAATATTGGATATTGAGTAATTTAGCCTGTACCTAACTATTGGTATTAGTTTGTGATATCCCTGTGGTACGCTGTGGTGCCAGCACTTTTTCCTCCGCACAGGGTATTTTGCGCTGATCTACAGGCCCAAAGCGCTGGGGTGCATGAACAGAAGCTTCGTAATGGCCGAAGATGCGCGAGGTTTCAGTAATATCCGCGATGACTTCTTCCTACCGATGAGATTGACCTCCTCGCCTCCAACCTTCACCAACACATTCATAGAACAAAAACACCGTAAGTAGTCAAGCTCATCCAATCATCCAAGACTCCAAAGGAATTGTTGCACATCTGTTTAAACTCCGAGATCCGTTACTTCCAGTATTGTCCGATATCAATTTTGTTTTATTTTACTATTTCTCATTATTGCTGTCTAATATGATTGATTTGGTCTAATCAATTTAACCGCTCCTTATGTAACACCCGTACCGCACACTGCTTACCATCCTCCATACTGAATCTCAAAGCAACTCGGTGCTCGCTTAATGCAATCTCCACGACACAAGCTCCGAACCGTACTTCCTTCATCAGCAAACCTTCATTGGACGACAACCATCCTCCTCTATCCTCCAATCCTCTTGTTGCACATCTATACAAACTCCGAAACGGTGGAAAACAACTCACACCTGCGTCGGAGACAAGAGTTCAAAAGTTCTCGCTCTACCACGCAACTCCGGAGAACGGAAAATCATATACATCGGAGACCGTAATGCTACATCGGTCTTCTTTTTCCTCTTCGGGAAAACCAAACTGATGGGTCCCCGAAACATCACGAACTATCGGGGTTAAATGTGCATTTTTATTGGATTGCAACAGGATGAAAATGTTTTGTTGCATATCTATATAAGTCCGAAGTTGTAATATTCGGGGACGGTTTTTTGCTCCGAGGTTTGTTGATGCATTTCTGATGTTGCCTTCGTTCTTCAGAACATTTCCTCCGCGGCAGAAGGACTAATCATCGGCTTTCACAAGAGCTAACCTTATTTCGCTCTGGGTAGCTCGATCACTAATCACGCCGCCGGTGATTAGATTCATCCGCAGAGCCGCATTCTTCTCTAATAACGCATTCTCTTCTACCGCTAGCGGATACATAAATGACCTGTTCGTCCCGCAAGTTCCTCATCTTCGAAATGTTGCACATCTCATAAATCCCGCAGCTCCGCCGCAATGCCGCGTAAAGTATTCTTTGAGAGCTGGTGCATCGAGATCTGTGGAGCTAGCCACTGAATTGCGGGGCGGCTATAGATTGATATCAATACAAATATAGAGCATATGGATATCCGTGACGTATCACTTGAGTTAAAGCACGAAGTTTACAACATGCAAGAGGTTATATGGCGGGACTTCATTGCACGCTGCTAAAAGCTCCGAGATTTCGGACGAATTCAATCTATTCAGCGATTAGATGCACCAGGGTAGGCACCGGGTAGTCTTTAGCCCAGTTGTCTACTCAAGTGTTCGGTTCGAGGAGCTTGCTAAAACTCCTTTCCGTCCAAGGAACCAAACACATTTCTCGCCGCTCTCCCAAGAATAATCGGGCAGATATGTGCCCGGAGAGAGAGCAGCTAGATATTGATCGCACATCCAAGCATCCGGAGATGTCGGATCTAGAATCTAGCCAAACTTTCTAAATATCAACATCAAGACACTAAAACATATCTATAGAGTAATAATTCGCAACATATAAGGTTCAAAAAAAGCAAACACCAGCAATGCCAAGCCAAAAAAAAAAGATAACCCCCGTGTCCGAGACTCAAACCCCAAATTTACCAATCAGAAGCAGAAAATTGAAAGTTTCAAAATCACAATCCATTTGTTGCACATCTAATAAATCCGAGATTTCGGATTTCCTAAACCTTTACTCGAGTATGCCATCGCTTATTATTTATTGTTTCCTTGTGTTCGTATGTGTATATCCGAACTGAACTTTATTTACCTAGGTACCTATCTAAGCTATACTCGCTTTCTGTAGCTAGCTGTAGGTCAACTGATGTAACTAAACTAACCTTATAATGTGATCATTATAACCTAAAATTAAATAGATTTCAAGGAAGATTTGTGAAAATATATGAAGGCACGGTAGATATAATATGATTATTATGATATAAAAGATATAATGTCTGTGGTGATCACGGCGGAGAAACGGAGAGATTGTATATCCCGGGTTATGGATTGAACTCCAGAGTGTACCAATCAAGAGGGGAAATTGAGGAGGAGAAAAATATCCTTCGTTTTGTTGCATCTCTTCTTCGTCCGAATTTTCGGCCTTTGATGATTTGTGTCGTTTGTGTGTGGGTGGAGTTGTATCCTGTGTAAAGTTTTTATCAGTTGGGAATACTCACGGATTCGTTTGTTCTTAGATCTTAGTTTGTGGGTTTGAGGATTTGTTTTTACGGTTCTTCTGTTCTTTTGTGGGATGATGGTAGGTTAGTGTTTTAGAGAATAGTTTTGGGTATGGATTCACGGCGTTGTAAGTTTATTGTCTTGCTAATGCTAGCTGATGTGGTGTTTAGGACCTAGATTATTTCTGTGAACTTTGTTACCCATCTTACGATTGTCCCATCGGGTTCAAAGCCATGGTTGAATGATAGCGAAAATTCAATCGCAGATCCTATATAGGCATTCTATCTCTATCTCATCTATATATATATAATCACTCTCTTTATTTCACGTCTCAACTAACCTTCAAAACCGACACAACCCCCGATCAACCCATCTCCCGCAACCCATCATCCATCGTCCATCCCTCTAGGCCCCCAACCACTCCCTCCTAACCACCTCCAATTCCTCCTTCAACCACTTCCCCTCCGCATCCTTCAAATCAATAGCATTATCAAACCCATGTTCCATCCCCACCCTCCAAACCCCCTTCACCCTGTCCTCACCAAATTTCTCCGCCCAAATATCAACCCACTCTTTCGTATCCTCCCATGGCACGGCCGAATCACCCATACCATGAAAAGCAAGATGATACGCACCTTTCCCCCCTTCAGGATCGCCCCCACCAAACTCCCCAACCACATCCTCCAACCAAAGCCCCTCTCCCCCGGCCCTCTCAAAAACCCCTGTCCACCTTCCCTTCTGCACCATCGCTATCGCAAGATCCAATCTCGCCGGCGGCTCCGCACTAACCACCACTTTTGAACCATCCCCCTTCTCAAACCCCTCAATATGGGCATCCAAAACCCCCTCATCTAACTGCGGCGCCCCAAACGGACTTCTAGTCTCACTAGCAACGGAATACCAATCCTTCCTAAGCAACGTCATAGGATACGAAGCAATAACCGCTTTACATCCTTTAAAAGCATTACCCCAGCTATTCCGTGGTAGAAGCGAACTCCTAATGGCCAAATAACCCCCAGCACTCTCCCCAAAAACCGCCACTTTTTCAAAATCCACATCTACACCCGCATCAAGCGACTTAAGATAAGCCAGCAAACCAGTGCTCTCGGAACCCGCAAACCACGCCCAGAAATCCCTCAGATCTTCTAGAATATCCTGACCCGTCGCTTCAGGCAAAAGTCTGTAATCGGGCATGATTAGGATCGCGGAGTTTTGGAGTGCAAAGTCGATACACCAGGGTGGAAGCCATTCGGTGTATAGTGCGGACCCGGAGACTAGGTAGCCTCCGTGGAAGCGGACGAGGACGGGGTATTTTCTACTTCCGGGTTGGGAATTTGAGGCAAGAGATTTGGGGATTAAGATGTGTGCGGGAATGTCAACACCATGAATGGTTTTATAAGGGGTGGTGTGAATGTTAAAAGGGGCGAGTTTGATGTCTGACATATTTGGATCTGGTGGATTAAATGCTATACACGGTTTTCCGTTTCGTGGTGATGTTTGTGATCTTTGACGATGATATTTTTCAAAATCGGGAATTTTTCGGGCAATTTGTGGGCTGCTTAGAAATTCGGGTATTTGTAATGAAGCCATATTGCCGTGCGGGCGGGCAATACAAGAGCATGAAGGTCAAAATCCACGGGAGATCATAAATTTGTCATATCGAGTTATCTGTGAGGTATTTTCTCATATTTGAACATCTCAAAGTACCATTCATTTCCTTCATATCTTCCCATGTAGCGATGATACAGCCAAAGTTGAACGAATAAATGTCAAGACTCGCAGGTACCGATGTCCATATTTATACCCACGCTTATACTCCCCCTGTAGCTAGTTGGAGGGGATTCAACGGCAAGGCCAATAACTTCTTTCCACTCGATCAACCAGTTCTGTCTGATTGACATTAAGCAAAGTCATTCTCCGGACTGACTGAATGGTTTCTATTGCACCACATTCAGGAGCTGTATTCTTTATTGTATAAAGACATGTTGCAAGCAAATCTTCGTCTTCCCATTCAAACCTTTTATCTACATATATGAATTCGAGTGGTAAGACAGCTTTACGACGGATAGAGCTTCGACCGCGGATAAGAATTATACTTTCAACCGCAGGAAAACACAACGCGATCTTGTAAAACGGGTTGACAGAAAGAGGACCTTCGAATGCCAACCGTTTGATCCTGAGAAAGTCGAAGGACAGGGGAGCATGTCGGCAACTCATTCTGTGACCAGTACAACGGGCACATTGTGAATACAGACCATCACGCTCCCAATCAAAATAAATCCTGGCTTCGCGTGGTTCTTCATTAGTAAGTGCATTCTCCATTATCGTGTTCAAGGTATGCTGGTCCAAAAAACACATCTCAGGATCTCTAGCGAATGACAAGTCATACCATATCAAAGCCATCTTCCTTGATTCTTGACAAGTATGAAGCATGGCTGGGATTGGCGCACCCGAGAAAAGTCCTGTGGTCCATCTAGATTCCCGAATCTTAATGTAACGTGCTTCAGGACGAGTAAAGTGCCAAATCTGATGGCGTAATTTTTGTGGAAGTTTTGAGAAGCGCAAGAATGTTGTTGGTATAACCGCAACCTCTATATAATCTTCTTCAGGGTCTGCTAGACCAAGGCCTGCTCAAGAAGTCAGTGGCAATCCCGGTAATAAATGGTTGTTAGAATGGAAAGCCTACAGTGTTTTTCAGGATCTGCTTGGCTTTCTCACTTCCCTGAGTCAATTGAGACCCGGATAATGGTACTGTGTCAGAATCTTCTTCTAGGTCGATTAGGCTACAGCCTGCTCAGAAAGTCAGTGACTATCTGTGTATCAAAGACCATGAGGGTAAAAGCATACAATCTACTGCATTGTTCTCCTCTCCAAGATCGAATGGGCTCGACACTACGTTAGAGGTCAACTGCCATTTCGAAACAAATGATCATTAAGATGAAGATCTTACAAGATTCCTTGACATTTTGCCAAGTTGAATCACTTTTTACAACTTTTTGGGTTTGTTGAGTCGCAGATAGAACTCCGGAAGTAAGCTCCTTCCTCCTAGAATAGACAAGTCAGATATATCGTGATTGGGACCAAAGGAAAACTTACTGTGCAGCCCTTATGTTCAAATAGCGGTCCAACATTTCATTCTTCATTGGTCCACTGTAGGAACTGACAGGGCCGCCATCTGGAACCATTTTATGTCGTGAATGAAAACAAAGATGGTTTGATTTGGAAAGAGGTATTGTACAGAATATCAAAGTTGAGGAAGATTCTTGAAAGTAGACCAAAGATGAAGTTGTGATGGTGCGCTAGCTTGATTAGGCAAACCTCATCCCAGGCATCCACGACAGCATTCTGCTTCGGAAGGAGCAACACGAGATTTTTTTACCGAATATGGTTCTACCAGACGCGATTGGAGTTACTTACTAAGCAAATGTTTTCAGTGTTTTCTTCTCTATCAGTCTTATGCTCCTCCATATGGAAGTTTTTGAAAGCTCATTGCCGGGAATATTCAAATGCATATGACGAGAAAGAAAGTATGTGAAGAATACGTGTGCTCAGGTGTCAAATAGAATCGAAGCAAACCCCAATCCAATCACCACCATATTTACCAAGATTCTTTCTCTCAATCGCAAGTTATCCAACTCCATCCTTAACCCAGCAGCGTCGATACTCAAGCAATCACCCTTATTACTGTATTGCTCATTTACTCGCTCCGCTTCGTTCTTGAACGCCATATATTGCTCTTCATTCTGAAGAAAACCAATACCGATTTAACAAAAGCTATAATAAGTCTACCCGTGGACCTAGAATACCATGAATTCCCTACTAGAGCTCTTACCTTTGTCTCCTTCGCTATATCCGTCAACTTTTCCCATTCTGCATATCCAGTTGTCGTCAAAATTCTTCTTCCAGTTGGTTCTCATGAATCCTAGTTTTCAAATCTTTTGGTTTGTCCAACAATATTTTATTAATCTCGGTGTCTGGTCTGATAGGCTTGGTGGCATCGTGCTGCTTGATACTTTTCACTGAAAGTTGGGTTGTAGCTGATTTGGACAAAGGTTGCTCAGGAGCAACTACTTTAGATGCAACACGAAGTGGGATATCCAAATTTACTGGCGCAGACAAATTGGACAGTTGATCGTGCTGAACTGGGGTTTGCTGCTGCTGCTGCTGTATGGAGGGCTCTTGCAGCTGAATTGGTTTCTGGTACTCAATCCCATGGTGGCCCTGCTCATCACAACACGCTTGGTATCCCCGTACCAAGCACCCCCTCCACCCTAGTAAATACCTAGTAACTTCACCATTTCTCACAACTGCACACTCAAATGTGTTATTATACAGTCCGCATCACATCCTAGCATACATTGGACACCTAAAAAAGTGTCTCCAAACCTCAAGATCGCATTGTTATCTAGCTTCCACCTCAGACAATGTCCCCGTCGTATTCGTCGCATCCCGCGCCATAGTTTCTGTCCGTCTAAAAAGTGTCTGACGTATGGAAGATCGTATATCCTTAACCACTAGGTGGAATTCGTTATGGGTAATAGGACCCCTCCTCTCCATGACAATTCATCAGCAACAACGAATATGCGTAGATTCCAAATATTAGATCCGTATTCATCCTTTCTTGAAGACATCCTTAGTATCTTGCATTGAAATCTGAGTAGACAATATATCTCCAAAGATGAAGAGAAACTCTAAAAGACCATTAAATATCAATATTCACACAAGTCCAAGGTATTAAAGCAGAACTTCCTATCCATGAATTACTGTACCCCGTGTACAATTTCCACGAGTTTGAGTTTGAATCCAAATCACAAAGTCAATCGCAAAATGATTGTACAAATATCAGTCACTTTACTCCGTACTCCTCCTACCTCGGAATGACATGACAGGTCCTACCTGACAAGATTCCGGATATGGAGAGTATCTCTTCCAGGTTGTCCTGAAAGCAACCTATTATTGTATGTAAAAAACTTCGGTCTATCTGTCACAAATATATCCCACGACCGGCTTCGCATATTTTGATGTATTGTAAAATATTCACAGGATATCTACTAGGGTCTCCTGAAAGTGATTTTCTTTTCGTAATTTACCTATGCTTGCACGTTGGGTGTATCTACTCTTGTCACTTGCTGTGATTATCGATGTCATTATCCAGTGTCTTTTCGATCTATCATCCAGACAAACTCCCTCTGGTGAATTTACCACAAACAACGGTACATTTCACTTGGTAGAAGCATGGATGCATCCAACGACTTTGTAGGCCCCAAAACTCATTACCATTGGCTCTCCTCAAGGAAACAGCAAACTTCGAAACGCAAAAAATTCCAATTTGCTAACTTATTTTATACAAGAAACAGGGTATCATCAATCTTCCCAAAGTCCCTCGGAATGGTACTCAAATTCCGCAGGTAAAGGAGCATCCCCCTGGAGATCATCATCTACATTGTTATCGACAAGTGGCCTCTGTTTCTCTCCAGCAACACTGGCGCTCGTACTTGGGCCCGAAGGTGCAGATATCGGTGATTTACCCAGAACATTGGTCATCCAAGCCGCCCACTCCCATGGTCTATCTTTATCTCCTGGTAAAGAATTGAAATATTCCCAACCCATAACACCACCAAATGTAGGGTATCTCGACTTCAGATTAAGCAGTACTTCTCGTAAAGTTTCAAACGGTACCCACCCATTACCATTCCCCGGATTGGTAACCATACCCACCACAACTTTATGTGCAGGCCATCCCCTCATCATCATCATATCATATCCAGCCGTCTTACTCATATCGCCCCATCCACAATAAAACTGCGTATTATACCACTCAATACTATTTCCCCTCATAACCTCCAAAGCCTCATAATTAAACCCACTCAAATTATGTTCGGGCCGTTCAGATATCAATGCTGCAGCCACAGGCGCGAGCGTAATGATAAATCCAGACCCGAAATCAGCTTTTAGTCGGTCAATCAATCGTATTATTCCAGCCAGAGTCATCTCCTCCTCAACGTCGAGATCTAAGCCATCGAGGCCACGCTCACGGATAAGGTTTCGTAAAGGACCGTAGTAAAGTTCGAATGTGGCTTCGTCTTGGTCGAGTCGAGTGAATGAACCTTTGGCTGCCCCACCAAGCATCCCCATTACTTTTATTCCAGTTGCTTGGAGGATGCGGAGTTCTGCCCACATGGTGGCGTAGCGCTCATGGTGAGGTACATGATCATTCTATTACTTGTTAGTATTGTTGTTTGTAGAGAGGATATGGCAGATGTACCAGAGTTATATTTCCCGGAGGATCATTGAGATGGATTGCTGCGACGTTTACGTGCGTTACCGCGATGTTTGGCTGGGTGATGATAGGTAATATTGAACATGGTCTGCCATCGGAATGATGTTGCGTCTGGTAGTATATGACGATTCGAGGAGTTGTAGGAATTGGAATTGGAGGCATTGAGGAGAGTCGTGGTGATTTGATTTGTTGGTGAGGGTTGATGATGGGTCAGGTCCCAGGAATTAGTGCGGGGACTAGCCTGGCGAGCCTGGAGCTCACCCCTGGTCGGATTTGACGTCGCCTCGTGTATTTCAGCATCTCAGTATCAACATCACCGTTGCACAAACGGCACAAATGATAACCACGGCCCTCATCTGTTAGTGTTTACATGATTTCACAATGGAGATGCACTTGAGATGTACTTGTCTACTTCAAGATCAGAGATTCGACTGCGAGAACAATTCACGTCCAACTTGGAGCCCTCGTCCGACTCCTCATCCCTATCCTCTATGAATGGTGATTTTGTGTCCAAACAAGGCTGTGAGCTTTGCCGATGTGGCGGAGTAATAACCATATGCATCATATGGTTTTATCAATCTTGAACGGTTCCCCATCTTGCCACCATTGTCATTGGTACGTAAGTGCCTCCATCATTACACAGATTGAAGCATAGCAAGGCTTTGTGTCCCACTAACTCACCTTGGAAGATTTTGAGTGGCTATGCAGTACGGAAGAGTACATTTTAGTCTAGTCATTTTAGCCATAAGATGCTGTTATGCTTCGAGCCAAGAGAGGATTGGTGGTTTCGGTCTGCGCCCGGCTCTTGCCTGCTTGCTCCATATCTCAGTCCTCAGTTTAAGTATCTTATTTTTTCTTGCCCTTCCAGTTTGGAATTAATCTGTTGTTCTGTATCTTCCTCCCATCAATCACCCACCAAAGCTATTTTATGTGTGTAGACTTTGTTGCATATTTCTCCTCAATGATCGAGCTTCATAAAGTTTTTCTTGTGATAATTTAATCGACTTGTTGTGAAAATGACGGGCCCATTTTCCGTAGCAAGCGGTGCAGTAGGAGTCATTTCCCTGGGCCTTCAAGTATCTCGAAGCCTAGTCAAGTGTTGTTCACAATACAAGAACTTCAACAAAGATATTATCACGTTCAAATTCAAGGCAGAGACTTTAAATGCTATTTTATAACAGCTTGGAGATAAGCTAAAGTCCTTGGAGCAGAAAAATTGACTCTACCTACCTCGGTTGTTGAAATGATCGAAAAATGCGAAGCCGGGTTACGAGGTCTTGACAAGGAACTTCAAAAACATGGTAGGGACACTATCTCGAATCGAATTGCATATCCTTTTACCAAGGAGTCTTTGACACTTGCAAATACAACCTTGGATAGCCTACAGAACATTCTTATGCTAGCCCTTCAGTCTTTCAACGTGTAGGTCATTCAAGATCATTTAGAAAAGGAAATTCAAATTGTTAATATTGAACAGAGACACCTACGAGCGTGTCATCGAATTTTCGCAAACGGCTTCGCAGCACAGTACAGAAACTAAGCAGATAATCGATTTCGTCGCCGCAACTATTGCCGCGAATGATGACAATACAGTATTGTACTAGTCTCCTGTCTTAAATGGTGTGTCTGATTGTTGTAGCAATTACGGCTTGATTCCATCCATGACTCAATTCGACAAATAGCCTTACTACACCAAGGAGCTCGCATAGAGCCCAAGCCATCCCAGAACAAAAATTTGTCTCCCAATCCCAAAAGACAACCTCGAAATAAAGTTTCTCGCTCTTCCACAATATTGGATAATTGTCCTTGCCGAAGATCAGAATACACATCTGAGCGGGATATAAGCTTCCGTAAGGGTTGCCCGATCCTTTCATCTTTATTCTGGCAACAACGGTCTGATCATCGACGCGACTGTCCATGGTATAAACCAGGGCGCCGAAGCGTCGTAGTCGGAGCCAAGTTTCTACCCTACAATGAGTTACTGAGATATTCAGTGGCCATCGCCTTGTCCATAACTAGGGGCGCAAATAGCTTTTCCATCAGCCCTCATCTGAATATGAGCTATGTAGTTTCTGATTATGCTCCATCCTTTGAAATATTTTTTGGCAAGAACCTACCGAAGTATAAGTCTTCGTTGTGAGCGTGTCGTGAAATGATTCATCTGAGGGGGGGAAACTCGATTTACTTGAATCTGGTTCAGCATTTTTGAATTGGCAGTTGAAAAAGCTTGGTCTCATGTTTGACCAAGGCAAAGCTGCCGCCAATGATGTCACAATTGATGGACTGACACTATTTGCTGTGAGTCCTTACGTTACCACATTTTTAACTACCATATTGACTTTCAAGGCCGCGAATCTTTGGTTGTGGTCCTGGATGAAAGATTACGTTGAGCGATATTATCATTCTCCTTTTCATCGTAGCGGACACACCTTTTCCGAGCTTCAGAAAGATCTACGTAATTTGGCCAATTTATATCGGAAAGTGATAAGCTTATTTAAATCTGCCGGGTGCACTTTTGAAGCTTGCGCATACTACGGGTATGATTTCTCCTATCCTTTTCATAGAGCACAGTACCATTTGCATGCTTCGGATCCGGAGTAAGGGACTCTCATTGGTCTTTATGATGTTCGAGCAGTTCTCAACCCTTCATCAGTGTCCATAATATTAATCGTTGTCTCTAAGATCATTTACGAAAATAATTAAACACTTCTGAAAATATTATGCTAAGTGCGCACGACTCATAGGGACTACTACGCAACTTTCTTTTACCAGGCACTCCTCCCGGCACAGATCGATCTTAGCGAGTTTTACGATATTGCAGAGACTCTTTGTGATCTCGGCTCCCAGATTGATCTCACTGATTTACAGCGCCATGATCACAATGGATTTGGGTCGACGCAACGCAAAATTGAGCACTTCATTTCTAAAACCAAACAATAGACAGTATGTGAAAACTAATCCCTCAAACTGGAACAATAATTAATTTTTTTCTCCAAGCTCTTGACGGACCGGAGGTTTTCAAAGCTATCCTGACAAGATCAAAGTGTGAATTAAAGAAAATTCTGTCCCGTGACGCCGCTGCAGCAGATTCTACCCTTGATGATGGGACGACCCCTTTGCATGCTTCTCATTCTTGGCCCCTAGGTATTGAATTGCTACTAAAGGCCGGAGCGGATGTTAACAAACTGGATCATCATATGAGGCCGCCAATATCATTTGCAATTAGGGCGAAATGCATGCCCTCAATTCGAATGCTTCTCGCTAATGATAGCATGTTAGGCGAAATCCGGGATCCTTTTTTCACGACGGCACATGAGCTATATGAGGACATGGGTATTTTAAATTCATATCAGCAGGTGTTATTAACAGAAGACAACGTCTGTATGAACTTGCAATGTCCACATGTCAGGAAATGCAGATAGACGTACCTTCCTACCTCGAAAATAGTAAAATCCTTGATGCCTTTGCCTGGAAAGCAACGAAGTTTCTCCTCGATCATGGGGTCTCTGTCCAGCTCGCACTCTTGCTCTGCCTGGTGATGGCAAATCGAAGTGTTTACCACGCAAAATTCATGCCTGTACAAATCACAGAGTATCTATACCAAGCTGGTTTTAAGGATGTCAGTGAGTATGACGACTATGGATATACCCCATCTATGAGGTGTATTGAATGGATAGGCGGCTCATATACCACAAAAAATTTTCGATTTGAATTTACGCTAGATAGCATCGCTCTGCTTTGGTGGTACATGTCTAAAGGGGTGGGTTTCCTCAAATCTTATGGTTTCTACAATGAAACATTGCTTCATCGGATTGCGAGAAGACTTAGAAGCTTTGTAGAAATCCAAGATTGCTCGCCAATTATCGACATGCCCCAATATTTGGCACTAAAAAGTCTTGTGGTTATGAAAAAGCATGATGATTGCATATGCGCTTGCTCAAATGGCGGTTGTCTTCCAGTCACCAGAATGATGGCTCTGAGACGAGAATCGAGGTTCCCACAAGATGCAGAGGACCATAGGCGAGAGGGTATTGACTACAGATTGAAAAAGACATATCAAATAAGTGAATTTTTGGACAGTGAGGCAACGGATTATTCGTGGGTAGCTGAAAGTTTCTTCCGAGCCTTCACATTTTCCATGCTTGAACTCACCCACACATGCTTCTGCGAGAAACATCCATCTGACCATTCTACTGCGAGCGAAATAGCAGAAATTCGAGAAGAAGAAGCCGGCTTAATCGAACAACTCGATGAACTGGTTGCAGAATCCCTAGAAATGTTCCGAGCCTTCGAAGGCTCCTTGACTGCTTTCCTCAAAACCAAGTGGAAACCAAGAATAGACGACTATCTCGAGCAGAACGACGAAAAAATGGATGCGGAAAGCTTGCAGAAAATAAGGGAGATTGGAGTGAACATGGAGTGATTTAAGAGCTTTATATCGAAAGGACAAAGTAGGCGATACTATTCCCAAACATGGTACTTGCGGCTAATAACTCAAAGAGGAATGTTTCGTTTTTTTTTGCGTGTTTCAATGCGGTTATTTGAGGGCTGAGATGACAAGTGAGCATGAGGTTATTTCAATGATGGATGGTTTCATTTTTCAAGATTTACGTATTACGAACTACGAGTTTCTGGATTTTCATACCTGAGGATGCTATTTTGATGTATTTTTGAATGAATTTATGGATCGATCAATGAGTAATATGTTGCCTCTTGTGAATGTATTGAAGTACCACTTATCTAAAGCTATATTACAGTTTTTTTATTATCAAGTTTTGCATGGCATCTTTGTATTTGCTCTCATTACTACTTTCGTGTATACATAACTAACTCCCAACATAGAAACCAGGCAGTGAAAATGATCGAACAAGAAAAGCTTTTTTTCGTTATTCTGTCGAAGCTATTTACTATTCTGCTGAAGTTTTCTAATTCCATCATCCTAGCAGTAATAAATATCAAAACACCGGAGAACTCCCAACTATATAATTGAATCCTGTTCTATAGTAAGATCTTGATGCGAAACACAAAATACTAAATCCTGGCCCGCCTTTCCCAGGTGTGGTTTGCTTAATTTGGGGCATGATTATGCTTACTTTTGAACATTCACTGTTTCTGATTAGAAACCATGCATGACTTAATAAATATTCCACAGGTTCTGATTGTGAGATGACTCTCTCTGGGCTATCACTATTAAGCGATGATTATTTTAGTATGATGAAGCAGTCCTCAATTTGGGATCATTTGGACTATACTACAGTTGTCGAATCCAAGTGTTTTAGAGCCTGCGAATATAATCCAAAATATTCTATTTAAATAATGGTTCAATTTAAGTCTAGTACCCTACTTTTGGACCACCCCTCTTTTGGACCATCCTTTTATATCAAAAATTACCATTTTCAACTATTAAAAATTCAACAACCAATAGATAAAATTAATTGAAATTTTAATTACAATATTTCCATATAAATATAAACAGATTCTGAAAATTTCAAATTTTTCCCGATTTTATTGATCGATATTTTGAAGATTGAAATTTCGATTTTCAATTTGTATAGGATTATATCAGGTTTTTGTATCACGATAGAGGATATATAGTATTAATAACGATAAGACTATATTCAATGTAAAACTAAACCTGTTACGAGGGTTGCCGTCTAGATCACGTGGAAGTGCTCTAGGCTCTCGAGGTGGTTTATAACTAGGCGTCAAGCAGGGACTTAAGTAATGACAATGATGCAATTCGTAACTAATAGTAGAGTATACTAAATGATTGATCTTGAGCACCAAGCTCTATATAAAGGGGATCCATCTTGATTATATAGACCTTCGTGTTCCAACATTGGAGCGATGGAGCTGGGGAGCGAGATTCGAATATCGTTCCTTCGCTCCCTCGCTCCCTCGCTCCCCCACATGGCTATCCATGTGATCCTATAACACGTGATAATAGTTTATGATGTTACAACGTAACACCCGACTTATATATTTATTTTAAATATTTGTGAATTTATTAGGTAACCTGATGGAATTCATTGTCGATGATAAACAGAGCCGTACAATCAATTGCGAATCTTCAATAGACCACTGAATAAGTGAATGGAATATGAGGTGTATTTTGAATAATAGCTTCCTTATTAGTACTCAGTTGAGGGTATTTGATGTAGCTAAATGCAAGTATTCGTTAAAATGATAACACAATAACAAATAGTCAGTCTCCTACCTAGAAATGAGCTTGATCTATATACGTTATCTAGACTTTCCATCAATTTACATCCCCGAGGCTCCATGTTTTATGTTTTACACACGAAGCTCTAAAGTTTATTGTAGGAAATTGTGGAATCACTATTTAAATTCACTATTTAACGGCCCAGCGCAAAGCTACGGTAGGTCGTCTGCAGATACAGGCAAGCAGTTTGGAGAATGAGTCAAGTACTATTTTAGCAATGACAGCAGTACTAGTGCAAAAGATATGGCGTAACTTTTATAAATTCTTCAATCTCCCAGCTTTAAATAGCGACGTCAAAACCTCCATCTCCCCAGGTTATTTTCTTTGAATCCAATTCAATTCCATCAGCAACACATTCAGCTATTTCTATTCAATCCACAACAAATCTCACCAAATCATAATAGTACATTCATAATTTTCAATATGGCAAACCATCTAATCTATCAATCAATCGGCTGCGACCTGCAATACAAAGTTGTCGCGGAAGCTCGCTCATTCCGCGGAAAAGTCACAAATCAAGAATTTCTGGAAGTGGCTCAATATTTGAGTGAAGTGGTTAAGAAAAATGCATATCATGTAGCTCTTGGTCGTCCAGACTTCACTACATACATTATCGATTTTAAGATCTGGGAGCACTGCTGTAGGTGGACATTTATCTTTCTTGAATTATTCTCTGCTACATGGTAGAAGTCTAACATTGTATTGCAGTCGCCATGAATACCGCAATAAACTGGGTGCCTTTCACGTGTGTTGATCCTCGGGGGGCACTCAGCATGGTTGACTTGAACCCGTTCCCAGCTGTTCCGTACACTCCTCGTCCACCCACACAGCCAGCTATTGTACTGGACCAAAAGACGCCGGTTAAGAATGGTGCGGGTGTTGCCGCTCATGCTCAACGTACATCAAAAAATAGTCAGCTTCCTGCGTAGCATCACGGTTTGTCAATAGATGAAGTAGAGAAATTAGGGTGGAGAGAGGTTAAGGACCGTTCAAGACGAGGAGTCGGAGCCTCGTCTGGTCGTTTCACACAGCCCTAAGGATGAGAAATAGGTTGTGGATCTATATAACGTGGGCTGTAATGTGGGAGCTGAGTCTGGGATATCTTTTGGATTTTGCATTCTTTGCGAGCACATTGTAATGATGTTTTAATAATGGCGAAGCAGTTGTATTCGGCGTGGGATGGGGCGGAGTTTTCTTGAAAAGGGCTTGGGGAACACATGGGTCCTTATAGAGTGATGCTACGTCATACATGGATTACCTTATGGAGTCTACTCCTATTCAAGATATTTATTGTAGTTAATGAGCACAAAGAATGGTATCAAAATAAAGATGTGCGCTTCGTTTCACTTGAAAACAGCCGATGGAAAGGAATTCCCTCTGAAAAACACTAGTTCTAGCACTCTGAGAAGGTTCTATAGGAAGTTTTTGATACTAATTTTTTTTTCCCCTTAAGCTCTAATTTCAAGCTCATGTTTGGTAAATTTTTGTGTAATATACGTACCTGCGTCTCACATTACCTCTCTATTCTTCGGCGGCAGTCGCTTTTTCCCAACAAATCCCTCTTTCTTTTGATGTGAAACAAAAACTCCACTTCCAGCTAATACCAGGAAAAGACATTACATACCCCAAAAATTGTCTCTTTGTCGCGACTACGGACAGATAGATGTGTTGATATGTCTTTTTCCGAATCAAGCGTCGCCTACAAGGCTTGGCGAAGCTCCACTTTTGATAGTCCCAGTTTTGAATTCTTATGTGAAGAAGATATCCAAGTCAAGGAAAACAGACTAGTAGAAGTAGTAGAAGATACATAGTATGGAATATAGAGCTTCAAATCTATACTTTGAGAGATGAGTAAAGTTGTCTAATTATGCATGTTATCGTAGGGCATAGAAAACAGCTAGGACAAAATGTAGAAAAGTTAGGAAGTGACATTTACTTTGCCGATACCTCCGAGGAAAGCATGGAGTTCAGAGCATCTGTTTAACACTCTCTTCTGGTATCTAATCAGGAAACACTGGAAATTGAAGGAAAATGAAAGACTGAAACTTGCCAGCAGTCAATAAAATGCGCCAAATCGTTAGTAGTTCTGGCTTGTAACTATGTCGCAGCATCATTGGTAAGATTTTAAATCTGAGCTGGCAATATCAACGGAATCACGAGATTTTTGAGTTTGATGTCAAGTTGAGATAGAAATTTGTCACTTCACTGAACTCTAACTTCACATTTTGCCTTCTAATGTGACCGTCTTGACCAGCAACACTACTTATTCAATTCAAGTCTTGGTATTTATGTCTCTAAAGATCTTAGAACCTTTCTTTGACCTCCAAAATGAAAATAGACATTTAAATTGAAGACATTCAGCCAGGTATTGATTGGATCGTAGGTCATAATCTCTGCATCATCGCGCAAATGCCCAGCTTGCCAAAACATCACCGATTATCCCAGCTTCAGTGATTGCCTTCCTCAGTACCGTTGATTTTGAATTTTCTTTGGACAGTGAATATTTTCATAAAAGGCCATAAAAGGCGTGTCAAATCTTTTGGGAGGTCACGATTCATATCTTGAATATTGGGGTGCCCGAAAGAACATCCAGACACCTCGATTTCTCACTTTTTCGCCTCACGATATTCTTTTTCAATTTATTACATTTCACAGTCAACCACAACGACTGATGTATGCAAGAATCATAAAATGACATACATTTCAGTGATGGAGCGGATTCGGCACATTTTTGTCGTCGAGGAGCGTTGCCATCTTGGAATTGTCAGTGTTGCACGCTTTTACAGTGTTATAAATCAATGGGAGGGAAACAATGAAGTTCCAAAATCTGGTACTTTTAACCTTACTATCGATCAGTTAATGGACGTGTATCAATACAAAAAGGAAAAACATGTGTGGGAATCTTCCCGTAAGTGTATTCCAATTCATCTTTTGGAAAGAATTTCTGAACTGAAATCCTCTCGAATAGTGGGAGGAAAAGAAAAGTTCGGAGGGCTACCGGCTCTGGAATTTCCAGGTGTAGAACCACGTTTTGATCAATTCAATAACCCATCAATCAAATCAGAAACTACCCCAAGATCAAATGACACCGATCCCGGATCCGACTTTTTAGCAGTTGTTAAGGACGAAGAAGGAAACAAAGACTATTCAGCAGAATCTCTTGCTCAGCAAAAAGAGAGGTTGAATATCAAAATCGCTGAACTTCGGGTTAAGGCGAAGTACCAAATAGCTGCTGCCGAGACTCAATTTTAAACGTTGAAACGAGATGCTGCTACCGAACAGCCGAGATTGTGGAAGGTCGCTTTTAAAGAGTATGCTAAGTCGAAGCTGGATGCTAGAAAGTTGGGGCGCCGAGGCTAAACGACTTCAAGGAGTAGTAAAAGGCCTCGAAACTTTGAAGCGGGAGAGAGAAAAGGCCAAAAACGAATTTCTTGGGGCAAAGAAAAATTGTGAGAGGCTTGAGCAGGTTGCCAAACGTCTGCGAAAAGAATGAGTTGCTTGGTTACAATAACTTTGCCTCCCCCAGAACATTTACTCAGCAGCTGGTTCCCTGTTTATTCGCAGTGTGTATAACATAAGGCATCTTAGTATTGATTCTAAGAGTTTTGAGGCAGGCTTCTGTAGGATGATTTTCATCATGGCAGCGAGCTTTGGTGGATAAACATAGCTATCTTATTCAGAAAATAAGGATAAATGATCGCAACGAGGAATCATGGATGAACTATCTAATGAGTTAGTCTGGTATTTAAATATTCAACTCTATTATTTCTAAACAAATATTCTAAATCTTCTTCCCGGTTACTCTCCTGTTAAGGGATCATTGCTCAGTCAACTAACACTTGAAGAATTATTACTCTAGTTTGATACAACGGCTTCATTACTTGTAAGTTTCTTGAACAATGAGCAGATGGCAGAAAGTTGGTCCGTCGTTCTTTTCCGCCGCAGTGAAATTAGCCATCAATAACGAAAGTGGCGGAGCTTTGCCCCTTATAATACTCAATTTGAAGAGAGGTTTGAATAGAGACTAGTGATTTATGGAATTTCAGCGATTGTTTGACACAATGGCCAAACTGGTTTCAAGCAGTTGTAGCAGGAGAGATGGTATATGGGTTTGCACTGGCAACCCGGACGATCATGTACATGGATTTTTCAAGTGTCATAGCATATAGCTGACTGCGAGGCTGGACGATGATATACTTGCAATACCTATGAAACAGCTTTTTTTATTCCTAGTCTAGACCACGGTAAAATAATATACTTAAAGCCATAGCAGAGCTGCATTTTAAAGAAAATTTTAAATATAGATTGTACGGCATTGAAATCAAGAGCAGTAGCCCAATAGAAATAATGAGTACTCACATTTCTAACCGATGTCGTACGGCTTACATCGGATGTAAGCGACAGTTATTTTAATCAAACCCGGTGTATCGAGGCTGAGATTGCTGTTGAAGAAGAAACAATCATTCTTAGTCTAGTAGTCCAGCAACAGAGCTTAGCGAGTGCGAGAATCAGGTCATGTAGGTCATATACGTACGATTTTATGTATGATGACTTTTATCAGCCCAAAGTACTTTTACTTGGGATTCTGCTACAACCGCATATATACTTTTGTGAATCTATAGAAGCTTCAAGCTTAAGCAATTTACTACAATTATTCCTGTTAAAACCTCCACCCTTTTTCTTGATCCATCATCAATTCCAGCTTCTGCATAAATCCATCCCAACAACAACCTCATCTTCATAAGCAAAACACCTCTTCAGTATCAACCACTTTCCTCTTTCAGGGAAGGCACACCATAAGTACCAGCTACATTCGAAGAATCAAGTCAAAGATATCTTCAAAATGGTCAACACAGAAGCCGCACTCCCAGTGGGCGGAGACACAACTCCGATAACATATGAAACGGTGCTTCCAGAACTTGGACGTCTACTTCTTAGTCAACAATTACCATCCATAGATGGGAAAAATGTTACAGTGGATGAAATTGCTGCTGCAGTGGAGAAAGCAATCGCTCACATCAAGAGCAAGAGAGTATTTCTTCAACTCCAAATTCTTCGACCAGATTACATACAATTTCTTATCGACCGTGAAGCATGGGAGACTTTTTGTAAGCATCTAATTTACCATTTCACATCTCCAAAGTAACGCTGAGCTAATTTTCCTGCAATAAAGGCGGAGGACCAGATCAAAAGGAACATGTAAATTACAGACCCTTTCCTGCGAAAGATCCTCGAATCGATAATCCCCTTCCTCAATACTTCGACCCTGGCACACTCACCCCCGACAGCTATGGTCTCATATACCGCGACAATGTCCACCCATCCTGTCCCAATTGTAACTGTGGCGCCATATCCTCACGATCCGATTATAAAGATCAAAAACCCTACCGTGATGGTGGCATTCGCATAACCACTCCTGAAGAAGAATTTGCGGCTTTTCGCGTGAGACTTGAAGCTGAGTCTAAGAGATTGGGTTACAAGAATTCTGATGAGCGTTGGGAGAAGGAATGTGCGCTTCAACAGACTGAGGATGAAGAGAATGAAAAAAAGGAGCTTGAGGCGATGAAATTGGCTAAGTTGGAGGCAGAAGCGCAGGCTAGGGTGAGAGTGACGGAGGAGGCAAAGGGTGTTGTGAAGAAGAAGGGAAACAAGATGTGGAAATGCATATCTCGTTGTTCCAACATGTAAGGAAGGAAGTAAGGAAAGTGAAGTTGAGTGGGGAGATGGGGCTGTTTTCGCGGTGACTTAGCATGATCTTCATGAGATGTGTTGGAGGCACTGGGAAATTTGGTGGCGATGCTTTATCATATGTTTGTCTTTCCTTTCATTCTATCTACTAGATATGATGATATTAAGCGTTTGATATCTAACTCTAGTAGTAGTCAATGACAAGGCGACGAAGACACTTTTTATTTTCTTTTCGTTTCGTTTATTTACAAGCTTCTGGGTACCAGATATGATTGTACGAAACGATTTCAGGTGGCACTGGGGGATGAGGATTCTCAGTAGAAGTTGATGACTCTTCAACAGAAGCCTAGACTTTTTTTTTATTGCTAAGTAGTAGCACACATACGTTTTCGAGGGTTGAACCCTCTATAGTCTAGTTTAGTCAATCAATATCTAAAACTAAATTTCTCCGTTCTATGGAAGTGCTCAATATATTTCCTACGATATTTTTTTCATAGTCAGGTCGACTAAAGAGGGACAAGAGAATAACTCATGGTAAATAGTTTACGGGAGTGGAATGCACGTTTAATGCCATATCCTGTAAACATAAAACAACCTCGAAGTTTCAATGGTAGTCACAGGTATTTCTGTGAAATAAAGCTATCGAACTTGGTCAATTGCGAATAACTCCAGCCCGTAAGCGGTGGATGCTTAGACTTTCAAACTGGAATTTTCAAAGTTCAATATCTGGGGTTAAAGTGGAGAGGAATATTGTTTCGCCAGTGATGACATTGATGGTAAATGCGAATGCATTGAATTAGTAGGTGAAGAGGTGAGGTGAGGTATTGATGGAGTGATATTCGCCATCGCCATGACCGGTTCGTAATAGTAACTTTGTATGCATGAACGACCTGAAAAGGTCTTTCTGATAGAAATAGTTTCACAGGAACAAATGATGATGATGAAATATGTCTAATTAATGCTGGGGATATAATGGTCAAGTTCTTTGCCTTTGGATGTTTCAAGCACTGGGAAGAGATGACTGCAAGAAGTGGAGGATATGTTTAATTTGTTTGAAAAGAGCGAGGACCGTTGATCATATTACGTGGAAATACGAATTAGCTATGTTAGGCCGTGTGATTGAGCTGGTATTTTGACCTAAATATGAGTACATCCTGTGTGTGTCTACAGATTTCAGCTATTTCCCACAATTGACCATCTAACTAAGAATAGACACATTGACCTGCCTTGAACTGCCATTAAATTCGCACAATTATATTCTATACACAGTATCTTATAGTCTAACTAGAGCGTTCACTTGAAGATGATGTGCACTTTCTTCGGTGATCAATACATCCATTCTACCATTGAAATTGGCGAGACACCGCTTTAGACCGCAGCAAGTCAAATCTTGTTCGCGTTCATATGCGCTTCCTTGATAAAAAACGGGCAAGAAAATAACCACCATTAAAGAAATATATACACATATTTGTCTTAAGCTGTGCTTAGCGTACGCCACTTAACTAGACAGAAGTACCAACTCGAATTTAACACTCCAACTCAAGAGTGATCTCGGAAGAAGATCCCGTAAGATATATCATTAAGCACAAAATTTATAGAGATCTCCTATATCTTCACCTATCGAGCAGTTCACTAGCGGCTCTAGCACTCCTCGTTCGAAACATATTGACGTTTAGAACAGAACAGCAAAGTGTAAAGTGTAGATACCAAAGCTAGATAGACCACACTCGAATGGAAGTAAATATTCCTTTACCAGTCTCTGATCTCCAAACTTAGCTTATCACACTTTTACTCCGGTTGCGCAATGGTTCATTCGATCAATAGGCTTGGGTGGAGGAAGGATTGCTTGAGTGTTATTTCGCGGACTCTAAAAGATCCAGCGTATCACATCAGGTGTGGGAATATAAATTAACTGCAAACTTTAGCAGGAGCCGATGATAATTATAGTCTAGTGTCGCTAAAATGAGCCAGCCAATCGTTAAAGTCGCCCACTCGACTATTTTTCCTCGTCGCCGGCTTTCTTCTTTATATCCTCACCTCACGTGGATAATCGGAGAACTACGAAGGCATTATTGTTACAAAACTACTGGTGTATTTCCTTCGCCATGTATCCGTTGACGGGCCAAGGGCTGTCAATATTGAAATACCGTTACATTCCAATCGTTCAAGTTGTAAGGGAGAATTGTTCAAACGCCAATTAGATATCCAGGAGAGATCAATTCACCGACAAGTAGGAATGTATTCTCGCATTCCTTCTCGGAAGCACCATGTCAAATTCTACGTCTTGGCAATTTCTGTTTGTTGTTTCTTCTTCCTTGTCATCTTTCTATCAACACTGTCTTCACAATAAATTTCCCAGTAGATTGATATTGCAAGTGCATTTATCATGCCGGCAGATATAAAAGTTTCCGCAACGATCTTATTATCCACATTCATTTAGGTTTTACCAGCGAAACAGGGGCATCAAAAATAGAGCGTGGAAATTCGCGATACATTAATTAATCATCTTGTACAATTGATATTTCAATATGCCGCCTCCGGCTTTAGGAGCCGAAATCCCGATCGGTTCGACAACCATATCTCTGGGGGGGATTATTGGTATTGCCATTGGTGGTGCCGTCGTATTTATTGTGATTGGAGTTACAGCAGTTACATATGTTAAACGAAACCACCAAAATGCAGTCAAACTCCGGGAGAGCGAAGCTGGAGACGACAAGGAAACGAGCTTGGCTGCTCGAGCAAATTCATCGCCATATTCCCTTCCTCTTTTCGCGACTCCTTACCATTATCTACCGCCTAGGAATGCCCCTCGACGACGTAGCACGCTCGTACACACAAGCTTTATCGATGAGGATGAAGATGAGGAGGATGATAACATAGTCAGGCCAGGCACGAAAAGATCATCAGGACCGAAAAGCCTTTTTCAAAAACGGAGATCTAGCATTAGAGATTCTTGGCCATTGGCATCTAGAGTTCAAACTACCACAGCAACACTTACACGTGTTCAATCAGAGAAAAATATACGAATCAATTGTGTCGCCCCTCCAGGATATGTTCTCTCCGAGCCGCAACGTCCGAAGACAACATTTTCTAGGAAGTCTCCTATCAAAAATTCAGATTCAGTGGAGGATATCACAATTGTTGATGGAGAACCAAGAATGAGGCAGAGCAGGCACCGATCAAACTCAGAGAACCAATTATCTTCGATTCTGAAGTCGACATCTCAACGTCTAAGAGACACCCACAGACAATCTGTAAGGAAAAGTTGGAACAATCTTGGCAAATTTCCAGGATCTCCTCCCAAACAGAGGTTACCGAGCCCACCATTGAACAAAGCCACAGAAAGCAGGGAGGTTTTACTCGCTCCTGAATGTTCTACGCCAGACTACGACTCCCTTCAGGAATTACAGTCACCACGTACTCCAAGCCCAGGAAAAAGAGTTCCAAGAGCTGCTAGTAGAGCGTTTAAAAAAAGAGGGCGATCGCCAACGCCTTCTAGAGAATCCGATGACAGCCTTTGCGGAATCGATACCCCCGATCTTGTCATTCCAGCACAGCTTACATCGCCAAGCAAAAGTGGGCGAAGGCTTGAACAGCGACATCGAATGAATCTCTCTCCCACGAAAGGTTCTGCTAGTGCAGTGAAAACACACTTTGCCCCGAAATCATCAGTCATAAGTGATCCTTTCTTCTCCTCCATGAAGAGCGCAAAACTTACTCCATCAACTACAATATACGGACCGCAGCCTCGTTACGTGAGAAAGGCTACTTTTGGACAAGAAGAAATAAAGGAAGGGCTAGAGAATCATGGACATTTACCCTTGAAAAACATTTCAGGAAATCATTTGGGGCCGCTGCTTAAAGAACCTCGACGTCCACCTCAAGTGTCAGAGCTCAATCCGTTTCAATGGTCACCCAAAGAGGCTATACAGTCTCGACGTATGCCAGCAAGTCCCAACAAGGTTATGTCAAAAAGGAAAGGTCATAAACGATCCAATGTTGTCAGAATTTCTGGCTTGTCCAGACCCACAAGCGTTAGTGTTGTTCATGAAGAGTCAGAAGGTAACTCCCCTGGCATGACAACAATAATATCTCGTCCAACTCTTCGTGTAGTAGAGCCAAGTCCTTCATGTACTTCACTCGCTAGTCGACAATCTAGTGCGCTTGTGCCACGGCCACCATTTGTGTCTACTTTCAACCCAAGCATTTCCGTACCGTCTTTAAAGCCAGAGCCGCGGCAGGTATCTTTGATTAATGATGAATCCAAAACACAACCTCCTCTGAAGATCGATCCTACCTTCAATATTCCACCACTTAAGCCCGTGGAGAGACATACAGCTCCAGAATCAGAGGAGTACTCTCCCACGCCACCTTCGTCAAAAGTCAATCCACTTCTAAATTTTCCATCCCTGAAGCCAGTAGAACGGTATGTATCCGAGTCATCAGACCAGGAGGAATACTCTCCTACCTTGTCAGTTTGTAATTACTACGCCGAAAACCTGAATTCTGAAGCCGAATTCTTTAAACACGCTCGATCGTCACTTGCTATGAAGTCCCAGGTTCGCCATCTTTGTCAAAACATTGACGAGGAAATCAAAAGCCCGGACACTCCTACTGATACCTTGATATCCTTCCCGAAACTTCCTTCGCAAAAACCTGCAAATGAAAAAGGAGACCAAACTAATCCTCCGGATGTTTTAGAATCTTTGAGATCAGGACGTCCACCATCACTAGCTAGCAACACATCCAGTTTCTCTTGGCTATCAAATAACAACATCACTGTGATTAGACCACCAAGCCCCAAACGAGTATCTTTCTGTGAAATACCCAGCACCAGATCATCTAGCCCCACTCGCCTATCTCAATCATTCACGAACACTGCCAATAATGCACTAGCCCTAGGTCTCAGACCCCTGTCTCGCGTCAAGGCTCCATCACCTTTAACCCTTTCATCAGTCTCTTTGCCAGCTCCTCCACTTCTTAGCGATCCTCTCCCGATTCCTGCTCACCTCACTGGACCTCGCCCGGAGGCCCACAAATCGGCCTCATATAGCTCTGCGATGACTTCTTTCACATACAATACACCGAACTCCACGCATGATTCAATCGCCACAAGCATTAGTCTCTTGCGTCGAATGAATTCGGAGATATCTTGTACTAGTGGCGGAGACACCGATTCTTCTCCCATGGTGCCTGGAATCGGTCTGGATTGGGGTGATCGTCGCCGCATGAGCCGTGCATCTCGTTTCTACCTCTCGATTGGCTCACCCATCGATGGTGCACCTGTTCCAAACCATCGATCTTCTCTCAGCATGCTCTATCCAAACTCTTATTCTGCATATTCTAGCTCTTATTTCCCGCAAGGCAATGATTCAAGTACCAGTATCAATAGCATTGGGGAAAGGCGGCAATCTAGGAGTGATTTAATGGATCCCAATTACGGGAATTTGCAAGAGATACTCGAGGATATCAACGCCAGTCGTACGGGCAGTAGAGGCGAAAGCACTAGGGGAAGTAGTCCGGTGGCAATGGGAAGGCATGGGTTAAATGTCAAGAAGAAATTATCACTGACAAATTTTACTGTTCTTCCTGATGGAGGAGTCGGTTATATGATGGATTACCAGGAGGGAGACGAGCAAGTTATTGAACCCTTATCGCTGTCAAAATCAAGCGCAAACATGGAAAAAGAAGCAAAACCCAGCAAAGAAAAAGAAACGCGATGGTCCGACGCAATGATCAAACCACTCACGAAAACCACTCGTCGAGAGAGTAAAATGGAACATCCAAGTCCACAAACACCACCAAAGTGGGGCTGGAGTCAAGCTATAACTGTGGAAAAAGAGAGACTGAGTGGAAGTCCAACGAGAGATAAAGAGAATGCGTTAGATAATGAGTGGGATAAAGGGAGAGATAGCCCAGAGAGTCTAGGATTGTATGATCAAGATGAATTCCTCAAAAGTTCGCCAGAACGGAAGAAAGTGGATACTAATGAGGAAAAGAGGGGAAGAGCGAGAGGAGCGACAGTTACTGGGTTAAAGACGGATTTAATGGAAGAAAAAAGGAGAGAACGGTTATCTGCTCATATCACTACATGAGGAGTTTTGAATGAGGCGGGCTCGGGACACGAAGTGAAGGCCCGTGGATTATATCGTACACTGAGGTGGAAAACATATTCGTCTGATATTTTAATGAGTTTTAATAACGTACAAGATTATAGTTGATCTTTGTACATTTGCCATGGGTATAGGATTACTTTTATGACCTCTATTTGATATCGTAGTGCTAGTCATCTTCTTTCGTATCATTAGTTTATGCATCTAATCATTAATTTTATCAATCTCGAGTAAAAATTGAAACTGCACAAATAGTCCGTCTATAAGCCTGCATGTAAGATTATCATACCTGCTGAAAATAGTATGCCAAACCTCACATTGTTCCTTCCTCCTATACCATCTGTGTGTTACAAGCTCTTTTACTTCCGTCTCCTCTCCCTTCCTCTCGTTCTCTGGGTCTACGTGAGCTTGAATTACCAAAATAGCATCCCTCTTATCTAGTGCATCTTCTCATCTTAAACCGTTTCTAGCGTCTAACGTTCAAATTATAATGCAAATCTCCAACTCTCCTGGTAAGACCTAAAGAACGCGGCAGGAACATCATAGTGTGAAAATCCACATATCCATAACATCCAGAAGGAACTACACCACCACACTTCCGATGACACCAAATCCAATTTCTAGGATACGTTGTCATCGCGAAAGTTTAAAAGTTGAGGTGATATGGTTTGTAAACTCGTGTGACAAGCTTAAGTAAAGCTTCGAAGATAAGTTGATCCATCATCCATATTGATGACAGTATGCCGGGGAGTATTTGGTTTATTATTTGAATGATAAATGCTAATTTCTACGAAGGGATTATGGTTTTATGGGATTTCTAGCTTGTGATTCAGCTATTACTGAGAGCTGATTTTTGACTTAATTCATAAAATTATCCAACTTATCAGCTCTCAAACCTAACTATTATATCCCCAAATACCTACCAACCATATCCCAACCTTCCATAACCTTTAACCTTGAATCCAATCCACAAGCCCATGTCGATCGCCGAATCCCCATGCATGTATCAATCAACTCAACCCGAATTCTGCTTTTCCTTTTCCTTTTCAAAAACCTCAGTCACGCCTTCATTTCCATGGAATAATACTTCTGATTTGCGTAATGAGTATTTGACTGGTTTTGCAGCGTTGAAGATTTCTGTTAGTTCTTCGAGCTTTGGGTTTAGGGTTAGTTTGTACTTTGTGTGGATGTGTGGATGAGATGGTTGAGACAGAAAGGATAGATAGGATGAATGGGGTTTAGCAAGAGGGAAAAGGGGAGAATTACTGTTCTGCCTTTTGTTTCTACGAAAAAGAACTGTGCGGTGTTAGCTGATTCTATATGATATATAAATCTGGAAGTGAGAGGGGAAAGGAGAAGGAAGAAACAAACTCACGTAAATAAAAGCCACTTCCAACAAATCCCAGAAGATAAACCTAAATCACGAACAAATCAGCATCACTCCCATATCCGATATTCCAACTCCCAAAACCAAAAAAAAAGAAACAACCCACAAATAATAATACTTCCAACCCACCCTCGAAAACGCAATTCCAGTCACAAAAGTATTATAAAAACCCGCCACATTCCCCACCAAAGTATAAAGTGCCATCCCCTTAGCTCTACTCTCATATCTCAGTACCTCCACAGCATAAAGACCCTGCAGGGGTGTCCAACCCGCTGCAAACACGAAACTGAATAGGAATATCATGGCGATTTCGGCGCTGGATGTAGCGGCTGATTTGGCGACCGTGATGTGGGTGCTTGGGGAAGTGGTGGTGTTGAGAGCGTTGAGGATTAGGATTATGAGGAAGAGGAGGGAGATGAGGGATGTGGAGATGAGGAGTTGAGGGCGCCGGCCCCAGTGGTCGGTGTAGGCTGCTCCTATTAGGGCACCGATGAAAGAGAGCACGGATTGCATTCCTTGCTTTTTTTTTCTTAGGTGACGTTTTTGGTTGCGAATTGGATTGGATGCTTACCAGAAGTAACTGTGTATGATTATTCTCGATTCCGGCACCTGCTAGCATTTGCGGGTAGTAGTAACTAACAGGACCTACTCCAGATCAGTCATCAAGCTCCCTCTTTAACATCCACCTTTGAAAAGTCTACAGCGGGATAGTAGATAGTAGCCTACCATTACCAGTCCACTGTCCAAACAAAGCAATAGCACAAGTCAACATAGTTCGATATTTAACTTCCCTCGAGTCAAACAACTCTCTGAAATCCCACCATCGTTTATCGGCACCCGTCTTCGATATCTCTTCAATCATTTCGCGAAGTTCCAGTTGCACTAAGGGGGAATCACGATCGCCTATGGGACAGCCAAAAATTAATGTTGTTCTCAGGGTTTGGTGAAATGAATAGTTAGTTACCTTCTCCGTGGTATTTCGCCATAATATCAAGAGCCTCCTCATGACGATCATTTGCAATCAGCCATCGCGGGCTCTATACATCTCATTAACATTCACATCCATTGTCTACCCTGCGTCGAAGAGCCCAAAAACAAACAAATCACATACCTCCGGCAAGAACAAAACAGAAACGAACACGATGCCAGAAAACGTCATCTGTAGCCACAAAGGAATTCTCCAAGCTTGGGATCCATTGATATAGCTTGTGCCATATGGTACTATACATCTTTAATACCTATCTCGTCCAAAGGAGAAGGCAGGAATGACTAACTGAATGTTCCGGGTATTGCACCCACGAAATAGAACGTAGTGTAAACACCTGTCATAGCACCACGAAATGATGGGTGTGCCATTTCGCTTACGCTAAAAATGATCAACATTTTCTTTCCTTGCCCCTTTCCGCTCTTAGGAGACAACTTACTAAGGTAATGCCGAACTAGGACCCATGGCAGCACCAACACCTGTTTTATTAGCAAGTCGCATCTATCTGACACGACGATTCATAAGGAATACATACCAAGCAAAAACCTTCCAATCATAAAAGCCGCCAAACTCTTGCTCGTAGCCTGGATAATCGCTCCCACAATAATAACACCCGCGCCTAAGAACATACCCCATCGTCTTCCTTTCCACTGTATCTTTGTCAATAATTGAAGCCTCAAAAAGCCCACCGTATTCTCCAGAGAAAAATAACAAGAGAACGATCGTAAACTGACGAAACGTACATCAGCAGCCGGACCCGCAAAGCCCGCTCCCACCAAATCTACAAACAGCAGAAGTCAGTCAAGGCCCCAAATCTTCAAATCAAATTTTTTCGAAACCAAAGAACAAACACTATCATGAGGTAAATCTTACTCCCAATAGTAAAAATCGCATAAACAATGCCCGTAGCCGGCGTTCCCTCTGTGAGCGAAAATCCAAAATAACTCCTATACTGTGCGTACGAATTGATCGAACCCATTACGCTACCATCATAACCATTAACAGCAGCATTGAGTGTTGCAAGAAGAAGAATTAGGGAGAGTTGACCCATGCGCCATGTCCATAGACTAGGTTTTTGTTTCGCTGTCGCGTCTGCGAGGGCGACATTTTGTACGGTTTTGATATGCGTAGAGAGTTCATCTTGTTCGTGGATGTGCTGTTGAGGTGGGAAGGTGTCCGGTTTCTGTGTTTCCTGGGAAGGATTTATTTCTGCCGACTTTGGGTTTGACATTTTTGTCCTGTATTTTTGCGTTGTATTTTTGTAGATGAAGTGAGGAGTACAAAATACAATACCAAGAGATTGAGAGGGTTAATTGGAGCCGCCTAGTAAAACCACTGAAGCTTTTCCAATAATGCGTAACTCTGAATGTTATGGCACATACTCACTTGTCCTCATAATTCACCATCAATTCACGAAAGTCATAAAGTACACGTTCAAAGTCTTTCAAAGAGTGTGCCAGAAATTTTCAAAACAGCGCCTCCAGGTAGATGGGTAACGTGTAATTACTCAATTCCAAATCCCCGATCCAAACATCGGCAACCATTGACCCAGGAACGGCGAATGACTTGATCAAGAAAATGTAAATTATGCATGTTGGCCGGTAAATAGTATGTAGTGCAACTCAATTTTTGTGTTGATTGGCTGAAAATGCTTTGATCAAGGGGTGCATCGATGATCATTTACCCCGCTTTCGATAAGATGTCTGCTGTCCTATGGATTTTGTTCGATAAATGAATGCCACGAAAATGGATGTAACGTTTTGCCCAGGCTGTTCAAATGGTCACTGTTGATGTGTCTCTGCGAGCTTTTGGAGGGGAAATGTGCCGATGTTCATGTGATCACACGCGCGAGAGTGGAGTCAAAGTCATTCAGATTGGAATCATGAAGTGTTAATTTAAATTGTACAAAGGTGGTAGTATTGAATACCCTATATAATAATACAAATCTATGTAGGATCACCTAGTCCCGGCTACGATTGGGTGACCAACGTTTGAGGACAACTTCCCTGACCTTGTACTTTTGAAGTAATTCATCAACACTGTTTTCTTTTATGCTTCCATCAACAGGAGCAGGTATATCCACGTAAACCAAAATCAAGGTCTTCTTAACCTGTGTAATGACTCTATTGATGCAATGCATCCATGACCAGCTTCTTTCTTGCTTGCCTTTCACATAATTTTGTAGAAATGGACCACTAGACCAGTAAGGGTCACTGTACGATGGAAGAATCAAAACAGCGAACTCAGCATGACTGAAAACTGGCCCGCGATTATAAAGTAGGTAGTCAACAGAGAACTTTGTGCCACCACGCACAACCCAGCCTAGGGAACGGAAATGATGATAAACAACGTAGTTTATTAGGAATGGGTCATCCGTAGATAAACTAGGATTTGAAACTGGCGGGAAATAGGATGACTTCCTGAAAAGAGAAAACAAATCTTGATTTGAAATGCCTGATTTGGTGACAGGGTCAAGAACTGTGAGAGCTCCTAATCCATAAGAAAGAAAGAAGGCTTCTTCCATTGTCAATTGGAAATGTTCCTGATCTTCAATAACCATCTCTTCATCCAGAACAAGTTTGGATATTTCATCAGGTTTCTCTTCTGTACTTGCAACAGTACGTCCAGGACTTGGTGGTTGTGACGGTAAGAAGGTGGTTTGTTCTACGATCGGGGAGAATCGAACACTCTTCTGACGATCTGACACAGATGTTGATGAACCAGTCTCAGGCGCTTCAACATCAGATCCACTATTTTGGGCCGAAATCAATGACACTGGCGTCATTGGGACACAAGTATTGGTGTCGACAATGTCGTCATTGAGCAGTTCATTCTTTTCTTGTGCGCCAGCTTTGTGACTTTCAGGTATAGAGACCGAACTGACATCAATCTCAACTAACGTGGGCGAAGGGGTATATTCTTCTGGAACATCGTTCTTAGCATCAACATTGATTTTATCACATGTTGCGGAAGCATCAGCGGCGGAGTTTGGTAGAGCGAGCAATTCCAGTGGACCCACAGGAGCGGAGATATTGGACGTAGAGACGGATACTGCCACCGTCGAAACAAATGGCGATAGGCCTAAGGAGTTTGTACAGTTTTTTTCCCTTACAGAATTAAGATCGAGTGCAGAGTTTGGTAGAGCAAGAATTCCCAAAGGTCCGGTAGGTGCGTTGAATGATGCAACACTGGACGAAGCAACTTCAACGGCATTCACTACATGCTGAGACGATGAGTTCTCAATTGTTTCTACCTTGATAACCTCGATGGATGAGTTTGGTAGAGCAAGGAGTTGCATTGGACCAGTGGGCGCATCAGATGATGTGGTACTGGTAAAAGCAACATTTGCATCACCTAAGCAATTGGACATGGGTTCTTTGATGATTTCGGTCTTCTGGTCTTGCTCAGTAAGAGCAGGAAGATTGTCAACTGGAACTATAAATCTCTCATCGGATGCGATGACAACCTTGGTACTTGGCATTTCATTTGCCTGTGCTTCTGCCAAGAGAGTCTGATCAATAGCCTCCCTCTCTTTTCTCGCCCTCTCCCACTTGGTTTGTTGACGATCGGCGCGACGCTTTCTTGTAACATCCTCACTCGCAATCGCTTTTGAAACACCTCTTCGCTTTTTCTCTCGTGTCACCCAACTGGGTTCACTGCGGCTCAGACTTCCTTTCCCATAGAAACCTTGCTCCCAGAGACCTCTGATAGACCGAGAGTCAGTGATGTGAATGGACCGCGTCTCAGGCGAGAACCATCCACTGTAAAGGGTATCAAAATGTGATGAAGGGCGATTGATTGTCTGTGACAACCAAACATAAAGAATATGAAAAAGTGAAAGTGGATTATGAGGTATGAGAGTAGGAAGAGGAAATGTGCGTATAGGCGCAGGTAGTCCGTAGAGTTTGTTTAATTGTTGGAATTTAGACGGTGGCCTGGGTCCAACATTTTTTTGTTTCGCAGGCACTGAGACCTCGATATGAGGACCAGATGAAACCACAGTTTCTGTGTCTGCCATGATTGAAAAGGTGAAGCTATCGTGAGGTCATTGCGATTCACTATTTGATCAATTGATTAGTGACTGTTGTAATCAACGTGTGTCAATTGAAACAAGAATGTGTAATTATTTGCAATGCTCAGATACCGTTGTAGTCTTCTCCGAAGAGAGTTGAGCGTACAGAGAGGACGAACAAAGTCAGAGCCGTCACTCTAAGCATCGAATTGAGTCATCACCGCATTGCATTACAGCCAAATTAAATTGTGCTGTTAGGATAGTATATATCATCAGGCTTGTGGAAGAAAGAGAGAAATGACTTACAAAACACCCAAACTCTTCTCCGACTGGTGGGAGAAGAAATTGTGGTCGATGAAATTCGTGTAAAATGAAGTTTTTGATGTTGTTGAAAAGAAGAAGAATAATTTTTTAAGAAAAAGTTTCTAGTTTTGTGAGTCGCAAAAAAAAAAACTTTTCTCGGTAACTTCTGTCTGGCCCAAGCTTCAAGCTCTTATCCATTATCTGAGGCATAGAGTAATGTCACATTGCATTACATAATCTTCATGATGTTTAATTATTAGCATCATTTTTGTTAGCACGAGCCCTCACCGAGCGACTGAGCGTGGAACATTGATTTTGTTTGAGCTTTCTATTGTTTTCTTTCATTCCTTCAATCTTCATCTCATCCCCTATGTCTTCTTATACACACATATAAAGCATACTTGGTACCTGACTGGAGTAGAACTATGAGTATTTGATCTTCCCAGGTATCATTCATGGAATCAGGAGGAGAACATTACTTGATTGTCTTAGACCCTTAGTGTTAACTCCAGTCCTGCCCCAACACATGGAGATGGAGACGGAAACCTTAATATACTGCATAGCCTTGGCATGTTGGACGTGGTATTTCTTCATCCTACTCGTACAAGGAATAGGTTCTACTCAATTGTAAGATTCCTACTAATGATACTCCAATCATATTCACATCGAATTCTAACATTTTGGCGCCTTCAAGGTTTCGTCACTATTCTTCGAATCCAAAGCCTGCCATCTCCCCAAATTTAGACACCAATGATATCCCCCATGTTACCATTTTACGACCAGTTAAAGGACTTGAGCCACAGTTGTATGAATGCCTCGCGGCCACATTTAGACAGACATACCCAGCGGAAAAGTTGACGATATACTTCTGCATTGGCTCATCCACCGATCCTGCATACCCAGTTCTTCAACGTCTGCTGGCAGACTTTCCTCAATTCGATGTAAAGATTTTCATAGAGGAGCAGGATCCAAACCTGAGTGGTCATGGAGGGCAGATTGGGAATCTTGGCCCCAATCCCAAGATTCGAAATATGAGTCGTGGATACAGGGAGGCAAAGGGAGATATTGTATGGATCATCGATTGCAATGTCTGGGTAGGAACTGGTACTGCTGGACGAATGGTTGATAAATTATGTGGCTTTAAGGCGGATGGCACCAAGGCAAGACCTTATAAATTCGTTCACTTACTACCATTAGTTGTAGATACACTTGGAACCAGCACAATTGAAGAGAATGAAGGACTTCTCGCCGCCGAACAGCAATTCTCACCCACAAACACAATGATCTCCAAAATTTCAACAGCATCCAAACACGAGTCCAACTTCGATGCAAGCGCAAGGATTGGTGGCGGCCGTTTCGAAGAATCTTTCATGGCATCATCCCATGCGAAGTTCTACACTGCAATCAACACAGTTGCAATTGCGCCTTGCATAGTTGGCAAGTCAAACATGTTTAGACGATCTCACTTGAATTTCCTCACCTCCACATCTCCTGATTATGCCCCGGGAATCGACTTTTTCTCGGAAAACATTTGCGAAGATCACTTAATCGGAGACTTGTTATGGCGAAAGCAAGTGCCGGAAGAAAAGGCAGGGGAGAAGTGGAATAAACACGGTTTGGTTCTTGGCGATTTGGCTATCCAACCGATGGCTGGTATGTCAATTCGAGAATACATTGCACGCCGAGTACGTTGGCTCAGAGTTCGAAAATGGACTGTTACGCTGGCCACATTTGTTGAACCTGGAGTCGAACCCCTCTTATGCTCAGCTTATGGTTCTTTCGCAATCACGACATTACCTTGGTTCCATGAGAATTTGGGTGTGCCTCAAACGTGGCTTGCTTTTTCCATAGTTTGGTTATCAAATGTTGTTGCTTGGATGACACTTGATTGGTTTGTCTATGCCAACCTTCATTCTGGTTCTTCTATTGAGCTGGATGAAAATACGCCTTCCTTTGCACAACCTCCTCGGAGTGGGTTCAAAAGGCCTTTTAAAGAGTGGGCATCTGCATGGCTCGGCAGGGAAATTCTTGCGTTACCCATATGGACATGGGCTTGTCTTGGTGGAACAACGGTGATGTGGAGAGGCAAGAAATTCCGCGTTAACCTCGATATGAAAGTGGTCGCAATTAAAGATGGGAAAAAGTCATCCACTCCTGAAATCGAAAATGGCCGCTCGTACAGTAAAGATAGACAGGATTAGACGTCCTTGTACAAGAATCAGCTAATACCCGAAATGTCATAATTTACCGTCACGATGTTGTACTACATCTGCTTTTTAGCTTTTTTTAGACCGCGTAAAACGACTAATCAGCGACAGTGACATTTCTTTACATATGCCGGCACAAGTGCCAATCCGGGTCCCCTCTGCAAAGATGACCGGTCAATGGCATCGGAAATATTCCCACCTTATTTTCCAGTATTTCAATCCTATCAAATTCTCATAAAAGCGACCCCTCAAATTACAGCCGATTGCTTACCGTTTGCATAGCGATAGGGCTTCGCGAACAACGGTCAGTCCTATCTTATATGCTATCCTGTGCATGTTCCTTTCTTCACATTTTATATTGCGTGTTAGTTTGGGCATCACCGCATAGTCCCTTTAAGCCCTGCATACGGTCTTCCTGCAGTCATATGTGTTATCCAATGCCCTTCCTCTTTTCTTTCAGTGAACGAGACCTCTCTGTACCGTTCTCCCCTTTCCTTCTAGCATCTCCTTAACAATGGCGTGTTTGAATTCACATCGCAGGTGCATTTCCTATCCCCTCAAGCCGCATTCCAAAACTCCAAAATCCGTTAGGCAGCACTACATATCTGAATTTATAATCATGTTTAGATCTTTGCTCTAGGACACCATTATTTAATCTTAGGTTGCCTGCATTCTACTTGTACCTTCTAGTTCAAAAGTCGCTCGCTCGAATGATCGCAAAATCAAGGTCAATTACAGGTATCTGAGGAAATAATACTAAGGCTGTGGCGCGACTTTGCTGATCGGTGTTACGTGTTTGTTCAAGTGAAAGCTGTTGTACATACCTACCCTGCATATGTACTCTAATGCCACGACTGAGGGCCTAATTAACTGCTTAAAAATGCACAGAGTAGGAGAAATTCGCAGCATAAAGTCGATGAATGCGAAAGAAAATGGTAAGACGCGGGTTTGGAAGTTGAAATCGAGATCGAAATCGAAATTCTCATCGCGGGGTAGTCATAAGGGCAATAAAGGCCCGAAAAAGTACATTTTCGACGTACCAGATAGTAAGGAAGAGTTTGTTAGAGAAGATCCATTTGAAGAGGTATTCAGACCGTGGTCAGATTGGCTCTGGAGTGAAGATTATCAGGTTTTTTATAGAGGAAGGCTGGATGCTAATGGTGTGTCCATTTCTCAATTTTCCTTCATTGTATTACTCCCAAGCATGATACAAGATCTCTCTCTTTTTTTTTTTTTTTTCAGTGATTTGCCCTAGTTAAATCTGATCTGATTACCAACAATACTTTAACTAAATTTAACTAATAGTATGTATGGCAGATATGTGGGACTACGAATACGACTACCAAGTTCCAAACCGCGAAACACCGCGCTTCGTACCACTGATCAATGTCGAATTTGTGGAGAGTGAGAAAGTTGCGCTGGCGGTAGCGATGGAGCTCCCGGATTTACGAGCAGAGGAATATACGTGGATGATGGGAGGTTCTGGAAATATGAAGATGGGTGTGATGGAGGGGGAAAAAGTGCAAGGTGTGGGGAAAATGAAGGGGAAAGGTGGGAATGAGGATTTCAAGGTGTGTGCATTATGTTATTTTCATTTTGTGTCTAGTTGGAATGGATCTCATGAGATATAGGATCGGACGATCATTGAGAAGCAGACCGGGATATATATAGAGGATGCAGGAAAAGAAGATATGCGCACGTCAGAGTTTCGACATGAGAGGAGGAAACTTACGAAATGACTAGCGGACAAGGAGTCGACGATTACGAAATATTATGAGAAGAAGCAGTATGGCGGGAAGAAACGTTGAGGAAATATTGAATTGTGTTATCTGATGTGTCATTTGATCACTGCCTAGTGGCGCGGTATGGGACATGTATGGTAGGATTTACGGTTAGTTCTTGTGATTGATGTTTTATGCTCTACTTCGAGAAGTCTCTTTATCACTCTAAACTTGTTCATCTTTGGTGTGCTGTCATATGGTCTATGGTGTAGAGTAAAGGGGTATCGCTTCGATGTTCTCAGGAGCATGATAGATAGGAGGATGGATGGACTCGCTAGTCTTTATATTGTTTAATAAATACAAAGAGATTAAATAAAAATATGAAATAAAAGTATCAAATAAAAATATCAAGTAAAAATAATCAGTAAAAAGAATCAAGTAAAAATATCAAATCAAAATATGAAATCAAAATATGAAATCAAAATATGAAATCAAAATATGAAATCAAAATAATTAAATAAAAAATCAAATAAAAATAATTGACTTATTATTTATGTAAACCCCTTGATCGCGATGATATAAAGTGAAGGGATTTTAATAATATAATTTCGTAGGATTAATAGCTGCTAGGTGTTACGTGACGGTTGTTACCCACTAGTGGCTCACGTGCACTAGCCCTGTATATAAACACCTTCTTACTTAGAATCTTCTTAGTTCTTTAGTTTTAGATTCTAAGTAATTGAATTGACTCCGTTTACGACTTTTCCGTCACACTAGGTATTGGTATTTAGTACTAGTTTAGTTTTCTAAGCTATATATATTGAGTTAAGGTTAGGTTTGACTGGCAGAGCAGCTAGCCTTTTCGATCATCGTGATATAAATGGTCTAGAAGAAACTTTTCTGGCGTAGCAGCATGTGTTATGTAGGGTTTAAGTGAAACGGGCTTTCAACGTGATATAGTAGCATCCGGGATACTAAAGAATACTATCTTGCAAGTATTGAGGATGGGGGAATGAATGTGTAAAATTTTTGAAATTCAATTGCAACTTCGAGTACCTAGGTATCTACCGAATACTTCTATGTAACCAAGCACGAACGCCATATTATGACACCTCACTCCTAGACTCCCTTACATAGCCAGTCAGCATGATGATTCGAATTTGCTCTCTCCCACCGCAACGTCTCACTCTCTACCATTTCTTTGCTTCAACTCCTTCAGGTGGATTCGTCTCAACGGGACCCTTCTTGACATCAGCCCAATTGGTACTCAATGCAGTACCATTACTTTCTTGGAAACTCTTCATCATCGCCCTCTTAGTATCTGGATCAGCATCTTTATAGAGTTTTTTGAAGAAGGAATCCATTGGATCACCACTTTCATCGTCATCGTCTCCAGTTGTTTCCTTGCCTCCTTCTTTCTGCTCGGATTTGAGAGCTGACGATGCGAGGGCATCCCAGTCTTTGGGTCCATTACGAGATGATGTTGGGTAGGAAGGGGCCTTTCCGATTGAGGGATTTAGAACGGCAGCTGGAATTTCTGATTTCTTCTCTTCGGTGGATTTGCCGATTATAGGCTCCGTCCCTTCCAAACTAGACCACTTGAGTCCTTGCTTTGACTTCTGTAAATCAATTTCGACTTTATTTGGAGTGATAGTGAACTTGCTTTGGGCAGGATCGATTTGAGCGTAGAGTGGTGAAGCTGTGAAATCGTATGTAGTGCCAGTTTCTCCAATTGGGAATGAAACTTCAACCTGCGACGTATTAGCTTATGTGAATTTTCCATCTCCATGGTTGACATACCTGTCCTTCTTCGATCGTAATTTGTGCAGTATCTTTCGCAACACCCTTTGCGAAAATAGTAATAGTAACCTTGGAGCTTGATTGAAACCATCTGTAAAATCTGTTAGTTTTGTGACTACTAGCTAAACAATTGGTTTACATACTCGTGTCTAATCTTCTCCTTTGGAGTAGTCGCTGGAACCGATACTGGAGTAGCTGAAGCAGCAGCAGACTTTTCAGGTGCTTTGCCCTCCTCCACTATGGCAACCTGTTTCTCAGGAATCTCCTTCACAGTACACTTATTACACTCAGCATCTTCACCACCGGCATTGTCATAATCGGCCTTAACCTTTGCCTGCCAAAGAGTTAATCCCTTCTCCTTCTCATTCTTCTGTCTACACCAATTCAAACACAATCTCGCATCTCCAAATCTGCGTAGACCATGAAGAGCAACCGCGCGACGGAATTGTGCTGTGGCGATGAGTTCGCGACGAGAACGAGCAACAGCTGCATGGACGGCAGCGTCAGCATCCGCGAGAGCTGATTCGTGATTTTTGGCACGTTGATGTGCTGTGGAGCGGAGGATGAAGTAGTTTGGGGAGGCTGGGTTTTCAGCGATAGCTTTAGTTAAATGTGTAATGGCCGCGGGGTATTCTTTCTTATCGATGGCGGTAGATCCGAGGGCTGCATGGGATGCCATGTTGGATGTTGGGTATATCTTTTGAATTTATGTGTCTCGGAAATGTTAGATTGTGATATTTCAAAAATGCACCAAGGCGTGGAGTGACCTCTTTTAATAATTGATCTATGGTATTTGGACTGGAAAGTTCGATGGCCCAGCCTCGTCGGTAGCCTGTAGTGTGGCACTGAGAGTGCTGTACCAATCAGAAACTTCCTTTTGTTGCTAATGTTGGCGGGGTAGGATAAGCTTAGTTTAGCGCTAGAATCAACAGTGGATCCACTATAGCTTTAGAACCAAAATGTCTAATTCCCATTGACCCTTGAGTTCCAAAATTATTTTCTGTACTGTAATTGCTGTGAATTGAAGCTCAACGAGAATTGTGTAGGTGCGAAGAAGTAAACTTGTCATTATTAAATTAAGTTATTATATATAATCATAATCATATGTCATTCTCCAAATAGCTTCCTCCCTTCTATCATTAGAGAAGCTTAACATCACCATATTTCTTGGCGAACATTCCCAAAGCTTTCATAGGAAAGATGAACTTGTAGTTAGGGTATGAGATCATGCAACTTTTGTTGAATACACCCTCAATAGCTTCTTGTAACCACTCTCCATTTGCTTGCTGTCTACTCATGATCAGCTTCAGTCCTTTCTCGATCGGTGTACGATCTGGATAGTTGGCCTCAATTAAAGCAATGCACGACCAAGCTGTCTGCACAACCTGGGAACCAGATGGATGTTCAATATATTTTGCTTGCTCGCAGGACTAAAGAATTGTTAGCATTATTAATATTTATGGCTGGGGATGCACATACTTTATAGCTCTCAGACCATCCACCATCACTTCTTTGTTTTGAAATCAGAAAGTCACATCCCTTTCTCACATTCTCACTGTTCTCGTAGGTTTCTCCAATACTTGCAAGACTCTCGAGAGCGAACATTCCTGCGTATGTAAAACAAATGCCCCAACTACCATACCAGCTACCATCAGCATATTGAGCCCTTCGGATATATTCAATAGCTCGACCCTTGAAAGCTTTGATTTCTGATGCGCGATAATCCGGGTAGTACTTCGTGAACAGAGATAACGCAGTGACCACAGCAGTTGTGCATTCAGGGTAATCATATTCGATCATAATCCTACCAAATACCTCTGCCGCATTCAACATTTCCAATTTCTCTGAGCCCCGAGTTGGTTCGTATGATGCGCAGCCACCAGATTTGTTCTGGTAAGTGAGTAGGGTATCAATAGCATCGAAGATACGTTGATCTTCCAGCAAAGTCGGATATTCAGGAGTTCTTTGTAAAAGTATAACAGCCTTTAAAGCTTCAGAGATACAATCGCTAACAGCATATCCTTGATCTTTATTACTAAAACCCCAAGCCCCTTTTCGTTGCTGACGGTAGCAAATCTCCTGATCGTCAACATTCTCTCGAATTTGCTGATCTTCAAGAAATTCGAGTGCTTTAGTCAGCATTGGTCTCCATCTTGCATCCTCAGCCAAACCGGCATCCATCACGGCCTGTATCAAGAATGCCGTGTCCCAGCACTGTACTCCGTTCGTTCCATTCATCAACATACCCTCGTCCTTAACCCACATAAAGTCAGCCATCCTTTCTCGATGCCTTTGCACGGAGTATGCATTAGGCCCCTCTTGGATATAGCATGCAAGAAAGTTCATGGGTCCATTGACCGGTCCGAGATTGGAGAAATCAGTATTCTTGTCTTCCATTTGAATTAGCTTGAACACCCAGTCCTCGGCTTGCTTGGCTAATGCATCAGTCCGGAGATACGGATTGTAGATATTAACAAGAAACCAGTTTGCTGTGTTCAGAAGCCATGATTTTGGGTGATAGTTATCTTTCGGATGAATACTGTTTCGGTTTCCTGCCCAATCTATAGCGGTATATGGTTCTACGAACAATTCCTGTCGCAGTTGCTCAACAATGGGTGTTGGTTTATAAGTGAACTTCTTAGACCAGATGAATGACATTGGTGCATAAACTTGGCGCATATGAATCCACCATCTCCACGGATGAAAGGGTACCCAATCAGGCAACAACCAGAACTCTGGTGGCACAGGATTGACAATATCCCATTGACATACACCAAGTATGCTCAGCCAGAACTTTGCCCAATGCGGTCCATTCTTGGCACCACCAAGCTTGTGTAATGTTCCTCTAGCTTTGACCATTCGTTCATCCTCTTCGCTGACCCCAACTAACCGGAGAACCGTATAATTCATAGCAGTCCCAAAAACACTGCTATCTCCCTCAATATGTAATCCCCATCCTCCGTCATCGGGATGTGCTCGTGCAAAAAGGTAATTCTTTATTTCGGTTGCAATATGATCGGGGATTGGAGTTTCGGTGACAGTCCAAGTGATAACCAAGCCAGGAAGCAAAAACATTGGTCCACCATACTCACATGCCCAGTTTCCAGGAGGAAGTTGAAGGTGTTGGAAGAATTCAAGGCAATTGTTGACGGAATCTAGAGGACTTTGCGCTTTAGGAAGATCGGGTAGATCCTAATCATATCATTAGCAACTATGTTAAAGCCTAGTACAATGTTCCTACAGTCGGCAGCCCCAAAAAATACTTGTCTGCAGTTGTTTGAGACCATTCGGCAGCATCTTCGTCATTCTCAAGGTAATGCCAGGTTTGCCTACCTCTTTCGTCGAGTAAACGCCATCGAGAATAATCGGTACGTTCTTGCAACTTTGGTCGTTTGGTAGATTGCGTAGTGATTGAGGAATCCAATGATCTTTTTTCTCCCATTTTTATCTCATTCTCGTTGACGCCCAGTGCGTTAATCTTCGTTCGTGCCATGATGAGAAATGTTGAATTGGAATTGATCTATTATAATTATGAGCTGTCAAGAGATCATTTGTATGATTCCAAATTATGGATCTTTCTATGGATCTTTCACATTCCAGGGGTGATAGATGGGCGGTCAGGGTTGGCAGTTCGGGGTCCAAATTAGCGCAAGTCCACCTTTTCTCTCCCGCCGCCTCCCCGCATCTCTAAATGTTCCTAATTAAGACGTCTCACATCAATCATTTTTATAATATTCACATACGAAGTACAAGTACATCATGTGAAATCATTTCTCAAACATCTTCAATTGATGAACATGCACTTCGAGGAGATATATTTTGAGTCATCGTCGAGGATGCCATGGACTTTGATCTTTTACAGGACATTGTGAAAGACACGTCGTATTCATCACCTCAATTGCTACATAATTTACCTTCCAGCAGACTAATAAGTGAAGCTCGTTTTGTAGATCACAGTGACGATCACAGCGGTCAGCGGCGATCCGCGATATCTCATCACGCAACTCACATTAGCAATACCAGGTTGTCGACATCGCCATCATCGACGACTCCTGTGAAAAGGGAAACATTTGGCCCTGAAAAAATTTCCGTGTCATCTTACCAAACAGGATCTGCCATATCAAAAATTGAGGAGATTTACGAAGCCATGACAGACTGTATCATCGGGCGAAGGAAACAGTTTTCTTTCGATCTGAAATCTCGAAACTTAAGCCCAAGAAATGCAAGTGAAGACAACAACGAACTTCCCATTTCAAGGAGTAGAGTTGTGCAGTTTCCGAATGCCTCCCCGCGAGAAGCTTGGAAATTTAGTAGGTTGGAGTTTGTTCCTTGGTAGCCCATACTAATAGCAATTTAGCTGCTTTGCTGCGAATAGTGACGCTTTCTCATGAGGCGCTTGTCACTGGCAACATCATTACGAAGAGGTACGCCATTGCCATTTGGTGGCGATGTCTCTTTCAAACTGACTGTTCATAATCAGAGACATGTATTATCGAGATCCAGAACTCTTTACGAAACAAGCAATCGTCGATCGTTTTGTGGACGACATCGCCTACACCCTTGGATTAAAGCGTGACGCAATGAATGTGGTCAGTGAATTTCGCCCTAGGCCCGCTTTTTTTTCTCCAGGTCTCACACGTACTCCACAGGTGGCAGCCGCCAAAGGGTTAGTCGCGGGCTCGTTTGCTATCAGAAGAAGGAACAAGTCCGTTATTGACTATTCAACAGCGGCAGATGTTTGCACACCGTACTATCTCAATCTTTGTTTTTACTAATTTTCTTAGTCACAATTGGTGCCATGGGTGAGAGAAATTGAAGAGATTGACCTCTCGCAGGTCAAATGGATCTTGGTGATTGAGAAAGAGGTTGTACACTTTAATCTGCAGGTTGCAACATCTCTGACTCAATATAGGCTACCTTTCGCACATTGGAAGAAAAGCGATACTGTGAATATTCGGTGTCAGGGAGAGGGATATTACTTACTGTTCGTGAAATCCTTTTGTGATATTTCCTTGATTCTAATAATTCTAGGCTAAAGGTTATCCTGATATACAAAGTCGACAATTTCTCCACTATCTGGCAGAAAATCATCCATTGATACCAATATATGCTCTGGTAGACTTCGATCCCGATGGCATAGGTATTATGTCCACATACAAATACGGCTCTGTCGCGCTCGCACATGAAAACGAAGATCTTTCAGTTCCCTCAATACGCTGGCTTGGACTTAAAAGCACGGATATGATGCATGGAGTGAAAGAAGATGAAGGCCTCCTCAAATTAACAAAAAGAGATAGGCGAATTGCGGTTGGGATGCTACAGAGGGACGTGTGCCAGGATGGTGGAGTTGAAAAGGAATGGAGAAGACAACTTCAAATTATGTTGATGCTAAACACAAAGGCAGAGATTCAAGTCATTGGTAATGGTGACCTGTTAGAGACTTGGCTCAATAGAAAGCTAGAAAAGCGAATGAATAGAACGGAAGTATCATAAAGAGAGCATTCTCAGAACTTCTCCATTCCAGACTGACCATCCGTCCAAGTAATACCGGAAACATGTCCATAAATAAATATATCAAGGAAAAGAGTAAGCCCATTCTCATCATGAATTACCCGATTCACCATCCTGTTAAGAAGCACCTTCATAAAATACCCATGGGCCAGGAAACTCACAAGGATACAGTGCACGCCCTTTCTTTCGCTTCTCGTCATCTCATTGCTCAGTTAGTTATTTGCTCTTAATATACCGAATAGTGGCATGTGCTAGAGTGAGTGAATGGAGTCCAGAGTTGGATACGAATTTCACCTAGCTGGGCCATTCAGTAACCCGTATATAGAGGTAAGATTACTAACCGCTATGGAAGCACTAGTCTCTTACCCCTTTGCACAAGGTGGAGCTACTTGCCGTAGCGTAATCACCACAAATTTTAAATAAGAAGTAGCTCCATCATGATCTTACTCTTTTTTCCTTTGGTACTATTATCTCTCCATGAATTAGATCTCCAGCAGACACAGCAAAATACATATATCAAGTAAGCTGTTACCATGAATTTTTCCTTTCGCTTTGATTCATTCTTTTTTTTTTTTTTTTTTTTTTTTGAAACAAGTCATCTACAAAAAAAACCTACACCATCTATACCATGAATCGATAAGATCATGTTAGCCGAATTTTTAGGGGAGTGGTATGATGCGAACTATGATGTTACACGTACGGATGTAATTTTAGAGCGCGAATCACAAGAAAAATACACTTATATTCTGTGATACTATAATGAGGAGAAGGGAGAGTTGCATGATGTAAATACTGTGATGAGGGCTAGCTTGAATCGAGAGTGGAAGGCGAAGAGTAGATAGTCATCTTCTAGTTATTAAGCATACGGAGTTTGCGTTGAGCTATCTTCAGTGGGAAGAATTTTCGAAATGAGATATCATAGAGGGCACAGCTAAGACCACACCACCGAACGGGATGAGGTCCAAAATCTAAATATTGGGGATAACTAAACAGAGTTGAGACTAATCCACCAATCTTTGAGCTCTGAAGGCAGCGATGGAGAAAGTATGCCACGCTTGAGTAAGTTTTCAAATACTATTTTAGCCTATTAGATCGGTCTATATATCGATGTGATTGAGAGATTCTGATTCCATCAAACTACTACTTGTATCTTCAGGAGCGCTACACATCGTAGCTAAATGGTGAAAGAGAGAAAATTCTTCAAGGGGAAAGCAAAAAGAAAAAGTAACCACTAAGAAAGGTCTTCAGGTGTCCAGTCCATCACAGCAGTGCTGCACAAAGAGACTGGAGGTGAATCACATGGTGTTGAAGTGAGAAACTAGAGAGCTGATGGTCCGAAAACATGCGCTGACTTTCATCCTTATTGTAGAATTTATGCAAGTTTTAGCTAGATATATACCAATGACAAGAAGATCAGTATGCAAACTAAAATAAAGCGAACAATTTATATCTCCATGCTACATAGTTTTGTCAACTAGCTAAATGTACTTGAAGAGAGTCTAGCATTTTGAAGATAAGCTATGGAGCCAATGTAAGATCACAGCTAGCAGACTTTACATTTAACTGACAAGACCATAAGTCGGTCAACTACAGAAGATACCACTAGGCACATTGCTGATCACACAAAATTCATAATATTGAGCATCAAACGGCATCATGTGACATAATCACGTGTCCATGGGGGTCTGATTCTCATATAGGTAGCGCCGTATACCCATGCTGAGATAGTGTATAGACTCGGTGATCTAGAAGCGTAGCCCTATCGCGGATCCTCTTCTACGCTTAATCGAATTTGTCAAGGGGTTTGAAAACAACACTTATCGCCGGGTTCCTATTCTTCCCATGCTCATGAAATAGTGGTTGATCAAACCAATCATAATCCAGACTGACCAATAAATGAATGGTACAACCCAACCTGTAAGCCATGGCACATTTTGGGCTTGACCGCTGAGCCTATAGATAGAAGAGAATGTTCCAAATAAATGGAAAGGGGTATGGTGCAGGGACACATGTGAAGGCCGAGTCATGATCAGGGTCTCCGCCACTAAGAATGAGGCTGTTGATGAAGTTTGGCTGTGGATAATTTCATATCATTTCAAGTACCTAGGTAGATGAAGTAGATGAAGTAGATATCTAATAGAGTGAAGGGAAAAATACTTGGTAATGGTTCTAATGGTTCTAATGTTGTATGATATTTGGTTGTATGTATTATAGCTCATATTCCTACGTATTAACGTATTACATAATCAAGCCATCCCGAAAAAGCCAGGTCTATGAAGTCATTTCCCCTGTCAGCCAATAGGGGATTATACAAAAACCTATTCTCCGCTCTTTTGGTAAAAAACATCCAAATCTAGAATTGATACTTTATATAATGCCCGGGCACCAATTTCAGTGATTGGGTTATATACTGAAGTATCAATTGATCACCCTCAACCACGACTCAATTAGAGCAATGGTCATACAACATTCCCATGAAATGACCATGCATTATTCTAAACCTACTTGGATAGGACGGTAAGGTGACACAGAGAAACACACAGAGATATATGTCGTCCAACATCCCATCCCGCACATGAGATTGAGACAAACCCAAAATCCGTCCGAACATTCGATAGTCTCTTGTCACCATGAAGTTCGCAAAAGAACTTGAGCAGAGTCTTGTGCCAGGTGAGAGATTCACTAAAATTTCGATATTTATATCAATTGAAATCTTACTAATTACCGCATAGAATGGCGCGCAAAATATCTCGATTACAAACAAGGCAAGAAAAAGGTGAAGGCAGTTGCTCGTGCTGCCCATCGTGTCAATTCAACCCCTCGAACAGATGCAAGATCGAACCTGAATCCTCAAAATGGTAGCTTATACGGCGCTACATCTCCTGTCGTCCCGAGAAATCCTCAATCGTCTCGAACATTCAATGAGTCAACCAACCTTCGGGAATCGTCTCCAGCATGGCAGAATGGCGCGCCACGGGAAACTGCGGAGAATGCGCCGCCACCAAATCTTACTTCGTCAATACCTATCGCAAAAAAGCTTGTATCGACAGATCATGCAAATAATGGGACATACGGTAGCTTTGTGCCAACCCCTCCTACAATAGACATGCGTGCGTTTGAACTTCCAGATCCAGCGATACGACCGGAGTCTCCACTCGAGACTTTAGAACAATCTATCTCCACAGTCACCCCCCGGAGACGTTCTCTTGAAATAGAAATACCAGAAAGAACACCAGAAAGGACGCCTACGACACTGCCCCAGAATGCATATGAGGTTGGAACAACATCAAGCCCCATTAAGCCAACGTTCGCTTCACTGAGACGCCCTAGTTCGCGCCCTAGCTCGCAGGACGGACGGCCAAATTTGAAACGAATTTTTTCAGTCGGTACTCCTTTGTCTAAACCCCACAGTCGCCCAGACGTGGACATGGTTGCATTTGATCATATACGAATACGTCAGCAAGAATTCTTTTCATGGATGGAGAAAGAGCTCGAAAAGGTTGAACTATTTTATAGATCCAAGGAGGATGAGGCAGGAGTTCGATTACAGGCTTTAAGGGAGCAACTGCATGAAATGCGTAATCGCAGAATACAGGAAGTGGCGGACGCGGAACAGGCAAGAGCAATACGCAAGGATGATGAACGTTCGATAAGCCGGAGGATATCTCGTGTGCATCCTAGAGATGAAGATTCAAACGAACATTCCTCTAAAGACCATCGAAATGCTTGGTTAGTGCCGCTTGGTAGATTGGTAGACAACGCAAAGGCGACAGCTCTGGGGCCACATCCAGGATCCAACTCGAGGGCTTTAGCAAGCATGAAAAACTCACCTGAGTTGCGATTTAAGTCTCACCCGGATGACTTAATTAACACGAACGGTAACCGTGACTATGTAAGACGGCCTCATGAGAACGATGTTTCCTATCGAACTGCAAAAAGGAAATTGAAGCTAGCGCTCCAAGAATATTATCGAGGTATGGAACTGCTCAAGTCCTACGCGCTTTTGAATCGCACAGCATTCCGCAAGATCAACAAAAAGTATGACAAGGCTGTCAATGCGCATCCACCACTTCGATTCATGACGGAAAATGTTAACAAGGCATGGTTCGTCAATAGTGACGTACTTGACGGACACATACATGCCATTGAAGATCTCTATGCAAGATATTTTGAAAAGGGCAATCACAAGATCGCTGTTGGGAAACTGCGGAAAACTGCTGGAAAGACAACGGATCAATCTGGCAGTGCATTCAGGAACGGAGTTTTTATTGGAATCGGTGCTGTCTTTTCAATTCAGGGAATCATCTCCGGCACTGAATATCTTAATCATCCTGATCCTATGATCAGATTTCAAACCGGCTATCTGCTGCAAATATACGGTGGTTACTTTCTTGCTTTGTATTTATTTTCTTTGTTTTGTTTCGATTGCAGTGTTTGGACTCGAAACAAAATCAACTACAAATTCGTCTTCGAATTGGATCCCCGGCACGATTTGGATTGGCGCCAACTCAGCGAATTCCCAGCATTTTTCATTCTTCTACTTGGATTGTTTTTATGGGTCAACTTCTCGGGATATGGGACACTAGAAATGTTCATATACTACCCTGTCGTTTTGATCTTCGTTACAGTCCTTATAATATTTATGCCCGCTCCTGTGCTTTTTTATAAAAGTCGGAAATGGTTTGTATATTCTCATGTAGGTCCCTTACTATGATTCTCTTACCTAAATGATACTAACTGTTGACAGTGGCGTTTACTTCTGGCTGGATTATACCCCGTGGAGTTTCGTGATTTTTTCTTGGGTGACATGTATTGCTCTCTTACCTATTTAACGAGTGTAAGCTCCCTACCATCCGATTCCCACGAATGTTTTTTCTGACATCCCATAGAATATAGAGCTCTTCTTTTGTCTTTACGCAACGTATTGGCATAGTCCTACAAAATGTAATTCTACCAATTCACGACTTCTGGGATTTTTTTCTACTTTACCAGCCATTTGGCGTTTACTTCAATGCCTTCGACGTTATCGTGATACCAAGAATATGTTTCCTCATTTAGGTAAATACTGCTCCACACAATTGAAATTTTTTGTAGTTTGTTTATTAACCAGCATCATAGTTAATGGTGGTAAATACGCTATGACTATCGTCTACTACGTCACGTTGAGCATCTACAGAATAGAGAGAAATAGAACCAATTTAATTGTATTCAGCTTCTTTGCTGCACTGAATGCAGTATACGTCAGTGAGTATCACATCTTCGACGAGCCATGATTTTTTACTAAACAGTCTAGGCATATGGGATCTCTTAATGGATTGGTCTCTACTTCAACCTGGAGCGAACAAACCATTCCTTCGCGATGTTAGAGGCTTCAAATCCACTTGGTGGTATTATGCAGCTATGATCATTGATCCTATCCTCCGTTTTAATTGGATATTTTATTCAATATATACGCACGACCTTCAGCACAGCAGTTCTGTATCCTTTTTTGTCGGGTTGTCTGAAGTCAGTCGTAGAGGCATGTGGACATTGTTCCGTGTAGAAAACGAACATTGCTCCAATGTCGTTCGCTTCAAGGCATTCCGCGATGTAGCATTGCCATATGATTTGGAATCCGGAGAATCCGAAGAATCCGAAACCACCACTCCTGCCGAGCCGAACGAAAGATCTTCGGTACTCGAAAGAGAACGCACCCATACCAGCGGTCTTTCACAACAGCAGACCAATACCGGATCCGTGCGCCGTCGTCCTCAAAGAACTTTTACGAAAGTCCTGGCGGATGCTCATACTCAAGATTTTCAAAAGAAGAGGAGGCCTTCCACAAATACAGGGAAGGATTTAAACGCAGGTGGTGAGGCAGATGCTGATCTCGGTCAAGTCACGAGTAGTGAGGATGATGACGACGACGATGATGATGAGCAAGATGCACAAGATCGTTTGGCTGTAGATCAGTTGGTTAGAACAGGGCAAGCCAAGGGCGAAAGGAAGAAGACTAGAGGTGGCGTTTGATTATAATAAGATGGAAAGTTAGTCCATATGTTGGTATATGTATGAGTTATGACGAGGTTGGCGTTGATGTTTTAGGTATACATTTGTTTTTGTTATAGATGTGGTTAACGTTTTTCAAGCCCTAATATAGAACTTCTGTTCCTGCTCAGCTTCTGGACCATAATCACCGTGAGCTAGGCTTTAAATTACTTTGACAGTATTGTGATACGGAGTGCTATCATGAAATGAAAGCATTTCTAGGCCGCCGTCTCGATAGAAAAGTTACTCTGCTGAGATTAAGGCAGGATATTGCTTCGCATTCATGCATCAATGTTAGTACATAATATCATCCAGATACATCACCTCGACAGCATTAAGGGAAAGAAATCAGGACCTTACGATCACTAAATCTATGATTGATACGAATTAACACCACATTGTCGCTAGAGGAGTGGGAGGTCTGACGAAGGTGGCGTACACCCCGTCTAACCCAGTTAGTTGATGGTAATCAGTAGTCTTACTATTTAGCCGATGGCAAGATATACTTACATTTCAGCGTCAGGATCTGCATGTGTGAATTAACTCTATATATTAGAAATTCATTGCGCTGCTAAGGGTTTAGGCTAGACTGGCGAATGCCATGTCTAGTCTGATGTAACAAGCTAATCTGAAGTTAATGGATTAATCACGTGTTTCTATAGTTTCAACAGTTGGCTTGCTCGCTAAACTCTCCACGCCGTCATATGAATACTTTATCTTCATCCTGTCGCTCGCACTTTAATGTTATCATTCATATTTCTTTTACTAGGTTATATTTTCCAACTGTTTTTTTTTTGGCATGGCGAGAACACAAGTAGTGAGCGGATCGACGGGCGGCGAGGACTTGTAGCGGCAGAAATGCGTGGAGAATTTGGAAATGACTAAAACTGACTGTAAAGTACAGCTGATTGAAGTTACAGAGTGCACATTGTTGTCAATTTTAATTGTCGCGAAAGAAGCGCATGACAGAGCAACATTCGGATTCAATCATATTCGCAACAGCATTCTGTCAATTTTCTCTCCTTTCTATCGAGATCCGGATGAAAATCTGGAAGTTTGCTATTAATTCTATGCCCATGCTAGTCTATTGGAAATCAGGTTGGTTGAATAATAGATGTAAAGAATGGGAATGCGGATCTCCTATTTTCCTTACGCCTATTTCTGTTGTAAGGTTATCTCCGTTGTTACATGCATACCTGTTCAACCTCAGCTTGTTGGCTATTTCTGCTTATGAGCTCGTGCGTATCCATGACATTTAATTTCCTCCGAGAAAGGGCAGAGATTTGGGTTCTCTTGGAAATATATCATTCGCACCCGACGTTAAATGGACGGGTATTTATATTTAATCCTTAAAGGGATATGATTTATTTTACCAGCCATGACGTCTTTGTTAAGAGGGAATCAGTATTTTCCGGTTTCCGATGCACATACTAGAGAAGAGAGCTATTTATTTGAAAATCCCCAACCAGAGTCTTGTAGGGCATGTTTCGACCTCGACTTTCCGGTAGGCGATGCGCTTCGATTGGTGATTAGACCCGAGGATAGGGAAGGAGTTAAGGAACTTAGGTTTTGAATTCCATATTCCCGGTTTAAAGAGACGATGGTTTTAAAGAGAGAGATTAGAAAACTATTTCAGAGGATTGAGAAGAATTTTTTTCGAGTCTGACGAGAAGCAGGAAAGACAAGTATTGCGAAGTGGGAAAGTACATGGGAAGATGCTCGATTCTGCATGCTTTATCCCTATCCTCACTACTCCAGCAGTAAACATACGCGAGAAGTATTTCAAAAGCTAATTAAACCGTTTTCATGACAGAAGATCGTATATTCAATGTGGATGTGAAGTAATGTATGACGATTAATAGTCATGAAAAATTTTCATATATATAGCCCCTTATACGTGATATAAGATCTTAGATTACCCGAGAATGGGGTCGAGGAAGAAGGAAGGAAAAGATGTCAAAAAATATCAAATGCATCAAAATATAGTAAAACAAGTAAACATTCCTTCATTTTATTTTAAATAAGTTGTTTATATATATAACCTTGTAATAAGTGAGCAAAAAATTGTCTCTAAGTATAATCAGGACTTATTTGGCAATATAACCTCTTATTACTACTCAGTGCCGAAGGTTGTATATCTAAAAACTAGTCGCAAAACTTCTACTGCGTTTTATTAAGTAGTTGCTCAACCGGTTGTACGCAATGAGGGATAAATATCATAAAAAAAGTTTATTCTCAATCTTCCCCTCCTTATTATCTTGAACAGCAATAAAGTTTACTCAAAAACTAAGAGATTGTCGGTCCTATAATACCATTATTTATCTTTTTGTCGCTACTTTTTTTGGGTATTTGTGAATTGTTACTCCTCAATTTTTCTATTTGTCTTTTACCCCTTTTCCTTTGCTAGTGTTACCACTACTGTGCTGACTTGGCCGGTGGATCGTGAGTTTTAGCTCTATTTTATTGCTTGGTTTAAATATTTGTTACTGAACTCTTTCAAGGTTGTTGTTTCTACTTCTTTCTCCTTAATTCTATACAATTTCATACTGCTCGCTCGAGTATAGGAATATTAAGTTTTGAATTTTACTTGTCTTCATCTGATACTGTGAATATTTTGGTCTTTTAATCTGTCATATCTGAATGATATGAGTATTATTGTCTATATCTACTCTGGGGTTTTGTATACTTCTCGCTAATATAGTAAGATAGTTGCAGATCTCTACTTGTCTTGGCTTGTAAGTCTTACTTTGAGCTCCCAAACAAACTTTTCCATGAGAGATTCGGACCATTGTTTGAGTCCATTTCTAGACTCTCTGCGCTACTCGAAGAAGTAGAATGATGACTTTGAGATACTATCCACACTTAACTATTTTCTGGCTTTTCTAGCTAACTACACCTCGATGAGATTAATATTTCTTGCTTTTGTCTCCTAAACTTTTGTACTTCTCGCAAAATGAAGGGGCATATGTCAAGTTTGGCATTGACGTGACTTATCCTTTAGCTTTTTTGCTCATCATATTTTGATGAGAGTAGCATAATTGCCCATGCTTAGCTTCAATTTTCTCTATTCCTCACCATCAGAGAAATATTTGCTAAACTTGGCTCTGTTTAGCCTTGATACTTGAGGTTTTTCAACTTCATCATTCCTTGATGAGAGCAGCACATTGCTTTCTCTCATTCACTTCCATTTTTAACTATTAGCAGGAAAGGATGCTTGTATAGTTATTCTGTTCCATAATATGTCCTAATATTCAACTCAACATACCCGGCGAGAATGCTAAAATCTTTTAACTTGAGTTTTTACACTAACTTATAGTTATAGGAAAATTCCAATTCCACTACGTGAAGCAGAACTTACACTTGAACAATAACCTTTTTCTAACCACTATTATCTCGTTGGATTTTTCACATACCCTCTCTTTCCAGACATCTCCTCTCATAATCCCTCCAGCTCCCACCCAAATTCTACATCCGCCTCAATTGTCCCCTTTAACAGCCGACAATATCTCTTTTTCAGTTCCTAGATAGAAACAGCCCATTGAAGTTGATTCCAATTTCCACAACCATCAAATCAGCCGCTCTAAGTTAGACAATGCTGAGTTGGAGGTCACCACCGCCAATATTCACTTTTCGGCACCTCATACTGCCGTTCCGTCTCTAACTAACAACTTTGCCGTACCAACCAGCTATTTCAAAAACCCTTCTATAGGCACAAACCTTCCCACCGCCTCGAGCTCAAACCACACATCACCATGCGGCCCTTCCACCTGCCACGCTCCGCTACCTCCCCCGATCTCCCATCTTCTCCTACCGATTCCACCACCAGCCCAGCACACGAAAATGCAATAAACAGAGATGGAGCCATAAGCCGCGTAGATCGGTATTCACGAATCATACCACCTGCCCCAACAAATCCACCACCTCCTCCTAAAATTGCCAATTCCTCTCGTCCTAGCGGTTTACGCCACGTAACACTTGCTTCTGAAATCAAAACTACCATGAAAAATAGCATGGAATTATCGATATCCTCAACCGCATCCTCTCTTTCTACCCCGCAAACATCTCTTCCTACTGATCATGGAATGCAGCGGAAAAATCGCTTTCGTCTCAATACCGCGCGTCAGGGAATGCAAAAAGCTTTTTCTAGTATGCGCACGCATGCTAGTCCTTCTAATATTGCTGGACTTTCTTTGCGCAAAAAGGGTTCGGTTTCTGGCTCTGGAGTTTCTGCTGAGATGGTGCCTGGGAGCTCTGCAGGTTCTGCGGGCTCTGTGGGCTCTACGGAGAAAATATCAATAGGTGCTCCTACGGGAATGATTAAGAAGACACCTGAGGAGATACAAGAAATTTTGAGACAATTGGGTGTTAATGGTAAGGATCTTTCTTCTAGTGGCGGAAGTAGTGGAAGTTTTCATAAAAACGCTGTTTTCGGTGAGGATGTGGGGATTGCTGCGAGAGGAGATAGGGTAGGAGACGGAAAGGGCAAAGTACAAAAGGAAAAAAGAACTACAAGAGCTAATTCTACAACTTCTCAATCAACATCTAATTCTAGATCGAAATTTATAATTTCTAGTAATATTCTTCCCTATCCCAAAATATCAACATCAACATCAACGTCCGCACCAAAACCAAAAGTCAAACTAAGCGCAAAACAACGCGGTAAACTCCCCGCTCGATCTCCCTCCCCCCCTCCACCATCTTCAACACTTTCTCCAGAACCAGAACAGGAAAAGAAACCAGTAGGTTGGTACACTACAGCTACACTTGATGAAATCCGCGCAACGCTTCCTCCAGTCAGAAAAGAAGATTTGATTCCTGATGAGGAGATTCCGGAATTTGTGGAGGGATTAATGAGAGATTTTGAGGTGTTGAAGTGGGTTAGTGAGTGGAGGAGTGGGTTGTTGGATGAGGAGATTGAAGAGATGAGGAGGGTGGGGTTGGGGGGAGGGGGAGATGAGGATGAGGATGAGGATAAAGATGAGGATAAAGATGATCACGAGAATTATGATGATGAGGATGAGGAATATGAGGAAGATGAAGAAGAAGAAGAATACACCTGGCCCGAAACCAGTAAAATAAACCCCCGCTTCATAGAGAGCGGCTGGTGCCAAGAAGAAATAAGCAGTTCTGGAATTGGAGCCCGCTGGTTTATATTCGACGATGTGGAGAATATACTCGGAGGACCTAAATGTCCGCTTACGCATGCAGCTGACGATGTTGAAGATGATGAAGATGAATATCGCGATGAAGTTGAGGATCAGGATGAGATTAAGTATGAGCAGATCACAGAGACACGGAGCATGATTGGGGAAAGCGAAGAAAGCATGAGGGGAGATGATCGATATGGATTTGAAGAGGATTTCGCAGCAGAAGAAGAATTTGATGAGGATGCGAGACAGATTACTCGAGAGGAGATTTTGAGGGGGGAGTTTAAGTTTACGCAGCTTGAGATTTTGGAGAGGAGGGGATGATGTGAAGAATTTTCTTTTCTTGTTTCTTCTTCTTCGTTTGGGCACGGTCTTTTGATTATGGTTCATTCTTCTTTGGTGCTTGGTTTGGGGCTAGGTATGTAATTTTGCCAATCCTCGGTTGAGTTTCTTGATACAAGGGGTAATTTAATGTAATCTTAAGATCATTTGGTAATTACTGGAAGGTTGATGGATGCCTTGAGAAAAATGGGTGGATAACAATGCAAACGTTTTTTGATACCATTCATTATACACTCTTTAAAAAGAAAATCTCCAGTCCCCTATCTATGTCCTCTCCCTCAAAAGATCAGCACTCTAATGCATAGGAATCCTGCATCCATAAAAAGACCGCCACGAAAATTCCTTTTTATACTCACCACTCCCTCAACTAGCCATTCATTTCTTTCGATTTTCAAGACAAACTCTTTGACTATCTACGCCCTAAGTAGGTACCAGATTCTTCATAAAAATACCCGTACCCTATAAAGGTGTTTTAGCAATAGGTTACTCGAATGCATATCTAATCTTCCATGTAGTTTCTATATCTATTCCAGGGTATTTCCCAATATTAGCTTTCGCGAGTTTTGGTCTTTTGATTGTTAAATGATTTATTGATGCCCTGAGGGAACGAGAGAAGAGTAAGAGGGAAGGCTAGAGTTGTACTGCGATTGGAGATGAGAGTAATAGCGAGGCTGAGTGAAGATAAAATGATAGCGGATATGAAGAGGAGAGTAGTGAGTTTGATTCTAATTGGATAGAGCTTTTGAAGGAACTTGAATTGTTAAAATTACTTAGGTCTAGGAGGAAGAGGAGAAACAAGAACGATAAGAAGAAGGTTTGAAAGTGGTAGAAGAAAATAAATGAATAGTTATCATGTAGGTAGTCATTGAACGTGACAGATATTTTAATCCGTTCTGCGCTATCACGTGACAAAAAGCTTGGATCATCAGCCCTTTGTTGAAAGCTTCTTTTCTTAGCTTCTTCCACCAGACTTTGGCAGGCACAAAAATCAAGAAGTCCTGACTAGTTTATAATGTGACTGGATAGTTTCATACTTCATAGGATTGGTTGAATTTTCATTGATGAGAAACCATTACTGCTGTTACTCAATTGGCATGATACAGTATTATTCAAAGCAACAGAATCATCCATCATTACCAATACTGCTTCAACGGATTCCCTTTTCAGGAATTCGCAATTGATGCCAAAAATATCTATTCTCCGCTTCCCTTCCCGTACGCAATACTCCGCGCATGTATGCCAAGTGACGGGTCTACTACGGATTATGGCCAATATAAACAATCTCAATCTTCAGATAAGAAGAAACTCTAAAAACGATATACATTCTGTATATCGTCAGTACGGAATTGTTATATCCCATCACTCAAGTATGGTAAGCTGTCAGAGAAATGCTTTATTAATTTATGAAAATATCTCATAAATTCGTGTTGTGCTGTCTCCCCATAAGATTTAAATTGCATCTCACTGCAGGAAATGATCCACGTTGACTTAAGTTTACCAGCGAAAAGTGACATCATACATGTTCCACCACTCCACCAACCAAAAATCAAGGTCAATACTAGGTACCTAGGTAGAGAAGTAAATAAATGAATGAATGAATGGATGGATCATAGAGCTGACATTTAAGAAAATACATCAATTCATGATAGAATATACCAATTGACTTTTTTGCTTTCTATTTTTCCTTTTCTCTGAATCAACGGTGTCGATAACCTTACAGTCAATTCGGAATGGCAGGTCATCGAAATTGGACAAGCGGAAGTGATGATGCTTACAAGACCAAACAAACTACATATCTTCGCAGAGATTTAGAGCAAGGAAGACCATCAAAGGATCGAAAGTACAGATTTAGAGATCAAGGACCTTTAGAACCGGATGATCGGAGACGTGTTGAATTTAAGAAGAAATTGTTAGATAGTGTGGAAAGTTCGAATTTGGAAGAATTCCGCAAGAAGGACAATGAGGTAAGATTATCTTATTTTATTCTTTTCCCTTGTTGCGCGAATACATTCGTATCATTTTACTAATTCCATACCTAAACAGCTAAAAGAAATGCCAAAATGCATCCGCAGTTTCTACGAAGAACAAAACAATCGACTAGATGATTGGCTGGAAGTAAATGCCATTGTCCAAGCACTCGCAGATGATATTCTCGAATCCTTCGATCCTCGAGATGATAATGGTGATGGAGTTGCAGAAGGAGGAGGTGCATTACAAGATACCCAAGGATTTGTCGAACCCTTCCTACCAGATGCCGAACAAGAGAAACGTCAAAAAGCTCGCAGGAGTGCTAAATGGGCTATTAATATCAACGTAATCGCGAATATTATTCTCCTCGCCGCTAAAGGTGTAGCGGCGTTTTATTCCTCGTCACTTTCTCTAATAGCTTCTCTCGTTGATTCAGCTCTCGATCTTCTCTGTACGGTTATAGTATTTACGACCAATCGATTAGTAGAATGGAGATTAATGAGTCTGAAAAGAAAATTCCCCGTGGGAAGAAAGAGATTGGAACCCATTGGAATTTTGGTATTTTCCATCATAATGATTATTTCATTCGTACAAATTCTTCAAGAATCGGCTCAGAAACTCATGTCCAAGGGTCCACATGAAGCAAAGGAATTACCCGTTATTGCAATTGCTTCGATGGCTGGTACGATTGGTCTTAAGGGTCTTATTTGGTTTGGATGTATTAAAATTAAAACTACACAGGTTCAAGCTTTGGCTCAAGGTATGTAAGATCTTAGTTTTCTGGAATTTTGTCCCTTCAATATTAAATTATGAATTAACTAACATCCCCATTAAAGATTGCAAAACCGACGTAATCTTCAACACCCTCTCTCTCATCTTCCCCTACGTCGGCAACGCCGCCAAAATCTGGTGGCTTGACCCCCTCGGCGCTGGTCTCCTCTCCCTCTTCATAATCTACGACTGGGCATCCACCTGTCTAGAAAACATATTCCGACTAACCGGCGCCGCAGTAGACGATCGTTTACAACAAAAACTCACATTTCTCGCATGGCGTTTTAGTCCACTAGTAAATGGATATAAAAGTATCACGGCTTATCATGCGGGTGATGGTGTTTGGGTGGAAGTAGACATACTTCTTAGTGAGGGGACGACCTTGGAGGAGGCGCATGATGTGGCGGAAACGTTGCAGTATTGTTGTGAGGGGTTGCCCGAGGTCGATAGGGCGTTTGTTACGTGTGATTATGCGGTTCAGGGGCCTACGGGGCATGCGATGGAGGGGGTTAATTAGGGGGATTGGGGTTGGGTGGGATGAGGAGTGGTGGGATAGAATGTATGAGTGGGGAGATGGGGTTTGGAAGGTAATAGGATAGGTATGGGATGGACGGGGTTATATCATTGGTGTATATATATACTAAGATCACACGACGATTTGATTTGGAGGCGTACTTGGACTAAGGGTGCAATATACATGGAGTTGGATTGGATACAGCATACATAGCAGAGCATAGTATAACATTGTATAGTATAGCATAGCATAGCATATAAATCTAATGACATCTTACATAAAAATACCAAAATCTACAACCACAACCACAACCACACCCCTCTCTTAGGTTTTGATGCCGTGGTTTGAGATGTGTTGATGAATTTAGGTTAGGGGGAGGGGGTGGAGAGAAGATTTTGTGTATAATGTGTAGGTGTAGTAGAAGTTAACGTTCGAAGTTTTGTGGAAGTGGTATGGAGTCTGTATCTATCTGTATCTATATCTACAGGTTTCTGAGATTGGGTTTATGTGGGCTTTGTTTATTTATTTGATTGGGAGTGGGTCTTAATTACATTTTTACATTTTGAATTTTCCTTTTTTTTTTTTCTTTTTTTTTTTGAGGGGGGGGGTATGAGATGTGGTGGTCTATGATTAATCTATAATTAAATTAAATTAAATTAAATCAAATCGATTACTATGAAATTTATTATTATTGATATTGTAACGTGTTTCATCACCCCGTGCACCATATCACCTCATGCACCACTTTTACCTCAATTCACATCAATCACTTCAATACACGATTTATCAATAAATAATTATGGTATCGATATTAAATAAATGCGATATCGTTATGGTAATAGAGGCAATGGCTAAAGATAAAAATTTAAGTCTTTGGAAAACTGCCAAGATTTACAATATTACTTATACAACACATATATAGAATGAAAGAGATTATTCCTATCTCTGAATATTGTCAAAAACAGTATAAAATTACTAAAATTGAAGAGGAGGTTATTATTCAGCATATAATCGATATGGATGAGCGAGGATTTAGTCCTAAATTCATAAGTGTTGAAAGTATAGTGAATTATATTCTTGAATCGAGGGGTGGAAAGCGTATTGGTAAACAATAAGTATATCGATTTGTGAATCGATATAATATTCTAAAAATACGTTTTAATTGTGTCTACGACTTCCAAAGGGCTCTCTGCGAGGATCCTAAGCTTATTAATAAGTGATTTCAATTATTCAAAAATATAAAGACAAAATATGAAATATAGGAGTACGATATATGGAATTTTGATGAAACAGGCTTTATGATGGAAGTGATATCCTTTAGTATAGTTATTACTAATGTAGATAGATGTAGCAAAAGTAAAGGAATACAGCTAGACAATAGAGAATAGTCGACAGCGATTGTATGTGGTAATGCGACAGGGGAGAACATACCTCCATATCTTCTTGTTCAAGGACAAATGCATTTAGTCAATTGATACAGCGAGACGGATATGCCTCCCGAATGGGTGGTTAAAACTATTATAAATAGATAGACGAATAATGAGACGGGTTTAGAATGGCTAAAGCATTTTGATAAGTATACGAAACTCCGAACGAAGGGTGCATATCGAATGCTAGTCTTAGATGGATATGAAAGTTATGAATCAGGCCCTTTTCAGAACTATTGTATAGAATATAAGATTAAAACCATTAGATTACTATTTTATTCAAGTTATCTTATCCAATCTCTTGATATTAGTTATTTTAGTATACTAAAACGCATATATAGCAAGCAAATTAAGAGGTATATATGGATATATATGGATATATATCAATTATATCTCCAAAATCGAATTCTTTATAGTATTCAATATTGTATACAAATAAGCAATTACAATAAAGAATATGAAAGCAGATTTTAAAGAAGCAAGATTAGTCTTTTTTAATCCCGATGTTGTACTCTCTAAAATGGATATTCGAATCTGTACACCTACTTCTCCTTCGTTTCCTTTGAGTTATATACTCGATTGGGTCTCACAAACACATTACAATGCTATCGAAGCTTTTTCACAAGTATTTTTAGTATAATCTATTATTGCTCGGTATCATTCTAGCTCTCCTACACCTATATTTAAGATTACAAATCCTTTAATTAAGGGTATAGAATACCTAGCTAATTGTGACGGAAATCCCTGCTTTCCTCCCACCTTTATTATATAAGAAACCTCAGGTACATTAACCATGTCCACACATGATACGATTACTCGAGATTAGTATGCGATTTAGGTGACCTGAGGATCAGATCCGGACAAGTACTAGGTATCAATGGTTATCGGTAAAGTAAGATCATTGGAGGAATAAATATGACTTCTTTTTGCCTAGCCATTGCGGCTAGGCCATTCATTTGTGTATATATAGAGTAGCTATCCCCATCTACAGGTGCTCTTCACCTGTAGATTCTAAGTTAAATACAATTGCTGGTCTATAAACACCCTTTTGGTCACACTAATACTGTCATGATTTTAGCTTTTGAGAATCACGATCTTCGATTAGCAAATACAGGATTAAGTAAATGTCGATGTATTAAAAAGATTCAATTATGTTTAGGAGAAGCTTTCATTATTCAAAAAGCTAATAATATTATATTACAAAAAAAGGTGGATGTTTAGATTAAATATAATAGACAATAAAATGAACGGAATTCTAATAGAGAGACATCGATTAATCGATGCTGTAATAAATGTAGAATAATAGGTCATAATGCAAGAACATGTTCTAATGATAATATAGATCCTAAATTATTAGATAGTGCTTAGTTTAAATCAATTGATCAAGTAATTGTTGAATTATATATGATTATAAATAGGAATTGAGGTGAAAGTGGTGCACGAGGTGATATGGTGCACGGGGTGATGAAACACGTTATAATTAAGATATTCTGTTAAAGTGAATGGTTCCTGCGTAGCACGTGCACAGGGCACTAGTCCTGTTAGGACTAGATTGAGAAGCTCTCTTACAGAGAGCTTCGCACTTCCGTAGAACTTAGAAGAGAGATTAACCTACTAGACCAATATTACCTCAGTTCTGCCCTATCAGCTTCCCAATATTCCCTGTGTGAGGTCATTCCTTTTAACATATTCTACTATTATTAAAACCTTAAGGGAAAAAATATAAAAAAGGTGAAGAATTTGAAACATAGTATGATTTAAGATTTGGAGTTTATAAGTTATTATTGATTAGTTTTTGGGGGGGTTTTGTTTGTTTTTTCACTTGTTTTTATTTTTTTCATTGGGATGGTATAACGTGTTATGGAAGGGGAGGAGGGGGGGGAGGGGAGGAAGGAGAGAAAGGAGAGAAAGGAGAGAAAGGAGAGGAAGGAGAGGAAGGAGAGGAAGGAGGAGAGAATTGTATCGCTTTTTAAGGTTATGATGCGGTCGGCTATAATGCTATGCCGAGACAGGAGATATCCTAGATTTAGAATGGAGGTGAATGAGATGGTGACCACTGACCGGATGGGTGTATATAGAAAGGAGGAGTTAAATGTGGGAAGTGAGAGAGGTGATTTTAGATGTTAATGCTGGAGTAGTGAGGAGAGAGATACTGCGTCCGAATGTGTAGACGCATAATTGGGAGTTGCGCTGGGAAGTGCTATTAGAGCAGGATGCGGCATATTATCATGGTGATTTGGATGATATAGGTGATGCTGAATCAGGGGGGTTGGTGAGTGGAATTTGTGATGGGTTTACTTCGTGGTGTTTGTTGGATGATAGTTTGAGGTTTATTGAGGGACATGTTGGATTTGGATTTGGAGATGAGAAAATTGAACTCGAACACTGTAAGATTATTTGTGAAGATGAATTTGATATATCTAATTGAAGATTTGTGTATTCGGAAATGCTATTAATGATGTTGATGTAATGATTGAGGAGAAATGAGATTATATTTTAGACGTAGAAAAGAATAAGAAAGTAATATAACAGAGAAGATCTAATCCACAAGAATCATAGGGCTGAAAAGTAAATCTAGCTCACGATGAAATAGCAATGCAAAAAAAAAATATGGTGACTTTACCATGATAGAATGACACGAGTTTCGGATGCCCACAGTTTGACTTTGCACTAGCTTTTTAGTGTCCGTATAAATGTTTTATACTTTAGTTTCTGGATTGACGAAATATTGATAAATGAGAGTATTGTTTGATTTAAATTCGGATATGAAGTTTGAGATGGGAAAATTTGAATGCTCGAGATGTTCAAAGCAAAGTAATCCTAATCAATGTGTCTTAGGAATGTGAGGCATATGAGGAATCTTTGGTGAAAGACCTCTTACGCGAGTGAATGGATGTTGAATATTATTCGAAGGTCCGAATTAACTTCGACAGCATGAATGCCGATGAGAAAATAAAAAATCTAGATGAAAATATGACGGGACGAAAAGAAGTGAGATCAGTCGAATTAAGCTTCCCATTTCTCATTTGAAGCTATAACCTACCTAGGTAACATTAAGTAATAAGCTTTGTTCTTTCCCGCCCCTCAAAATTGCCACCAAACTTTCCTTCCCCAAAAAGAAGCTCGAAAGGTTCATAAAACATTTAAATTCCTGTTATTAAAATGTCATTATATCGTCATTTTTTGAAATCAACCTTCTCCAAACCTACAATAAATCTTTCACTTACCACTCAAAGCTTTATTTGTAACAGAACCATGACCAGCAACCCCTCACCAATATCTCCTTTCCCAAAAATTACACCACTTCCTCGCTCTCTCTACCCAACACCTTTCGTTTTCACTCGATCAGATTTCCATCGACAAGATGAATCACCAGATACTGAATGGTACTCTCAACCACGGTTTGTTCAGCACATTGACGATGGTGCCATCTCTATATTGAAAGACTATTATTCCACCATCATCACACCCACATCATCCGTTCTCGACATCTGTTCATCATGGGTATCCCACTTACCCTCTTCGCTCAAACCACCCATCATGATAGGAATTGGTATGAACGCAGCAGAATTACAACGAAATGAACATTTAACCCAATATATGGTCAAAGATCTAAATGTTCATCCAACATTTCGGGAAATCGGTTATGCATCGATGGATGTGGTTATTTGTAATGTATCAGTGGATTACTTAACACAACCGATTGACGTATTTGAGGAAATGAGGAGAGTGTTGAAGATTGGGGGTGAGGCTCATATGGCTTTTAGTAATCGATGTTTTCCGACCAAGGTGGTGGGGAGATGGTTGAGGGATGGATGATGAGGAGAGGAGGAAATGGGTCGGAGGTTATTTTTTGGGCAAGTGGGGGATGGGAGAATGTGGAAGAAGTCGTTTCGAAGGAAGGTGGATATGAAGATCCAGTATTTGTTGTAAGAGGGAGAAAGACGAGGGGTTTTTGAGAGAAGGGGGGATCTTGATTTGTGGGCATGGAAATGTTCCATCGCTCGGAAGGATGGTGATGATGAAAGGATGGGGTGATAATAAGGTTATTGGAATGATGAAGATTTGATATCTGTCTTGGGCAGAGAAGAAGTCGAAAAAACATAATCTTAATACTAGGTATATGCTATGAAGGACGGAAAACCTTGAGAAGGAGTCGTTGTTCTTAATTGTGATTGGTTGGAGATCACAAAAGAGCCTCAAAATGGTTCGTTATCTTTCCAGGGGCCAGGGCTTGAAACAGATATGAAATTGCGTGGCAGTTTATCTCGACAACACCACCACCCATCATCCTCACCCATCATCCATCGCCCATCATCCATCAACATCATCCATCGTCTTATATCATCTACGTAATCAAAGAAATTCCCTGCATCTGACTCAATTGAAGATCCTATTATGGAGAATATTTTATTGCTGGCGGAATATCACCATGATGCTGGGATTCTGCCCTGCTTGTAGTCCTTGCAAATGTCCAGTTGGACTTTGAAGATGGATCTGCACTCGACTCAGAGTATGGCAACGGGTCCAAAGCATGAACTTCAAAGAGTTGATTGCTTGCATTATCAATGTCTCAAAAACGTGCTTATATTTAGGTATGTTGGGCGAGGCCTGATCTCGTCTTCGTCAAATCCTCCTCACAGCTCAGTGTTACAGCCGCAGGAAGCATGCACCTATCTTTTCTTTCCACGTATTTGCTTGAACCAATCATTGTCTTTTGATCGATATATAATCAAAGTTTTTTGGGGCTATGCGCACCTCCATGATTCAGAAATTGGTCCATAGTTACAATTTCAACTCCAATGGATTCTCCTGTCTTTGTGGGTCACAATCTTGACCCACGCTGCCGTCTAGTCAAGCGGGGAAATGTGTTCGCTCTCTTCACATATCTAGCGAAAAGTTTGCAGTAGTCTTTACGGACTTCCACTGTTTCAAATATACAAAACCATGCTTGATATGCTCAAAAATCCAAAATCATTATCAAAAGGAACCTTTTCTTTTACTAGCCGTCGTGAAGCTTGAATCAATTTAGCTTAGAGTCAAAAGTGGATTAAAAGTCGAGACTTCAGTCGACTTCTACTATATTCATCACTCAATATTCACAAAAAAACTCTTTGATCTATTTATCCAGTATATGGGAGAATCTCTCGGCGACCGCTTCGCTTCCAGATTTCAACGGTTGCGGAATATAATTCAACCGGGGAGTAGCCATTTCAAAAGCCAACACTTTGCCATTCGATCGTTGTGGCAGACCTTCAGCCTTCTCATCTCGTGCGATTGAATAACTATGTTCTTATGGCAAATCACAATCAAGAAGTCTCAAATTCACAGGATATAATCGAAATGGATGAGCAGGAAACGAGAACACATCATTGTCCAAAAACAATCCATCAAGAAGAGGCTTTATATTTTCAACATGTAGACAAATTGGGCCAAGGAAACCGAGCATATCCTGTCCGAGTAGATTCGATACATTCAAATCTTTCTATGAAATCGGAAAATTCCGATGGAGAGAGTATTCATTCAACAATAAGATATTGTGATACATCAGAGGATGATTCAGTGGGCAGTTCGAAACCAGGTCATCACATTTATCACGATGGGATTTTTTGGCGTTCGCCAATTACGATGGGTGGGAATCTTTTAATTGGAATTCTTGCTTGTGTTTCTCATCATGTGTTTAATACTTGCATGGTAGGGAAGCAAGTTGGAGATGAACTTTCGCAGCAATGGACATTGAGGTTAGTTATTTTCGTTGGGTCAAAAGCCTCAGCAACTCATTTTACTTCAAATAGCAGCACTGATAATAACATAGATATGGAACCTCATCTGCTTTTATCTCACAAGTTTGTCTTATCAGCTCTGTTGGTTTTGCTTACACTCAATGGCTTTGGAAATCTTTGTATCACAAGGATACTAAAGTCTCCATTAAATGCCTTGATGCTGCTTTCGTTGCCGATACATCCCTTATATCATTCTTCAATAAAGAAATGCTTTGGAAGCTTAAGCTTACATCACTACTTGCGACGGTTATAAAGTTAGTTTATTTCTTTTCGAAATGCCAAGTTTTGGAACTCGGCTCTTGTTCATCAAATTTCCAAAAGATGTTGAATGGGACTGGGAGTAAAACTTTCTATCTCCTCTCTAGTGAAACCTTATAATAATGACCCTATAGGACTCTACCAATGGCTTCTATTCTCACTCCTGGAACACTGTTTGTTATGCCCAGTACCAAAATTGTCCGAACAAATGCCAATGTCTCCTCTCTCGATATGTACAGTTCCGGCCAAACTTCAAAATTCGCATATTCTGTTCCTGTGAACTTCACGGAGGATGTGCAAAACGAAATGTTCCTTGGACCACGAACAATCATCACTCGTTTGTCCACTGCCACCGCAACTCAAGGCCAAATTTTACCGATAAATGCACCACTTTTCAATGCAAGTTACGAGGTTCAATTTTACGGACCCATTGTTCAATGCAAAGAGGCCGATGCAGCTACCGCCAGAATCATACAAAACCTTCGAAACCAGTTTACTGCGGGCTTTACAGCACCAATCACGGAAGTCTCAAACTACTACTACGCATTCGTTCCTAACCTGAGTAATTATAGAAATAGCTCTCTACCCAATAACGGCGTTACAGTTATCCCTCAAATGCGACTTGAACAACCTCAAAATGCTTCAAATCAACTCTGGATGGGCTACACACGTTATGTCGAGTCAAATTCATTTCAAACCGAGGATCATTACACAGTCTGTTCACTCTACAACGCTTCTTATAATCTCAATATCACCCTCCAAGAAGGTACTCAAACCATCACCAACAAATCTCTCCATGTCCTCAATAGTGTTCCTTACCCAGATATCAAAAGCCCAGTCTCCAATAATCTCATGGTCCAACACGCATACTCCGCTTACATGTGGTCTCTTACCGATCTCATCGTTGGTTCAATGGGTATCTTCAAAGCTGCTCCTTCTTATCCAGGTCTTCCCAGTACATATTTTTCTGAAATCACTACTCAAATTGCTCATACTTCCTTACTTGGCAGTTCGGATTTAGATGCTTTTTTTGAGAGGAAATCAAATGATCCTATGGGTAGTAATGATACCACAGTGGGCGAGCAAAGAACTCAAGACATCAATCTTGCCGGAAATGCAACCTTGGAGACTTTAGTAGAGGGGTTGAGTTGGAATGTAACATGCAGTTTTATGAATAGTAATTTATTATCGTATGTATTTCTCATCTCCAATCCATCCATCTATCTATCAATCAATCAACAAACTAACAAAACACCAACCTCCCAGTCCCTACCGCAACACCTCCATCCTATCCACAACCTCCATAAACATCTACGCCTACCATTCCTCCACCCTCCTCCTCTCCTACGGTCTCGCTATCCTAGCCGCTCTTATCGCAAATGCTCTTGGTGCATATGCGTATCATATAAATGGTCGCTCACATAATAAATCTTTCTCAGCCATACTTGCCGCAACTAGGGACACGGAGTTTGGGAATTTGTTACCGGGGAGTGTGAGGGGGAAGATTCCCCTGCCGCATTGGGTACTGAGAACTCAATTGCGGTTTGTGGATGTGGATGGTGGTGGTGTTGATGAGCAGGGTATGGCGCATGGGAAGAATAGGGGTGGGAGGGAGTTTAGGATTGTGGGGAGGAGGAGGTGATGTGAGGGAAGGAGAGTTTGATGGATTATTTGGGGGTGGGACTGGGATGGAAGGAAGGGAAGGGGAGGGGAGAGTAGTTGTTTGGGATTTGAAAATTTTGCCTTAGTCTAATCGCTGACTGATTGGGAGGAGAAATGATTGGGGGGAGAAATGATTGGGAGGAGAAATGATGGTGATGTTTTGGTGTTTATTTAGCGTGGAGTTGTGGAGTTGCGAGGTTATGATTTTTACCTTTCAGGGGTTGGAGTGATATATACTGGAACTTGTTAGGGAGTATGAGGGCTGGGGGTATACCATATATATACATGTGAATATTGGATGGAGTTTGGGGTTTTTATTTTTGGGAGGTGTGGTGATGTTGTTTGATAGATGAGATTAGATTTGATTTGACCTAGTTAGATTTGATTAGAATAGTTCATTTAGTATAAAAGAATATCAGAGAATATCTAGGTATATAATTTTTTTTTTCTTCTATTTTTAGACTAATTTATTATATTGTCTTTTTATTATTTTTTATATTTATAATCAATGTAGCTATATGGATTGATGTTATACTACTATATCTAAATAGTATTTATCAAAAGGGGGTGTCTTTCGATGATTTGAGATTCTAATGATAATATTTTATTATACAAGTATCTAATAGATATAATAAAAGTCGATGAAGTCATCATCGCTGTTCGGTTCAGACTATTTCATCCAAAAAATTAGCCTTATCAGCTTTGTGGCTGAACGGATCAAAAAGCTAACGCCACATTACTTCACGCCACGTTGTTACGACGGGTAACATATTTCCGTATCACATGACTAATTACAGGATCAGAGCTATCATGTGACCGGCTCTAATCAATCTAGTTAGAGCCTCTAGAGCCAGAACACGAAGGTCTATATAATCAAGATGGATTTCCTTTGTATAGAGCTTCGTACTCAAGATCAATCATTCAGTATACTCTACTATTAGTTACGAATAGCATACCATTATTGTCATTACTTAAGTCCCTGCTTGACGCCTAGTTATAAACCACCTCGAGAGCCTAGAGCACTTCCACGTGATCTAGACGGCAAACCTCGTAACACACGTTTAGCTATGACGTTTCGGGCAGGGGGACACGATACCTCGGCCTGTTCCAAAAGAATGCCCAAAACTTTCCCATGAATTTATTTAAGTCTTACAATAAGTTTTTTTCTTACATATTAATGCAAGATAGATTCAAATACATAGCCATAATCTAAATTTAAATTCATTTCTTTTTGAATACATTCGTATATCCAATTTCCATTCTACTTATCATATTCGCAAAGTGTCTTCCATTCCATTCAACATTCTTCATTCTATCATCAAACGCCCTTTACGACTACGATTGCCACTTCATCCAAATACAATAATAATAACACCACTATCAATGACATCCTACTTCTCACGGCTCAGTCCGATTCCAGGATTTCCAGAATATACTGGACCTCATAAAGTAGGAACAATTGATGTCGAAATCCCTATCTCAGAACTCGATTCACCGTCTCAAGCACCAAGTAATGCAGAAAATATCCCAACGATTCAATATCGAATCTTCTACCCATGCGATGCGGAATCGAAACATAAAGGAAAGAGTGTGAATTGGATACCTGCGCCCCAGAGAGATTATATAAGTGCATATTCGAGATTTCTAGGAGCTGGTAGTACATTGGCAGAGGTTATCTCGTAAGTAGAGTAATTCTTGGGAGAAGGAACAAATGCTGATATATTTCGTGCGATAGATATTTCCCTAGACTTCTTCATTATGTTACAATTCCCGTCCGAAAGAATGCGCCACTTCTCCAACCAAAAACAAGCAATAATCGTTGGCCTGTTATGATATTCTCGCATGGCCTGGGTGGTTCAAGAAATGCATATTCACATATAGTGGGATCAGTAGCAAGTCATGGCATGATAGTTATTGCACCCGAACATCGTGATGGTTCAACACCTATATCATATATTCGAGAACCAACCTCCGATGTTTCCGCGACGGAAAAGGAGAAATTGCCCAAGAAAAATGCAAAAAAGACGGTCGATTATGTTAGATTATCACATACTCCAAGTCCAGAAGTTGAAGAAGGAAGAAATGAACAATTGAAAATTCGACTCTGGGAAATAGGATTGATTCATGATAGTTTATTAAAGATGGATGAGGGAGAGAAACTTACCAATCTCAACACATCTTCTACTTCATTATCAATATTCAAAGATCAAATGAATGTTCATGAACCTGGCAAAATTACTTTTGCAGGACATTCTTTTGGAGCAGCAACGGTGGTACAATTCATAAAATCAGTTTTCTACTCACCTGAGGCTTCTTCCGCTCCCAAATCTTACAAACCGATTTATTCACCCTCTCCAAATTCTCCTATTTGCTCTCAAATTACACCCAACAATCCGATTGTCCTTCTAGATTGTTGGTGCTTTCCTCTCCGTTCCCAGGCAACCCGCTGGCTATGGGATCATCCTCTTCCATCATATGCACCTTCAGGTCCTGGTGGTTCTGCAATCCTTGCAGTAGAATCGCAAGCCTTTTATAAATGGACCGAGCATTTCAATGCAACCAAACGTCTTCTTTCCGCCGGCCCATCTTCCCATAATCCATCCAGTAATGGAAAATCAGAACCTCATTTTTATTATCCTACATCAAGCGCACATTTGAGTCAATCAGATTTCGGCATTCTTTTCCCATGGGTTACGAAAAAGGTTTTTGCAGCAGAGGAACCAGAAAGGATTATGAGATTAAATGTTAGAGCTGTGATGCAATTAGTTAGGGAGAGAGGAATAGAAGTCGGTAAAACTTCTAAGAAAGATTTGGAACTCGAGGGAGATGAAGAGGAAACAAACGATGATTTCAAAATCTTTGGAAAGGATGGAGGGATTAGAGGATGGAATTGGTTGAGTATTTCTGAGGGTGATGTAGGGATAAATGTAGATGAGGGAGAGGAATCAGAAATTGCGGATAAGAAATTAGATGAAAAACAAGTTGAGGTTGGAAAAGGAGGGGATGAAGGAGAGATTAAGAAACCGATGGATATCGAACCTGCGGAGGTGGTAGTGGGGAATGAGGTTACTACTGGTGCGGGGTCGAAAATGTAGCATGGTTGAAGTAAGAAATGATATTGTTTCTTGTTATATATAGTTCTGGTGGTTCACTTCTGGGCGGGATTCTGAAGCGTTTGAACAAAGAGAGCGTTTTGCATTGTATGGCATGGATCATGGCTACTTCTGTTTGGAAATTATTATTTCTGTTCTAGGAAGCTACAGGATCTTTAAAATGAGTAGTTATGTATATGTAATATAAGATCTTATATAAAGAATTGATACCTATATAATATCTCTCAAAACTCAACAGACTGAAAGATTCATAAATAGTGAGATCGTCTTATAATCGAGATTTTCTAAACTCCGGGATATATTCTATGGAAAGCTTTTGAGATAATTAAAGAGCTCTTTTTGATTTATTGTGATATAATAAAGATTTATCTCCCTTTTTTTCCCTCGCTTAAGTCTTGATCGATCGGTTAGATTGATTGATCAGATTAGATAGTTGGATTATTAGATGGTGGGAATTTTGATGAAGTATGTGATAGTGTTGTAAAGTTGTTATAAGATTAATAAGAAAAAGATTTTGGAATTTTCAAAGATTTAAAGTTTTTGAAAGAATTTGTAGGATGAGATCACCAGCGGGACTTGTTTTGAAGGTTAAATTTAGTAAAAAAAAAAAAGAGAAAGAAAATGGAAAAAAGAGGATTTACACTTTAGATTAAAAACTCTACTTTTCAAGATCTATTTTATATTTCCTGCTTCAAATTTGACTTTTATTTTGTATTCGATGTCTACTTTCTAGTCTTCGAATCTAGTGGTTGCTTCCCTATTTATACACCACAGCACTAACTAATCTAATAGTCTTCCGTAATTGAGATTCTGAATTTCTGATTTTTGTAAGATCTTATGTTTTGTTAGCTCCTGGGGATCTTGAGGGTTGAGTGAGGGGGTAGTAATTACTTACGTATTTGGTGGTGTAAGAGGTCTTGCGGTGTTACAGTCGCATTTTAAAGGCTTCAATTCTCAACGCCTAGTCTGCTTCTCTTGCTCATCTTTCATGCCGTAAGTCTCAACCGTCAATTTTTAAACTTCATCTCTCAACCTTCATCTCTCAAACCCAACTTTGAATATCCTCACACCGAAAAATCGAAGTCGAGTGATCACTTAGCTTCTCATATGAGAATTACTAGCCAGCACGAACGGGGACGTGTGATCAAAGCCAGCCGCCCTATAGACGAATGAGTAGTTAGAGGAAAGGAAATTACTTATCCCAAAAGATATGTATGTCCTAAAAGACATTCCTCCTCTTCCACACATAATCCATCCATAGGGGATTTTTGGGGGATTTTTCAAATTTTTTTGGAAGGTTAGGAAATCGCTGATGGATCGTAATCCATGGAAAATAAATGGGAAGAGCTAAATGTTATATATTGCTAATGGAACCGGAAATGTCCATGGAAAAGAAATCATAGATAAAGGTAAATGTTGTATATCGCTAATGGATCGAAGGTGTCCATTGAAAGGAAACTAGATTGATTATATCGCTAATGGATGGGATCCATAGTATTTTTTGGGGGGTAAATTTAAGACAAAAGTAAAAAGACGAAAAAGAAGAACGTCGAAAACTCCAAAGGAAATTCCTACCAAGGTTAGCCAACCTTGCAAATATGGATTTTATGAATTTTATGAGTGTTTTTTTGATTTTTTGGAAAATTCAAAAGGACGCCGAAAGAAGCCGAAAAAGGAAAAAGACAAAGGAATGTTTTTGTACGTTTTGTATTTTGAAGTTTTTTTGGTGTTTTGGTGTCCGAGGACTTTTCTAGAAAAAGCAAAGAAAAAGAACAAAAGAAAAAAAGCCCCCAGTGCCCACAGTGATTGTATAGAAGAACTCTACCAATCCTCGTCAGAATCATCCGCCCAGGAAAATGACTTCAAACCTTCTCCATTCATAGAAGGTATGATCGTGACGAGCCGACCAACTTGAAGTCACGTTCCTGAGCTGACGAGTTGTCTGCTTCCGTCACGGGTTCGACTACCGCCTCAGGAAGGTTGCCCAATCCCTCGGTTTTATCACCCATCAACTTCATGGAGCACCGTTGAAAGTCCGAAAACGTATTCAACGGGCCAGAAGATCTGGGTCCCAAGCGGACGATAGCCTCATCTGTGTATCCCTCAAGAGGAACTAGTCCGCGCCCATGCGTGCTACAAGAGCCCGGCTCGGAGCGGATTTCGTAACCCACCATATTGGGCGCGGGAGTATACGCTTCCGGATTCGCTGTGTTGTAATACTCCCCACAGATCCCACAGCGCCTAAGACTAGACGACTTTAACGTGTTGTCAGATGAGGGCTGTATAAATACAGCCTCATCAAGGGGGAGAAAAAGTGAGGATGGACTCAAATCTTCTTGATCCCCCGACGTCTTTAAAAAGGAACGAACTTCATGTATCGACCATCTCCCATGAAGCTTTTTGAAAGAGACCTTTTTCCTACTAACCCCGAGAGATTTTCGGGAAGTTGGATTCATGGGTTTGTCCGAAGACGCACACCAATAGTCCAAAGTCCTTTCGAACCCCCAGAGCCACATGCCATCAAAGGCATTTTGGGAGCGCATTCCCACAGGGAGAATGGTCGACCCACATCCAGGCAACCAAGGTTCTCTGAATGTTCCACCCTCAACAAGAAAACATTGATGACCGGAGTCAACAATGAACACCCGTTGAGGATGTAAAGAAGTGCTGCGAAGTGTGCAGTGAGGATAGAAAAGTCAGATTGAAAAGGGGGATCCTTAGCCTGTTGTTGAAGGGTTTGCCTGGGCTTTGCCCAGGCAAAAGAAGCCGCCTTGTTAAGGCCGAGGGACCACATCTCGAGATGTGGTTGGTCGAAGGGTGGAAAGAGGTCGAAAATGATGGTGAGTTTGAAAAAAAGTTTCGTAACTAAAGTATAAGACAGATAGCTATAAAAGTAATCTGTTTTGCGTACGAAGAACAGAAGAGGATTGGAAGGGGAGCGGGCATTATATAGACAATTGAAAAATCTAGTAAAGTAACTACTACACGCCGTTCTATAGGCTATCGAAGCTAAAAGTTTCATTGCCGATAGTTTTTATAGGAAATGGCCAGATGTTGGATTTGCGTTTGGGACTATCTTAGTTATATTTTCTAACGTACAAGTAGAAACTTAAAGGATCTTATTGTGTCAGTCAAGTCCAAGTGCCGAATGTGTCTCAATTGCTAAAGTAGTTTGAGATATTGACTCTGTGTACCATACCGAATTGACTTTAGACAATGAAAGGATACGAGATCTTACTTCGATTTGAAATCTTGAAGTGGTTTGGGATATTGTGTCATATGAGATATTGAACTTAGTTTAGACATTGAAATGGTGTGAAGCACTATTTTGATTTGAGATACTGAAGTACCCCGAAGTATTGAGTTTATGTAAACTACCCAGTTGAACTTAAAAAATTGAATAGATGCAAGCTATCATTTCGATTTGAGACACTAAAGTGGTTTAAAACATTGAATTCGTCTGAGATAGTCTTTTAACTTTAAACAATGAACTAGTATAGGATGGTGAATCAATTTACATCACTCAACTGACCTACAATACCGAACTGAGTTGAGATATTGATATCAACAAGAATTAAAAACTCACTTTCAAGTTTTGAACAACTCCTTAGGATTAAAAGCATTACAAACATTGAATACCTTGTTATTCTACCAGGAACTTTAATTATTGGTACACTACTCTCTATGTGACCAATTCACCAACTACTGCCGTTAAGGCTAGACGGTAACGTAGTGCCGAAGTATCTTTCTACGGGGTAACTGTCATCCCTTAGCTAGAATACAAGAAGTGACTACCCCGCTAACTATCACTAGTATATCGGAGTATCTATGACATAAAATGTGACTGCTGGTTTTTGAATGATACTAGTCTCTCCTTCACTACTTTATTAATGAATGAGACAGTCTATGAGTGGATCGGTGGTCATAATATTATCGTACTTGCTTAAAGTAGCGATTTTAGTGAAAACCTTATGTGTCTGACGTCTCAATTACCGAGAAGACTTATGTCAGTAGCAGCCGGAGCTAGGTAAAACTTTATATCTGGGATCTGGGCTTACCGGCTTCGTTACGATGAGCTAAAATTGTTTGGAAAAAAAAATCTAGACGGCTTGGAAGCATGTAGTCGGTCATGGAAACTTATAGAATTTATCTAACTATATTCATAAATATGAAATAGTCAAAGTTGTGAGATATCGCGTGGTAATGTAAGGATCGGAGACTTAGAACGGAGCAATTGCGATCATTGAATTAATGAAAAGTTGCCGAAAGCTAAAATGCATTCAGCCATCCAAGCGATTTCGGCACTCAATATTTGCCGCACAAAAAGGTGTTCGAACTACTAGGAAACAAAATAGACCAAGGACTTTCTAATCTTCATGAGTTTTTCTGATAAGTAGGATATTCGAGGCTACCGAAAAGGGTTAAGATGTTGCCAGTATTCCAACTGGCTCAAGTTTAATACTGTCCAGTTATGAGATAAGTCATCAAGAAATATTAATTTTATGACCCAATTATGAAATTAGAAGGAAGCTACAGTGGCCTTATCTAGAATTCCTAACATGAGTATAAATTAGAATGTATATTAAATCGTCACTCGGAACAGGTCTTGCGTTATCTTAACACTTGAAATCCCAATTTTGGTGTAAGGCCTAGAATAAGAATATCTTCGTCTGGTACAACAGCTCGAAAAAGAATTCTCTACATAAGCTTATCCTCGGGTCCAGTCCGAGCATCAAATATAAATTTGAAAGTTCACCGAAGTAACGTAGAGATAAGGTTAAGGTTATAACATCTAGTTTTCACGCTACAGCCGGCAGTAACTTCCTTCGCGCTAAGCGAATATTCTAGCTTACGCAAATGTAAACAGGGAGTGTCGAGCCTTTTTTGTACAAGATGAATAAACATCAAATATGTTATGCAGCAAGTTGATAATATGACAAAAAGAATCCTTAAATCAATGCAAGGTTTTTCAAGCAATATTTGCATCATGATGATCCCAGCATTTCTTAACGGCCTCCCTAACAATACAGAATAGACCGTTCCAGAAACTCCAACAGCCTAAGTTTAGTGGCCAACTCACTAGTCTAAAGTCTTTCATCTGGACCTAAGCATAGGATATATAGTACACTAGATCACCTTTATATTGACACGAAGATCTGGGAGCAACATTCTGATGACGACTAGGTGATTAGAACAGATCTGATAAACAACCTATGATCGGAACAAGACCTTGGTTGTTGTACACTAAAGAACGACGATGTTTTCCAGTAAGTTTCTGATTTGGCAGGCACACTAATTTGGTATGCTTTTCCTATGGAGCCATATGCTAAGACTCGATCTACGAAAGCCCATCTTTGGACGCTTTATGCTTAAAATGTACGAAACTTTAGCACCCGGCTTTCGTATCAGGACGTTAGAGCAAGTGAAACATAGGCAAGAGCTAGATCATACCAGAACTCTCGAGTCAATGCCGATTACAATCTAGCCTTCCGCAGGCCCTGAGTACCTGCCGAAAGTGGACGTATAAAATCAACACGGCATTTAAAAGTAAGATTCTAATCGATATCATCGATACGGGGCTTATGAACCCTGAGATTAGATCACAGACTAAGATTAAAACTAACAATCGATTTTGTCTTTTCACTTGCACATGAAAAAATCATACTAATACAGTAAAGTTATTTTCATCCGGTACTTTAGGAGCAAAGAAAGTTTACAAAACTGTGAAGAAAATAACATGGATTTTTCTGGTCCGGACCATGGTCCTTCCAAGCGTGAACGATGGAGAATCTTGGGTACGAAGATAGAAAATTTATGCAGGTTGAGTACCATGAGCAGCAAATTTTTGATTAGGAGTGATATCTGGGAGATTACCCAAAGATGCATTGAGTATGACAAAAGTGTTTGTACGATTGTGTGCACTCTACCGCTAATTAGTAAAGGGGTTGACCGAAAACTTCCACCGCCTGATATTGCCATAATATCCTGAGGCTTTCATTACATAAACCACTTAACGCGCCCGAAATCTCGACGCGTCTCACAGCTCAAGATAGGCAATGGGGAATATTCTTTTATAAACTCGATTCAAAACAACAATTTTTCAACGTACCACAAACAGCTGTCGCAAAAATGTCCGACTACGAAGATGATATGGATATTGATGCTCCTCCTGTGGGAGATTCAATAATGTTCAATTCCGATAATACGAATTCGAAAGGCAAACGAAGCGCAGCAAATTTACCTGTTGAGGCAGAGGATAGTCTTCCATGGTGAGATGATTTGATCTGATTGACAGCAAATGGATAGCGCATGTACTGATACACTTCTCAAGGGTCGAGAAATACCGACCAGATACTTTAGAAGATGTTTCTGGTCATCAGGATATTCTTGCTACTATAAATAAATTCGTCGACACAAATGTACGCCTTTCCTCCCTGTATGTTAAATCTGCCCTAACAATTACATACAGAGACTTCCGCATCTTCTATTCTACGGTCCCCCGGGAACTGGTAAAACCTCCACCATCCTCGCCCTTGCACGTCGCATATATGGGCCCAAAAACATGCGACAAATGGTCCTCGAGCTCAATGCCTCCGATGACCGCGGTATCGAAGTTGTGCGCGAACAAATCAAAACCTTTGCCTCCACCAAACAGATATTCTCCATGAATTCTGCCACCGTGTCTCCTGGAGCATATAAACTTATTATTCTTGATGAGGCGGATGCGATGACTTCTACTGCGCAGATGGCTTTAAGACGAGTGATGGAGAAATATACGGCGAATACACGATTTTGTGTTATTGCTAATTATACACATAAATTGAGTCCGGCTTTGTTGAGTAGATGTACGAGATTTAGGTTCAGTCCGTTGAAGGAGAGTGATATTAGAGTGTTGGTTGATAAGGTTATTATGGAAGAGAATGTGCAGATTAATGCAGAGGCTACAGATGCTTTAGTTAGGTTAAGTAAAGGAGATATGAGGCGGGCGTTGAATGTATTACAGGCTTGTCATGCCAGCAGTAAGTTTCCCATGGATTGAGGAATGACATCTGAGAACTAATATTTTCATTAGGTACACCAATCCACATCAAAGGCACACCCAAGATGGAAGAGAAAGACATTGTCCGAGATCTCATCACCGAAACCACTATATATGATTGTATCGCCTCACCTCATCCAGCCGATATATCGAAGATCATGAACACGATTCTCAAAACCTCAGATGTGAAATCATGTTTACAAATGATCAATGCCATTAAATCTACACAAGGTCTTGCATTAGCAGATATCATAACGGCTCTCTCGGAAGAACTCATAAAAGTGGATGTTCCAGCATCTGTTATGATTACATGGCTTCAAGGATTAGCAGAAGTGGAATATAGGTTGAGTGGTGGTGGAAGTGAAGTTATACAGACGGGAGCAGTGGTTGGTGTTGTGAGGCAGGGAGCAGAACTTATGAATAATTAATGATATGATTATAAGTATTTTGGCTGTGGAATTGTAAAATTATAGGCGAAAATGTAAGGGGGGATAGGGGAGTGGGTTCATAAAATATACCAAATTAGACTCGAATACCCATTCTTGAGGAATAGCCAGGATCAACATCAGTGGTCGACTAATTCAAGCATCAACGCTTTCCATCCCCTGTACAATACTGATTTCTAACCTCTTACTTCGATAGCAAGTGTTACTCATCCATATTGTGTTAAATAATCATTACTCACATGCCATTATTGGATGCTATATAATACTCCTAATAGGATTTTCTGATTATGAAAAATACTCACATTCTTTTTTTATCTCGGAAAATGTATCTACGGTCACATACCTAGCTTTCGACGGCTGATATAAGACCTAATAATAATATAAGATCTTACATCGTATCTGTGATATTATATCAAACTCCCTATGGCCTCCAGAAAGAAAAGGATTGAGCATCTTATAACCTAAAAGCCTTCGTCCCAAAATAGAAACTGATTATCTTTCTTTCGGTCCCTAATTAATCTTGAATGTACTCCCACACTATCTCTAACCATCTGTACATTTTACGCCATATCCCACCTCCACAGATTCATTCCTGTGATCCATTCCTTTCCTTTTTTCCCCTGAAACTTGAATAAACCCCTTTATAATCATTTCTTACATACCTAGTACTTGTTACCATAGATATCTAATAGATCTAAATAATTTAAATACCAAAGTGATTTCCCTCGAGAGAAGTCTCCGTATATTCGCTTGCTCAAACCTACCTCGGACTAAGAAGCTTGCCTAAGAGTTAAAGTGCTATTAGATATTATTACAAAGAACCATAAAATATCTATATCGCTGGCTATGAAATAAAATTCCTGCACTATTCTTACATTTTGGACTTAACCACCCACCCACTTATCCTTCAATGTACTCGTAAATAGTAAGAGTATCAAAAATAGCTCCGAAAGCATCCCTTTACAACGCTAAAATTTAGCGAGAGATGAGCTCGCCCCTAAGTACCCGACTGAAGTCCATTTACGAAGTCATTTTGACCTTCAATTGGCGAGTGAACGTTAGTTTAAGAGTCTCTATTTGCATCTCTACAAAGTGTAGGTTTGAAAGACCAATCAAATTACTTAGTAGCATGATCAAATCTTTCTGTTTATTGCAGATGGAAATACTGGGTAGGCATACGAAGTATTCACCCATGAGACTTCTAATTGAACTCTTGTGGAACCATCGGTTAAGATTAATAGGATCTAATTATCAGGTCATTTAGTGGTAAGATATATTAGTAAAGTTGAGATGATGAATCATTTTCAGAGTTTTGATTCTTATTTGGGACTAATTATATGAGTTCTGGTTTAATAAATGTTAGATTGATAATTTTGAGATACTAGGTCGACGATTCTGAAGCTGATATAGTGGCTGATGAATGTATCCCCAACCTATAACATCATACTAATTTAACTAATAATAAATAGATGTATCAAAAACTTCCGCGAGGAATTATTTGCGAAAATAGACCCACCCTTCTCAAAAGAAATTTTTCTACAAAAGTCAACATTGCTATCCAAATGCATTTGGTAATCTCCTCGAACATCATTGATATAAAGTGCTGTCACTGCAGACATGTAATCAACATCATGGGAATAATACCAGCTGTTTCGTGTCTTAAAATCCTCTCAACTTAGATCTTCTTTTCAGCATCTATCACAAGGTCTAAAATAGATCATCAGACCATTACTTTTCATCCATCACTAAATGTAGTATTATAGGATTAAGCTCTCTTAAGATGACAATGCATCACGAACACAACACATCGTTTTGCCCTTGCAAATGCTATGCTATGCTACATCCCGACAGTAATACTGATTTGATCTCCTGCCAATAGACCTTTAGCCGCATAACATCTCAGAAGTTCAGAGCATCCTTTCAAAGCAATACTTCCTCTACCCATGACAACCGACTAGAGCGAATACACCACTCACTCACCTAAAGAAAACTCTAAAAATCCCAAGATCTTACCAAAAAATCCAGAAAAACTCGAAGAAAGATAGTAAGTCACATGCTTAGAAAAACCAGAGAACCACACGCGATTCGAAGACTATTCAAGAGTAATGATCACATTTCTAGATGATGAAGCTTCATATAAAACTGATAGAATGAGCGTAAAGATTAAGAATCATCAACTGCACGAACTCGAGCAAATACAGATATTTATTTCAAATTCGTCAACAACAGAGGACGTCGATTTCCCCAACAGTGAGCAAAAAAAGAAGGAAAAATTTTTCTCAGTATGGGGATGACTCGGAGACTACCTACTTATAAAACATATAATTGGGAAATAGTAAGGTTATATAGAGTAATGGCTGACGTTTGGGTTAATATTAGCTATTTGGGTAAATCCCTGGGTGCCTATTTATTAATAAATCTAATACCCCCCTTTTTGGGCCACCCCTTTTTTGGACCACCTTTTTACACCAAAAATAACGATTTTCAGCTATTAATATCTCAACAACCAATGAATGAAACCAATTGAAATTTTGATTATAAATTAATAATATAAATACTGATTGATTTTGAAAATTCCAGATTTTTCACAATTTTATTGATTGAGATATAAATGATTGAAATCACGATTTTCAATTTGTATAGGATTTACTGTCACGATTCACCATCACGTGGGACAAGTAGGGATCACGTGATGGGCCTCCAGGAGCATAGGCTCCTCCAGGCTCCTGGAAAGGACCAGTATATAAACATTCATTATTTTCATAGTATAGGAGCTTCGTGCTCAACTTATTTATCAATTAGTCTACCTACATTCTACTTGATCTAGTAACGACTTCACTTCCAAGTGAATACCATGTTACGATGGTAACAGCTGACTTGTTTTCGTAAGCTTGGGCCATGTGCAAATCGGTTTCGATTCGCTCAATTTACTATGAGATTTCGGTCACCCTAAGAACTCATATGCACGCACCATCAGAGCATATAAACAAGTATGCTGGATCACTCAGGATCACTGGTGATCCAAGGTGACCCAAGAAGCATGAAGATCTATATATTCAATATGAATTTCCTTTTGTAGAACTTCGTGCTCAAGATCAATCATTTAGTATACTCTACTATTAGTTACGAATAGCATACCATTATTGTCATTACTTAAGTCCCTGCTTGACGCCTAGTTATAAACCACCTCGAGAGCCTAGAGCACTTCCACGTGATCTAGACGGCAAACCTCGTAACATTACCCAATACTCTACTCCATATAACGTAATTTATCACCGAATGGGCCATATCACCGAGTGGGCCACTTTCACCTCAATTCACACTCTTCATATTCAACACGCGTTTTATCAACCATTTATTATGCAATCTACAAATAAAGAAGCACGTTTACTCTTAGCTATCGAAGCTTTTCAAAAAGATAAAAAACTAAGCATTCGGAAGGCTGCTCAACTATATAATATACCTCGCACAACGATCAGCCACAGAATGGATGGTTTAACTCCACGTACAGAAACTCGAGCGAATTGCTATAAGATTACACAATTGGAAGAGAAAGTGATTGTTGAATACATACTTGATATGGATCGAAGAGGATTTCCACCTAAAATCAAGGGTGTAGAAGATATGGCGAATTATATTCTTGAATCAAGAAATGCGAAGAAAGTTGGAAAGCTCTGGGCTCATCGATTCGTAAAGCATCATACAGAATTAAAGATATGTTTTAGTCGTGTTTATGATTTTCAAAGAGCTCTCTACGAAGACCCTAAGCTTCTTGAGGAGTGGTTTCAATTGGTATCGAATATACAAGCAAAATATGGTATTCTGGATTGCGATTTCTATAATTTCGACGAAACAGGCTTTATGATGGGGATTATAAGTGCTGCAATGGTTGTAACTGATGCTGAACGACGAGGCAGAGGTAAAGCAGTACAACCAGGCAATCGAGAATGGGCTACAGCAATTATATGTGGTAATAGGGAGGGTGAAACTATACCTCCATTTCTGGTAGTTCAAGGACAAATCCATCTTTCCAATTGGTACACCGAAACCGATTTTCCTGCGGATTGGGCTATCAAACCTACTTCCAATGGATAAACGAATAATGAGACAGGATTAGAATAGTTAAAGCATTTCGATAAATATACGATTCATCGAAGAAAGGGCAAATATCGAATGTTAGTATTAGATGGACACGAAAGTCATGAATCAATATCTTTTCAATTATATTGCAAGGCAAATGATATTATATGTATAAGATTACTATCGCATTCAAGTCATTTAACTCAACCACTTGATGTTGGATGTTTTAGTGTCCTAAAACGTTTGTATGGTTGTCAAATTGATGGATTTATCAAGGCATATATCAATCATATCTTCAAGGTTGAATTCTTTATAGCTTTTAAAGCTGCATATCAAGAATCAATTACAGTTCAGAATATGAAAGCTGGGTTTCGAGGAACTGGATTAATACCATTTAATCCCGAAGCTGTACTCTCAAAATTAGATATTCGAATTCATACACCTACTCCTCCTCCTTTCGATTTGGATCTTTGGATCTCTCAAACCCCTCACAATCCAACTGAAGCTCTTTCTCAATCAACTTTAGTAAAATCTCGAATATCTCGTCATCAATCAAGCTCTCCTACACCTATATTCAAAACTGTACTAGCTTTAACTAAAGGCATAGAAAGATTGGCACATGAAAATACACTTTTAAGTGCAGAAAACCGTACACTTCGGAAGGCAAATAAAGCATTAAGCAAACATCGACATGCAAAAAAAACTCAATTACGGCAAGGAGGAGTACTTACTAGACAAGAAGCTATGGATATATTATCTCAGCAAGAGGTTGATATTCAGATTCAACGCGACGAGCGTCAAAATGGGGGGAATTCTAATGGGGAAGCATCTTCTAGTAGATGCTGTAGTAAGTGTGGAAAGCCAGGTCATAATTCAAGAACTTGTCAAATCAATATAATAGATCCTAGATTATTAGATTCCTAATAGTTTCAATCAATTGATTCAATTGTTGTTGAATAATATATACTTGAAAGTGTAAATTGAGGTGAAAGTGGCCCACTCGGTGATATGGCCCACTCGGTGATAAATTACGTTACTAAAAGCAGAAAAAGAATAACCGAAAATCTTCATATTATTTGAGTAGTGGCACCCACCAACCCACCATCTTTAACACTAGTCTAGCAAGCAAGCAAGCAGCTGAAGATTCCCGCCCCACCCCACTTAAGCTTACAATTACAGTATATACCATACCATACACATACCTCCAGGGGTTACCATTTGCACGTGCGTGTGAGCAAAACAATTCCCAATCATAATCATACCGATATTTCAAGATATCGGGATTAACCCACTCTTTCTTATCAAACATAAAACATAAAATACCATCTCTCCAAATGATATGCATCGCAAGGAAACATTTATATACATACACATATACATACCGTGTACACACTACATACCGGTAATCATCCACACATATACTGCATACTCCATACACCTAGCTAGTAGTCCATAGAAAACAAAAATGCTCGTAGATCCGCTACAGAAAGCAACATCCCGCGGGACCCGATCTCACACCTCACACCTCCGGTCCACCAATCCTTCCTTCCCAATCAGCTCCGAAACCGTGATATTCCCGCATGGGACCTGCGTTATCTGGACATATCTGGACATATGTGCAGCGGCTGCTTTGTAAGAGAGAAATACCTAGTACCTACTAGGTACATACATGTGCCCCCTTATGTAACTTTGCGAATCAAAAAGCCATTGGATTGATTAGATGTCGATTTATAATTCTTTACACATTATCCGGTGGTGTTGAATTTTTCATTTTCAGAGGTGATTTAGGTAGGTATATTAATTGTTGAGCGTGCCATTTTCGTGCAGCAGTTCTGTACTCTTGTGAGGTTACGCTGTATTTTTATTTTGTGAGGAAACGAAAGAGCGGCAAAGGATTCGGGATTCGGTCAATAATAATGGGCTCCACCGATTTCGCAACAACTTCTCCGTATCCGCATCACAATTCTTCGCAATATGATGAGGACAAGACACCATATACACCTCCTGTGATATCTCGAGATGAAGATTCGGATGTTGATGAAGCTTCGAGGAAGATTTTGGAGAGGAGATTGGTGAGAAAGGTGGATTGGAGATTATGTACCATCGCGGGAATATTATGTAGTTTGAATTTGATGGATTCGGGAATCATCAGTTCGGCCAGTGTCGCGGATGATTTCTTCACTACTTTGGGATTGGGTGTCGGAAATAGATACGTGAGTTCCTACATTTCGCTGATTGAAACCACCTTTGCATAGGTGCTGATAAAGTAAATAGTCGGTCTCAATCTTGGTGTACACAGTGGCAAGTGTAACTTTCCAGTTGCCAGCTACACTGTGTGTGAGGATGTGTGGTCCACGATTTGTATTCTCGTTGATTACAGTTGGCTTTGGAATTATTACCATGGTATGTATCTGTTAACTCGACACGCAATTCGACATGGAAGGAAGGTTCTAATAAGAGAGAAAAGTGTACCGCATTCATCAATACCTGGGAACAGATGGTAGTCCTTCGTCTTCTACTTGGAATTGCTCAATCAGCTATCTTTCCTGGCTTGAGTTATCTGATTTCGACTTGGTATACGAGAAAAGAACAACAGCTTCGTTTCGCATTTTTGCAAACAGGTGAAGTTGTTGTCGTGGGCCTGGGAATCTTTCTCAATTATGGTGTGAACCACTTGAACGGTAAAGGGAACTTGGCCGGTTGGAGGTGGATGTTTCTGGTGCAGGGCTTACTTGCTATAGGTATGTTATCCCGCTCCAAGGAACTCACGGAGTCAAGAGTTAACGTGATAATAGTTCTGGGATTCGTAACCTATTTTTGGATGGTGGATTTCCCAGAAAATGCCCATAAAAGTCTTCATTTCTTGACGGCCGAGGAGCAAAATCTGGCAGTGGCGAGAATTTCAGACGATAGAGGTGACGTTAAAGCTGAGGAATTTTCGCTTTGGAATTGCCTCATCCATTTTCTAGATCCAAAGATCTACGGCTTCTGTGCTTTGCTGTTTTGTTTGAACTTGGTATCAACGAGTGAGTGTTGACTTCAAGTAACTTTTCTGAAATTAGTGTGCTGACATCAACCACAGGCATGTCCTACTTCCTACCCATCATTCTGAAAAGTGGAATGGGGTTTTCTGAGGATAGTTCGATCATGTTGTCCGCACCACCCTATTTCTATGCCGTAATTCCTGTCATAATCTCCTCAATAGTTGGAGATTATTATCAACTTCGAGGCCTGGTCATAATTTTCAATAGCATCTGTACCATTGTAGGATTCGCTATGTTGGGATTTGCTAGCCAGGACACAGTTCGTTATATTGGAACCTACCTCTCCACGGGAGGATATGTGTCGAACTGGGCGGCTATGAATGCATATCAATCATCCAATATCGTTGGGCAATGGAAAAGAGCAACTTTCGCTGCTGCAAGTACTGCTTGCAATGGATTAGGAGGAATTGCCGGTGCATTCATCATCAGATATAATGAGGCGCCTCGATACATGACGGCAATTTGGGTCAGTATCGGCTCTCATATCGTCATTATTGCTATCGTTGGTATGTTCTCGATATACTTTTGGTATGCCAATAGCCGTCAGAGGAAGGGGATGGTATTGCTTGAGAGGACCATAGGCTTCAGGTACACCTATTAAATTAGAGAATATCTCTTTCGGTGGTTGAAGGAAGAACCCCTTTGTGCAGCTATACATTAGAGTGCCGGATAGGACTACCTGGGGTTTCGCATTCGAGGCGGAGCAAACAGAGGGGAAGTCCGAGAACTGCGCCCGATTTTGCAGGCATATAAAAATGATAATGTCGCCTCAATTCAGGTTAACTAATTTCAAAACCATTGAACTAGCGAAATATATATCGAGATTTCTGTTCAATAATCGATTGTCAGTTCAAACTTACTTGTCTTGATTTCCACATATCCAGAAATTCGGTCACTCTGTCGAAGTCTGTGGTGCTTTAAAAGCTCGACCATACAGAGGTACTCCGTAGTTCATCGGATCTATAGAATAAATTCCCCATGAATACAAAACTTATTGATCTTCATGTTGTTATCATATACCGATATACATATCTAAACCCCAGTAAAGCTTACATGATATAGTTTATGCTTGATCATCCGTTGGGATATCCTAAGATCAATGCATAAATGTTGACTGATACACAAACGCCTGATGTAAAAGTTCCAATGCTGACTGACGTAGTTGATCGATGCGACTTAACCACGACATCGCCATTTCGATGGTTGGTGAATCTGATGAATATCATGTATTGGGTTCTTGAATACCTACCAGCTATTTATCAATATGAGTTTGACTTTGGTCCAAAGTTATTAGTGAATTAGATGTTGCCTCCTCAGATAATATATGTCTCCTTGTTGTGCACATAATTGGAAACGAACGGACCGACGCTGTGATTTAATTTTATAAGATCACATCTAGACGTGACCCTAGATACGGACATTTATTCAGACCATTCACGCAACGTCATTTCCTATCAACTTACACCTCGCAATATCCGTGTTCACACTCATTTGTTGAAAACTACCTAGGTATTGCTCCTAAGATCTTAGAATATTCATTTAATTTGGTATCATTTAATTCCTCCTCGTACATAAACCGTCGGCTCCAATAACCTAATACGCCCCCGTAACATTTGTTCGAGGCAGCACGTTCAATCCAGAACTGGGTAAATACGGCATCGCGAACTTGGAACTACTGGATTTCCGAAATTACATGGGCAGTCCTTAGACCACTTCGCAGGACGATAACCATTTCCAGTCAAGCAGGAGAGTTTCTCTCCTCATAGCTGCTTTCCGGACGATTTATACAAGATGGGTTTCTTGGGTGTTTATTCTGCAGTATACGATTACGTGCCGGCAGGTGAGGGAGAGCTCACTATTAAAGAAGGGGATATCCTCTACGTGCTAGAGAAGAGCACGGAAGACGATTGGTGGAAAGCAAAGAAGAAGGCTTCTGCGGAAGATGAGGATGAACCTGTGGGATTGATCCCGAATAATTACATCCAGGAGGTATGCATATCCTAATTTCATTTGTGGACTATGACAACGCCATCTAGGGACTGGCATACGCTTTCATATAACAATATGCACATACTTGCTGTATTCAAGATGGCATGGCATATATTAATTTCTGTTAACAGGCAGCACCATCTGGTAAAGCTCGCGCTCTCTACGATTACACAAGACAGACAGATGAGGAGCTGTCATTCACAGAAGATGCACAACTCGAGGTCTTTGATACATCAGATCCGGATTGGATATTGGTGGGCTTTGAAGGAGAGTATGGCTTCGTACCTGCGAATTATATCGAGTTGTCCGAGGAAGAACAGCACAAGGAAGCGCCTGCTCCAAGTCTTCCAAGTCGGCCACGACCAGCATCGGTTCCAGTAGAAGAAGAAGCGCCAGCAGCGCCTCAGTCTCCTCTATCGCCTCAGCCCGCCGAAACGCCGGTAGCAACTCCGGCTGCTGCGATTGCTGGTATATTAAAGCAGAGGCAAGCTTCCGCTCCGGCAGCTCGAGCTCCACCAGAATTTACACCCGAAGCCTCGGATGAAGAGCCCCCTACACCAACCTTACCCGCGAGACCCGTGTCGCAAGTGTCAGTACCACAGCCTACTCGAGGGCAGGAACATGATCGGGAGCGAGAGCCTGCCCGTCGCTATTCTCCGAGACTTCCTGCATCTCCTGTTGTTACCGCATCTCCTCCTCATAACAGAGTATCTTTCTCTACAATGGGTGTAGTGAATGATGTAGATGAACATAAAGCGGCTCGCGCACCTGGTGGGTTCCACATGTATAATATCAGCGAGATGGTACATGTGATGGGTAAAAAGAAGAAAATGCCTACAACTCTGGGCATCAATATTGCTACAGGCACAATTCTGATTGCTCCCGAACAAGCCCGAGATGGACCAGAACAAACTTGGACAGCTGAAAAGATGACGCATTACTCACTGGAAGGCAAGCATGTTTTCATGGAATTAGTACGCCCAAGTAAAAGTATTGATTTCCACGCCGGAGCTAAAGACACCGCAACCGAAATTGTTAGTGCATTGGGAGAGCTTGCAGGTGCTGCCCGTGCCGAAGGATTAAGAGAGGTTATCGCAGCAGGATCTGGCTCTGGCCAAAAGAGAGGACAAGTTCTTTATGATTTTGTAGCACAAGGAGACGATGAAGTAGATGTGAATGTTGGAGATGAGGTCGTTATCATTGATGATGTGAAGAGTGAGGAATGGTGGATGGTACGGAGGGTCAAGAACGCGAAAGAAGGAGTTGTCCCAAGTAGTTACATCGAAATCATGGGCGCTATACAATCAGCAAGTTCAGCTGGAATAAACGCTGGGCGATCGACCGTTGAACAAAACAGGCTCGAAGAAGCGCGACTAGCAAGGGAGGCTCTAAAGACGGCGAAAAAGGACGAGGTTGAGGTAGGCCCTGGAATGCGACTACCCGAACGGGGTAGCAGTTTATTTGCTCGTGACAATGGTAACCAATCTGGGGAACAGAAGAGACGAGAAAGTGTCCGAGAAAGTGGTCAATCAAGATCTTCGAAATCTAGTAAGAAATGTCCCCCTGCAACATAACATGCTGAAGCTAACATTCATAGAACCCGATCCCGCTAAAGTAAGAACTTGGACAGACCGTTCGAAGTCATTCAGTGTTGAGGCACAATTCTTGGCGCTGAAAGATGGTAAGATAAATCTTCATAAGATGAATGGCGTGAAAATTGCTGTCCCAGTTGTCAAGATGTCGGTTGAAGATCTAGAATATGTTGAACGGATGACGGGCATATCTTTAGATGAAGATAAACCCTTATCAGACATCAAAAAGCAGCAGAAATCACGAGCAGCCGAGAGAGACTCGAGCAATGGTGCAAGTCCAGCTCCGGGTCCTAGTGCAAGTATGGGCGCAGGTGCAAGTATCCAAACCCCTGAGTATGATTGGTTCCAATTCTTTCTGTCATGCGACGTCAATGTGGGACTATGTGAGAGATATGCGCAGGCATTCAAGCGGGATTCTATGGATGAAAGCGTTTTACCTGATATCGATGCAACCGTACTACGAAACCTTGGGATACGCGAGGGAGATATCATTAAAATAATTAGGTTTTTGGACAAGAAATATATGCGGAAAGATGGCAAGCGCAATGTCAGCTTCGGAGGTGAGGATGAGGGTGAAGCTGGCCTCTTTTCTGGACCAGGTGGTGCCCTGAAGAATAACACCAGGAAAGGTCGCCCGGCTCCTGCCGTCCAAACTAATGATGTGGTGGATGCCAATGCTTTCTCGCAGAATGGCACCGAGAAATCCTCACCTCAAGGAGTTGCCACACCCCTTGCAAATGCCCCAACTCCCGCAGAAAAAGACGTCAAAAGGGAAGGATTTGACGATGATGCATGGGATGTTAAACCATCGAAACAAGAAACCACGAGCAGCCCTCCTGCCCAATCCATACCTGCTGCAGCTCCTCAACAACCTGTTATTACGGGCTCAATGCAAGAGCTCTCATTATTATCTACACCTTTGGAGCCAGTCAAGGCACAGCCAACTGCTCAAGCATCACCTCAGCCCCAAGCTCCACCGGCCGTTACACCTTCAATATTTGCGGGAATTGGAAATCAACAAACCGGAGTTCCTCAACCTCAACCCCTTCCTTCAGGACCTTTATTGCCCGCAAACTTAGCACGCCAACGTCCTGCACCCCCTCAAATGACCGCAAATTCTACTCTGATACCACCGCTTCCCCCTTCGCGTCCTCTATCAGCTCCTCAAGCTGCCAGTGCTTATGCTCCACCTCCATTGCAAGCTCAAGCGACTGGTTATGGAGCCTTCCAACCTCAAATTGCTCCTCCTGGACAAAGTCTTCATGACCTCAATCAACAACGTATGCAACAGCAGCAGCAGCAGCAGATGCAACAACAACAGTTTATGCTACAACAGCAACAACAAGCAGGCATGATGCAACAACCTACGGGATTCAATCAATTTAATCCTGGAGTACCTAACAATTTTCAACAATTCCCTATGCAGACAGGTAATCCCCAACAGCCTTTCATACCCAACCAAACCGGTACACCATTCGCAAACCCTCCAGCACAACCATTCCAACCACAACCACTTCAAGCCCAGCCTACTGGTTTTCAGAGCGCATTCCCTCCTGGGCAACAATATCCTCAACCTACTGGTGTAAATTCATACTTGCCTCCAGCTCTGCAACCTCAACCAACTGGCATGATGAATGGAGCCAATGGTTTCAATCAGAATTTCACTCCACCACCGATCCCACCTATGCCGCAGCAGCAGCCAGCCCCAATGCTCCCCCAGGCGACCGGGCCAGCACCACCAGGTAATTTTGTGCTCTTATCAGAATTTTGGTGCAAGCATTTGACTAACTCCTATTGCAGTTCGGTTCGGAGTCAATGGTACTAATAACATTGCGCCTCAACCCACAGGGAGACGCGCGAACCTTGCACAAGCCAGTAAGATTCCGTTTATGCTAAGTTATGAATACAAAGTGCTAATGCAATCTAGCTCCTCAAAATCCATTTGGATTTTAGGTTGACGATAAATGTACATTTAATCCTAGCTATGAATTTAATTTCTCTTGTAAAATAAGCGAATAAGCATGGCTAAGCATTGAGATGTTTAAAGTTTATTCCATTTCACTTTTCGCACTTCATTTAGATGGCCATATATTCGTGGCTCAAGCAATTTTAGGCGTACGTAGGTTACAGATGTCCATAGCGGTGGGTATCAATCATGATATTTAATTGAAGAAAAATTCATGAAGGCATTTTTATATGGGGTTGTGATTTTGGTTGTGATGGTGATAATAGTTAATGTGCAGAATAACTACTAATAATATGTAGCTAAGTAGGTAGGTGGGTAAATTAAAATGTACAAGGTGCTACATCCCTAGGGAAAGTTGTAATCTTGAATTTGTTGATAGGTTGTAGATTATAGATTATAGAATGCTGTTGGTGTTGGGTTATGAGTTGAGTGTTATGGAGAGGAGGGAAAAAGGGGGAAGAGGAGGGGGAAAGGGAGGGGGAGGTTAATTGATCATGTGCTTTTGTAAGTTAGAATGGATGGATTGGATGGATTGGAGTGCTGACTGTGTTTAATCTTTGTTTGTAAGATTACTTGGGTATTTGGGTATTTGGGTTTGAAGGTTTTATGTTTTGTTGTTGTAAGATTATATTATATTATGTGTTTTGTGTTTGATAGGTTGTTTGTTCTTAGAATACTAGGTATGTACTAGGTAGTTTGGATTGTGATTTGTTTATTTGTTTGTTTATTTATTTATTCTTTAAATTTCAAAATAAGATCTTACGTTGGATACCTAGGTAGTATTTGTGAGTGTAGGTTTTAAATCATGTTGGTGAGTGAACTATTGATGATACTTGACTCTTATTGGTTTTGTGGTCTTTTATTATGTTTGTAAAGTTTTGAATTTGATGGGTTATTCTTATGATAGTTTGGATTGTAAGATTAATTCTCTTACTTGTTCTTCAAACTCCTACTTAGGCTTCCACGTAAATCGCTGATAATCTCATACCCTCTTCTAATTAGTTAGATGCCGCCTCTTCCTCTTCCTTTCCTTCGCATTTTAGTCTTTACTCTCGCCCATCTCCCCCTCTTCATTCCTACCGCATCCTACTCCTTACTCTCGCCTATCTCACACCATTCAAAGCACTTCATTCCCCTCCCTCATTGCCTTCCCCAACTCCGACTGCGCAAGGTCATCCGCATACCTCTGATAAATCGGTAAATAATATTTCGTCTCACTCAAACTCATCTGAATACTCTTCCTTTCCTCAATAGCATCTACCCATTTCTCCCATCTGTCTCTCATATCGCCCAATTCCTCGATATGCAAGCCACCTTTGAAATAATCAAAAACCCAGATACGGAGAGCCCAAGGCGCTAGGATAAAATCTATTAGACACGGATCTCTCCCTGTGAAATAGGGTCCAATGGGGTCCATTTGCCGAGTGAATTCATATATGGACATAAGGAATCTAGTGCGAAGAGAGAGGAATTTGGGATCTTGAGGAGACAGACTTTGATATTGAAGAAAGCGGTGAAAAGCAGGGATAATACGGGAAGTAATGTGATCGATCCAAATCCTCAGCCGAGCTCTCTCGAAGGGTTCTCGAGTTAGTAAACGCGGCCAGTGGGATGGATATGCATCTTCGAGGAATTCGCAAATGATGGTGCTTTCGTAGAGTGCTTTGCCTTCATATTCCAGGGTGGGAATCAAACCGCGCGGGTTGAGTTTGAGTAGAGACGCGGGTTTGTGGTATGGGTTTACTTCTATGTATTGGAAGGGTATATTTTTTTCTAGGAGGATGAGGAGCACGCGTTGCACGAAGGGGCAGAACTGTTGAGCGTGAGTAGAAGAGCTTGCTTAGGACTAGATTTGGGGATTGTATACCCATCCGGCGTATAGTTTGACTGGCTCTTCTTTAGAATGCTCTTCTACCATCTGAGCGGCAAAGCCAGTAGCGTGAGGAAAGAGATCTGCATCTGGATGTGAATTCGTCATGGTGAGGGGGTCGAGCGATGTGATTTGGATATGTTGATAGTACAGCAGATAAATAGTTTATAACAGAAAAGAAAGTTTTATTTACCTGATCGCCTTACCTACTTGCTAGCTACCTAACTTCCTGGTAATGGTAATTAGCTATTGCCTGTTCAAACCCAGGTGGGTATGATTAGAGATTATTTGTCATTTTGGGTATCAAATTTCGATGATGGGAATGTTGATTTTCCATACAAATCGAGCCACACCTGTTTGATTTTTGAGCCACACGTTTGAATGTGGGCTGTTACTTTGTATTGGCTGGGAGTTTGGTATCTTTCATGATCAGACGAAGATGCCCAAATAGTAAGCAAAGTTAGGCATAATTATAGTCATCAGAGAAGATTCATATAATATCTAAAATACAATAAATACAAGCCCTTAACCTTATCATTTGAACAATAACTGACCAATTACCGACCTTGTCCAGCTGAGAAGAGTCAGATTTACCTGTCAGATGTGTGGCTGAATTATCTATGAACGAATAGTGGCGGGGCTGTGCGAACCACCTTTTTGTCCAACATCCTTTACTGTCTTTCTCCAAAGATTTCAATAACCTCGATTTAATATCAACATTTACCTTCCTATCTATCTCCCAGAAAAAAATCGCAAATCAACACAACAACCGTTGCAAAAAAAAAATGACAGGACCGTCAACGTAACCTCTCCTCTCCACTTCCCTCTTTCCCAACTAACAAACTCAACCCCTCACTCACAACTCAAAGAAACAACCTACTAACAAACACGCGCAACCACAGACCCGGGCAAGAAGGGCCCTCCTTCGCACCACCACCACTGCCCTCAGGCTGGATCGCCCAATGGGACGGCAACAGCAAGAAATATTATTTCGTGCAACTAAGCACCGGAGCTTCGCAATGGGATACACCTATCCATGCTGCACCGACGGGACCCACACCTCAAGCTACACCGCAGGGAACTGAACATCCGTATGGATTACCTGGAGAAAATCACGGGGGCGACCATGGAAATAATATGAATAATATGCATGCGCATGCGCAACCTGCTGAGATGGGTGGTGACGGGACGAGGGGATTTGGAGGGGAGAATGCGGGAGGAGATGGGGAGAGGGGTATTGGGGTAAGTTTTTGATTATTTTGTGGTGTTTTATTTATATTTTGTGGTTGTTTTACTTTGTTGTTCGGGATACTAATCTATAATGTTACAATAGTCGTTCATTACAAACCAATATTTGAAAAAACAAACCGGCGGAATCCTGGGTGGAAGTAGTAGTTCCAATCAAGGAAGCGGTTTGGGAAGTCTAGGTGGACTTGCAAGTTCATTCTTGGGAGGATCTTCAGGATCAAGTCATAACAATAATAATAATTCGCATTCAACAAGTGGTAGTGGCACATCTGGGATCACGAGTGCCTTGGGTAGTATATTGGGTGGTGGAAAGAAAACAGACAAACCGCCAGCACAGACTTCGAGTTATTCCAGTTCGCAGACTGGTCAACATGGTCAGGGTGGTGCTAGTGGGTTGATGGGAAGTTTGGGTGGAATGTTTGGACATCAGAGTCAGGGTCAATCTGTAGGTGAAACTGTTTTGCTAATTTTTGGTATTGTGCTAATATCTAAATAGCAGGGTGGAAACTTTGGATATTCGAACAACAGCAGCGCAAGCCAAGGAGGTTATTCTGGAGCAGCTCCTCCAAGTTCTTATCAGCCTGCCGGCGCAAGTCAGAACTCATATAGCTCTCCAGCTCCCGCACAATCTTATGGCCAAGGACCTACACATATAACATCGTCACAGTCCTATTCCCAAGGACCTACACATACAGCACCATCACAGTCTTATTCCCAGGGACATACACACACACCATCGTCACCCTCCTATTCCCAAGGACATAACCATTCTTATTCTCAAGGATCTGCATCATCCCATCAATATGATCCACAAAATCCATCTCATGGCATGCCAGCAAAACAACAATATGGTGCTCCGGGTCAACCATCATCATACGGTGCTCCTCAACACCAGTCTACATTCGGAAATGCACCGCAATCGCAACATAACCAATACCCGGGACCTCCAGTTTATGGATCTGGTCCAAGTTCTCCAGGCGCATACGGTGCGCCTCAACATCAAGGACATCCGCAACATCAACAGCACCAGCAACATCAATATGGTGGCCCGCCTGGTCCCGAGATGTCAGGCGGAATTTACAGTGGCGGAGCTCCTCCTATTCCACATGGAAGCCATCCTCATCATGGTCAACATCATCAACAACATGGTTCGCAAGGTGGTTCATCTGGTGGTTACCCTCCTCCTTCCAGTGGTTATCCTGGTCAACCAGGATGGTAGTGCTTTAATCTTAGCATGATGGACAGAGTAAGGGAGTGAATAACTCTGGTGTGTTTGGGACGGTTAGGGCTTCTTCTGATAGATCGATATCCTGTATATGTGAAAACTGCGTGGCTTTCTGGAGAATCTCCTTATGAAATATGATAGCCTGCTATTCATGAATTCTTCTTCTCACTCTTCAACTCATTGGCACCAATCGTGCACATCCAATCCATGACGTATTTGGAAGCATACCAGCTACCGACAGCAAGTAAAATTACATATGCGATACTTGGTACTAATGATCTGGGAAGGATATTGAAGATGTAAGGGTCCAGAATAATGTCGACTAATACAGGTGGAACATTCTCCATAAGAGTTTGATTCATGGTATAATAATCTGCAGCTGCATAAATTTGTAGGAATAATGTTGAAGAGACATCATCTCTTTTATGCTTGTATTTAATGTCGGCATGGGAGATTTTGGGGATATGATCTTGAACATCATTGAACACAGGCCGACGGGTCTCCGAATATTGTGCAAGAGATGTAATTAATTCAGGGGTTTCGAAAACGGCTGTTAAATCATAAGTATTAAGACGAAATGAGGTTGGATCCTGGATTGATTAGGATTCATTAGCAATGATCCAAATTTAAGCATTTCAACCCCGGGAAATATGGAATACGGAGAGGCGTCTCGTACCGTAGCTGCCCAGCACACTCGCACTTCATATCGTTGCTCTTCTTCCAATCCCTGGAGGAGATACCATGAAGATTGACCATATCTTGAACTGGATGCAGGGAAATCGGCATCGATATGTGTCCGTAATGTGTGGTGTTGGGGTGAGAGGGTGGAGAGATGGAGGTCGGAAAGGGTTGGATGGGCTACGGGTATTTGCAGGGCTGAGGGACCGAGGAATATGACTTTTTCTGTGTTTGCTGATGCATGTTGGATTTGGGAGGTTAATAGAAGGAGAATTGAGGGGATGGGGAGGAGGAAGGTGGTATATTGCATGTTGAAGTATGTACTATTGTGTCGAATAATACCGGTATGAAGGGTTGGGGTTGAGTAGTTGTGAATTTCCCATCCATACTCCGTAGCTAGCTACCTACCCACCAACCAGATTTCTTCTAGAAGGCTGGTTATTCCGAGGTGTTTCAAATTTACCAAACGTTACCAATCTCCATCTCCATATTTAATCCCTTTTAGGTTAAATTGATTTAAAAATGGAGAAATTCTAGAAAGCTGTGACTATAAATTCTTAATCCTTACTAATTTTCAAATCGCCAACGCGGTCACCCCTTTATTCTGTTAGATAAAATATCCCGTTGTTTATTTTTGATCCACTTTTCAAGAAGCGACGACTTTAATTCCTCAACACCCAGTTCCTAGTCCCCCTGTGCTTTCTCATTCCCCACTATCGTATCTTCCCAAAAAAGTAACCATATTTGACCAACATCTTGCAAGAGATTTCCTTGCTAAGATCATCTTTCTCTTCTACATAATCTCAAATCACAACTACCTCTTCACCTATCTACTATCAAAATGCGTGAAGTTATTAGCATCAACGGTAAGATTCCTTTCGACGCGTTTTACACTATACACCGCTATCACAAGGAGTTGTTTTGTAAACAACACAATGTTGACGATGAAAAGCATACTGATGTGTATTTCCTATAGTCGGTCAAGCCGGTTGTCAAATTGCAAACTCTTGCTGGGAGGTAAGTTTTCAAGCCGGCAAACTCATCATCATATTGTCGTCGCGGCGGATTATAGCTACGGGACTCGCATAACTGACAAATATTTCTCTCTTGTAGCTCTACTGTCTTGAGCATGGTATTCAGGTAAGCATATTGTTGATAACAACTTTTCGAATACTCCTAAACCTTTACTGACACCGTCCCTACTAGCCCGATGGATACTTGACCGAGGAACGTAAAGCCGCCGACCCCGACCAAGGCTTCAGCACCTTTTTCTCCGAAACCGGTATGCATACAAATACAGCTACAACATTATGATAAGTCAGATTACTGACAGGATTCTGCAATAAGGCCAAGGAAAATATGTCCCACGTACTATTTACTGTGATCTCGAGCCAAATGTCGTCGATGAGGTCCGTACCGGTACATACCGCAACTTGTTCCACCCAGAACAAATGATCACAGGAAAGGAGGATGCCTCCAACAACTATGCCCGTGGTCACTACACGGTTGGCAAGGAGTTGATCGATCAGGTTTTGGATAAGGTTCGCCGGGTTGCCGATAACTGCTCCGGTCTCCAAGGTTTCCTCGTCTTCCACTCTTTCGGTGGCGGAACTGGATCTGGTTTCGGTGCTCTCCTTATGGAGCGTTTGTCGGTCGATTTCGGAAAGAAAGTCAAGTTGGAGTTCTGTGTCTATCCAGCACCCCAAACCGCCACCTCCGTCGTTGAACCATATAACTCTATCCTTACAACCCACACTACTCTTGAGCATTCCGATTGTTCTTTCATGGTTGACAATGAAGCTATCTACGACATCTGCAGAAAGAACCTTGGTCTTGAAAGACCTGACTACGTCAATTTGAACCGATTGGTCGCCCAAGGTATGCTGTTTCTGGGAAATGGAAAGTTGTTTCTTGTGCTAATAACCTACAGTTGTTTCTTCCATCACCGCCTCCCTCCGATTCGACGGTTCCCTCAATGTTGATCTTAACGAGTTCCAAACCAACTTGGTTCCATATCCACGTATCCATTTCCCTCTCGTTGCTTATGCCCCAGTTGTATCCGCCGCTAAGGCATCTCACGAGGCAAACTCCGTCCAAGAAATCTCCATGTCTTGCTTCGAGCCCAATAACCAGATGGTCAAGTGTGACCCACGTAACGGAAAATACATGGCTACTTGTTTGTTGTACCGTGGTGATGTTGTAACAAATGATGTTCACGCTGCTGTGGCCACTCTTAAAACTAAGCGCACCATTCAATTTGTTGACTGGTGCCCAACTGGTTTCAAGATTGGTATCTGCTTCCAGCCACCTCAAACAGTTCCTAACGGTGATTTGGCCAAGGTTAACCGTGCTGTGTAAGTTCAACCCGCCCCTTTTTTGAAAATACCTAGCTAACCCTTTTTCCAGGTGCATGCTTTCAAACACAACTGCCATTGCTGAGGCATGGTCCGCCCTTTCCCACAAATTCGATCTTATGTACTCCAAGCGTGCTTTCGTGCATTGGTATGTCGGTGAGGGTATGGAGGAAGGTGAATTCTCCGAGGCTCGTGAGGATCTTGCTGCTTTGGAGCGTGATTATGAAGAAGTTGCAACAGACTCTCTTGAGGGTGATGAGGGTGCCGATGCGGAGTACTAAACCATCCTCTTGTTTCATATGTCAATCTCCTACGAGGTCACATATTTGCAAAGCTTTATTTAGTACTTGATATGGTAGCGTGTGAGTTCTTGAGGCGTGTTTTAAAGCATGATCATGTTTCCCGGCAAGCCCATAGAGTCATTCTTCCTTTCAACGAATTCACGAAGGAATTTCTCTTTTTTTAATCAGAATGCTTTTTTGTAATCCAAATACCACCAATCCTAGTAGCCAATACAGATAGCAATAAGAAAATGTTGTGAAATGTGATTGATGAATGTAATTGGGGACTAAAAAATGGCACAACTTGTTGTTTTTTCTTGTGCACAATATCAGATTTGTATGTTAAAAAGATCTATTTTAAGGGGGACAACGAGTACTCATCAAGCTAGCTGCACAAGCAATGTAATGTCTGTATGTCACACATTCAAGACTAATGTATTACGTACGTACCACAATAGCATAGCAGTACAAAAATATAATAAGATTGGGCAAATGGAACCAAGGATTGACCGCAGAATGTGGCCCAAGTAAGTGAGATTCCTATATAAAAGAATGTGAGTGGTTGGGTTTGTCCAATGATTGATTCTCATTCATTTACAGAAGCGAAAGGCGGAGAAATCGGACATCGGTAGTATCATCTGCTGCTAATTTAATGTGATCAGGCTTGGTCGTGGCTCTGTTTACGAACCACACGGGTGACGGAGTAAAGTAATAAACTAATAAAGTAATAAAGTAATAAACTAATAAAGTAATAAACTACCTACCTTACCCAACTACTTTAGTACCTTGCTTAGGCCTGCTACCTCGCTTTATTGGTAACCTAGTTTTACTAAGATACCTACCTACCTACCTATCACAACGTTACCTGCGCTACCTACGCTTTAGATTGAACTTGGAAGAATCGAACAAACGAACGCCTTACTCCCACGTTTTTATTTCTTTACCAGTTCATAATTACGGAAGGAAGGAAGCTACCTGCTTTTTGTTTTGTTTTGTTTGTTTTTCTCTGAATTATTCGAGATAGCGTCATCTGAGATAGCTCCCTCTAGCATTATCGCAGCTTCGTTCGGCGGTTACGAAGCTTCCCTTTAGTTATTGTCGATTCCGCATTGTTTGATTCTCGTCCTAGATATCCACCAGAGCAGATATAAAATCAACATGGCAGAAGATCCTAGTAAGTGTAAATTCATTTGAGGCGCCATGAATTGTCGCTGCTGTTGCTAGCTATGCTATATTATAATATAGCTGCACGGGATTTGGAGGATGAGTAACTGCAGCAAATACTAACACACTCTAGCGGCACCAGCCTTAAATTTGAGCCCGGAAGAAAAACGTGTCTTTGGGCAATTGTTTCGACAGGCGGATACGGAAAATATTGGAGTGGTGACGGGGGAAGTGGCTGTTAAATTCTTTGAGAAGACGAGATTGGAACCAAGGATTTTGGGGGAGGTGGGTTTGCGCTGTTTACTTTTGCTTGTGTTTGTTGTAGTCGACGCAGCGCGCGGAGATAAGTGAGTTTGTGTGCAATATGATACTGACCTTTGGTTGTAGATATGGCAGATTGCAGACAAGGAGAATCGAGGACTTCTGACACCGGCGGGCTTTGGCATTGTACTACGACTGATTGGTCATTATCAAGCTGGGCGAGATCCTACCCCTGAATTAGCTTTGCGCCCTGGACCACTACCAAAATTTGATGGAGGTTTAGTTACTCCAACTCCTACATTTCAGCCTCCTCCTGGGCCGCCTCCCGCTGCTCTACAACCTCAACCAAGCGGGTCTGGACCAATTCGAGTTCCCCCTCTTTCCGCCGAGAAGTCGACACAATATGCTCAACTTTTTGAGAAATCGGGTGCTCAAGGAGGCATTCTCCCAGGTGAACAAGCTAAGCAGATATTCGAGCGCGCGGGTTTACCGAATGAAATACTAGGTAGGATATGGAATTTGGCAGACACGGAACAACGAGGAGCTCTTACGTCTACGGAATTTGTGATTGCTATGCATCTACTAGCTTCCTTTAAATCCGGTCAACTTCGAGCTTTACCAAATATTCTTCCTGCGGGTCTTTATGAAGCTGCTGCACGGAGAGGACCTCCTAACCGTCAATCTACTGGTAATAACATATCGGCGATGCCAAGACAATTCAGTGGCCAGCATGGAAGGGCCAATAGTCCTTTAAGTCGACCCGCATATGCTACTCCTCAGCAGATACCTCAGCCTACCGGTAGTGAATGGGCTATCAGTCCTGTGGATAAGCAGAAATTCGATGGTATATATCATACCCTCGACAGAACCGGCAAGGGATATATTACAGGAGATGAGGCCGTGCCATTCTTCTCGGATTCCAAACTCCCAGAGGAGGTTTTAGCACAAATTTGGGATCTCGCGGACATAAACTCAGCTGGTCATTTGACCATGGATGAATTTGCCGTCGCCATGTACCTCATTCGACAACAGCGAGGTAAGAAGGATGGTCGAGATTCGTTACCCGCCACTTTACCTCCAAATCTTATTCCGCCAAGCATGCGAAATCAAGTCAGGCCAGCGCCCATGCCCACAGCTCCAGCTTTTGAATCTCACCCCCCAACAATGCCCAAGTCAGCTGCCGAGGACTTGTTTGGGCTGGATGCACTCTCATCACCACCTGCGCCTGTTCAAGCACCACAATCAACGGGAGGTTCTGCATCTTTTGGTCCGAATCGCCAATTACTTGCTGATCCTTTCGGAGCCAGCGCGCAACCTTTAGCACCAAGTTCGCCAGTTCAACAATCTCCCCAGCATACCGGATCTGTCTTCAAGCCTTTCGTTCCATCCTCCTCTTTCGGCCATACCCTCACCGCACATCTCACGGGAGGATCAAACAATTCTGCTCCTAATCGAGCGTTTTCGCAACAACCATCTGTCAGTGAGGATCTTCTTGGTGATAATGATCCAGAAATCAGCAGCAAGTTAACTAACGAGACTACCGAGCTCGCAAATTTGTCTAACCAGGTTGGCACGTTATCGACACAGATGCAGCAGGTACAGAGTCAGAGGAGTGCAACACAAAATGAATTAACCCAAGCCGATTCACAGAAGCAACAATTTGAGGCTCGTCTTGGTCAACTTCGAGCATTGTATGAGCAAGAAGTTAAAGACGTTCGAAGTTTGGAAGAGAGATTGAATGCTTCGCGTAATGAGACTAAGAAGCTTCAAACAGAAATGGCCATGCTTGAAGCGACTTACACGGATCTTCAAACACAACATCGACAAATTGTTACAGCACTGCAAGCAGATCAACAGGAAAACGCTAGTTTGAAAGAGCGAATGCGTGTCGTCAATGCAGAAATTACGCAATTAAAGCCAGCACTTGAGAAATTGAGGTCAGATGCTCGTCAGCAGAAGGGTTTAGTTGCAATCAACAAGAAGCAATTAGCAACTAATGAAAGTGAACGGGATAAGTTAAAGGGTGAGGCTTCAGATTTGACCAAAAGTATTGAAGAAGATACCGCAGCTCTTGCAGCAGCAGCTAGGGCTCGTAGCCAAAGCCCTGTTCAGGCTAGAGCACAAAGTCCTGCTTCAGTTGCAAGTCCTGCACCTTCTACCATGAGTGCCAATAACCCATTCTTTAAACGCCAAGCAACCGGTGGAAGTAACACTGATATGGGCTCTGCTTTTGCTGCCTCGCCAGTGCAGCAAACTGATCGTTCATTCGAAAATGTATTTGGTCCAGCATTTGGTTCTGCCTTACCACACCCAGAAACAGCAGCACCTCCTACTTCGTTCAAGCAAGATCTACCAACCCGACCACAAACAAGCGGTGGCTTTTCTACCCCATCTATAACAGGTGAAGCACCTCCACCAATGCCTGCATCAAGACAAATTAGCTCAAGTTTCTTGCCATTTCCAACCCACGATGATTCTATAAGCTCGTCGCGACAAGTTTCTGCACCCAACAGCAGATTCGGAGATAATTCAATTGGAGGTGAGACTCCAACAAACTACATGGGAACCACTCCTACGGGTTCTTCTATTACGAATCAAGCTGAACCCGTTGTAACAGCCAGAGCAGTCTCCCCTGATATTGATCGTCGCTCTACAGCATCTCCTGCCGTCACCGAGTCAAAGGATAGCATTCCAGGAGCATTCCCAGGTGATGATAATTCTAACATTGTTGCTACCCCTACCGGTGGTACTACCTTAAGTGAACAGGTTGCTGCAGATCCATTTGCGACGACTAAGGAGCCAGTACGTTCTGGTACAGCAAAGGATGACTTTGATGCAGCCTTTGCTGGATTTGGTAATTCTAGCAAGGCCCCAGAGCGCTCAAATACAGGAAGCTCCGCTGAGCCCTCAGCAGCTACCGCAGCTCCATCAGGATTTGGTCAAGAGTTTCCTCCTATCTCGGAATTAGAGAATGATGATGAAAGTGATAGTGCTAGCGAGGGTGGATTTGGTGGTGGCGGTTTTGACGATGACTTCAACCCAGCTTCTCCTGCGCAGGTTAGGAAAGCCGCGGAGAGTCCTGCTCTTCCACACACTGCGGCTAGTACAACTGGAGGTGCAAAGGAGTTTTTGAATGCAGCAACTCCTGCTGCTACTGCTGGTGGTGATCCACCAACGCCTAACGCTCAAGCTTCACCACCTGCTTATGATAAAGCTGTTTCCCCAGCCGATCAAGCACACTCGGAGGTTCAGCAATATTCTGGACTTCTTCCATCTCGAGAAGTTCCATCTCCCGAACATCCTACATCTTCTGCTACTGCGGCACCACAGACATCTTCACAACCAGCTCCACCTGCTAAAGTTCCTTTTGATGATGACTTCGGTGACGAATTCGATGATCTTGAGGACGCAAAAGAAGGTGAAGCTGATGATGAATTTGCCAATGCAGCTTCATCTATTCATGAATCAAGAAATGGCCTAGATGATTTTAATCCCATGTTCGATAGTCCTCCAGCATCTAAACATCAAGATCAGTCGGGCAATTCTTTTGGAGGTGATGCCTCTGGATTTGGAGATTTTACCTCTTCTGCAAAACCAACGACGGCTGGGCCACCAGCTGTAAATGATAATCATGATTGGGATGCAATTTTTGCCGGTTTGGATGGACCAGGGGGTGATGCGAGTGCTTCTGCGGCTCAGGGTAATGGCAATGGTACGACTTCAAACGATAACTCTATGGCTGGTAAGTACAGGTTGTTGAATTCTCCGCTCGTTTTCACTCCTACACTTTTTTTTCCCCTCAATCAACACCTTCACTTAAGGCAATCCAACGTGATGGCAGCCTTCATTTCTGGAATGAAAGGCTCATCCGTATTGATTTATCGAAATCCAAAGACCAGCACATTTGTATATGGTCGAAATAACAGAAGAACTAACATAATATTTAGGAGGGGCTCCAACTGGTGGTGACAGACCACAAGTTGGAAGAGCTCTTACCGAAGCTGGAGAACATGACGATCCGATTTTGAAGAATCTTACCGGGATGGGGTATAAGAGGAATGATGCTTTGGCTGCGTTGGAGAAATATGACTATAACTTGGAGAGAGTAAGTTTTTCTTTTTTTAGGAGAGAGGGTGAATTGTTGGGTTGAGTTTGATGATTTCACTCACCATTTTGAAATCTGGGACTAGATTCTAGGGCTGTTGATTGTGGCGTCGTCTTTGTTGAGTTTGAACTTGTTAAATGAGATACTAACTTTTGCGTGTTATAGGCAGCCAACTTTCTAGCGAGTCAATCTTGAGTGGGTGATAAATCAGGGGCTGGAGGTTAGTGAAATGATGTAGATGGCATGGGAACCGGGATAGGATTGAGCATAACGCTCATAGGAGAGGATCAAACTGTGAGTTTGAGATGGTCGAAAGATGGAAGATGGTTAGAGATAGGGTTTGGGGGTGGTTGGATGGGGAATGGAGGGATGGGGAATGGAGGGATGGGGAATGGAGGGATGGGGAATGGAGGAATGGGGAAATGGTAGGAAGGGGAAGGGCGGAAATGGAATGATGGAAGATGGAAAGAAAAGAAGAAGGAATCGTGCATACATAATAATCACGTTAATATTGTACCGACTACGTTATATTATATCTTCTTTGTGAGCAGTTGAGCTTAGTTAGTAAAATGATTTTTTATCGTTTATATCATTTGATGAGTGGAAGAGGAAAAGTATATGAGAGACTAATATATATGAGAGAAAGAGACAACTATCAGCACACACTAATCAAGTATATGAAATGGAGCTTGGTAGATGAGATAGATTAACAATGTCGCATTCATTAACTGTAGCAAAAATATTGGAAAAATGATTATCATTTCAATGGGTGTAAACCTGGGGGTGAGTGGAGAGATATAAGATCCCACGAAGCGGAGGTCGGGCGGGTACGAATACGGAGCCTGAAGATGGGAATCTTTGATCTCTTCCAGAATATTGACGATTTCGAGTTTTTATAATAACCCTTACTTGTGGATAATTGGTATGGACTATAAATGATTATATCCTCTTTTAAGGTAGATTTAATTCTAGTATATGAATAATCATTACCTCATTCATGTAAGACTTATCTCGCTTCTCCCTAACCTGGTTCTAGTTTGAATTAGGGGGGATGTATTCCTACCAAGGTGTTTTCTAGCTGTACATTCATATTTGTATGAAAATTGAAGGGTCGATTCTAAGTTTCTTTAAGATATTTGTAGAACTTTGGAGATGAATGTAAGGGTTCACTCGATTATATTCATGTTTGATTAAAACTGGGTATTATTGCTATTTTATAGATCATCCTTGCGCGTACTACCAAAGCCAACCTCTACAAGACTTAGTTCCACATAAACATTTCTCGCTTCCCTCCTCTCCATTATCATGACCATCCACATAATCAAAAGTAAGTTCCGTCATAGGTCGAATATCCTCCGACGCAAAGAAAGCCAAATCATGAAGATTTTTCTCCGAGTAATCCCCCACACGAGCAAAAATATTCATATTAGGTTCGCAGGAGTGATTGAAGAAACGACTAGGTCCCGAGAAAAATTCCCCATCGATTACATATGGATCGCCACGTAAAGTCTCATCGAGACTATCTGGATCGGTGAACTTGTCAATGTTGAATAGGTAGAGATCTTTTCTCTTACTGATGATTGCATTATCGCGACGTCTTTCGGCTTCTTGAGATGTGATTATTTCGCCAATATAGCAATCTATGAATGCACCTGCTTTGATGGGGACTTTGCTTCGAACACCTTGGATTTGTTAGATTGTTTGATTTGACATTGGGAAGAAAAGAGGAGATACATACCCCAGCCACGAGTTTCTGTACGGAAAACTTGTAATGGTACACGTCTTCCTCTTGCCACAATTCGATTATCACAAGTCTCGTCACAAGCGCAAGCTTCATGACATTCATAAATAGGCGCTTTACTACCTAAAAGCTGTTCTTTCAAACATCCTTCACTATTACCACCTGCTTGGTAGGCATAGACGTTATGATCCGGTAGGTCGACTTCGGAATCTTGTAGACAGTGACAAGTGATTCCATGACAATTATTTTTGCATTCACAGCCGACTCGAAACTCAGGATCAGCTCGGGATACTCCTTCTCGGAGGATGGATTTCTGGATAAAGGTGAAATCACCAGGGAGAGTTAGATGTTCGTCTTTGCAAACGATGGAAATTGGGTATTTGTCGGCGTTGGAGAAGCTGCGAATTTGGCACCAGTGACAATCTTTGATGGATGGCTGAGATGATGTGTGTTAGTTGTTGTTTGTTTGAGAAGATTGAAATACTAGTGGATGGAGAGGAATAGATTCAGATAATGGGATTAGCTGTAGGTCTTCAACCTAGGGCTACATAGTTTGAAGGAAGTGGGGAGTCATGCTTTCGGAAGACTTCTTCAGTTGTTCAGCTCTAGCTCAACAATCTTGGCCGAAGGTTGGACATCTGAAAGCCCATCACGCTGATTTCCAAAGCAAGAGACAAGACAAAAGGTGTAAATAAATCTCATCAACAACCTAAGATCACTAGATCTTCGGAGAGCCATCTATTGAATCTTCTTCCATACGATTTTCAGACCTAGGAGAAAAACAAGCAAAAATAACCAGCTTCCCCCATCTCATCCCTCAGCAGAACACGGAACTCCATCTCCCAATCTGAACTAACCCACCTCTTAACAACCAAACCTCATCCTCATCCTCATCCTTCCAAATCCACCCTGAACCAAACCACCCCATCTTCTCAAGCAACCTAAACTCCACCAGCAACAAGCCCAAACTCAATCAAAGCACAAACGACAATCAGAAAAATACCCACAACACTATGACCAAAATAATGATCTCTATACGTCGGAGCCATAATGGGTTGAATAAGTATCCAGCATATAAGCTGCTTCTCCTAGCTTCTTCAGATCCGTTCGTTTCGCTCATAGGATTCAATTTGATTGGTTCGCTTCGTTTGCTACGTCGGAGAATGAGTTCCTGGACCGTTTTATAGATACACGCCCTAGGTTTGGGATTCGATTTAACTAATAGATTTTTTTAGTTATTGGTGATTGAGTTGTAAAGAAATAAAAAGCCGGGTATAGGATCTTATTAATCAAGTGAAGAAAAAGTAAAAAGTATAGCTAGCTTATTTATAAGCCCAAAAATTTATATACCCGCTGTTTGCCAAGAGGGTGCAGATAGCTTGTATCTGCATCTAACCTGGTGAATCCCCAAAACAAAAGCGGTCAACAATTTAGTGCCCGGCAGAATATATTTTTATTTTTGCGAACTCCAAATCCAACATACATCAAGTACCTTCCATGCGCGGGGAATTTCTATTACTTCCTCCACCATCCACTATACAATTTCGACTTCACCGACGCAAAAATGGCAACCGATATTAGGGATACGAAGTTAATTAAAGAATTAGCTGCAAATGGTACGTGTGAATTAAACAATCCATTGATTCCCTAGAACACCCCCCCAAAAAGCACCTCTAATTCCCTCCCTCATTCTAACCTCCCCAACCCCATCATCTAGACAAAAAAACCCGCGACGCAGCCCTCGAATCTCTACGTACATATCTCTCCTCCTCACGACCACTCACCCCACTGGACTACCTAAAAATCCACTCTGGGCTCTTCTACTCCATGTGGATGTGCGACCGGCCCCTCCCACAACAATCGCTCGCGAATTCCCTCGCCTCACTCCTCCGTACTCTTCCCGCCTCCAAACAAGCACCCTTCTACACGGGTTTCTGGAACATCATGTGTAAAGAATGGGAACGGATAGATGTGTTACGAATGGAGAAATTTTTGCTCCTAGTGCGTCGGTATCTAGCTGCTGGGTTTGAGGTGATCGTTTCGAGTGCTGAGGGGAGTGGGAAGAAGAAGGCAGGTGCGAAGAAGAGTGCGAAAGGGGATGATGGGACGGGGGGAGCAGGGGCGGAGGTTTTGAGTGTTCTTGCTGAGATTCCGTGTGGGACGGGGTCGGATGCGCAGCGTACGCCGAATGGGATGCGTTTTCATGTGATTGATATTTGGGTTGATGAGTTGGAGAAACTTGGGCTTCTTGATGCGGCGAAGGAGAGTGAGGAGGGTGCGGAGAGATTAGAGAGGTTGTTGGAGCCGTTGAGGAAATTGGGAAAGGAGAGTATTAATAAAGTGGTGAGGAATAAGGTTAAGGAGGCGCTTGGGGATGAGAGGTTACTGGGGAATGGAAAGGAGGAGGGTGCGGAAGAGGACGCTGAGATGAGTGATGCGGAGGAGGATGGATGGGGTGGGATTGAGGATTGAGGGTCGAAAGCTGAGAATTGAGAATTTTAAGGAGCCGAATTGCTTCGAGAAGATATATTTTGGGTTTCAAGAAGATGGATCTATGGAAAATTTCACGGCGTCTAGGTGTTATTTGAGGAAGGAAATCCAATATCCAATGTAAAAAGTCATTCCACGTTCAATTTCTCATAGTAGAATAAAAAGATCTCTAATTTCGACAAATATATCAACCAAGCCGCTGATGCGAACCAAGCCATCTTTGGGGTATCATTTTAGGTCGACTTTGAAGAACCATAATGCACAAAAACCTAAACGCCTCGCCCAATCCCTCCTTGACGAGCCCCTTGCACTCCCAAAAAGCTTGCATATAATCGTGATATTCATACTTTAAAGCCTACTCAAGCCCCAAGTAATGTGCACGGTGAAATATGCAGACATGAAAAAACTCCATTCCGGAACCAAAAATTCAAACAGGACCACGCCACTCATACATGTGTCCCGTTTTCGAGAGTACCGTACCTAATCCCTTGTGTACCTCCGCCTGAAACGGTTGAAAAGGAACTCTCTCCCCGTCGATACTTATGTACCCATCGCCCTTCTGCTTCGGAATGATTCGATATCCGAGGATTTTGCGGTACCATACATTGGGTATATCGAATAGTTTTCCGGATTCCACTGATAGCATCATCTTGATGGCTGAGAGGCGACTTATGTCGCCATTGATACAGATCAGATCCATGTATCCGTCGTTTGGAAGAGCAGCAGAGAAGAAACTAGCGTCTGAGGCCATGTATGCCATCTTCTTTTGGTTAGTTCTTGATTTTGAGCAATGTTGACATTTTAATGTCTATGCGCCGGTGGGGCATTTGGTGTAAGAATGCAACCAGAGGGAATTAAAACTTACGTTTCCACAATAGAAGTTCCCCAGTTTGTCATATGGAACCATTTCCCAACCATCCGGCAATTTATCGTTTACAGTACCATATCTTAACGGAGGTAATCCATCATCCATACCGCTACTAGCCGAAGCATCATCATCTAAAAGGTATTTGTATCCTCTTCTCTCGCTTGCTGGTTCGTGATTGCTCATCTCCTTTCTATAATGCTCTCTTATACTGGGTTTATCTTCTATCGCAACCTTGACGGCAATATCACAAGGATAAAGTGCCTGTCCAATAATTCTCTCTAGAAATCCATAGGTAAAACGTGTAGATCCCATCCACCGCATATTTTCCGTAGCTAAATCCGCCTCGGCCACAATTCCTACAGACTGGGATAGGAAACTAATCGTTCGTGTCTCTCCTTGCGTAATCGATATGAGATCTAGAGGCGTGGGAATTCCTTTGATAATGGCCAAAGTAGCCATACTCGCACTATCCGTCCCACTAAGATTCATGCTCATAGCATTGCCACTTCCACATGGTACATGCGTCACCGCAATTTTCGATAGAGCTCTTTTCGCATCATGTCTTTTCCCGAGGCCATTAAAAACCTCATGCGCCAATCCATCCCCCGAGCAGCAGACAACCATATCATACGCTTCAATATCCATATCTTCGACTATCGTAACCGCCTCCCCTTGAAATTTCGTCTTCACTACGTCGATACTACAGCGTGCTGCCTTCAGAAGCGGTTCCACATCGCGGTCATAGTATTTTTGCGCTTTTCCCTTGCCACTATGAGGATTCACCAGGACTTTCGCACGTTTTCCTTGTTGCGATTCGCCATACGATCGATCCAGTAATTTCGCTATCCATTTCTCTACTTCTTCTTTAGAGTGTGATTCCACCGCATATTTCAGCTCTGTGGGTTGTACCCTTTTCTTCGAAGTAGGCGTCGCGTATCGAATGGAAAGCTCATTCGTATCTGATATCTCGGCCGAGAGGACATTGTAAAAAGGAATTGGTCTCGTATTCGCAGAACCTATATGGTGTATCAGTATGAAGTAGGTCGGAAAGCTACAATGAGCTAGACTCACTCGAACCAAAAGGCCAAAGTCCACAACAAGTCGCAGTCCCCTTCTCAAAAGCCTCATCTGTTCTCCCATCAGCATACACAATTGCCCCAATTCTCCCGGAATTCACAATCCAGAACTCACCCAGCACAATTAAAGAATCGGTTCCCAAGGTCAAGGAAGCGTTTCTTCCCACCGTCAAAGTTCCATCCGTCACAAATGCCTGCTCTCTCGTGAATTCATCACTAGTAAGTCCCAACGTCTCGATGAATGGATGATTTGAATCCGTAGAAGTAGTCATGGTCACCTAAATTGTTTTGATGGCCCAAGCATTCTCCCACTCTGCTTATAACCCTGGTTTCTGTCTACCCCTCCAGTATGTCGACTATAATAACGAATGACTGAATATTGTTTTTGTGAAATGTGTTATGTACGAAAATAGAAAAATTAAATAAAAGAATTTCTTGTGCTTTTTTCTCCCTTTGTTTAATTGAAGGTTGAATGTTTTCCAAGGTTGTTGTTACTTATAATATGAAATGGAAGTCAAAATATGCCGAGCTCCAATGACACGGAACACAACTTCTTCCGATCATCCAACCCAGTCATGAGGTCACCAGGCCAGGATACTTTTGTCAAGGCGAAAACAAATTGAATAGGGAATTTTATTACTCAGTAATATAAAACATATGAGGGTTTTTAAGTTTATGCTATTCGGTGTGAGTTATTGATGTTCCCATTCATCGAATCTTTCATTTAACTGTTTAACGGAAGTGGTGGTCTTACGATATCTCCGTGAACCAAGCACAAAAACAAAGCCATGAACAATATGATTGGCATGGTAAGACTTACAAGGGTCTTTTCTAATATAATTGAGTGCTGACGCGTCGCTGAACCTGGAAATCACATTTTATACCAATTGATTGAATGACCAAACTGGGTGACAAAAGCAAGATTCACATGCCAAATGCTGGGAGTAGCAATGTTCCGACATCTATACACATCTATACACATACACCTCTTACACTATAAGCGAGAATGAAACTCGATATTAGGAGATTCAAAACATTTATTTTGGAATGCCTCAGATTCTAGATAAAACTCCTTTTTGTGCCCTTTTTGGCGCAAAGGTCCCCGATCATCATCATTTCAACAACAAAAACGGCAGCCTTACATATAACACAGCGCGACTTTAACTAGATTGACGCCTGTAGTTGAGCCAGCTTCAGCCCTCCAGCGCCTTCCTTTGCCCTCTTCATCCTCACCTTCGTCTTATTAGCTGTACCTGTCCCAAATGTCCATTAGTCCGGACGTGACAAAGTGATGATACAGATTTTGTCATTATTTTCCATTTCCTCAAGCGACCTCTACAACCTTGTTTAACCCTTTTAGTGATCCCAAACTGAGTGCTAAGCCTTGAGACCTGCTTCGAATTCGAACAAATCCAGTCACTGGTCCATCCTCACCCTCTTTTTCAATACTAAGGTTGGCAAGAGCATCCTCGCCTAGAATTTGTTAGTAACTAGTTCAACGCTATATTGAAGATACAACTTACCGAAAACACTTCGTGCATAAAGATTAGCACTTAAGAATTGACAATCGCCCTTCAATGAAGCCTCTGGTGTTAAGCAGTTCATGTTTGTGCACGCCATAAGCTGATTCAAAAACTCTCGCAACGTCTTCGCCTTTGAATTGATGTTGACCTTATTCTCCCACTCAAATTCTGTCCACATTGTACGGAATTGAGTTTCTGTGCATACGGCAGGTTGAATGTAGTCCATGATGTCAACATGAACATCGTTCAAGATGACTACACTGTTCTCGGTCGAGCTTGCGCCATCATAGACAACGTTTCCGAAAATGACCCCAGTGTCCGTTGAGGAAACCTTAATGGTAGCTTGTACATTTTGGAAATCATGTGGCCCAAGGTTCTGAGTAGTTGGCTTTTCTACAACCTTGAGATCACCTAATGTTGCAAATTCGACAGACAGATTCTGAAGAGTCTCGGTTGTTTGGTTTACCAATAAAACGTCTAATACGATGTCAAATTGATGTACTGTAACGTATGCCTCAGCGTAGACTGGATCGGAGAAGCCGGTGAGTTGTACAACTCGACTGAGCTTTGATGAGAGATCTTCAACTGAAGAATCTCCCCCAGTTGCCTTTTCAAGGTCAAGTTCAATCTCGTCAGCGCCGTCGACTGTGTTCTTCTTTGCAAGCTGTCTGATGGAAACGACATCATCAACTTGAACGGCTGATTTCGCTTTCTCCACTGCTTCCTTAGCTGCTCGCTTCTTCTCTTCTACTTGAACCATATCTCGGAATGCCTTTCTGGTATCTTCCAGGAACGCACTTTCGAGTTGCTTATTTTGGGCGACCTCTGCAAGTGACCTAACACAAGACATAATTCTATCAACCGAATCTTCGTCAATTGGCGCTTTCACGAACTGCGATTGACCAACACGAATAATGGAAATCATGATCAACATTGCTTCAGCACGTAAAGCATTGGTCCGGGCGGTATCCGATGAGATTTCAGAGTGGCGCATGACAAGTTTGGTAAGTGTGGAAGAAAGAACAGAAGCTAGATAATAATCTCCATCGAGGATAAGTTGACGAAGGGGTGGTTTTTGAGCGGCTTTGACCGCCTCCAACTTAGCCGTAACTGCAGATTGACTTGTAAGAGCACTTTCAGTGGCATATGTACCGTCGGCGAGGACTCTCCGTGAACCTGTTGGAGCTGCTTTGGAATTTCCGTTGATCTGTTCTGGCTCTTTTGGCTCTTGCCCGTCAGTCGCTTCGTCGAGGAGACGCTGTTCAGAAGCCAAGATAGGGATTTCCCCTAAGCTAGCTCTGATACGCCTCCAAGCATCTCTAATGTCATTGGCTTCTAGAGAATATTCACCAACTATCCAAAGAGCTCCCCTGTAAACCTTTCCAGCACGGACCTCGCTTAAGGTTGATACCAAACGCTCAACTATGGATGGTCGCAGTTTGGGGAATTTCTCCACTACTTCTTTCACAAATGAGATGACATCAACTGCAGATGTGTTGTTGAAATCAGCGATGAAGTCCATCAGGAGATCAACCACACTTTCAGCGACTTCGGAGAATTTAATTGCGCATTGATGAATGGAGTGAATCAAGAGTTGTCGATATTCAGCGTTCTTCTCATATTCCTGGTCGACAGTTTTTGACAATTCTTTCTTCAAAAGCAGGACAACGTCCTCGACATTTTTGCTTGACACCATCTCCAAAGCTAGATCCAAGGCCTTCTTTCGTACATCGATATCCGGACTCGACAACACGCGCAAAATTTCCATCGTTAAATCATCCAGAACACCTTCATTCTTCTGTCTCAATAAATCTACTTTGTCGAGCACAATCAGTTTAACGTTGTTGTCTGCCTCCTTGATACTGAGTTCGATAAATTTTGAGGCTGCTGCTTTGACAGCTACCGGGTTGTTGGTCAAGGCTGTGAGAGAAGAAGCAGCTTCGTAAACAACCGTAGAAGCTCCGGCCTCCAAAAGGTCAAAAATAAGTCGCAAATATCGTGCCTACACATGTTAGCCGCGTCTGGTGAATTGGTAGTGGAAACTACCTTGTTCTGTGAATTTTGGACTGCATCCTTTCTTATGAACTCCAGCTCCACAAGTTGTAGCAGCTCGTCCGCATTTGGTATGCCATCAAAGACACTACTGAGATATGCCAAAGCCTTTTCATGGCTGATGCTAACCAATGCAGCAAATGCATTGCGCTTGCAGGTATGATCACTCTCGGTCTCCAAAAATGCGGCTATCAATTCAGGGGCATCTGGAATCAGACTCTCGGAGTGTTGAAAGATAGAAGCCACGGCGAAAACTGCGTTTTTACGCACGTATGCATGACGATGCTCAAGACATGCTTTGGTCGGAGCGAGACAGGGTTCGATAAGTTCTGATTCGCGGAGCTTACACAGAAATCGCAATGTGTTGCCTCTAATGTATTCGTTGGGATGTTGGAGATCATTTCTTATACCATTGCTGTAGCGTATGTCAATATAACAATCACAAGTTTCGCATCTCAGAGTTCTCCTACCAAACCAAGATCATTTCCTGCTTGAGCTTTCCAGTGGCATCCAGCTTTGGGCATATTTCGTAGTAAAAGTAGAGAAGCTTCTTCAATGGTTTATATTTTGACGGCATAACAAATCGAATGATATGCATAAGTAATTGGGGCATTGGATCTCCATTCAGCATCACTGTGAGAATGCGCTTCATAGTCTCGACTTTGCTCTCATCTGTCCCTTTCTCCAACTGCGTCCTAAGATCTGACATTGTTGGTACATCTGCCGCATTGTCCTGATGTACCAAGCTGTACGACTGTTCTAAGAAGGTCGCCATATTGGCTGTATTCGTAACTGCAGAGCTGGAAGGTGTTTCTTTTGTTCTTGACTAGGTATTAAGGGTAGGCTTCTTAGATTCGAGATCGTTTCTTCCTTTGAGACTATGGTAGATTGAAAGGTCGAGAGTTTTTGCAAAATAAAAAAATGGCAGTAGAATCAATTGCAAATTAAGGAGATGCGTGGGGAGTTACGCATCAAACATACATATTCTTAGGATAATATCAGAACGGTGTCCAGCTTTCTGGGTGCTGTGTTCAGAAGACTTAGCGTGGCCTGTTTCAGCCTTAGATTCTCAGGCACAAAAAGCCATCCCCGCCAAATTCTAGCCTTAAGCTATTTTGCCAGGGTCGAGTCGCGAAAGCTATCAAAAGCTTCAGCCTTCTCAATCAAATCTACAACAGATAGACCTCATAGCCACCGTCATTATGTCCACTCTGAACGAGCCCTTTTATATTCGCTATTAGTAAGTTATTGAACATGATTTAGTATTGACATGCTAATTCATATAATCAGTTCCGGTCACCAAGGTCGTCACGGACACGAATTTCTTGGTGAGTATCTAGAAGTTTGCCCACAGCTTGCGCGGTTGTTAACAATGAATTTAGAATTCGACTTTCGAGTTTTGGGCGATGGAAGAAGCGCATCTGCACGTTATGCCAACAATTCCAATTATCGAAACGATTCCCTGATCCGCAAAGAAAGTACGTGATCCACGATGTTCTATGGAATCTCCCTCCAAACTAACTCTATGGGCCACAGTGAACATTAGCTCGTTATTGGTTGAGGAAATCAAGAGGATCATCAAAACCAGTGAGATCATGAAGTATACCTCTCAAGCTCATATGGTGTAGTGCACGCAGCTCATGATTTCAATAGGGAAGATGATAGCAAATGGCCTCAGAAGAACAAAGATGGACGCCAGGAATTAGAAATCAAAATAGGCAGCGAGGTTATTTCTTTCGAAGTAAGCATAGAATTATTCTCGAATGCGAGATCATGGCACTAACATAACCTAGACTGCCAAAATTGGATCTCTCGTTGATGTCACGGAATCTCAAGATCCTGAAGGTCTTCGCGTGTTCTACTATCTTGTGCAAGATTTGAAAGCGTTGGTGTTTTCATTGATAGCACTTCACTTCAAGATCAAGCCTATTTAAGTGGTTTGATTTCAACAAAAGTCCAGGGGACGAAGGAGTTAGGCGTTGAACTATCTGCAAGACAAATGGATACCAATAGAGAAGAAAAGCCAGTTCTTGTGTAAAATGCTAATAATACTTAAAATCAGGCATTCGTTATTGTCAAACTTTGCGTCAGGCATTATAATTTGAGATTGTAGCTATTTTCCGATCCGTTGGAACTGCCAACATTGAGTAAATGTGTGCTTCATTCTGCTTCATTAAATTTTGGTTGGATGAGGTAACCGGTAAGTATCTGAAATGCCAAGTTTTACTTGCATGGGAGCTTTATTATTATCACTCTTGCACAATATGCTACGACTATGTCTGGCACCACTGCATGAAACCATCTTTTACCGAACTACCTACCTGACATACGACCTCACAAAAGCACATCTTTACTCCTTTAACTATGCAACTATGGGCCAGTTGGTATGTGATTTGAGGCGAAGTGCATCGGATTAAATCATTGTGTAGATTCCGGGATGCATTGTTATAAAAGTGGTTCTCTAAATGTGTTGTCGAATCACTGGCGGCACAATCGACTCCTTTTTGCTAATTTGGGAAGTTCACATTTACGAGAACAGATGCTTTAGCTTCGGTATTGGGAGATGCCATGTTATCACCGACTCATAACCACTTCATCAATGGTACGTAACTGTTGATATGTGGGCTTTTAAATAGTTCAATCAGATAAATTCCTTCTTTCCGAAGTAACACTAAGAGGGCTACAATGACGAAGAAGTCCATAGGTGACGACCACCGAAAGTTGAATCATCATAGAGTGATCAATAGAACTAGCTACTCCAGGTAGGGAAGGTAGAGTGATACGAATGATGTTGGACTCTGGAACTATACATTGAGGGTATTGATAAAGTTATTGTGCGAGAACATTGTCGGTAAGAGTAAGAGTAACAGTAACAGTAAAGAATCTCACCATTTACCTACTGGGCAGGTAATCTTACATATATTCATCCACCAGGTGATCCCATCGATTCTATTCTCACCCGTCAAATCAAGTACCAAATCACCCATCCATTCATCTATCGACTTGTTCCTTTTTTAACATTCACTTGCGGGGAGAAAGGGACAAGCGAATACTCGAGCTAAGCCTCATTAGAAAAAGCTTCAGCGTCGTTCACCAATTGGACCAGCTCGCCCATAGTTGCTTTTGAATGCAGTGCCTTTATCATATGTTGACATCTCGTCTCCTCGTCTCCTCGATAATTTCAAGTCATCTACTTCATTTCAAATAACGTCGGTCATGTTCATCTAATTTTATCTTCAACGAATTTTTGTTTTCATAATTTAGCTGTATCATTAAATTCTTCTTCACGAGCCTGGCTGGTGCCGGCGCGACCAAATGCCTACCCCTTCTTCACCTACTGAGTCCGTTGAAGCTACGATATCGCACACATCGTGTCCACCTGAAGATGACAGGTCTATCTGGAGAATAGCAGAGATGGAAGGTACAATCGAGTCTCCGATTCTAGATGCAGGAACTACACAACAACCTACGCCTCCGCCTCATGATTTACGAAGAGCTGATACGACTGTAACATCTCAAACTGACTTGCGAAATACCAAAAATATGGATATCGATGAAGAGACAAATGGGCCCGACATGCTTTCTCCTATTAGTGCGGATGGAGATAAGCATGATGACGCTGAAATAGGTGCCATCTCTCATCCACGGATTCCTTCGCCATCCTTAGGTTATGATTTTTCGAACGTTAGAGTTAGTATAATGACATCCAGCTGTTCCATCGCGAAATACACTAACAGTGTGCTCAGTTATTACCATCTTCACCTTCCTCCAAATTACGACCAGGTAGCAAATTTCATGGCACACAACAATCAGAACGGCAGGTCTATGACGTACAGGTTGAAATTAAGCATGTAGATATGAGGGAATCGTTCCTATGCGGATACTTGCGCATCCAAGGTATGCGAGTAGTGATGTTTAACAAAGCATTGGGGTCCTCTAGCTAAGCATGCTCTTTAACAATAGGCCTGACGGAAGACCATCCCACACTTACAACGTACTTCGAAGGTGAAATTATTGGATCAAAATATTCGTTTCTCACCCAACATGAAGATTGGGGGTCGACAGACAAAGTCGATTTAACACATTGGGCAAAATTTCAAGCCTTCCGCCCTTTTCAGAAATCGGCGAAAAAAGGAAACTGCCACATACCAAATCTCGCACAACGAGAGAATATTTTTATGAGATGGAAGGAGCACTTTTTAGTGCCTGATCATCGTGTTAGGACGATTAGTGGTGCAAGTTTCGAAGGGTTCTATTACATCTGCTTCAACCAGGTCGAGGGAAGAGTTAGCGGAATTTATTTCCATGCCAAGAGCGAGAAGTGAGTAGATAACGAAACGAGTGCCCACAAATATGTTCGCTAACATGATTTCTAGATTTCAACAACTAGAGTTGAAACATGTTGAAGACAAAGGATGTTTTCAAGCAGTGGAATTTAGATGAATCACGAAACACGGATATTTGGCCGACATTCTAGGAACGATCGAGGGTATTTGAATATTAGGGACATTTCAATTTCTCATCACGGGAAGACAGCAGCGGAGCACGGTGTTAGGGATTTATGGGACATATGGATACAGGGAAGCGTGCATACGAGTGGAAGGATGTTCTGAAGGCTCGGTATTTTCCTTTGGGCGTGGAAATGAGCATTGTCACAGCAAGCATCGAACTTTGATAAGTGGTTACAACGATATATGAAATGAGTCGCATACCAAAGTTATAATACCAAGTGCTTCTAGCGATATACCAATCTTGAACGTCTGCCTAAACTGTGATCTGGCAACTCCATGATCTAGGACCTACTGCGTACATTCCTACGGACCTCCGTACGAGTACCTACTAATATAACTAGGCTTACTAGACGGTTTAAATCTCCTGTTCATATTCATATGCTCTCCCCAATCCGGATTTCAATTCCGAGCGGGTCCTCTCTCCACTCTTCCATGGAGACCTCATGGACCATGGCGTGATCCCTTCACTCCGCCATATGCACTCATGCCTCAGGCTACACGTGATAACAGTCGATAAATCCACTCTCGAATAATATTAATGTTGTAAAGCGTTTATCGCGATAAAACAACATCTCACATCTCATGGGATCTTCAACAACCCCTCTATGCTAAACTGGAACTATTCTCTTTTCAACAAACGAATCTCTTTCTGTTATAAAAGTCTCTTGATTGCAGGTGTCTTTGAAAAATCTTCCGTCAACCGGATCAACCTCTCTTTCGCATATCTAATCTTTAAATTCTACTAATCAACTGGTCCATATATTTTATTTATTGTTCTACAACAACCTCAACCTGGAAAACCAAAGAATCTCCCACCAAAAATGGATTTCGCCCCATATCAAGTCTCCCCGGAGGAAACTCGCGCTCTCTCTCCTCCTCCCCGCACCTCTACCTCTTCTCCTCGTCAGAGCATCTCACCTATCCGTAGATCTTTTAGTCCCGGTGTTCGCAGTCCAGCTTTCATGCAGAGTACAAGTAATGCTGCCGCGAAGAATGGAAACTATGCTCCGAATCCTTATGCGAATCCATGGGCGCAGAGGGATAGAGATGGTTATTTCCCGGTTGTGAATAATGGAGACGGGTATCAGGATGTGGAAAGTGGGAGGGCTGGAGGTGGTCATACTTCTGGGGGGAGTGGAGCTGGAAATACTGGTGCGGGGTATGGAGGGGGTAATAGAGAGGGTTTACATGAGTTTGAGACGAGTCTTCCGCTGAGGTTGGATTATGAGGCTTGTTTAGCTTACTTACTTTTACCGCCAGCTGGGGGCGTACTACTTTTGGTTTTGGAGAGGAAGAGTGATTATGTGAGGTTAGTTGTGACAGAGGGAGGCTGGATGAAGAGTGACTGTACTCGCGGAGGTACAGTATGATCTGTTGGATGAAATAATTCTGATCAATGGTGATAGGTTTCACGCTTGGCAGTCTGCCTTACTGTTTACAGCTATGTTTGTCGTACATCTAATGTTTTCATGGAGTAAGCTCTCTGTTTTCTCTTTTGGATGCTTCAAGATCCCTTCGAAGATCAAATGAGACACTATAGTTTGGCAATGTGGTACTGATCTATTGTTCTAGATCTCTTTATATCATGGTCCTTGCTCCTTGGAGATATTGTTTTAATAGCGTGGCTAACTAGGAGAGCATATTTAGATGGTAAGTTTTGTATATATTTCCTCTATCTTCATCTCCATGTTCTTCTTATTTTCATGGGTATACAATATATTTTCTCGTCAAACATTACAATCTAATCCCAAAACCAGCGGATACCCTAGACCGATGCGAAGTTCCAATCTTTGGCAAAGTAGCTAGTAGCATACTAGACGACGACTGAAGATGGGGGAGATGAAGGACGAAGATGTGATTGTATTTTTGATTTCTCTTTCGGCGATTTTTGCTCCATATTCCCCAGTTAGCACGAGATACCCTTGCCTTTGTTGTAGAAATTTGTTGTCGGTGCCGATTTTTGAGTTTGGAGAAGATGGATACATATAAGGATGTATATCCTTACTTAATATCTAATTCATGAATTTGATGATGCTTACTTGACTTGGTTGGATTTTCAGTGAGTTTTTATGGATGGTAGTTGTGTACAGAGTAAAGCTAGGATATATTATCTATTTGGAGTGTGTGTGGGAATGACGATGGTGAAGTTATAATTTCAACAGTTCTTCCAATGTATCTAATAGTCCCATCAAAGGTCTCTGAAGATTCAGATCTTTTAATGTCTTAATATAAGTTTCATATATATGTCATATAAACGTCATACTGTTCATCCTAAAATAGACATTTAGAGGCACAGCACCGGTGTTAGAGACCTTGAGGTGGTAAACGGAAGAATATCGACGAGCGGATAAGAAAGCCAACCGAGTCGTTATCCGATCAATTTGTCCGCATGCTGGACCGGACCGTCTGTCAGTCTTGGCAAGTATCCGAACGCTTGGATGATCTTTGTGGATCCGTAATTTTTGTGATGATTCATTTATTTCTTACCTAGGTAGGTATCACAAGATTTATTTCTTCATCTTAATAGATGAATCTTCATCGAATGAGATGAAGATAAGAGGGGTCTAGATGTTTTAGATTTTCAACTCCCGGTGAGCTTACTGTATGCACAAACCAGGAAACGCTATTAAGCACGTGCAAGTTTACCTAAATCTAACTCTCTCAGCCTTTTACTCACCCCACGTTCCATCAACTCGCAATTTCAGTGGTCGCTATAATCTGAGCAACATCAATAAAAGCCTCACAACCAATCGAATGAAGCACGCGACATTAAAGTCGTCCTTGATGGGTGTTGGATTCACGTTTGATCTTCGATAAAGTGCTCAAAGCTAATGCCGTCGTTTTGCAATGTTGTTTCTAGAAGTACCGGAAGGACTTGGGTTTTATTAATTGGGAGTATGATATAGATTGTTAGATTAACAAGATTAAGTATCTTTAACCCTCCTTTCCTCTCCTTCATTCATTACTTTCTTATTCTCTTGTTTTACCTTGTTTCTCGAAGTTTGGGTACGGGTATCTTATCTTCTCCAAGATCTCATCAACATTCCAGCTCTTCACAAATTCCCTCGTTAGTAAAGATTTATATCTACCTTCTTTCGATTATTCCTTATACGTATCTTTGGATTATTTGCCTCAAATTGAAGTGTCAGAAGTCATTCTTGTCGTAATACGTCGTAGGACCTTCTTCATCGAGCACAAGACCAACTCCAGTTACATAAATACCTCATTTTATAATGCCTCGTCCAGCTCATCTGCCGACCCCCGCTTCATCTACAGAAATCAAGGGAAAAGATGGTCCAAGGTACTCTTCACTACAGATGTCATTTGAGCTTCCTCCACCTGCTGTAGCAGGAATGGAGTCTCGACCAACCAGCTCCTCTACAAAACCATCACCTGCCTCCTCATACCGACCTAGTTCCCCAATTTCTCCAGCAGTTCCTGCAAGTGAAGCCGTTAAACTTCGTCGAAGACCTGCTACACAAACTGCTGCCAAAAGTTCATTCGCACTACCACCTCCACCTACTCGTTCCCGAAAGATTATACAAATGAAACCTCGAGGTCAAGCAGATGAAACCATGAATTCACCCGAAGAAAATACGAAGATTGGTGGGAAAGCTACTCCAAATGCGCCCAAGAAGAAGCAACCGTCCTCAACAAGTGTTGCTGGACGGAAGATTGCAAGAAAAACTGCACATAGCTTGATTGAGCGTCGTAGGAGGTCAAAGATGAATGAAGAATTTGGTGTATTGAAAGATATGATACCAGCTTGTACAGGAGAAATGCACAAGTTGGCAATTCTACAGGTATGCAATGAATTATTAATCCAATTAATAATTGCACGCTGATTTATGATAGGCATCTATTGATTATGTTAAATACCTTGAAGATTGTGTTTCTAAATTAAAGGCCGAGAATTCTCGGGGACACTTCTCTACAAACACTGGGGAATTCACATTACCACCAGCAGCACATCGTGGCAGCTATGATCCATCACGACATGAATATTCTGCCCGGGAATCAGAAGAGGATACAGAAATGACTGGTTCAGAAAATCGCTCTACCAATTACGCCACTCCTATTCCACCATCCCAGCAGACCTCTCCAGCCATGCTCGCCCAAGATTTCCGCGATAGACAGAATTCATACTCGTCAGTCTCAACAAATAATCGTCATTATAGCATCAGTACTTCATCTACAACATCTCCAGCTCTAGGCCCATCAGTCTATGATTATGCTCGAAGTATTGATTCTGTAGGCTCAGCACTCACCAGTCCTGCTCTCATGCCACAACGAGATCAGAGGTATATAGATGAGGAAGCAAGTGCAGCTTTATTGATGCTTAATTCAGATCGTAGAGCTACGAATTTTAGTGGAGTCCGAGGAATGAGCGTTAAGGATTTACTGAGTTCGTGAGCATTATGGCATTGGCTCGAAGATGATTGATTTCCTTTTGTTCTTTTCGAAAAGGAGTTCTGGAATGGAAGATAGTAGGTTATTGAATCTACAAGGTGATTGGTTGGCTGTTTGAACATTGATTACTCGTTGGAGCCTGTATGGTGGCATCGTTTGAGATGAATATATGTGCGAGTTAAGATTACTTGGGATATAACTTAAGACTTGCTGCTTTTGATATGAGTAATGTAAATATGATATAACATACCTAGCTAATTTATTGTTCTACATCGATTGCTAATGAGCCAATTTTCGATATTCAAAATTTGTTGTTGGACTGCAATCCAGACAAATGGACAACTCGAGTTCTTCCAAGTAACTCTCACGATAATAGAGCGAATTATCACTGAAAAATCTTTTTTACTTTGTTATTAGATTGTTGATTTTTTTATATATTCAAAATAGCTCTTGCTATAATCTGAAGACAATATATGAGATGAGGATGAGATCAGAATTTCTCAATGTTTGGAAATTGGTGTGGCTATAAGAAAGAACAAGTCGTGGAAGAGGAAAACATAAGACTTACACTTTCTGAGCCCAGAGTCACTTCTTGCTCATAACAGTGTGTTGGGCTTCAAGTCAAGACCCCTGGGATGTAATCTTACCTTGGTTCTAGTTTTTGAATTGCATCTTTCCCTCATTTGTATCGGGGTAAATGCATTTGATATAAACTCATCATGAATGTATTTATGAGATCACTGGCAGAATCACTTCAATTGGAGCAAGGGCAAGTGACTTTGCACACCCCTTTCATCACCTTGATCCGTACTCTAGAATACTTCCATTAATCTGATCTCATCAGCAAGTTCTGGCTGATTTATCCATTTGATTCTATCCCATCCTATCCTATCCAAATATCCCGATATTCATCTCCTAAGCTACCACAACCAAAACCCACCAGCTCAATCAATCTCAGCACAATTTTCAAAAGTCTTAACCCCCAACCTAAACCCCTGTTCCCATTCCCATAAAAATTCTCCCCTCTCTCCAAATTCTATCACCCGCTTCTTAATCCATATCTCCAAACAACCTATTTTATCCGCACCTCCCTTTTCCCCCCTCGATCCCAGGAATGCCCTAGCATCTTCCCACCCCGTTTCCCACCCCTTTTGATACAAATCATGCTGAAACTTCTTCCCAGGATTCGTATTGTTCCAATAATCTACATGTTCCTTGACCATTTTCTCCATAAGATTTATTTTTTGTTCGTCTACTTTCCTCAATTTGTCTTTAATTTCTTCGACGAGCCAACTCATGTAGACTGGAGCAACGATATTTTCCTTCTTGACTTGTTCTACAAATCCCCATTCACCGCCGTCCATCCATTCCATCTTCCATGTCCAGAAATAACTTCCTGCGCTACACCTATCGGACCATTTCTTGCATTGGAGTTGTCCGAATTCTCGAACTAGACCCTCTTTCATGTCAGGGTGACATTTTTCCCAGCTTTTCCCATCGAGTACACAACTATATTCACCGATTATTACTTGTGTTTCTCCGCCAGAAGATATATGCGTGGCGCTAGGACTACAATTAGGCAGTTCACCCAGTTCGTTTGGGATCTGACGAATAAGGTCATGTGCGGCTTGTGAACGATGTTTATCTGCAAAGGTAAAGTATTTATGTGTGTCTATGACGACGGGATTAGCAGGAATCTTTCCAGATCTCCAATTTCGCTCTTTAGCCCATTTCAAAGCAAAAGAGAGATCCCACGCATCACTTATATAGATCGGCATCTCCGGATCAATTTCAGAAATTGATCGAATGACGGAGTCGTAGAAAATATACATTCCTCTCTTTCCGGCATCCCAACATGCTTCGTTGCAGAGTTGAATGCCGATTATACCATCCAGATCTTTACATTCTTTGGCGATGAATAAGAGTGCCTTTTTCGCAAGATCGAGATTCTTTTTAGAGCCCCAGAGTTCCGCTCTCGCAGTGCTAGATCCAGAATGCATATCTGCATTCGCACCACCAGGTAAAGCGTGAAGATCAATGAGAACCCCAACACCAAACGCACGAGCTCGAGTAATGAATTCCTTAACGATTGTCCAGGAATTTTGATATACATCTTTCGCCATTTCAAAAGGCGTCCCGATGCAAAATTCTGGTCCGAGAGTAAAATATCCAATGGGTAATCGAATACTAGTCGCCTTTGCCGATTTGGCCAACCATCCAAACGCCTTATCAGTGACTGTGTTCTTCCAATGTTCTTCCCATTTCTGACGTGTAGTTTCTACACCATTGGTTTTCACGGAAGATGTCACAGCATGGAGCTCGGATGATGCGCCTCCTGCGAATTTGGGGAAGAGCCATGGTTCAAGGACGAAGATTGAACCCAGATTGACGCCGAAATGATGGCGATAGCGTAGGATTTCGAGGGGAGTGGGCGGGGAGATAGTAGAGGGATGGGGGAGGTGGATATTAGTGATTGGGTGTGATGGGTCTGAAGGGGAAGTAGGAGAAGAGGAGGAGGTTGAGCGTATGTGAGCTTTAGCTTTCTGAACGAGTTTCTTCATTTTAAGTTGAGATTATTCGTGAGGTTATGTCATGAGTATTCAATTCATCGAAGTTCGAATTCAAGAGATGGTGGATCGAAAAGGAGAGAAATCTGTCGTGTTTATTGAAAATGAATTATATCATTGAAGGAAAGGAAAAGCAAGTTTTGTTGAGATTGATCCACGAGTAGATCGACATTGCTTTTGATACCTACCTAGGTATGTAGCCTTAGCTGGTTGCGGCAGTTGTCCCGTTGGTAGGATGAAAGCCAATCATTTTGATGATCTGAGACAAGGAGGTTGATGCAGACGGACGGCAAGTGGGGTATTAGACAGGGGTTCGCTTATGTAATATTAGAGTTTAGCTTATTAGGCCTAGCTACTTATTCTTACATCCTTTCAGATATTTCAATGCAAAGCAAATAGTGGTCTTGATTATGAAACAATTGACCAGGTGTTTAACCTCGTGGGTGATACTGTTGTATGATAGGATAAATATACCTGAAGTCGGAGAGTTTCAAGATAGTACTTATTTATCTAACTTGTCACGTGTTTCGTTACAAAAGCTACCAGCTAATTAGTCAACGATAGTATCATGATTACAATGAAGGGTATACCATTTTTTCCTCTTGATATCGAATCTGTCCCTGTTTCGAAGCATCCAAACCTATCGATATCATGCCCTTTGAAATAATATGATACCACCTAAATGACTATATCTATTGATTATGACAAACCAGACCGTGACAAAAGTTAGAATCATCCATTTTGATAGCGCACGCACTGCAAGTAGTAGTCCTGAACTTTACAACGAAGAGAATTGATTCCAATGACAAGCCCAAAACTTATCATCCACAAGCTTGTCTTTGTCAGTTTTCTCGCCAGCACCTTAATTTTCAAAACAGATGCAACATCTTTTAGATCCAAATTGAACTCCCGGTTAGCCCTTTTGAACCTCTCGGTCTTACTTCAGTCTGTTGAATTTTCACTGCGGCGCGTAAAGTTCAAACAGCTAGGTTAATCTCCATGCACCATGGATGATGATAATGTAACAGCTTATGTTTTAGGTACTGTCATCGAGATGTGGCTATAAATTTATGTAAATCAGAATCGAGTTTTGAAGGAAGGGGCGCTTTATCAGAAAGTCCTTGACAACTCCAAGTAAAATTTCCAGTAAATCCCAAGTTCGATATGCCGAATGCGTTGATCGACAGGATCAGAACTTCTTGATAAATGGGACATTTGGGATACATTGACAATTTTAGATCGTCTTCCTTTTTCATCTCCCACTAGTATACCTCACGAGCGAAAGTGACCGATTATCCTGGAAGTTCCTCCCACCGTTGCAGGTAAAAGCCAGAATCATTATCTCTGAAAAAGTGAGACCACTAACGTCTCTCTCCCGCGAACTTTTCCGCTTTCATCCTCAATATCGATTGATCCTTAACATTAACCAACATCAAATTGTACAGTTCAGAAGAACCACTTTTTAAAGCGCTAAGAGCAGCTTCCTCTGTGATTAAGCCATCTAGGGATCCTCGCAGGCGTATGATAAAATTCAAAGTATCAACGCTAGATCTCAACCTAGCTAGCTCAGCTATTGACTCGATGTGAGAACTGTTAATCATTTCGATCCCGCAGGAGGTCAGAATATATTCGAGACTTTTGGCATGTGGCCAAGAGAATAATGAATCAAAAACCTCCTGATCAACGAAGTCTTTACCTTTCACATCGAGAATGACTTTCCACATATCTTCCTGTCCAGGCTTTTCATCAATGACCAGTTCTCTTCTTAGAAGGCTGCTATTGGACTGAGTCATGAAGTATGCGAGAATACGAGAATCGCTGCTTTTCAAGGCACAACGAATCATATCCTCTGTGATATGAGTGATTTGTTTCAATTCGAACAATTTTTCCACAGTTTCGTAGGAGTCGAAACGGATGACTCCCAGTACCATTTTGTCGTTAATAGTCTCTTCATCAATTTGGTGTAACACATCAGCTAATTCTCCCAAGCCTTTGGTTTTTATTCTGTACTCAAGTATCTTCGCGGATATTGGAGTTTCATCAGCAGCTCTATAAAGAGTTTCCAAGGCTCGTAACGGCTCCGAATGGGTATCTTTCTCTAGATGTCTTTCAAGCTGCTCGATAAAGGCCTGGCGACTGCGCTCATGACTCAGGAGAATTTCTTCTACCTGCAAACGTTCCTCGAGGTTCTCTTGAGGATTACCACCCTTCGCGATTACCCAGTAAACCATATCCTCATCAGCAATCGGCCTACCCATATTTGCGTATTTTATATGGTGTCTATGAGCGGACGAAATTAGATGAGGATTAGCACCACAATCTAGGAGATACTTCACAGAATCAGGACTGCCATGTCGAATTGCCACAAGCAGTGGAGTAGTTTCAAAGCGTAACGGCTCATCAATTGATTCTTTATACTTATCGAGTGAGTTCTGTATTAGTTCGGGAAGGTTGAAGGCTGCTCCTAACATTCTAAGACGACTCTTTGACGGATATTTATCTGAGCGTGGAAGATCGCCCAGAATTCGATCTGCAATATCCATGATTTGAAATCTTGTGCTTCCTGAGTAGTTACCGACATCAATTTGAGTATACCACCACTTGAGTGAAGGGCTTATCGTGGCTCCAAGAGCAAAACGCTTATATAGGAGATCTTTACATCGCTTCTCTGATGTGGCTTTATTGGAGTGATAGGCCCAATAAGAGATGGAATAGGCTAGAAAATTGGCCGGTTCTTGGGCGAGCATTAACGTCTTCTTTATGGCGGAAGCCACCGAGCCGCGTTTGAGCCCTGGTTTTGTGCCTGAATCGACTCTTTTGTGTACCAAAAGATTTAAGCACATCTTCATCACGAATAAATGACATTCTTCGGTTTGGAACTCGACTTTGAACCCGCAATGACTGATAAGGTACTCCTCAACAGATAAATGGGCAAATCGAAACGTGCCTTCTGAACTCTGAATAACAAAATTGCTACAGCACTAACGAACACGAGGTCAGTGTTCATCTTCAAATCCAACATCAACAAAGATTCATCTTACATGTAAAACAATTTTTGTGCTTAACGGACCCCGTGCTATTTTCTGAAGTTTAGGATCATGATCTAAGGAAATCTCAATGACTTTGAGAAGTTCCTCTGCAGGTAGTGGCGTCTTGCAACACAGTAGCCACTTACAGACTGACTTCAAGACGCTGGCGTTGTAGGCCCCTGGCTTGGTGTTCATCATGTAAACCGTTTCGTATGCATCGTTCAAGGATTGCTCCAAAGAAAGATTTCGATCTTTTATATTCAGCAGCTGAATCTCGATGTTTTCTGGTAAGAAAGTTTGTGTCTCAATCGGAAACATGATTGCTAGTTGTAGGGTTACCCATTTGAACCTGAGACTGTGTTAGCTCCGTTGCGTGTGTTAGCTAGGCATAAAACCTACATTCCACCTGCAAAATTCGTTAAAACAAGCACTATCCGATCAATGATCTGTCGTTTCGCCGTCTCGTCGTCGCATTCAATATCTTCCTCTTTAGCTCTCACTTCATTCTCAATGTATGTAGACATATCCCGCGATGTATCTTCAACGGCTAAAATAACGCCGTCTGATCCAGAGAATACCTTCTCCACATCAACATTTAATCGACTGGAGAAAACTAATTTGACACTATCAAGATGCTTGACTTGAAATTTTTTCAGTGTTGCTAAAAGCTTACTGAAGTCTTTGCATTCGTCAAGGGCGTCAATGACGATGATGACTTTTCTGAGTCGTTGACATAGTTTTAGAAGCGCGTCGGACCAGTCCTCAGGTTTCGGAATAGTAGGGTCGGGTGGTTTCGTAGCATTGAACATACTAATAATATTTGGTTCTATTGCGTTGCCGTCTAATGTCCATGCTAACTGGGATACAAGGCTTCGAATAACGTCGCTTGATGTTGTTGGCGAGATGCAATAGAAATATACCATGCGCTTCTCATCTTGCCGGGCAATATCGGAGTAGAACGACTCAATGATAGTGGATCTTGAGTAATTGTTAGATGTAATGTACACAGACGTCGAACAAGGTATCCCATAGTCCAGATTAGCAGGCCAGATTTAGACTTTGAAGTATAAATCTTCAAGACGATGACTGCGATTCGGACTGCTGAACATCTACAAATAAACAAATCAAAGGAGTAGCACTCACATAATAGACGTCTTCCCTGTTCCAACTAAAGTCATCATATTAGCATGAACCTATGAAAACTAACTGATGAATGAGAAGCTCACTCGTTCCACGTATCCAGAAAGTAGATACCCCAGCACTATTTAACCATCTGGTATATTTCTCGATAATCCATTCTCCAGCATGCGGATACTGCGCGAGTAATTGTCTAGCGGTGTAATGCTGGGAGATGTATGGTATATCAGATACCCACTGAATGATTTCAAGATTTTCTAGAGATACAGAGAGTGTGAGTAGGGACATCATAATGCTATACCAGGTTGACTCACTTTCATTTGTTCTGTCCAGTCCCAGGATCAGCTCTCTTAGTTCGGATTCGAAACGTTTCTGGTCTTCGTATTTGATAACAATGAGCGTCTCTTTCAACAGTAGTATTATAGGAAGGTTAAGTAGATCTTACTTTGGGAGTCATTCAATTGAAGGTCGGTCATAAAATTGTTCTTGTAAACCTCGACATCGCTGAGCAAAGTCTTCCAATCATCCTTCCTGGCAATAGATGCAGCATATCTTGCTATTCAAGAGATTAGCTTTAACTCATAGGAGTTGTGAACTCCCGTACATAATGTGTGTCTGCTAAAATTATGTATCGCTGTCGCCTCATAGCGAAGTATTTTCCAGTATAATGTCACGATAGATCCCTTCAGCTGCTTCTCAGATTTTTCTTTTGGGATATTAAGGTGATCCCAATCGAACGATGTGAATTGCTGAACAATCTCTACCACTTCCTGCAACCCATTCAGTGCCGCCTCTTGTTCCTCAGAATGGTTTAAAATGAGCTATGAAAAGTCAGCTCAAGCCATGTAGATTAACACCATACCTACCGGCAATAAAACCGAAACACAAGTCCAGGGAATTCCCGCATGAACGGGATCAATTACAGCGGCAGTATCACCAATAGGTTTAACTAGTTTGAAAAGTTTGACAATCTTATCAAACTGCGGTCCAATTTTGATGGCTTTCTTGCGCCAATAAAATACCCACTGCTTATCCTCCATGATCCGAAGTTTCCTGAGAAGCAGATCACCGAGTTGTTGCTCTAGTCCTACATTACTTTTGACATTGGGATCCTTGCTTATGATTGATTGCAGCCGCTCATACAATTCTGGGTCATCACGCTTGAACTTCTCATAGGCTTCTTCCCATAAAGCATCGTTTTGGCTCGACAAGGCACCCAAGGATGGCTCTGGAGTAGTAGCCATTATCAGACCCCATCCAGTCTGTAAGTGAGTTCAATATTCAAATTGCTTTGGTACACAAAAGAAACTCAACATTTTAGAGCCCCTCGAGCTCATTGTCGGACCAGTCCAAGTTGCTGGAAACCAAGCTCTATCTGTCGTAGAGATAATATTTTCAAGCTAATTATTATGCTTGAATCATCGTAATTGTAGTAGAAAGAATATAGTTCGAAAAAGTATGTGCCAGCTGAAGAATAGTAGCCGCCGCACTCGTCATCTCACAATGTTTTGTGTATGTATGACTTGTCAGCGTCACGTGCAGGTAAGCCTCGATGCCCCTGCGTGAAGAGACTATCCATTTCTTTGGAGTAATATGCAATCACCTAAAATAATCATCTAGTCAATCATACAACCAATCAATCAGCTTGCATTTGTGTTACCGCAGCTTACAATAGTAGCTAACATTTGGCCTTACATACTTACCACGAAAACTTTCTCAAATTGATATCTCTTTTCTCAATCATACATGCATGACAGCTGCTCCTAACATTCTGTCTCAAGTCATTTTGATACACCGTACTCAACCTCCGCAGTCGGATATCTCATTCTCATTTTTCTGCAAATCTATTTCTTGCCCTTCACCTCCACCACCTCCACCAACTCCGCCTTAATCTTCCTCTTTCCGGTACTCTCCTCCTTAATATCACTAATCCTAACCACCACCTTTCCAAACAACTCCACTCTAACCTCCCTGCTTCCTTTTGTTTGCAATACATAATTCTCCGCATCAAAATTACCCTCCGGTTCAGGCTCCGCTAGATCTCTTAGACGAATAAGTGACTCGATACCGAATCTAGGTACGAACACTACAAATCCATTGCTGAAAACTTTCATCACAAAACCTTCTTCTTCAACTATACGACCTTTGAGTGCTTGTCCGACATAGTATTCAATCGAGGCGCGACCTGCTTGTTGAGCGTTGCGGTGACGGACGTTGATGTTCTTGCAAACACCTTCTAATTTTCCCTTACTGCGGACACTGGCAGCAAGAGGTTCGTAGTCAATTGCTGCAGCAAGCTGACGATGAGCAACGAGATCAGCATAACGACGAATTGGCGACGTGAAATGAGTGTAAATTTCAGAGGCTAAACCATAATGGCGGAACTCGGGGTACGCCTGTGTACCAGAGCAGAAATATTCTGCCGACATCATACAGCGAGTTGCCATGATACGGACGAGGGTATTGAAAAAGGGTTCGGTGGGATCAACACATCCATCTAGAGAGTCGGCAAGTTGCCTTGACGAGCCAACCTTTAATTCAAGACCACGCTTGACTTTGAGTTGATTGGCGAGTTCTTCGAAATTTGTTTTGGGAGGGGCGGCGTGGCGACGGAGCATGGCTGTTTGTGGGAAGGCGGAATAAATCTTGGCTGCTACGCTGGTGTTGGCTAGAAGCATAAATTCTTCGACTAGCGACATTGTGTCAAGGTGCTTTTTCTGTTTGATGTCTATTGGGTCTGAAGTCTCAGATTCCATCTCCACTTTAACTTCAGGTGATGAGAGACTCAAAGCTCCAGCATCCATACGCTTTTGCTTGAATTTCTTCGAAAGCATGAGAAGCGTACGGATGTTGGTAGTAAGCTCATCTTGTTGGGAAGCATCGTCAACACGTTTTTGGGCATCCTCATAACTGAATGCTTCTCGAGATTTAATGACAGACTTTGTGTATTCTGCATTTACGATTTCGGCGTCCGGCGTGATTTCCCATAAACAAGAAAAAGCATATCTCTCGACGTATGGCTTGAGGGAACACAAATCCGTCCCAAGTAACATCGGTAACATATCAATTCGCTTATCTACTAAATAAACGGTAGTGCCTCGTATACTTGCCTCTGCGTCCATTGCATTATTTGGCTTGACGAAATGTGAGACATCCGCAATGTGCACGCCCACTTCATAATTTCCATTGGGCAAAGGCCTTGCATGTAATGCGTCATCAATATCTTGACAGCCTATTGGATCAATACTGCAAATGTTAAGACCACGAAGATCGCGTCTGTTTTTCCATCCAGGATCATCCGTACTTGGGGGTACAATCCAATCATGCCCCTCTGCCGGTAAGCAATCTAAAACTGCTTTCGGGAATGGTCTATATTGTACGTCATATTCCAAAAGTAGAGCTTCTGTCTCGGCACCTTTCGTTTCTAGCTCGCCGAGAGAACGAACAAAATGACCAACCGGATATCTAGAATCCCTATCCCAGGAGTCGATGGTGACCAAAACCCGCTTTCCTAATATCTCACCCGCTTGTCGCGTCCTAACGCGAATTTTCGGTATCCTCTTATCCATAGGAATAAGGAACACGGTTTGTTGCTTGCGACTTTGTTTCACCGACTGACTAACAGATGATTCGTCCACATGACCGACATATTGTCTCCAATTGCGCTTTAAGACACCGACTACTCTTGCAGTTGGCTGCGGACGATTCTCCGCACCCTTGCTGTGAGTCTTCTTTACCTCTTCTTGGAGCGCACGTCTTTCCTTTTCAGTAACGACCGCTTCTCCCTCATCGGCATCAGGATTTTCATCTTTGTTTAGGCTTTCTTCTTCAATGATTTTCGTAGATGGCTCTTTCCATTGGTCTTTTGGTAATACCTCGATAACAACAACATCACCCTGGACAGATCTATTAATGTTCTCTCTGCCAAGAACAAGTAATGATTTGTCAAAAGCGGGGACGTTCACTGAACCCTCGAGATAGTTGTATGGTGAAACGTTAAAAATACCTTGATGTAACGTGCCGTTCTTGACACCAGTCATCATCTTCGATACTGAAAAATATTCCTGGTATAAGTTTCCAGAAGTTCTAGCATCTCGGGCTTCTTTGTCTTCCTGTGCCGCGCTGATCATATCCAGGAGTTGATCTGCATTTTCCAATCCACCAACATATTCCCGAAGGGAGCATGCTTGAATGCCATCACGCTTTGCTTTTTTGAGATTCTCTTTATCATCACTAAGCATTACAACAGCAGGTATCTTTTTCGAACGCCCTCCCGAAGCCTTGACTGCCTGTGTAATATGTTCGTCGTACCATTTGACCGCTCGCCGGACTGCTCTATCATTTCTATCATTTATGCTTTCTCCAGTCTCCCGAACCACATAAGTTTCCAGACGAAAGTCATTAAAGAAAACATAAAATCGTTTGTCTTCACTCTTCGTAAGCCCAATCAAACGATTGTAAAGCGGCAAGGATCTATTTCGCAGCTCTTCAAGTACGGTTTGTAATATGATGACATCGTAGAAAGCAGATGCTTGTTCAAAAAGGTCGAGGGCGTTTAGCAATGCATTGGTATCGGGAACCAGGTAGTGGCCTTGAGGGTATGCTTTCGTTCCAGCAGGCTTCTCGGAAAGAACAAAGGGTGGCACTGCATTAACGTGAGCATTATACCATGGATAAACATACATTTACGTTACAGAGACCAAACTTACCAACACCACTTGCATCTGGTGGCGCACTTTTGAGGCAGCTGTCGCAAAGCTTGGATGAGCAGGGAATATCTTGTCGAAGGTATAATTCACGAACAATCTTCTGAACTTTGCCACTTTTGGTAGAGCGTACATAGACTTTACTTGATATATTAGATGAGTAGGGATCCGATCCCATAGATCGTTTGAGACTCGTCATATTGGCTGAATTGGAGGTGTGTTTGGGGAGGGTTGTTCAGCAGCTTGCGACAGCTTAGATGCAAATTTAGGAAATTTAGACGCGAGGGGCGGCTAATCGCGGCTACTACATATCTTATCGGTCACTACCTAGGTTAGAAAGATAAGCTTCTTATCGTCTCACCCCATCAATTCAAGTGAAGCTCGAAATATAAATATATCAAATCTGATACAAGCTGAACATATCACAACCAACTTCCGAATTTTGATTGAAATATTATCACATTCTACTGTGCGGGTTTATCTTATATTATTCCGTTTGAATCCATGAAATAAACATAATCAGAAACGAATATTGAAAGATCATTGCCTTGAAGTTCAAAAGTCACAGGTGCATTTATATCCAAGCAATTCCTTCCTAAGGGTTCAAGTGATCTATATCTAATGCTCATACCCCTCCCCCCAAATGCCGTGTAAACATTCCTTTTTCGAAATTTGAGATACACAAGGGAAGATACACAAATACATACATGAAAGAAATCCCTCCCGATAATGCATAACGGCCGTTTCATCTGCAATGTCGTACACGTGATGAATATGTGTGTATGTATAGATGCCCGGCAGCAGTAGCGAAACTACATGTGTCACTTGACTTCCGATATCCTGGAAACAGGTATCTCGTGGCAAAGGAACGTTCCGATTTGTAATGAGTCACTTTGATGAACCTGGGTACTTCAGACTTTGTCTTACCATTTGAGAGCTTGTCTAGTTTGCTTTGTACGAAGTAGCCCACCTTCATGCAAAATAGATCCGAAGAGGAAAGAAACGCAGCTTAGAGAGCTTCTCCTTCCAAGTATATCGCACGTTCTAGAGGCAGCGGAGATTGCGGTAAATGCTGAGAAGATGTCTCATAAGTCATAAGTTTTTAACTTTCCGCTGAAGAATGAAAAAAGGTCTTAGAGCAATTTATTCAGCGGGGTCTTGGGTATCAAAAGAACTTGAAAGGGTCCATTGAGCTTAGCATATTACATGTTATCGCTGCGAACCGCCGTCATATGTGGGTGAGTGCAGAAGATCTCCCACAGATGGCCCATCACCTCCCACCATTGCAGAAGCGAAACACGAAACACGAAACCCGCAATTGAGAATTCAGAATGGAGACTTGCGGAACAAAAAAGCTCAGACACATTTCTTCGCCTACAGTAGTGGGCTCGACGGGTATTCCATCCAGGATGGATATCGGGAGGGATGTGCCCGTAAGCTTAGCTATGCACAGCCTGATGTTGTGCATGGGAAGCCAACCAAGGGAAATCATTCTTATGCGCCGAGCATACATTAGTGGTTGAATTTCTGAGATTTTCTGCAACCATCAGAATTTCATTATCTGCCGAAAGACTTTGACCCCTCCATGATACTATTTTGACCGGGGCAAGCAGTTGCGGTTAGAATTGGGGGGAGAGCACCGAAAAGTCGCTAAAGTGTCTTAGTTTGAAAATAGACTAGATTAAAATGATCCTATGACCATTTGCCTCGTACACATTCAGGATATGCAAGCGCGGCTCTGCCCGTATCAAAAAGAAAAGAACAAAAAAAAGTAAACTATCGCGAAAAGATTGCCAAAGAAAAAATGGAAAACTTGGTAGAATCTGCCGCGTTCCATCAAAAAAGTGGATTCCCCTCTGTCCGAGTCATCTTTCTTGTATCGCATGTTCTGAGCGTGAGTTCCATTTAGCCAATCATACCCCAAAGAATACAAGTCTTCGTGAGGTAAGGGGGACGATATGTTAAGAGTGCGAAAGAGACCCTAGAACCCTTGAATGTGTCTAGCGCGGTAGATGCATCGAAGAGTCATTTCTACTGCCGATTTAATATCGATGATATCAACACAGAAACAGACCGGGCTTGCAGGATATTCTTCGACAAATGATTGGCGTTCTCATACAGAGACAGTAATCTATTTCAACCACTGTGGGATGGGGGAAAGTCGCGGTCCCCCATAGACCTTGTCTTCATACTAATCACGTCCAGAACATTCAATTAGTCATGTCTTCTCATGATCTCCACGGCGCAGGACGGAAGACATGTGAATCCAGAGTTGAAAATCAAGCATTGATGGTGATAAAACAAGGATGTGAAACTTGGACTTGAACCGGTATCGACGGCGCAGACAGACGCCCGAGATCTACCTCGTAAAAGGATGCCGAAGCCTCCCCCTGATCAAAAGAAATGGAGAATTTTGTTTCCCGAAACGCCGCGCCGCAATGTGTGGATATCTTGAGAAGAGCAGGGGACTCATCCAGTGGCTTTTGCCATTGTGTTCCAATGGAACGAGACGAGTTCATCAGCATTAGCCTACTTTCATATGTGACCAATTAGTGGCTTTAAAACGGCCGTCGACATCATGACTGCAATCCTCCTGACCAATACGGTCTTGATCTCATCAATATTTTGATCTGGTTTTCATCTGAAGTTTTTTTTAAATTAACTTTTCATACTTTGGACGAATATTCAATATCCCAATTCAAATCGCAAATTAGCATCTGTCGTTACATTTGATCCGAATGGCAGTACGAATGTGTAGTTTTATGTTTCAATCCCATCATGGCTGAGCAACCTGTCAGCCTAGCTAATTTGATATGCGGCTGTTCGGTGTTTAAATATTCTGGTAATATCTGGTACCAAACTGCAATCGGATAATTAATATGCCATTAAAGGTATCGTTTTTCGATCCAACTGCATGTCAGCGCTGGAAATAGCTTCAAGGGGCTCTCTCACATCTCAGATGTACCTCTATACATTTTGCAGTAGATATGAGCATACTTCCTTCTCTCTTCAAGTTGGAATTTTCAAGCCTAGATACATTGTGACAGCGTGTTAAATCGGCCGGAGAATATGCAGAGAGATTACCTGACACTTTGTTTGATTCTCAATCCTTGAAAGAAAAAGAATCATGGTCCAAAAATGTTTCTCCCAGATTGAGCGAGGGACATGTCGAAAAGATATGAAGCTGCATATATTACCCAATTAGGCAATTGCCAACTTTTAGTGGTCCACTAATATCGTGATAAACGTACGGGGATACTGCAGGCTGATCTCATCCATATGTACTGAAATCCTTGAAGAAGAGGCGTGAATCCCTGAAGGCACAGGTAGAGTATTTTTTAATCACCTTCGCTACTGTAAGTCTTGCTGGTACTACTCTCCGCAAAAATGAATGTAGATGTCAAAGAAATCTAAGCATGATGGATACTATGGTAGAGGATTAGCATAACATCGTCATTGATTATACAATTTGAGACATCTTATCGTTTCTCCATTATTTATATGTGCCAGTGACCAAAACTTTCAAGCCCCGCGACCGAAATACGATTGGTGGTCCAAGACGCGCATAATCTGGAACTTTGAAGGTTGAGGTTGTATCCGAAGATCAAAGGAAAACTTATCATACATTGCATGTACTTTGTATGTACACACGCGATGTATGGAAATGAAAATAAAAAAATCAAGCACTAAACTTCATACCAAAATAAATATATGCAAGTCTGAGAGATCATTTGATTGTTGAATACAAATTGGGATGTTGAAGAATAGTAATATAATGTTCAGATCATTTTTGAGCTTCTTGTAAGATTGCCTACCATGTAATATCGAATTAGGTAGACGATATAATATCGTATATCGCGTGCCACAACATTGAGAACTCGACCATTTCTCGCCATAAGCAAAATACAAAAGTTTTTACTTGATCCATCTCCGGTTCTCATCTGCAAATACAATCAAGAAGGTGTCAACGGGCGACTCCTTCCGAAGTAACATTTGGTAAATGTATGGGACTTTCCAAGGCTGGCCCGAGCGAAAGAGAGGAGAAGCGGCGCTTATTATTTCAAATTTCAATAACCTACCACATATCTTTGAAATTTGTGATCTTTTAGGAGTATCATAATTTTATAATCCCTCTCAATTTACCTAAAAGATTTGCATTGCTCGTTCCCCATAGCGTGACTGAGCCGTAGACTTGCCTGAATAAGTTGCTTCAACGTACATACTCGTGCTTCCATTCCACAAGCGATCTACTTTAACATTTTCCTTGGACTATATCACCGCATATCTTCAACAATCCATCTATCTTATGCAAGCAAGCTCGTGGGGAGCTGTCCGTCATACCCGCCCGCTTGAAGGAAGGAAGGATCCTATCAATCTCCATCTTCTTCAATGCCCTAGTCAGTCTGTATACCCACGAGTCATAATCAAGCGAACCGATCTTTCGACCTCATGCCCAAACATACATACACACACATACTGTACAGTATCTTGTGGAGATCGGAAAATTTGAGAACAAAGTACCTCTTATCCAATGGTACAGCAATAGATGGGTAGAAGTATCAAAGAAAAATCGGGCACAAAGGCTACTTGGATCTTTAATATCTCGGAGGTTATCACGAGAAGTATGTGCAGTACCAAAAGTTACCAAAGACGCAAATGAAATCGTGCATAACATTACATTGGCCAGGATTGAGATACAATAAATACATGGGACATATAAACTTTTTTGGACCTTGGATCTTCTCAGCCTTGAAGCTTCATTAAGATTCATTTGCGCTTTGCCGATGCCAATCGCATTTATCTACCAGTGTCAATCAAAGGGAGCAAATCTGAAAAGCAACGAACAAATTGTCAGACTGCAAGAGAACGACCTTCATATCAGCAAAAAATACCACAGATATCCAAAACTTCAGATTCAACCAATGATAACCAAGAAAGTTTCCCATCCTTTCTTTAGCTAGACCCGTCAAAAATCCTGTAATGTGAATTATCTATTTATCACTTCGGGCAATTGAAGGAACTTGAAACTATTCGATCTAATTGGCGGCTAAAATATCATTTTGGATTCTCCAACTTTTCCTCGTCAGCTGGTTCTTCCAATCACAAAGGAAATTCGGAAAGATACCTTGGAACGCCCAGCTTCAAAGATACACTTTACCCGTACCAAACCTCGTCCTTGCGTCTGGCGTAGCAAGTCCTTGCGTAGCATTTGTCGCAATTCTTACTAGGATTACAGTGTCCGCAGCCGGGTCTGTGTTTGATAAACGACATCAGGAAAAAAAGAGGAGCCATTTCTAGTTTTCCGGTTGACTTTCCTCGAGAAGTACCTAGATACTTGAACGGGACTGACTCGGCTTTGATTATTAGTACGGTTTCTGTCCACCTATCATTTTTGAGGATTCGATAGATTTGAACATTTGTCTCTTCTCTTTTTCTTTTACCAATACCATGTTATATTGGAGAAGACAAAAAAGACTAAATAAAAGGACAGAAAGGAAGGCTCGCTTCGAAATTGACTAAACCCCTTCATTTATAATAGTCAAGGTCAATCTTTGGCTCATTCATTCATCACTGCCTACCGACGCTACCGAGCCCTACCTATCTACCCCTACCTACATATTTTCCCTATCTACCTATCCACCTACCTACCTACCTAGGTAATTCCATCATCAAAGCCGAAAAGGAAGCCAAAGCAAACAAATAGCAAAAGAAAGGATTTTATTTATTAAAAAATTCATCAAAGCTTCCTTTCTTCTTCATCCTTCCCCCTCCTTGAACCTTACGTTAGCCTACCTCCCTTTACATATCTCCATATCGACAATTATATATTTTTTATCTTCTACCACCACCACCACTACCACTCCCTACATTTCCCACGAGTTCGTTGCGAATGAAAGGGCGCCTGTTGATCAGTGGGCGAGTGGGAGAAAATCGTGGGGCCGCCCGTGCTTACCTTTTACACTACGGTACCTAAGATTACCTGCTAAGCTGCTTAGGTGATCTCAACGACAAGACAAGCCTCTCGTACAACGTACAAAGCTCCTCGATTCAATATTCGATATTAGATTCGACATTCGATATTCGATATTCGATATTCGATATTCGATTACCATACATGACTCATTATTCATTACTCATTATTATTCACGACTGCCGACACGCTTAGGGAAAGCCATAATACCGGAATCCTGTCTGTACCTGAGAGAGGATAGTACAGTATAGCAGCATAGATACAGCATAGGATCCCCGTCGCACATTGATTATATTTCGCATCTTCCTTTTCCCTATTCCGTTATTCCACCCTTCCCTAGGGATCCAATAAATCGACATCATTCGTCATTTATCATTTTTCCATTCAAGCATTCAAGGATCCAAAAGCTCCAAGGGTCCTTTCTGGTATCGACAAGCCTTTCACCCATACACACACACATACGCACATACATATATCCACTATCCACACTTATCCACAACTATCCACTACCACACATATATTAATTAAATACCTTGAATTCCCCCCAAAACGCAGCTACTGAATCCAAGTACCCGCATGCATGGTGCAGAACAAATCGGTTCGTTAGGTTAATGCAGCTGAACGGCTTCCACGCCGCACTCACCAAATATTGGAGCTTGCATCTCCATCTCTTACACTTTTTTTGCGACGAAAGCGCAAACGCGCCGAACGTGAATGGTGTAAGGAGTCGGGGGGTCAAATGAACATCCCATATATTTCGTCGCCCAATACTTTTCTCGAAAGTGCTTTGGAGTTTTAAATTCCTTTGTACTTCTTTCCATCGATTCGTTCGTTGACGTTGCTTTGCCTTGCGTTTCCTTGCGTTGCGCATTTCGTCATGTACTCGGCCGTGACAAACGGCCTTGGAGGGGGGGGTAACGAAGGTCCATTTCAACCCACCACGATTAATCCTCAAGCTCTTAATCAAGGTAACTAAACTCTTTATTAGCAAACATTCATGCGACTTTGGGATATGATTTGAGTTTCTTTCAAAATAATTCACTGTCATCTATTCTCGTCTTAACTTGTGGACTTCGGACTGACTTAATCCTTTGATGCGATAGGAGCTCTCAACTCATCCTCAGCATTACCATCAAAAGAAAGCCCTCGAGGGATTAAGAGGAGTCGCTCACCAGATACATATAGTGAAATACCGCAGGCGGATAACCAGGCAGATGATGGTATGTTGTTATCACTCTTCATATTTCGGGTTTCGCCTCGTTCGCACCTTTCTGTAACGATATGTTACAGGCGCACTTACTTTACCTTTTCAAGAAATATTACTGATATGATGTCTTATCACAGGTGACTCAAAACCACGAAAGCGTGGTAGGCCTATGAAGACAAAGGTGGCCATCAGTACCTCAGAACCTTCTCAACAAAGTCAGAGCCAAATGCCGTATTCAATCCAGAGCCACAGTGGCCGACCGCAGACTCCTCAGTCGCAGCATACAATCCCTCCCAACCGTACTCCGGTTATACATTCAGTCCAAACTCCTACGCAGAAGCCAACTCCTAAACCAGTTGTCAAGGCTTTGCCAACTGTGAGGGATCACACAACAGATCAGTTGGGTGCAGAAGGAGACGAGTATATTCCCAGAGAATATGATGAACAGGGCGAGAAAAAAGTCTCAGCCAACGGCCATTTAATGGACGGGCGCGAATATAGGTGTCGAACTTTCTACGTACCAAATAGGGGAGATAAGCTATTCATGTTAGCAACAGAATGTGCTAGGGTACTGGGTTATCGGGACTCATATCTCCTTTTCAACAAAAATAGATCTCTATACAAGATTATTGCAACTCAAGCAGAGAAGGAAGATTTGATTCACCAGGAAATTCTGCCCTTTTCCTACCGCTCTCGGCAAATAGCCATTGTTACCGCAAAATCGATGTTCCGCCAATTTGGCAGCAGAGTCATTGTTAATGGACGACGTGTCCGAGATGATTATTGGGAAACAAAGGCACGTAAGCAAGGCTTCACTGAGGATGATCTGGCTGGAGAAAAGAGACCTGGTGCAGCAAAAGCCAGAGATGCCGCTGCCGCTGCCGAGGCTTCAGCTGCTCTAGCTGCAAGCCACCATCATGGCGATATTTACAGCAATGGCCCAGGACATTATGCGTACTCGCAACCAACCGTTCCATCTTCTATGATGGGTATATCTGGTGCCAACAACCCACTTCCCATGATAACCACCCTTGCGCCAGAACAAAACGACATGCGCCTGAGAGACTATAGTAGTATTCAACGCCCCAGACAAGAGCTTGCTGGGACTGCCTACCAAGACAGAACTCAGCCAAGTTTAAACACGGATCTCACGAATCACGTAAATCAAGCTGTTGAATACAATAAGCAGATCAATCAGCAACGTAGTCGCAGTCATGATTATCTGGAACGAAGGTGGAGACAACCTCATGAAGTTGCCGGGGGTAATATGGTGCAGCCTGTCAATTCCCAAGACGGGCTTCCATCTGCACAAGCATTGCACTCGCCTAGATCATCACAGAGTATTGCACAACAATCAACTTTGGCTCACCAAGGCCCACAGCATATTTCATACTCACAGGCTTCGCATCAACCTGGTATTGTCTCACAACCTCCGATTAGAGCTGCTTCATCAAGGCAAGAGCAAACAGCTGGACGATCTCCTAGCATTTCAATCGCCTCTGCGGGCAATTTGAGTCAAGGAGCGACTCCTTATCAATTTACGTCTCAGAATCAGATGTGGCCATCTAGTCAACCACAGCAGTCTCCTCAGCAACACGCATTCAACCCTACTTACCCGTCCCATCCTAGCCAGCAATCACCACACATTCAACAGTCTCCACATCAACCTCCTCCAGCGCAACTTCGACAATCAGGTAACAATACCCAAATGCAGCCCGCATTACAATACTCTGGTATGCAAGCGATGGGTCAAAGTTACCAAGCACCTCCTCGAAATGTCTATCAACCTGATTCAAACAATCAACATTTTATGCAACCTACAACATCCGGTCCTCAGCCTGGTGCTCAGGGTTGGGCCCAACAGCAGCCTGCTGGGGCTAGCGCTTCCTGGGGTTGGACTGGTCAATCACAATAATTAGGAATGGAAACAAATGTTGCATAATTCGCGAGGAGGATGGCGAAATGATATATCGTAACTGCGAGAGATCGGAACGACACGAAAAAATTATGCGCTACTCGGAATCACTATGACTAGGGTACATCTAATTGATCATAACTTATACTTTCATCAAAACATCTTAATGATGACAACGATGGAAGAACGAGTTTGCATCATAGTATTAATCGGCTGAATGCTTCTATGCTAAATTACTTCTAAGCACTAGGCATTCATACGGATTTTTCTTTTTTTGTATCACTGGCACACTTCCCCTTCCAACATTGCTATTATTGCTTTTTTGTCCCTTGATACCTCTAAAGTTTTAATTCTTGTCCTTTTACTTCGCTTTTCATTGTATTTTTCATTATCTTCCAGCTCACCACTTAATCACTTCCGAGATACCTTTTTTGAGATTAAAGGTGTCTTAGCAACTTTATTTTCATTGTTGATTTTACTACTTGTCAGTTCTTTGTGTTATTTTCACTTCACATCTTCATATGGGGGGGTTTTTTCTCTTTCCTTAGGCATAGCCTTGGCTTTGTTCGAATTTTTATCTGAGCAAAGGATGCATTGATGGATTGGCTTTTTGATTTTCCCTTTCGATTCTTAAGAGCACGGAATATTATGGATGGATAGGATATTACCTTTTTGCATTGCGTGCAAGGCTTTGGCATATGATTGATAGGAATTTGATTGGGTTATACATGTCATGAAAGTACATATTTAATTTATGGATGGATTGATGATTGTGTGGGTGGGAACGATGGATGGAGTTCGGAATGGGATACCTCTCTGTTTTTCCTACATATTGTCATTTGAAAGGCTTTCTATTACCTTAAATTTAGCTTGCGTCTTTCCTAGGGGTGGTTACATTTATGTTAGTGTTGATAAATGACAAACTTTGTCATTTTTTTGCCCTGAGAATTCACTAGTTTGTGTGGTGCTTGTCGATGCATTATGGAGGTGGTTTTTTTTTCCTTCGTGTGTGTGTGCGTGTGCTTATTGCTTATTGTGATGATGGGAAGAGCGGTTTTGGGTGGGGATGTGAAAGGAAGAAGTATATTGGTAATCGGGAAGTGGTATATATATATGCGTGGATGAATGAATGAATGGATAAATACAGATGGATATGGATATGGATATGGATATGGATTTGGATGTGGAAGTATAAATGAATGGGTGACGGGATGGATGGATTACTGGATGGATGCATCATCAGATATCTATCTATACTTAAATACCTCCTGTATCTGATCTACCTAGTGAAATTTAATTATTAGTATTTATTTTATTTTGTTTGACGTGGAATGTGTCTTTAATTGGTGGGTTTATGTTAGGATTTTGTTTTTTGGTAAGATCTTGTGTTGTGTTGTGTATGTTGTGTCTTTTGTTTTTGTTTTTTTTGGAAGGGGGGCCAAGGAGGGGATGGGGGCGAGGATGTGTGATGGGTGGATGGGTGGATGGGTGGATGGATAGATAGATGAATCTTGTGTTCTTGTAAGTTGAATAGGAGAATGGGGTGAGGGTGCTTGAGGGTTTTGAGCATCTTGAGGTTTGTGGTGGTTGTGGATGTAGAATGCAGAGTATTGGGGATGTGTAGAGCCTTGAGGATTGCGGGAGACTAGGGAGGGTTGATGGATGGTTGGTAATGATGAGGTGATTTGTTGTATTGAGGGGCCCCCGGGGTGGCAGAGGGGTAAAGTGGATTGGAAGGGGGAAAGGAGGGGGAAGGAGGAAAGGGTGAGTGGAGAGGGGAGAGAGGAGAGGAGAAATTTATGGGATTTGGGAGTTGTGGGGGATTGGTTGGGATGGGATGCTATGGGATGAGCTGGGCTAGGATGAAATAGGATGAAATATGATGAAAGTAGTGAGGGAGTGAGTGGATGAGGATTAAGGGGGTTAAGAATTAAAAGTTAAGTGCGAATTAGGAATGGAGGATGAGGATGAAGAATAGAAGGGATGGATAAATAAATAATTGACAATGTGTTAAGAGAGAACAGGAAGAGGGGATGAAAACGGGTATTAGGATGTAGATTTTTAAACTTCGTAATCACTGGTGTTTATTCTTTTGCTTTTGGGTTTTTTTTCTCTTTGGCTTTTTGAGTGAGCATGGAGTTGGTGGGAGTTAATGGATGGGATGAAGAGATGGGTGGATGTTAATTTGGGGGAGGAGATGCTGGAAGAGGAGAGGAGTGAAGAGGAGAGGAGGGAAGAGGAGAGTAAGGATATCAGGTATATGAAATAGTTCTTTTAGTAATTACTTCAATAGATATACTAGAAGTACTTAATTATAGATTAACAAAAGGATTGATAAGTAAATAATATTAAAATAAAATAAGATAAGATAAGGTTAAAAAAGAGATATTTCATGATAGAATCTATAAGAGGAGGAGAATAGAATTGTGAGAAGGGAGTTCTGACTTTTAGTAAATTTCTAGTCTAAATCAGTTTTCAAAGGGATATATAGGATGATGGAGTAAATGATTGGATGATGATATCGGGTAAGTGGCTAAATGGAGGGAGGGAAAATGGATAGGTGTCGTGGTGGGTTGGTGCTGGGTGGTTATTTGAGTTTAGGAGATTGAGACGGAGATGGATGGGTGAAGTTTGGGGTGGAGGAGATGTGGTGGAGGAGATGTGGTGGAAAGGTATAATGAAGAGGTACAAATAATTAGTTTAGAAAAATTTGGGAAATTGTTATAAGAGTTCTGGACTCTACTCATTATACAGTGTAACGCTTTTCATTTTAAACCTTGATTTATGTTAAAAGGAATGACCTTACACAGGGAATAGTGGGAAGCTGATAGGGCAGAACTGAGGCTATATTAGTCTTGTCTCTAAATCACTCATTATCTAAGTTCTACGGAAGTGCGAAGCTCTCCTACAGAGAGCTTCTCAATCTAGTCCTAATAGGACTAGTGCCCTTTGCACGTGCTACGCAGGAACCATTCACTTTAACAGAAATTTTGATATTTTATACAATAAAACCGAGTATCGGGGTTTGGGCCGCTGTTTCCCGCGGTTCCCTTATCGATAAGGAATCCTAGGACAATTATCCTAGGAGCTATATTATCCTAGGTTGCGAATCGCCCCAGGATTAGTGTCCTGAGGCAAGTAGAGATCACGTGATGGAGCCTCCAGGAGCTTAGGCTCCTCAGGGCTCCAGGAAAGGATTTATTATATAGTCAGAATAGTTTCATAGTATAGGAGCTTCGTGCTCAACTTAGTTATCAATTAGTTTACCTACATTCTACTTGATCTAGTAACGAATTCACTTCCAAGTGAATACCAGTGATAAAGCCTTAACCCACAACTACCAACCAGATGAAACCTTAGGCAGCCGCTGCCTCCAGTACAGTATCGTTACAAATGGTTCCTGCGTAGCACGTGCACAGGGCACTAGTCCTGTTAGGACTAGATTGAGAAGCTCTCTTACAGAGAGCTTCGCACTTCCGTAGAACTTAGAAGAGAGATTAACCTACAAGACCAATATTACCTCAGTTCTGCCCTATCAGCTTCCCACTATTCCCTGTGTGAGGTCATTCCTTTTAACAGATTCCAGAATTCTTACATCTCCTTTTGTTTTATAATGATTGGACATTGGGTATGTGTTAATTATGGAATTAGTGGCTATATTCTCCGAAGTAATTTTCATCTTGGGAAATTCTGGTTTCGGAGGTTAGGGCATAGATTTATGTTTCACTTTGCCGATTGTGCTTTCTATATTGTTTAATTGTTGATTTGCCATCCCAGTTCTATCTATATGTACGTATGCGAATTCTATAATCTTAATACCATCCTCTAGAGGGTTCTCCTCTATATGCTCCATGCCCAAACTCTATTTAAATGACCCATCTAAACTAATGCATTTGAAATCTCCAACTCAATGCCCTCATCAGTCTTTCCGACAACTTTCAAACTCAATAAGTCTTTCACGACCCAGTCGGCACCAGCTTCAATCACTTGTTCGATAGTGTGTGTAGTAACTACAGCTAGAACTTTACATCCTGCTGCTTTTCCGGCGCGAATACCGGCCGGACTATCTTCTAAGACGAGGATGGAACCTTCGGGAGCATCTTCGAGGTCCAATTTGGATTTTCCCATATTGTAGCATGCTTGGTGGTGTTAGTTTGTGGTTTCAGGAGTGAGTATGAGGAAGGGAATACGAACTTGGATCAGGTTTTCCGTTCGGAACATCCTCGGCAACGACTAGATGTTCGGGTATGGGTAGTTTTAGGACATTGAGCCAACCGGTGACGAGTGGTGAAGTACCAGATGTTACGATGGCCCAGGGATGATTTCCAGTGGTTAGTGAGTCGAGAAGGGAACGGGCACCTGGGATTTCGACGGCGTCATCGCCATAGTTTTTAGGAAGAAGACCTTCCATATACTTTACGTCTGATTCGAGATGTTAGTGATCATCGTTTAAAAATGGGTGTTAAATCTAGTTCTATGGTATTATGGTGATATATCAAGCTCGATAAGGGGATCTCAGAGTGAGAAGCATAGGTGGGGTTGGGAAGATAAATGCACAAGTCGTTAAAGGGCCTGTTCCCTCAACAGGTCCAAATTTAGCATTTGGATAGAGTACAGATTCCACTTGGATTTAAAACTCGATTCATTTGCATTTCCCCTGTTGCCCATTGGTATGAAATGAAATCCAAAATCAAACTAGATTTTCTAATCATCTTCTAGATGTCTCGCTAATAAGTGGCAAAGAAATGACCAGAACAGGAAAGTTCATGCTCGGTAGAGGGGAGATGCAGGAAACGAAAGCAGTCGATGGGATTTGAAGTTTAATGTGGAAGGGAAGCCAAGTCGTAAGCTTACAATCCCAACTTGCTTTCTCTGGAGCAATAACCTTCAAGACATCAATACTTCTTCTTCCATGACTTGTCTGCAAAATGACATTAGGATCTACTCCTATTTCGTTTCCTAATCTGAGAATTTTTGTTATTTGAAGGTCCTCATCATCAATCTTGACCAGGGTTATCTTACTGATGCCAATGCTTAACGATAGCATCGGTACTATCAATGATAGTACCATCCATATCGAAAAGGAACCCCTTGAAGACAACCTTTTGAGGCGGAGCAGAAAACTCTCTCGGAAGAGAACCCATGATTTCTTCTAATGGTGAAATAATTAAATCGAATGAAATAAACAGATCGCGGAGATCAAAATGCAGGTTACCAATAAGAAATCGGTGGGGTGGTGGTTGAGATATGTAAAATTGGCGAGAGAGACCCTTTGACCAGTCTAGAAATTTGCAATCCTCCTCCTCAAATGAGATATGCAACAAAAATTTTCCTTAGTTGATAGATTCAGACCTCGTGATTGTTAAATCGTTTAATTGAAGTTTCTCTCTTGCAAGTTTCCTGAGGGGAAGTAGAAATCTTAAATAGAAAATCACGAATGAATGAAAGTTTCAATGTTTGCTTCTGACTCAAAATATATTTGGTAAAGGGTTGACGTGGGCGGGGAGCACAAGCAATAAGTAGAGGCGTCTAGGGAAAGGAGTTGTGCCCGTCCCTGGTTGAAGCGGAGGGAATCATGTGACAATTCCGTCGGAGGTACGTGATTGGGACTAGTATGTGTGAGCTAGATGGAAATTGGTTTAGCGTTGATGGATTAGAAAATAATTTTTGTGCGATAAGGGACTGGTGGAAAATCTAAAAATTCCATATCGAAAATAAAATAACTACCTACATATCAACAGCATCTATTCTCGGAGAATTGCCCAACAGTATTCAAGATGCCCAAAGTCGGAAGTAAGTCATCAATATAGTTGTCTTTTGTTCACGAGATAACTAATTGATTATTTTTACAACAACAGAGCCAAAGAGTAAACGTGTTTCAGTACGCCTTCGTCACAAAATCGAGAAAGCTTCAGTTGCAAAACAAAAGAAAGCTCGTAAGGAAGGGAAGAAAAATCCAGAATGGCGATCGCGTTTAAAGAAGGATCCTGGAATTCCAAACTTGTTCCCATATAAGGATAAGATTTTGGCAGAGATTGAGGAAGGAAGAAGGAGAAAGGCCGAAGATGCTGCGAAACGACGAGCTGATGCGAAGGCTACCAAGACTGGTGAACAAGTTGAGAGAGAGGTAGAGGCCAGAATGGAAGGTGTTGATGAGGAGGATATTGAGCTCATGGATGAGGATGAAGAAATGGACGACGAAATTGATGAATCTAATCCTATGGCAGCTTTACTTGCCAGTGCTAAAGCCGCAGCAGCGCAATACGAGGATGACCTTATTAGTGGAGATGAGATGGACGAAGATGAAGAATCAGAATCGGAAGATGATGAAGCATTCGATGGTGTTAAGCTTTCTGGGTTACCTACACGAAAAGATGGATCCAGAAAAGCTTTCGACAAAGTTTTCAAGCAAGTCGTTGATCAGGCAGATGTTGTTCTCTACGTTCTCGATGCTCGCGATCCCGAAGGTACTCGATCGAAAGAAGTCGAGCGTATGGTTATGGCCGCTGCAAGTGGTGGAAAGAGATTAATTCTTATTCTCAACAAAATCGATCTTATTCCTCCTCCAGTCCTCAAAGCATGGCTCATTCACCTCCGAAGGTATTTCCCCACCTTGCCCTTACGAGCCTCTGGTCCAGCGGCAAATGCACATACTTTCAATCATAGCCAATTGACTGTGAAGAGTACATCACAAACACTTTTCAAGGCTTTAAAATCATTCGCCGCGGCAAAACAGCTCAAGCGCTCCGTTTCCGTTGGTGTTATTGGATATCCTAACGTTGGAAAATCTTCTGTCATCAATGCCCTCACATCTCGTCTTGGTGGTGCTGGTGCAGCATGTCCAGTTGGTGCTGAAGCAGGTGTTACTACATCTCTTCGAACTGTCAAGATTGATAGCAAATTAACGTTACTTGATTCTCCTGGTATTGTTTTCCCAACTGCTGGTGATTCCTCCAAGGCGTCGAAAATTGAAGAACAAGCCAGACTTGTTCTCCTGAATGCTATTCCCCCTAAGCAAATTGAAGACCCTGTCCCTGCGGTTACCTTATTATTAAAGAGACTGAGCGCTTCTCAAGATATGCTCAACAAACTTATGGATGTCTATGGATTACCACCATTGGTTTCCGTAAATGGCGATTCAACCTCAGATTTCTTGATTCAGGTCGCTAGAAAGAGAGGAAGACTTGGGAAGGGAGGTGTACCAAATATTAGCAGCGCTGCCACAACAGTTATCACCGATTGGAGAGATGGAAGAATCCAAGGATGGATGGATGCTCCTATATTGGCTATTGCACCCGAGAAGATCGCCGGTGCTCCTGTGGGAGAGGACGTTAAGGGTGACCAGAAGGAGATCGTTAAGGAATGGGCCGAAGAGTTTAAGTTGGAGGGATTATGGGGAGATAGTTCTTCAAAGGATGAGGTTATGGAGGAATAGATTTTTCTATGAGGAGGCACTAAGGAATATCCTGTGGACGATCATAAGTATGGTGTTTAGGAGTAATGGCTGGGTTTAAAAGTTGGCCGGTTCAATTTGTTGTAGAAATTAATACAACAAAATAATCATCAATATGACGAGAAGAACTTTCATGCAGTCTCCAGTAGTCTTGTATGATACCGAACATCCACCTTTTTGAGTGAAGTGATGATCGCATTCATGGTTGGTCGAAGACAAAACATTTCCCATATACACTAGATAATCTATCTACTTTATCAACAAAAACAGATTCGAGATAGCAGTTCCAATCCAGCAGCCAAATTCCTCTCACAATTATAAAAGGTACCCTTCAATACTCAAATTTCTGACCTACAAGCTTTTCATTTAATTTTCACAAACCTCCGTCGATCTCTTTATCAAGAGCAGTAGTTCTCCATCTGAGTACAAATTTCATTCTCAAATAATTGAGCATATCGTCTAGGATGATGTCGAATCTAAACTCGGGAGTGAGGGGGGAGTTCATGATACTAATACTACTTTAGATTGGATGATTTATATGTCGAAGTAAAATGGTGTAGAGATTTGGCTGTCGGCGTGAAATTGGAGAGGAAGTTCTTCGAGGAATGGGGAGGAAATGGTGTGGTTATTTCGTAAGGCGGTTTAGGTTTAAGTATTTTCATATCGATATCTAGATCTTTGATTCTCTGCTATTATATCGGTCAAGAAAATGAGGATGGGTATGGAGCCGCGCAGAGGCTGGAGGAGTAACTGTTAGAGAGAAAAGAATACAAATCTGGGGATTGTTTGGATATTTCGGGTATAATTGTCACTCTTTGAGGAGTATTTTTGCTACAGGACTTGCTAGGTGGTGATGTGTTGTGTCTCCGGATTGGGTTTATGGTGTAGAATTAGCAACAGGAGGACTGACACCTTTGGATCCGGAATTCCTTTCTGATTTTCCTTGTACAAGGTTTTTCTTGATGTTTAGGGTATAACAGCATTTTTTCATATTCTTGGACACTGTAGATTTGTGTGTATTATACTTGTGTGAGTTTGATGCCGATTCAGTTGTGTTTCGTGGTCATTTAAGGTTCCATGAAGTCTAGCTGTGCTTGAACATTTGGAACTTTTGCATTATTTCGTAGTGAGTTTTTGTCTACATTATCTGAATATGTGAATACCTAGAAATCATACATTTAAGGACTCGTATTTGTATTATTCAATATGATTTTGACATTGTGTATTGTGAGGCTCTCGTTTTGATTTATATATCTCTCGGCTATTGTTTACGAGCAACCAGGTAAGACTCCTAAGTGAAAATATTATGCATATTTCATGTCTAAACTGGAGTGAAGCACATGGAATAAATGGGGTGTGCAATAAAACGACTAGACATGTCTCTATTCCTCCAAAGAGATTGAAGCTCCTGTAATTGGATATCAAGAATAGAATACTTGAGAGTGAATCTTAAAACCAATTCTTGGAGCATAGTCCTGTCTGTGTGAAACTAATTGATTAACGAGCAATGATGCAATAATGATATGTTAAAGCTCCAGATTTGAATCGAGCAACTTTCTTGATGTGATGAAACAGTCAAAATTGCTGAGAATGAATAATTTAAATGGAAAGAATGGGAGAGGGTTACCGGAGTCACAAAAATGCTCGTCAAAAAGTAGTGCTAGAAGAAATCTTCAGTTTTTTAATGAAGTACGGACTTTATAGCTTGTATGTTCTAGTTTAGCCCAAACTTTTAAGGAAAGATGAGCTTGATACTTTAGGAGGAGTATTGATATAATTTCCACTCCCCTGAAATCCGGCAAATTAGTCCGGAAATCAGAAGATAGATTCATTGAGTCTTGCATCGTTAATGGATATCTTCTTCTCACTAATCTCACCCCCTATATCGACTTCGCAATCACTAACCTGTTTCCATTCATCCTCGTAAGAAGTTTGTTGCCCAGCGCTGAGATTGCAATCCTTGATTTTCCGAAGCAGGCTCTCTTCCATTGCCTTTGAATGAACTCCGTTATAAAGTCTGGAAAATTGGCATTGCTATCAAAGTGACATTATGTCGACTTCAAGTCAACCGTATGGGTCACAGTCATGAGGGAACGAGAGGGGAGGAGGGGAAGGAAATCTTGAGGTAGGCTTGAGCCTACTGCTCCATGCTTCAGATATTACCATTTCTGATCCGAATAACTAGCGACTTCCTCCGTAGCTCGCTAGGATTTATGTGTTTTGACAGGAAATATAGTAAGATGGATAAGGTCTCGCTGTTAGACTATAAAATTGACATTCGAGTCATCATGATAGGTGTGTTGAATGCTCCGGCCACCAATACAATCCTGTCTCGCTTACTCCACGAAACAGTATTCTGCCATTTTATTCGTAGCAAAAGACTGAATATTGATCTGATTTAAAAACGTAAAAATAAAAAGATTCATTTGGATTAGTTTTTGAACTGGTAGAGAACCTATGCTAGAGTTAATTGATGACTATCAAAAACCCTACGACCCTTGACTAGTTAATGAGGACTTTTTTGTTCTAGTAAATATAATCACGTGTCCGTCTCGAGCTCCGCACAATCCGTACCGAACATTAACCGTTTCGGGCAGGCATCATTCATATTATCAATATATGAGTAGAGTGTGTCAGATTTCAACTTCATCTCAAAAACAACCACGTTGACAACAACACAATGATAATCCGGCAAAGATTCGCCTTTCTACTCTGCTTTGCACTGCTTGGGTTCTTCAGAATTGCAAATGCGAGTACTGGTGACCGATTGCCTGAATTTAAACAATGTGTTGAGGTATGAATTGCCGTGGAGCTTTCGTTTGGTTTGTTTACCTTATACTAATAAATATTTAGGTCTGCCAACGAGAGAATTGTGACAATGGAGTTGGAAGTGCTACAAAGATTCGTATGTCAATTCTTTGCTCCTATTTCTTTGCGCGAAAATAATAACAAAAACGATATAGCACTCCTCCATCGACTCCTCTTCTGGACTTGCCCCGCGGAATGCGATTATACTTGCCAACATATAATCACCAACCAACGCGTCGAATCTTCCCAACCTATCGTTCAATTCCACGGCAAATGGCCCTTTTATCGTTTTCTCGGCATGCAAGAACCCTTCTCTGTCTTCTTTTCCCTCCTTAATTTCCTCGCGCATCAAAATGGACTTGCGAAAGTCACTGCTCAGATTCCTGAAAGTTATAGTATGCGAAAATACTATGTTATGCTATCATATGCAGGAATGATGAGTTGGGTCGCCAGTATGATATTTCATACAAGGGATTTTACTTTTACAGAACAATTGGATTATTTTGCCGCCGGAGGGAGTGTCTTGTATGGCATGTATTATACGCCAATTCGAGTCTTTCGTATGGATCGTGGTGGAAAACGTACGTCCTCTGTATTACGCGCATGGACTCTTCTTTGCATACTTTTCTATATAGCACATGTGGTATATCTGAAGTGGTGGGATTGGGACTATACATATAACATGGCCGCGAACGTTATCGTTGGGGTTTTACAAAATTCACTGTGGAGTTGGTTCTCGTTCGAAAAATATAGGAAGAGTAAGAGGGCGTGGACAGCATTGCCTGGATTGGTAGTTGCGTGGATTTTCTTGGCGATGAGTTTGGAATTGGTGGATTTTCCACCTTGGTGGGGATGTTTGGATGCGCATAGCTTATGGCATTTGGGGACGGTGGCTCCAACTATGATCTTCTATAGGTATGTTCCCGGAATATTTGACTAGCGGCGAGGTTGTAGGAGTTAAGGTACTAACTTTAGTGTAGTTTCTTGATCAAGGATGCGCAAGATGACATTGCTGGACAGAGATTAAAGGCTTAGATTATACAAGAAGCGAGAATCGAGCCTAGAAGATGAGAAGGGTTGAGAATTTTGAGGAGGAGCTAATGTCAAATGATAATACTGAAACGACTGATCGTTATCTCATACATCTACTGCTCAACTTCAAGACATCACGCATCGTACATTTTTCTCAGGTATGAAACTACAATGAAGTACATATCTTAACTGCAAGGAAAGGCATTATATACCAATCAAATATATATGAACCATATTGTAATTGTACATTCGCAAACCCACTCGACTTTCTCATTACCGTACTATTTCACCCAACACCCTCAACAACAAAACCATAAGTCTCATCCTTCAAAAACTGTGATGTGAATATCAAGAGAGCAGATAAATAGCACGCCGGTGAATAATGACCGCTAGAGGTTCATATTAATTATCATTTAAATTTGAATTTCAAAATGAGTCATTTTATAAGTATTTAAATATATATCATCCCTCCCTTCCTCCATCTTTCCCCCTCTCCCTCTCTTTAAATATATATATCAAATACAATCTTACAAAGCATATATAAGACTCTTATATCAAAAGAAAGATAGATAAACTTCTAACCCAGGATGAAAAAATATACAGTTACATATACTACTGACTTTTTGAGCGAATATTCCAAGACAACAGGAGGTAAATGAAGGAATTTCCATATTACGAGCAAGTAATCTTACGGTTACGATTTTGATTGCAGGAGATGTGGATTAGATGAATAAATAAATGGATAAATAATTATTTTGTTTATATCAAGGGGAGAAGGGAATATGAAGAGAAGAGAGAAGCTACTTTCTCCAATGAGGATATGGAAGTTGAAGTAATGGATATTTATCTCTCTAGTGAACCTCCTTATTCAAACATCACAATCAACATCACAATATGTAGCACACTCAATCAACATATTCAAAAAGTACGATGTAGAAGTTCTTCTATTTCAATGAAGCATTATACAAATATGACAAAGGTAGGTGCTAAGATAGACAGCTAAATAGATAGACAGAGGAACAGACAGACAAGACAGGAAATACTCCCTCACACTCCATTCCCCATCCATCAATCCATCCATCGATCCATCCCAGCCACCCATCCATCCAAATCCATTCATACCAATCCAATCCAGACCAACCAATCCATTCAATTCCAAGCAATTCCCCCATCCCCCAAAACGCCATCACATCCCCAACACCCCTCCCACCAAAAAAAAACTATGATTTTTCTCTCAAGAGAAAGAATTTCTCTCTCTCCTCGGAATCATCGAGTGGACTGGTCAAGCCAAGCCAAAAATGTATCCTGCTTTTGGGGTATATCTTCCTTCCCTATCCAACCCCCCTTTCCCAATTCCATTCCATCCATTCCATTCCCTCCTCTCAATACACATTCCTTCCCCCGCCACTCTCCCTCCCTATACATCATGAACATTAACAAAAACGACACACCACCCATGCCATTTAGAAATTATTAATTAAGTGAGAGGCATCGTGCCATTCATTGTATGACAACCAGTTTGCAAGTGAAAAGAGTCAAAAAAATGAGAAAAAAATGAAGGTACATAATGAAAACGCTTGAATGCCGATACCCAACCTTGGAAATTGCTAATGTACAATGCCAGTGGGTTTTAAATCGATCTGGTTACGATTTAGGGGATATCAACGCTTCGCCAACAGATGTCAATATCCAGAAAAAATAATCAAAAACAAAAAAAGGAATCACACGCCCTATACTAAGAACACGAGTCACCACAAGTACGAATACAGACTCTTTCTCTACCACAACCTCATTTCTCCGAATAGTCAGCTGGGGTAACATTAGAAAACTGATATTGTTTCTGTTTCGTCGTCATGGTTGGAGAACTGCCGACCAATCCAAGATTTGGGAATGGTGGAAGTCCTTCATGCGGAAACGAATATTCAGCAGATCCACCCTGATTCGACAATGTATATAACGGACTGGCATTGTTGTTGAATTGAGGGGAGTCATGACTATTACCCAAGAGAAGGCCTCCTTGATTGAAACTACCAAAAGCTGGCGTTACTGGTTGACTGGCGTACGAAGGATGAGGCATTGATAGGTCGCTGGCGAAAGAATCGTGGTTGGGTGTGTAGAGAGGATCATCTGGAATTTCGTAATTCCAGTGCTGCTCAGCATTGTGGTGATTGTTGTGGTTGGGCCATCCGGATGTCGGTGTTGGCTGAAGTCCTAACGAAGCTTGTGGAGTCTCTGGTGGTGTTTGATCGGTAGCTTGGTTGGGGTCTACCAAAGCGGGAAGACCATCATGGCCTTGCAAGTTGAACAAGTAGTTCAAGTTGTCTTGAGATGATGAATTTTCCCTTTTCAAAGACATTTGTCTTTCCCTAGGCGACATTGGCGTTGGTGGTGCCAAGCTACTCGTGAGAGATGAACCGGCTGTCAAACTAGGCTGGCGAATCATGTGGAAATGCTGTTCCATGAACGAACCAACATTTTCGAATCCTTGTATATTGATAGGCGATCGCTGTGCCGACTCGATTCCAGCCTTTTGAATGCGGCCAGTTAGAACATTACCACCTGCTGAAGCGATCCTGCGCATGGGTGAAGGTAGAGGGCTGACGACTTGGCGACGGAATCCATCGATGTTCGATACGGTCCGTGGGCCGATCGATGGTCTACTTCGCATCGTATCTGTTCCCAAGGCGGCCGGTTTAACGTGGACCTTCTTTCGCCTGGCGGCTAGATCAGTTGGTGGAGGTGGGGATTTGAAGAGAGACGAGGCTGGTGGAGGAGATGAGCCGGATTTGACATTCCAGTTGAGAGGCTGTGCAAGGGAGGATGTTGCGTCATTGCTGTGTTCTGGGCCTTGGTCGTCGCCGCTTTCGTGTGGCCTAAAAGTAAGATCTGTGAAAGATTGAGGAATGACATGAGATGAAGCCGAGGCTATTGAGAGCGATCGTGTAGTGCTTGCATCAGAGAAAGTGTTGAAGGCTGTTGGAGTATGTCCAGATTCCACAGAAACAAATGAATTCAATGGCTCGGGTTCATGGAACATATCATTTTGGAACGTGGGTTGGAAAGTGAAAGGATTGCCTTCGAAGTTATGGAAATTACTGGGGGTTGGGAATGAAGCACGATCAAGATCAGATGGCTCTGTCATACCTAACATGTCTGCGAGCTGAGGTCCATTGTGGTGTAAATTAAAGCTTTCGGAATATCCCCCATCTTGAGATGCGGCTTGAACGACAGCCATCGTACGTGAAAGAGACTCGAGACTCGCCGAAGTGGGATCTTGATATTGTGGGTTATAGGGAGCCGTCGCTGGTGGAGGGCCGCTTGTAGAGAATGGCATTGAAGATGGCTGTTGTGGCACCATTTGATAATCGATATTGTAGTTGTTTTGAGGAAATTCCGGAGATGAGGGCGCGGAAACTGAGAATCCCAATGCTTCCCGCGCTTGACCAGCCTCATATGCTTCGGTTTTCTTCTCTTGCTTACGTTTGGCTCGACGATTTTGGAACCAATTCTGCTACATGTCAGTACTAAGACGTCCAAAGTTCACTCCAATTTCGCTCTTACATTAATTCTCGCCAAATCAACCCCCATATCCTCAGCAAAGATACGCTTAGTTTGAGTCGTGGGCTTTGGATTTCTCTTGAATTCACGCTCCAAGATGTCAACTTCTTCCTTTCCTAGACGAGGCTTCGTCTCGTTGGTTTTCTGTCCATTAGACATATTCATCATGTTGGATGGGTGTTGCGATAAGGAATATCCGTGGATAATATGTTGATGGTCATTGTAGGGCCCACCTGATGCCATATGAGAAACCAACTGATCAAGGCTCGGATGATGCGAGAAATGTTGAAAGGCGGGTTGAACGTATTCCATCTTTAGTACAGCGTTGGTTCCTAAGTTAATCCGAGTAGCGTTAAGTTTTTCGAGTCAGGAATCGACGGATCGAGCAATGTCGGAATCAAATAATATTGTTGGAAAGACTGGATTTCATGTAGATTACGGGAGCCGTAGATATATGTCGTTCAACGATCTTGAGTAAGAATGTATATGGCGCGTTGAGTAAGAAATGACTGGTTAACCACTTCTACAGACAAATGAATGGAGTCTAAAGTTGAAGAAATGTGGGCGGCGATAGAATTAAAGATGTATTGGAAGAATGAAATTGGAATCGAAAGAATTGAAGGAGTCTCGCAACCGCTCGTTTCGACTTTGGTTTCAGTGATTGAGTGATGATGGCACGTATATATTATAGGTTGGGTGGTAAAACGAATCTTAAAAGTTGACTACTTGCAGGCGAGGAACCGAGAATATCGATATCGTAAAGCAGGAAATTCGAGGCAAGGAACGAAGGAGTCGACTGTAATTAAAGTCAGTCAACTGGAACGAAGGAGGGAAGACAAATGGTTTGTGTTGGTAAAATGGTTGGAGTAGTTAGTGTATGAAGGGGGAAAACTAACGGAGTAGTAACTAGAATTTAGTATGTTGGCGGGAAAATCAGATCTGTGGCTGTATGTGACTGGTACCGGGGGAGTTCATGCCCAAAAATTATCGAAAGTCTCTCTTACTCTTCTTCCTAATACATTCGAATGGGGTAAAAATATACAAGTGCGGAAAGAACAATGAATATATATATCACAATGCAGACCAGCAAGTGGAATTTAACGGACGAGAGAGTGAGAGTGTGAGGATGAGGATGAGCGGGAGGGGTGGAAGAAGGAGCAGCGCGCAATTCAAGGAAAGGAAGAGAAGTGTGGTGGTGATTGATGTGAAGTAGGTGGTAAGATGTGAACGAAGGTGGGTATGGATGTATAGGTAGGTGCTTTAGATTGCTAGTGGTATAGCTAAGATGTATGTATGTATGGATTAAATGTGGATTCTCTGATGGGTGGTGTGTGGTGTGAGTGGATATGGGATGTGTGTGCTCACAGCTGTTCGGTGGTGTATCTGTATGTATGTATGGATGTAAGTGTATATGTATGTATGAATGTATGTATGGGGTTTTGTCTTGATGAGCGATCTCATAATCTTGTTGGTACAGCAAGCTTACAAGCCTAAAAGCCTACAGAAAGCCTGTGCTTTTTTAGACAGGGGCACAATTATAATCCCTCGCTGTTTTTGCAATACATTGTTAACCTTGACCTTAACTCCTTGACTTGCTTGACCTACCAGACCACAATCACTGGTGTTGTGGCTTGGCAAGGGTTTACTCCCTGGGACACACACTCTTCCCTTTTTCTTTTTTATCTCACTAGGGCATTTCTTTTGATATTTATGAATCCTTGGAATACTTACGTCCTTGGGGGCCTGAGATTCAGCACCTGGTATGTACCCCTTCATCGCCTCGTTTATTTCATTTGCCTAGGTAGGATAAGGCCCATCAACGGAAATATTTTGTAGTCTTACTTTATTTTGCCTTTTGATCGGTCTCTTTGTAATTCTACTCTAATACTAAACCCTCACTTTCCCCTGAAACAACTTCACTCATATCAATTGTTTCCCTGACTGTTGAGAATGATGAAAATGATGATGATTGAATCACTTCAAAGTTTCGTATTTACTTCAAATTCCAAACTTTCTTCCTCCGTCATTTCTATTCGTATGAAATTGATTGTATGACAAAAGAAATATATCTATTTCAGACTCATCCACAGTAGTTTCGTCCCTTTCTATAGCTTATCCATGTCCTTCTCATGCCCCCAACTGCACCGTGCGTGGAAAGCAACATCATATGTGACCCACAGAGAAACCGAAAGCGAAAGAGAGCTCTCATAACATCAACTAAGCTCCGACATAAAGTGGGTTGATTCCCAAATAACGAGCGTGTTGTATTCCAGAAAATCATCCTTGGACATTCACAAGCCACTTTGATTTCCGACTCGGAAACGATGAGGTTTATTAATCGTCAGGTTGAACCGGATCGTGATATCTATCTGGGAGGGTCTCCGTTCATTATGTGTAATTTTGTTGCAACTTGTAAGCGATCAGATCTTAACACTTTGAATTATTATTATTATTGTGAAGGGATAACATGTTGTTCCCTTTTGTTCTGCGGTCGCTTCCTCAGTGGCTAAGTTCTTTTTGCTTCGCACCTGCAGAAAGCCGGAGTGGATCACACCAACTCAGGTACGAACATGGTTCTTAGCTCTTGATTTTGGCAAATCTGCTCCAAGTACCTACCTGACTAGTCCTCTATGATCCTCAACTAGCCGTACTAAGTAATCATTCGCATCTAAGCAAAGCTTACACACCATCTTTCAGCATCCATGTTCTGGGCAACAGTGCAGCAGCTCAATCAACATATGTTCTCAACTTCAGGGACACTAGGATATAGCCCTCCGCAACTCGAAGAAGTAATTCAGATGACCTTTTTCGCCCGATCTCGACCAGATGGAGGCAGATCATGATTGTTGCCACTTCCAAAATTGTCATGCAATTTCCTACTTGGGCTTTGGCCTGGTCCAACAAGCTTGAAATAGCTTGGCCTAGTCAGTACCTCGGAGCATAGGCCGAGTTCCTAGAGTCGACTTTTAGCACTAAGAGAAGTAGGTTGCGTGAAGCTTTGGCAGCTACCCTTAATGATTGGCGTCCATGATCGGATGATATTTTCTTTAGTAAAACTAAAGCCCAACTCAATTTCATGTTCTCCAGTTTCTTTCCCCTGCAAAAATGACTAGAAGATCTAATGTCTTCTCTGGTAAAAGAGATGAGGTGACAATCTGATGGTGATTAATTGACGAATATGATATCATGCCGTCGAGGTATGATGCTGATCATCCGTCAGCTATCGTATTGTTCGTTCATCCAATCTTTAAATCCAAGATCCCCAGAAATTGGGTGCCAACCTACCTGTTCCTGAGCTTCAAGCCTCTAACGGATGAAGTTAAAAGCAGCGTCGAACTTATTCTCATGCACTGCCATAACGGAGCAGCCATAATTACCCTTGAAGATGGCATAAACAGCTTGCAAGGTTGCACAAAGAGAGCTATTTTCGGTCTCCACTATACCTGGGTGTGCATATGCGAGCCAACAGACAGAGGAAAAGTCGACCACACACTGCTGAAATGTGCAGGAGACTGGGAGATTTCGTGCTGTGATGAAGGTCTTAACGTTCCATTGCGAGAAAGCTCCTATCCAATGTTCAAATTCTACGTTACTTTCATCTGACAGGAAGATACGTTGATGGAGTAAAATCTAGCTTTTAGCCGACTACTTGGATTTTGGAATGGATTTGTTAGAACTAGTGGTATGTGCGGGATCATAACTGTAAGCTTTTCCCGCAACTGAGCGTTATGTCAAATTTCAATTCGCACGGGGAAAAAGCGATACTCAGCGAACCAGCACACCGAACTCAACCCCTCCTCCATCGATGCACTGGTGGACACTGGACAGAAGACAGAAGCACGAACAATCCAAATCATCTTCTAAAACCCGAAGCCGGAGAAAGATGACACACACAACAAAAAGGAACGGAAGACCCCAAAACCTAACACGAAGACATTTTCCTTTGCATTTCCTTAGATAAGACATAGCCAATGGGGCGTGTTCCCAGCAAAGCTCTCATCCATTTACACATCCCCTAGCTAGTAGTCACGCAAATCGCGACCTCTCATCCACACCAATTCCATCTTTCGGATACTTTCGATGTGCAATTAAGAAAATCTTACGCTTCCGCTGCGCCGCGTTTCAACGGGAACTATTATGAACATCCTCGAATGCCACGAGCATCCAGCGCCAGAGTGAGGGTGTCCACCGTAGGTCCAAATACCCTGTATCTTGCTTTAAGGGTGCCCCCGTGGTTCCAGCCTCGACAATTTCCAAATCATCGTCATGTGGCAATTCATCTGTAGGAGATGCCGAAATTGGGTATATACATCTACACTTTTATAATGATCGAGACAAGGAGATGAGATGAGACAATAAATCAATGATTAACAGATTATTCATTATATTGAAAAAGATGGAAATAAGACTTATAATTCTACAGCTGATTATGAGTATGGTATATTAAAACACCTTGTTAGAAGAATAAATGAAAAGGGTTTATTTTAGAAATGTCGATGTCGAAATCTAATTTCTCCTATGGATAAGGTAATTTCAGCTAGACCCCAAAATTCGTGTAGAAAAGCCAGATTGGGAAATGGGGTAGAAAAGCCAATTGTCATGATCGTAACGTGGGGATATACTATATACAAATAAATAAATAAATAAATACACTTATTATTATATTTTTGACTTTTTCCTCCTACATAGACTTTCTTAGCCTTGACCTTGTACGATGTCTTTTCTGTGATGGGCGCTTCTAGTTCTTCCTGTCCCAGCATCTTTTAGCATCTTTAGTATCTCTAGCATCTTTTTACTTTCTTTTTTGCTTCTAGGTTGCTAGCCATTAACCTATTAACCGCTAACCTTACTGCTACAGTACCGACAATTATACGATTGAATCGGTCTATTCGGGATTGGGTATACCATTACCTCCAACAGCGCAAAGCAACCTTCGGACATTTTTCAAAAGTAAGCATAACGCTTTCTTTCCCTTCGCATTGCAGCGCAGAGACGGAATACGGTATAGTGCTTCTTACTTGTGCCTTTTCAAAGCAGTTGGGTGGTGTCTGACTCGGGATATCAACGTTGCTGCCGCACCTAGGCTGGCTTTTGGTTTTATTTAATCTCCTTTTCTTACTTCTTACTCGCTGGTTCTTTTCATCACGGTTCACACACAATCAGTTTTGTTTTTGTTTTGTTTTGTTTTTTTTCGTTTGTCGGACGGGTCCGGAGTCCTTTGTGCTGGCGCGCGCGACTGACTCTCTTTTTCTGTTTTATTTTTATGCAAGTACGTGTGAGGATGTAAATGTTAATGTACAAGGGCTAATTCATACGGTCGTGTCCCTGGATAAGGAATAGTGAAATCCCCAAGAGGGGGAAGCGAGTTTGTGAGGAATTGTGACATCCGTTACTTCTAATGACTTTCATTGGTGTATGTACGACCGAGGCGTGTAAAAGTGTAGAACTTCGGTCCGCTGTCTAATCCGTAGTTGCCGTGGTCTGTAAGTAGGTAGGTATGGTTTTTTGTATCAAATTGTATGCAAGTTACTTGTAACTACAACTTTTACAACTGACAACCTACAACTCTTACGGGAGTTTTCATCCTTTTCCTATACTTAGATATTAAGGCTGGTCAAGAATACTTTTTGAATCTACGAAGGTTCCAACTTCTAACCTTCCAAGGGTTTTGTTTTTGAATCTCTCTGATGATGCTTGATCCTTGGTTCCCGCATATTCCTCGTCGATAATCAATCATGATAAATTCCCGTTTTCCCCGTTCACCCTGCAAGACGTAAGACTTAGATTGTGAATTGAGCCATACAAATGGACAACGGGGATTACGGATAGTGAAAAGGAAGGGACTGTAGTCTGTCGGTATGGCTGTAGAATCTATATGGATTAGTGGGTGGTCTGGTGGACTCTTCAAGACGGCTCACAACGGAGCGATGGAGATGTGCCCAGCTGTCTATGGGTTCGCAGGTTCATTCTATGCAAGGATTCCATTTCACATTGCTTTTTCGGATGCCTAACTGGGTCGAAAAACATGGAAACCTCCCTGAGCCCTGAACATCTTTTGCTTAGGAAATGATTGAGTGTACCGGCATGTTCGCCGACCAAACCTCGTGGTCCAGGGATATTTTGAACTGGGGGAAGGAAGAAAGGATAATTGCCGTCTTCCGCAAACTTTTTTTCTAAGACATATCCTAATCCAAGTCCAAGGGACACCAACGCAGGCAAGCACGCACTATCACCAGCTTCACACCAAGTAGTTAGGAAAGGGTGTTAAACGCTTTAAACCCCCACGTATCATTCGGACGGAGGCTCTAGACCTAGATTCTTGCTTAGAAGTTACAATAACGTATCCCGCAGTATCATTGAAGATGAAAACGATGGCAAGTTGCGACACAAAAATCTCATGGTAATGAATAAATAATAAGGATTGAAAAGTAAGCATTTTAGAACACATTCATTGACCTGTTGCGCGCAGTGTGTATTTGCGTATTTGCGCAATCTTGTAATTTCCCCCAAAGTTAAGCGTGGAGGGCCAAAGCGACGCGATAAAAAAAATGGTGGTGGGGTTAATTTAATCCCATGTACGGAGTAGTAGGAAGTGCTGGTAAGATCTTACATTTCATATAATTTAACTCCATAAAATTGTACGAGACACCAAGAACACGAGCCGAGGAAGTTATGAAGCTGGAAAGGAGCACAAAATAAAAGCATTGAGGCCCTTTACACAAACGAGTCTGAGCGGCCACGTGGAAGGTCGGGGGGTTAACTATTGCCAGTGGGAAAATGCAGGGAGAAAGGGGGAGAAAGGTTTTTGGGGTTCTTGGGGTCCTTGGGGTCCTTGGGATCCTTAAAGTCCTTCCCTCCTTGTGTTGGGGGAAATGCAGGTACAAGAGTCGTTCGTATGTACTCAAAATATCGTGAATAAGGTGGAATTTTTATACGGTAATGCTAATGCAAATGCTAATGCTAATGATAATGTTAATGCTACCTGCGCCTTTCCATCTCGTTTGTATTGTTCTTGTATTGCCATTCTAAGTACATGGGAACATGTTATTTGTATGTATCTGCAAAGGTATAGAAGTATACAGCCTATCAGAAGATGATAATGACGATCATCGCGCGTAACTTTTGTTAAGCAGCGAAACTTCGGGAGTTGGTCTTTAGTATAACGGAATGGAAAGGATCTGATGGATGGAATAATTAATGATGGAGCGAATTGGATGCCGCCCGAGTCTTGGGCTACAACACAAGCGGCACGGTGAGGTCTAGCTGTTGCTTGATTGTTTGGTAAGTAATTATGAGATGATTACTGTATTTGAAAATGATTGTTGATGGGTGTCATAAAAATGTTTTGATTTGTTTATATGCTATCTACTAGGTATCATCGGCCCCATTTGTTATACCTCAGTATCTGCACGTCGCTCTTTATGTTCGTACCTGCATGATGTTGTGTTTCCAAGATTTGATCTCCATTCCCCAAATTCTGAGAAAGGAGAATGGAACAGCACGTACCGATAATGCCGAAGTCACCGAATCATAGACTTTCCCGTGGGTCTTCATGCACCTTAATCAATTCTCACCATGATTATGATGGTTGCTGATGATTAGAGCACGATCTGGATGACTATGGTTAACACAAGATCAACAGGGCTACTACGCAATGAGCAGGATTGGGGTTTATTTCCCTCTCTAGGAGAAGGATATTTTATGTGCGTGGCTCGAGGAATGGATGATGGATGGTACAACTCATCAGGATTCAGCAAGCTCAGGTCGTCAATGTCAACACTTTTCACGATGATCTTTACCGCGAACTGCTGACCTGCATAGTATCATCGTATTGTGTGCTGTACAATACCTTCCTACATTCTGTAGATATCAGGGAAAGGAAGAAAGAGGAGGGAGGAGCCAAGGCATGGAACCAGCCATTTCATCCTGCCGGTAGCGCTCACTTACTTTAGCGACGTTGCACGAGAGCCAAGAAATCTAGATATCCCCGTTCGCCTTCTTTCTTCCAAAATGTAGCTGTCCCGTATTCTATGCATATCCCCGTCTTATTCCTTCACATCGTTCTTATCTGATATCATCCTTCATTTATTCTGTTGCCTACGACACATATTTATTTATACGTTTCAAGGTCTGGGTTTCCAAATATAAATGTTCCGTCCGTTGGAGGAATGAAGGAGATCGCTCCTGTTGATGCAAGCAAGGTATATACTAGATTCGAAAATGACAGGTCAGAAATCCCATCAGATCCAGGTGGGTGAAGGAGCCTCAGTAAATTCTAGGTACGCTGCAATCTATCCCTAGTACACAAGCCACAAGCTGTTAATGATTCACATCTAACTGGAAATGCTTAAGGCGGCCTTCACCGATGATCACGATCAAACCACCCTCAGGGTATTTTGAGTATGTACGAGGATTTAAGGCTTGAAGATTGATTACTATCTATCCTTGTTATCCCGAATATACTCATGCAGTTAGTTTCACATGACGAAAGCACTCGTAGACGCCCATTTCTTGAAGACGCTGTGAGCATTCTGTGGGCTGATACATATTCCAATGGGTCACACGGTGTTTGTTCTTTCCCCAGACAGATAGTAATTCTTCAGCGCACCAGCGCACCAACCGCTAGATGTGATGGATGATCTCTATCATAGCACGGTGAGATCTTCAATCATTATCATCTACGCCGCCAATATCCCAATCAAGTGCGGGTATCCAAATCTAAGTTCCCCGTATGGAGAATTATTCCCACTTTCGGGGTCCTAGGTGAATTTCAGATTTTGAGTTTGATGATTTTCAAAGGGTCCTCTTTCAAGCTGGCAAGAAAAGACGGAGAGAGACACTTCCCGGTTACCATATTTGAATCTCTTCCGACTGGCCAAGTGGACACGGTAACCTGCATATTCTGTGCACCAGATAGCTTCTCTACTTCAGTGATACAGCAGCACGAACCCGCGACCCAGTTCCGTAGCCCTGGAAATCTTTGCACCTGCTTCAATGCTATGTTATTGTTGCATAACGGCCTAGCCATTCATTTCTTCCATAATCCCACTTTTATTCGTGGATTCATTTCATTTGGGCACAAAAGTGTCTGTTAAACACAAGAGTATTGTGTGACCCGGCCACCCGCTCGTCCTCTATCATTCTTCAGATTCTTCCCTGCTTTGCATGGCGATACGAGTCCAAGTGGTACAGATGTATACAGCGATGCCGACGGAATGGTAAATGAATAAAATAGGCGTTTCCAGCAAACCAATGTTTTGGTACTGGGAGCCTTCTCTCTAGAAATCCCGGAGCTTATCCTTCCAGTGTCTCATTGCTGTTGCCGTGTCGCATGCTTGCGAAATATAACAAGAAAACGGCATATCTTACCTAAAATACGGAGCTTATTGTGGCGGTTCTGCCATTTCCAGAGGGAGCTTTCATCTCATTTATTTTCTGGGTTTGTGTTCACTCAGTCAGCTGTACGAACGTCATCAGGGTTCTGGGGTTCGTAGAACTCATGGAAGGATATATTATTTTGTCTTTGGAATCTTCGTTGGACATTATTTTCTATATTCCATGCGTTTGTTTGTTTTGCCAAGTTGTGCGCCCCCTGGATTCGTTCGCGAATTGGTAATGGGCGAGAGGAGGGATGGAATGAATACCTTGCGTTTGAAGGGCAAGGGAGGATTAATTTGTCGAGATCTGTTCAGAAAATGAGAATTTAAAATTGTATTTCACATCATTTTTTGTATTTGACATAGTCTCTAGTAATCGTCAAAAGTATCAAGAACAGTCAAACTCGAGAAAATTTACATTATACCTTCTTCAATATCCAAATTCTTACATAAAACCTCAAAAATCTCAATAGGACCAACTTTCTCAACTTTCTAAAATTACATCCGCAATAACATGAGTACAGTAAGGTATCCCCTTACAACTTCTTCTTACTACTATCCACTCTTCCGTCTCCATACACCATAATACTCCAGCAAATCTACCATCCATAACCAATTGGCAATTCTATATAAGCACCAAAATTTCGCCTCAATACAGGTGCTCTCAACCACCCCTCACACCCTTTTTTTTCGGAGACACTATCATTTTTCGCCCAATTGTTATAATATGAAATATCTAACTACCAACTATACTCCGTCATTTTTATTTACAATTGCAGATTTACCCTTATCCATATCCTTATCCTTCTACGCTTTCATTTTTGGAATCTCCTCGATTTTAATAAGTAATCATAGTAATCACAGTACTACATACGTATAATCAATCTCCTGTAATCAATCCCCTGTAATCTTTCAACTGTGACTCTATAAAATACCGATGTTTCTATTAGATAGATATATTACATTTTACATTTCATATAGATATAAGTAAATCTCATGATGTGAAAATAGTAATTAATATGTTTTTTAAGTTTTTGATACCCAATTCATCATTTAGATGGAGAGGTTAAAAGTGTGTGATTTGTGGGGATTGATATAGAATGAATGGATATGGCGATGGCGATTTCTGAAGTAGAAGAGAAAGATGAGGATGAGAATACTATTTAGGAAATTTTTGAGAGTGGTGGCTGTGGATGTGATGTAGGTTCAAGGTTTGATTTTGATTTATATGATAGTGATGTAATTTTCTAGAGAAGGTAGTGTTATGTGAAAGGTAAATGGAAGAAAATATTAGTATGTCATTTGTGAGGAAATGTAAGATTACATATATATGGATAGACTTGAGTTGAGTTCGAAAAATGAAGTAAATTTCTAGTATTTATAGTTCTGAGTTATCAATAGCTAGACAAGATAATGTACGTAATCAACACCCGCAACGCTCCCACTTCTTCTCTATCTGCATCTCTTCTCCCTTTTTCCCTCCCCTCAATACGCACCCACCCTCTCAGTCCAAGTCTCTCCCTCCACCAAAGCTGGCTTACGATATCCACTCCAAATCGTCGCATTAAGAACCAACTCAAACCCAGCAATTTTTGCCCCTTCACTATCCAGAGACCAAAGAGTTAACGCCACGGTGTTTGTTCCGTTGTGATTGAGGATACCTTCCGGGATGGGAAAATTGGTTTGGGGACCTAGATTGTTCACTGTGGGGGATGAAGTGTTAGTTTAGTAACTAGGTACCTGACAAATGGGAGAAGGGAAGTGGATAGAGGAGTAAGAGAAAGATGGAGATAAGGAGAAAAAGACCTACCATATTTTCCAAACTGCCATCCATTGACAAAAAGCTGTACTCTATAATTACCCCCATTTCCTTCCTTACCAGTCGACGCCGTCCCATTAAACACAAACCCCATAGGAACATCCCATCCCTCCGGTACATGCAAGTCAAACGTCGTAGTGAAGAACCCCACCCCCGCACTTTCCACACCATCCTCAACCGGATTTTTCACTTCCCATTCTTCGCTCGGTGAGTTTGGTAGATGATATCCATGTCTCTCTGCAAACATCGCCCCTTCGTTTCGAGGTCCCCGTGTTTTATCAATGTATTGTTCACCGCCCAAGTTTCCTGTCATCTTCCAGACGATATCGCTTTGGGGGTGTGAAGAGAGCGAATAATCGAGGATGCCTCGGGGGAACTTTATAGCGTCTGTCCCTGGGGCTTCTTCGTCTTGACCCATGTGGTCTATTAGTATCGTGAACACATAGTCGTTACCGGCTTGAAGGGAAGGAGGCAGAGCAAAGGTTTGAGCATAAGTTTGGTTTCCACCACTACCGATCCACGATCCTAGGAATGTGGAATTGAGCCAAATTGAATGAGCGAAGCCGGCACCGCCGGCAGTGTTGATGAAAATTGTGGCTTCGTTGCCGCTGGAGAGGAAGTGGCCGCGGTAGATGAGGGATCCTGTGTGATAACCATAGTCACTGGCATACATTGAAGTAGGTGTTGTGAGATTGAGAGTGTTGTTTGTAGTTTTATGGTCCAATGATGTCCACTGGGAATCGTCGTAGTTGGATTGGAGTTCGGGGAGGGAGTCAATGTAGTGCCATGGCTGAGTTTTAAAATCTGGAAGATTTATCGATGGGGGACTGAATGATACCGCACCATGGAGGTTCCCGTTTTTTGATTTCGTGGTATGAAGTAACTTGTTATTGAAGAAAAGTGAAGTTACTTCGGTAAGGGTTGAAATGACTTCGAGGTTAGTCGTGGCGTTGATATCACCTGTGAGTTTAAGCCGTTTGCCTTCAATACTGGCTGTTCGTAGGAGGTAACCACCATTGATGATAACGGATGATTTCGATGGAGATGTGTGGTTGCCAATTGGTTGTGGTGCTTCTAATTCCAAAGACCAGTAATTGTATGCTTCATTCCGCCACAAAAGGTAAATCCTTAGCTTTCCAATTTGGACAACTCGCCTTTCTGGCTTCACCGCCCATTGAAGTACCCATGATCCGCCAAGCCTATGAATATCAACTCCATGCCCTTCAATGACCTCAGGCACACCGAGTGAAGCTGGAAAAGCAGCTTCGTTGATCTCTCCGTTTCCGCCATAAAGAACCAAAACTCGTCCGGAATTTCTACTTTTAGCCCAGGTGAAAACCTCTCCTGATGAATAGATCATATGGAGTCCTCCGATATCATAATCTGTAACATGTATCTTCGAGTCTCGACCATTCATTACTAATGATCCACCAAGTTGAGGTATCGTAATATTGCCACAAGAGGTAGTGACAGTGAGATTATACAATGTCCTCGAGAGGGAAGTGAAATCCGCATGCCGGACCACGTAAAAGTTAGTTCTTGTGCCGTTTGTTTCATTAATGGCACTAAATAATGGAGTCACAGCAATTTCAGCTGGAACTCCATAAGATCCATTCGTACCATGCCCCGGTATAGTAGTTAGGTAAGCTGCAGATGCCTTCAAGAAGTTGGCTTCGAGTTTCATTTCACTATACTTCTCACGCCAGATTTGACGGTCTTCCGTAATTGATGCCCCATAATCGTAGGATGTATATCCTCCATGATAGCCAAGGTTACCCCAGTTAGTACCGCCATAAATCTTCCACGACGTTAGTAATCAGGGCACAGGTGTTCAGAACAAGCTGTGACTCTTACCATGTAGACATTGAAGATTGTCACTGCAAAGCTGTAAGTGTTTTTGAACTGCACCTTGATGGCATCATTGTTAGTAAGGATGGCACATCGATCTTCTCCAACACCACCCCTGTATACAAATCAGCAGTGAGTGCATCAATTTTGTTTTGCAACTTACCACCCGTCTCCACCTCCACCCTGGAACTCGGCAATTGCAAAAGGCGTCGATGGACTATAATTTGCATGACTCATCTCCCAAGTCCTAGGAAATCTATAAGTCGGCCAAATATATGGGTCACCACAGTCATAACGCATAGGGTAGGCATCAATCCCATAAATGTCCACCTCTGCAAGCCCACTGCCGGGTGCAAAATTACCTATATTCAAATTATCATTGACAATAAATGGTACAATGATTCCTGCATCAAGAAGCTGTTGCTCTACGAATGCCATGTAGTCTTTGTTCATTTGACTCGGAAAATTAGTAACACCTGGCCATGATGAGTATTCATTTTCAGGTTGGACCATGATCACAGGACCACCATTTGTGATCTGTGCTCTGGCTATGATTTTGCCAATAGTAGAAGCATAGCTCTGAGTCGAATCAATGTAATCCTGATCCGTAGATCTAATTACTCCTTTGATCTTAAGCACCCAGCCGGGGATTCCCCCAGCTGCTGTTTCGGCATTGATATATGGACCAGGACGAGCGATTAAGTAGATCCCAGCTTCCGTTGCAGCATTAAAAAATTCATCGAGACTGAATACCCCATTCATAATCAATTCTCCAGGGTTTCCTTCAAGTAGGCCCCAGTATGTATAGAAAGATACACCACTGAAGCCCATTGCCTTGATTTTTTGAAAGACATCGAGCCATAATCCTGGAGACGGAAGACGGAATGGGTGAAATTCACCAGAATAGATCATAATACGTTCACCGCGAACAAGAATGGAATGTTCATCCCACGACACCTGTGGACATATCAAGGATTAAAATTCTTCTTTTGGAAGTCTCCACTGCAAATAACTGACCACGTCTTGTAGAACGTCTCTCTTGGACGCGTGAATGCGCGCATTCTGAATATTGCCAACCGTCAAAGCGAAAATTTCCTGCACCAGGCATGCAAAAATGAGGAACAAACTGAAATGGATCGACATGATAAAGTATTGGCGGGCAACCATAGGAGCCATGAAGTGCTTCTGTAAGGTAGTACCACTGCATCCTTATACTTTTAGGAACACAAAACTATGCGCAAATTCGCCCATTTGCCCATTCCGTCATGAATAAATCACCCCAACTTTGGAGGCAGAGTGGGACGAATGTATAGGCTGAATGCATGCTCCGCACTGGCGGTGATATTTGCAAATGATCTACAGTCCAATTGTGAAGCATGTCGAATGCTATACAGAAGATATCCTTACGCTCCAATCACGATGTAACTAATATAATTTGTTGAGCTGAATGTAGTGGTAACTGTATGTATCAGGACATGGTGTTTGTTGTTTAATGGTAAGGTGTAAGTTACAACAACAGATTGAGAAAGGATGAGAGACGAGGGAGGAACAACCAATATTTAACCGAAGATAATCCAGAACAATCCGAAACATGCATAAGCTTCTGCCGACCCCGCATGAAAAGAGCTTTCAACCCCACCACAAGGAAAAATCTGACCCGAAGATGGAGTCAAAGAAAACTAAGACAACGCATTATATTCCACTTCGCTGCATTGAGCCCTAACAAACAGTTAGATTGGTGTTGTGGTTTAGTGGTATAATTCTTGCTTAGGGATAAATCAATCCTCCCCGATTGATTCTCCATGTAAGAGGTCCCCGGTTCAATCCCGGGCAACGCCCCTTTTGTCAATTGTTTTTGCCGTTTTTACCTCCGTCATTTTGGTGGGGGGTCGAATATATAGAGGAGGACTCTTGGCCTGATTGAGAAGGAAAGACGAAGGTTACACAGGACCAATAGCAAGTAGCATGCTGTAAATGAATGCATTCCACAGGACTAAGCTAAGCTTATCAAGACGTCAGAACTGCAATTCTAGTGAATGCATTATTCTTTTTCTCTTTACAGTGTCATGTCTAACTAAGCTTGTACCCCAAGCTCACATCCATCAGAGCAGTTGTAGCTGGATTCAAAGCACCCATCCTGGTATACATATCAATTGTATTCTTTTCAAGATCAGTGCAAAGCCTTGCGTTAGGCCACGAGTTGTAGGCTTTGAACTGCGCCGGCCTGGTTAATATAAAAGAAGTATTCATAACCGCTATCGCTGGTCGGGACTAGGTCAAAGTCATCTGGCCTCCAAAACTTTTTTACTCAGACCCGGGTTTATATTGAGGCTCTAAACTATCACTGTTGAGAACATGGATCTCAGCGTAACAGAAAAGTTCTAACGTGATACCAAACTTCCTCAGACGCGCAATGAGAAATATTCCGTCTTTTCTCTGACCCATTAAGCACAACTAGCTATCGCCTTCAGCTTGTCACTTGTCATGCGTGAAACGTGGACGCCTATAGAACTGAACGGGGTTTTCTGACAAGCCATACGTGTTTGGATTTTTGAAAGATCTCTCTCTAGAGTATTTTTTATATGATTGGCCATGTATAGTTTGTATATAATCCAGGTACCTCCTGATTTTGACTCATGCTGGGATTCAAAGTACCATTTGAGTTAATGGGGGTGGACGAACATTCCCAGCTTAGCTGATCTTCATAAAACATAATCACCCTTGGTCACAAATTCTTCCTTGGAAGGTCCAGCTAAATTTGCTCAGAGGAATTCGTGGATTAGAGGTACCCATTCCATTGCCTTCAAATCCGAGATTGACCATCCCACAAGGCCCTCCTGCTTAAGTCGATGCTGAAATTACGTTCTGTCTGGTATTCAAACACCGTGCATTGAAAGCTCCCGAGTCAGAAGTTTCAGATGTGACCGTTGCTATAATCACATTGGCATTGACACATGTGTTTTTATCTCAAAGGTTTCAATAATACAGCTTTAATATATATTTTCAGTTTGGGGTTTAGAATCGCCTCTTAGTTGATCTGTTTTGGCTTATTATTAATTTTTATGTTCCCTGACCGATGTATTATTGGAGGAGAGTTGTTACATCTATGATTTAAGAGAAGAGACAAAGTGTCAGAGCATCATCAATTATCAATAGGACAGAAAGATAATGCTGTCAACGTTCTCCACATTCACCCTCGAATATATTTTGAAAGATGTGATCATTTGAAGTTTCACCTACCCCTCCTAATAAAACCATCTCCCTTTCCACACACTTAACCAAACCGGCCACGATATAGAATTATTCGACGTGCTTACACATGAGATTTGAGTCACTGCTAGTGTAAGTAACGTAAGTCATGGCGTAATGCGTCTAATGGCGTAATGCGTCTAATTGTGGGGGACCACCCCATCAAAAAAGCAACAATTCAACAATGGTCCGTCGAAAAAGTTTAAAAGTGCAGGAAATGGAATCTCGACTTACTGAAACAGTATTAGAAATTCAAAATGGAAAGTATAAGTCTTCATATGAAGCTGCAAAAGAACTGGGGCTTTCTAAAGATACTGTGACGCGACACGTCAAAGGGGGTTCATCGCGTTCTGAAGCACGTCAATCGCAACAGAAACTTTCTGCTGTACAAGAGAATGTACTTCTTAAATGGATAAAGCAATTGATAATTAGCGGCTATTCACCAGGCCATCAGTTGTTAAAAGAATTGGCTGAGGAGTTACGTTCAAAACAGACTTATAATTTGGATTGCCCCTCATTTGACTCCCTTGAACTCCTACCACAACACCTTCTTGGTTATGAATGGGTTCCACGATTTATCAAACGACATCCTCATCTTACAGTTGTTATTGGCCATCGAATTGAATCTGTAAGAATGGATGGTGCAACCAGGGAAATATGTAGTACTTGGTTTGATACGTATCAAAAAGCGATTTAGGATTATGGAATTGAGAAAAAAGACGAATATAATATAGATGAATCTGGATATTCAATTGGGACAATAGAATCAACCCGAATTATTATCGATTCTACACTTCGTACAAAACATCAAGCACATCCAGGCTATCAAGAATGGATTTCAATAATAGAGTGTATTTGTGCGGATGGATCCATTCTTCCACCACTCGGGATTTTTAAAGGTAAAAACGTCCTTCAAAATTGGATTCCGAAGGAAGTTCTTGGTAGCTGGTTCTTTTCAGCAAATACAAAGGGCTGGACAAGCAATCTTCATGGATTAGAATATGTTGGGTTTCTTGAGACTAGAAAGAGTATCAGATTGAATTGATTGATTCTCTAGCTAAGCAGTTAAGCTGCGAGCATATATTCAAAAAAATGAAGGAATAGGTTGGGTATTCAGCCTTCGGAATTAAAGTGCTTTGAAATCAAAATATTGAAAGCAAACAAACAGTATACCAAAAAGGAAAGAATGAATTAAAAGTTGAGTTTTGTTTGCTCCTTATATGCATATGTACTATATATGCATATGCTGCCAAGATCCCAGGAGGTCAACAGAATAGCTAAAACGCGTTTTCGAACTTGCAATTCGTACAAAAGCAGATAGCAAATATCGGCTTCTCATCTGCGATGGCCACGATTCTCATATTAATGGAAGCTTTATAGCTCACTGCCTTCAAAATCGAATTGTACTTCTTATACTTCCTCCTCATACCTCGCATTTGCTTCAGCCACTTGATGTTGCGGTTTTCGGTCCATTGAAAAAACGGCTCACCGCAGCACTTTCTGATTTGAATCAAGCTCAACTTATACGAATACAAAAGATTGAATGGATGAAGGCATATATTAAAGCTCGAGCCGATGTATGCCATCATCAAAATATCGAATCGGCATGGCGGGGAGCTGGGTTACATCCATTTAATCCACAGAGAGTGTTCCGTACACTGGGTCGAGAGTTTACCCCCGAAGTCGAAATATCCAAAGAACCAACCCAATTTGATATTTTTAATCAAGTCTTTGTCAATAGCTCACCCCCGGATATAGCAATCTTACAAACAGCAAATAACCTTTTAAATTCAACAATTGAAAATGATACAACTCTTTCAACCCCGGTTCGTCAATACATTCGAAAATTGACGATTGAGAGTGAGCAACTTCGAGCTCAAAGTATTATTCACCAACATGATACGAATAATTTACGAGCTATTATGAAGAAACATACAATATATAAAAAAGAAAAGAGACTAGTTTTGAAGGGTCATTTTCATATTTCTATACAAGAATTATATAATACAGTAATGGAAGCTGAAAAAGCTACTAAAGTACAGACAATGAAAAAAGGAAAAGAGAAAGGGAAAGTAATTGAATATGAGACTGAAACTGAAGAGGATATTGGAGAAGAAGTTGAAGATGAATCTGAAAGTGATATTGGAGATTGTATTATAGTTGATTGTTGAGTAATTGAGATTTTAATAGAGTGGTTCCCCGCAATTAGACGCATTACGCCATTAGACGCATTACGCCATGACTTACGTTATTTTCAAATTCCTCTCCTTTTAGTCTCGCTTACAACTAATGAAGGGAAGTAGCTTCCGCTAGTCTTTGAGAGACTAATCTTGGTTCAGGCTACTGAGAAATTTCGGTACAATAGAACTTATATATGACCCATCTCCTCAAACTAACCAGTTAATCGATTCGAAACTAACTAAATATGACTCATCGAGTTCAGATAATGACTAATTTGTACAAGAGAATGATTGAATCTAAGTTTTAGAATTTTTTAAGATCTTATAATTTATTAAACATTTGATATTCCATGACTTGAACCAATATCTTCTTTGATTTTTTAGTTTTATACTAGAGAGTTAATTATGTTATATAATGCCTTCAAGGCATAGAAGTTTAAGTATTATGTCCTGAATACAATTAATGATTACTTATTACTTCTTCCGATGATTACTAGGACTGTATATGATATTGTATATTGTCGTACATGGTATGGTCTTGATATCGACCACTGTAGTCCTAACGTGTAATACTTAAATTTAAAACACTATGTGGAAGTGATGTTTAATTTTCAGGAAAAACATATATGGCTTCGAGTGAATGAATATTAAAATTTGAAGTTGCCAGGAGTGAGAATTTTTATATTGTAAGTGTTACGACAGGTAACAATTAGGTCACGGGATTAGTAATAACACGTGATGCGAGGACTCGAAGAGCGAAAGGATCGAAGCTCGATCCCCTCGCTCCCTTCGAGCCACGAAGCATGAAGGTTTATATGATCGAGATGGATTTCCTTTGTATAGAGCTTCGTGCTCAAGATCAATCATTTAGTATGCTCTACCATTAGTTACGAATTGCATTATTGTCATTACTTTAAGTCCCTGCTTGACGCCTAGTTATAAACCACCTCGAGAGCCTAGAGCACTTCCACGTGATCTAGACGGCAAACCTCGTAACATTGGAGTAAATGAGTATCACAAGTTACAACTAAGAATGGGCAGGAGTGAGAATTTTCATATTAATATAGTATTGTATGTGATTTTTTTTAGAACATCTAAAAGACCTATTTGTTCTAATGTTTTAGGACATATTCTAATCTTTATTCTATTTGTCATATTCATCCTATCCATGACTAACTACATCTAATCCATATCTCCAATTTTAGAGTAACTATCCTATCCGCCTGTCTAGAGAATATACACGACAGGAGCCACGAAACGCTATCATAAAGAATCAAATATATATTTATTTTTGAAATATACAATTTGATCATTTACATAAAATAATTAAGAAAATACCCAAACCTTATAATTACCATAAGCATTTAAAATAATAATCTTACTTTCATATCGAAAACGTGACCACAACATTCACTTTACAAGCATCCAGGTCACCTGGTGCCGACATTAAAATTGTAGGAGTAATTTATCTCGTTGGATTTTTACTGTAATAGTTGTTAGATTTTTCAGGAGCGGACTACTTACTTGAGTGGAGAGACTGGTGAAGATAAACATAGCAACTCCTTTACTGCTCTCTGAATGTTGACCACTTGATCCACAGTACGTGACACATCTATATTTCCTTCATTGTTAATAGTATTTGATAAGAATTATTCAGATTTTCTAGACAAAGATGCAACTATCAATCTTGCTCAATTCAAACTCATTATATATTGAAAATTTTCCCTAAGCTAGCGTGATATATACGACAAACCCATAAATATCCGACGCAAACCAACCAGTCGTTAAATAATTTTAAATATTAATACAAAACTCAGAAAGAATATCCATCGAAAATTAGAATCTCCATTCCCTAACAATCATTCTACCCAACCAACATCATCGCTATCTAGAACTATCCCAACACCCCCGGGTATGTCTTAAACTCACCCACCCACTTAAAATTCGCAAAAGTACCTAAAGCCGCCGGAGCCGCCACCTCAACTGATTCCACCTTGACAACTGCACCTTGCAACGTTTTAATATCGATTTCTTGTCCGCCTTTCTGGGCCTTCCATTCTAGATTCGCGGTCAGGTAATCAACAATCGTATCTTCATTTAAATCTGGTAGAGTTCCCTCGTCGTGTTTTTGGATAAGGGCATCGGTGAGATGCACGTTACTTGATGCGACTACATCATTGGGTGTCATGCTTTGCGTTCCGAGTGTAGCGTGCATACCGACGAAAGAGGGGTCTTTAGCCCAGGATGGAGGGGAGGCTTGGGTTTTTCCGAGGAATACTCCTACGCTGTAGGTACCGTTGAGGGCGGTCCATGGTAAATCGATCTTGACGATCCAGTCGCGGGGACGTGATGGAGTAGCTGCTTGACGCTTTTTGAAAGCTGGGGAGCCGGCGTACAAGGCGAGGATGTTTTGTTGGAGAGTGGTGTTGTCGGGGTGATTGATGATTTCGGGGTAGGAATAGCCGAGAGTTTCGACATTGCGAACGTCGGCTGGAGAGAAGAACTTGCCGTTTGTATCTTGGTGGAATGGAGTTAAAGCTTGATTTTGTTAGTATGCGAATACCTCTGTGGGGAATTGTGAAGAGAGACTCACGAGAGTTTTGGTCTTGATAGGAGCCTCGTGAAATAGTCCATGTGGCTGCTCCTTGTCGTGCTGTTTCGACATAGGAATCTGGGTAAACAGCTTGCCAAATGGCGAGAAGTCTATCAACATTTGCGTGGTGGAACCAGAAGATTGGATCGAATGCAGCTACTGGAACGATGGACCTGCGTTGATGTTCATGTTAGTATTTCTAGAAAAGTCTTATTTATACCATGAAGACAAGAGTAGTCAGAAAAGGACTGCTAGAATGAAGTAGCATGCGTATAATACTAACATGTGACCAGGATATATGAGGCCTCCTGTTAATGTATGCACGGTATCGTGAATGGATTCTACAGACAAATTAGTTCATCGTTTCATGTGACTTTTACGTCAATTTCTATTTACCAATGTTGCCAAAACCAGAACTGCCTGATCCTTTATTGCTGAAATGATTATAGGGCTAAAGAGGAATGTCAGTAACGGTTATTTAAAGATGAATAGATTGGTATTTTTCCAAATCAAAGCTTTTGTTGAAACACATACCTGCCAATTTGCAAACAAAGTCATGATTTGAGTTCTGAAATTCCGTAAATTGGCTTCCAATTGTGATTCTACTTGATCATTTTGACTTGTAGCAGCAGCAGTGTCTGATGTTGGCCAACGAAGTGTGGTGTCATATACGGAGTACGGGTAGCCATTCTGTTGAAAGTTAGCGAGTATGATAATTCCAGAAAATTTGTACTCACTCGAAAGTCACTTGGCACCAAAGGATGGAAATTATAAGAAAATAATGGATTCGAAATAGTTGCCGTACTACCGTTAGGATACGTGACAGAAGCAGTCGGGTTGCTCAAGACTTCTGCGAGAATCGGCCCATTGTTAGCAGGATTGGCTGCCCAATCCCAATATGGCACTCTGAGAGTCGAAGATGCCTGTAAATAGGCTTCTGAGTCACTACCGTTGAACTGCTGAGCAATTTTAACCCCCCAGGCATGGAGCTGTTGCTCGAAAACTGCAAGATATGGTCTGTGCCAAGGACCAAAAAGATTAGATCCATGAGTACAGTATCCGGTATTCCCTGATGCTGTAGCTTGAACTCCGTCCCAGGCAACCAATGGAAAACCATGAATACCTAATTTTATTAGGAAATGAAATTGAAGCATCTTCGGAGCATTTAATGGCATCAGAACATACCTGCAATTTGGTAGTAAGACAATAAGTCATTCTGTTCTGTTGCTTGATATTCTACCATAGCCAGCAAAAACAAGTTCCATTGAATTGGATTAGCTGCAAGCGATCGAATCTCAAGACGTGGCTGTATTCCACCATCTTGAACACCTGTGATAGCAAAAGTATCTGCTCGAGCCTTCAAGTTTCCAGTCTTGGACAGCGGGGAAGCGATGACAGAGCTAAGTAGGAATGTTAAGGCCCCGAGCCAGTTGATGAGGTGTGATGCCATGTCGAGCTTCAATGAATGTAAGTACCTCAGCCTTCAACGATGGAAATTTGCAGCGATTTGCTAGATAGTTTGCCTTACAATGAAGAACAAAGCAGAAAATGATGAACCAGAGAAAGATAATCACGAAGTCAAATACCCCCTTATATTCTCAGAGACTGATCAACATGTGAGCGCGCGTGAAGCTAACATGGAGTGAATGCCAATCATCTCCCGTTGTAAACAAAAATCGCCATTGGGACGCCATGTTTGTGCCTGCATCAATGCACCTCGTCATAGAGTCAGCCTCGTATATATGTAAGAACTATGTGTAATAGATTTGATAAAAGTGAGGACTGCGGATCTCATTGAAAAGGAAAGATCAAAATGTAACATCGATACGATGAACCCATACAGCTACTAAGCTTAACTCTCATGCAAGCTTCTGCCATTTCGTGATATTTTTAATCAAGCCCCTACATGAACGATATTTTCAACGTGCAGATTTACCCTCGAGAAGCTGCATGTGGCTTCGACGCTTGAACAAATCCGACCACGATACTAATAAACGTCCAAGCTGATTGATCGGCGCATAGTATACCAGTGAACTGGCTGGCAGTTCTTGGCACAGCTGATATCAGGAACGGTGTTAAACTGTGATAGACGAGCTGCCTCCTTATTGGTTTCTGTTTCTTTGCATTTTTGTCCTTAGTCGCGCAGCTTCTGAGCTGAATGTGTAGATGCATGCCCAAAATTCATTTAGGGGCATTCTCCATGATTAAAAGTAAAGCTTCTTCTAGGGACGTACCCCAAATGAATGTTTTTTCATGTAATGAAATGGCCCATTGAGTAAAAGTGCCGAGCTTTACCAATACCGTAGTAACGTTTTTTTGACGAATCGGATTGATTACATTATCATCATCTTGATGAAAACCAGGAGAAGGATTTAACGGGTGACATTACGCTTATTACTGTTCCCGGAACACAATCCGAGAAATCTCGGCATCAGGGTAGGTATTTAATAAGAATACTACGTGAACCCTTCGTAAGATTGAAATACGATTTCTCCTCTTCCCCAGATGGTCTTTTCTCATGCAATACTGGCCTGGCCTGTTGCGGGATACCGTTATGATGTAACGCAGAACATGAGATGGCTGGCATAAGTGTATAGTATATTCTAAATATGTGTAATGAAAATGTGAGTGATTCTCTTTCTCAGATGTTAATCGATGGTAATCTTACTATTGATTTTATCGTAAGACTACATATAATCGTTGAAGGCCATGTGTAACACCCGAAACCCATTCCTTGGTATTGACTTTGATCGGAGAAATATCGAAATACCCCGATGCTGTCCAACCAACCTCTTTCTTCATCGTTTTCATCCATAGGTTAGCCTCCACTGATATTGTGTATCAATCTAAATATAGCTCGGGGGAATATCTTGTAGAATTTGATGCTATGGAGTTGTATTAGTACCGACATCGATATGGAAGGTAACAGATTTGACTTATGTCGGCGGCAAACTAATGATTTTGAAAGATTTACTTGTGTGAGAGGAAAAAGAAGACTTGTAACTCGGATTGAAATGAAGTATATATATTCGATACATCTATCACTCATTCTCCAGAAGCAATTAAAAGTATAAAATTTCCATGCTATTTTTCACTTCACTATCGAATTGATACACCTTCATTCTTCAATATATATTAAAATGATATTCCACCCTTTAGCGAACATCTAGCAAGTACCCGAGTTTTTCCCCCGTGGTACTCGTTCCGTACCTTCCCTCTTCACCAAAAATTGAACCAGAAACTCCAATCAACACCAGAAGCTCAGTCCACCTTCAAAAAATCCATCAATAGCATCATTAGATTCTGTTCATCATTCTCCACAGATATCTAATGTAAAAAAATATAGTTATCAAAATTGCACCTTTGACCTAGTAGTATATATTTCGAATTGATTGCATCTAAATGTTCAAAACGAACAAACCCCAAATCTTTGGGTTGTGGGCAGTGGGCAGTGGATTGTGGATTGTGGCTGAAATAGCACAGAGATTTCAACGTGCTCTCAAGGCCCTCATTGGAGTTCTTCCAAATGATAAAAACGATGCTTCGTGACATCTCAAGCTAAAGCAGATGGCCTCCCTAGATGACACTTTTTAATCATCAGCGCGGTTGTTACCCCATCACGCCATCACATCGTAACAAGCATGGATCATCGGCTCTTGTTCTCTTGGAATTGAGAATCATATGCTCATGTTTATATTGCTTTCCATATATGGAAAGTATGGAAAGTATGGAAAGTATGGGAAGTGAGGAAGGAGTGAAGGTGGCGAGGGAAGAGAAGAATGCTTATGGGTGCTCGAGCTGAGTGTGAATTGAATTTTTCTGTACCTTAGCGAGCTTGCAGATAATCCCAATTGGAAACACTTTTGTTTTTGTTTACTTTAATTTTATAAGATCTTATTTCTTTCCATTACCTTTTATATACCATCATTTTGGGACATTCTGGGATATTCTGGAACGAATTACTAAGTTTGTAGTGTGTATTGTATATCACAAGTTCGCAACATCGTACCTACATCGATTACCAAATATCCTGAATCTTAAACTCTAACAGGATCAATTTATTGACTTTGATTTGAAAGAAATGTAATTTGCAAATATTTGAAAAGATTCTGAAAAAGGTTTCGAAGAATGAAGAACTTCAGAAATAGACAATGTAACCCTATAACATGATATGATATTCAAGATTCGATTAAAAACTATGATTAAAACCACGAACTACAATGAAAAACTACAACTTCTGCTACTACTTCTGCTACTACTTCTACTATAGCTTTGACCTAGATCCTCCCAAATTAACACTATGCCTCATATATACCCACCTATAGTTGACATCAAAGCTATGCATAGTACATACTGTAACACCAAACTCCATTTCCCTCAATCCTCCCTCCCTCCTTCATTCATCCATTTATCCATCCATCCCTTCACCATCAACTCACTCACCTAACAATAAAAATCCCACCCCACCCCTTCCTAGGTTATTGATACACCACAACTAAAACGCAGCAATTCAATAGCTTGCAAAAACCATCCTGTCGTGTACCCATATGCATCTAATCCACATCAAGCATCAAGCATCAAACCTGCATACAATTAATTATCAATATGTTGTGCAACACCAACCCCCAACGGACAAATAACACCACCAGTGCATACTGTAACGACCTCGCTTATGGTAACCTTATATATATGTATGTGTGTATATATGTATGCAGTGCGAAATATTCTAAATCTGGAGAAATTTAGATTGTGATTGATGGTATGCGAACTTGTAAACTTTGGCAGAAATTCAGGATAATGAATATTATTATCATCTTTGATGAATAAGTTCTTTTGTGTGTCTTTTGTAAATTGGTTGATTTGTATGTGGTTGTGGTTGGACTAGTTAATTGCAATATATATATATGCGCATGCTTGATAACTTTTTTTGCTGGATTTCTAGGAATTGAAATGTATTATGGTGAGTAGCAGTGCTAAGGTTGTGTAAGTACTTCAAATAGGTAGGTAGGTAAGATTACTAGGGATGAGCGTTGCACAAAGTCGATGCGTGGAGTCCTGATTTCCGAGGATTTTTGTGCTACTTCATTATCGTATCACGAGAGCAAACTTGCCTCCTCATAATTACTTGTAGAACAAGGAGTGTGAAGAATTCATATTAGAAGTGAGTGAGAAATTTTCAGCAGGTTTCCATTAGTGAAGATGATGAGTAGTTATTTCGAATTCTTTGTGTTTGTTACGACTACAGAATACACATAAATAAATAAGTTGATTAAACATTGAAACAAATAATATATATCCCATCAACAAAACAAAACAAATAAAATACCAATCCCCAAAACTTTTAATCTCCCAAACCCCAAGCACAAAAATCTCAACTTCCCATCAAAACTACACCCAAATAACCTTATTCGGTTGAAAAGCATCTATCGGTCTAGGATGATAAACCCTATTCGTAGCATTACCCCTCTGATTAGACTCAAACCTCATCCCACCATGTCTCACCCTCCCATAAACCGGTTCATTCCAATGGGTATGACCCCAAATCCAGACATCTCTCGAATCCAACTGCGGCATCGTCGTCTTAATCATACTATGGTCATAATTCTTCGCCTTACACCCATCAATCACATCACTACCATGCATAGAACCTGATGTAAAATCCCGCGGCTTTATCGCCGTCTGCGTGGGGTCTGATGTTCCGCTCTTGGAAGGCGGCATGTGTGTGATGATTAGTATACGCGTTAGGACTTCCTTGGGATCATTTCGTATCTTGGCTGTTTCCTGCCGTATCCATTCACAGGAAGCTCTGTGTCTTGCAGTTCGCTGGGCATTATCTTGATCGCGTGGTTCGCCACCGCCACGTCGTCTGGTCTCTGTCCATAATGTACAGCCTAGCACTACTATCTTCCCACCATTCTCTTCAATCACAAAACTTTCGTCTTCCAAAAATGTTAATTTTCCATTCATATCCGGATGCGCTGCAAATTTCCTCATCACTCCCAATGCGCCTTGAACCGTGTTCGTGTGAATAGGCCAGAAATCTCTATTCCCCGCTACGAGGAAAATACGTTTAATTTTGGGTTTAGCACACATCCTCGCGAGGAGCTTGCGATATCTGGCTTCGTGCGACGAATGAGCCCATCCGATGTCTCCAGCGAGTACCAGATAACCCACGCTGGGGGTGAAGTCAAAATTGTCGTAACTAGTTTGCTCGAGATGCAGGTCCGAAACGTAGTGGAAACCGATGTTTTGTCGGAGGGTGGGAGGCGGCACGCAGAGATTACTTCGTTTGCCGAAGACTTTCTCGATGTCGGCCGCGGTACGAGCGGCACGGGTAGTTGCAGCAGCAGCAGCAGCAGCAGCAGTAGTAGTAGGAGCAGTGGTAGCTGCAGGTAAAAGTATAGTTGTTACAGCTGCGGAAACCGATCCTAGATCAACAGACGAGGTAGTATTAATAATAGTACCTTCAAGCATGGGAGTAATCACATCTTCAATTCCTTGTGGTGGTGCGCCCTTAGGTTTTTGAGGTGGTGCCGCACTAGATCCTTTTGTTTTAGTTGCGGCTGAAGATGTTACTGTTACCGTTGCTCCCAACAGATTTACAGACTGTGTAATTTGAGTTTGAGTTTGAGATTCATCTTTTGTTTTGGTCGTTGGTAATGCGGACAATTGTTTCGCGAGATCTTTCACGTAGTCATCCACTGACGTCGCTTGGCCGGGTGAATGACCTCTTGGGTGAGTCGTTGCTGATATGGATCCGGGTATGCTTTTGGTCTTTGGGGGCACAGACGTAATAGGAATTTCCTTTTCGAGTGACTTGATGAGGTCTTTTATTACTGCTTGAACCTCAGGAGATAGAACGGTTGTGGTCGCTGGACCAAACGCCAATGCTTCCGTCTTCGACCAAGGCAACGGTGTTTGAGCTTGAGTACTCTTTGTACTAGCAGCTGTAGTCATTTCCGTCGTAACTGGTGCTCCTGATCTAGATTTCGATTTGAAAGAACGGTCAATAAGACTCTCAAGCTTTCCTGGCTTTATCCATTTATTTTTTTCTCCAATGGCGCGGGCATTTGCAATAATCTTCTCTCTTCCTTCCTTAGTATTTCTCATCTCATTGAGTGCCTCCAATTGTTTTTCAGTGGGAGGATTATAAGGTCGTGGCCCTACTCCGGCCTGTTTTCGTGCCAAATTGTGTATGAACCAGTGAACATGGCCGGTGTTGCCTTCTCCTTTATCCTTATATAATGAATTTTGGCAAAATTCCTTCTCGAACTTGTACAAAAGTTCGCCTTGTTTGCACATTTGGTACATTGATATCGCCTCCCCGGCTGAGATATTGACTTGCCGCTGTCTTTCAACTGCAAGTGACATCGCCCAGCCAATGTTTCCAGCAGCCATCGGTACTCTGAAATCTATGTTGGGAAAATCTTGGGAACGGGATGGCTGAGCTACCTTCGATTTTCTCTTTTGCGCAATTCCTCCTGAAGGTGGTCGTAGACCGCCCGTTGGGGCAAGTGGTGGCTTTTCCGGCGGTTTCACAGTTGCTCCTTCTTTCGGGATTATAGGAGCATGATCCTTCACCAACCAGGGAATCAAGGGTGTAGGTCTCAAACTTGTGAGGGGCCTCGACTGTCTTCTCTCAATGTCCGCTTCATCCGTAAACGGTTTTCCTTTCCCCATATTCTTTAGCGCCATTTGTCGACTACGAGTATAATCGAGGACGAATCCAGAAGGTTCTGTTCCATGTCGCTTGACTCTTTTGGGTCTGTTTTGGTTGAATGGTTCTTGGTCTTCGAGTGATAGTATGTCAATGTTTATTGCAGGACTGGGATCCCATGTGCGCGTTTTGCGCTTTTGGGGTCCGATTTTTGTGGAGCTCATGTTGATGGTTGGGGCTGTAATGAATATATTTTGCTTATACTGATAATAGCCACGAGGGTAGGGGTTCTATATAGAATGTGCAGTTCAATTGGCATTTATTGATGTTGATGGACTAAGTCAACATTTCAGGGGGTTGAGATTTGAGATAGGTAAAATAAATAAGCTGTGATATTCATGAAAGTCTTCATGGATGGTTTTCCTTGAGATTTGATAATTGGTGCCGGAAAGGGAATAAGGACTCTTTATCTGATGTTGTTCAAAACCAACGCGGTAGGGAGAACTTGGGAATAGGAGAATATTCTTTGTTGGAATAGACAAACAATTGATCCGTGAAGAGAATGTGGCCTACCTTTATGTTCTGTATAGAGGGAAGATGATACTGCAAAAAATCTTTTGCTAGGAGTGATTGCTTAAAGTAATTCTTTGTACGAATAGCTTCAACAAGCATCAGGGCCAACCGAGAGCACTTGCATCTCATAACCTTATTTCAACTGATTATTTCATCCATCAACTAGATCATCTAGAATTTCGCTAATGTGGCATCTCACATTGTTCCATTCTCTAGAAGAAATTGAATTCATATCCTAACATAGCACACACCCACCCACCCACCAAAGCACTTCCCACCCTTCCAATCCTTCCAATACACATTCATCCACGCCACCCACCCAACTCCGTATACCCATCTACCTCTAACCTCCCAGATAAAACCAATTCGTATTGCATTTCACTAAAACGAATTCCGATAATCTTATCAGATATTTAACGAGACGTTCTTTAATTTTCCATTGATTTGGTTATGAGACTTGTCCTTTGATCATTTAATCATGCCAGAAATCTACTGCTCGGGTGATTTACCTTACTCCTGTAGGAAGCTCAACTAAGAGTGATGAATCGCATCATTGAAAGTTTTTCACAGGTACTACCCATGGAGTAATATACAGAGCACTTCAAAAACATATAAACTTCCCACCTTCACATTCACACTTCACACCTTTTAAAAAAATCCTTGTCTTTATGGTATTTAATTGCATGTGGATATCATCAACTAGATAGCTAGCTAGCTTGCTATTTTGCGCTACAATGCAATCTATGCTTCACAAGATCTTAGCCTAACTCTAGGATCTCGTTATTCCCACCCATCCATCCATTTATTTGTATTGAATGGGTCCATCTTTGACGCCAAAGGAAATTTCCCAGTTCAGTTCATTCATAGACATATCAAATCATCTCTTTTGATTGATAAATAAGAGTCAAATTCCGTCAAAGAAACTGCGCTCTCAGCCGCGAAAGTCTCTTCTCTCTTCGTCACTCCGATAGTTTGGAAGAGCTCACTAGCACATCTTATACTCAGCACCGCCTTCGGCCTGTCTTAATGGGTCTGTAGTCTCCAACTTGTATTGAATCTTAACATCCAAATCTCTTGGGTTCTTCTCGTTTGGCTTGTTGTCCAATCGACCGACAATTTGCTCTCCTTGCTCAACAGTCAAAACTTCTCTCAAGTAGAATACAGTTTGTTTCCAGTGAGTATATTTAGTATGAGGACCAGTACTGAATCTAATAGGTTTGTGACAGGCCGTGAAATCGATATCAAACCATGCGATAAGAGCATGGACGAAATCGTTGCGACGGACATCGAGTTTAAAGGAAGTGGAGAAAGCGAGATCCTCCTTAGTGCATGTGTAAAGATCGAGGGTGAGGACTGCAGTGGGGTCGGTAACAACGGCCTTGATCTCGACTGTATCAACAAGAGGTTCTGTGAGAGCGGTAGCTTTGAGAGGAGAGTAATCGAATCCGTAAACATTATCCCAGACTTTCATAGGTTAGTACGCGAAATTTTAAGAATTTTATTCGCCATGTGGGGAGCCCAATAAAAAAAACTTACATCCGATCTTCTCATCCTTATATTCGCCATCCTCAATACCAGCCATGAAGATAGTAGCCTTATCTGGGAAAATCAGACCATTTGGCGCAAGGTACTTGTCTCTAGCATAGAGAACGGTGTCCAACATGGATTCATAGAGTAAGAAATAACCCATCCATTCCGAGATGATGATATCGACTTTTGGGAATGGGAGTTCAACCTCCTCCATCTTCCCCTGAAGTAATGTAATCTTATCGGACATGCCGTTGACTGCGACAATCTCACGAGCCTTCTCGATAATTGTGGACATGTCGACGCCGATAACGTGTTTTGCACCGGCCTTGACAGCGAACCTTTAACCGCATCAGTTTCAGGTGTTTTGAGATGCTCGAGAGAGAATACATACATGCTGAGAATGGAGGTACCGCATCCTACATCGAGTACAATCTTGTCCTTGAAAAGATGCTTGTTTTGCACAATGGCATTCATATATGATCGAGTACGAACTTCATCTTTCTAATTCGATTGTTAGCAGGCGGGGTAAAGAAAGTTTGGGGAAGCAGTTTTTTTTTGCCTGCTTATAGATTACATACCAACATCTCTTCATGGATACCTTTATATATTGATTAGCATTTGCATTGATATATCATAGAACCGCGTTGCATACCATGATGATTGTAACTATTTTGCAGATTAATATAAATGATCCTTATCGTCGAGAAGTAGAAAAAGGCTCGATAGTATTTACCTGTTGAAGTAGTGAGCCTCAGAATGCTCCAATCCCTTCATTGGGTCCTCAGCCATGATTATGATTGTGCTTGAAGAAAGCACAGAAGATGATAAAAAGAGAGAGAGAGAGGAAGGGATAATGTAAGGTGGTGGTAGAGAGAAGAGAAAAGTAAAATAAAATGATTGCAGCTGTATTTGAGAGATATTTCAACCTTGATAAAATGCCCCAATACCTAGTCAGGGATTTTTTTCTCACAAGCGGCCGAGATTCTGCCACCGCCTTCCCTTAATGGTTTGGGGATTATTTACACCAAAAGGTGGAACAACATTATGAATCCATCTTACATGCCTAGGTAGTAGGTAGGGACAACATCGATACAGAGTACTTTAAAGTCTATTCTGGGCTTCTGGCTCGGGTTACACTAACTGCTAGGAAAGAACGGAAAATCGGGGCTTCAAAGATTCTCAAGTTACCAATCCTAGAACCCTTCTCTTGCATTTGAATATATTCTAGTCCAGCTAATTACCTACCTAGTGTTAAAAGGAATAGAAGTTACCGGTACTAATCACGTGTCGTGATTAGTAATACGGTTACCTAAACAGGCTAGATTAGACGAACCATAAGCAGGCATATTGGTCCCCTCCGAGGATACCAAGAGGAGATCTTAATATGCCTACAGACGTAGTAATATAGTCAATATAGAGGCCTCTTCCACCCAATCTTTTAATACCTAGTAGGTATAGAATGTTTACTTGCATCTTAAACATCTCACAACATCAAAGCTAATGGAGATCGCTCACAATATAAATTCTTCATTCTTCAAATTTTTTATATAATATATATTTTAATTGAGCAATGATGTAAGACAGTTTCGAAGGAAAGTCAATCACCTTCGATTACCTAACTCCTCTTCTTCAAAGAAAAGATTCCAACGATCAAATTTTATTCGCTAATGAGTCTGTAATTGGCTTAGCGTATTCGTACCCCACCAACGAGAAAGTGAAAGTTCTTGAAGCAAACCACTACGCCAAAACAACACAAATCCCATTTCTCTTTTTTGAATCTTTCGCATCCTTCCACCAAGCAACACCCAACTCAACTACCCAACCCAAACGTCGCCATCAATCAAATATTTCAACCAATCTTTTTCATCTAGCAATTGCTACTATCACGTGTAGTAATAGGAGTCTTAAACATTTTCTTCGCGACAGCGAGAATTAATTCGGTCTGGCTGGGGAAAATAGTGATATCGCGGGGTAGAAGGGTAGATTACAGTTCCCTCCCACAATTTTCAATTCTTCAATTTTTCAAAATTCTTCATCACAATGCCTTCGCGACCAAAACCACCGCCAGCGAGGCCCAATCCCTTGAGGAACATGAAGCCAATCAAAGCTCCTATTGCGCTCTCTCGAAAAGCTGCCATGGGTACCGCCAGAGCAAAACCAAGACCCGCCTGTCCAAATCCACAATGTAGTAAACCTCAGATCGAAGACGGTGTATGTCATAACTGTGGTACCGTGGTTGATGATTCAAATATTGTCGCCGAGATTCAATTCGGAGAAAGTAGTAGTGGTGCTGCTGTGGTTCAAGGCAGTCATGTTGGCGCGGATCAGGGAGGTGCACAAACTCTGGGTCCTGCCTTTAGAAGAGCTGGTGGTGGTGAAAGTAATAAGGAGAATACTCTTCGCGAGGGTCAGTGCTGACGAGACCCCTATTTCCACAATTCGAAGTTAATTGTCTATAGGAAAGCGTATCATGCAAGCTTTAGCAAATCAACTTGGAATCTCGGAAAATGTGGTCGGTGTTGGTCATCAAATCTTTAAACTTGCATCGATGAACAATTTCATTCAAGGTCGAAGAACGGATCTTGTTGCAGCTGTTTGTTTATACAGTGCCTGCAGAAAGGAGAAACCATGCAGGGTGATGCTTATAGATTTTGCCGACAAGTCACAGGTATACTTTAATCTTTAGCACATTCTTGGAATCGTTACTCACATTTATAGGTGAATGTTTTTACACTCGGTCGATATTTCAAAGCCCTTCACAAACAAATTTCATTGGCTACGGATGGCATTTTACCTGTCCTTCCGGAAGACTTAATTTGGAAATTCGCTTCGAAGCTCGAATTCTACGAACAAACCGAAAAGGTAGCCGATGATGCAATCCGTATGGTTCGAAGAATGAGTTTGGATTGGATGGTCATGGGAAGAAGACCTTCTGGTGTTTGTGGTGCTTGTTTAATCCTTGCAGCACGAATGAATAATTTTCGTCGAACAGTCACCGAAGTCGTCTATGTCGTCAAAGTCACAACAGCAACTATTCAAAAGCGTTTGGAAGAATTTAAAAGAACGCCAAGTAGTGCTCTTACAGTTGAAGAGTTTCTCAACAACGAGTTCTTAGAGTCGGCCCACGATCCCCCTTCCTTTTACAGAAAGTCCGAGGCATACCTCAAAGAGATGGAGGAGAAAAACAAGAAACGTAAGCGCAAGGGTAAGGGTAAGGACAGCGCGATTGAGAACGGAGTCGACGAAGGGGAGATAGGGGAGGGAAATGGTGAGAGCAATAAGAGACAAAAATCTACATCTGGGACTCCTATGCTACCAGCAGAAGTTCGACGCGATGCAGACGGATTTGTTATTTCCGCCATTCCTTCCCCAAAGGACCAAAACATTGATCCTCGACTTTTGGATGATGCCATTGAAGATGAATCAGGCACCTCATTTAACAGACTTGTCGCAGAATTTGGTGATGTTGAACCCGCTGACGAGGAAGCCGCGAAGGAACTCGAAGAACACGCAGGCGCACCCAAGAGAGGACCCGGTCGTCCACGAAATGATGAACCTCCTCTCGAAATGCCAGAGGAATGGCTCGCAGTAGAAGATGAATTGGAGCAACAAATCACAGAAATGGTTTCTGATCCACATACCCAGGAGCATGCCATTAGTTTCGCAAAGGCTCAAAAGAAAGCACACTATCACCTTCTTCTAGCTGAAGCTTTGCACCCTCAGAAACACGTCAGCATGGATACTCACATTGGTGAGGACGAATTTGCCGATGACGAAGAAGTCATAAACTGCGTACTACCTGATGCTGAAGTCGCTAAGAAAGAACAAATTTGGCTTAATGCAAATAAAGATTGGCTTCGCAAACAACAACAAAAGGATTTCGAGAAGAGAAAAGCAGCTATGGGTCCACCAAAAGTTACCAGACAGAGGAAGAAGAAGCCAAGAATTGGAGAAGGTCAAACTAGCGTAGCTAGTACACCAGCAGAAGCAGCTGTCAATGCGATGAAGGAGAGAAGTTGGAGTAAAAAGATCAACTATGAAGCTATAAGAGATATCTTTAAGACTGTGGGAACTAGATCTGGTCCTGGTAGTGTTGCTACGAGTAAAGTTACAAGTAGAGCTGGATCCACGGCTCCTGGCTCGGTGGCAGGTAGTGTTGCTGATGGTGGCGAGGGAATAATCGAAGAGGTTGATGAAGATGATGATGTGGGTGAGCAAGGCGAGGCAGCTGGTGATGATTGGCGAGGAGATGTCAATGGAGAAGGCTACGATGACGAGGATGATTATGATGAAGACGACGCTATAGGTATGGGTGATATTGATGAGGATGAGTTGTATGGTTGAGTGTTCTCCGTAACACAGATTTTCGAAGTCATCGGGAAGTGGGGTGGAGGTTATAACTTTTGTGGCATGGAGGACGATGAATGGGGAGACTTTTGCACATATTCATGCATGGATGGAGTTATCTGGGTGGTCACTGCATAGCACAGGAGTTTCACAAACCGTTCGCCAATCAGCGATGGGACGTCGTGTAGATAGATACCTACGTTGACAATATTTTCGGATACTTTCTGTTTAGAACTCGATAGCTGAAGCTTAAGAAAAGAAAATAAATAATTTAACCAACAAAAAGAAAAATGAGAACTTGGCCCTAAGTAGCAGCATGAGACCGTACTAGGCAAGTAGGTAGATATTTAGCTTGAGCTCGAGCAGCTTGGGAAGGCTGGTTGTAAATGTGATGAAAAGAGCTTGTGTAGATCATTCGAACATATGTCCCTTCCCGAACGTGTGAATGATGCATTGATCATATCATCGGGATGTCAAATAGGAATATACGTGATACTTGTTACATCTCGTCCCTCCATTCCCCACTACGTACAACTTGGTGTAGTTCCTCATGCTTAGTCATCACTTCTCTTCCTCCAGCAAATTTTCATAACGCCATTTTATGCTCAAATTATGCAGCCGAAAGCAAAAGCGGTGAACCTTACATTAATAAATTGAATAAAGTTCAGCCCCTCAATTATGTCCAACGCATAGAAACGCATAGACAAATCTCTCAACGGGTACGTGAATACTTATCAGGTAATAAATAAGAAAAGGAGGGACCCAAACTGGATAATTATATTGGGATTTTACAATCTTCCTATTCTCTTCCTCTCTCCCCAAGTCTTTCCCTCTTTCACAGATCTTTGTTTTCTCTCCTCAAATCTTCAAACATGGACGCCAAAATTCTCGAAGCTTCAAATAATCACCCAAAACCCGTCGATCGGGTCTTTCAATATGGCACTGCGGGGTTTCGTATGAAGGCCACTCTTCTCGACTCAGTCGTCTTCCGCGTTGGTCTTGTGGCTGCTCTTCGATCGCGCAAGTTGGGTGGTCAAACGATCGGTGTTATGATCACCGCGTCGCACAATCCACCCGAGGATAATGGTGTCAAGTTAGTTGATCCGATGGGCGAGATGTTGGAGAATAGTTGGGAGGCATATAGTACACAACTGGCGAATGCGAAGGATGAGGATGTGGTGGAAGTTTATCGCAAGTTGGAGAAGGATTTGAAAATCAACCCGGAAACTCCTGCAAGAGTTATTTATGCTAGGGATACGAGACCTTCAGGCCCGAAATTGGTGGCGGCTTTGGTTGATGCTCTCGAGGCTACCGGAACAGATTATACGGATTACAAGTTGCTTACGACGCCTCAATTACATTATTTGACTAGATGTACGAATACGGAGGGAACACCACAAGCGTATGGCGATGTCAGTGAAGTTGGATACTATGAGAAGTTGGCAAAGGCTTTTGAGAGAGCTATGAAGGGCAAAAAGGCTGTTGGGTCGGTCACTGTTGATTGTGCCAATGGTGTTGGAGGTCCTAAATTGCATGAATTGATTAAGTATCTGCCAAAGGGTATTCTCGATATTAAGGTCGTCAACGACGATGTTTTGAAAGCAGAGAATTTAAACCATGAGGTTAGTAATTTTTATACTGTTTGATTTAATCACTAATGTTTTTTTTACAGTGCGGTGCCGATTTTGTCAAAACCAAACAACGAGCTCCTCCTTCATCAAAAGCCGGAAACAATGATCGATGCTGTTCATTAGATGGAGATGCCGACAGAATTATCTACTACTTCAATGATCCAGATCATGGATTCCGTCTATTGGATGGTGATAGGATTGCTACACTCGCCGCTTCATTCATCGGTGATCTTGCTAGAGAAGCTGGACTTGCAGATGAATTGAGAATTGGTGTTGTACAGACTGCATATGCCAATGGTGCTAGTACCAAGTATGTTGAGAAAACATTGAGGCTTCCCGTGGTTTGCACTCCTACTGGTGTAAAATGGTTACATCATGCAGCCACCAAGTTCGATGTCGGTGTTTATTTCGAAGCAAATGGCCATGGAACTGTCGTTTTCTCACAACAAGCCTTGAAAGCATTTGCTAGCACGGAACCGGAATCTCCTGCTCAAGCAAGCGCTTTGGAAGCTCTTCGTGCCCTCACCGATCTCATCAATCAAACAGTCGGAGATGCACTCTCGGATATGTTACTCGTTGAAACAATTCTCGCCCACAAGTCTTGGACACCAAAAGAATGGGATCTTACCTACATTGATCTACCCAATCGTCTCGTCCGAGTTGAAGTTGCTGATCGAAACTTATTCAAGACAACGGATGCTGAGAGAAAACTCGTTGAACCACAAGGCACACAAGCACAAATTGATGCATTAGTTGCTAAATTTAAGGACGGTAGAAGTTTCGCTAGAGCCAGTGGGACTGAAGATGCTTTGAGAGTATATGCAGAAGCTGCTACGAGAAGTGAAGCTGATGATTTGGCTACCAAGGTAGCATCCTTGTGTAGGGTTGAGGGAAGCATCAAAGGTTAGATGTAGTTGTGAGTGAGGGAATAGTGAGTGGGGGAGTGAGTGGAAAGTTATGAATCACGAATATGCAGCGCATACGAATACCAAAAAATGGAGTTGAGATGATTCATGGAGAATACCCATGATTGACATAAACGATAACATAGCATTTATCACATTTGATTTTTGATTAACAGAGTTAATTATATTATCTTATTTCTACGTATTTTGACATTCCTGCTGGTGTATCTACTACTGATAATCCCCTGTTGATTACCTACTCGAGTACCTATTAATACCTACGTACTTGATTATTTTGCGGAGACCCGGAGAATTTGTAGATCTACAGCTTATTATGTGGGGTAAGACCTTGCATCCCACCTCACAGCTGTACCATACCCATTGCAGCTTCAAACATCAATGATGTCAAGACTTAGCCGCTTCTAAAGACAACTAACTACATCATAATGGATTGATTAAGCGTCCATACTATCTATACGTTCCATACTAAGTAGTGCGTAGTAAGTAGGTATCAAGTAAATATCCAAGTTTATAGATAATAGATATAGATCCTGTTTTCTTTCCTTCTTTTGTCCTATCTTCTTGCACTTACTTCTTCTTTCTACCTGCAATGCGCTTTTCACTCTTCTCTCTCACACTAAAACTAACTTTGATTTCTACGGGGTTTTTAAAGAGTAAGAGTAAGAATACAAATAAGACTACGGGATTATCATTAGTTAAATATTTCTCGGTATCCTCATCCTCAAGCCAAAAACCTTTTTCATCGTTATATAAATATAAACACATTCCCATTTTAAATCCAATCCAAAATTTACCTCAATTCCAAATACAAAATCAAACTCGAACTCTAAATTCAAATTCAAATATCAAAATGTCAACACCAGCAGAAAATAAATCTTATTCTACTACTGCTACTTCAGCTTCGACTTCGACTGCGAATTCGGGAAACACAGATGCGTTTAGGGAGTTGGGGATTGAGAGTACGAGGATTAATACGGTGGAGGGGGTTAATTTGAGTGAGAAGCAGAAGGTCGTTGTGGGGAGTGTTTTGGATGTATGATTGTGATTCCTTTTTTTCCTGCTACTGAATATCATCTCATTTATTTATCACTTCCCTCCTATCCCATCCCAAAACCAAACATCCACAAAACCAAAACCTCACTAACACCCCCCTCCCCACTAGCTCTTTGCCGGTCGTCCCTCCCTCCCCAAACTCTCCCTTTGGACCGAAACCGCCATCTTCGAAGACCCCATCACTAAAGCCGAAGGCCGCAAACAATACGCCGCCCAATGGTACGGTCTCCAAAGCGCCTTTAGCCGCATTGAACAAATCTCGCACTGCGTAACTAAGGCGGGTAATCCTATCGAAATGGATTTGCATTCGAGGTATGTGGTTAAGGGGGTGGGTTTTGAACAGGTTATTAAGAGTAAGGTAAGTATTTATACGACTGGAGGGGATGGGAAGGAACCGCTTGCGAAGGAGGAAATGGGCATTTTGAAGGTGGTGGATGCTTGGAATGGGGAGGCGCCGGGAGAGGGGGTGTTTGTTAAGGTTTGTTTTTCTTTTTTCCTTTTTTCTTGTTTTTTTGGGGTGAGGGGGGAGATGTGTGTTTGGGATTAATGTCTTTTACTAATGTTACTTTCAGGCAATGAGAAATCTTAATAGTGTTGT